GCATGGAGCGCAGAGCTTTAAGGGGCGCAAGAAGCTCCCCCTTTAGCTCCATGCTACTCCATGTGATCCATGCACTCCATGCCATGCGAGCTGTGAAACCTTATAAATTGCTCTGCTATAGTATACATAGCATCTTCGACTTCTGATTTGTTTGAAAATCAGGATCAGCCTTCCGTCACAGCATCGCTTTATTCCAGGTCGCTTTGTCAGAGATCTGGACTTTCTGAAGAGGACGCTCTAAAGTGTAAGTCCTAGTAGTGGTGAATAATACTTATAGACGAAGTAGCTGAGCAACGTCATTTTCATTCTCGTCTCCCTCTCCTCTGGTAGTATTCTTGTCAAGGATGCAGTTGCCGGCTCCCTCGCCCTCGTCGTCTGCAGAGGCATCAGCCTCGCCCTCCATCCGTCGGCCACCAAGAACCCAAGGTCAGAAAGTTCTCAAGCAGTATCCAGGTGGTCTGTCTCGCAAGCAAGTCGGTGCGATGAAGCGACTCCAATCTGCAGATGCTGCAGATCGAATAGCTCATTTTGGGAGCAGGACTGAGGTACTTTGCTGGCCAAGGAACATAAGAAAAGCAATTTTCAAATAACACGGCGCAGAATCAGCTAGTTCTAGTACTAGTCGTGAATTATAGTCATTCACTTGTGTGCGATCGGGATCGTGTTCGTTGTAATTCAAGAACATCTAATAAATCCAAATATCGTTGTAGTACTAATAATAATGGACCTAAGCATGTAGATGTACACCAGCACGCATCCGGAGGGAAGCTTCCACAATTTGGGAACTCACCAGAAAAGCCGAAGGAGTCGTATGATTTGGACATGCGTGCCTACGACTCATCTGATGGCGCCAATAGCGCAGACGACGCGGCGGCTACCGGCTCTGCTCCCAACGCGTCACAGCAAAGAAGCGCGCAAGGGGTAATGAATGTTGAGTACAGTAGCTATAGATGGCTTCTGATGTAGGAAAGGTGGTTCAGAAACAAACAACAATCTCAAGGGTTGGTAAAGAAATTTAGATCAAACATGAATCAAAATCGGTAACAACTACATTGGTTGCACTTGGTGGGCAAGAGCATGCTTTCTCCACATTTGCTAGTGCTCTAACCTAATACAGGACCACCGTGGCTGGGTCGCATCTTCGTCTGCCGCTGGTTCTGGTAGCGCATTTGCTGCAATGTTCGCAGGGGGGCCTTTCAGTGGTGCAGCGCCAAGTCAAGGTCCGTCAGCTCTAGGAGGAGCTCAACCACGCATCGATGCCCATATGTATCCCCCCGCGGCCGCGCCACCCAACGTCCTTGGTCAGAGTCCGCACACGCAGTATGCGGTCACACCGAACGCCATGTCTTTTGCCACGAACCCCTTTGTCTCGATGGAGTCGACGATGATGATGAACATGCAGCGAGCGATGCAAATGCAGCAGCAAAAAATTTGGCTGGAGCAACAGCGATGGATGGAACAACAGATTCGAATGATGCAACAGCAACAAGCGATGCAGCAAGAGCAGATGTCCGCACGTGAGCGTGAACGGGAGGAAGGAGCTGATCAGCAACGATTACGAGATGAGGCGACAACTGGCGAACATGGCAGCTTCGTTGGAGGCAGCCGCGAGAAAAGGAGTGACTGCGAAGCAGCTGGAGCTGGCTCGAGTAGACCATCAGGGCCATCATCATCGTCTTCGACGTCAGGGGCATCCGGAGATGCTGGAGGAGGGCAGCAGGAAGCGAAGAGTCAGCCTTCGTTCACCAGCATCGTGAAATCACCGAACAGGCCAGAGCCACCTCCGGATCTCTCCATTGATGCTACGCCGAGCGGTCAGAACCCAACTTCTCAGCCCAGCTCTCCAACTTCTTTCGTGCGGCGGGCCAGCTTTCAAGGAGACACGATCGACCGTCGACTCGGGAACGAAAACTTTACTTCACGTTCACCTCGACCGTCAGGCGTGGGCAAACACACTCGCTCCCGGCGTCATTCCTTTGCCTCGCGGCGCTGCAGTTTGGCGTGTGCGGTTGACGCGGTGAACGGATCGCGGAATTTACGAAGGCTTAGCGGTGCTGGCTTTGCCGGTCCGCACTTTGACGTGGCAGCAGTATTCGACGCTCTAGAGGTCGGCGGGACGAGCGAGCGGGCGCGGCAGGCTGGCATGAACAAAAATAATGTGCGACCACGCGCCGCAGGCACAGCGTCACCGACCAGAGCTCCCGGTGGTAAAATTGATTTTTCTGTTGCAGAACTGTTGTCCTTTTCGCCCTTTTGGTACCGTTCTTGTAGTCGTCGTAGACCGTCACTGAGTCGTCCGCTTGAAGAAGATGGTCAATCTCAATGTAGTAAGTATCTTTCAAATTTTTTTTTCGTATATTGTTGATTTCCAAACGGGCCTGAGTAACCAAACAAAGGTGTTCGACAGCGTATCACCATGACCGATCGCGATGGCGAGGAAGGCGGAATCAGTACTAATACGCACCAGGAAGATTATGGTCTAGATCCTGACGATGAGGCGCCATTCGGGCGCTCGATATCAAAAGACTCAGCTTGTGGCCTTTATGAGAAGTTTTTGAATGAACGCACAGAGGCGGCACCTGTGGGAGAGAAAAGCTCGAAACGTGTTAAACATGCTATCGCGACCGCGCGTGATCCCCTCTTCGCTTCGCATGCGGATCTTATGGCACACCTGCGGGGCGACGTTTTCACACCACCGGCGGTGGTTTCCCAGCTGGTACCTCCATCGTCACCAGGCGCCAACCAAATGCGACCGCGGCCTCCAGGAGGCGCCACTACATCGCCGTCTGCGCCATCGGGCGGAAAGGTAGACTTTCCCGGAGGACGACGACCGCTGACGACTCCCGGTGGGACACGGGTGCATACTAGGTCGAAAGAGCGCTTTGCACCTCGTTGGTTCATGCCCGCAACATGCGGCTCTGGTGGTGCCCCTGCTGTGGAACAAGCTGGGCTCAAGCACTTGGATATCAATGGAAGCGGTCCTCCAGGCACGGCTACTGGACGCAGTCGAGGCGTTTCGCCCGGCATCAGAACGGACACCGAGAACAGCGCTGGGCAAATGGTCATAGGCTCTGGCCTGCAAGGAAAGCGACACGAGAAACGACCGCGATCTGGACGATCACGAGAAGAGCATGCCGTTGACCAAGTTGGAACAACATCACAGAGGCCTTCAGGCGCAAAACCTGGACGGATTCTGCGACCACAAACAGGATCAAAATCCAAAAGCGCTGAACAACAGCAGTCAACGAGTGGTGCTGATGAAAGTAGAAGTGGGTCAAAAAATATCCCGAGAGTTACCGACGACGAAGAGCGAGAATCATCTCTGTGGCATCACTGGTTTCCAGAGAGTTTGCCGTCAAGGGCCCCAAGTGCGCGGCAATCGCGCAGGCGGCCACAGTCTTCTCCTCAGCATTGGACACCTGCTGGGATGCGGAGGGTCAAGGGATTTTTTTCGACCCCTCGCGGCGTCGCTGATGATGAGGAGGGTTACTCTTTCACTACAGGAGACCCACGCCAGGGAGGGCGGCCGAGAACTACAGGCAACGCAGCGCTCAGGGGCCGCAGCGTATCACCTGGTGATTATGATATCAACGAAGAGCTGCGACCACGCGCGTCTGCAAGGGAGGTTGGTGCCGAGCGCAGAGCGATTTGCCGCCAACAGCAGCGCTCGAGAGGCGCCCGAAATCACAGCCCTTTTGGAAGAGACTTTGCTGTGACGAGTGTGAACACGCCCTTCGGGGCCACAGCAATAGCATCAGTGCTGGGCTATGGGCCTCCGAGCATACCAGTTCCTCCTCATTTGGTTATGGAGCCTCATACGCATGACAACGCGAGCACCAGAAATGCTTCGTCATCTTCAATGAGGCTGATCAACAACACTACCGAAATCGTGGCTCCCTCAAAACCTGGGAAAAAAACTAGTCGTAGAAACCCACATGAGCCCAGCCGCATTATCCTAAACGAGGAAGGGGCCACCCTTCGCAAGCTACAGCGCAAAATGGATCAGGAGAGCCGTCAGCGCTGTACGTCATCGAATGTTGTGGACATGCGGCGTGTTCCCAGTGTGACTGACGCGGGCCCGTTTACGCCACCCCTGACGCCAAGTGGCCCTACGCGACCACAAGAGACCAGGCCCGATCTTCAGAAAGAGCAGACGACGAACGCTGCCCATCAAGAAGATCCTGAGCAAGCAACGCAGCAAATGGATTCACCAGCACCTCGTCTTCACGAGAGCGATGACGCCGTTGCTCAAGAACTACAAGTAGAACTAGAGCAGATGGAACAGTTTAGGCTTGAGCAGAAGAAGTTGCCCTGTGGGGCAGGAGCTGCCAGTTTGGAAGAGACTCACGGATCAGCGCTGCGTGCGGATCGTTCACTCTCAAAGAGTGCTAGTACCCTTGTCGATGGTCGTGGGGAGCGGCAGCCCTCCCCAGAATTGACACGAGGCGCTTTTTCGACACAGAGGGGGACCTTTCGGTCGTCGGTGCACATGCAGGAACCCGTGCCCGACGACATGGAGCTTCTGCCGCTTCCAGGTGATGAGGATAATGACCTTGGCATTATTCGCGAGAGATCTGTAGCAAGTCGTCACAATGTTCCTCCAGGCGGCTCGGCTATCGTCGGTGGACATGCCCCGGGTGCGGGGCCGCTGGCTCACCGATTGCTCGCGCAAGAACAACATGGGGACTTGCTGAAACGAGAGGAAGGGGACTCAGATTGGGTGGTGGATGACGAAAATTCACTCGGAAATCCTGCTAATCCGAGCTCTACAAGCGTGTTTGTTCAGCAGGCAAACAGCGCACCTACCGAGGGGGGGAGTGATCCATTCGTGGCAGGACGGGTTCTGAATGGAATCGTTGTGTATCGTAGTGGTCCACGCCTTTTTGAGGGAACTAGAGGCGCTCCAAATGTTGCCGAGCAAGTCAGAAAGAAGCAGTTACTGCAGGCGCAGCGCTTCAACTACAAAGTCCGACCAGGGGCAACGGAAAGTCATGCTACTGCTGGAGGTGCAGCATATTCTTCCTCACTACAAGCGGAGGATTTGCCGAGCACCAAACACGCAAGCCCGAATCAACGTCAAGCTAGTTTTTTTTCTAGCGTTCCGTTGGACGAATATTTTGGTCTTGCTCGGAACGAAAACGCGGACCTCTCTGAGGATAATCTACTCCGAACGAAGGTCGTGACTGGAGGAGAGCGCTCCAGCACAGCCGAGCCGAACTTCAAAAAGCTCTTAAAACGTCGACGGTCATCGTCGTGCAGCTGGCTGCGACGAAGGACAGCTTCCGCAGGCTCAAGGGCTCCAATCAAATTTGGTAATTAAATAATGGAGTTGGAAGATGAATAAAGAAAAAGAGCAGAGCCTTGGTCCATTTGAGTCAACGATTGAATTTGAAGTACTACACATTCTTTCATGTACTGCGGCGGAATGAATCTGAAACTGACCACTAGGTCCGACTATGAACGCTGAAAAATTTGTTTCTTGTTCTATTCTCATTTTTCACATCTATATCGGCGCCTTTTTCGTTCGCTTTCCAGGTCGCCAGTTACCGCGTCGCGCGCCTGAAAATCATGTGGCAACTCCGGCTGAAATGTTGGAGCGCGACCTTGAGTCCTTCTTTCCGCATGTCCAAGTTGCGGAGTATGAATGGCGCACCCCACACCAGACGGTTTCCCGTCTTACGCGGCCGTCGTCGGATCTTTGTTCGAAAAAGCAAGCCAGATTTCATATAGTCAACGACAACGAAGGCGACCACTGCCACAACAGGCAACGACATGTTTTGAAATGTGTAGTGGCGTTTCAGCAACAAAGTTCGAACACGCAGGAAAGGAAAACCCTACTTCCAAGACCTGTCTCATCGCAGAGCTTCGTTGCGTCGCGCAGTGACAGGGATGTGGAATTTCGCTTCGAGAACGAGAAAAACAGTGGAGAAGCCGTTCCCAGGACCGCAAATGCGCCCTCACCATCGGATTCAAAGTATGGAACCCGACGACAACCTGGAACGGATTCCACACCATCACCGAAAAGCTCGGGAGGAAAACCAGGACTAGTGCGCCGAGGAGGAGGAGATGTAGATGGTGAACTGCGGATGATAAAAAGATTTGAAGGAACTCAGGCCGTGGTGCCCGAGTCAAAATATGAAACTCGTAGTGAACGAGCGTTTACTTCATCAGCAAATCATGCTAAAGCGCATGTAATCGGAGCACCTGCACCATCTCCAGCAAAACGGGCGACAACACCAGCGAGCTTGCTGAGGAGGTCACTGCAAGTGCTTTGTGCGACTCCTGCCACCACTTTTTCTGGTGTTCCAAATTCTTCAGCAGCAGAGGGCTCGACAAACATCAAGTCTGAAAATAGGGTTGGTGAAACCGCCACTGCGCTCACAGAAGTCAGCTGCAGAGCAGGCGTCGCTGATGAAAAACAGACTTCTTGCAGCGCAGCAACTACGAGTTTTAGTAGAGGAAAGCTGATAGACTTGATGCATGAGGACCGTGAGGAAGCCGAGAGGGCTCGCTTAGCTGCTGGTTTAGAAGAACTTCAAGATCAAGATGGAGGATGCGATGGAACAACAACATCAAGCCAACATGGAGGTTGTGATCAGGCGCTTTCGACGCTTCTCGAGCAGTCATCTCTTTCGCCCCGCGCAGATGCAGATCAAATTAAAGCAGAGCGGTCGTTCCTTTTACCTTTGAGGCAGTTGAATTTGCAATCCCCTTTGATGGCGCCAGCGACGTCGTCGATGCCAGCACAGACGAGAGCAGAAGGTCGCGTTGCAACAACAGCTAACGCTCAGGCGAAGCGCCGTAGAGTGGGTGGCACTGGCACGCCGCAGCCAGAAGACGATGACGACGCGGCAACGACTGAGCCTGCCGACTCGTCGCGTGGTGGTAGCAAAGATCACATAGCAACCTCCACGTATGTTGATCAACGTTGCAGTGCTGCAATTCAGCCTTGCAGTCACGGAAATGATGCAAGCCAAAACAAAGCCCAGACGAGGCGAAGCCACCACCGCTCCCGAAACACGTCAAGTCAAAAACACAAACAACGTGGCGGCACAGCACCAACGGAGAGAACAGAAGAGGGGACAGAGGTCAAAAAAACTGGTACGTCAACCGTTGTCTTCCAGAGACCTCAGACTGAACAGATAGCAGGATCCATTCTGAACTTCGAAGACTTTTTTGCTTATGGCTCTAACAAGTACTGAAACTCAACGGAAAACAGTATTGTAACTTAGCGGATGTACACGGTCCTTCAGCGGCAGTGATCGGTCTAGTCTGCGTAGATTCGTATTGGCGCTTCAGCAGCCGCGTATGTCTGCCAGTTTTTCTGGTAGGCCCACACCCAACCTAACCTGGTGTTTTAGGCAATAACTCTCGACTGTTTGCTGACTCACAATAAAAATTGAAAAGAAGTAGTTCATCATCTCTGTCTAGATTATAGTGACTTGTACTCAGATCCACTTCTAATACATGCACGAGCCACAGGAGGATAGCAGACATGCTACCACAAGGCGGAACAAGCGCAAACTTGGAGAATTCGCTACCACTCAGCGCAACGAAGGTCATATCAAGCGCAAAGCAGGTGCAGCTGCAGATGATAACAACGCAGTGGCACCAGTCAAGAACGACCTCTCTTTGCGAGTTAAGCCTCTGTCGAATCCGACTCGTCAAGGAAAACCCCCAGCAGCGACCACGTCAAGCAGGGAGAAGCAGCAGCATCAGCAGCTTGCTCAAACTGATTTTGGAGGTAGTGACGGTCGCTGTAAGAACGAGCAGACATGCGTTGCTGTTCTTGCCACGAATGGTAAACATCAGCCACAGGATATCAAAGCGGATTCATCTTCTTCATCCATGTCTGCAAGACAGGGCAACACTGCCTCCAGTTCATCCAGATCCAAACAGCAGGCACCTCACGCGACAAGCAACCTACCATGGTACCATCGGTATATGCTGGAGCGAGCTGCCGCTCAGAATTTTCGACCTGCGGAGACGCATAAATGGACAGTGACGCCGCCAGGTAGCGCTCGTGCGAAGAAGCGCATCGTTAATCTAAAGCTTCACGCTGATGCTACTGCCTTCGGAGCAGTCGCAGGCGCAACTGAAAAGAATACTCCGAGGCTGATTCGTAACGCGCGGACCGCTTTCTGAAGATCCTCAAAGATCTACAGAAGAGAAATACACATCTGACCTCGTGTGGTCCTATCACGCAGAAATATTCCAAGATAGACTTCTTTGTAATTGTAGCCGAACATGGACAAAGGACAATCAGTGAATGTTGTCACGTCGTCGTCGAATATTTCTTTAGCAACCATTTTTGTCATATTCCTTTTATTCGATTTTTCGTTGACCACACCACTGCAGCCCGTTTCCTACATGATTGTTATGAAATATGCTTAGCGTCAGGACCATTCTCCTGCTTTTACGCAGAACTTATCGCTGTTGGTGATTAACAAACTGTATAGAGCTGCATAGACGACCTTCGTCACAGGCGGGTTACTCTCCCACTGCACGCACGTCATAAGATTCCATTTTTAATACCTGATTTGTTCATGAGCTTACTAGAAAACGTTTAATACAGTGCAGTTTCAGATAGATTTATCAATACTCCCAGAAGCAGCCAGTAGACGATTTGGTGACCTCTCTGTTGTATGCATCTTTCAACCCTTTTTAGTGAAAAAATGCAAGTTTGCGTTCCAAACAAAAAAGGGCAAGAGGTAAGTATTCCTCGGACTAACGCTGTCATAGTCTTCATAGACGTTGTAAATGTAATTGCTATCATATTTATAGATATGTATTTTATTGTGATTTTGACAAATCGGTTTCACTACTTTTCGTCGTCCTGAATCGGTCTAGGGCAGCCCACTTCACTAGGAAGTGTTTTAGGTTAATACTGAGAGTGAGAGCTTCTCGCGACGGCGGGTTCGGTGAATAAGTTGATAGCGGGTCTGCTTCGTTTCGATCGTGTCTCCTTGGTTTATTATGCTGATGGTGGATATTGGTTGTCGGTCATCGGTTAAAAAAGGCGGTGCCAAATGATACCCACCCAGGTGCCACAAGCCCTTCCCTTCGGACTATTCGCGCATACAAATGTGTGCTTTATTAATAGTTTTCAAAAGAGCCTGAAAATGCAAAAAAGTGAGCTGATGAATGCGCAAAGGGTGACTATGTAATCCTCGTTACGGTTGGTCTGACTCCCCTGTTCCCCGTCATGATCCTGCTGTCCCGCTCAGTAGCCCCCGGCCTTTCCTTTCTTACGCGCCCCTTCATGTTAGGATGTCGTTGATTGACAATGTAACTGCTGACTTCTTGGCGGTTCTGAAGCGGGGAAAGTATGAGATCTGCAAAAAGTATCTCCTTGATAGGCCTTTTTTTGAAGGAATACAAGAGAGAAGTTCGGACAAAGAAGACCAGGCGCCAGGCACTACTACGAGCAGCTGCTACGGATTTGATTAACGGAGAGGAGGAAGAAGAGCCAAAAGGGGACGCGGTGGCGATGGAAGGGCTACAGGAGATCACACACGAGAGAGCGATGGCAATGACGCGCTTGCTTCGCAGTGGCTGCGCAGGAAATGCTGGCCGTAAGAGTTGGAGGCCCTTTGCCGTATTACCGACGAAGAACGCAGAACAATTCTAGCGCCAGGGCTGAGATTAGAAAAATCATGCTGCAAGATGATGTCTGGACGTGGGAAGAAGAGCCCAAGGCGAGGACTATGAAAATGGACTCGCCTGCAGCCAAAATGGTAGCAACTAAGGTGAACGAGCTGAAAATGGTAAAGACGGCGCCACTTATGTTCCGGGGAATCTCCGTGGATGTGATCACTGCAATCGAAGACGAAAAAACAAGAGAGCAGCACGTCGAGGAGCCTCTTCAGGTTACCTTGCCTGGGGTAGACCTTGCTGAGGCTCCTCCGTTAGTTAAGGAGAAGGGGGCACGAGTAGCAGAGGGTTGAAAAATGTGGCACGCAATGAACACGCTGAGGAAAGAAGAAAGGCCAAGCCTTAAAGGTAGCGAAGTGAAAAGAAGCACAGAGTTAGCATAGAAACAGGGCGCGACTCTTGTTGCAGTTATGTGAAAAAACTGCATGTTTGAGACTTGGCGTGACCTCCTTGAGAAGGTCCATGCGACGAATGCGCGTCGCTTGCTTGACTCGTGTCACGAGTCTTGTTCTCCCTTCTCTGCTGGTTTTGTGGGTGTTCGTTGACGTGCTTTGCCCGTCGTGTCTGTTAAAAACAAGTACAGACAGCTCCTGAAGATGTGCCCGGATTAAACATATTGATGATCAAGAGGTCTCTTCGGCATACGCGGCATGTCACCACGTCTTTGATGTTTTTGATGTGAACCGTCTATGAACGATTGGATCCAGAAGTGCCTTAGGCTGGGGGTACATGCGCAAGTAGTGTGTATAGCCGGTCAGAGAGTGGGCACAAGATGTCATCTCCTCGTGCCACATCATCGTTCCCGCACGGAAAGTTATCAGGAATTGGCCTGGATGATTGTGGAGGCAGTGGGCACCTACATGAGTTTTGCTCTAGTAGAAGTAGCTCCCTGCACTTTCGCTTACCTCAAGGTTTGTCCAGAGCTGCCAGCGTCACAGAAACACTGTCAGACCACGTCTCTACGGTCACTATGAAAGGTGATAACAGGGGCATTAGCATGCATTTATAGATACATAGATAATGATTACCATCTTTGACAGTTCCTCTGGGAATGGAAATTTGAAAGGTTACTACAGCGGCGACTGCTCCTGTTGCAAAATTTCCGGGCTTTCCCTATTGCTGATGCTGATGAAAAGCACATCGTGCATCTGTTCTGACCGCGGTGCAGGCGCATGACTCTTGAATGAATATTCAGCGTGTATTGATGAAATGTGTCTGATCAAATACTAAAAACCAGGTAGTGAGGCTGTATGACTCCGTAGGCTGCATTCGTCAGAGAATAACGGGCCAAAACAGATTCCAAGAAGATACGACAGGAGACTACCAACTCCAACAACAAGTAGAGAATTTATATATGTTCCAGGGTTTAGGGGAGCAGCCCCCCACGAGCGCGGGGAAGGCGTGGATACCCGGACCCCTTTTGGAGGCGTCTGCCGGGGGTAGAAGGCTTCGAAAGGAGTCCACGGGGCCTTCTCCGCTTCCTTCCAGCTCCCCTACAGGCTTCCTACGTGCTGGCTCCTCGCCGCAGCAGCAGTGTGGAAGGCCTCCGGAGGCGGCAGAAGGCGCTAGACTGGACCCCCTGAGCCGTGTGGCCTGTACCCTCCTCGCCCTTGGTCATCGGCCTGCTCTTTCTTGCCGCGAGTTTGATTAGGGCAACCCAGCAAAAGGGGCCAGGCGTCGAGACCGTCGCCGCCTTCGGCGGCGTTCTACCCCGGAGACCTCCGACCCGCGAGGATCGGCAGAGGCCGGGACGTCAGTCGGGAACCTGCAGAGAGGCGCAAGGGGGCGCCCGCTCCCAGTTTTGACGCCTTCCACCTCGAGAATCCGCGAAAAGCAGCGCGGAAAACAGCGCGCAAGAGCCACCGCAGGGCCATCCACAGGAAAGGGCTGCGTGTCCCTGTATCGTGTATAAGTGTTGTCAGAATTTTTGTCTTGGTGTTGGTGCCGTTCTATGTATAATCGATCCTACACTATCTTCGATTCCTCCTCGTTTTTGCAAAAATGAAGCGTCGCTCATGTCGCCGTGCTCCTGGGTTGATGAACGACGGCGAGCGCACCAGAGTGTGGCGATGCGTGCTTTGGTCCTCGTGGTTCCTCTTATTTTCGACGATTTCTGATGCCAGCAACAGCATCTTCGATGCAACAACTCGGCGGCGCGTTGGGAAGCGCTCGGCAAGCGCGAGACAACGCGGAAAGTCAATCATGAAGTCAGTCGACAAACCTAATAGCGATCGATGGTTTATGCCTCTTCACAACACGGTGTCAGATTCGCTTGGAAAGAGCTCCAAAAATCGAGGAACTCTTAGGCTGAAAAGGCCTGTTCTTACCTGCGCTGCAGGCACCGCAGCCGCTTACTTATCAACATCGGGTCTCATTCCACCACCAATACCAGGGAGCATGTGCCGCCACCGTAGAGATCAATTAACAAGTGAGTTCTCCTATCCAGGCGGTGCTGGAGCTGCTAGTTCAAAACATCCACCAGCCTTTGCTGCTTCGCCATACACGGGGATATCCCTGCCGCTTAGACGAGTAATTTTGGGGAAGACGAAGACACGCCCTCCGACCACTCATGCTTTGCGAGAACCTTTGTCCCGTAGAAAGACTCTGATAGTCCGGTTGGCACGAGGTAGTGGAGGACAAGGAGAAGACGGAGACAAACGTGCGAACTCCTACGGCAGCAACCGCCGGCGTCAGACACCCCCACCCGGACTGACTGTTCTGAAGCATGTGCTATGGGAAATCCTGTCGCGACCTCGCAATTACGTTTTCCCGAATACGCCGCCGCAAGGCAGCTTGAGCTTATGGGCAGAAGAATCATCGGTAGAAGAACTCCTTTCTATTCCTCTCGTGGCGTTAAGTACGAGTAACTTTGGCACTCAGTGTTACTCAAAGATACTGCTGGTATAATGAAAACGGAATTCCAGATGCGTGAGGCCCATAGTGATATTTTTAGCGTTTGCACACGACAAGCAACAACTTGTCTAATGGTACTCGCAAGAGACGAAGCATTAGCAGATTCGCCGAACGCGATCGAGGACGACTTGAGTACCTCGATTTCTTCGGAGAATGCGAATGGCCAGGAAAACGATGAAGAGAGCAGGAAACCAGTGGCTAATAAAGCGAACTACGTCGCAACTGGTGGATCGTCGAATTCGAGTGGATCTACCACGCCTCCCGACGATGCTGCGTCTTTTGGCGAAGCCGATGAGAGCACGGCATCTCCTATGGATCCTGCATCCTCAGACCTCGAACAATGTCCTCCTGGTTTAGACGTAGACAAAGACTGTGCTCAAAATAAAAATGCTTCCTCAACAAGCTGTTCTATGTCGAATATCAAGCAGATTAGAGAGCTACGCTTCCCTGGATCGTCAGAGGCACAAGCTGATGAACCAAGCAGGTCAAGAAGAGATAAAAGTAGGAAGAGGAAAACAAATCGAGCTAACAGACAGCAGAAAGGTGGCATTCCAGAAGCGACACCAAGTCAACAACCGGAACACCCTCACAATCTGGGAGAAGATGCTTCTGTTGAGCCAGCAGAGCAAAAAGAAGATGCTGAACCATCGGAGACGTTGCACTTGCAGGAGACGTCTTTGTGTCCTCCGCCTTCTACTATAAATGGCGGATTTTTACCAACCTATCTTCGTGATATTTTTCAGAACGTTGGTGGTGACATCGTTTTAGACAGTTTGTTTGCCTATTGGCTAGCAGGCGCCGAGCCAGACTTGGAACTCGACGCCCTAGTAGACGAAATGGAAAAGCGTTATCCGACGGCGTGGGAGTACCTCGTGTCTTCAAACTTCGATCAGTGGATCCTCCGAGAGCACGATCGTGAAGTTCGGCATGCCAAGAAAATGGTTCTTCACTTTTTTAACCGTGTTTTATCTTACGTTTTCAGTTTTAATTTGTTTGATTGCGAGTTGAATAGCGATGTTTGAATTCGGATTCAGGCAGGAACAGTCGTGCTTTTCTCTGAAAGTACTCTATCAGGGCTTTATTGCTATTGCATTTGGTTCTCCTCTCTGCTTGGGACTGACATAGTATAATGGCCATTAGCTTCAGCACGCTAAGACTACATGCGTCTGCAAGACAACATTTTGAGATGGCACGAAAACGTCAAACAGGAGGATGACGAAATGCGTAGAGAAAGAGAGCTCGCTGAGGATCGTTTACGGACACAAAGCGGACGTGATTCCCTCGAACGTGCTTGGGTTTTAAATGCTGCACCGGTGCCTGAGTGGCTTCATATGGTGGAAGCCGAATCTCCGCAAGTAAAAGACGGTGGCGCGTCAAGCGGACTGGATGATATGGATCATGAGCTGCGTCGCTCTGCCGATAAAAGGAAGAATAGAACAGCGGACACAGATGTTGATGGCAGGGGAGATGCTGACACTTCTGATCATGATTAAAACAGTCTCAGTGTGGGCCATTCTGTCCACTAGTACAACAAGTCCAAGTACTTAAATTGTCTTCACCACTAAAACTAAAAATGTGATTGAGGTTACAACCATAATCATGATTTGATCTTGATGTGGTTGTATTGAACAATATTATTTCTACCTGTACCAGCTGCACCACCATGGTGGGAATGAAAGGATGAAATACAACGAACACGAAGTAGATCTGGAAAATGATCTACTCTCGCGTAGCACTTTTCTTTTGCAAAATTGTTAGTGTAGTAGAGTTTCTAGAAGAATTTTATATTCTCATGGGCATTCATGGGCTTCAATTTTTGCGTGTGCGTGCTGTTCTTTGTAGCGAATCATAGCTGGCAACACATAGTGTAATCATACATTCATTCATGAAATGTATACGCAAGAACCCAACGCTAGCACTAGCAGAAGTCGAAGAAATAGAATTATTATAATTGGATGAACTAAAAAATGCGGAATGAGAACACAACCGTTTTGAGAATTTTGGACTAGGGTTTACTTCCCTAGTCTCGAAGAAGTCAGGTTTGCGAATAAGAACTGGATCTTGATGACCTTCGGGTCACATTAGCCATGGATTGTATCCTACCTACATCTAAATTGAAGATGTGTCCTCGCTGGCCTTCATTGCACACATGCTGCCGTGCATTTACATCGCTGTTAATTTGATCTCAACAAGTTTCTTAAGAATAGATTAAGTTTAAGATTACTGGACCGACTCGGAAAATTTTACTAGGCACATTTTCGCCCAGAAGATGATGGTGATGATGATGACGATGATGATGATGGCTTATTTTTTGATGTTGAACAAATATGCGGACCTTTATCACAGAAGAACAAGAAGGACGCTGGTGAATGCGACACGCATGCCTTCAACTTCACCACTGTGGTTTTACAGCGCGTGCGATCCTTTGCCGTGTCTCTTCGGTTCCGGAAAAACTTACTAGAGAGAGTGTTAACCCCACCTGCACGAAGGCTTACAACTCTGGTGGACAGCTGGAATGCTTTAAGGTAAGTACGCGGGAATTCTACATCTGTTCCTGGTTAGCGTTAGTACAAGTAAGTAATTATTATTTTTAGCAGTTTTGCTGTGACAGAAGCCCGCCAAAGAATCGGTAATAGCAGACGCAGAAACCTCGGTGGAGCGGTAGTACTTGCACAAGAGACCTAACTTTACATCATGGAAATGAAGGCGTACTTAGTTGACGAGAAGATGGATAGGGAAAAATGAGCGTAATTTATCATATCTTGTTGTAAATATTATAGATGTTGAGAAAAATATATCACTCCGGTGGACGTGGAGTCACGACTGTTCTCACGGAAAGTCCCATTTCTTCACAACCGACTTCTTTGTACAACGACACAAAAAAGTTTCTCTTTGTATGTCTGCCACGAACCTGTGAGTTGTAGTTGACTCTCCTGATTCCTGTCTGGTTATGTGTGATTGTGATAGAGATAACCTATAGATATATGGTACACAATGGCAGTTCGTCAAGAAGATGATCAGGGTGACCTCGATGGCGCGGACAAGGTCTCCAACACTGTCTATGCACGCGTTCTGGGAAAGCTGAGGGAAAAATATACGCGTCTCTGCAGCAAGCCAGAGTGGTGGTTCGTGCAGGATGAAGTGATCGCTCTACTAGCAAAGCGACTGCACAAGAACTCTTACGCCTTCGTAGATGGTTTTCTCAGCGATGACGCCGCCCTAGGGCTGCGCGCGGAGTGCCAGAAAGCAGATGCGGCGGGTTGTCTGAAGTTATGCTTGTTGATTTCATCTGATCGTGGCATTACATCTTTGTTTTAGATAACTCCGCAAGAGTGGTCCTTCAACAGTGGTCCTCATGCTTCTAAGAACACCCGCAGGTCTCGTAAACGGAAGGATTGAATCCAAGACGACGGGCGAAAGCAATGAAGGAATAAATCAAGCTCGAGATAAAGAAAACCAGGAAAAATACGTTGAAACGTCGACGCGCGGTGATCGCGTCGCCTGGTTCGATACCTGGTCGTACGGCCAAGGTCTCGACGACGTCGGCGTCAAAATCGGAACACTACTCGAAGAACTGAAGACATACTCGAAAGCCTCGTCGACTCTTCTTCCGCAAGATGCCAAGGCTGGATCCGCGAGAAGGAAGACTGAAATCAAGCCTAACGACACTACACATACACAAGAGCTTCTACCCGATTTACATCGGATAGATTGCCGCTCACATCATATGGTGGCCTGTTATCCAGGAGGCGGGGCACGGTACACAAAACATTACGATAACGATGGGCGACATCCGCAGCTGTCAAAGCGAGTCCTCACGACGCTCGTTTATCTTAACAAAACGTGGAACGGCGGAGAGCTCTGTGTTTTTTACGGTCTGGATTTCTGCTCATTTTTTTGGATCCTAGAAGATCTACAAGTGTGCCATCTCTAAATTCCTGATCGCGTACCGAACGAGGACAGGCTCCGCGCCAAAGTGGCGCCACGTCTCGGTCGGCTCTTGCTTTTCTTCAGTGACACAAGAATCCCACACGAGGTATTGCCTTCCCAGACACTCCGCTACTCAGTCACTGCCTGGTACCTCGACGCCAAGAAAGCTTATGAATGGAGGATATGACTTAATCTTTTTGTTTACTTTCCTCTGTCAAGTGCATGTCAAAAGTTCATCAGCTTGCCCTTGCAGGTATGCTGGTTGATCGAAGCCATACTTTTCTAAGGACCTCCTGCCTCTGAGCCAAGCCAGGCCGCTGACAAAGAGAAAAGTCAAGCGGTTCTTGTTGAGGATGCGGCAACAAACACAGGGAGTGAATCCCAAAGGGAAGTTGAGAGCGTCGCGACGAACGACGAATGCGACGTCGGTCTCGGTCTCGGTCGTGCACACCCGGACACAAAGTGCCCCGAAACCCCTGAAACTGGTGCTGATCATGTCGGAGGGCAGGAAAAGCAAGACGACGAGGACATCCCTTCTTTCGAGTATGAATGGGTGAGTAAGGACAAACTAGAGATAACGAAGCTGGAAGCTTGTCCGGTCATTGAATTCGATGGATCCGTGATCCGTGTATCAGATGACAGCCACAAGATATTGGGCACTATCCCAGTGAGCGATGCGATTGGAAATACATGCTCGTCTGGCGAGGAAAGCTACCAATGCAAATGGTCTGGCAGAAAACACCGCTTGCAGATACTGTTCAATAGTTCGTCTGCTACATAAATTTTCAACCCAGGCAGGCTGTCGACGTGGTCGTGCATACGCGGTCACCTATGCTTATTTTCTTTTAAGTGATCTTAGTCTTGATAATGATGTGTTCGACCACCAGCACCACCCCATATCAGAAAACCGAGACTCATGGTCATGCCAGATGAAATGGATCACCTCGGATCACGTCGTTGGCGCTTTTTCTAGTAATAGTGCAAGTGCAACTACGTCTGACTCTGATATTATAAGTACATAGTTACTTACTGGTAAAAGTCTACACCAGACACCAGAGTGCAACAGAAATTGAGCACACTTCCGCAACACTTTTCAAGTCCTCCGTCTTTACACCGCTCGGGTCTATCTGTAGATCCAGAACGTTCCGATCGAAGGTGACGAGCGTGAGAGTGAGAGAATATGAATGAGTGGATATTAGAGGATTTATCTTGAGAGACTTGGGGGGCATCTGGTTGTTCTAGTGGGACGAAGGTACCATCATGGAGAAAGAGTGCTAGTTGAGTGAAGAGTACTGACTTGGTTCTGAATATCCAAGCCAAATAGTTTCTATCAACCTCCACTTTTTGCTTGTTGTGTTCAATAAATATGCTAGAGCTAGTATGTAAAGTGGGGCCTATTTCCGTGTTGTGAATCCCTGAGTTTTGCCGTTTTGTTCATGGATTTCGACTTGCCTCTGTCTCAGTGTGTCCAACTTCTTTTCCAAGTTGCTAGGCTCGTCATTCTCATGCCCTCACCGCGTCATTGTTGTACTCGTGCCTGCTCCACGAAAAGTGCGTGTAGCTTGCCGTAGTCGGTCTTCATCCGAAAGCTAATTTCATACGAATCTCGCAGTCCACTTCCTGAGGACACCATTGTGCGGTTTGAGTCGGGATGTTCAGCGAGGGTTTCTGGTGCCGTGCCTCAACGGAGTGTCGCAATGCTACTTCGAGCGGCCTGAACGAAATTAGTTGTACTAAGTCAGATAATGGTGCAAAGCAAGTAGGAGCATGCGCATACAGCTCAAGAGCGGTTGGTCGGCGACATGATGAACGATCTGCGCATGATCTTCAATGTGACGCGCAGTCTGTGCCTGCGCGGGAGAAGCAAAACGTGAATCAGATTTTACCACGCAAAAGACCACAAAGTAGACAAAACGGCTCTGTCCATTGTAATCGTGTTGATGCAATTCGTGGAAGCGGAGATCAACCGCAAGAGATCTTGTCGCATCACGAGTCGAACAGCAAAATAAACAGGCGACGCGGCAGTCCCTGTCTTCGAAGCGACGACGTAGTCAACGGGCTCAGAATACACGAAGGCAGGTGCACGGAAAGTCAAGCGTCACCATCAATGGATACAGAATGTAAGTGTAGAAGTATCAGGTGGACCAGTTCCTTACGGAGACGGCACGACAGACAACTACATGATGATCTTCCAGCGATCTGCACCACGCCGTCACCATCCTGCAGCAGTGGCTATCTGACTGAAAAGTCACGCCGTATCTACTCTTGTGCGGGAGCGACGACAAGGGGAGGGACTAAATCTTTTTGTGCATCGCTGAATTCGGACAAAGCTCGGGTTCGGAATAACGATCTAGGCACATCTTCATCACAATCCAGTCGCCGCACGCGTAGTGGGCATTCTTCATACGTCGCAGAAGAATACACTGGCTACCATTCACACGAGGAAACACCTGGTTTGCCTCAGAGATCACTACGCTTTCCGATTCACTCTTTCTTCAAGCGTATGACCTTTGAACTACGCCTAAATAATCATGAAAATACTGCAACGGCAGCCGGAGGTACATGCGGCGAAATGATAGTCGTGAAAAATCATCTGAACAGGAGAAGAAGTGACCAAATCCACGAAAGGCGGAATCGCCAAAGCAGAGGGGAGACCACGAGGTATCGCAACAGCACTAGCCGAAGCTTCGCTTTCGCTGGTGGTTCCGCGAAGCGGGGTTTTAGGACAGATGCTAGTGGTGCTAAGAGAGCGTCCAGACATAATGGTGGAAAAAATGCGGGGAAAAAACCTGACATAACGCGCCGCCGGATAAGAACAAATGCAGATAGCCAGCAGCTACTGGACATTTATTCAATTATAGCAGAGCCTTCATTAGCATCCGCCTACTTTCTGCGCGACTGCGTCTCATTCTTCTCATGTTTCTGGAAAAGAACGAACGCCAAAAGGATAAAGCCACGACGCAATATCCTTCTGAGCATCATCCACCTTGTGGCGTGTTTCAAAATTCTTGCGTTGCACATGCTGTTAGGTGGGGCTTGGCACTCGATCCCAGGGAGCAACGAAAGCAATATCTTCTACACGTTTCAGGAATTCTACACTGATGCACAATTTATGATGTGAATATGATCGTGCTCCAGGTCCAGCCCCTGTTGTTGCGCTTGAGTCAATTGCTATATTTATGCGTAGAAGAGATCGCGAACCTTCTACTAACTTTGAAACTGTCGCTTAGCTAGAACACCAGGCTTGTACTTTTTTTAGTGTCGCGTAGCTGGTAGGACAGTTTGCAAAGTACAGCGAGATCTTCCTTCTTCATACGTAACGGACCAGATTTCGGGTACTATAGCAAAGGTCGCATTCTCCAAGGCGAGTTTTTCAACTCCTACACCACTTTTCCTATGGGTCTGAGCCCGTGGTTTGGGAACCTGATTGCAGACCGACTCTACGCGACATGGCTAGCTATGCAAAAGCCGGACCGCTTTAACATCTTCGAGTTTGGTGGAGGTACTCATGGGATAACATGTTCATCCATTTACTAGACCTCATCTAGGTCTAGCTCTTGCTATGCACCATTCCCCACACACGCGACCACGACTGGCTCCTGTCGTCAGGTACCGGAGTCCTAGCGCGCGATATTCTGCTACGTATCGTCGACAAGTATCCAATGATGATTCCACATGCGCGATACACTTTGGGAGAGCGCGCAGCGGGTCTTCGCCGACAACAGAAAAAGACGGTCGCGAACGCAAACATCAGCGAAAGCAGTACCATGTTCCGCGTTGCTGAGGCCGATGCGCGAGAGGCGAGTCGCCTGAAAAAGCCTGGTGATTCTTTTGTTGGAGCGGTGATTTCAAACGAGCTTCTTGACGAATTTGATCCCGTGAAACTAAAGCTAGTATGGCAAACCGGCAATCCGCCAAATCCAAGCGAAGTCAGAAGCTGCCGTAGCTGGCGCGAAGTCTACGTATTCCGTTTATGTTTCCACCTTTCGTTTTCATCGCTTGATCGATACAATGCTGTTTCTACTTCATCTGGCGGTCCAGTTATAGATGAACATGACCAATATCATCATGTATTTCCAACTCCATGACCTTTGCATTTTTCTAGTACAAGAACTACGTCAGGTAATGCATCGCGTAGAAAGAAGCTTGTTGCTGAATAGCAACTGGCAAAGGGAAGCGTCAGCCATTGTCTGTGCTTATCTAGATGATCCATGGATTGCGCGCTTGATCGGCATGAAATTCCAGCACGAGCGGCGATGCTATCCTTATGCAGTATGCTGCGTTCCGATGCTTCTGGCGCTGAACAAAATGCTGCACTACGACCACCTTTTCTTATGGCCGAACGAGGGAGATTTTGTATGTGTTACTTTCAATTGCAGCACACTAATTCGCGTTTTGCGTATCCAGGTAGAGGTGCTTTCCCTTTCGTCTTCACGCATCAAACGCCACCACTTAGCATCGAAAGCTTGATCTTCTTATGTAGTGGACCCTAATCCATCTCGAGCGGCTGGAGTACCGAAACTTCGATTTCTTTTTGGAAGAATACGAGCGACAGGTAGCCGACAGCCGGGCTCTCGTGACAAAGGAACAGTACCGCATGATTCGAAGGGCGCATTTGAATGACTATCAAATGGAAGAGGATTTACTCACAGGCAACAAAATCGCGACCGATCAGGTACTCAGGCCAGAGCATTGTTGGGAGTCGTTCTTTGTATCTTGTAGCCTTCTCGTGTTAATCCGCACCCGGCTATCACTACTAACCAATGCAGCAATCTAGCGTGATCAAGAAAGGAAACACTGTCGACGCTGAGGATGACACTATGTATACGAAGAGACTTCGGTGCTGTTATTCCTTTATCTCTTGCTCTCTTTCGTTCCCAAAATATAACATCAGGTGGCCATGTTGTTAACGGAAGAACGATGTACAGAGTTGACAGCTTTTTTCGCCCGACATGCTTTGCGGTTCTCACGGGCTGCGGAACGGCGTGACGCCATAGACAGAACCGCGCCCCTTAGTGAAATATCCACGTCGAGCTTTCTCAAGTGGGTTGTGCGACCTGGTGAAGAAGAGTTTGCGCGAGAAACAAGTCTCTTGCTGTTATGGCTTTTCTTGATGTGAACGTGAACGTGAAGATTCTGATTGAATCTTAAAAACTAACAGTAGTTCTTATGTTTTTATTCTCATTTTTAGCGAGATACTAACAAAAATACGAATAATTCACTCACCTCAGTCAAGGCTCTAAACCGTGACCGAGGTATTAGCATCTCAATCGACTATGGGGCTGACTTCGAGGCACTTGCCTGGCTGCAAATTGTGAAACCCAATTACGAAGGCATTCACATTATGGACGCGAGACATGGGAATCTCTGCACTAACAAAGGTATTCTTTATATATACGTTTTGGTCGGCTAAGGCTCGTCATTCTGGTGCGCACGTCGCCTTAGATCATCAAGATCATCGTCTCTCCTCGCATGATTCTTGTACTTGTGTGAAAACTAAAGTGAAGTGAAAGCCTTCGCAATCTTCATGCATCCATAAGAAGCATGTTCCTCGTTTTCCTGGTGAAGCAAGTATCATGTTTCTTATTAAAACAGGTGAACTTCAATGCCCAGGAATGCATGATATCACAACAAATGTGGATTTTACGAATTTTGCCGAATCCGCAAGGGATTTCAAGGTTATCTCATACGCGCCAATGGCTGAGATGGAGCGAAGCTTCGGGTACTACTTCAGCTTCTACTAGAAGCTACCACTGGTAGAAGATTAAGATAGATGATCCTTGTTTTGTCAGTGTAAATATGCGTAGTTGTTCTATGATGAACAAAGAATCAATAGGATGGTTGTGCTCGTTTGTATTTTAAGTACACCCGGAGGGGTATTTCTTCTTGTGCGCTTCATGGTAGGCATCTGACTATTGAATCTTAGATTCGGCGCGAGACAGCAGTCGCTCTTCCCACATGTGATAGAGCAGGCGGGGGGCATTCGTTCGGCTGGTATATGGGGTTGGTATAGTACCAAAAACACGGAGCCGTGGGCGAGTTTCAATTATGGAGAGAGGCTTTCTTCATTGATACAAGAAATACAACATAAAGATGAATGCACACGGCGAGCAGCATACCCGTGTGTATGATTTTCTATCTTTTCCTTCTAGTTCTAGATGGAACTGAATTAACATGATGTTGTTGAGGATAAAAGTAGCCCAACCTTATAAATGTATGTTCTAATATGTACTACTCGTAATGCAGAAAGGTGAACTGGCATTGAATCCATTCCACGGGATGGCGCAGTTCCCGCTCCTTCGAGCTCGAGATGAGGTTGATCATTGCATGGAAGACACGCTTCTTCCTTCTCTAGCAGGCGCCCTATTGCGAGAAAGCAAGCTGCGGCTAAACTCCGTGGAGCCTTGGGCAACTGCTCACGTTCTTGCAAGACTCAACCCGGATCTGGTTTACGACCAAGAACTGGTAATGAACTTTTAGTTTCTTGCGTTTAGCTCTGACTCTTTCTAACTCGTCTCGGAATAAACATAGATGAGATAACATAGAGGAGAGAACGCATATCAATATCTTTACATCATTTTACTCGTGCTCTATAAGTGGTGTAACACCAATTCGAAATTTACAGGACCGCCAGCGAGCCGTTATGAACGAGTATCATTTAAGCATTCTTCTGCTGGATTATGCGGCGCATCTATCGGAGGGATCTTGCCCGATAAGATGGGACGAAGAACAAATGCGTGAGATCGCAGACGCAAGACTGCTTCGGCAAGTGCTATCTGCTTAATTCTCACATTCATTGATGAACTCTTTTGATCCTTGCCATTCAAAATCTTCCTTCTACTTCTTAATATTCACGGATATCGTTCATGCCTCGAGATTTCGTATTTCATGTTGCTTCTCAAAAATTGAATTCACCTTCATCGTATCACGCGATTGAATTCATCCTTCCCATCTAATCCTAACAAGGTATTCGGTGAAGCGGCTCTGGAACGTGCACTGCGATACTACGTACAAGTAAATAACATGACGGTAGTAAAGCCATCTTACGGGGCCAAATTTTCTCCGGTGGGTTGTATGTTGCGGAAAGGTCTTCTGAGTTACTGCGGTCGTTCTGAAGTGCTCGACGAGGGTTACAAAGATGACCTTGAAGTCGACACACGGGAATTGGAGTAACTGTGTAGCCTCGGGAGAACAGCACAGGCTTGGGCTCCATAAAACAGCACGAGGATCGACGATTCGGCTGACTCCTCCGCAAACAAATTTCGTCTCGAGAATATAGAACGTGTATGAAAGTAGAACATCAGAGCATTCAGAGGGCGCAACATGCTTGGTGGATATCATGAGCCTGTATACGTATAGTATAAGGTAGAGCGCTTTTAGCACTACAACAACATTAAGCGAGCACGAGCAGACCTACTTTTCGAAATTCTGTTCTTCTTATCCCAAAATTTTTGATGGGACAAAAAAAGCTGCTGAGTCATCTTAGACATGGTTTGAGTTTATTCCCTTTAACGTCTACCTGTCGCACTCGCATCCTGAGCAGTATGAGCACCACTGATAGACAAAAAGTAAGTAAGTAAGTAAGCAAGTAGAACGATGTGCCATGGTGAGGACCGTGTCTGTTGTTACAGAAGAGGACGTACACTTGAGACTTCCGCGCTTGATCGGCTGACGTCAGTTCTTGTGGTATTTTTAACATCCTAACATTGAGAACCAGAAGAGCTTCTGGATGGTCGTGAGCCAAAAATTTGTCGTCGCTTATGGTATTGCGTGAGGGCGCCAATCTGCTTTGTGAGCGGCTTGGCTGAAGCCTTTGCATGGTGCTCTTCTTTCACCTGACTGACTCGGATTTGTGGGCTGATAATTGAACAAGAAAAGTGATCCTGTCTCATACATGATGAATGAGAACCACTTCACACTGTTGGAATCCATCAAGTATGCTCTGATCAATGCACAACGAACAAGACATCAATGAACGAGGCACGTTGAGGATCCATAATTTTGAGTGATAATCACCTGCACAGTGGCACGTCGTGTGTTCTTCATGTGTGCGTCGAGTTTGAGGTTCAGGAAAGACAACAACAAGATCAACCATTTTCGGATTCGACAAGGTGATACTCTTCCTTTTTCCGTTGCCACGACCAGTCTTCTTCATGTCCCTTCGATTTTTATTGAGTCTCTTATCACGACCCAAGAAAAATTACCTCCCTAAGGCCAGCTAAGGAAACCCCGTAGATGAAAACAGATAATTGACCGACAAAATGTCTGCTGAAAGTTCTGTGGTTCTATGTTGCGAACACATATCAAGATGAACACGAAGATTCTCGGAATGAGGCGGTGAACCATAAGCATAATCTTTGTTTTCAGATATCGGTGGCCGCGTGAGTGAATGAAGATATCGTTTACAGAAAAGCACTGATATCATTCAAAGATTCTTGATGAATTGAATCTATTCGGCGAGCTGCCTAAGATTTCCCAGACGAGTTCTACCTGCTAGTCTAGCTTGTTGCTGGATTGTTAGTCTTAGTGGTCTGTCGATTGTTCCTGTTGTTCCTGATGGTGAACGAAGAGGCTCAGGCTTCTGCCTTGCTACTTGTGCCCAGAGGTTCCTGCTTTCTGCGTTACTTAGCTGCACCCCTCTCGCCCTGGGGTCAGCCTCCAGCTGCCTCTTGTAGGTTGCGCGCGGTGCTCCCCTGCCTCTCCTGTAGCCCTGCACCCGCTCCCCTTCTGCTGCTAAAGCGATCCGCGCCCATCTTGTCGCTGGGTATCGCACTAGGTGCCTGATGTATCTGAGTCGCCTCTGCTCGACTATGCTGCTGAGCTGTTCCTGCCCAGTCCTCTCCAGCAGGTCCGCCGTGCGGATGTGGTCGGCTTTCGTGGCTCCAATGCAAGAGCGTAGCTTCTTGTGCCGCCATGTGTCGAGCGCTGCCCTCGTCTTGTTTGTTAGTGTCCAGGCCTCGGATCCCCAGAGCGCTACCGGCAACACGAACACCCTCAAGATGCGTATCTTTAGCTCCCCGCTAATGTTCTTGCGCGCGAAGACCCTGGAGAGCTCCCCGCTTTTCTTCTGGACCCGTTCTATCCTGCTGAGGCCATCCGCTTCGTCGTCTCCGTCTTGGGTTAGTGTGCTGCTGCTGCCTAGGTAGGTGAAAGCGCGCACCCGCTCGACCTTGCCCTGCACCAGGGTGAGCCTGCCGGCTTCCGAGGCCCCCTCCGCCTGACCGCTGCGGTCGAACTCTACACACTTCGTCTTTGCGAGGTTGACCGTCAGGCCGTGCTCTAACATCGTGTCCACCAGCCTTTGCGTGGCTCCCCTTAGGCTCTCCTCGTCTTCTGCTAGCGGCGCGATGTCGTCAGCGTGTAGCAGATGGTCTAGTCGGACTACTCCTACTGCGGTACCCTCGTCCTTTTCTAGTAGTTTTGTTCTGTGCATCTTGGCTCCTTCTCCTAGATCAGTCCGCTCTAGGGCGTAGTTTATCCACATGCTGAAGATGAGGGGCGACAAGAGGCAGCCCTGCTTAGTGCCGGCGGTCGTGCTCCTTGAGTCACTGACAGCTGCCTCCCTGCGTACTGCGAAGGCGTGTCCCCTGTACAAAGCCCGGAAGTTCCTCCGTAGCTGCTGTGGTATGTGGTATGCCTCGAAGGCCCTGGCCACCAGTTTGCGTGGCACCGTGTCGAGCGCCTGCGTCAGGTCCACAAAGCAGACAGATGCGGCGCGCCCCACTGCTGCCCTTGCCTGGATCGCTAGCTTTAGCGCCAGGCGGGTGTTACCTACCGCTCTCCTGTAGGGCCGACGTCCTGCCTGCGCCTCAGAGAGTATTCTGCCTATTGGGCCAACAAGCCTGACTGAGGTATAGCGCAGATGCGAAGATCTTTGCGAAGAAATTAAAAGACTCTTACCCATGCCGAAAAGATTCAAGCCATCTTAGCGATACAACGGAATTCGACGGCAGAGGAGCGCCTCGCTATCAGTGTCCCAGCGCCAGTTGTTTACCAGTTCTAGTAGTTGTTGGACGACTTGGGCCCTCTTATCACGGGTTCTTGCGTCCGTGGTCCAAAGTCAAGACATTAGAGTATCAGGAGTAGCTTCTTGATGCTGCAGCTTGACGCTATCTTCTCTGTAAAAAGTAGCAGTACCTTTCCTGTAAGGCGACCGCGAACATCAGTCAACAGTAAGTCCAAGTTTTGTGGTGCGCCGCCGCGATGAAGAACGACAGTTTAGCGCTCGAAAAGCAGCAAGAAAACGCCTCTCTGACCGCCACTACACCAGTTCCCACGACGTTGCTCTTAAGACTATTATTCCACCTACTTATTCTTACTAGGCTCAGTTGTTCTTATCTCAGCAATTTTCTATGTATGCGTCCCACTGAAAAGGAGAGGTGGACAGTCAGCATTGGGGCATTGGGAGGTACTCGTGATGCTACTTCAGGACGACGGTAGTTCTAACTCTTTGTTGAATATGGAAATAGGTAGAAGTTTTAATGTTAATTGTCTTGTTCGTCCTGAAAGAATAAGCTAAGGGCAGAGAACAAGTACTACATCTCGTACCCGTCTAATAATCGAAGAAGCAGAGGATCGTGGGGCAGCGCACACACAAATAATGGGAACGAAGAAAATAGAGGAAGTCGGCGAGCCATCTTCTACAGTGGTCGACCGCGAGAATGATGTTTGCAGTCAGCAGCAGGGTGACGATGTCGAAGACGACTTAGTTGAAGTAGATGCTGAAGATGATCAGCTGCATCAGTTTCCGCGACACCCAGATTTAGAAACAAATCACGCAATAGTGGAAGTCGCAGAAGGCCTCTTCATCACCGACGCCGAGGGCATACGCGACCAAAGTGCAGTCTTGCATTTGCGCCCAAGGGGGATTGTTAGTGTCTTATGCTGAGCAATAATAAAGACGTGAAGAAATAACATTTTGAACATCTTCATCTTCAGCTTCATAAAAATCCAAGTAAGAAAGACACGAAACAATGAATGACGAACGCAAAACAGAGTACACTGAGTTGCAACCGACGACGTCATCCCTTCATATTCATGTGTCATCGTCATGATAAATTTCCCATTGTAGGACTAAAAGACTCATCTGCTGATCCTTTTCGAACAGAAGGTTGAAATGTTGCAGATAAATGAAATTTGCTTTTCTCGTTCATACTTCGGGCAAGAATTCCAGACGTGGCCGGAGCTTCACAAGACGGTGCTCCACGAAGCGGGACAAACCACATTATACCACAACGTGCACAAACTGCTTGACCTTGGAGAAGAATTTGTAGCGGACGACGACTGCAAAGAGCCACCAGATACACCCCAGGACGAAATAGATATACTACGACTATAATTTTCGCTTGAACATCAACAAACAAGCGATAAAGATTTTATAGACGAACACAGTGCTGGCACAAATCAACCAACAAACACTGCGAAAAATCTAACAATTATAGCTGTGGCTTTGCACGTTTTTCTTTTTACTTACGATTTCTTAACAGGTGAAGAGTCTGGAGAGTCTAGACGAGGGCGTGCAATTTCTGGCGGGCTGCATCGGAGACTGCTCAGCATGCAACCACTTAAGATCCTTTTGCGTACTTACAGTTATACCTAGCCTTGATCATATGATCCCCCTTCTTTCATCACATTTGTTTTTGTTTGGTGGTCTCTACAGTCTACTCACAATGATAACGTACTTGACTCAGCTGCGTGTTGAAAAAGCTCATTCTAGGCACAGGGGCGGAGCTCAGATGTGAGCCCATGAATGTCTATCGTGTTGATCTTCTTGTGAAAATCAATTTACGGACTGGCTATAACATCATTCTACAACACGTACCAGGTAATTTTTTGTGGCACTGGGCTAAACAAAGCCGCGGTATTGGTAATAGCATTTCTAATGAAATACCGGTCATGCAGCCTTGCGGATGCCTTCGATACTGTGTGGAAGTACTTAATTTTCCTAGCAGCTAGGCAGAATCCGTTAGTGCAAGTAGCCTTCATCCATGCTTGAAAAAGTTTATTGTTCAATTATATTTCGTGGCGAATCAAAACGAAGAAGATTCGTTATATTTCGTCTTGTTCGTGTTGTATCTTGTTCTTGATTTAGTAGCACTGCGAATTCTTCATCTTTTAAAAACATCCTTTTCTTCAAAACTTGACCACAGGCTCCGATGTGGTACATGGATAGCGCCTCATTTGATGAAGCTACTGGTCACCTTCGAGGCAGCCTTATTCCGTAACGTGGTGCGTAGTCTTCAACGTAGCCAGGAGAACAACGGCCACCCAGAGCCCGTTTATGACTACATTTTCAAGAACTACTTAAACCATGTTAATCTTCTGGAAACTCTAAATAGGTTATACCCCAACTCCTGTCCTAGGACGATACCATTTTTACCAGTCGTGTTACAATTTTTATATATCAGAATTTCTTGGTGTTTAACTTTAATCCTCTGTATCAATGTCAATCATAGCACGCATTGAGCTTTTCAAAGATTCGCTCAACATTTATTCTAATGGATGTATCAGTCGACGCTGTCGCTGACGAAATATGTACAGCTCTGCAGAAGCTACAAAGACATCGTGGACCCAATCTTTGAGAGAGAAAAACAACTCCGCAACGCATTTCTTGCTGAGGCTGAACAGCGCGCCTGTCCTCGGAGTTAAGGCCATAGTCGCAGTCATTGTTCTGAAGCTTGCCATAGTAGAGATAGTCATAGTTAGTAGACGCGATATTATGCTAAGTTTTTGGGTCACTCAGGGGAAAGCTATACTTTTTCTGTAGGATGTTGGATTTAGAAGAAATTGAAGCAACGGTAAATACCATCCAATAAATGGATGGATATTAAATAGGCGAAAGAGCGATGGCATTTTCAAGGACTGAGGAGATTGAAACGACAACGAATGGAATCCTGGCATTCCAAATAAGTAGACTGCACGTCAGCAGCATCACTACGCTCAACAACATCACGATCATCGTTGGAAAATTCTAACCCAAAGACGGTGTGGATGCTTGACGAGCGTCGACCTGATCCAGATTTGATTTAGGGGACAGCCTGCGTCGGAGTAGAAAGAAAGGAAATATCACTTCGAAGAGTCATTGTCTTAGAAGATAGAGAGACTTAGAGACACTCTCGCGAGGACACGCAACGACGACGTTTCAGAGGAGTAGAGCAAGAAGGTGCCACAGCTTGTGCGATTGGAAAAAATGTTTTCATTACTGGCTTGTGTACGCCTAGACCTAGTATTTATATAAACGGCACAAGCGATTAGTAATCGGTAATCTAAGGAAACAAGTAGATGTCAACTATGATGGTGTTAGTCAAGCGAGAAACTGGGAACGAACGAATGAGTGAAAAAGTGTAGGAGAATCAAATATTTAGAGAAAAGGAAGGGAGGAGTCAAAAGAGGAGAAAAAAGATGGCAAAACCAGAGCCAGAAGGACCTGCAAAGAAGCCACCAAACCCGAAATACAATCTACACAATGTAACGCACTCAGACCGGAAGGGGAGGGATAGGGAAGCCATTCGCCTCCCCCAGCAGGGCCTTGAGCGTCTCTGGACCTAAGCCTTCGCAATTCATATGCAAAGACCAATCGAGTTGCGGCCGGGCCGTGCGAGACTAAGTACGAAACTTGTATCAATCTAAGTGAGGCAATGTTATGATAGAAGAGGAATGCGAAGGGCCCCAGATGAAGAAGTCATGGACTACCTGAATCAAAAACAATTAGAGCTGACGCATGCCACTCAGCCACCACTCCTGGGCAGATGATAGGACACTCAGAGAAAGCGAGAACGAGGGAAGGCAGAATACAGAGCCATCAGGCAGAGAGACAGAAAGACGATGATCCTAGGCGCTCAAAAGGGTCAAAACCCTCAGGGAACAGAGAGAAGAGGAGACAGGTAGGAAGGTCAATAAAGATACTTTTTATCTGCACCCACCTAATTGCAGTTTGTTACAGTATGCGTAGTTTGACTTGTACAAGGAAGCTGCAGAGGGTGGCAAAATAACTGTAAGCGCTATTCCTGCGCATGCATATACCCCTGCAATGATGCACACGTACTAAATAGTCAGCTGTATTGGATCTCCACCATTGATATATGAGCATAAAGATAAGAAACTGCTGCTCCTCGATGGAAGAGTATGTTGTTCATAGTTCTGATTCTGCCGCGTCTAATTATATCTCACCAATATATATAGATACATATATGACTCAGGGCCGGACGGGCCTCCCCTTGGGCCTCTCAGCGTATTCCTTAGGGACCTCCTGGCCTCTGCTGACCCTCGCAGGCGGAAGGTCTCCGGGGTAAAAGGCCGCCGAAGGCGGCCACGGTCGCAAGAGCAAGCAAGCCGACGACCAACGGGCCCGGAGGGTACAGGCGGCGCGGCTGCGGCGGCGAAGGCTAACGGATGCTCTTAGGGCGCAAGCTGGCACCTGGACGGAGGCGCAGGCGGTCCCTTGGGCCCCTTTTGAAGCCTCCCACCACCATCGGAGGCCCCTCGGGAACAGCCAGGCAGCTAGAAGGGAGCGGAGGGGGGAGGTCACTGGGCCCCCTTTTTCGGCCCTGAATGGCATTGCTTAACGGCGGACGGGGATCTCAGCAAATCTGAGCACATTAGTTTCTTCTACTACTACTGCGTGGTTCGTAGTTGTACTTGTAATTATCAAGAAGACGATCATCCTCAAACGAGGATGAGGATGAAGCCGATGCTTCTGTGATGTGTAATACAACATTTCAGTTTCATCCTTTCTCCTGATTTGTGTTGCATTCTTGTTCGTACTTTCTACCTCATCGACGACCGTCGAGACCGATACATGCATACCGGAAAAAGAAAATGCTGGAAATACAATGTTGACGTGGGTGATATTATACAACCGTGTGGATACCTCTTCGCCGTTCATTGTCGAGTGAAAGAATTCCTAGGAGCGAGGTCGTAACTTTTCTGTGATGAAGGCAAGTTATATTTCTTGGGCTTCTGGAGGATGTCTGTCGAATAAATGCTAATCTAGATGGATCATATTGGGATAAACCGCGTTGTCTCGATGGACCTCATCTACTGCTTACAAACGCACGCACGCGAACTAACTCCAGAAGTAGTGGCGTATTTACATGAAGCATCACTAGCACCTAGTCTGATGTGGCATTCTACTTCTGGTTTCCATATTTTACAAGCATCATCGAACATACTTCCAGATCCACTAGTGCGACTATTTCGCGTGGCCACCCACATCTCGGTGTCAGCATCAAGTATTATAGCATCAAGAATAACAACAAGATGGTACACATGATGATGCGCGACGCCACTGTATTAGCAGTTGGCGCCAACACTAAACCATAGACGCTTAAGAGTTGTTTTTTTGCTTCGTTCCACTCGAAGTAGTTTCGTTGTAAGCCCTCCGTCGTCGTGAGTTGTATGAAGTTGTTTTATTCTGAAATGTCTTCCAAAGTGTGCTCCACCGCTTTAACACGTGGCGCTCAGCGTCCACTTCTAACAAAGTACTAGGTGCTTGAACTTGTAGCATAGGACTGCAAGAATACTCTATCTAAAACTGGCATGGCCATGATGTGCTCTGCGCACAGGATAGACACCACACGACGCACATAGATTTTTTGCATAGTCCTTGTAGATATCCATCCTCGAAATTTTTGCCATGTACCTGAGTGCAAGGCATCAATTTCTGATATTTACGTGAGCACTGGCGTAGTCATACATATCTTTACTCAATATTTTCGTTTGCTTCCAAGCGAGAAGGTAGCTAGTATGGGGAGGTGAAACAGGATGAGCCAAGACCTACGCAGACAACTTCGTCAGCTATAGCTATTAACTTTAGCTGCCATCTCACATATTATATATAGTGCAGCACAATGCCTTTGGCTTTGCCTTCATCCTCTGTTCAAGTTTCAACTTCATGCAGTGACGCCTTTTTAGTTTTAATAGAGAGGATCTCAGTGTTAGTCTTAGTATTCTAATTCGATCTGACTTAGTGCGCAGCCACTGCAACAGCGCCGAAAGCTGGCTGGCAGACTTGACTGGGGAAGACTGAGACACACAGACGCCAAATTGTCTATGACCGAAATGCTTCTCGGGGGGATTCGAGTCCAACATATTTTTTTTGGTGTTCCAAGCAAGTATCTTAGCTCTACTGCTAGAAAGTGATCGCGTGCAATCGTTGTTGCTCACCTCTATTTTTTTGGATATCGTCAGTCATTCAGCCTACGTCTGAGTAAGTCAAAAGTAGTTCAGTTTGGTGTCGAGCTTCTAGCGCTCAGTAGGAGAGCAGAGACTTTCAGCGCACTTCCGTACTAACCCCCCCCTCGCACGTTACTACGGACTTGAATTGGCGCACTGTTCGAGAAGTAGCTGGATAAAGGTAAGAAAGCTGTGCTTTTACAACGAGGGCGATGAATGAAGGCCGTAAAGCATGACCGAACGACAGACGAAAACACAAATGAAGAAGGTCAAACCACGAAGAAATGGCAAGAAGTGGAAGGTGAAGAAACATAAATGACTCAAAGGAGACGAGTCAAGCCTTCGTGTAAGGATGTCCAAGACGATCGACAGAGATCCAGCGCGATAAGCCGAGAACGATCAAAAAATTTGCTCTGATGCCAAAACGGAAAAGTATGATCCTTAAGCTTCTACTAAGATCAGACTGAGTGTGTAGCTCCCTTATGTTTGTAACGATCGAACATCCTAGAAACGCCACATGATGAGTTAGCGCAATAGAGATGAGACAAAACGCGGGCAGCTTCCTGCGGTCTCAAAAATGACAATAATGCGCATAGTCAGAGGCAGATAGCATTCTGCATGCTCTTAGTGTCGAACATTTTAAAATCGATGGCGCAAATTATGCAAGTAGCGTTTAGTATAGGAGGTCAATGCACTCCCACCATCGCCGGGCAGCATCCTAGAAAATACGTGGGACATACTAACTTTTTAGTATACCGCCCGCCATAACCCCCCTAGCAAAACTTGGAATTGTAATTGTGATTGAACTTGTGCAATTCGTGCAGAGTACTTACTAGGTAGAGCAGCAAAAAAAATAGACGCGAACGAAGTGCCGCTACGTCACAGCTGTTGCACCGATACAACCGAGAACAAACGTGACAAAGGTAGACGCTAGCTACTTCCAGGCGGGGCGTGCTTCAAGGTCCAGCATGTAGCTGCAACGTACGCAAAGGCGCTAGATCTTGTCGCGAAAGAGCGCTAAGGTTTTCCATGTTAGTGCACTGATTACGTTACTCAGTGAATGCTGTTTCGTGTGACTCTCCACGTTCTTCGTGCTTATTCTACAACCCTCAACAGAGTGGAAAACACTCAAGCGGAAGCGCTCTCCTTTGCTCATGCTTTTCGTTCGCTTCTCTCACTTCTCAACAGAATCGGAACACGCTCCAACAGATGTCAACAACGACAGAAGCTGCTCGCTATAGCCTTTTACAACTGTCCGCGACAAATGGAAAAAGGAGGCGCGCCAGATGAATCAGGATCATTCTCAAAGCCCTTTTTTTTTGTGACAAGTTGCATCTTTCTACTGTTAAAACAGAGACTGAAATTGCAGAAACATGCTTTGTTTGAGGTTGCTTGTAGTTCTAACTAAGTTGCTTTATAATTTTAAGTAGTGTTAATGAAAAATCAAACCCAGCGGTACTAGGCCTAGGGGTACGTATAGCTAATCTACCTCGACTTAGCTTGTTGTAATAATAGAGCAGTTTATAAGGTTTCACAGCTCGCATGGCATGGAGTGCATGGATCACATGGAGTAGCATGGAGCTAAAGGGGGAGCTTCTTGCGCCCCTTAAAGCTCTGCGCTCCATGCACTCCATGCTACTCCATGCACTCCATGCACTCCATGCACCATGCGTGCTATAAACTACTCTGTAAATAGATATCGGAAGGAAGATAAATTAGGCACTAACAATTGCATTCGGGTTTTTCGGCTATTGCAACACACATCATGATTTGCTCGAATTGAAAATGTCCTCTGATCATGCTTGAGCTTGAAGAACGTACTAACTTCGCCTGAAGGGTTGTACCATAGTACGCAGGTCGACGGCGAAGAGAGACCCCATCGTGATCCTGTGTTCTCCACGTCAAGCGCTCGTCCGAATGAGAGACCACGAATCCAGTATGCTTTGAAGCAGACGACGAGAGGCAGTTGAGGGAGGGAGCGATAAATCATCTGGATCTTCTAGATGATCTTGACGTAAAGCAAAATGGAAAATGCGCATAATTCCAGACTCCGGCGAATCGTGCGATCTAAATGTACAACTTTAATCATTTAAAACCTTAGGTCGTAAACCTAAACGCATGATTCGGACCGATTTTTACGAAGATAATCTGGCTCAACCAATGGATGCCGTTGCCGATTCCGACATCCTTCAAAACCTTTCTTTCTTACCCAGTGTCTCCTGTGTGCGTAGTTGCCATCTCCACCATGTTTTCGTGTGATTGTCGCAATCTGCCCCTCTTCAATCAGAATACACCCTTAAGAAGGTTTGAAGAGCCTCTCCTGGTCGCTGCTTGATGACTGACGACTACAATTGTAAAACTAAATCCAGCCTACGACTTTTTGTCAATTCTTGTTTCAGACTATTAATGGATGTCAGGAGTCACTCAATTCTTTTTGTGCTCTTCTATACTTGAATTTGATTTTCCCTCATGTTTAGTTAGATTGTTGCACGACATGTCGCGTGCAAATTGAGTCTCATCATCGATCGCGCATCGACGTCGTCTTTCTCTTCAAATCTTGCTTGGTCGTCGATGCTGTTGCCAGCTCGCTGGACGATCGCTAGATTGGTTCTCGAAAAACGGACAAACCCCGGCGTCTGCGGTACATTATAATTGGTGAGCCCATCCACAATAAGTTAGCCTGTGCCTGGGACACGGTGGGCGCGGCCCGGTTGTCTGGATACCTATCCATGCTAGCAACTTGGCGTTTCCGTCGCTGCACTTCCGACGATGACAGGTTCCACAGTTGTCCTGCACGTCTATGACCTGATCGATCAGACGCCACTTTGCTGCGGCTTTTTCCACACTGGCGTGGTCGTGCGTGGAGTAGAGTGGTCATTTGGTTTACGACAGGCTACTCATTACCTCTCCATGCGACCCGATTACTTGATCTTGGCTGACAACAAAAAGGAGATACTTACTGACATGTGTTGTGATGTACTACAACACATTTTTGATATCATTAAAGCATTAGCTAGGATGTACATTATAATCACATTTTGATGATGATGATGATGATGATGATGATGATGATGATGATGCCCCCCCGGGCTCTAGTGCAAAAGTATGACGCCAGCCGCTGAGTAGCAAGCTACGGCTTCTCCCATTCAACGTCAGCAATCTTCTCAGACTAAGCAGGCCCCAACGCCTTCCATTTTGATGGATCATGATTCATCTACAGCTGGCGGCGGTATTGCAGGCGGGAGGCCCGGTGCAAATTTGCCAGACGGATGTCGGTTCAGAGAAGCACTTGAGATAGGGACCATCGAGCACAACGCAGATATCGGACGAGCCATCGATAGAATTCGGCCAGAGTTTCCATCAGATAGCTATTCTTATGGGCCACACCAGTGCTCTTACTATTGCTGCAATCTCCTTGTCTAGAACCACCCATGGGAATCTTCCTCGACTACTTCCTCTTATCGAGGAGGAAGTGAATGAAGATCAGCAGAGTGAGTAGTTTTCATGACGGAGAGCAAGAATGCCAATGCTGCAGCATGCTCTAATCCTGAGTCGTTTTCAACAACTGCAACGATTTCTCCAACCGAATGTGCGAAGCTTTACTTATGATGCAAAGCCCATTCTGATTCTCCAAGCGGCTAGGCTAGCAGTTGTCTCAAGAAAAGATTCTACAACACGGACACAAGTTTATAAGTAAGTAGCATGTTGTTGAAGTTGAAGGCTTGCAGCTCTTGAGATGTCAGACCGTGAAGATCATGAATTTGTTGAGGCACAACACGAGCACCAACACCCTGTATCACGTATCAGTATCTGACTCTGCCTCAGCCTCAGCCTCAGCCGCAGTTGTGGCTCTAAGATACTGCGCAAAGGTATTCCTGGATACATAAATCGCTTGGCTCGACTTGGTAGACACTGGCCCTGTCGATACTTCATCCCCGTCCAGTACTATCCGCCGTCAGGGGTAGTTGGTACTTCTACTTTCAAGATGTTCATGATCTTCGTAACGTTGATGTTTTTTTCAATACATTGGCGAGTTCCTGACGTGGGAGATGTGCGTAGACGTAGAAGTACTTTTAAGTGGCTGAGTTATTTCGTGGAATACAAGTTGTCTAGCCCATTTTTAGTACGTGATGCTGGCTCTACGAGGATGCGGACGCGGTAGATGGTCATGCTGAAACTCAAACAGAAACATTGTGTTGAATCTCTATCATTTTCATCTTCGTCCAGATATTCCGCGAGCCCCTCTTCTGCCCGGCGGAGGAAATCGTGTAGACGGCGAGTCGACTGTCGCATGGCCTTGGCGCATGTGGGCTCGGGTGAAATTAGCTCTCGTTCGTTTTCCCACGATATTAAACCGGGAACAGCAAGGCAGTCACGAGCAGGTGGACTCTGAGGCGGCGCAGCTCACCGGAGTATCAGCGCGCGACCTTCAACTTCGCGCCGCAGAAGGACGCTCACGACCCAGCAATAGTGTCTGACCGCTTCACTAGTGCCTCGTCCTAAAGTCGAGTTCAGCGCTCGTTTGCCATGGCGAGATAGAGGGCCGGATAAACGGCGCTGCTATCGGCCGAAAAAGCTCGCTTTTCCGATCTTTAGACTAGATGACGACATGATTGCACCAAGCTGGTCTAGGAACCTCCGAATCGAAAGGAACCCAGAGGATGCGTTTGCCACGGAGGACGAAGATGCAAATATAAACAGCCACTCTCCGCCTCGGAACTGCGGTTACGACTCCGATTACTGATCATCACGGCCCAGGAGCTCAAAGAGGGCAAGTTGGAACTAGAGAGGCTTGCCAACTGATTACTCGAAGTGACGCGCACTTTTTGTGATCCCCATGTGGGATTAACATGAGGGCGAAGGGATCATAATATTTGAGGGATCTCACAATCGCTAGAAATGTCAAACAGTGGAGGTCAATGACCTCCCTGTTGCGGTGTTGATTTTATTCGAGCACCCAGGACGATCAAGGTGGAAATATCCTAGCTTGTTTCCTTTTCCCAACATACACTTGTCGCTCAGAAAATTTGATTTTACCTACGAAGTGAAGCACCTCGCTGTTGTAGCGAATATCAACAATTACACATCAAGATACGCCAAAATAAAAGGCAAAGCTGAGTGATTCGGGTGTGTGTTCCCAATTCAGTCGCGGGCAGGATTACAAGACAGTGTTGCCTGGTCATTTGTTGTTTGATTTGTGAGATATTTATAATAGATTTATAAATATTAATTCATTGGAATATCTTTTGTTCTGGGCATCATACCAGTACCATCGTGGAATATCTTTTGTTCAACATGTTCTTGTTGTAGTCGTTGCCTTTCACGACCCAACCCCACAACAGGCGGTGTCTGTTCGAGCAAATATTGAGGCATGTGAAAGGAAAGCTTCTCCACAACTTAGACGTATCATATCATGCACTTACTCTCTCTCATGAGAAAATGTGTGAGCGGAAACTATGTCTAGTACACTTCCACAGTCGAACACCAAAAAGTCGTCTAAAAGCAGAAACAAACATCAAGCATTTACCTATGCTGAAGCCTGTCGTTTCATTCTAGACGTCGAAACCAAGAATCATGAAAGTCGACGACGCGATGCAGCTGCTCTAGTAAATCGAAGTGAGCGTGACCATGGTGCTTCCGCAGCAGGAGGAGATACTCAGGACGTGCGAGCAGCACGCGCTGAGGATGGCCAAGGAAATCTTTTGCCAGTATCCTATGAAGAACGAAAGTCCCTCAAGACCGAAAAGAATGTCAAGAAGGAGGAACTACCTCCACAGGAAGAAAACTTCACTGTTGGCGTCTTCGATAGCGAGAGCGGTATATTTTCATCTCGCGAGACCGGATTTTGGCGACTTCGCAGTGTACACGCGACCGCGTCCACCTCTGACGCCCTAACGACTGCATCCGACGATCCATTTAGTGGCAAACTCGTGGGTCCTTGCGCCGTGTTTGGTGAGCATGACCAAGCGAGACGAACTATCACCGCGCAAAGGATTCGACAGCTGGCTGATTACACTGATGTTGACATTAGCAAGTGGTCGGCGATTGAGACGAGCGCATGCGCAGAGCTGCCACGGAAAATGAAAATAGATGCAAACGAAACTGAAAATGCAGCCGCTCCTTCGACCCACCAAGAACGAGGCGAAATAAGGGAAGACGCAGGTGGTCAGGAGCGAAATGCACAATCAGGAAAAGAAAGTGCCGTATCTCCGCGTTTGCTCATCTTGCATGCGTCTGTTTTCTCTTGCTCGAGACTGCTTTCGCTTGCCATTTTGCAATATTTTTGCAGATTGCATGAACAGCGACAGCCTCCTTCCGACCAGCATAATGGCGTCGACATTGTCGTGCCAGAGCAAGACTTAGATTTAAGAAAACATGTGCCCATGGATGTCGATGCGGAAATCGGCGACCACGCGAGAACACGGCCTGCCACCCACGCAGTCAACGTTTTGTTCTTGTACGGCTCGCTACCGAATAGGGGGATGAAGTTTGTGGATGGCTGGCTTTGCGCCGTCAAAGAAGCGACAGGCATTTCAGAAGTAGTCTGGCAGCTTGACTGTGAATTTCAGGCAGTGTCCCTGAGACGGGTTTTCCCGAATAGCGGCGTCTTGCCTCGATACTTGGATATGAAGAATCCGCTCATCGCGTTGGGAAGAGACACGCGGAACGAGGAGCGAATCCTACTAGTTTTAAGCTTCTTGGTGGGTTCTACTACTATTTCTGTCTGGAGGACGACAAACAAGAGTTTTTGCATCGATTTTTGTTCTTCGGGTCACTGAGGTCTAGCAGCGTGTGAGCTTTCAATGCTACTAGAATTGACTCGTCTAATATGGACTACGCATGTAGCTGTTCATAGAAGCAGTTTTGGAATGTTTCTCATTCTCTAAGTTCGGGTGGTGACAGCGAATTCGGGCGGAAGCATTTCACTTTGCGGAATCGCGTTCTTGGCCGGGACTTGTGCGCTCCTCCTGTTCCGCCGACATGCAGTTCGGAGCTAGTGTTGTTACTAGACCCTCTTTCCGACGGAGGAGCCGTCTTTGACAATTCTACGAAAGTACATTTTCCAGGTGGTGCTGAAGGAGAGCTGCGCTCGTTAGGTCGCGACACTTTTGTGTCTGAACGGTCTCAACCACGAGACGAAAAGGAAAATGGCCGTAAGAGTGACCAATATTTGATTCGGCTTTCGAAGACCACGCCTTCGACTCCAATCAGTACAACTGCAAAGCAGGATGATGCAACTGCTACAACGAGTGCAACAAGGAACTGCGTTTCTTCGACCACGGCTGTACTTTTTGTGACGAAGGGATCGCGTGTTGAGAGCGAAGTCATTTTTTCACTTGACGGAGAGCGTCTTACAACAGAACGCAAAGATCTACTATCTGGATCGTATACGCATCGCACATCATGCACCTAAGAAAGGATACAACTACGTTGAAAGACTCCCACTGTTCCGCAACAACAAATTTTTATAGAACGGCTCTTGCAGGCGTACATCTGCGAGGAAAACTCTCAAAATATGCCCGGTCACCCACTCACCCTTCGCGAACTTTAGCAGATGAAGACAGTCAGTCAGAGGGCAGATTGAGAAAAATCTATTTTGAAGGGAAATGAATCAATAAGAAATCGCCACCAGAAATAAGTATACACTCACTGCTGAGATATGACAAGGAGAGTAAAACAGGATGAGGTATCAGAATCAACATCAACATGTGCATCAGTTTGAGAGATCGGGCAAGTCGAGACGGATGCGCCCGTCTTAGGCCTCTGGGTGTTATAGTAGACTGAGACATTATAGAAACGTCGAGCGAGTCCGAGTGTGGAGAGAAGTTATCTAACTGGTGACGTGTCTGGCCCTGACGCGCCAAAACGTATCAGACGCAAATAAGGCTAATTAATTCGAACTTTGACCAAGACCTCGTGAAAGAGAAATCGGAATAAAAGAAAATAGTACGGATAGCCTTTCTTCCCGCAGATTCGGCTCCGGCTCCGAAAACTCACATTAGAGGACGCGTCATCACATAATTGACACCTTTGAGAGAATTCGCAGATGAGGAAAGGCGGGACACTGTGACTATCACTATCTTAACGCCACCTTTCACCTTGAGAGTTGCTTTTCCACGTTAGAAAAATATGCCATCCTCGGCTTCACCGCGCTCGCCCTCCACAACGGGCATTTTTGGCGATCGTGCTGTAGTGCGCAAAAATGTCGCTTTAATTGGCGCACTCGGCTCCGGCGCCACCTCCGTTGATGCCGATGCTGCGACCTCCTCTAGGTTTGGAGGTTCAACGGCTTCATCCAAAGAAACGACGGAGGATGGCCGCAAAAGCTCAAAGAACAGCATCCTCGCTGAGGTTTTAGAGCGGGAGCGCGACTTCAAGCATGATTCTCTCGGCGGATCGCATTCGTCTTCCCGCTCGCCGCTTGAAGAGAGCCAAAGCACGAGCACGAGAGAGGCGACTAGCAGGTATGCTGAGACGAGCAGAGAAGTTGACTTTCTTCAAGGGGACGAGGACAAGATGATGAATGAAGGCATGATCGGAGTACAGGAGAAGCCATCTTCAGCGTCTACTTCCATGGCTGCAGCTGTACGACATCGCACTGCTCAGGAAGATGAGCAAGACTCTTCTAGTAAAAGTCATATCGCCAGTCGCAGAACAGAAGATGCGACACAGTCTGCTACAAAGAGCACCAACGCCATGAATGAGGACCGTGGCGTTCCTACTCCATCTTCAACATCGACAAGTACTACTTCCAGAATAAACTCTCCGCAGACAACACGGCTGCTCGCGCAATTTGAAGAAGAAAAGGAGGAAATGAGACGGGAATTCCAGGAGGAAAAGGAAAGGATTATGGAACAGTTTGTGCGTGAAAAGGATGACATGGTTGACAGTTTCCAAACTGCGACATCCGTGCTTCTACAGAGGATACGAGAGCTAGAGTCGGACTGCGGCTCGTCAAGCACTCGACCAGGAACCGGCCTATCCTCGTCGCGGCCTGGCACCTCACGGCCGGGGACCGCAGCTATTCGACTCGATGCGTTTTTAAGGCCTTGTGCACGCACCAAATATATATCTTCATGTCTTCGTCTTCCATCACCTGCGCATCGGCATCGATCTTGTCTGGAATAAATTATGCTAGAACAGTCCTCACACCAAAATTCTTTTCGGTATTCAATGATCTTTCCTCCTGCCATACTTTTTTAATCACCAGTCAGGAGCAACATATTGCAAGTCCAGATCCACCGGAGATTCTCACGATAGCGGAACGAACCGAGGACACTGATAGGAGGTTTATTCAGTGTGCCAGAGACGGTAATTGTAATCCTCGTTCTTGATAACGATTTCCGTAGCTCGTTGATGTGCAACACCACGATACACATTGACTCGGTGATTCTTATCTACTCAATCGATCATGATCCTCAAATAGGTGACGTGGATTCTCTCGAACGCATGCGGATGGAGTTTGCGATTCCAATAGATGAGATAGTTTGTCCGGACTCCGGAGATTCTCTTCTGCATGCGTGTATACAAGCGAAGAAGGAACTGCAACAGGAAATCCTCAACCTCGCGCTAGGGTATTTCTCCTTTTACGTTGTAACGTATGTCGATGCTTTCTCTAAAATGATTGATAGAGATGGCTATCTACAGCTCTAGGAGATTGGTTTTGCTACTAATAGATAGCGATACATATTGATGTTGTGCTATGTATCAGGGTATCAGTTCCTATGCTCAGCAGGTACGGCGCAGAGATCGATGTGGTGAACCGGTCAGGGTCGACGCCGTTGCACGATGCCATCCGCGCAAACAGTCTGTCGATGGTGAAGGCTCTTGTGGAGCTTGGCGCAGACTTCGACCGACCACTAGCCAACAGTGAGCCTGGGAAGCTTGTTGGTGACGAGACGAGTACTACAACATCAAGTCCTGCTGGCGTTAGTGTGGTCAAAAATGTGACTTCGTCTTCGTCATCTGAAATCGGGTTCACCCCGATAATGCTCGCGGCAAAAGACCCGAAACTCTTGCGGATTTGCAAGTTTCTGGTGGAGAGCAATGCGGATGTGAACAAGCGATCTTCCGCCTTTGGCTCAACTGCGATAGAGCTCGCGCAAAGAATTATGGCAGTTGTAGTTAACTACCTCGTGTTAGTGGTCGTACTGGAAATCTTTTGAAGATGCGTTCTACGAGGGCTGACACTAGTATGGGAGTTGAGATAGGTATCATACTCATAGGGTCTAGGAGCAGGGGTCTCAGGATCAGTATGGGCAATAGAACGATGAGTATGTTCATGTTGATATGTAGATTGCAGCCTATGCACAAGAACACAAATCAGAAAGGAAGTAAAAGATCTACTTCAGAATGTAAGTTGAATGGAAATTCCATGCTCAAGGTCACCAGACAACAAGGATAAACTGAGGAAAGCATAAGAATAAGAAGACAAAGGAAGAGAAGTATGTTGAAAGTGGTAAGTAAGGTATTTCTTGTCTGGCTCTCCTCCCTCTTAGGGTTGAGGTATTCAAGGTGATCCGATGTCGGCTTCTCTTTTGAGGCAATGACTTCGTTGAGGCATCAAGCGGGACGCGTAGGAAAGTACAGAATTCTGGGCCTCCCAGTATTCTTTTGGTTCGTCTCGCATATACGAGGGGAGCCGCCAATTTGAGAGCGGTTTTCTCTTTCAGAAGCTGTGTCCTCATATTGTTTTGCCAAATCACTCCTCTTTGGTTTATAAGCTTCTCTTGTGAGGCTTATCACATCGATTCATCCCGCTGGTAGGTGCTGCAAACCTATTAGGGATGCACAGAATAGAATATGCTGAATCTGACGCAAAAGTTTCTATCGTCTAGGTCGCTCTAAAGGTAGCAACAACTTTCAGACGATGGTCTACCTTGCTTCAAGCGGAGCGTCGATCCGTGGAGCCGGAAGGCAGTGAAGTTGAACGAATTCTTTGCAACCCATAACGCTGCGCGAACGCGCCAATTGATGCTCATAACATACACAAAACATTGAAGCTTTAGTCGCACGCTTAGCGCAAGACTCATCCCCATTCTTTTAGAGTTACAGAAGCAAGGCGTGAGTATCCCACTGCGGTGGTTTCCACGGACGGCGATTAAGCCTTGTGCTGTATTTATTAGGGATGTCCCTAAGTAAGTGTTCGCCTTCGCGCCTGTAGTGTCACGTTTGAATTTGGTCCCACGACTACGTCGCTCTCTGAGTTGTTTGCAACTACAGAACAAGGTTCGACAGCAATTCGTCGGGTAAATATTTAGAAAGAGGATCATTCCTACTTGACCCGATAGAGGACGATGACCACTCAACCTCAAGTAGCATAACTTTCCGAGATCAACGTCTGTCAGTGTTCCGTCGCATGGTAGCTATTTTTGTGCATGTCCAAGCCGAAAATGGCAGATCATATCAGTTCAAAGATCCATCAGTGGCGTGCACTGTGCCCTATTAGCTACATCAGCGAGGGCTATCGGTATCAGCTATACCACAATTCCTAGCCTGATAAAGCGACGTGCGCGTGTAGCGTGAAAAGTATATAATGTCTGATGTCGCGTGGGCGTGCGCTTTATAGAAATATCACTCGTTGCCTGTACTTGTTGCTGTTGATTTCCAATGTTGCTAGCCGCGTTTGGTACACGAGAACATGAGCTTCGCAATCAACATGATTACATTGTATATTGTTTTTGAATTTAGATCGTTAACGTTGACATTAACGTCCATCTCCGCTAAACTTTGTCAAAGCACCCCGCCCCCGACACTTAGCTCACCTAAAAACATTGCAAAAATTGACGTTTAACTATAAGAAACGCTGCATTGGTCATCGCGGATTGCGCTTCAATATTCACATTCAGACCAATCAAAGTTACAAAAGCACGGAAGAAAAACAAATGAAAATGAAGGTAATCGCTACGTGAGTTCGTGAAATAAATAGTGCCAGTGCTAACTAAGATAAACTGTGTATGTTTGTTGGATCTACCTGCCTCGAGTTGATAAACGCAAGAAACCAGCGAACGAATTACTAATCGACATTCAACTAGCACAAATAAATGTCCCCACTCAAAAAAAAACATGCGAATGCCGTCACCCCGCCGGCAAAGAAGCGGAAGAGCGACGCAATGCTGTCGGGGCACACGCCAGCTTCGCCTGCTTCATCGTCATCAACTTCTACGAGTGCTAGTCATAATGGCTCACCCTCGACCGCAAGTTCGAGTCCTAGCACCCAAACAGATGATAAAAATGGAAAATCGGCTGGCCCTCCCCCACTGCTGCACTCAAAGTTGCCGGAACTTTTTGTTGCACTACTAGAAGCCCGAGCAGAGTTTCTCAAACACAGAACCTTAGACGATTCTGAACATCAAGGAACTCCTACTACGGATGGAAAGGAAAAACTGGCTGAGCTCACGCGGGCTTGGGTTTCGGAGCTGCGGGCTCTCGTCCCTCCAGCTTATCAAGTGGCGCAGGTCCCATTCCCAGAGCATTGTAAATCATTTCTGACGGCACTTCAAATTTTTCGTCTCTTGGCGGTGCACACGCTGCTCGAAACCGTATGCATCTGGGATGCGCGCGCTGGCAGGAAAATTCGACTTCTCTCGTACCTTATCTATCTTGCTATGTATAGATCAGAGATTGACTCGTCCGATCGAGTAAGCTGGTTTACTACATGATACAGGGATGCACGCCCCCCCTGTGGATGGCCCTGCGGTGGCGCTCGCGCGCGCTTTTTCGCTCTGTTTTCCGCAGATTCTTGGGGTGGAACGTGTCAAAAATGGGAGCCGGAGGCCCCTTGCGCCTCTCTGCGTGTGCCACTGCGTGTACCCTACAGACGTCCCTCCCCCTGCGTGCCGACCCTAGCAGGGCGAGGGTCTCCCGGGTACAAGGCGGCCACGGTCTCGAAGCCTGGCCCCTTTGCTGGATTGCCCTCATCAAATGCGCGGCAAGAGCCAGCAGGCTGAAGACCAAGGGCCAGGAGGCTCGAGGCAAGTGGGGACGGTTGCCCGGCTTGGTTCTGTCGGGCACAGGCCACACGGCTAGGGGGTTCAAGCCTTGCCCCCCTTTGCCGCCTTCGGGGGCCTTCCATCCCCAGCACACTGCCGCGAAGAGGGGCCAGCACGTTGGAAGTCTGTCGGGTACATGCAGACGGCCGGAAGGGAGCGGAGGGAGGCCATTCGACCTATTTGGAAGCCTTCCACCCCTCGCAGACGCCTCCGGAAGGGGTCCGGGGATCACGCTCCCCACCCTACGCTCGGGGGGAGAGCGCTCCCCTGAACCCTGGACATCAAAGCCAAAGCACATATAAATATAATGGATATTCATACTGGACACCGACACTTCCCATGAGAAAATACAAATTGAAAGGATCGCGGTTTTTATTTTAAAAAGTGTTTTTAGTAATGAAAGTGCCAACGATATGAAGATACATTAGTTGAGCTTAAATTTTTCGGGCTTTTTCTACTAAGCCTCGAGGACCAACAAGCCGCTACATACAACGAAGAACAAAGGCGCAGCTTCTTTTGCCGAGGAAGTGCTAGCAGCTGTCAATATATGCGACGAAAGAGGCTTGACGCCACCCGCTGTAGACTCGACTGAAAATACAGAGGCGCAATTACGTTGGCGTGCATTTTTGCTACACTCGTGCGGTGTCTGCCTTCCAATCAGGGTTGAGTGGAGAGACTTTGAGGACATTACGAAAGATTTTTTTCAGCATCGAGCGTCATCTTCAGGGTCGTGAGGTGTCGTGGGTCTGTGTGGGACTTTCCAAACGTTAAAAGGTTTTGTAACGGAAGCGAGGGACTGCACACACCGACACCCCCCCACCCGAGTTCGGATAGTTGTGAAAAACCTCTATGGTACCTTTTCTAATTCAAGTGAGTCCGAGTCCGACATCATGGCTGTCCCGTCCATTGAAATGTTTCTTGAACGAGTAGGGAATGGCAAGAGGGATATATCCATCTTGCTAAAGGAAGCTCGTAAGGCGCTTATAAGTTCGGGAACAGGGCATTGCCCTTGCTGCTTCGCAAGCTTCTCCGAATCTGGCGGAAATGGAGGTGCAACGCCTGAAGGAGAAGCACTGCCACTTGCGTATTCAAACCTGGTGGTGCCGTCATGCGGACATGCACTATGCGCTTTCTGCATGTCAACAATGGCAACTTGCTATCCTTAAGGGTAGACTATCGCTATCCCGTGTGAACTATCCTGATAATAGAGTAGTTTATAGACGCTGGGCTACGCTGAGTGGCCGGGCGGCCTCGCTGGGCACGCTGGGCGGCAACGCGGGGCACGCTGGGCGGCAACGCTGGGCACGCTAGGCGGGCGCTTGGCTAGCGCTTAGCGGACTTGAGGCTCACACATTGGGCATGCCGAGCCTGCGCGGCCGATGGATTTACTTGCGCCGCGGGGACGCGGTGCAGCGCGTCCCGTGAGGACAAACAAAGGAGGCGCGCCGCCCTCAAGGTTCAGGGCAGCGCTGGCGCAGTGCTGCGCCAGTTTGCGCAGTAGCGGGCTGCGCGGCGCCTGCTCTGTTCAGGCTTGCACTGCGTCGCGCTGCACTGCGCTGCTCGATGCGTGCAATTCTGCGCCGCTCCTGTGCACAACGGTAAACTTGCGAGCGTTGTTGGCCTTGGCCTACGCTAGACTAGCACTGCCGATGGGGTTCTCAAGCGGGCGCCCGAAGGGCGGCCCGCAATTGGAGACGCCCAGCGTCACGCTGGGCGCAGAATTCGGCAGATCTGGCACATTTGGGTCGCCCAGCGACCCAATGCGGCCAGCGTGCCCAGCCCAGCCATGTTGGGAAACCTTATAAACTGTTCTATGATAAATCTACTACCGTACTCCATTGAGGTTGGGATAGTTATATACTACCGCTAATATCCCGTTGACGAAGTTGTGGGACTTTCTGACAGCGACGAAAGCATAGCGGACAACGAAATCGATGCCCTCGCAAGTGCTAATCCCAATGGCATGATCAATCCAGATTCTATAGTTGTGCTCGAAGAAACAAGCGGTGTCCCAGTCCTGTTAAGGTTTCATCTTTTACCAACATCTTGTGATTACCGCCTTTTCCTTGTGGTATGGTGGAGATATAGCAAGAGCAAAACCAAATCAATGTCTCTTAAAAATTATGGTTTTATGCGTATCGTTTTATGTTGCGTATTACTTATAATGCTTTGATATTTCGTTTTAGCGGCAAAAAACCTTCTCTAATGGTGCCTTCAGGCAGCTGTAATGGCACGTGCTGCTCTTGCCGCCAGCCATTTGTGTGGCCCACGCGCTTGGAGAGGATGATTGTGCGTGAAGTTGTAGCCTCACTACCGCAGGATTTCTTCTCTCATCCTACAGGGTGGTGCAAGAACGATACGCCCGATAAAAAGCCCGGAGATGCTCTTAGTAGTCCGGATAGTGATCTCGCAGAAGAAGCAGCTGTCGATAATGAAGAAAACAATGTTGAGGCGCATGCTGATGAAGTAGTACCTACAACAAGTACGCCGATATGCGAATCGCTATCTCCGGAGGATATAACAGAGGATGAGTGGGACTTGGAGTTCAAAGCTCAAACCATCGTTCTCTTGATGGGATGCATTGCGAAAAGTTGGAATCTTACATCATTCAAATCTCTGCTGGACAATACATCACCGATGCGGGGTTCTGCGTCACACCGGCACAATTCTAGCGACAAGTCGACAACAGATACTGCACAAATTATGCATACAGAAAACGTAGTAGTTTTGGTTTTCAAGGATTGCAAAAGAAAAAGAATTTCATTTCTCGTCACAAACAGTTCTTCAGGCTAGTAGTTCAGCCTTCTTTCAATTTAGAACTCGAAAGAATTAGATATATGAGTGATTAGCGACCGAAGGGATGGAATTTTGCAATCTCTAAGAGAAACCACGAGGAGAAGGAGCAGAAAGGACCTCCTTCTGAAACGTGGTTTCGGCACCGCGGACTGGAGGTGCCGAAGGACCCGCTTCAAAAATTTGCAGAAGAGCGGAAGTGTGTCTACAGTGGAGCGCTTGCGATCATGGAAGGCGCAGGAAGGTGTATGGGGTGGTCAGAGAAGCAACGGGAACGCATTCGACGCGCTGCTCGAAAACGTGCGAATATTGTCTAAGTGTGTCGCAACCTACCTGTGCCTTTTTCGGGATAATAATGCTGATGATTATCATTAAGTTCGTTTCAGAGATGCCCACTGAGTATCGTCTTGTTCATACGTTATCATTTCCACAGCTGGATGATGAACTACAAGAACAAGAGGATGAATTGTAGAGGTGGACTCTCCAAGGCCTGCTGCGAAAATTATCGGGTGTCTTTACTTAGACGAGGGAGTGGAGTATAACAAGACCAGAAATGCATGTTGAGCGACGTTGAGATATTTTTGTGACGAAGTACCTACAGAGGGAAACAAGAATTTCTGAAATTCTAATTCATTGAATCTACCTCTACAGTGTCTTTGACATGATCGGTTTTTTCGATACAATGCATAGTATTGCTGAGGTTCAACTTATGCAGCAACAAAACTTAGTTCTAGTTTCGCACAAGAGATGGATTTATGGTGGAAGCAGGAATAGAAAGAGGTACCTCCGAACATGGTCAGCTTTCACCCATTTGTATACTGTTTTTGTCTTCTGAGTTTTTTTTGGTCGTTTCTGTTTGTCTGTGTGGTGTTTCAAGTGACTCAAGCAGGCACGGATCTTCTAGGAAATTGCTCCATCCACGAAGATGAGCCAGGCTTACCACATTTCGATCCAGAGAAGTTTTCCGGCTATTGGTACGAATCCGTTAGAACGCGCAATCCGTATGAGGCATCCACGGGTTCGCTCTCTTATCTGGATGTCGCATCTTTTTTCCCATGGCAGCCTGCTGCTGCGGCGAACAGGCAGAGAAGATATGAGAATGATGTCATTTACCATGCAGACGTCGCATCTAGAATTACTACGTCACAGGCCAAGCAAAGCGAGGACGGGTACCACACGAGTAATACGAAGAAGCTTGGCACGACCATCAGCATGCAGCCAGCTGCCACAGCCGTAGACCCCTCAACGGCCTTGTTGCTGTCGACCACGGCTGCAGAGGAGAAACAGAAAGACACCAGCTACCTAAGTGAGCTGACGACAAGCTTTCACTACGCGCCACCGCTCGATGATCCGAGGGACTACGTAGTACACTGGTTCAACCCCTGCCTCTTGCACATTCCTTTTCTTGTGAAAAATATTCCGCTTTGTATTGAGGATGTAAGCGACGCAGAAAAGCCTCGTTTACCTCTGTATAAGCAGAAGACAACAGGCGTTGCTGATCTAAGCGCTAGCAAGAACTTCCACAATGCTGATGACGGAAGAGCAAGAGCGATGGCCGAAGTCGATATGAAGACCGTCGGAAATGGAAAAACGCTCGAGCAGGTGGACAAAGCAGAGGACATCAATTACAAAGGCACGCTTGAAGATAGGAGAATTGAGGACGAAAAAATGGTGTCCAAGCAAAACCGCAAGAGACCAACAAAATACGTGCGCATGCGGATCCATGCTCCATCAAATTTCCTCTGGAAGCATCATGACGCTGTGCTATATTGCAAACCGAATGAATATGAAGACGATAGCCAAGCTGGTGTCTCAGATAAGCTGCCTAGTTGTTCACGATCACGTTGAACGGCGAGTGAAATATGTTGACCCACCTAAATGGCGGCCCTCGACCGAATTCACACGACTGCTCTCAGCGTGATAGTGAAAACATAAAGAAAGCTAATGTCGGAAACTGTGTTACCAGATTTAGCTGGTTTCCTGCTTTATTCACGCACCGCATACTTGAGACCGATTATCATACCTCTGCCACCCTCTATAGTTGTGTCACCATAGCGGGATTTCTCAAATTCGAGTACGCGTGTTAAGGCTGATCCTGTCAATAATTCATTTCGCACACCAAGCAAGATTATTTTCTCCGTTTCATGTTCATCGTTCTTGAAGATGAAGTTGAGTAGCTTTTACTGAGAAAATTACTCGTGCGACGTCGTGTGAATTCTTGCCAGCTCCAAGCTCAGATGCTCCGCCGCAAGCCTCAGCTGTCGCGTGCCTTACGAGCAAAAAGCATTCATTCGGATGCCTCAAGATTACAAGCACTGTTGCCGCGGTCGCATCTCGTTTTCCCTTTCGGAGAAACGTAAGGTTCGCCTACAGGAGGTGTCGGAGAAGATTCGTTTGATCAGTCCACTAGCAAAAGAACGAGTTCCTCGCGACTGATCATCAGTCTTTGTTACTACTCGCCATCTGTTGCTGTTCTCCTATGTAAATGTATTTTGGATGCAGCTTCAGTGTTATTTATACTATCTTTCACTATCAATCTATGTCTGTTCACGATTAGCATCGACACGTATAATCATGTTTCACTACCACGATGACCGCGTTTTGCACGAGAATCATCCAAGAAGATCATTCCGCATGTAATGATATAGGAGGTGCTTTGCGACACCATAGCTGCTGCTTCTCGACATTTTGTTGTAAAGGTCGAATGACTTTCGAAGCCATTGGCTTTCAAGGCCCACCTCCACGGCGTACCGACTCTATTAAGTGGAAGTCGAGATCATTCATCTCCTTTCCGTAGGACTGGTAGCAACAGCAAGGCGATTTGTGGAACTACTTACCTGCGACAATATTGAGAGGGAGAAAATGAAAAAAAAACGAGATGCGAGCCATGTGTCTACCCAGAAAACGCTGAGCCTGACAGCAGCTAGTAATTCGAGTTTATTCCGGGCTGGTTAGATGAAAGAAAGAGTCAAAACACGGCTCGTCCACGGCCACCACGTGATTGAAGCATTCTTGAGAAAAAACGTGTATAATCGATTCAAACTGCAGTGTCGGTGCGCGCGACTGCTACTTTGAGAGCTCAAAGAAAGCAAACCAGCAGAAGAATATTCAAAATTGTGATACCAGTTGTACTCACTGCAGATATTTGCCGATCCCTACCACAGAAAACCTCATTACAAATTAGCCTCTACTTGTGGTTACCGCTCAGATGCCTCGTCTCTGATTGCCTTTCATCATCTCTAAAAGATTGGAGTTTCTAATTTTTCAGGATGATGCTCCCTGCCAGCAACGGCGGTCCTTGGGCCGCACGCACAGGAACACCAGTGTCTGCCATGAATCAATTTTCGATCCTTCCTGCCCAGTCAAGTCAACCGGTAAGCGTTATCGCAATTGCCCTACCTGCAGAAGCAAAAAAGTGAACTATTGTACATCAAAGACGCTACCAGTACTACTACTAGCAGTTGTACCACCTCCTATCCTTATATTAGTATTTATAGGGTAAACAACTTTTCTCAAATCCTTAAGGGTCTTTCTTAAGTGCCTTCCTTAAGGAAGTTGATTTGCTTAAAGGATTTCTATTACAAAAAGTTATTAGGAATTTCCTGAAGGCCAAAAATTCTCCTTAAGGAGGCCCCTTAAGGAAGAGCCGTTATAAACTTAGGCTAATAATAGGCGCTCCCTTAAGGGCCGCTGCCACCTCGCAAGGGCCTTAGCTTGCTAGCTTTACTTAGCCATGGCCAGCTTGCTAGCTGCTTAGCCGTAGCTAGCTTGCTTGCTTACCCCTTACCCGCGCTACGCTACCTGGCTAGGCTAGCCGTAGCTAGCCTGCTAGCTGCTCAGCCATAGCTAGCCTGCTAGCTGCTTAGCCATAGCTAGCCTGCTAGCTGCTTAGCCATAGCTAGCCTGCTAGCTGCTTAGCCATAGCGAGCCTCCTAGCTACTTAGCCATAGCTAGCCTGCTAGCTGCTTAGCCATAGCTAGCTAGCAGGGTAGCTACTTGGCCATAGCTATCTAGCTAGCTGCTTGGCCATAGCTATCTAGCTAGCTGCTTAGCCATAGCTAGCCTGCTGGCTGCTTAGGCATAGCCAGCTTGCTACCTTAGCCACAAGACAGCGACAGCAAGCCCCGCTTGTTTAGCCATGAGGGGCGTCCAGGTTAGTCCATTCTGAACCAGCTACGCGTCGTTAGCTTGGTGAAGACTTAGGGGCTTGCGTCGTAGTCTTATCTATCTAGTTGCTAACCTATGCCCAGCGCAGCGGGCCCTTGGTGGGCCCGCTTTCTGGGCGTGTATTTATATCACGGACACTCAAGTTGAACCGCAAGATCCTGAGGTACGAACTCGACGACGACAATCATGACCACAATCTGCAAACTCACAGGTTGTGGCCCAGACACCGCGTAAAACGCTCCGAAATTTAGCATATCACCTCAGAGATCAAGCGAGGATTATCCAACTGAACCAGCCGGAAAGCCTAGATCAGTACAGGAGTCTGGGTATCCTCTTCGATCTCGTCGACTTGTGCGAAGAGGCGTCGGCGATAGATGGAAAGCGTGGAGAAGACCCGAAGAATGAACTTCAGAGACTCTTCTGGAGGGCTGTCGAAATCCTCAAAGCATGTCCGGTATACTGTCTCTTATTGTAGACTTGTTAGTGTTAGTACTAGTATCAGGTTGTACTACTAGCTCTACATTTCGGATGATGTTTCTTTCGGATGATGTTTCAACTCATTCCTGAACGTCGTCCCGTACTTTGGGTTATTCTTGTTGGATGATGCTGGTGAATTGTACGTGGTGCTCAGATGTAGTACTTATAGATACATAGATACATTTACATAGTTTGATGTAGTATTTGCAAGTGCAACTGCAAGAGTTGAGAGGTTACATATATGTTCCAGGGCGCGGGGCGACGTCCCCCCCCCCGGGGGGGGGCGGGCGCCCTGGCCCCTTTTTGAGGCGTCTGCCGGGAAGGGGAGGCCTCGAAAGGGGGCCCAGTGACCTCCCCCCTCCGCTCCCTTCCAGCTGCCTGGCTGCTCCCTCGGGTCCTCTGATGGTGGTGGGGAGGCTTCAAAAGGGGCCCAAGGGACCGCCTGCGCCCCCGTCCAGGTGCATGCCTGTGCCCTCAGTGCCTCCCTTAGGCTTCGCCGCCGCAGCAGTGCACCGGCAACGGAAGGCCTCGGAAGACGGCAAAAGGCGAGGGGCTGGACCCCCTGAGCCGTGCCGCCTGTACCCTCCGGGCCCTTGGTCATCGGCTTGCTTGCGACCGTGGCCGTGGCCGCCTCCGGCGGCCTTTTACCCCGCAGGCCTCCCGCCTGCGAGGGTCAGCAGAGGCCAGGGGGCCCCTTAGGAACACGCTGAGAGGCCCAAGGGGAGGCCTGCGCCAAGGTTTGACGCCTTCCACCACTAGAATCCGCGAAAAATCCGCGCGGAAAAGCGCGCGCCACCACCGACCAGACCACAGGGGGGGAGGGGGGGGGCGTCCGGCCCTGGGTCGTATTTATATTATAACTCCATCCTGTGTTCTTGTTGTAGTTGTTTCCTTCATCTCTCACACCAGGTCGACGGGCTCTCTCCCTTCCGATCGTACGGACTGCGTTTAGAGCACACAATCCAAAGTATGTGGGCAGCCTACGCGCAGCGACCCTCTGTGAAGGAGCTTCCTGCTGCGTACTTTTCTTCGTTTAGATGACATTCGTATGAAAATGAACGTGAATAGAGTCTGCCTATGCAATTGTTCCAATACAAGTGAAGCAATTATTACAGGTGAAATCAATTATCTTTATTACACAATTGTCCGTCGTAGGAAATGTTTCGTCTTGACGATGATTTTACACAATCATTTGAGACGCACTGACGATGATGCAAAAACTGTTGATGCAATAGAAAGATTTTTGTTTCATCAACTACACTAAGCAGTCTGACTGTTGTCACAAATTATGACACATTTGCCTATCGGTACTGTCACTCTTTCTCTTGACTACAGTGCGTAATAGAAAACCCATATCTTTGATTCTGTGAAAATCCAGATATGCAGTACCTGAGATTCGGCTTCTCCCAGTCGGAAGTCAAGTAGAGTACTATAGCAATACATACCGCCGATGGATGGAGGCCACAGTGTTGGGTCATTTACCAGACGGCGACTATCAATTGGACATCCAAGGTCATGCGAAAAAGGACAATGTCAGGGTATAAGAAGGCTTTTCTATACAGGAACTGTATTTGCATTTGGTTCATAAGAAGATCTGATTAGCATAACACATAATAAATACTCTTTTTCGTCCACCGACCTCTACGCTTTTGATCTCCAGGCGCTACTCCCAAAACGCGTGGCACCAGTAGCCATTGGCGATAGACCTGAGACCAAGTTGCAACTAGAACCGGGCTCGGCAGCAACGACACCAGGCTACTCTGAGCAGTCTTCTGCACCCGGAGCCACGCCAGGCGCAGCGTCATCGGTCTTTCTTATGTTGCGTCGACGATATAATTGATGTAAAAACAAGGCCACGTAAGTATAGAGGCAGCTGATGTTGTGAATTCAAGAACAGAAGGAGCCCTCAACTCTAAGGGTAAAGACCATGTCGATCTGATTGGTGGAGGTGTCCGAGAGACATCGCCCTATGCACCGGGAACAATAGTGGAATATTGGAGTACTTCTATGAGTCAATGGATTCTAGCAGAGGTAATCAAGTGGAACCCAAAAGACAGAAGCTACCACTTGGATTGCAAGAACAACGCGCCACGAGACAGAATCCGACGTAATCAAATACACACACTCATACATCTCTTTTGGTTGTAGCTGTGCTGTGACTTAGTACTTAACCATGATTAACGTTGTTTGATGTAGTACCTGCGCCGTGTAATAATTATTTCACCCCGGGGCCATGAGCTCGACATTAGTAGTAGAGGACTTTTCCTTTTTCAGAAGCCACTACTCATCCCCAACAATATCTTTCAGCACACAATCCGGATCGCGTGCGTGGTCCTCTGGGAGAGCACACAAGACCACTTTTGCAGAAATTTGAGGGAGGCGAGCTAGAAGAAGCTCCAGCATCAGCAACAAAGGAAAAGCGGGATCAAGACGAGGCTGGTTTCACTTCTTCAATATATTGTTGTACTTGTACGTAGGTGTCGTTCTGTTGTATGGTCGTACGGTAGTTAATAATTTTTCAACTTCTCTGATTATCCACGGTCACCCGCAATTACATCCATCTCCAAGTGAAGTATGAAATATCTTCTTTTCGTCAATGTCGTGCCGCCTTCACGATTTAGAAATGTCCTCTGCTCCCCTCTATTTCCTCAGATGACCCGTCCAAAAAAGTGGTAGTAAAAACCCATCACGACATGCAAACCGGAAGAATCGTAAGGACACAGATCGGTCCTGAAGGCGATGCTACAAAGTTTATCTACGACACTCAAGATGGAGATTTTCAAGTCCTCGAGCCCGCTATGAGAAGGAGCGCTGTCATTCGCGAGCAAACTGCCGACTTCATACGTACTGAAGATTGGAGTAAATCAATGTAATTGTAGTTCAACAAGTACTTCCAGTTTGAAGATGTTCTTGAACCCCGATATTAGACCATAAGACTTCGACTTGCCATTCACATTCAGCACTTCACCGAATATGTTCTTTTCTCGTGTAGCAACCGGGTGTCAAAACTGCATTGACGTTGTGCAGGTAACAGCGGTGCCACGCGAATGCCACCACAGATGAATGTGACGATAATGACGCAGGACAAGCCACCGGGAGGAGCAGACGCTGATGGAGACGCGCGATATATTGATCGAGTAAACAGAATACGGCATGACGCGGAGCATAAGCGGAAATTTACCGAACACAAAGTGGAACAGCTAGCAATGAAGGCACAGCAATTGGTCGAACGGTTGGCCAAAGACGAAGAGAAAATGGATGTAAAAACGTATGCTATCCCCAAACTGAGTGCTGTAACGCCGTACATGCCAGGGGACATGGGTTGGGGTCAGTCAAGGTCATCCACAGCCGCCGCGCGAGCTACAAACCCTTACTTATGGACAGAAAGCATTGGTGGATTCTGCACGCACCAACATGACTTGAAGGCGAAGAGGGCGAGGGACTTGAGAATATCATAGATACAGGATTAACTTGCAGCAGTGTGCAAAGAAGTTTCATTCTGTTCTCTTCCTTTTACAGCTTCTGCGTTCGTTGTCGTTCCATGGTGCAGTTGTTCTCCCATCAATTGACTTAGGAACATTCTCAGTCATCTTAAGCCCAATACGAATTTCTTTATTTTTATAAATATATAGGTTTGTTTTCCTGTTTTTTCATACCCAATGCGAGAGTATTACGACGGCCAGGCGGACGAGATAGCTGATCGCAGTACGATAATGATGTCGACAAATATGGAGGGAACTACAGATGGTGCATTTGATAACCGCGCGAGCGGACGGGTCTCGCACAACGCGCCGAAACCATCTACTCGAGCAACATCGTCCACCAGCGGCGGGGCGAGTAAATCGAGAGCGCAAGAGAAGACTGCTAAGGGGCGTCTAGACTTATCGTCCGATGACTCCGATGATCGCTCTACTGCCTTAGGACGCCGAAAACCCGCGTGGAGACGGAAATACTCTGACTCGGAAGACAGTGGACCAAAATTAAAAGGAGCTGCAGGTAAGGGATGTGGTGTGGGAGCAGCAGCCAAAAAACGCGAAGCTAATTCAAGCGATGACGATCGCACCACACTAGGTCCCAATCGCAACAATAGCAGGTTGCCAGCGTGGAAGGTCCGAGCTTCCCCTTTCATCGACACCAGCCACAAGCCAGGCTCGGATGAGGGTACTAATTATATGTCGTTCAGAATTTGAATTAGATATTGGATGTTGATTTTCAGATTCAGCACTCCTATGACCTAGCTCTAGAAAATGGAGTGGGCCTCATTCTACCACAGATTTTTCCCAAACAAACTAATCGTGACTATTGCAGGACAAGCACGAGTGTACGTCGAGCTAGACCTGCTGTCATCCAACTATTGCTTCATCTGCAAGTGCAAATAACATGAAAGGTAGCGAAATTGCGCAAGTCCGTAGTCGCATTCTTGGGAATAAGAACGCTGAACCGGATTCCGACAGTGAACCAAGAAGACCAGCTGCCAAGAAAAAAGTTTTCGGGAAGAAGCAACGGTACATCAGGATCTAGCTTGAATTTGGATGCTATTATTGTCGAATTATTTGCACGTCCTCAGACCTGTCTTGCATGTTTCTTTGATTGCATGCAGTACTAACGAACTTCAGTGCACCGTCATCCGATTCCGAAGAAAAGTCCGATTCTGGTGAGTTTTATTCCGATGCGGACACGAGCTTAACACAAGGCACCCGTGGGCAGTCAGCTTGGGATTTTGTTCCAACAAAAAAAACGTCGATCGGTTCCAGTTCGTCGGGGCCGCAGACCAAACCAGCGAACCCGGTGAAAAAAGGCGTGGATGCATCCCGGGCTAGCAATGACGATAGTCCTCCCGCAACGCGGACTGGCGGATTCGGCCTGAGAGCTCCCAAGCAAAGAGCAAGGCCGCTGGGAACGCGTCCCGGCGCATCTCCGGGCATCCTGCGTGCCACAAGTCGCTGTGATAGCGACGATTCTCCAACCCGACGAACCTCTATAGCCTCGTCAAAGAGGAAAGCGTAAATAAACACTTTCAGTTTCAACATTGACCTTGTTTAGAAGATAGATAGTGATCCGTCCTCGATTTCGATACATGTCAAGAACGAAGCGGATTAATTTCATGCTGGAAGACGCACTCAATGTCAATAGGGATCTTCTAGGAATGGATGGCACGTGGAAGCTCATCATCATAGTGGGAAACTAAGATAAACACAAGCACAGGTCGTACCCGATGAAGAAGAACTCCTACCGGCAACCGCCTTCGTCGCACGGAGAGTCACCCACTAAGGGAGATCGGGAGAATTCGGAGCTAAGCGACACCGCTACACCGAAGTGGACGCCTTGGGGCGGTCATTTTGGACTGGGGCGATTTGGAAAAATCGATTCTGAATAGGCGGCGATCAGCTTGGTAGCGTCCAAGTCGAGGAGCAGAGTTAATACAGAATGCTGGAAGACGAGGGAGCATGACGTGGGTAAAAGACAGAGCTTCGAGGGCAAGGTAGAGCTTCAAGGAGCTGTAAAAGAACTTCATCCGCAAGTCTTTTTGAAATGTGCTAGAAGTTGTAGTGGAGCCGAAGTAGTTCGCCCAAGCATGATTACAAGAAGAAGAACCTACCAGCAAGAAATTTTCGATCAAATACGACTACAAGCAAGCTGTATAATAGAGTAGTTTATAGACGCTGGGCTACGCTGGGTGGCTGGGCGGCCTCGCTGGGCGGCAACGCGGGGCACGCTGGGCGACAACGCTGGGCGGGCGCTTGGATGGCGCTTAGCGGACTTAAGGGCCACACATTGGGTGTGCCGAGCCTGCGCGGCCGATGGATTTACTTGCGCCGCGGGGACGCGGTGCAGCGCGTCCTCCCCGTGAGGACAAACAAAGGCGGCGCGCCGCCCTCAAGGTTCAGGGCAGCGCTTGCGCAGTGCTGCGCTAGTTTGCGCAGCAGCGGGCTGCGCGGCGCCTGCTCTGTTCAGGCTTGCACTGCGTCGCGCTGCACTGCGCTGCTCGATGCGTGCAATGCTGCGCCGCTCTTGTGCACAACGGTAAACTCGCCGCCGTCGTTGGCCTTGCCCTACGCGAGACTAGCGCCGCCGGTGGGCTTCTCAAGCGGGCGCCCGAAGGGCGCCCCGCAATTGGAGACGCCCAGCGTCACGCTGGGCGCAGAATTCGGCAGATCTGGCAGATGTGGGTCGCCCAGCGACCCAGTGTGCCCAGCGTGCCCAGCTCAGCCATGTTGGGAACCCTTATAAACTGTTCTAATAGAGTAGTTTATAGCCGCTGGGCACGCTGTTCTATATCATGATAGTCAAGAATTCATTTCATGAGTATCATGAGAAACCGACGCATTACCCTCCACTGGACGACAGCCTGCGCCGGGAAAACCACCACTCCGAACCACACCTGGTCGACGCAAGCCTTTACCTTGCCAACTTCTTTTTAAAATCCGACAATACCAAACACGAATACAATGATTACGCTCGTCAATTATACCCGTAAGTTTGTCAATAAATAAGATAGAGGGGCTGCGTATATTTTACGATTTTCGTAGACAGTATAACTATAAATTGATTTGATGTTGCTTGTGAATTTGTTCCTACAGGAAAAAAGCATATCCCAGACGCGTAAAAATATAAATCTATCGCAATTTATCATGGGTACTCACATTTTTGTTCTGCTTCATCTATCTGAGAGAATTCGGCCAAAGGTAGCCTGGCAGACGGAAATAAAGTCATACGATGTTGGAGGTAGTTGTGAGTTTTACTGAAGTCAAGAATTGTTACGCTAGAAAATGTAGTCGTAGTGTGAGTCTCAGCGTCACTTAAAAGAACCAAAGAATATTCACGCTCACTCGCATAATTCAATGTTTATGTATAAGAAGCAATGTGTTATCAATGTAACTCAAAAGAGAGTCAGGGAAGTCGTAGGTCCAATCCGAACCGACTAACGTCATCACTATCAGCTTCCAGACAAGTTATGGATAGTCTGCGAGTATTGGCACTCTCCTGAGTCATTACCATGCTTTTTGGTAGGCAAAGGCACATCAGTCGTTCTTGTTCATCTTCTAGACGACCGATGTATAAAAGTGTGAACTTCATTTTTCTCCAGTAAGTCATAATCTAGCTTTCAAGCAAGGTCATGATACTGTATCACGTACAACAAGACCAAGAGATGATTAGGTAGGCATCCGAAATTTGATTGAAGCAGCGCGCATTCATCTTTTTTGGCATGCAAAAGCACCTTGTTTCGGAGACACGCGAGATGAATCCTGCTTCAACCTCTCAGTCGTTCTTTCGCGAACGACCCGAGCCGCTGATCATTGATCATTTTCCGTCACGGATATTGATACAAACCGAATCACTCGAGTAGGAGGACGTTGCTGGAGCCATCTTCTGGAGTCATGGCCGCTGCAAAAAATCGCATGCCAGATAACTCTTAATCTTAATCTTATCGGTGAGCTGTACGTAGAATCGCGGATGATGATCCATATCAACACGAATGCGTCTTCAATCTTCTGAGTAGAGCCGGTTCTGTTCGACGACGTCTTCCGACTTTAACAGGCAGACGCTTGATCACTCTGACTTCCCGACGCCGGTCATCGATCTTCAGTAAACGAACAAGGAAAGTCCGAGAGTGAGTCTACAACTAGGAAACTGCAATACGAATACAAGTGCAAGAACAGGATCATATTCATCGATTATTCTCACCTTCGTGTTGTCTCAGTTCTTTGCTTCTGTGAAACGCGTGCTTTCTCTGCGTCCACCCATGCTGGTGCGTCGAATAAAAAAAATGAAGCTGCTCTTTATATATGAGTATTGCACATTTTTGTAAGTAGATAATGCAAGAAGTCGGCTGAAAAGACCTCACCGCCTTTTGATAGGATGGACCACGAGGTAACATGACATGACATTAAAGAGAACAGACAATACATAATCCTCGATCTATCATCAAAGCGAACGTCTTCAAGAAACAAGAAGAAAAAATGGAGAATCCAAATCTCTTGTCCAACGATCACTCCAAAGCCATGCTAGCAATAAGGTGGAGATATATGTCTAGTGTCGTCTCGTCTGGTACACCAGAATTATGGTCGTTCTCTCGCGAAGCAGACAAAGACAATGGCGCACGCAGAATCCGGCTCCGAAGTAGGATAAGCCAGCGTAAAAACTCATCGCTTACGATGATGGATCGATCCGGTGTCCCCTCAAGAACAGGCATATCCTCGTCCGCCGTTGCTCCTTCGTGTTGCCGGCGAAGTACTAGACAAAACGGCCGCTCACGGAAGGTAGAAGGCGGCAAGAAAGTTCTCCACAGCTTCAATTCGACGACGCTTGGGACACCACTCGGAGTCTCAAAAAGGCGGTTAGAACGCTCTAGAAGAAGTTCGATTCACGGCTACTGTGCCGTGCCACCGTCGTTTTTGCGTTTCCTATCGCTGCTCGCCGTTTTTCTTACCACAGCACTTGTAGATGCTGCAATAAGCGTGAAGAAGAGCTACTCCACCAATTTTATGTGTATCGAAAAAAGTTGCGTGAACCCTATTTTCCCGGCATTTCGACTGCTGGGCGTATCCCAAATGGAAGAGCAGGAAAAGCGGGATTGGAATTGTATCACTGGCATCGAAGCCAAACCCGGAGAGGAGAGTCCGCCAAAGGAAGACAACGTCTTAAATTTCAAGAACTACGCCAGCTTTTGTAAGTCGGTGCTCAAATACGACTTCGCGGTCCCTGACTGGATTCCTGGAACTAGCAGTCTAGAGGATATCATAGAAACGGAAAACCGCAAAGCGGTAGAGGCCTACATCTCGCAGCTAGACGGTCTAGGCTACGAGTATCTAGAGAACCGAGAACCCTGGGACTACGAATTCACTTCGCCCTGCGTACCACCGTTGTTTCAGATGTTTGGTGGAATTTTTTCACACGTGATCATACAATCATCTGTGCTGCACGTACAAAGTCACAGACTCAAGCTCATTCGATGATCACTTCTTTTACACAAGATGAACCAGCACATGTTGCTTGTTGATATTGACATTCTTAGAAATTGACAAAAAACAGCTGTATCGAATATACCAAATGGCGTGCTACACGTATTTTCCTAAGTGCGGTGTGGGTTCTTCCCAGAACAAGTTTATTCGTCCGTGCAGCGGCGTTTGCGACTCCTACTTAAATGATTGCGATGTCCGATGCTGTGACGAGGGAACTTCATGCGTTTTCGAACACAAGGTAGAGCTCGGCTTTTTCTTTGAGGAAGTATGAGCTTACTACTAACAATTACAAATTTGAATGTGTAGATCGAATGAGTTAAAGCGAAACTACATCTAGAAGTACGATTGATTTTGTTTGTTTATGAGGAAGTAAAAGTATGAGTTTACTAACAATTACAAATTTGAACGTGTAGATCGAATGTTAAAGCCTAACTACATCTAGTACGGTTGATTTTGTTAAGATGCTGCTCATTTTTGATGTATTCCTCGATTATGAAACACTCACCATCCGCATCTGCAAACCCCCACAGGAACGACTCCAATCAAAGACGGGATCACAGTCAATGTTGGTAACAATTAAGGGCTACGTAGACCATCCCGGTCCGAGTCTGTTTTGCACGGGAAGTGCCAAGGGTCGAGGGTCACCGAAATGGTTTTGCGCGTTGGCTTTGACGCTGTTTCTTTGCATGCAAGGTGCCGCGGGAATCAGGTACTGGGGGATGATTTCTCATTGAGATTACTGCTGAGTTTTGTTTTCCTATTTTCTAACAGATTGCGGTAGTAATAGTACCAATATTACAGCTCGATCGTACTTGTTGTACACAGTACCTTTGAAAATGTCTTTGCAGCTTCATTGTCGTGAGTGAAGCGAGATTTTTTGTCACTTCGTTTCTTTCTTATGCCGAACAACGACATCAGATCAACTATATATCTGCTCCTTGCGTTTTTTAGCACTAGCAGCTGTATGTCATATATGATTGGCAGCTAGCACTATGCTCATCTCCTCCTTTCGACATGACAAAAACAGCACCCAGCGAAGTCGTGCACAGAGTCGTGCCGAGGCTTCCTCCACGACCAAGACCCATGCTGCCGCGTCCATTAAGATAACAATGCTTCTTGTTCTTCAGTATCTTCAATGATTATACTTAAATATTTCAAGAATGACTCGTCTTTCATGATTCGTCCATTGGTAAAGCAACTCAACATCACACTGCTAATGATGTTGACCCGTCAATTTCAGATGGATTTTCTGGCTTTAAACACTGTCCATCGATCGCTTCGATCTTCCTCTGGCGCGACGAACTTTTCCCCTCCAGCGAAACGGATCCAGTGGAGGTAAAAGCGCAGCAAGAAAGAGCACGGCTAATGATGCTACAATTATGTTGGTCAGTATATTTCTTACAATTGATATTCTACGTTCGATCTTTTTATAATTTGTCTGTCAGTACTCTCCCTATCTCGGAGGTGGCTGGTGCCCTTCGATATGGATGAAATACAGGGGTCTTCATACTCTGCAGAGTGCTGTAACAGGAGAGAAGGCAAAACATGATCGAGCCCACGCTAATACAAGATCCAACTGCGGTCGCAGGGCTTAGTGCAATGGGCGCCGCTGACACCATTCTCACAACGGACATTATTGGCGCACATTCGGTACCACGGTGGCGTAAAAAGGAAGATTTCATTATGCTCTTGCTCTAGAAGCGCTTTTTTAATTAGTTTTAGTGTTTTGAAGATGCTCTTTTCCTTTTGGTAGCAAAGGGTGCTACAACTGCTAGTGCAGCCCATAGTCCATCTTCGTCCCCCGCTTCTGCTTGCTATAACACATGGACTTACTGGTGTGCTTGTCCCCGCGTTCATGATCCCACTCAACGTTATCCTTAGCTGCTCCTTCTAACCCTGCTATCGCTCTAATGTTACGATGATGAAGCAGTCGGCGGCAGACAAAGTGACGAGAACAATGGGCCTAAGCAGCTGCAACAACGCGAACATACCAGATGCTTATTATGATCATTTGCTCTGATAGGGATGATCTTGGTATAATCGTTTTTGATGGTCAACATAACCTTCTCGACTGTCCCAACCTGGAATAGAAATATCCATATCACCTTCTGCCTCGCATTGAGGACATATTTATTTAGATAGAGGACATCTTTGGTACCGCAAAGTTGTTGCGCATACCTTTCTCTCTACATCTAATGAAACAAATGTAGTCGTCGTGGAGTGTGCGTTCCGTTCGATCCGCTGGACGCTACGCCAAATGCCTACATGGTCTGTAGATGCGACCCGTCTTACGCCGGTCTAGAGTGTTACGGATACAAATATGATACAAGAAAAAGAGCCCTACATCTTCAAAACAGTAAAATTGTGTTGTTTTTCTTTGACGTGTAGAATGTAAGAAAAACATAGAAGATGAAAAGGCTTTGCGGCAGACATGACATGACATTACTTCTATGATAGAAGTCTCTGTCGAAGATGCGGCAACGCGCTAGGCGGTGCTAACTAAGCAGATGCATGAAGTAACGGTAATCGTAAATACACCAGAAAATATAAGACTTTCTTCTAGATCTAGATACTCATGTCATCTCTAACAATGCAAAGTGGAACGTCAGAGCCAACTAACAGCCTATGGGCTCTCGGTCTTTGGCGGCGTCTTCGGGCTTGACAGATTCTATTATGCTGAATAGCTACAGGAGCGAGATGAAAAAGTATTTAAGATATTGTAAAAAAAGGTCGTCATTCATTCTCTTTCTATTTTTGTACGAGCACAACAAGCCTGTCGTGCTCCTCGCATGCCGAATCGTTATTCTTTCTTGATTTGTTCTAACCTGCCCTTGGGGAGTATGCGTATGGCTCCTTAAAGCTCTTTACGCTTGGAGGTCTCGGATTCTGGTGGATGTACGACATCGTGTGGATCGGTTCCGGCCCAGTCTACGCACACGCCTAATATGGCGATTGAGTTTGAGACTGAGTGTCGTCGGAAACACCGATACGATTGACATTGAAGTAGTTGATGATGACTTGATACGCAGGCCAGAAATAGTGCTAGAACGATGTTACGTCAGTGGGACAAGGAATGATACATAACCTGGGTATTTCTTAAGAACAACTACTCCTTCACCTTTCTGCAACCTCTAATCCATCCGACTCGCCACTAGTGCGGCATCTGACATATTGCCAATCGTCTTTACTCCACTGGCGTTTATCATGATTGGAGTTTACTACGCTGTGCGTCATCTGTATGCGCATAAGGATCGCAAGAGACGCCTTGCTCGCGACATACTAAATCAATATGACATTGAGCAGCTCACGACGCACAAGCACGCGCTCGGTTCACTGTGAGACGTAGAAGAACCAAAAAGTTGTGGTTGTAAATCAAGCTTAGCTGATGTAGTGAATCATTGAAACTACTTGGTGTACACGTCCACCCATTTACAAGTAATTTTTGCCTAGTAATGTGTATTTTTTTACAACATCTTCATTTGGTACCTACAGCTTAATCTGGTAGTGTTTCCATCCAGTTCCATAGCCGGTCTGGAGCTGGTATGATTCCTTAACCGCGTAGAAAATTGTACAGATGAAGAACATTAACTATAACCTGTAGACCATCGAGACAAGAAAGTTGTTATTTTTAACACTACAACTCAGTGACCTGGTCTAAGTAAGATGAACTACCACTAAAAAGAAGAATGGAAGGAAGCCCATCGCGGTGGTACTGGTGAAGCAGGCGGAAAAGACAAATAGTAGTTCGTTTCTCTACTTACTCCTTTCTTATGTTGTTGACCGTGTAAGAGTAAGAAAGTGGAAGTTGTGGATGCCTATCAGAAAGCGCCCATGAAAAATGTTTGCACAGACGCAATGTCATTCTCAATGTGGTTATATACAATAGGAAACACAATCACAAACACCGAATTCTCAAAGAGGTTCGCAATTCGAATTATACTGAAGAAGCACTAGAAAAGAAAACTGTTCTTGATGAGTGTGTGACTTTCATTGACTTGTGCTAGAAAATGGAGTCAGTGTTCGATTTGTCTGAGGTAAGAATAAAATGAGTGTTTCTCTTGGACAAGGAGAGTGTCGTTGGAACAGTGAATTTTTAACCACAGTATTTTTGACGAGCAAAAAACAGTCTGAGTCTACAAGTGCAACTTAAACTTATCTTGTGGATGATTTATTCTGAATAAGAATATGAGGATAGAGAAGCATGATTGGGAGATGATACGTATTCCACGTGAGCAAGTAAGTAGTTCGTTCTCCACTTCCAAGGTGGAGACGTTAATATGAAAACCTAGCAGACAGCGGCTAAAAAATCTGGAATACATCGTGATGATCGTGCATGAAAATACTGCAGCATCAACTACTTCAGGCATTTTGTATGTAGTACTTGTATAGATTTACTGCTTATGGCTCAACTGAGCGAATGAATGAATGAATGATGCATTTACATACACATGCAGAGACAATGATATGAACCGGCAACATGGTCTGCTCAACAAATGAAATCATGTTCACCCTCATCAGGCCGATTGGTGGCGCTGCCACGACAAGCACTTTTCAACCATTTTTGTAACCATTTTCTCCCCGTTCTTATTAGCTTAGGCAGGTCATTCCTGAGTAAATGTTCTACTTAATGAAAATAAATAAATATGGCTCGAGATGTGGAGCATATATATATTGGTGCAGGACCATCAAATTAACCAGAATGAAAAATAATGGTTTCGAGTATGCCAAACGTATTTTTGAGTTTATAAGAATTGCATTTCAATTTCTGAAAATTATGGAAGACAGAATCAGATCTGAAGCTCCAGGCAAAACTCGGAGGATGGAAGGGCTTTGCGGTATCGTGAAGTGATCAATTTTTTGAACTCAAGATGCGCTGCAGCTTACACTTTCGGGAAATCCGGTACAAGTTTTTCTTGATGACGAATGTTCTTTGATACTTGATGACGAAGTAATCTACTGTATAGATTTAGGCATCGTAGTAGTTTCTGATAAATCACGACCGTGGAAACGAAGCTTCATGCTTTCTTGTGTCCGTTTGATCTCAATCATCTAGTCTATCACGATTAATCAATCTTTTCTGAGGAACTCGACGATCGATTTCTGGCGAGCGCTGTCGAAGCGAGGCATCTTGGCACCGGTGAAAGAAGTATCGGTGTACCCTTGAAAATACAGCGCGATCCAACGATGCTAAAACCAACGGACTAGACAGCCGCAAATCTGACTCGAGAAAGACTCGCGCGTCCAAATTGAAAATGTTCAGAAATGGCTCAAATGGAGCAGAGGCGCAATATGCCTGGCTGTTGTAACCCTTATGCTTGATCATATAGGTAAGAACATTTGTTTGAAGGTTGGTTCTCGTTTTTCATAGTGTGAAAATGAAAACGAACATGATGGACTCCGCCCGTCGAATGCGATTACTAGATCCTTCAGAGGCTCGCCTGATGGCAGAGTTTGAGTTCGACGATACTCATGAAACCTCTCGGAAGCAGCTATATGGACATGGAGAAGGTCCTCGAACGTCTATGATTCTGGATCGCGAGAAGAAAAAGAATTTCGCACATTCGATCATTGACACGAGCTTGAGCGATACACTCGAAACCCTAAAAGAGGTCTGCCCTATAGATATACTTACTTTTCTTTGATTGCTTTCTTTCTGATGAATGTTTCTAGTGCCAATTTCTCACTTTTCTAAACGCCTCAAGCTCAGACTGCTTCCTCAAAGTATTCATGATCGTGGTCTCCCTATTGATTCGTTTCTTATCACCTTAAAAACACATAGGCAATCGAAGGGCCGAAGTTTTTGCCACCTTATACGGTTGGAGATTTGGAGGACTTGTTACAACAACAGCAAAGTGAACAGCGCCTGGCGGAGCAACATCACTCAGAACGGCAGGAGCCTTTCTCTTGTATTCTTCTTTTAAGTCGTGGCACCTTCGGTTTTCCTTGGTTTCTAATGAGAGTGCAGAAGAGAAAAAGCTGCTATTCGTTGTAGTTCAAGCAATTCTTCATGCGATGAGTAAAGTAAGAACTTCTATTGGCTAATGGGCTTTGCGTGTCTGCGTATATAGATCCAATCAATCTAAACCAATCCTTCAGTTTCGCATCGGTTCCGATCTCCTGACGAAGTTGAAGAAATGAAGCGTGTAATCGCAAAGCCACCTGCTGCGGATGCTCGATACTTGACGTGGGATAAGCGTCAAGACTGGAAGGATGCACAGGCAGGACGCAGGATAGTCCCTCTCTCTCGCGCACCCAACAGTAGTGGGCAGGGCAGCGCCATTTCCTCGGCAGCAACGAACGTCAATTATGCAATTGAAGATGCTGCTGATGCTGGAGGTGGTGGAGCAGGAGGCTGCAATACTTTCAAGATCAAGAACGTGAGTCCTTTCCTTCTTCAAGACGGCCGTGGTTTGCAAGACTTCTCTTCGTCTTCCTCTTCGAAGAACGTGCTGTCACATCCGGCGCAGGGAATAAATGCGACAAAGTGCGATAGTAAGGCTACCACTAGCAGTCAAGCAGCAGCAAGCTCTTCCTCTTCGTTTTCTTCTTCTTCATCTTCTACTAACAACAAACCAGCCAAGAAAAGTTATCCGAAAGCAAAATCGAAAGCAAAGTTTCAGAAAGTGCCGGGGCAAGGGATGAAGCTTCATCCTAACGTAGAGCCCCCTGCCCATACTCCTGCCGGATCAAGTAGTACAAAGAGGACGCCGACAAAATCAACAGAAGTGTACTATGAGATTCCTCTGACACAGATGCAGCGCGAGGTGGGTAGCATTCTGGACCGTTTGAATGCTAGAGAAGGGACATCTGTATCATGGCCGAACCCTCCTATGATTTGCTTGCGGCAAGAATTCGAAGCTTATGCTGCGCAAGCATTTTACATGAACTACCTTCTACGATGTCACGCAAGAGCAGCTGAGGACGTCACTGAAAAAAAGCACTATCTCCTTGACGTAGTAGAGCCATTTTTCAGGACATGTGGACAGCACGCAATGCCAGACTATGCAAGTCGCGGATGGTTGTTGTACCAAAGTGAGATCCTGCAAGCGTTGTTTCCACCAGAAAATGAACAGAAGCCATCATCTGCAAAGCCGAAAATGAAGAAGCGTAGAGGCAAAAAATCACAAGCAGATGCGGACAGTGGTAGCAGTGAAAGCGACGACGCGCTACAAGAAGACGAGCTACTTCGCAAGATTCTTCGTCTCGAAGATGAAGATAGTGACTACGAGCCCAGCTCTGTAGATGAAGATGATATCTGGCCGTTTCAGAAGCTGCCCTTCCCAGACTCGACGGGCGACGACGATAGTGAAGGTTTAGACGCAGACGTCGCCGTGGGTGAAGACATCGACACAAGCAAGCACTTCACTGACAGCGTTTTTGAAGAGGTGCGTCGGATCATAGGAGAGGACACAGCACGCAACATGGAAGACAAATGATTTCAATATCTGATACTATCTATCTACAAATGAGCAAACTCTTCATCGCTTCGCTGTATAAAATGTTTTTTTTATAATCTGCTGACAAAGACAATTATTTTGAACGTCGCTCGGGGTACTAGTTTGTTAGGTTGTCCTAAATGTATAGAATACAATATTCCATGGATGTAGATGTGCTTACCGTGAAAGTGGTTGATGTTGATTCAGAGCAAAATCAGTTACAGGCCGCCCTTCTTGTGAACAAAGGAAAATGCTACTGAAGCGAAAAAAGACTAAGCCTTCTTCTTCTGGCCATCGAGAACGGACTCATTGAGGTGATGCAGCTGCTGCCGCCGTGCGTGCCGTCCTGTCTGATGCTGATCCAAGCTCAAAGATGGAAAAAAGAAGCTTTGCAGATTCCTGTCTGTCGTAGTCCTACTTGTCTATCTAACGTGACTGAAATGGAAATCCGTACCCAGGACCAAAAAGCAAGCGAGAGAAATCTAAAAGAACGACGAGCGACGCTGACTAGAGTGATACTGATATGCAAAAGCTTAGTCTGTTCATGTGTGATCGAGCTTGTTCTACATCAAAAACGAGCCACCAGATTGATAATGATATGATAGATTACAGCTTCGCCTTTTATTTTGACTGGCGTTTCGAATCGTTCGAGATAAAACATGGCGTCTTCAAGTTCAAGCTCACACGTGAAGCTGCCACTGCCGCGGCAGGAAGCCTCGTCATCATCTACTTCTACTTTAAGAGTAAGACTAGACTCGGGACGCGACCGTCTTGGAACAGCATCACCACAAAAAAAACGAATCAAATCAAGCGGGTCCTCAATAGTTGATGCGATGCGGAAGAAGCAAGATGAGAAGTTTCAGCTGCGTGGTAAGGACATACCAGATCAAGACTTGAAGGCTGTCGACATGACCAGGGCGGAGAACTTCTTCAAGTATGGAATAGTTTTCACGAATAAACTCAAATACGCAGAAGGCGATCAGACTTCGTCTTCCGGCACAGGTCATGATCTTAAGCTGCAGTCTGCTGAAGATGAGGACGATGTCGATACTTCTGAAAAAAAGCTGCACTATGAAGAATGGAAAACGTTGAATGTGCTGAACCACATTCGTTGCAGTATTGCGCCGTCTGTTGCTATACGTCATGCTATAGCTTCGCCACCTGGTCCACGAATCTGGTGTAAAGAAGGAGATGGATCTTCTCGATTGATGCGGCTGGGACAACGGAAAAAAATTAACAGATCAGCCGGACAGTTTTTCACAAGGAGCTACATCTCGTTTCCTGCACCTCTCGATAGATTCCGATATGATGAAACTGCTGATCTTGCTACCGGGCAAGTACTAGAGGACTGCCCTACTGAGATAGATTTCTTCAAACTCGGCGCCACAGTTAACGCAGGCCCCCGCAACAAGAGTGTTGACGTTTCCGATCGGATGCCAAATGTCATTGCGAAGACATCGGAAGAAACGAAGCAAGCAAGTGGCACGCTATTCAATCAAGACAGGAAAGAGCAAGCAGATCGGTACGTGGAACCTAGTAGAATGGAGATTCAAGAGCTGCAGCGAACCACTCATGAAGCAGTTCGAAAAGCAACGCTAAAAGCAGTATCTGCAAACAAAGGAGGAGATCGCGTGGAGCTACTGATACCGACGCACACACAACCCTCGAAGAAGCAGGTCTTTTTTTCTGCGGAAGAACTTGATGAATTGCGATGGCTTGACAAGAACTCAGGCGGTGAGCAGACTTTTTGCGTTTTCTGTCCGAAAACTGACACGGGTGACTTGGACAAAGGAGTGGTAGCTGCAAAGCAAGTGCTTGAAGATCCATCTTTGAAAAATACTATTGCGTGGCCAGTCCGTTGCCTCCTTCATCAAGTATACATGTCCCAGGATGAAACTGTTGAGGAGCTGTGCCGAGTTCTCGGAATAAGTCAAGGAAAACTGGAGAAACGTGCTTACTTGATGGTATTTATTTGTGCTATGGATGACTTATCAGATGAACACGCGGCCTTTTCTATGTGTTTTACTTTTGTTGATTATAATTGAGTGGTTTGGCATTTGCTGATGTAGGGCGAAACCTTGTTCAAGTTCATTGCGTCCCCATGTCCATTACAGATTTTGTAACGTTTGTATGTCTTCTCTCTTCAGGCGTTGTGCTTGAAGAATAATTCGTTCAAAGTTCTATCGGAGATGGATTCTGTGCTTCAAAGAATCAATCGAGTTTCGCACGCTTTATTGCCGAACGGAGTGCCAGCGCGTCGAAAGGATGCTCGAGATTTAGGATGGACATTAGGGATCGTGCAAAAAGAAAACGATGAGGAGCTTCGGCGGAAGGACCAAGGTAGTTTGCTTTGATGAGTGTTCTCTATCGTATAGTAGCTTTTTCATGGTTTTTGTTAACAATATTAACACGCAAGATAATTGGTATTATTGAAGAACATTCCTGGACTTGGACTTCAAAAATATAAGGTATCATTATACCTTCCGGAGAAGAACCAACGAAATTCACTGACTTCGAAAAAGTTGCAGGTGAGGAGTGGTTTACTCTGCGAGAAGAAGCAAAGGATAAGAAGATCTCTGCGTCGCAACTGCAGCGATATTTGAGCACCATCGTTTTTAGATGGAACCGGTACGGAACCGTTGTGGAGGGCTTGAAGAAACTACTTTGCGCAGAAAATTTCGGATTGCATTTGATGCTGGTTACATTGAATTCTAGCAAAGTCGAGTTTTCGGAAACAGGTCCCGACGTGGTCTTTCGAAGTCCTTCTGCAGGTATTTCGTTTGCTTCATCATGTCATAGCGAAGAAAGCACCCTCTTACTCACTTGGATGCCGATACGTTGACACACAAACAAAAAATGGCTTGGCTTGTGCAAATCAATGCAGTTGTAGACTCTGCGATCCTTATTATCCTTATGCCAAACTCTTCTACAGATGCACACCGGGAGACTCAAATTTGCAATTATTTCATTGTCTTGACTGTCCGTCCTTCCGACACCGTGCACAGCGTCGGTTTGAAAAAAACGCGGCCTTTGACAACAAGCGAGTACGGCGAGGTTTTTTCTTTCGAGTACGATTTCTGTAAAAAGTTACTGCAGAACAAGGAGCAAGTGGAAGATGAGTTGTTTATCTTGATAGGAGTCGACTTCTCTAATCCATATTGCGAGGAAGCTAATCGATTGCGAGGACAAGTCGACAACCTTCGACTTGGTAGCTTGTGGGCGCTCATCGTGTCAAAATCAAGCATGGGCTGGAGATGCAGCATGTTCACAGCAGCGGGACTCTCTGCGACGAATTCTCACATGGACTTCGCTAACAAGATTCATGAGCTTGCAGTAGGCAACCACTTGTCCGAAGTCGAGTACTTACTAGAAAGCTTCTTGAAGCAAACCTTGACGCTGCAGAAGCAGGACCCTGGAAGCATCGCCCTTGCAAGTTTGCAGAAATTCTTAAAGTCGAGGCCGCAGAGTCAGCGAGTTGATTTGGTGTTAGCTTTGATAGACGTGCTTCCGGATTGTGGTACTGAATTGGTCGAGCGGCAGCTAGGACGCTTCAAACAGCGGCAAAGTAGCACTCACCCCAAAGGGCATGAGCGACTTGATACCGAAGCCGGCTGCTATGAGTGGAAAGTAGCGCGCGATACCGACAAGCAGCAGCTTGATGATGTAGTAGAGCGAAACAAAGCAATGCGAACCGAAGCTATGCAGCGACCGCTGGAGAAGATTCCAGAGCAATTGCGAAAGAAAAGGGGTGGCGGATACTACAAATTTCTAGAAGTATACGGTCGGCAACAGATGGCCACGGTATTGCCTGCAAACAAATCAAACAACTCTTCATCTTCAACAGACCGTTGTGAAGAAAATGGCGAAGCGCGAGTGCTTTGGAGCAAACTGCCAGAAGAAGTAAAAGCCAAGTTCCGACTGGAGGAAACCATAGAAGAAGCTGAATTTTACGTCGCTGCGCTGAAAGCATCGGAAAAGGCATGCAGGTGGGACGTCACAGAAAGAGACATGGAAATACTGAAGCGTCGTCACATAGTAGAAGCACAGCAGGAATACTACAATACTGTCGAGAAAGAGTGTGTTGCGTTTTTTCATCGAAGGCCGGAAATCCGTCCAACTCCTATGCGAGAGCGGCAATTGCGGTGCAAAGGGGAGCGATTCGACGCATCACGTGACAAGCCGGGAGATTGGTGGGCTGCAACAAGAAAAGAGATTCATGACGCTGTAGCATTTCCGCCGGAAGCAAATCCTGTTGTTGATAAGTTTAGGAATCCTCCAGTAGGCCGGCTTCCAGGAATAATCGCAAGGTTCATCATGTTGAATCGCAAAGCGGAAAGAAAGTTAAAGACCGGCATGCCCAGTAATTTGGAGCCTGAAATGAGTTCAGAAACAGACATGGAAGTAGTGAAAAAGCGGAAGGAGTACTGGCAGGAGAATCTCGTCATAGAGGGGAAAATTCCACAGCTTCTAGCCGTTATTTTTCCACGAACAGGGAAAGCGTTCATCTTCACAAAGATTATGAAGACTCCCCGAGGATTTTTAGCCGCACGACTTCGCTTCCGTGATTCGTCTTCTAGTGCTGCAGGTTCTTCCAGTTCATCATCAGCAGCAGGCGGCACTACTGACGTAGAAAAAGACTCTGAGAACGGGATACCAGAACAGCTGCTGACAGATGGGTTTCGCGCTGAGCCTGTCACTGAGGGGTATGCTTCTACTAGTGCTATTTTCGCTACAGTTGACGACACAACGACAGAGATTCACGATAGTCGTTCTATGGAGATGCTTCCGCCGGATTTCTCAGTTTTTGAATGTCGATTAGGTGTGGCTCCCTGGGACCCTGATGCAACTGCGGTTGAGTTTGTAAGAGCATTGGAGATCAGGAAGCTGGAGAAGCCGCCTCCTGAGCCGAAAGTGGCGAGGCAAGAAGATGGAAACAAGTGCGAGGGTGAGCGAGCTAGTGACGATGTCCATGCGGAAGAAGATGCGCAACACGCATTGAAAGTTCGCAAAGTTGCAGCAACAGCGACGGGCAGTTTGTTGAAAGGACAAGCAACAGCTGCAGCGACTTTATCGGCATTGTTGGGAAAAAAAAGCGATTACATTGAGAAGCTCATCTTGGAAGATAAAGAACGAAGAGTAGACGAAAAAACTGCAGAGCAGACACGCGCACGTGGTAGCCAATTTACTTCCTCGGTGTTAGAATGTCTTGCATGTTTGATATTATTGAAAGCACAACCTTGATCGATACTGATTGCGTTCTGTAGGTAATCTATCTACCCGTGGAGTTTCATCACGTCATACCACACGAACCATAATAGGTGCTGCTACAACGAAGAAGACGGGGCAGACGATTACGTTGGACAACGCCATCGGAAAGACAGCGGACGCGACTGCAGCACTGGCAGTTCAAGATGCTTCTAGTACATTGCCAGAAGGTGTATCGGCGCGAGACGCCATAGCAGTGGTCAAACCTACCAAACCACTGACAGAAGCACAAAAATCACAGAAGACGTATCAACTGCTGCAACAAGCTGGCCTCAGTAGAGTTGACGCATCAGATGAGCACGTGATGGTGATACGCTCAGAAGACGAAAGGCGAAGACGCAAAGCTATTCGCAACGAGCTTAGTGCGAGAATCGATCGCGAATTGCTTCCCCCTGGCGGTTACGATGTCGTTGGTGATAACGCGGGTGATCGTTATCGTGCTTCTTGTCCGGCGTCTGATGCTCACATCGTTCGGAAGCTCAGAGCTCAGGGATGCCTTCTGTACGTCGATGGAGATACGGGAGTCACAACGAAGACGACAGGGACTAGTTTACTACATGAGGCGTGGAGCCGCGCCTGGTGTCTCAGTTGGTGCCATAGAATGTATTGCTTGATACGAATAGCGAAAGACGCGCCTAGTCGTGCAACGAAAAACGCCGCTGCTGATAAGGTTCGATACCTGGAATCTCGAGGAAGATTGATTAGGGCGCGGATGTTGAAGGGAGTAGAGGATCAGTTGGATGAAGAAAGGCGAACACAGCTAGAAGCTGTCACGAAGGTAGATCGCATGACCGTGGCTTTTGCTGTCGTGCTGAATGTGCAGAAGAAAACCCCGCAGAAACTAGTGCGCGCAGAGAATAAGACTCGAGCGCCGAAAGTCGCAGCGAAAGGAAAAACAAAAGCAGGAGCAGGAGATGCTCTCGCTCTACATGAAGAGGACGATCTTTTTGACGACTGAAGGGCGAACTCTAGTGGTGATTAGTTGAAATGCTCGAACTTTTCACAAGGTGAGCAAGCGGTGAAATTTTCAAGATAATCCTGATGATTCTTCCATGTTTTGTGGCTCGTTTTTCAACATATTTTCTGACCATACTCACTCATTGAGAAGGAAGCTTGCGAATGTTGAGAACGAGGCTTGGCCGAAATGAGTATACCAAGTCTATACCAACTTAGGAAATGTTTATACTTTGAGTATGCCAAATCAAGTAGGAAAATCATACTCACACCATACTCACATCATACTCGCCATTTTTGTGTTCCTTCTGGAGATCTTCAATCTTCGATCTCCAATGAGAAAGATACCATACTCATTTTAGTCAGTTTACCATAAAAAGGATCAAGGTTTTCACCAAGTTTTTGATGAGTTCTGTTTCTTCTTAGAAGTTGAGTCGTTCTCTTGATGTCGTGTGTGGTACGTGGAGTCAGGATCAAGCTCACGATCAAGATCAGGATCACGATCAGGATCGTGTGGGTTGGTGAATATAGAATGAGATCCGGTTGCCGACTTGTGACAGACGTGATGCTGGTCGTGTTGTTAGAGACGTGCAAACTTCTACTTGGTCACTTCCTTCACATCCTCCACCTCGCAGGGCTTTTCTAGTTTCGGCTAGATACTACAAATTTTCTTTCTTCGAACGACTACAACTAATCCCTCAACTCATTAGCAAGAAGTGACACAAGATGGTTGGGCAAAGCGGTAAGCAACCAGCTCCGAAGAAAGCTGGAGGAAATCGCAAAACGGCTTGGAAGAACCAGACCCCTGGTAGCAAGACCAAGAACATGACGAGCAGCATGAAAATCACCGGTCCCACGCGTGGCACCGCCCAGGCTGCCATCAAGGAGTTCTTCTCCGACCCGAAGAACGCCAAGTTGAAAGAGAAGGACGCAAAAGAAGTTTTGCAGAAGTTGCCGTCTGTTTGTGCAGCTCGTAAGACCGCTAATCCGGAATTAGACGAGTTGCTGAATCGCAACGGGAGGATGGATCACATGCTGGCTCATCTTGGTGCTGAAACGGACTTGAAGAAGCTTGACTGCAAGACAATCGTGCGTGATTTGCTGGTACTACTACTAGTCTCATGCTGCTCGTCAAACTTTCACTTTTATATAGTATTAAGCTTTCACCACACAGTACTGGTTCTATATAACACTCAAGAGCATGAAATATGGACTGCTATGTAACACTCACGTCTACTTTTAACCCGTACCCATCTGAACTATTCAAAAACGAAACTACAGCCTGAGTGGAAGGACAAGACGAAGCACATTGGTAACGCAAAGGCCTTGGTCAGCGCTTGCGAATTCTGCATGTCCCGCTTGAAGAAGACCACGGGCAAGTACGCGATCTTCCGCCAGGAATCCCGCAAAGCTTTGGTGCATGTGATTAAGGACTGCAAGGACTACGATGCACTGCGAGGATTGTACTAACTAATAGTCAACTGCATCTACGTGATGCATCTCTTTTATGCACCGTAATGATAGAGGTACTGAACCTGAAGAAAGTTCTCTTACTGGGTTTATGATTCTTGTTGACATCAATGCTGCTAGTTCATCGAAACGTGTGCAACGTCTCAACGGGATATGATTCATACCAAGCAACGCGCAAATCATTTTCATTACAGCATCGACACCTTGTGCGGCCTCGACACCATCAACAGCAAGATCGTGAAAGCGATTGGCTACCAGCGCATGGGTAACAGGATCAAGAACAAGGCTGACTTGGAGAAGCGCATCGCGGCTGTGGATGTGCTCAAGAAGGACGAGACCTTGGATAAGGTCGACCAAGAGCTGGTGGAAGCAATGCTCGGGGTAGGATTTTAGTTATACCTTACATCATTGTACTAGTCCTTCTTTCGTGTAGATTTTTTGCGTACCTTCGTACTGCAGTTCGTTATCAACCTACGTGCTTTAATATTCGCTGCGTGTCCAGCTGGTTGCTAACATAAAGAAGTTGAAGCTCTTCCTCGATCTAAACTTTATATCCATCCAGGTTCTTGTTGGCAAATGCCGCTCGCAGTATCAGATGTCCGAAGATATGGAAGTCATGCGTCATGCAGGCGACGGCCGTGAGATCTACACTCCGTCAGGAGAGGAGAACGGTGGCTCTCAAAAGGAATGGGAAGATAACGTCAGTGCAGCGATCGCCAACATCGTGAGCACGTCGTCTTGCGGCTTCGAGATCTGGCGCCACCTGCTTTACGACACTGACGAGGAGGATCAGCATGAGATTCTGCAGAAAGCGCAGGCATTTTTTCCTTAGTTCTATGTGAGTGTAGCTGTTTATTTGTGGTACTACGCATGCAAATATAGACCAAACAACGTTATCGCTTGAAGTTGTGACGCAGAGACCCTTTTTCGATCTTTGATAATATATAAACTCACACCAACTTTTCCAGATTGAGAAAGCTTTGCTACGTGCGGAAAACATCAGCACCATCCTCGCTAAGACCGAGCTGCAGCCCGTCATGTGGGAGGACGTGATGAAAATCAGTCGTGAAACTGCCCAGCTGTTCTCCACGTACCGTTCTGAGGATGTGCCGAACTTGCTGCTGGCGGTGGGTCAATTCACTTGGATGAATGATGTGTCTTGGTTCAAGGAGAAACGTGCTAAGACGTTGCGCAAGTGGAGCCAAGCACTGGCACGCGGCGAATTTCATTGCATGCGCCACATGGTTCTCGACAGTGTCACCGAACTGGTTGCAACGAACTGGGAACGCGTATCAATTTTTATACAGCATTGATTTTTGTCGTATCAAAACCAACTACACGGGTGCGCCCCGTCTTGTGACTTGCTGTAGCCATGCTCGGTGAGTGGTGTCTATTTTAATTTTGAAGTCGTCACTTTTCGAAATAACGTCTAATCTTTCTAAGTCGATTATGTACCACGGCAGGGAGTGAGTTTTTTGTAGTTTTGTATGATCGTGGCCGTCATTTGAGTTTGATTATCAATCGACCACTAACATCCATGCAGGCCTTCAGCCTGGCGGCAGAGATGTGGGAAGCCGTGGGCACCTTGGATTCGGCTTACAAGAGAAACTCAGGACGTGATCTCCTTGCTCAGCATGGTGATGCTGTGGTGCAGAAGTACGAGGCTTTGTTGGCGTACTTGCATGACAACGAGAAATGCTCGAACGTTGCTAAGGATTTTCGTGGTGCAGCTTTTCAACAACTTGGCATGCTGCCTACGGTCATTCAGGAGATGTTCAAGGACACGTTCGGCAAATCCAACGAGTTGCAGACCAAGGTCGGTTTCTGGGACAACGAGTACCTCGCGAAGCACGCGAAGACACTCCTGGAGTCCAAGGCGGTGGGTGCTTTGGACTCTATGAGCCTCATTGCTCCCAACTGCGCAGCGGTTGTTGAGGGACTGTTGCGTCTCGCTCACAATGAAGATGAGAGTGATGGCGATTCCGACAACGATGACGTCAAAGCGTATTTTGAATCTGCTCGAGTCAAGTCCTCTCCGCCGGTTTCGAAGTACGACGATGACAGTGAGGTTGACTCTCCGTCTGCCTCGCAGAATGGCTCGGATGGCGAGCTGGACGAGTTCTTCGAAGTGAACAAACGCATGAGCATCGATCCAAAGAAGAAGGCGTCGAGCAAGAACGCTGGCAAAAAAAGCACTACCTCGGGCAAGGACACAGCTCTGGAGACTCCGGTAGCGAAGTGATAACAAGTATGCTACTCACAATATGAATCAAGACGACATGTCTCATTTTGTAACGCAATTCCACCCTCTCTCGATTTCACAACATTCGCAACTATTGACTTCTCTTGTACGCTGGTAGGTTTGAAGGATATGCTACTTTCTTCAACACCATTCTGTTTCTCATCACAGGCGGACAAGATCATCAACATGGAGAGTTCCCAGGAAGAGATGGGCCCGTTTGGTGAGATCGTGCAGATGGAGGAATTGGCTGCGCCACAACCGAAGAAGCGCCGCAGCGTGAATGAGGACGACGCGGGCTTGCCCCTTGTGCTCGAGGGACATGCAGGTGAAACACGAGGTGGTCACTAGTCTCTATATATATATATAATATCTTCTGTCTCAGAGTATTGACGTCATTGCTGTGTACTACGTTTTGAGATTCCGTCTACCACCTTCACAAGTCATATCGTATGCTGTGAGCTTCAGGCTCGGTCTGTAACTAAATGAGCGCAGTAGAGGGTTAGGAATCATCTAGATGTCATTTCATTCTTCGGGTTCAGTGTGTAGGTGCAGTCTACTACTCTCTTGCTTTGTTCTTCATAACCGATTTGAACACCCCTCACACCAGGCAACAAGGCGGGGCCGTCTTCGGTGTTTGCTTCTCAATAAACGGTGGAGGAGCTGCTTGTGGAAGATCTTCGTGCTCATTGACATGGGTGCGGCGGTCGTGGTACTCGAGCGATAACTCTTTCACCAATGGAAGCGGCCTCAGCTTTTTGGCGATGTCTCTCCCATGAAGAAGTATCAGCACTAGGCAGCAGTATTTGAAGAAATTGGAAATTTAATCTTTAACACTTACGGGGGGTGAGTTTTAAACATCTTGGTGAAATGCTAACTAACAGCTACCCAGAGTGGATTCTATATAGGGTTCTGAGTGGTTGCATTTGTTTGCTAGTATTTCACTTGTTTCACGAGGAGGATGGATTTCGTCTACGGTGTTTGTGTCTATCAGATGCTCGCACTCATTGGCGAAAAGTAATATGCTTTCATGAAGTGAAGTAAAACAATTTATTATGCATGATTGAATGTACGTTTGCCGATGACCGGTTAGCCTAATGAGTGATTAGCTTTCCTAGTCGACGCGACGCACGGCGTGCCCGCACGGGGGTGAGCAGCATCCCTCCTTGCGGTTAATTAAAGCTCCACGACGAATTTGGTTACTAGAAAAATAGGGATAGAAAGAAGAGGTAGTAAGTCATGCCTTTCGTCCTAATATCTAAAAGAAACGGCATGCTTCTATAGGTCTTGGTCTTGAAAAGTACTCACGTAAATCAAGGCGAGGATAGTAGAATGCTTGACTTTGACCCTACCAGCTATTTGCGATACATCGTATAAACACAATAAGAATACGCAGAGGAGTTCAGTTTTTGAAATACCACGAGGGTGCAGCCATACATATCGTATTCTTTTGGTACCTAGGTAGTCTGGCTATACAGCAGAAGATGTCGATGCGTGAAAGTAGAAGCTGTACACAGTCGCGCTGTTGATACGAGTAGTCAGTAACATTTTCTAGGAAGAGTAGTTTTGGAAACGTTCAGGGGGGTACAATAGTAGTACTAAGTACACCCATGCGACGTTCGGGACGCCTTTGCATCGCTTTGCGACTTGGACGATGTGTGAGTTACCTTCACATCGTCTGCAAATGGTGCCGCTTTGAGTCTGAGAACCTTTGCTATCCATGTCACTAAGACTACCTTCGGCCTACCAGACTACACTCGCCAGGATGTTGGTTGTTATAGTGGCAACATCATCTCACCTGGCTGAGACGAATCATGGACTTCCTTTCCTTGCTAAATAATTGAAATCGTCGATTTTGTTTCCAAGAAAGTATCGCGCTGGCTGTTGGGTTCAAGTCACACCACTCTTCATCTTCTGGCTCGTTTCGCACGGATTCTTTTCACTTCTTTGATTCGTTTCGTCTCCTTCGCATTGATTTTGGTGGTGTGCTCCTGGATAATATGGGATTTTGCTCGTTCCGCATGTAATGACTATGCATCTCTTCACCTCATGGCCTAGAGTGAACTTCCTAACCAATTTTGAGGCCTTTCAAGTCTAATTGTTCTATCCTCTTCATCAGAAAGGAGTTTCATGAGTTGGCATGTGTGTGGTTTTCTATTCATTTGAAGAACGAGCCGACCACCACGATAGGTTTCTATTTTAATTTGCTTTTTGCGATGCAAGCAGTGATGGGTAGTACCCAAATTGAATTGAATTGAATAGTAGAGAAACAGGTGCGACAGGTTATTATTGTCAATGCGGAGGGACTGGAGCCTCTGCCACGCTCTGCTAGAGGTTCTTTTGTCCTTCAGATCTTATTCTTCTGGAAGTTCCAGCTGAAACAGAGAATACAAAATCAAAAAACGAGCTGGGCTTCTGTGAATTGGTTTTCAGTTGATCTCTTATCGCATGCTAGTACTCGTTATTAAGTATCACGTTACTTCAGGCTATGACGTGGTGCCAACGCAGACGCGTCTAGTGGTTGAAGTGAGAAGTAACTAGAAGAGAGTCTTCGAATAGTTCAGTAAAAGCGTTAGCGTGGCTGCGGGGTCGAAGCTCTTTCTTGCAAGAGTGGCCTCGGTTGGTTTAGATTCGATACTCGAGGGAGCCTTTTTTTCCATATTTTCCATACTAGGCATATTTTCCGAACGTTCCGCCGGTGCGATGAGGGTGAAGGTCCCCCTCCCCTCCTCGGGGTGATCGTCCCTCCATTTTCCAGGCGGATCCGCCACTTATATCTTTCTATTTACCATGTGGCAACCTCTGGGCGTGTTACGTCGATCTGATGCAACTAGAGTGCACCGAGTACTTGACTGCTTAGAATCTTCTGCACCCTCTAGTAGTTAGAACCCGAATTAAGCTATACCAAGACTAAGGACTGCCTCCCAGTACTCAAATAGATTCCCAGGCAGGTGGGGCATTAGACTATGACCTCTTCCGTTGACCATCTACCTTGAGCATCTTGCGTCTCTATTTCTCATCTGAGCGGGGGCCGCTCGTTTAATTAAAGTTGCTGCCTCACTTGGAAAGGGGAAGTGGCGTAACAACATAGAGGAAGTTGATTGTCAACTGGCCTCCCTATCGTGTCGTTTTTCAATTGATGGGCTTGCACATGCGCAGACTTCGTGATTCTTCGATCTATTCTAGTACAGCTTTCCTCCTCCTCACCAAACTAACGGCCCTCACTATAACGCTTTTGCCTTGCTCGCGTATTTCTTTCATGTGCTCAATGATTCTCCTTGTATGGTGATTGCTACTGAGAACCACCTTGGTTCTTCTCTCTCTATCCTGTAGGTAGACACCCGCTTTAAACGTACCACTAAACTTTGTAGAAGGGGGCACAGCGTGTTACGGAGGAGCCGACCTGGTGGCCTTATGTCTGCAGGTGGCAGCCAAAAAAGCATGTCGAATGTTGTTTATTTACTAACCACTTGATGATGAACATGGATATAATATGAAGTAATATCATTTATTCTCTGCGAAGTTCATGCGTGCGTTGCCGCCTGGGCTTTGCAAAAATTACAACTATCGAGCAGTGAAAGTCGAGAGTGCGACTATCGCCTCTGCGACCCTCTCTGATCTGACGATCGGGAGGTAAGTTATTGGATACTACAAACACAATTATGGGGTGGAGGAATGATGTTACAACTTAAATAAAAAGATCGCATGAATGAAATAAAAACGAGACATACAAGGATATGAATGATGTGAGTATGAACGACATACCTTCAGGATGGAGATATGGAAGTCACAAGGAGTTCACACTTCGAATGATGACCCGAGGAGGTGGCACCTAGGTATAGGCTGTTGAACCGTCAGCATGCTCCAAGCTTGGGAACAACTGTCGTGATCGACTTGCAGGCGTACGATTGAACATGTGAGCACTGCTGATGTGCATTCGCACGAACCATAGACTTCATCTAATGCTGCTGTGTGATATCGAACGTCAGGAAGATTCTCATGTGCTCAATTTTGAACGTCGTAGTTTTCGAAAGGGCCTGACGCTTCGGATCGATGGAGCGTCGGGTGATGTGATCGACGAGATGACAAGCTTCGGAGTGTTCAATCTATGCACGAGCAGGCAGGTGCTTGTGTAGACAGTGAGCTCTCGCGTGGATCCTGCTTATCAGGATGTGTCGTTCGTGATCTGTCGTTCGTGATCTGTCGCTCGTTATTTGTCGTTCGTGCTCTGTCCGGTTCGTGATCTGTCGCTCGTGACAGAGAGCAAACCAAAACTGAGCAAGAGAGAACGACGAGCACGCAACGATATGAAGAGCATAGGAGGAGAGCACATGCTAAGAAAGTCCCGATCTGATTATCAGGAGGTTCATCACGAGGTGAAAATGGCCAGGATCTTTCATATCCTTCGTTTTTTTCAACTTCACCGTGTCAAGTCGCAAAATATCAATCATTTGGTCCTGTATTTCGAAATTGGTAATCTTTGGCTCCCGCAAAAGAGATCGCTTGTTTCGGAATTAGTAGCATACATAGAGGAAACCGCGCTGGCTCCCGAATTATATCGATATTTTACATGTTCATGGGTTCAACTTGCAAAAAGTCAGAGCTTTGATGTACCTTTCCAAAGTATTTGCTGTTTTACATTGACATGCTCCTGAACTTCTTCGAATGCCCAGACTGCGTTTGTAGGACTTGGCTTGATCGTGGACTACGTCCAGGCTTGTGGTTGATCTTAGTGCTGCGTACACATGTAGAAAGATTCTCGATATTTTCAACGTTGACCATACGAAACAAACAAAATGGCGACTTTTAAAGCTTTGGAAGAGAATCCGCGCGCTTTCTTCGAAGCGAGCAGAAAAATCTTCGATAATTTCGAAGATGAGCCAGCCAAGTCGAAAAAAATCGAACCTTTGAAGAATTCAAAGAAACGAGAAGACGGCGGTGGAATCGGCAGGATCTTATGATGGAAAGAGCATGTTTCTTCGGAATTATGTAGCTGCTCGCGCTTGTTCTCTGTAGCATGCGCGATTTTTCAACCCCAGAGATTTCTTTGATATTTTGTGGCTTCACTAGGTCAATTGCCAAAAAACTACCCTTTTGGTATTCCAATCTTCTAACTAAACCTGCTCGACGACGACGTGCTTTGGGCCCGGTTGGAAAATCTTCGCGGAAGCGGAAGGGAGAGGATGTTGTGGCTTCTGTATTTAGTGCTTTGTGAATCGATAACTTATTAACAAGACAGGGAAAGTCTTGATTTTTTTGCAATTGACACGCTCAAGCGTTCAAATATAGCACAGATTCAGGCTCGTCGGCCTTCTAACAAGTTCGCGTGACCGTGGTGATGAGAAAGAAAGCTGATGGGTGATGGGTTCGCTCATGTGGTGCACGAGGCTCTGGCGAAGGGGCTGCTTGCGCTTAGCACGAGAGGCAGCAGCTATCTTAGCATGGACGCCAATCGGTAGAACCAGAAAGGCCGGGTGAATCTCGCAAGCTTCTCATCAAGCCAAGCATCTGGTGCATCTGTAAATGATGTGGGCGGGGGCTTGATGCTAAACCATGACAATATGTTACCACCGTTGACGTTGTACATTGCTCTGTGCTGCTGCTGTGGCAACGTTGGACATTTCTAATGGAGAACATGCAACCCAAGATCCAAATCATGCACGGTGTTCTGTGGTTGCAGACGTAGTCTGACAAATGGGCTGCAGCTTCAAAATGTTGATTTAGATCTCCATATGCATCAGAAATTGTCAGAAATGTTTAGGTTTTGTATATTATGGAACCATTGTCAAGGCGTGAATAGAATTTGAGTGGTCCTGTTCCAATATATAATAAATCATGCTCTTCAAGATGATATTGATAATCGGCGTTGAAGGAATTTGAGTACTTGCGCTCCCGATCTCTGGAATTTGATTGCGTGCGCATTGGCATGAGTAGACTGCATGCGATAACCAAATAATTCACGCCGTGAACCCCATCCTTTTCCCCGCAGAATCAAAATCACATTGCTTTTCCTTCTAATCCTACCAGAGAGATCTTTCTGACTGCAGATGCGTGACACCTGCACTTGTTGCAGTGTTGCGATCGCAAATGACGGTCTATAATTATAGTCAGTAGATTTCATATTTGTGGGATCGTGGCCGTGATCATTGAAGTTTTGACATTGACATTGACTTGAGTACTATCTTGCTTTTATGATTAAGTATAAATGAATGATGGCATGTTGATGTCCAGTTGTTGTAGTACGCCGCGCTTAGCCTAGTGAAGATTAATTCAGAACAGTTCTAAGAATTATCGATTGCATCTATTCGACGCATCTCCGACACCCTCTCAGAAGCAGTCGCGTCCTTTTGGTTCCCACTTTCTTGCGCATTAGTTTAGACTCTGTTGTGGGCCCACTCTTATCGGTTTTTTTGATGTTAAGTCATCGTCGACGTAGAAAATGCGTTGAGACAGGTTGGAGCATCCTTGCTAACCACGACGTATCCCGACAAGATCACGCTCTACTAACTTTTGAAGCCCTTCGGACCGCATTTTTCTAAACGTCGTGGTATTGATTCTCACTCTCTGGGTCACCACTCTGTGGCACATATGCAACACTTCCTCGACGACGACTTGACGAGAAGAGAAGACTTTCCATGCCGCAGGTGCCGTCATGACGGGAGTGCCACCGGTCGCGTCGCCTTCTTCTTCCAATCAACATAATCCGAAACTTGCATCTTCATCGAGGTTAATATTTGAAAACAGGGACCTACAGTCTTGTGCTTCTCAGACATTCACCACCATGCCGCCTACTGCTCTACTCCACGCGCAAAAATCTCACCAGACCACCTGAACAGATTATCAGAGTAGTGTTAGGTCTTGGTCTAGCTCAAGCAGGTGTTTATTGCGGTGACCTTCGACGACACGCAGCATTCGACTCATCAAAATCAGCAGCGAGACGAAATTGGAAAGTTGATCATAGTCCGGAGTGCCTAGTCGTCGAGAAACAACAACATCATTTAAAGAGATCCAAGCTAAGAGAAACACATCTACAACTAGGCTGGACGAGTCCTCTCTGTTCCTGGCAAGAAGAGCAGCGAATCAATTGATGAACTCTTAATGCTGATGTACGACAACCTCTATACAATTTCGGTTTACCGCTGCCTATCATACCAGTTTGACACCACGGCTCAACTTTATCCACTTCTCTCGAGAAGCTGAAGAAATTTCCTTTTTGACACCGAGTTTTTGTTTCCTCATCTTCTTGCTTCGCGAGCACCACGCAGCGACGTCGACCAGTAAAAGCGACAATGAATGTCCTAAACGGCATACTCACGGACCTTTATATGGTCTTCCTCATCCTAGCGATATGGGAAATGATTTTCGGGCACGATTTGCTATTTCAGCCGGCACGAGTTGCACTTGCAGCAATCACAGTGGTATTATTGATACTCGTACATTTTTTGCGTTGGCCTAGGAGTATTCATCCCGCTTGAGCTTATGATGGTGATACTCTTCATCTGTCTTGTAAGTGAAAGTGACTGGTACAACAGTCTTCATCTTGTACTCCGCTACTCCGATTCTCAGGTTCTTCTTTTCTCAATACCATATCGAAGCTTGACGAGTGGGAACACTGAAGTTACACCGGGCGCGGCTCAGCGAAGAAGGCCAGTCGTAGCCGGAGCCCCTGGTCTTCCTAGAGTGGAAAAGTACACCAAAACCGGGAGCATAAATGGACTCGAGTACTGACATGGCTTTTTTCTTCTTGTTAAACCGAGTGTGAACAAGTTGAATTTACATTGAGCTACTTCGTTTAATAAGATTAAATGTTTCCATTATTGAAAAAATTAACTTGAGGGCGTAGCCAGCTGCACCCACATTTTTTTACTAAATGAGCATAATCTTAATCACTTGCCTCCAGTTATGCGTCATCAGAAATGCAAGGATGGCGACCAGCGATGGAGGATGCTGGATGCGCGCAGGATTTAGCGCATGCAAAACTTCCCTGTCTCCAGGAATGGGCTTTCTTCGGAGTCTTTGATGGGCATGGAGGTAATCAGATTTTAGCGAGGTAGGGGAGGTTCTTGGTGGGCATTGAGTTGTATCTTCATCAGGACCATTGAATGATAGAATTTTGTTGTTGTATACCTCCTTGTCCTCATAGTTCGTGTTGAATGAAGATAGTCATGGTGTCCTTCCCAAGTAGGTTCTTTTTCTCCATACGTATACCTTTCATCATCTAACATCCAGGTGCTGCTGTGTCAAAACGAATATCGACAGAACTCTGCAATCACTTCGTGGAAATATGTAGAGATAGTCACGAAAAAGCGGCATCTGTATCACCTAGCGACGTGAAGTATGCCCTTGGAGAAGCGTACTTGCTGACTTACTGTCTTATCTCTAGCTCTACAGCACTGTCTATCAACGTGAGAAATTTTGATGGATTCTAGGCATGCATATTTTCTTCGTCGTCTTCTACCTCGCTACGAAAAGAAATGCCAATACATACAGAACAGATTGTACTTATCACGCTAAAAGACATAATTTTTATACTGCCATCACATATTTTTTGTGATTACAACTACAAACGACAGATTCGCGCGTATGGACTTGTCTTTACGACGAGACAGTCAGAGCGGCGAGTTCGACTTTGTCGGGTCAACCGGAATATTAAGGCTGGTTCTCTACCTCTAAAGTTAATATCTCTTCATAAATGGACTTCGCTTCAACATGGCTGCTCATTTTTTGATAATTAATGAAGTTTTTATTGATGGCGTGTTTGATTCCAACGAAGAATAATTAATGTCGTTACAATGAGAATGAGTAGCTATTCCGTCTCTAAGAAAGGTGGTCGTGTTGAACAACAAGGATCTCGTCTGCGCAAACGTGGGAGACTCTAGAGCCCTCTTGGCAAGAGCTGAAAAAGTAGTATCGCTCTCAGAGGACCACAAGCCCGAAATGCCCAGCGTATAATTACAGATTAGCTTATGCTTTGCATACTCTTGTTCATGTTCAGCTTCATTTAGAAACTTCTTCAACTACGTAGTTGTAAGTTGTAGCACACTAAAATTAGAATCTGCATTGCGTTGCATATGACCACGCACTCACTCTCACAGGAACGAAAAAGGATAGAAAAGGCCGGTGGATCAGTTTCACAAATAGGACCGTGTTATCGAGTAGACGGCTGGGGTCTGAACTTGTCTCGAGCCTTCGGAGATTTTCATTATAAGAGCAGGCCCGACCTCGAACCATGGGAACAAAAGGTAAAGCGACATCCAGTCGTAATTCTTCTAGCAAATTTCAAAAATATTCCCGATACTCTACGTATGATCACTCTAAAAGTGTCATCCTGCTCTGGTTCTATAAGTGGTGCCTCAACCCGGACCCCGTCTTCGTCTTGGTACTGATGATCAGCATAAGTTTTATTCCTCTACTACTTTTCGTTTTCCAACTCCAATCAAAATGAAGGTTTCCGCTGAACCAGAAATAAGGACATTAGCATTGGAGCACGACAAAGATAGCTATCTAGTCCTAGGCTGCGATGGCGTTTTCGAGCTCCTGAAAAACCAAGACGTTATCGATTTCGTACTAGAAGCTCGTGAGTTTTTTTGACAACTAGAACCGACTTTTCCAGCTCCACTTTTACAAGAAATAGAAAGATGAGTTAAGTAGAAGTAAATGTAAACTACATGATACATTGTGGTCGTCTACTTTGGTTTAAAATCCTTATCCAGGTCTGCGAAAACACCAAGGGAGGTCATGCGTCACTGAGCAGTGTGGTGGAGTCGCTATTGGACCAGTGTATATCACCGAATCTTCTGGTAACACAGGGCAAGGGCGGCGACAATGTGAGTGCTATCGTCATACGCATGCCAGGCGCGTTGAAAAGGGCTCAGTTAAGGCCAGTTTATTATAAATATTCTTCTGTCATTGTCAAGACTCAAAAATATTATTGACATCAATTTCATAGAAAGTGAACAACTCCTTGATGACTTCAAATCTCAGAAGTAGACGAGGAAACCAAGTAATAGCTCTAAGTCGTGCATTGGCAGGAGGGCAGGTAGGTCTCGCCGAAAACTCAGCCGCGCATGCAGCTGTGGATAGCAACACGCGATCGAGCGACACTGTCGGGGAACATGAAGCGGGAGAGCCACTGGCAAATGGTGGCGACATGGACATGGACATGGAAGACGGAGACGAGAAGAGTAAGGATGATTGATGTCTTGATGTATTTTTTTGATTTCATGTTTGCTAGCGGTTGAAGGGTTTTTACAACACGTCGCAGATGATTCAGAGGAAGACCTATACTTATACATAGATACTTCTCCGAAGACACGATCAAATTAGTCTGCTGTTGAAGTAGTCCTTCTCCCTTTGTCCTCGTGTTGTAAGTTGTAGTCCCGAGTCAATTGAATCGTATTTTTCATTCTAATTATATGTAAGGCCCTCAGCCTCACTCTCTGAAGATCGCGCGAAACGCACACATAAGTAGGAAACAAATGAATTCTCCGCCTTGCGCTTTTGTTTTCGTCTTAGACAGAATTCTTTTTTAGATGTTTTGGAGCTCTGTAATTTATCTTGTTACACAATTTCGCTCTGCCAATCTGATGTTCATGTCTGTGCGGATGAAATAGAATAGCATATGATAAGTTGTACACTCGTCGTCGTCTTTCACCGCAAGAATTTCCTAGTATCACCGAGTCTTCCCCTGCCTTGCCCCGTCCCATCCCTTTATGAATACTTTTTTTCGAGATTTGGAGAAGATTGGACTTGGAGTAAAGAAATGGAGACACACGGAGCAGATGGCACAGCTGATGATAGAATCACTAGAAAATGAAGAGTGGTCCTGTACCTGCTGATGCTGTTGTTTGAGCATTATACGCAAAGTTGGACTTCAGGAGGTGTGCCTAAGGTTACTAACTTTTAATCGCTCCTACTAGTAGACAGAGTACTTGATGAATATTCATCTGATCCAGGTCCAGCGTCACCGGTCACAATCTTAATAAATATGTTCTGGCTCTAGTTAGCGCAGCATGATGGCTACTTCTCCACCTGCTCTACTATGTATACTTTGGTGGTCGTGTTACGCTTAGAGCAATGTCGTTTTAGTCGTGGAGCGACGCTCCTCGTCTTCCCCAAAAGGACTACGCCGCGATCATACATCATTGCTACTTTTTCGAAACATTTTCAGAACACACAAATCAATTTGTATTTCCTTCGTGCAAGAGGACACTCGACAATGAATGAAGGAAGCCAGTCCCAGCTGTACTTGTCATTGTCTCAAGATGAAGGTGGCAACTACCGACCGAAGATGACGTTGTACGATTTTCATGTGCTGATGGAAATGGATGGGCCCTTCCCGTCCCCAACATATATTAACCCTATAGATGCAACAACCTCCTATGATTTCTGCCGCTCCCTCACATGTAAAGAAAAATACGAAAAGAGGTCCCCTGCTCTGCCTCGTGAACAAGCGGCGCTGGTTGTGGAACTCTCCATGTGTTCAGAAGACACTAAATATGCGAACTGACTCCGATCGAGGGTGCGACCACGATAATCAGTATTTATACGCTGTTGGAGGAACAAGAGGTGCCACCGCAATGAATAAGGTGGGGGAATGAACTACAATGAATACATCAAGACAGTCTGATCCTTTCTCTGAGTACCACGAAGAGACCACGACAGGAGAGCCATCTGAACTTAACAGTTATTTGTGCGAATGCAATACCAACATCGTATAAAGATGACGCCGGTTAGCGTGGTGTGCCGCAGTCATCAGAATTGCTGCGATGCGGGAAGATCGCGTGGACGACGTTTCCTTCTCTTCCATCTACTCAGCGTCTTGAGTGTCACCCTGAACACTGTTGCTAGGACCTTATTAGACATGGATTCTGAACCTTGTTCCTTTGCTACAGCAGCGATAGTCCCGCCGCGTCCAGCTCTGACGCATCGGTCGTCGTTTTTTGAATGCTTTGCGAGGCCATGCATCCCGTTCTTGGCGATTCCGAAAAAGGCGCTCTCAGGAAGTGCACGGGGACGATGGAAGACAGCAGCAATTCTGCAGGCCTCGAGCGGCCCTCCTCAGTGCGAGGGTACAGACAACAAGCGGAAGCATCACAGTAATAGGGGCCGTTCATCAGGTGCCGACTTGAAGAGAGACAGATCATCAACATCAACAAAACTAGTACGGGAAGATCTTCTACTCGGCACTTCTAACAAGAACCACAACAAGGAAAGCGTGTCATCGTCAACAGGAACTGTGATGAGCAATTGTGGTGACAAAATAGGTGGAGCTCCTGCTCATATTGGAAAAGGAGAGAAGAATCATGAAGGAGCCAAGGCGTCAATCAATTGCGTCTTAAAAACGAATGCGGGAAAACAACTGCACAAAATCCTGGCTGATGCTGGATATTACAATTTTGAACGCCGACAGGGTGAGCGTCAGGATCAACGGAAAGTGTCTAGTACTGGGCATCGCTTTCCAGCTACCCCCAAAGCGAAAGGCACTGTCTTACACCGACTGAAGGAGCAGGGGGGAGATTCAATGGAAACTACACCCTCCGACTCTTCAACTTCGTCTGGTTCGAGACAGGACGAGACGAAAATTGGTGATGGTGACTGCACATCGCAACCACACCTTCCGAGTGAAAATACATTTGAAAATGAAATCGGAATCACGCATATCGAGCCAGAGAAGCTGCTCTTTTTTAAAAACGAAGAGGACCAGACGCAGGCGCATTTGATAGAAGATGTCAGTCTCAGTGAACCTTCGAGGACTGTAATTAGCACACCATCTTCATCTTGCACCATGAAAGACGCAGACGCACATGCGGCTGAACGCTCGTTCAATGAAACGGCTGTGATCCTCCAGTTCCAGGGGAATAAGGAGGTACCTACTCAGCAAGATCTTGTGGCGAATTCATCTACGATAAAACCAGATGAACATGATCAATCACAATGTGCGCTTCCTAGGAGTCCGACCCCGACGCCTATTGGAATTGGAAACAGCCAGTCGACCGCCTTTGCCTTAGCTTCTTGTTCTTCTGAGAATCTGAATTATACGCCAGTCCCAATCACCAGCAATACACAAGGCGCAGCGTCACTGCCAACTCCTGAGCTTCCTGTCCACCCCGGCTTTACGTCAAAGCCGAGCAACGTACGGCGTCGCGGAGAGGTTGCGCGAACCGGGTCAAGTAGCACGACTCTCCAGGGCAACAACAGGACAAGCAAAGCAGCAGCTACAAGCCCCGTTGTGGCGTGTCGTTTTCTGCTTCCCCCGCTGCAACGACGGCATTCTGCAGACATACAGGAATATCAAATTCGTTTTTCTGAAAATTCAAATTTTATCAGACAAGTAGACTCAACTACTTTGGTTCGAATGCCAAGCTCGCCTCTTCCTGAGAACTCTGCCATACACGCTTTTCCTGTATCAAGTCGAAACAATTATCGAGTACGTACTTGGCCTTCATCGCCTTCTTGCTCTTCACCTCGGTTCACGCGCAGGCAAGTTCAGTCGTGGCCCCCTTCATCTGCAAGAGAGCCGGAACCGCGTCCTGTACATGTAGTACCACTACATCAACCAGCATCCATGGCCATGCCAAAAAATATCATAAAACGATCATACCAGTTATATCAAGACGTCGGCTCTCCACGTCGCAATATCAAAATTTTAGAAGCAGAGAATACAGACAATATCAAAAGCTACAGCAACTACCAGCACCAGTCCAAGAACTGCAATCTCATGAAAGTAAATGCAACTTCACGTCTACCAGCAACTTCTAGTACAACAACAAAAACGACAAACTCTGATATTGTGCGGACGATGACGAGCAGCAGCCGCTCTACTGTTCACGAGTTGGTTCACATGTTTGATGCCATTACCCTCCAAAACTCGTCGACACCTCAGCAAACAACCCGCGGCTTGGTAAGAAGAACTGTCGCCGGCTACCGTGCTCAGCCCGTACAGTATACCACTCCACGACCCGGCATCATCCTCGCCGGATCGCCATAAGATACAAGGATGAGTAGCCATTGGTAACTAAGAGTCGCAATTGGAAATCTTAGATTCTTCTCCTTGATGTCCTTGCAAATCATATTCATAACTTTGTATGTAATTCGCTTTCGAGTCGGAGGTTTCGATGAGCATGATGAGACTGAGAGATAAGTGAGTTCAAAATATTATACACAGATGTAACGTGGTCTTGTTCATCTTGATCTCTTACTTCTAGTTCTTATTTTTTTGTCGAAACTTGATCAAGCGATCGTTTGTCGAGACTTGCACCGAGACGTACTCGCACCGGAAACAGCTATCTCCGCTCGATAAAGGTCATTATATTGCATTTTTCTTCTGCCGAAGCCGATTATGTTAAGTAGTAAACGGTCACATCAAAAGCGCGACGTAGATAGACATGTTCTGTTGCAGTTTTGGAAGGCAAGGAAATCTCGCCCAATGAAGATCAAGATGAACCTGATCCTGAACGAAACTATGATATCAAAGATTTCTGCTGTGTCCAAGACCAATGTCTAGCGAAGGACTACATACAGGGTTTTCAGTTTTTCTGCGTACTTGCGATCAGCTAAGCGACTGTGACAGTGACTATACTTAGCAGCTCTTGATCGAAGTCTCTCACCGGAGCATGCCTTCCCCTTCGAGTCTGAAGCAATAAAAACCGAATCATTTTGTGTCTCTAATGTCCTTTTGTTTGATGTCCTTTGTATTATTGGACCACGGCAAGCAAATTGATCGAAGGATCTTTGGACCTCCACCACAGACCTGCTACAATAAACCTTGCCCTTGGCGAGCACAGATAAGTCTATGTCTCCTCTTCCTCTGGTTGTGCCCAACACGCCAACAACCACGCTGAAGTTCATTTGTTGATGCTCTCTGTCCTTTTAAAAGCCTGAGTTAGCTGTCTCGAGTCTGTCTTGCGAACGTAGGATTCTGTTACAGAAAAAAATAGAGGACACAGAAACAATGTATAACTCCAGTCTGTCATCTTGATGCGGCGCTCTTGAGTGGTGAGAACAAGAACATCGAGCGGAAGTCGGAGTCTCATTTTGATACAGCAATCTGTAAACAGAGGCTATTGTCGAGAAGCAGACAAATCTGTTCTGAGAAACACGTGTGAAAAGCTTTTGCGCGATGAGGATATGATCCTTTAATTTCGTATTGTTCCTTATCTTCATGTTTTATGATCGGTTTAAAGAATTGATGATAGAGACTTGACCTACTACAATTACATTGCAGTGGGTGTGACGAAACTAAATCCCTTTTTTTAGCACCTTTGCCCGGTTGCAAATTCATCAGTGTTACGAGCTGACCCTCCTCCAAGAAGCTTGAACATATTTCTCCGTCCATAGCTAACGAGAATTCCATGTAAAGTAAAAACTCAATCACTCTTATCTTCCAGGGAATAGGGCCAATTGCCTTGTCGCGAAACGTAGTCACGTCTTTTCATTCCAATTCCTGATCATCTTCATCACACTTCTCTTAAACTGAAGGTGGAGGACATGTCTAAGAAAAAAAATATGGGCACTCTTCGTTGTCTTTTTCCTCTGCTTCCTCGAGGTTGAAACAGCACACTTGCTGAAGGATCACTTCTCCCGTAGAAACGCGGAAGGCTACTGGAAACGCACAGGCGATGATCGAAAGAAGTGGGCGAAAGAGCGTCAGCAGTTTGTTTTCCTTGCGACTGGAGGTCAATTCGTGTTAATGCTTCTGTTCTTAGTAGCTTGATGTACTGAAGTCGGTATGCCGCTCTCTCTAAAGGTCGGTTTAATCGTCTGTCTTTTGATCGGTTGCTTAGACTGAAAAAACTCACGCTCCCCGCCCCCATGTTGCTTCCGCTTCCGTGCTGGTCCCCCATGAAACTTTAGGCAGTAGGATACGTTCGTTTGCTTGCTTGCGCTTGCTTGCTGATAAATGACTTTACGTGGTTCCTAGTGGAATGTACGAGGTCTTACTTGCTTAATCATCTTTCATTTGCATGTCAAAAATGAGGGTTTGTCGTTTGCCCAGTGGGGTCTGGGTGACCCCGTGGTGTAACGCATCGTGACCTTCCCAGATTGCCAAGACGATGATAGTACGGGGTGTGGCGTCATGTAAGCTCCCAATAAAGGGATTACTTATGCTATTGGAATGGTTACCCTACGCTTCTCTTGGTCGTGCCTACCATGTGTTTTATGGACACTGCATCTTCTGGTCGAGTCTGAGCAGTTTTCCTTGGGTCGATAACACTTGGGGTCTCTCGGTACGTCGGGTGGTGCCGTTGCTTGCTCACGTGCTCAATTTCCATCATACTGGACGTATGTGGGCGTTGGACGTTTGGTTTCGCATGCAGAAGGGATCAGCGGATAGCTGAAGCTGAAACGGAATCTGGTGTGGGGCCTCTTCCTTCTTCCCTAAGTGTCATCCTTGAATTGCTGATTCCAGTATGCTGAATGTAATAACAAGCTGCAGGCTTACAAAAGTGCAGTGGACTATGTATATTAGAGTAGTTTATAGACGCTGGGCTACGCTGGGTGGCTGGGCGGCCTCGCTGGGCACGCTGGGCGGCAACGCGGGGCACGCTGGGCGGCAACGCTGGGCACGCTGGGCGGGCGCTTGGATAGCACTTAGCGGACTTGAGGGCCACACATTGACATTGGGCATGCCGAGCCTGCGCGGCCGATGGATTCGCTTGCGCCGCGGGGACGCGGTGCAGCGCGTCCCGTGAGGACAAACAAAGGCGGCGCGCCGCCCTCAAGGTTCAGGGCAGCGCTGGCGCAGTGCTGCTTCAGTTTGCGCAGCAGCGGGCTGCGCGGGGCCTGCTCTGTTCAGGCTTGCACTGCGTCATGCTGCACTTCGCTGCTCGATGCGTGCAGTGCTGCGCCGCTCCTGTGCACAACGGTAAACTCGCCAGCATCGTTGGCCTTGGCCTGCGCTAGACTAGCACTGCTGGTGGGGTTCTCAAGCGGGCACCCGAAGGGCGCCCCACAATTGAAACCGCCCAGCGTGACGCTGGGCGCAGAATTCGGCAGATCTGGCACATTTGGGTCGCCCAGCGACCCAGTGTGCCCAGCGTGCCCGGCCCAGCCATCCGCCATGTTGGGAACCCTTATAAACTGTTCTAGTATATATATAGATAAGGCCGCGCGTTGTTTAGCTAAGTGGTTTAAGAAAGAGTGTTGTCTCGTGAAGTAAGTACTTTGGTGTTCTTGCTATAGTGTGAGCTAGCACCTACGAGACCATAGTCGACGCTCGGTGCCAAGGTACTTGCGAGCACCCCTTTTTTTCTGCGTCTTGTTCCCGCTGGGGGACCTCGTAGGCTGTAACTGGACACTCTCTTAACGCGCGTCAGGATCGTTAAGTATAGTTTAATATTAGTGTTGTCTAAAAAAAACATGCCTTTCAAATTAGTTCCCTTTCCTCTCTTCTTTCTTTAACACTTGTTGTTGTAAGTGGCAAAGAGTGAAAACGGCAGATCTAAAAACAAGTTCCACTGGGTTCTGAGGATCCTCAAGTTCAACAGTTCTAGCAAGATCTAAAATAGGAGAGGCTTTCAAGTAGGATGATTATGATGATGATGATGATGATGCATGATGATAACTAAGGGTCGGAACAAGGTAGAAACGATTACTTGCTGACAGTGAAGCTCAACTAGTTCACATACCTCGCGTCTTGACTCAACCCGTTCTTCCTCATCAAGTACAGGGATAGGAATGTTATCTATGTCAAATTAATTTTCATTCCTTGCAACTAGAAATCTTCAATCGGAGGCGGTTGACCGTGATTTTGCAATTCAAAACAACTTAGAGGATCATTCTGGGCCCTCTTCCACTTTTATGGGGACAGGATCCCTAGCCTAGGCAAGCATTTTTCAAGTGGGCTTGAAGTTGCGCGGGCTGCAGGGATGGCTGTCGCCGACGCAGTCAAACCGGAGCTCAACGTAAATGTCGAGACGCTCGCCAAGAACCTTATGGAAAAATGGAAACTCGACGACAAAAGCACAGAGGCACTGTGGGCAATTCTGAGCTATGTGTTACGGTGGACCCATGACAAAACGCCTCATGCTAGCAAGAAGGATGTCCTGGCGCAACTGAAAAAGCATGCGGGAAAATATAAAAGTTAAAGTGGTTCGATATGATATTAATTTGAGAATATCAATATCTTTTCTCGATAAAGCGATGCTTTCCTCGTAATCATGTTCATCGTTAGTGCAGCCAAGAACATGCGTATCTATCTTTAGGAATCTTATCGCTGTCTCATTGATCGTCGCTCGCGTCTGTTTCTATGCGGTATGTAAAAGTTACGCCTTTTTACAGACAGCGTTGCATCTTGCAGCTTGCGCGTAATCTAAGTTGCATTGTAGTTGAGCTCATAACGCTGATTCGATACAGTACAGATACCCACCGCGTTACCCCTCGGGCCTGTCGATCAAGAACGTTTACTTTATGTAGGTGTTGTTATGTTATGTATAGATTATAGTTATATACACGTATATTATAGATGATAGACTTAGACATGTCCACTTCGTTTGCATAGTAGTCCTTCATATCTATCGGCGGGTTTTCTATAATTTGGACTGCTTCAAAATGACCGTCGCTACGTGCTTCTGCTTCTGCTTGATGACGGAGAACAGAGCGAACCTAACCTCTCTGGCAGCGAGACGCTCTCCGGTACTTCCACGATGCCTTGAGACATAATGCAAGCAATGTTGTGAACCAAGTACTATCGTCAGCCTTTGCCTTCTCCATCATGATTCCAACATCAACGGGTACGTCCAGCTGTATCATGAGCAGTTGTCGGAAATATCCACCGAATTCGGTAAACTGCAGCGCCATGGGGATGCTTTTCCATTCGGTCTTCGAGCATCATTGTGGAAGACCGCGAACATCAGCACCAAGAAGATATTTGGTGTTTATTATAAACTGGCGGATGAAAATAATTCTGGGAAGTTACTTCCCGTTGATGCAATTCCATCGGAAACGGCCGATCAGAAGATCAAGGACCTGCTTGCAAACAGTCGAAATAAGATGGGCGACATTTATGGCACCAGAAAAAGATCGGTCATGTTGGAGGCGGCTGAGGAGCACCTGCACTCTTGACAAGATTCCGGACCTCTGGATTCCTAGGGTCGAAGTGGTAAGGATTGGATTCGGAATGATCATACAGGTAATCTTCACTGGCAGATCATCCATGATCAGGCAGGTGAGTCTGGTCCCTTCGTTGAAAGCTGATGCTCTTCATGCCTTGAATTTCTGCGGGTGTAGCGTCGTCAGACCAATCGTTACTGGAATTCTACACTAGAGCTTCAAAAAATTGTCTCTTATTCTCAAATCTGGGAGTAAATATTGACTCATGTTGTGCAATTAATAGGTTTTATTGATGGCGCTGTTTATACATAGGGAACAAGAAGACGAGTGCAGATGCAGAACCAATATGTGGAATGCGCCTTTTTTAAGCCGGGAGAAGGATTTCACAGAAAGGCGATTGATCATGATGCGCGGCTACAGATCGCCATAATACCTGTATCGCATCCAGAATGAATAAAATCTCGAGTATAATTCATACGGAACCTCATCTCAAGTAATTAGAATCACAACGAATGCGAATCAAGAAATAGAAATGAAGCAAATAACTTCCCAACGTTGAGATTGACAATAATCTTACTCAACGAAAGTAAGGCTACAGTTCCCTGCGAAAGCGATCATGATGTTAAAGTTAGGGAGCCGAAACGGAAACATAAATAGTGAAACTATTCAATCGACAGGGGTATCTACCACACCATCATCCGTTCTTATCCGAGAAGCACCCGATCCCTGTTCTTTGAATGCAGAAGTCCCGTAAACGTAGTCTCAACATGAACATCATGATCGCTTGCGGAATTAAAGCACCTTGAATTCTTGGAGTTGGAACACGAACTAAGAAAAGTAATAAACTTGAACAACTAGTTCAACTTCAAGTTCATTGAAGAGTACTCATGGTTCTTTGTTCGCTCTCCAGATCCGATCACCAGGCACGATCATCTGCATGCAATGACCAAACCTGCATGGTACCAATCATGTATTCGTGGCCTGAGTTCTAGCGATGATTGAGTATTCTACCAAAAGAAACGGTGGCATCAGGAATCATGGATTTATTGCTCTCCCCATAGAAGTCCGCTCGAGTCAACAACCCTCAGTGCGGAGATTTATCAACGAATTCTTTTTTCTGTTGTTCTTGTTGTAAACTTTTTTGTTGTACTTCTGAGGAATGTTGTTCAACTACTTACTTGAACTACATTACTCGTCTTCTAATCATTTAGACGAACAACTCCAGTGCCAGTAGAAGTACTACAAGTATCTTGATTAATATCCAAAAAAGCTGTTTCTTTTGCGTTCCTTTGCGTTCAATAAGTAATATTCATATTGAGTACTACTACTAGAAGGGCTGTCTGAATCATTAATGATTTGATTTTAACGTTGTCCAATACAAGTAGAACGAATACGAACAAGATGATCGACTGGGATTTCAACGTCGTTTACAACAACGTCTCTGCCGGTGGGACATCGAGGGGGAATTACGTGTACCGTGCATCTTTCGTTGGGGCACAACTAGGTCTTCGCGGTATAGCGATGAACTTTGAGGTAGAAGAAAGTCATGAATTGTACGAACTGCAATCGATTCTAGATGAACAAGCAGCGGGCCTTGGCGCCCTGGGCGGCTCCTCATCTAGCGGTCGGCAGAACATCAAGATCGGCAAGCGCTCCAATGAGCGCCCTCGCGAACTGTTTCGGCAAAAATTTTTTAATTTCGTCCGAGAGTGTGACGAAGGAAACAAATTGTCGTCGAATGCTCTGCCTTCAGGGGATCATGATGGGAAGAGCAAAAACAAGACCACCTCGTCCTACGCAGAAGTCTTGAAGAGACTCACGCTAGTCCACGATGGGAGCCCTGGACGATCGGACGTGTTGGAAAAAATATGCAACCGAATCGCAGAGTCTGAGAATCTGTCTTCCGCGAGCATGAACAGTCGGGTTGCACCTAGCTGCACTGGAAGTGCCGCAGCAGCGGGTAACCTAAATCCTGGCAATCAAGAAGGACCTGAGCTAAAGAAACCAAGATTAGATCAAGAGCGTTCTTCAGCATCGAACTCTATAGTACAAGTGCTAGGAGACAACCTGATGCAGCAACCCGCAAGCGTAGGAAATAAAAGGGACTTTTGTGATTTTCTAGTAGCTCTGCGACCGACCACTGAGACCGCCCTTCAGCAAATCGCTGCGGCCAAGAGATTCACGAACTTTCGCGTCCTCAGTCTCCCTTTAGAGGATAGAATCGGGGTGCGAATGTTGCGTCCGCAGGCGACCTCACTACTCGCCAAAAGTGTCCTCTTTGAGGTGTGTTTGTCGCATTCCCTGCGAGCCGAACAGGAGGTACGATTCTTCTTCGCGAACGTCCAGAAAATTGCACGCCTGACACATGCGAAGCACTGTCTCGTTGTTTCGGGTGCGCGTGACTTGTTGGAGCTCCGTAGCGGAGACGACCTCGAAAACTTCGCCAAAGTTCTTGATATCAAGCAAAGCGCAAGGACAAACGAGGCACTACGCAAGTCCGACCAAGTAGTCGGCAGAGCGATCGTTCAGTGTTGAAGCAGAAGCAGCTGATGAGAATACAGAACTTCTTTCCACTACTCATGACATCCCCACGGTATCACTCTCTTTACTTTCCAAATCCCATTCAAATGCCTAGTGCACTTTGCACGGCTAGGTGTGATGTGTCTTCTTTCTCAGATGTTAGATGCAGGTGGCGAGGTTGGTTCTCCTTTATTTCCCGCGATCTCGCGATGCCGCAACAATATCTCTTTTTAGCAAGATCAAGAGAAGATGGAGATGGAATCGATTTGGTGCTTGTCGAAAGTGAATGTGTGTTCACGTTCACCCCCATAGTGAAGCAGGGAACAGAACCGGGGCCGTGACTGGTCCGTTTGAGCACGCTCACATCCATGCGCTGGACGGTCGTAGCAACAAGCGTCGTCACCAGCGAATAATGACAGAGTCTAAAAGCAGACAATGTCATCATCGGTGTTTTCTCTACTTCTGATGAAGACACCAGATGGATCTCAGATGAAGACAAGAGCCAATAAGAGGTGGACATACGAATCGGTTTCTCGTTCCTTGTTTCACATCGGAATTTGACTATGGCTGAATAATACTGGAGTCATTATTATCGGTGAGACCGTCGAGTATTTGAAAGGAGCGAAGCGAACAGAAAAATGATTATATTGTTAACGGACTAGAAACCGCGGTGGGCACGGAGGTGCTAGAAATAGACTACTTCTACTACTGGCGTCTTGCGTCGCGTGCAGCTACGGAAGGGGTTCTTGGACATTAAGTTTGCTACAGCTAGGAAATTCAAACTCGGCTTCTACCCGCCTACCAACGGAAGAGCAAAGAGTAAGAGAAGCAGCAGCGTTTTTACTTGTCTTTACTCAAATGAAATGAATTTAGATGATCTTGTAAAAGTATCAATACTTCGTCATTGCACAACGACCACAAGTAATCTATTTTAGCAACATCCTGTACCGTTATTTCTTGTGGCGGCGCATAGTTTTCATATCCAAGTCCATCTCCTATTTTTTTAAGCACCATTTCATAGGACTTGATGGAGACAGCCAAAGACGCTGTTCTTCTTCTAGCGTTAAGATGAATTTTTCTGCTTTTTCCTATTGAAGCATTTTTGAGCATGCCCATTCATTTTCATACTCACAAGGGAAATTTATTTACGTTGTATCTCCCGTGGCTAGCTGCCTTTAGTGGTGTCGTGAATAAGAATATGAATCATGTTATGAAACAAAAGCAAAAGTTCAAGATGATAAATACAGATATAAGAAAATGATGTGTTTGATGCACGTGCTGCAGCCCTAATCTGCTCCACGCATCTCGTTTTGTAGTGGGTGTCTTCCCTCTCACCTTCTTGGCATTGATTTGTTAGCCGACATCGGCAACCTTCCAGTTCCAGCGGAAAGAGGATGTTGGGCAGCCACAATAAAGCCGCGAAAGATGTGTCCCCTGACCCTGTGAAGATGAACAAGCGGGTGAGAAGCTCAGGGCAACTCGGAGCGCTTTTGTGGAAAAATTTTCTGTACCAGCATCGATTTTGGGGACGCACTGTGTTGGAGTACGGTCTGGCCCCACTGGTGCTCGTTGCTGTTGTCATTTCTTTCACGCATCCGATCCCGAGAGGTTTCCTCCGACTCAACGTCGACAATTTGCTCTGCGCGCGCGGAAACTTTTCCTGTTTTGTTCCAAAAACCGATGAGGCAGACGGCGTTACACGCTCTCCTTCTCTTAGTTATGCATGAACGCGATCATGGTGGAGGAACATGAATTATACACTAGCACTACTGAGTAATCATGGTCTTCCGGTCCAGTGTGCTGAACATCATGACTTTCTTTAGATGACATCATTCGACATCACCATTAGAAGTAGAATCTTCAATTATTGGAGATTCCGACGTAGCTCTCGCTTATGATCTCAACTTGAGTCTGACTCTGTCATCGAGTGTTTGGATAACGTCCTCTTTCGCTTTTCATATTTGTGAGGCCTTGCGACAAAGCGGTGCAGGAGCTCATCCAGACATTCGCGGTGGACGCATTCGTGATGTTTTTAGTTTGTCCGACGCCCACACCTCCAGGATGGCGGGAGGTCGTGAAAATGCGCCAGACACCTCCACAAGTTCGGCACTCAATGCACTTTTAGCATTACCAAGTCCATTGGGGAGCACGATCGAAGGAGCCGCGACCCTCATTACAGGGGCCGCGACAGCGCAACAAGAACAACATGCATTACCAGGATCGACAGACACATCTGAAAGAGGCGGGATTCGCAGTACTACTACTACGTCTGCATCTACCTTGCTGGTAACAACCGACAATGAAGCTTTGGAGGCGAAACTTCTAGCAGATCGGCTGCGGCCATTGGGCTCCGCTGTGCAAGTAAACCTCGTCGATCAAACGCATCCGCGCTCTGAAAGTGAAAGCAGAGGAGCTCCTGCAGTTTTACAAGTGAACGATGCTAGTACCATAATCGAGGTGGCTATGGATGCAGCGTCTTTAGTAGATTCTTCCAGGAATGGTCCGCAACTTCAACGCGACGCATTTTTCCAACGCACGCAGACACTGTACCAACTCGCGGCACAAGCCAGACAGGAACTACTTTCAGAAAGGAACGAAAGTTCGACGACTGTGCGGCCTCTCGTGCACGTGATGCGAGGCCCGGCTCCGTTAGGGGTGGAGGTTCGGCGCATTACCACCGTAGCTTTACAAATCACTGCGATGCTTCTCTGGTGTATCGTGTTTTCCCTCATGCTCCCGTTCTATCTAAGCACTACGGCGATGATCGAGGATAGAGCAATGGGACTCAAAGAAACCCTTAAATGTTTTGGCATGCGAGATCGGACCTACTACTTGCATTGGGTGCTGACGCAACTAGGCCCGGGCTTTCTTTTTGCCATTGCCGCGGGAGCTGTGCTGCCTGCCACAGGCCTCCTGGTAGATCCTCTCGCACTTCTTTTGGTCTCCGTCCTCACGCTCATGCTATACATTTACGAAAAGCCGTATCTGCCTATATAATCCTACAAAGAACACGAGGAAGGATTCCAACTCCATGATCCCCAAGTATGTTCATGATTAGTTTTTGTGCTCAAACTCAAAGGGGTTTTTCTTCTTTTTGTTCAAAGGATTAGGAGCTAGTACGTATTGGGTCGAAATGTCCTTCTCCTCACGATCACGATCTGCTTCCTCTTTTCATATTGCGACGGTGCAGGCACAAGCATTCAGCTGGTCGTGTCTCTGGTCTACGACGAGCAGCGGTGGCCTGAGCGGCTGCGTCGTTTTTGGCGGGCCCATCGTCTACCATCTTGTTCAAGCCTACGGTGAGGGCGTTGTGAACCTGCGGTACCTTGCAAAGGGGTTACTGTTGCCTTATGTGAATTACGTAACCTTCGTTCGGAGTTCCATCTTAGCAGGGCACAAAGCGGCAGAGTATCATGATGACGATTTTGGGCACACTGCACTGCAACATGCGCTTGTCAGTGTAGGAAGTCTCTGTTTGTACCTCTGCGTGTGGTACTACCTGGACCAGACGGTGCGACATCCTAATTGCAGTAGGCAGAAGCCCTGGTTTCTATTCACGCAACGGCACTGGTGCGAGGTGTGTGGATGCAGGAAAGCAAGGAAACAAGTTACTACAAAAAACCTTGGTGACTCGCAATCTACCTCACAAAATGACGAAGGTGGCCCCATGCCCTCGATCTCGACTGCTACCATTGCTGTGGCTGGGCTACAACAGGATGGGAATAAGACAGAGAACATTTTGGCCACCCAGGACACTGCGAATGTCATGCAAGGTGCGTCTACAAGTTCTAGTATGGGCTTTGGAGAGACGACAGAGACCCGTTTACCTTTACACGGAGCATCGACGAGGCGTGGAATACTCCACAGCGACCGTGCAGATTCCGATAGCGATAGTGACGGGTCCTCGTACTCACGCAAGCCGACAACTGCAGCAGTCGCGCAGCAAAACATCGACCAGCATTGGGTGGACGAAGATGGGGACGACTATGAGTACAATCCATTATTTAATGGCAGCATTTTTGGTGGAAGCGACTCCTCTCTCTTTCCATCGGCTCGCGCGTCTCTCGTGTCCACTTGGATGCCGCACGATGATGACGACGTCACTGGATACAACTTGGCGAACGATGCGGAGCGTGTGCGTGATCAAACGAACAACATCACAGGAGAGGACTCCTCAACAGGAGTAGGAATGCAAGCTGACAATCTATTGAGCCCTGAGGAGTTAGAACGGCGGATTCGCGAGCTGCGCGAAAAACAAACGGAATCACATTACCATTATGAATCGGTTTCGGTACTATCGGCTAGTACCTAAGTATTTAAAGTGAGTAGGTCTGCATCAAGACATTTTCAAATCCAGGATTTGAAGCTTGATGTTGTCCATTAGCAAGTAGACTTTCTCTCTTTTTAACACCATCATTGACGCAGCTTTCATATCGCTGAGGAAGTAACGAATTCGCGGCTGTTGCAGTACGAGGCGCTGAACATGATTGCGCGCGTGGAGTCTCTAGAGGTTAAGTACAAACGCGCACAAGTTTTGCGGGGTGTAAATCTTAAGATGTACCCAGGTGAGATTTTTGTTCTGCTTGGACACAATGGTGCCGGCAAGAGTACCACCATGAAGGTCCTGGCGGGATACATTTCTGACTATTCCGGCAGCGTCCAAATTTACCAGTACACGGATGTGCGAGACATGCGGGAGAGAGGGGAGGTAGGCTACTGCCCGCAGCATGTGGTTCTGTGGGACGATTTAACTGTGAAGGAGCACGTGAAACTCTTTCAGGCCCTGAAAGCACCGCGACGGCGCATGGCGGTTTTCCAAAGCACTTCTTCTTCGAAAAAAGCAAGGAAAAAGGATGGCACAAAGCCGCAGATGATAACTGCGTCAGCATCTGGCGCAACGACTGTGGAACACCACGATGTGTATGCACAAGAACAAGCTGCCGTGGATGATTTGCTACGGGAGTTGGACCTCTACGACAGGAAGGACACACTGGTGAGAAAATTGTCCGGCGGACTGCAGCGACTTCTCACTGTAGGTCTCAGCTTTGTCGGAAGTCCGAAGTTCGTGATCTTGGACGAGCCGACTGCAGGAGTTGACCCGATTACAACAACGAAAATCTGGGAATTTCTTCACCGCATGAAGCGAGACCGGATTGTCATGCTCACCACCCACTGCATGCTCGAAGCCGAGAGCATCTCCGATCGAGTTGGGATCATGAAAGACGGCCGCATTGAGTGCTGGGGCAGCAGCGCGTTTCTGAAACGTCGTTTTGAGTGCGGATACAAGTTACTGTTGGAACTAAACTCTGCTTACTTTCTGGAAAGCAAATGTGAATCCACGACACTGCTTGAACGCGGAGACCCTTTTGAAAGGGACTACAGCAATGCTGGCAACAACAAAACGGTAGGAAGTAAAAACAAAGGTACTGCATCTGTAGGTTTTGGCTTCTCAAAAAATGCGGGAGCAGGAGGTTTTACTGGATTTGACACGAGCAAAGCTTTGCTTCCGGCGTCGCGCAAGTACGATCCGGGGAATAACATCAACGAGATGCAAGTGTTCGATGAGGACGACGAAGATGACGATGGCTTCAATTTTCTGCTTGGGCCTGGTCCGCCGGCTCGCAACCGTGGAAACGGGAGAAATGGGTCCTTTGGCTTTGCGGGTGGCTTCGGTTTCTCCGCAGCGTTGGCCGCGCAACAGCGTGGACAAAGAAATGTGCAACAAGACGAGTTCACGCGAGTAAAGGACGCTGACTCCCTTGCGTTTGCTCTGAAGCGAGATTTCTTCCCTACCGTTTTCGTCCAGAACGAAGAGTTCTACGATCGCGCGGAATCGCCGTTGTTCCCGCTCTACAAAATTAAGACAATCGTCGAGGAGGAGGCGGAGGGAACGGGCGTGCAGTACGAGCTGCACCAGCCGAGTGGACGCAACGTGGTCTGCATCAAGCTGAACTCTTCGGAGACCTCTCTGGTGTCTGCCATTCTGGGTCGCTTCCAAAACGAGATGCAACAGCCTGAAGGAGGTGGAGGCGGCATTGGTTCTGTTGTAGTCGGCGTGAAGCGCGGAAATCCCTATTCCAAATCCAAGGTCGTTTCTCGAATCGCCGTTGAAAATTGTAATCTCGGTGACGTCTTTTTGAAAATTGCGATGACAGGGTCGACCGAGGGAGCGCTTTTCGGATGCGGGGAACCAGGGATCGGCATGCTCACTGCAGATCAGAATGCGAGCGCGCAACCAGAAATGTCTAGTGAGGCGGCTGAAAACAACACGACCGCAGCAGCACTTGGTGAAAAAGTCGGTGGCATGCCGCCGAGCACGCCGACGGGGAAACATCAAAAGCAGGCAGTGGAGAACGACGTGGATGGGTGGAATTTGGACGGAAAAGGCGGCCGCACAGCCGCATTTGCATATCGTGAAGAGCAGCAAAAGCGATTTTCTGAGCTTTCGGGACGCGCTTTCGCCACAGTCGCATCTGACGAAGACGAGCACGACTTCAACCACCCGAATCAGTACACCGAGAAACGTGTTTCGGTGCATTCGAACGCTAGCCAGCAGTCGGCAGCCAATCCGCGGCGGGACATCCCGCGCCTCGAAAATTCGGAGTCCAGTCTCACTTCTGTAAGAATAGGGCCAACCACCGTGATGGTGTCGCGAACGAAGGCCGGCAACGGTGGTGGGCGGAAAGACGAGAATGACGGCACTAAAAATCCAGCATCTCTGGATGGTGTTGAAAAAGGCAACACTAGTGCCGCTTCTGTAGTCAAGGAGCTCAACAACATATCGAATAGGAATAATGCCACTAGCGTCACTGACAGAATCGCAAAGATGCGCGAACTTGAGGAGCGACCTGCAAAAACTAAGTTTCAGCTGTGCCAGCAGCGCATTCGCCACTCGCGACGTGGACGTGTCTTTTGTGCGCTGTTAGAAATGCGATGGCTTACTGCGCGTCGCGACTTCAAGTCCCTTTTCATGAGTGTGCTCTTTCCCCTGCTCTTTTTGTGGTTAGGCTGTCATTACGACCTGCAACGGCGCACACGCATACAGGATGAGTTGGCCGAACGTCTCCTAGACGACAACTCTGGTGATACCTATCCCTATGACGAAATGGAGGAAAATGCTGGCATTCGTGCTGGTTCATCTACGGCACAGCAACCTTCACAGTCTCCAGTCATGCAACTCGTGTCAACTGCCCTCCCCGCTTCTCCAGCCGCGGTGTCCGCGGCGCTGCGAAGCAGCAGAGGCCAGCGTGCTTGCAATGGAGGACGACGTTCTAAAACTGGCGCTTCATCTGCCTTTTGTGGCTCGTTTGCGGCTTTGACTCCACTGAAATACAGTGAAGGAGGACGTAAACTGCGATGTGCGTATTGGGGCGATGGAGACGCTGGCGAGTGGGAAGCGACACCAGAAGGCGAGTCGCATATTGCCCGGGAACAAGCAGCAGCCGTTGCGAGTTTACTGTTAAGATATCACTTTGACTCTGGTAGCGCTGAGAAATAGAACTACAACCGTGCGACTACCATGTATATGTGTTTGCCGCCTGATTGATACTAACTTATGTGTCGTGTTGCTCCTCTTGCTTTCCTTTTATAGCCACAACGAATTTCGATTTCCTCTAAAACCTTGTCCGAAGGACTCCGTCTTGGTCATTCCTCCAGAGCGCACCCGCTGGATTCCTGGTAGCCGCACTCCCCAGAAGGTGGAAACTGTTGTCTGGAAAGCATCGCTATCTCAGCCAGATTTTCACGAGTATTTGAAACTCTTGCACCAATATCAATTTGAAGAGAATGAAGGCGTTTCCGTCGACGAAGAGCCACAATACACGTCGACCTGCGATGGACCTTTGAACCGCATGCGGTGCCGCGCCTTTTTCTTATGACGGATTGATTAAGCGACGAAACAAAGGACAGCGCAATGAATGTGAAACTTGATTTTGATGTTGAGTACGAAGACGAACAACATTGAATAGACTTCACCAGCTCTAATCCGTGCACATCGACTTGCAGCCGAGAGTGGCATACGCTTTGAGGCAACGACCGGAGACGCGCGTGGACGTTATCGTGGGGCGATGCTTCACGAAATTCCACTTGCAGTTCAAATAGAAGAGCCTATCATTCTTAGAGTGGGTAGTTTGGACAGAACCAGGAGCACGTCGAGACCAAGGGCAAGAACTTCTACTTCATCTTCTAGTACTTGTACCAGTATTTTCTCCCAACATCACAGAGTTGTCATCAACGTGCCTGCAGGAATCGCATCTAAGGTGGACTGGGATGAGGTTGTGAGGCAAAGCAAGTCTCCCTGCAAGAAGTTGGATTGCGAAGGTGAAGCGCTGCTGTACGCGTGTGACTTGAGTGGGTTCTATTTTCGCGATACGGAGACTGCGCGAACTACCGGTAATATGGACGAGCGCAGTCTGTATCGACATGGCGTCTTCGGGCGCTGGCATTCGGTTTCCATCACCTTCAACACGGACGTTCTATCCTTGCAGCTGCCGATGCTCAGAGACGTGGTAACAAGCGCGTCTTCCACATTCAGTACAGGAGTAGGCAAAAAAAGCAAAACTTTGAATGTCCTCAGAATTGATCACGCTGACGCGAGTCAAGCATCCGCGCTCGTCTCTGCGTCGACTGCTGAGTTTGATGGAGGGCGAGGCCTACACGATGGCGGGTCCTGTCCAAAATCCACTACCGACAGGGCCTCTGCTGTTCTCGTCCCTGTCACAACACTTTCTTCACCAGATGAGGAGCGCGTGCCTTCTTCGGGTACGAACTCAGGATGCACTACACGTGATGTGGGTAGAGTGGTTCCAGTTCGGTCAGCTTTTTCAATTTTTGCGAAGAATCGTGTTTCTGATGCCGCCACTGCAGGAAGCGTCGGCACTCCGATTGTCGGACATCGCGGTGGACAAACGACTGAGCAGGAGAAACGGGATTGCATTATCTTCCGTCCTCCTCCAGAAGGTGCAATAATGTCCAGCGGTGCTAATACGGGAGACCTCTCTAACTGGCGAGTTGCATGCAACGCGCGACTCAAGGAACAGACGCTCGCTGCCGGAGGGCTTTCTAGCCGTTACCCAGATGTTGACCGTAGTGTGAAGCTGGAGCAAGCAGACCTTAACAAAGCTGGCCCCCCACGTCGTCGCTCGAAAGACAGAAAGAGATCACTTGCCTCAACGCGTTCATCCACAGCAGTCAATGGCGATGAACCCCACCCGCTTGTTTGTGCCGGCCTATCTGCAGTCACTGGCATGGCGAGTAGGGTAAGCCGCGACTTTTTGGGGTCTCGCGGTGCCGCTAGCGATAATGGACACGAGCCACAAGACCTGCCGCCGGATATTGGTATCCTGAAGCTGAAAGACGGAGTGACACTTGTTACGACGCGGGACGACGCTCGAGCCTACCGGGCCTTGCAAGAATGGTACGACGACTACGTCGATCCGGAAACACGAAAGAACCCGAGAACACTCAGTATCACTAGGATAATAGAGCCAGGTACTACAACTGTGCCAGTGTTGTCTGAAAGTGGTGCAGCCAGTAGTTACCCGCGGTCGGCCCAATTCAAGAACTTCGCGCGTCCGAAGAGGCAGCCTCAAGTTGCGCAAGCGACAGCACCGCAAGCGATGCTTCCCGGACCAGCACAAGCAACAGCCTTCACGCGAACCACGACACCAATTATCGTTGGTGTCACGAACTTGGCTAAAGAAGTCGCGTCTCGAGCGCGGGCTCTTCGTTCTCGAGCAGGTCGGGCACCGCTCGGTGATGAACCCGGAGCGGAGCAGGCGCAGGCGTCAACGAACCAAGATGATGCACTGGCTCAATCTAGAACTGATGGAGCAGTAATTCCAAACACAGTTGCTTCTGCGCAAGAAGCCTCGTCTGCCTCCAGAGGTGGCGCCGCTGGTGAACGTCAGCAAAACTTTTCAGCGCCCTCAACTTTTCGGCCCGTAGCTGTGCGCGTGAAGACAGTCTTACCTCCACACGAGGAGAAAAATCCGCTGTATCAGCTCTGGGTGGCATTGCATTCTGGAGAAACGGTCTCAGCTGCGGTAGTACTGTCCTTCCTTGTGTGTTTCATTCTTTGCTTCCTCCCGTCCATGACAGCTGCTCGATTAGAGAGGGAGGAGGCGTCTAAAGCGAAACTGCACATTTTGCTAACAGGGATTTCGCACATGCAATACTGGTGGGGAGTCTTCGTGTGGGATTTTCTTTCCTACTATTTGGTTCTCTGGATGTTTAACGTCTTGTTTCTGCTCTACCGAATTCCTTACTTCGGCGCATTCTGGAGCAAGTACGGGGCCGCTGCGTCCACGATATTCAGCCTTTTTATTGTCGCGACACTGCTTTTGACTTACTGCTGCTCACACTTGAAAAACGAGGTGTTGCCACGTCTTTGGGCCAGCTGCTGCCCGCAAATCCGCCGCGGGTGCTGCTGTTGCCTAGGCCTAGGCAAATTGTTCTCTGCGTGCTTCTCATCTGGCGGCACTCGCAGCGGCTCAGCCACGACAACGGCGCTAAATTTACGATGATTTAAGCAATTTCCCCTGCGGAAATGTGGAACAAAAATAGATCACTACCTATTTGTACCTCATAGTGTTACCTATAGTAAGCGCTTACTATTTAACCATCCGTAAGTATTGCCTATTCTCGTTAACAACATTTGGGTTCTTGGTTTTTTCGTATGAGATTAAAACAAGACAGGTGGCTGCGGTACGAACCAGGCAGAAAACAAGCAGAAGATGCCGCACATGGCCAAGATTATATGATCATTCACTCCCGGGGAACCACTTTATATCTATAATTTAAGCAATTTCCCCAAATCGAAATTGATACTCATGTTACGGAAGGGAAGCAAAGACAACATCATCAAGAAACTAGATGCTGCAGCTTCTACTTTCTAATGATCGGAGCATCGCAGAAGAGCCGCGTTGTTGGTCTTGTTTTGGCTGCCAACGTCATCGCGGGCTTCTTTCTAGCGAGACTGCACTATTTTCAACATCGTGACACAGTGGATGCCTACTTGCGCAGCGCATTAAGGGTTGCCGACGTGCGCCAAGAAATCGCTTCTATTCTCGCGGCCGAATTTCCACCTGATGGCCGAGTAATAGATGAAGCCACCGCTCTCGAGGTTGTTCAGTCTGAACTGGCCAAGCGTCACCCGGAGGCCGACGGTCGTGCCTGTATCTCTGAGGCGTGCAGCTTGCTCGCCGGCGGCTGCGGAGCAGCTTCTACAGAGATTACTGCAACGGACGTGTCCTCAAGGCCGCACCCGACGACTGTCTTATCTCCTCGGGATATTGATGCAAATGGCGAGATACGTGCAGACACCTCGCAAGTCCGTCCATTGATGTCGGCTACAACGTGTCCTCGGCTTTCTGGTGTCATTGGTTCCACGCTGAATGCAATGCCCGGCGGTACAGGCTCAGGAAACTGGTACTACGACAATAGCGATGTGGGTCCTGGCTCACCGCTGTTCTGGGGTGGACTACTGCTTCCCGGCTATCCGCTATTAGCAGCAACTACGAAAATCGCTATTCGAAAGGGCGCCGTTGTGGACGAGTGGACCTCTCCCGACAACGTAGCGGATCCCGACTTCGAAGCACTCATGCGAGAACTCTTGCCGATCCCGCCACGGACATCTATTGCGACCTATCTGCAAGGTGAGAACCACCTGCCCGATTTGGTACTGACAAATGCACTCAGCAAGTGTCTCGACAAAGGCGGTGCTCCGTGCACTTTCGTCGATCCATTTTCTCGTAGGCAGAGGGTAGCAACTTCTTCAAGAGAAGCGGGCGACGAATGGGTATCGCGAGTCACTGCAGAGGTCAACGAGTTCGACATTTTGAACGCGTACTTAGAGAGCACTGACCAGACAGCTGCACGGGAGCACATTCGCGCAGCCTCCAAAACTGCTGGCGATTTATATCTACGGTCCTTTACTATCGGTACCGAAATTTTGCAGCTAGTTTTCTCGATTCTTTTCTATGCTTTCGCGCTGATCATCAGCACCCTTGGCATGCGAACTGTGCGTGACCGTAGCTCCGACACAGCGAAACCCCTGTTGCAACAGCGCCTGCGACTCGAAGGTGACCCGCAGAAAGGCGAGGTAGATAACATCAACAATAAGCTCACAAACACTGCATCAAAAGTAAATGGCCAGCGGGTGTTGACTTCCTCCTCTCTGCTCGAGAGCGTGAAGGCGCGCGTATCCAACATGCTCAGTGGTCGCGGACGCTCGTGCAGCGACAGTGCTGATACCTCGAGATTGGATGATAATGAGGATTTTCCCGAGGCCGCGGACTTCTCCGAGAGTGACGTCGCACCAGAGGACATCGCAGAGCGGCAAGGGCTTCTTCAAGACAAGAATACATCGTCATCGAAAGACAAAAACGCGAAAGGCAATGCGTCATCAATGCTGCGTTCGGATACGTTAGAAACCTTTGCACAGCCCGTTGATAGCCAATATGCGCTTCGTAAAGCCGGGTTGCTTCGTGGTAACTCAACACATGATGTCGATCACGCTGGTCCTTTTCTTCGCAACGATAATATAGTTGAACAAATTAACCCTCTTGACGGCGAATTTCAGCAAGAAGCTGACGGAAACATTCCAAGCCGACGTGTAAGTCAGGCGCGCTCACTCGCATCTGGCCGCTCCGCTTTTAGCACGACGTCGTCCTTGCGGCGATTAGATGCGGACCTCGCTGCTGATGCGGGAGTCATACGTGAGATAGCGCGAGTTCGCAGGATGGAGAACCCAGAAGAGCAAGTCCTTTTCCTCCGAAATGTGAAGAAAGCCTATCCAGGCTTGGATCGGCCAGCTGTGGCGCACGTGCATTTCGCGGTTTAAGGCCATCGACAAAAAAACCCATTCTTCCAGAGAAAGGACAATCTTCGCCTTCGCCTTGATTTCTCTTGTCGGGGCTTGTGACCTCATTTTTTCCATACCTCTATCAACTTGCAAAGATAAGCTCCACAAGCTGCTCTAAAACGTTTCGCCGGACAGTGCTTCGAAGCTACCTCAGCATCTTCAACGGCATCCGACATTGGCGAACGGAAGCGGTATTTTTGGTCTTCTCGGGCGAAATGGTGCGGGAAAGACGACGTTATTCAAGCTGATTCTACGGTACCGCTTACGGTTTTGCTTTTAGATACCAGAAGGTTTTAAGTAAGTACGACTCCCTTAGCCTTACCGCAAATCGAGGTCATTACCCACCCACCTCCATGAGCATGACTCACATTGAAATAGAATTACAAACTTCCAGCCTGATCATGTTCTTGATCTTGTTACAACACTTCATCTCCCGAAGGCTCGAGGCAGTTTCGGAAGGCGAGGTGTACATTCTAGGAGAGAAAAGCCTAGTGCCCTATCACCGAATTGGATACTGCCCTCAATTTGATGAGTCTCTTCTTATGAGCCTGACCGTGTTCGAAAATCTGCGGTTTTATGGTCAATTGAAATTGCGCGAGCTCTACGCCAACTGGAAAATTCAGGCTCTTATCGACGAACTCAAACTAGGGGACTTCCAGGACAAAAAATGCGGCCACCTTTCAGCAGGTGTGCAGCGCAAGGTACGCATGTTTCTGTTTGAAGATGTACTTGTAGACCTCTTCATTCTTAAGAAGATGTACGCATGTTTCTGTTTGAAGATGTGGCTTCAAATTAATCCAAATAAGGAGTAGAGCAATGACTTTATCTAGTACGGCGATCAGGATCAACACCGGCTTTATCCTCTTCTGATCATCCCCCTAGGTCTGTTTCGCAATCTCGCTACTGGGCTCTCCTGACATCCTTCTACTTGACGAGCCGGGAGTTGGGATCGATTTGGTTTCCAAGACGTCAATGTGGGAGTTGGTGAGTAAGCATATTCGCATGCATGACAACAAGGTGTGCATCTTCACGACCAACTCGATGGAGGAAGGCAACGATGTGTGCCACCAGATTGCGATACAGGTGCAGGGACATTGGAAATGCCTCGGCGGTCTACGCGAGTTCCAAGAGAAATATGTTAAGGCTCGCCTGCAGATGTAGTGATGAAACTCGATAAGAAATAAGATTCGAGTTCTTGTGCTTGTCTGACTTCGTTGAGTGTCAGTCTGATAGTGATACTGACCATCTTCTAATTCATAAGAAGAGGACCACTGCCTTCAACATCAACTTCATCTATTTCAAAAGAAGAGGACTACTTATGCCATGCATCGCACATCGATGGTCGTTAGTTCTATTGTTCCTCAGCGAAAAAGAAAACCTCTAATGCCGGGGGCGGCTATCAAGTGGTCTGTGACTTTATCGGCAAAGGCTTCAACTCTTGTGACCAGCTGGAGGAGGATGCTGTGCGTGATTTCGACGATGTCTTGAACGGCACAGGAGGTAAAACCCATGTTGGTTACCACGAGTGTTGTTTACATTTTGGTATAGAATCACCCGATGTCATGTGCGTCTCTTTAATTACGTCGAACAATATTAGGAATGCATTCTATTTCTACCAAAGATATCAGAAATTTCCAGGGTATGCACATCTACATATTACTAGAGATTTCCTCCAAGTCACAGGTCTTCCCACTGGGAATGATGAAGCTGCATCCGGTGCGCAACGCGAAACATTCGGTTTCCTTTTTGGCGGTTCGACTTCAGCCGAAGACGAATTCACGAGGTTGGGTGGTGCGAGTGCTACAATGTCAACCTCCAGCACAACACCAGCTCAACAAGGCACCACAATGTTCGCAAAGCGCAATCAACATGCGGATGTGGTTGCTTCAGCCTACGGAGGTCCTTCTGGGTCTGGAACAATTGACAACTCGTTGAATAAAGACTCTTCAACAACAAATTTGACGAGGACTGCAACGCAAAAAAGCAAGAAGAGTGCACAGCAAAGGAAGAAGCGTAGTAAGCTGACCGCATTACGTAAGAGGCAGTCTTCGCTATTGGAGGACCTCGAGGAGCAGTTACAATTCGAGTACGAAGTAATGCAAACACGAGGAACCCAGGTGGTTCTGCGCTTCCCGACAGTGACAGAAAACAGTCCCTTATCCGATGTGCAGCGCCTGCTAGAATTCTTCCAACGGCGTCCCGATCTACGCATCTCGTTTGGACAAATGCAACTAAAACACATCTTCCACAAGTTTGCAGGAGAGGTGGCCATCTAGAAGTTGTAACAACTCTCTGGTGTGGAGGTAGGTCACGCGCACCACTCCCGCTTCCTTGTGGCAGTTCTACTTTAGTCAAGAGATTTAGAGTCTTGAAAAATTATATTTTCTACTACATTTTTAGTCACGCACCTTGATTATGAATTTATTTGATTCCAGTTTTTCGTCTAGCAACAGCAAGTGCTGTGCAAGCTTGACAAGGTTATTTGTTTGTTCTGTTGACATATTGATTTCTTATTTACATAACTACGGCATCTGGCAACATAATTTAAGATCATCACGCGCTTGCTCCGTCTAGTCTTCTACCATTCTTATAGCACAATGATCGCGTTAATGACAAGTTTCTTGAGTTGTTTAGTTTTGATCCGACAACAAGGAAGTTTCATAGTTTTAGTTTTGTGAAATCGAAATGATTTTCAATGATTGGTGCAGCACACCACAGTCACAGACATGACATCAGAATACTCGAAGTGAGTTCTTCATGTACCTAGGTCAATACAGATGAGAGTAGAGCATAGGAAAATGCTAGAGTTATTCTTGTAACAACAACAACTACAACTTTCCACAATAAATATAGAAATTTGAATTTCATCTTTCTCGTAAATGATGCTGGAAGGAGCAGTGTTGATACCCATCACAGTCACACCCGCGGTGACGGACGAGCTTTCCCGCCAGAAGAAAGATGGTTAAGGTGGAGGACCAAGAAGCGGTTTAAAGATAAAGCCACAACGAAGACACTGGTAGAAGGTATCATCAATCCGTCGTCTACATGAGATGAAATGACATTGTCGATTTTTCGCTCACTGTACTTCATACTGAGCTACTAGTACAGAGGATTTCTAGACGTACTCCTCGTGAGGAGACCTGTAGGAAGAACGACTACCTAGAACATGAACAACATGATTAGATTGAATTGATAGATATGTGATTCTGAATTTTTGTTTTCTTACATATTGAATTCCACCGACAAAACAACAATTCTTGTATGTTGCCCCTCGTCAGCATGTTGTAAGTTTGGGAGAAGGTATTGCATATCCATGTTATCATGTTGTAAGAGTCTTCGTGCATGATTTTGATACGTAGTTAAAATATCTTAACAATATGGCTTATGGCTTATATGTAGCCACCACCTTGGCATAATTCACAAGATAAGCGGCCTCGTTGAACAACTCAACTCTTGAACTAGAACATACTCCCCTGAGAACTTAATCCAATGATCATTTGCTTGCAGTTGTTGCTGCATGTCATCACGATCTTCCCACCTCGGTCTGTGAAAAGAAAACTCAACTCAGTATTATTGTACTCCAAAAGGAATGGCACATCGATGTATGTGTACTGATTTAACTCGCCGTGCTGATGTTTGGCAGTCTACTCAAGATGCAGGTATTGGCATAATATGAATATTCATAGATATAACTTTTCCTTGGTGGATATCGGAAGAATAGAAACTAGTCAGCATTGGCAGGGTGCATCCCTCCCCAAGCATAGCGGGTTGATAGACAACGTTCCTCTGCATGTTGCAAGTGGTGTCTTTTCGTGCGATAGTCCACAAGAAGAAGATGCGTCTTCCAGCAATGTTTAACTGGGGTGGAAGTAGCCCAACAGAACCACGTTATATTTATACCATAGATTGCAACTAGCAGGTTGCAGGTAAAGGTTGTAATTTAGAGGGCCAGAGAAAATCAGAATAAGTGATGAGGGAAAGCCGTCGGTGGCGAGTACACGAGCACTTCTTCTGATGAGAGCGCAGTACTGGTGGTCCGACGATTATTTTGGTCTGAAGAGAGATGATGGAGCTGAAAGATGAAAGTCTCACCGAATTTCGGTCAAGTTCTGTGGTCATTCAAAAGAGCTCAGACTCGGAGCAGAGGAAGGTATTGCATGATACACAAGCAGTGGAGCACCACATGGATTTAGTCAGATCGTCTAGCGCTCCTGCAAGTAGTGAATTCACACTGCCGACACGAAGACGAGGAACCCCGCCCATGTACGGACAATACTCTTTCCAAGAAAACTGCACAAAAGAGAAGCCCAAGATGATAACACTTGTTCCACTCAAAAGTGTTGATAATTAAAATCACACGGCAGATCCTCCAAGTGCAAGGTTAAAAGAAAAAATAGAACCAGGCTCCTTTACCCCAATACAACTGATTAATAATCTTGTCATCTTCTTGAATTATTCTTGTTTCTCAATTATACTTACTACAAGTACATAGCACTACAACGGTGTTCTTGTATGTCAAGCTCAGTTGAAGAAACGACGGTCACGCATTTTTCCATTTCTCCATTGGTTCTTGTGCTGGGAATGTGGCGATGCTGTGATAGTGACTTCACTGAAAGATCAAAATTTCCTCGGCGTGTCGTTAGCTTTCGTTTCGCGACTTCGAAAGCCAAAGCCATCAAGAAGAGATCCTGATCACCACCAACGAGCCTCAGACGCACCAAAACTCGAGATCCCAGTAGTCGTTTTTATCCTACAAGCCGGGTGGACATGGACGCAGCACTGAAGCTCTAGATTGCACTAGCCGTTATCCTCCAGCCCATGTGAAGAACATTCACGCGAGTTACGGGTGGAAGACGTCACCATTCCTGAGGTGTACTCACTGCCCGCGCCACTACGGTCCTTCACTGGGAAGAACTTGACTTCCAAGAGTTTGCTAGGAAATCCATCATCGTGTCGGCGAGATGTATGCAAGCAGTTTTGCAGGGTCTCAAGGGCTGCAGGGGATGCAGCAAGGTAATCGCATATTCTTCTTTTGTGCATGTATGCTACAATTTCTGAATGAATTTCTCAAGTGGAGGCTACTGCTCAAGATAGTACTCAACTTCTTACATAATCATTTCAAAAACTTCTTGCAGAATACTACATGAGCATACTCAACACCCAAACACCATTGCGCTCTGCAGGAAGCACGACAAGTCGTTCTTACTATACAGAGTGTCACAGCCTAAAGATCAAACAGCATGGTGCTCTGCACGTAGCATGACCTTGACCATCCGTTCTCCAGCACAGACCGATTGTAACCAAATGTCAAACACGATCCTGTGCTGCAGACGGTGAGACATTTATAATGTGCACACCGCAATTGGCTGGATCCAAAATTCAAACACCAGGTGGCTCTGCAGGGAGCACGACGTTTGCAGGCGCTGTCCCATCTGCAGCGACAGAGAAGTGTCAATTTCTCTTCAAGTTCATCATAGTGGGCGACGAAGGTGTCGGGAAGACTTGCCTTCTGCTCCAATTCGTGGATGGAAGGTAAGGTGTACATCTTTTTTTTGTTTGATTGAACATAATTTCTACATATTTTTTTGCGTCTAAAGTCACATACTCAAAAATTAAATTGATTTCGAATTACACCAGATAAAATCAAAAATTTTGAATTTTCAAATTTTGAATTTCAATTTATTTCATTGAAATTCAAAACCAAAATTTTAATGGTAAAGATGGAAGTACAAATGGATATTTTCTATAGTGACTAATGACTACAGCACTTTAAAACAGGCTCATGTTTAAACATTAAGTTGGGATGCGGACAATATTCAGCCAAATCATTAAATTATGGATGACAATGACGGTGTAAATTATATTCAAACTCATAATGAGCAATCAGGAATCCAATTTGAATATAACGGAATAAAATCAAAATTTTGTGGATTTAGCAATTTTCCTTTCAAATTCAATTTGAGAAATATCTAGTTTAGTCAAAACTAAAAAAGGCCATGTCTGAGAGTTTGAATTTGCGACAGAAACAATTTTCTTCTTGTGACGGCGTTTCATCCTCTTCCTAATGCAGACATGGCACAACCGCAACTCTAGGTATCGAACCAAGCACGAGGTCACGGTCGGGGTCGAGTTTGGCTCTAAAGCGCTAGAAATCGACGGGAAAGTAGTAAAATTGCAGTGTTGGGATACTGCTGGCCAAGATCGATACCGGAGCATCGTGCGATCATATTATCGAGGCTCTGCTGCTGCATTACTCGTCTACGACATAACAAGGTAATTACAGTTCTATCTGTTTATCTGCGAGGTGTATGCCACGAACTACAACCATTGGACGAAGAAGTCCTACTTCGCTGGTTAATGCATTCAGGTACTTGTACTGGGACTCATCTATGCTGATATGGGACGAGAAAGTAAAACAGAATGATAGAGATAAAAATGTAGTGTATAACTCCATTCACTAGGAGGTGCTGGTCTCGCTAGCATCATCTTCTGGCAACTTTCTATTTCAATTACAGTCGCGCCTCGTTCAACCACGTTATATCTTGGCTGCGCGAGGCGCGAGAGCATGCAGACACGAACCTCGTGATAACCTTAGTGGGCAACAAATGCGATCTCGGGCACAAAAGAGAAGTGAGCTATGAGGAGGGACTGAACCTAGCAGCGACCGAGAATCTCCAGTTCGTTGAAACGTCAGCCGTGGATGCGACAAATGTATATCTGTATACGTTCTTGATTCTGGTACACGGAGGAAAAGGAAAGCAGGTTGTTATGATTGAAGTGTAACTTCTCTTATTCTTGCCTTCTCTTATTCTTGCTCCTGCGTTGATCTTGATGGGTGTACTCGAAAAAGGAAAATAAGCAAGTACGTTCAAGAATAACGCTAAGTCAATAGTCCTCTTAAGTGACTCTACTCGGTTATTTCAGTTTTCCGTATAAACAGTCGCAACAAAAACTCGCTGACATGATAAGATAAAACCACGACAAGATTTCGGCATTGTTTCTTATTTTTCCTCGATTTTTCTAGGTAGAGGACGCTTTCACGCAAACTGCAGCAATCGTTTACAGAGCTAATGTAGGTTTCTTTCAAAACAACGCGAATGAGCAGCCATGGCAAGACCGGGGCATTAAATTGACTGCGCAACAGGGAATGCCTGCTCAACAACCCCAACCATCGGAAGACCCTTGCGCGTGCGCCTGACACGCGAATTATCTGCATCTAGGCCGTTGCGGGGGACTTCTTTTTTCCGATCCTCGCCGTCTACTTCGTTCGCGCACAGATAGGCGTCAAAAAACATTTGCAAATCTGGAGATACGCACACGCACATGGTAAAAGTGTGGTCAGCGGCATTGACTCATCGACTTCTCGTTTTGTCGTCAAGCTGAATCTTGCTTCTATTTCCTCGCATATTCTATCAATACTGCACTCGAATTCAACATTTCAACATATGTTGCATAATCTAATTCAAGTGACGTCTTTGTCTTCATTTCTTGCTGTCAAGGCAGGAAAACTTTTTGGACTTTCGCAAAAATGTCAGAAAAGTTTCCTCGTCTTCTACCATCGCAACTTGATCTTTTTCTTGCCCGCATATTTTGACATACAGAATGAACCCTGCACTTTACATCCTCGACTGACCTCTTTACTTTCTATCCACGGTTAAAAAAAGCCTTATCCTGGTATGCTTATGATTAGGAGCGCAGCACCCCCTCTCTCTCAGTGGAGTGGCAAACTTTCACCTGCAAAAAGAACGCGCCTTAACAAATACTGTAGTTTTGAGAGGAGAACACATCGATGTGCACAGTTGTACAGGGAGATGAGAGACCTGCATCTCACGAAGTGAATTGGAGGTTTTATTAGACTATACAAATATCATGTTGAAGTGTCGCAAGTTGCATCTCACGAAAGTGGATGAGAGATGGTGAAACGAAAAGTGCAAGAATTTCGAGTGCATGCTGCTTGGAGGGAGAACGGAGAGGATTCCGATTCATGCTATGTATTTGTTGCAAATCCAACTTGTTCTATTGCAATGAATATCTTGTTGTCCTCGACATTATAATCGTGATTCAGAGTAGAAGAAGTTTATGTTGTGTTTATAAAAGAAATTGATTCTTGATGTTATTCATATTGTAATCAAAAACAACAACAAGGGGTACACCTTTTACTCCTCATCGTACGTCAAGCGGTGCGCGCGCCCACCGTGCTGCGTGTACGGAATGCATGGCTAAGCACAGAGGAATGCCATCATCAGTGCGAAAGCAGGTGTGGATACTTCTAGCGGCCAGTCAAGTGATGATGATAGAAAAGTAAGTTGCAGCAGTTTCTGCTCGTTGAAGATGGAACCACAAGAACAAGGGAACGCCTCTGCTGATCCTCGTGAAGCCTCCTCATCCGCAAGGGCCACTTCTAGCCCACGAAGTTCGCCGCATCACTATTTCATCGGTTCGGGAGAGCCTTCGAAAGAAGGTGCTACAGTTCCGCAAGGTGCTTCACCCAGCAGCCCGAGTGTAAAAGATCTGACATCGCACTTCGAACAGCTAGCAGCCGAAAAGTCCTCTGGTGGAAATAGAAGGCAGTCTTCTCCGATTGCAGGAGAAATCATCAACTCTGCGACTATCAACTCTTCTTCGAGCTCGACGTCCGCTTCCCTGGTTGCGCCTCAAGCTGTAGGAGGTGGTACTGCAGCTGGAAGACGAGGCACTTCTACTTCATCTGGTCACTTCTCAACACCACCCCTGAACACTGGCTCGAGCAGTCCTCCGCGACTACTGCTTGCAGGACTCTATAGTCCAGTTGTGCAGGCACAAGACGAAGCTCGCGCGGGCCACCACTCTAAAAAACACATTGTACACCCTTCCCTGGGTGGGACGCCTACCGTGTTGCCGGCGTACAAACCTTCGATGGAGCCAACGGAGCGCTACGACGAATACGAAGAAGCCCTCGATCAGGAGGACGCTGACACTCGTACTCGAAATCATCTTGCAGAGGCTCTCTGCGGGAAACAGGAAAAAGTTGCACAAGCTGCTTCGAAGTCAACATCAAGGAGCGAGAAAGAAATAGAGCAGTCGCCGTATCACTAAGACGATAAGGTTGATGAATATCTTTATTGTACTTGTAATATTTGCATTTGCTTGGTTATTTTCTGGCTATAATACAAAAAATGACATGCACTAAGTTCCTTTAGATGTTGAGACTTCACTTCTAGTTCGAGATTCCTGCTATACTGAACTCCAGCCCTGTGCCCGAGGTACCAGGAGGAGAACGAAGCGAACAACAAACAGACGCGACCGGCACTGGAGATTTGTATCCGAAAACTGCATATCCGTCTTTTCCGACGGTAGTTCCTCCGCCGGCTCCTTGGTTCAACATGGAGTCAGACACTGCTGGTCCCCCAGAAGCAGGCCCGCGTGCGGCAGACGTCTATCCATGGAAAGTTGCTGCTCCACAGCAACATCTTCCTACCTCTGACACTGAGGAGTTCGACTGGCACGCGTACAGTTCCTACGCAGCAGCGGCGCATCAACTGCAGCAGCAGCAAATGCATCCGGGGCAAGCCAGTAGGGTCTATCCACTCCCGCAGCGCGGTGCGCATGAACAATCGTTTCCGGCTGCGCCTGGCTTTTCCATGGATCCAGTGACGGCTTCAGTGTGGGGTCCAGAGGAGATGTGGAGTGCCTACAGCACGCCCATTCGGAATAGCGGTACGTCGTGGGCAACTGCGGTAGCAGATCTTTCTACAGGGCATGCGGCCTATGCCACAGGGACCTCTTACGCATTTGGAACCGAAGCCGCGAATCCTGCCAGTGCATCTGCAACGAGCAAAGGCGGAGCAGGTCTATCAGCTTCGTCTTCTAAGAGTGTCGGCGGAGCGGGAGGGGGACAACATCAACAGGGAAGCGGATCCTATAACGCAGGAGGATCAGCAGGTGCTTTACCGCCGTCAGCAACCAATATGGTAGGACAGCAAGGAACTCCACGTTACAACTCGAAGAGCACCTCCAAAGGCTCGGGCCCCTCTGGGGTTGAGCGTAGTGGTAAGGGCTCTGCGTCGCGACCAGTGTCTTCGGCTTCTAGTGGCAGTGAGAGCTATGTGGTAGAACCTCGCTATATGTCTCGCACGCCCCCTGCCAGCTGGCAAGGACACCAAATTGCTACAGCTGGAACAGCGAAAGGCGCTGCTGGAACGACCAAAGGAGTATCAGGAGGAGGAACATACCACCAAGGAAAAGCATCCTTGCAGACGTTTTCCAATAAAGCAAGCGGGTCAGGGAGTGGGAAAAGCGGAGCCGGAGGAGGTTCTCAGCATCTTGTGGGTGGAACGCCAGGATCGTCAAAGAGGCGAATAGGAAGTTTCCGTGCCGGCGGAGACTACGCAACGTACAATGCTGGACCAGTGCATAGAGACCAACGTCACTACAGCAATTCTCCAGGAGCTATTCTCGCGCAAGTGCGGGGCGCAGGTGCGGTGCCCGCGTTCTCCAGCAGCAGAGGCGGAGGCAAAACGTCGCAGAAGGGGACTCCGCAGGTTCAGTTGACACCGACGCCACCTAGCGTGGCGTCAGCACGGGAACACAGCCAGCAGCGCGCTTCCTCAGCAAGTGAGGCCGAGCTGCAGTCGTCGTTGCATCACGGCACGCAGTTTTCCCAGCAGAGCTCCTCGAAAGAGGCAGAGTTTGCGACCACCTACAGTTCAGCTACGAGTCGCATGGGCAGCAAAAAGCCGGATTACTCCACCTACGCCTTTCAGCCTAGTTCTCGGGAACAGCTACAGGGCGGCCAGCAAGTGCAATATAGCGGCAGCGCGGCCGAAGCAAATGCACAGATGACCAAAGGCGGTGCAGGTGCTTCTACGCGAAGTAACCAATTAGGAACTTCCATCGAAAGTTCAGGTGAAGACTCGAATGAGCAAATGGGAAATGTGCGAGGTGGGGACTACTTTACACGCATATTCTATGGGCCTCGCGCCAACTCTCCGCAATTTACGCGGGGCAGCGCTGGAAGCTCTGGAAATGCTGCAGAACATGTCAGATACCGGCCGCCTGGGGTCGATTACGCAGACCAGAATGTTCATCTTGTCTCTCCGGTACTCGGCACAGCCGCTGGTGCTGGCGGGCCGGGTGTGTCGCAGTCGTCTTCGAAGAAGAGGCGGAAGCAGCGAAAAAGACGCCAAACAGGACTACTCTCAGGTGAAAACACGGATAACTATTCCGGTGAAGGAGGCAGACCACGTGGAGTATCGGGACCTTTGGGTTCAACTGGTGCACACGGCAGTGCGAGCACGAGTGTGCCACCAGACCTTCGGCGTCTTCATCAGGCCGGAGAAGAGTACCACTTCACGAAAAAATTGGAGACGGGAAAGAGCCCAGGGCAGCGTTTACTTGACGCCGTGAAATATTACACGTATTGGGACGTCGTTACGGGTAAAGAATCGGGACAAAAGCTCCTCGTCGCAGAGTCACCAAGAAAAAGTGGCGTCCCGATCAATCCGCGGGGTAGAAAGCATGGCTCATCGGACAGCCAAAAAGGAGTATTGAATATTCATCTTCTTGTAGTTCAGCGCCTCGTACACTTCCGTAAATATAATACACTCCATTTATTCGTTGATTCGTCTGCTGCCGCTTCTTTTAGTTCATGACTCATTGCCCAGCACTCATTATCCAAGGTAATAAAGTAGCTACCTCTACTTTCCTTATCATCTCCAGCCGGGCGGCTCCTCCGGATCTTCAAAAGCTACGCCATCTTCCGACGTTATTTCACATGAAGAGGGCACTGCTGAAGGCTCTTTCGTTTCGCCTTTCAATTATGGATGCGTGATGTTCATTTTTATTTCTGATCGTGACCGACCTTGAAGACGCTGAAAAACCTGCTAGCAGTAGCACCACATCAACGATCATTCACGGATCTCAAAAGACTTTTTCTCATTTGAATTTTGATTAATATGGATTAACTTCGTAATCGTAAAGAAAAGATGATATAAAGACGAACGGATTTCGCCTTCTTTTCGAATAGCTCTAATTCCGAATGCTTTCGAAGCAGCTGTTTGACGCAGATAAGAGCACCCCGGGTTCCACACCAAATATACAATGGGGCGTTGGACGCCCTCTCGAAACCAGCATGGAGATTGTAGCTGGTGGTGCTGATCCTGCGAAAGTAGGCGGTGCGCCGTCGAGTGCACCCTCGGCAACTGTGCACATTCTCGCTCCTCCATCACAGGGACACAATCTTGACGTTGCTGCATTAGAAACTGCTGGCGAGGGGCAAGGGGATGCCCATTTTCACCCTTCGAGGTCTTCGGACAGGCTGACTTCTAGTCGACCAGCGCCGACAACACTATCCTCAAACAGCCAGCTGCAGCCAATCTCATCAAGTGGAGGAGGGGTCACAAGTACGACGGCAGGAGGCACGAGCACAAGTAGTGTCCCCGGCAGTCAGCGAACGAACATGCTGATGCTGAAACCAGCAACAGTTATGTGCATAATTTCGTCTACATTTCATCTGTGAGTCCGGAAAAAAAAGTGAAATGTCAGCACCACCATAAATCATTGGGAAAAGTGCTGATTTCAATTTCAAGTAAAAATGATCGTTGAAGTATTTTAGGCTGAGCTTTCCTTTTATTAGCTCTAAACTACGAGCGTCCCCAACCACCAGCGAAGAAGACATCCTGCACGAAGCAGAGCGCAGTGGGGTGCGAATCAACATCGGCCGTGAGAGTGACCTTCACGCCGCTGTCGAGGCACCACTTTCTGTCGAGAGCTTACCGGACAATTATTCATTATGAGGTGTGATGTGATTCAGATCTTAATATTAGTTTTTGGTGCAACTTCATCATCGCAAAAGAGTAATTGCGTCTGAGTAGTACAAGTAGAACACGAGGACAAGGACATGAAATACCATGTCAAAGCTTAGTTCTTGCCAGCAGACTACTATCTTTTTAGTTGTGCCACACGACCTTGCTGATGCTGCTCCCCTTCCTATTGCTTCATTATCTGTCCACGTGTTCGAGTCGAAGCCTCGAAGTGGGCACAATACAACAGCAGAAAATTGCTTGGAGCGAGTCAATCACGCTGTACGCGACGCTGTCGGTGTCAGAGATGGTAAGTACTTATATTTGGGATAAGCACTTGGACAATACCTTAACCTGCTTTCCCCTCTTTCTATTGACACCCTCAAAACAGGCCGACTAATGGCACTCAATATGAATGATCAACTATCCAGTCTATCTCTTCGTCGATCTTTAGGGAAAGGAGCGTTAGCTACCTTAGGCTCAAGCGCGTCTGGTAATAGCGATAGCTTTCTCTTGATTGGTGAAGATTGCGTCCTTTATGATGGCTGGCCAGGTTTGGCAATAAACTACTGTAGAACCGGTGCCCGTGACACTCATTTTGGCCGATACATGAAACGACCACAAGCAAAAACTCAATGCAGGCGACGTTGGCGGAACGCAACCGCAGATGATTGACGGGTTAAAGCAACGGGCTTACGCAACGGCCGGTGCGTTTCAAGATGCGACACGGCCTGTAGTGAATGGTTTTATGCAGCATGTGCAAGAAAACTTTACTCGTGAAAGTGTGGCCCGCCTGGGACGCCGGACATACAAAATGGGCGAAAAGGGGTATTTTTGTTGGCCTGTTTGTTGCATGACTACTAAGCGACCTCTTCAAGAAGGGGAAGCCGAAGCTAATACGACCATTGTCGACAGGTAATGCTCGTAGGTCATAGCTATACACTCATGCCCTGATGTTCCTCGTGCTATTTAGGGGCAAGAACAATATCCACTTATCAGCATTCCAATCTCCCCATTTTTCCTTGAAGAAAAGGTATCGTTCTACCAAAGACTTTGTGCGGGATACTGATTTTAAGTCGCGCGGACGAGACTGCTACGACAATAGCAAGCGATCTTGCTGTTACGAGTTGCCCTCGTTCTTATCCCGGACAGCAAACTCTTTCACAACGCGCGCACAAACGGCTTGGTAGGTTGATGAAGGAAAGATGAAACGCGATGGATTTCTTCGCGACAAGGAACAAAAGAAACTTGACTACAAACAACAGCATCAATGTGATTCAGTGAACGATAGATAGGGTTAAGTAAGTTTTCTAGAATTACCTAGGTACAGTTGAAGTTTAGTATCAGTTGATGTTGCCGCTGTACTTGTGGTCAATGAAACTACTCTATGAATGTTGTTGACGCACCTGGTCACGAAAAACGATCGTGGTATCTTATCGGGTTGGGATCGACGACGAATATCTTTGTTATGCTCAGGAGTCGAGAATCAGGTGACTTGATGTAGAACTTTTTTCATGAACATGATTTCACGCCTTGATTATAGAGTAGGTTTTTTTTTTTTGGCCGAGTTTCGCTTTATTCACTTCTGGCTGTCGACTGTTGTTCTATATCTTTTGTTCTTGAACAAATTATATTGATGTAGCTCGATCACCTATTATTTCAGGCTTAAGGTTATGTTCTTAATTTTGTGACAAATTTATGGATAGAGGTTCTTGGAACAAAAAAATATTTCTAGGGTTCTTTAGGAGTACGTCGGAGTATTTCGGGATCTTTACGTTGTAGAATTCAAGGTGTACTAGTAAATTCTCTCAAGAGGTCGACGTTCCAATCCAAGACCGCGACTTTGTATAGTCTAAATGAAATGATGCTGCTAGTCTAGTGGTTTTATTGTCATCATGGTTTTATTCTAGCTTGACGTTTTTCATCCAGTTAATATGTTGTATACCTACATCAACCGTCGTTTACTGAACAGATACACATTCTGAACTACAGTGAAACACCAAGTGCAGAGTGTGGTTTTTATTTCAATAGGATGACAGATATGAACGGACAAATTACAAAAGGCTTCAAAGCGCAACCTGTTTCGTTCGAAAAAATTCCTACAGCGTTCGAATTATTTTCGAACGGGTTCGGAATATTTTCGAATAGTTCGAAGCTGGAAGTCTCAAACTATTCCCCATATTCGAAAAAAAAGCGACTTCTTTGCAAAAAAAGCCGTATATTTTCGAATATGGCGACTTTTTCCAAATTCTTGGCAAACATTTTCGAACTATTCTAAAATATTCGCCAACTCGTTCGAAAATATTGCCCAACTCGTTCGAAAATATTCCCGAACGCTGTAGGAATTTTTTCGAACGAAACAGGCTGCGCTTTGAAGCTTTTTGTAATTTGTCCGTTCATAATGACAGAAACAGAATCTCTTGTTGGACCGCAACGGTGGCAGCGTCCGAACGGCAGACCATTCTGACCAGTAATAAAGTAGAGGTAAATTTTTCTATTTTGTAAATTTGAATCCTTGTTGAAGATGTTTGCTTAATTAGGGGCGAGTTTGCTTACACACGATGAACACGATAGATGTGAATCGATAGGGTTGACATCTGTAATCGATAGATAAGCATATGGGCGGGCAGATGAGTCCTTGATTTCGAAGAAATAGAAATTTTCGATTCAGAAGGAAGCATGTTGATGGCGATATAGATTTACTGGAGTGCCAGAATTGTAGTTTTTTTGATTGTCAGATCGTGAACGAATAACTTCTTCCTCTTCGACGACGTCCAAGAGAAGAACAGCCGACGACAAGCGAAAGGCGCATCTTGTCAATCAGCCGCCGCCTACTAGGACTATTGCCCCTGGAGTTTTTTGATGCAGTTTAATTTTGAACGCACAGAATCCTGCGCGTTTTACTTTTTACTCTAGAAATTCATGACTGAATCAATGCCGGGGGTACGGGTGTTATGCAGGAATGATTTATTCAATCACATTGCGCATACTAATTCTAATGGCTCTTGCAGAATTTAATTAATTCCTGAGACGACTGAGTGGCTAAATCAATCCGAGTATCGTTCAACTAGTGGTTTTCTTACTTGTGCAGCGGCGTGGTTCACAGGAATGTGATGATCTTTTAGGAATCGTCATTTTCATTACAAGAGCTACATCGAAATCGGATCGTCCGAGTTCCACCGCTGCGCTAGTACCGACGTGCCCGAGAAGATCAAGGACCACTTGGTTGCTGCCGACGATTTGAGAGAAAAGGTCATCCAGAAGGCGCTCGTTCACCTCTTATATTTCTCGTGGTGGTCGTTTCTTCAACATTTCTTTCACACTTGCCAGGCAACGCCATTTTCTCCACTTGCTAAGCTCCAGGATCATCACTGTATCTCCTATGCAAAAGTAGGTCGTATGTCGTATACATTTCTCACGTCTCTTATTTTCAGCTGGCATCTTCAAATGAGTACTAGAAGTTGGTGGATACCTTCTCGTAATGTTGATATGTGTGTCAACTACTGCTTCATCTCGCGTTCCCTTAGATCAGCTTTGTGCGATTTAGGTGGATGACTACGAAACCTATTTCAATTTTTTAAAAACTACTACTTTTTTTTGATTATATTCAAACTCGTGTCTTTTTGTTTATGGTTTTCTATTAATTTAATGTCATGCCTGATTGCGCCTATCTCGCTTCGTTGATTCCATCGAAAAAGTTCTTGGTTGGAGCTTTGCGAGATCAAATCGGCCTATCTGAAAAGAGAAAAAATGACAGAAATGAAGCCGTCGTCGATGTACATGCCAGGAGCTGCGTGGATCGTCTTTCTGGGAGGGGAGATGGAGGTAGTTTCTCTTTGTCGCCCTGCCCGGAAGATCCGTCAGCAGCAGTTATCGTCCGTGTAACGACCAAAGCGAAAAGAAGGCGTTGCCGTAGGGATGCTCATGCTGAATTGAAAAGAGACCGAAACGATTGCGGCTACGCCGACGAACAAAATATGCCTTCATCGAAATCGACTTCACCAGACGAAGTCTTCTCTGGTCGTCGTACAGAAGCGAAATCACCCAAGACCCCGGTCCTCGTGAATGCGGATGACAGGAGCCAGGAGGGAAGACACGCGGGTCAAGAGCAGGGTGGATCCGCTCTCCACGAAGATGTTCTACAGCAAGGAGAAGCACCACAACGGGAGCGGGCTGCCCCTCTAGCGGATCGACCGGCATCAACAACTGCAGCTTATCAAGCCGCTGACCAAGGCGGAAGTGAGGTGTCAGATACCAGAATTTTGTACGAGTACGAAGAACTAGCTTCTGGTGTGGTGTTTTTGGACAGCGCTCGAGCTGTGTATTACTTTCTCCGAAAGTATGCGCAAGGACCGGAACGGGGAGCAACGGCTGAAATTTTGCTTCGAGGATGTCCAGAGAAGCTGAAAGTGTACGAGGCTCTTCTTCGCAAGGAGGAGGAAGAGAATGCCAGGATTTTCGCATCTGACTATCACTCCGGAACCACGCGATGTGGAGCTTCCACTTCAACTTCCGGCTCCGGTATTACTGACGAATCGGGGAGAATCGCAACGACGATATCAGAGGCCCGCAAAACCAGAACCGCAAAGATGACACTGAAGGAAGCTGAAGCTGAGTCTGAGTCTCCTGCGACGACGCCCGAATCCGGAACGTCGTTTGCTTCATCGCAGCAAAAGCCGAGCGAAACGGCATCAACAAGAAAGAATGGCAAAAGCCCAAGCGGTGCTGGAAAAGAAGATCACGACCAGATGAAAGTAGTAGCCGACGCTGCCATTGACTCGTCCACACCACAGTCATCGGCGAAGGCTCAGACCAAACACACCAAGCAGTCAAAGGCTGACGCGTCACACTCAACGTTTCTGCATGATGAAAGTAACGTGCCGTCCTCTAACAGTTCGATGGGTGACGGAGAAGGGGAGTTTGATATTGTGGTTCGGAAAGGCCATCTGCAATTGTGGAACGATCCTTTGAAAAATCTTGTGCTTCGGACGAACCAAGTGCTATCATCATCGATATCAAGCACCTCAACATGTCAAGATGAGATTAACCTAAGCAGTGCAAGACCGCGCAGCAATTCAGTGGGCTGCAATGCATCTTCCTCTACCTCTTCTACAGAAGGCGCCGATGGAAGTGCAAAAATCTCAAGGCAAGGCAGTCTGGCGAATTCTGAACCGATTTCAACAACAACGTTTTTGCCAAGGAACGCAGAGACTGTTAAGCCTGCAGGTGTCGACAACATCTTGAAGGTGGATCCCGCAAGTTGTACAAAAGAACATGTAGATCAAATGAGTCGATCTTCGTCTACCAATAGCAATCGTGCGGCTGGTTTGTCGGTGGCAGCGCCGCCAAAGAAAGAGCGGAGGCGTCCCGTACCATCAGGAGCGAAGTTGACGATTCCCATGGAATGTGCGGAAGTCTTAGTTGTTTCGTCTTCGCTGTTAATAGTCACTCACTCTTACAAGTCAGCAGGTGTGCTCCCGTTACAAGGTCCCGAGCAAGATGATCATCTGCTTGATGATGTATCATCTCCTGCGGAAGCCCTGCTGGATATGCCGCGCATTTTGTACGGTGTCGTGCTTCATCGAGCGGGACTGTTGCAGATGGATAATCTCGCGCATATCTTACGTCAGCGATGTGGCTGTGTCCTCTCCGAGCCGCGCTTTGAAAACCGGGCAGAGCTTGTTGGCTACTGGGCTCGAGCTGGGGCCTTGGGAATCGGCAACGTTATCCGAGGTGGCGCGTCATTGTATGAACTCAAGATAATTCAAATTCAAAATGTTAATCTCCTCTTCAATTTCAAACCAGTTTTTTGAAATTTGAACTCGATAATCACGACTAGTACGGAGGGCGACACAATCGCTTCCGAAGATGTTTGGAATTCTAGTACGTGAACCTGTAGTATGACTCTTGCATAAAAAGTGCCGTCGCCCTGGACGATATGTCTTTGTTCTAATCAATACTCTCCCGAGGAATCACGCTTGCAGGTGGGACAGCAATCAAGCGTGAATGGATTCCCAAAGCAGGAGAGCAAGTCGCCATCGCGTCCCCAATTAAGACAGGGGTACGCTACACCCGCAACGCTTCACATTGGCTTTCGGATTCTACGCGACACACGCTCGCAAGAGCAGTGAAGGATGTCAGCAGAGCAGTGAACACTCGTTTTCATGATCACTTTGAAGAAAGGACTACCTCTTCCTTTTTGATGTTCTCTTCCTCTAGCGCTAGTCGCGAAGGAGAAAGAAAAAGCACGCAAGGCCCAGGTAAAAGAGAGGAAAACAACGACAGGAACGCACTGAGTCACGGATCTGCTTCAAGTTCATCAAGCCAAAGAAGAGAAAAGTCTTTATCGAGCAACACCGATGATCACGTAGGCGAAGCATGCTTCGAAAAGAAAACGCAAAAGGACAAGCGCACCCGGCCAGAGCAGTCAGCGGAGACACCAGAAACACAAAAGGTCAACGAGGGACCAATCAGCGATTCGTCAATGGTAAGAACAAAATCAAAGCGGGCTCAACAAGGCTCTCGAATGCCAGAGGGTATCAACAAGTCTGCCTCGGTAAGCGCGGCCAAGGAGGTCAAAATGGAACACCATGGAGGAAGCGCGTCATGTTTTTCGTCATCTGAAGACAGAGATGTGAGGCCGACTCAGACACAATCATCTGCTACTGATGAGTCGTCCGCACATGAAAAAACTCTTTCATCCGGCTTCGAGACACCATCTTACCCGTCCTGGTATAAGCCTGAGCATGGAAATACTGCGAAAACTTTGGGCCTGAGTAGTCTTATGGCAGGCGTAGAAATTTTTAGTGCAATATACGACGCAACGGGAGAGATCGTGTCGTCGGCGGCGCATGTTACAGCCGAAGTAGTAGGCCACCGCTATGGCGAGGATGCTAAGGCAGTAGCACAAGATGGCGTTAGAATAGCACAAAACGTGATCGAAATTAAGGAGCAACTTACTGGAAAAGCGGTGGCAACGCAGGTGGCGAAGGAGTCACTGTAGAAATCAGCTTTTGGTTACAATTTTTTGCGTCCATTTTTGAGTGTTTCATGGATGATTTTTTGGGAGCTTCGCAGCTGTTGAAAAATATCACAAGTTCATGATCTTGTTTGTTCTTGACTTAGATAGTGGCTTAGAGTACATTGGGCGAAGTGATAGGTACAGGTCTCATCCCCCTCCCTAGCTCCCCATAGTTAGGTCTCCGACGCGAGGCGTGCTGCAAATCTATATTCGACGTCCCAAAAATATCGCCTTTTTGGGAGGGTGTAGGTCCCGCGACGCTCAAAGCACACAAAGTAAATTAGCCGGCTAATTTCCCTCGATAGTTCGGAGGTCGTTCGTAACCATATGCGCAACACATTATGGCATGCAAATCCTTTCACAGTTTCGTTGATATTGGTTTTGGTGGTATCACTTTGATGACTTCATCTTCAGGAACTGTAGGTGTTATTTTGTTGAATGCGCACTACACAGGGACTCCTACAGTGCCTACGAGGCGTCACGTGTGCGATCCGGAGCGGAGTGGTCGAATGAGGGACTTCCAGACATTCAGATTCTGTACAGTGACGCCGATTCTGAAGGCACGTCGTTTGTCAGAAACAATCGGATGTGTGGTGCTTGATCTGTGCTATAATCCGAGACAGACACGGGCGCACGCGAATTCATATTACAATGCTGTAGCGGAGGAGATATGCCTTTGTGGTGTGCAACAAAAGCAGAAGATACACATGCACGACTGCTCATCGAACAATGTATGTGGTCCCAAACCCCATCCTTCCTGCACAACCCACAAAATTTTTGGTTCATGTGCCCTATGGATTCATTCTACAGTTTTTTCCAGTATCCTTTATCTTTCAATGCGTTCAACACATAAACAAGCCAATGACAGGTTTGTTCTTGTTTTGTCGACCCGACATGATAACGGTATTCATAGGCGCATAGATGCAAAATTAAGTGCATAGCACACGCACAAAATGTACCTACACATAAGAATATTCAGAACGTCTAATGGAATTTCAGCATTTCTACACATAAGAATATTCAGCCCGTGGGGTATGTGCGAGTTTTTTTCGTCTTCTGTTTGCATCCAATGACATGCCATGCAAAGAAGCCGCCATGAAGAGGCGTCTATCTAAGTCTATGCTGGACTTCATTCTCAGTGAAACGCACAAATCTAGTCTCCTGCACTCAACCAGAGACTGGCGATTGAGTACGCTTAGAATACCGGATTGAACTCCTTAATTCGAAAACCGAGGTACTCACGTGAGCCGGAAGTGATAATAGACTCCAGCCCCATAAACATAATTCGCATTTTTTTTTCTAATCATGGAAATGGAATGTTGACCTCCTAAGAGAAGGCACTAACTATCAACTTTTATTCTCGTTCTCCGTACTACTACTAGGTTCGTAGGCCTTTGGGCCCTTGTTGTTGTTCTTTTATCGGTGGAAGTCGGCACTTGGTGCAGGCGTAAGCAAACGAACAACAAAACACACCAGATTTCCTGATTTCCTGTTCAAAATCTGACATCAGAAGTAAGCTCCCTTGATGCGCAAGCTATCATCACTAACAAATAAAAGAAAAACACGATGTTGGCAGAAATCAAAAAATGATGCACATCTTGGTCCTCTGATGATCAGTAGTTGTGCATCAACAGAAAGACCCGTAGATATTCTCTTGAATGAATCATTCTGCTGCGCTATGCCGCTTCATGATGTTGGTTTCATGCTGTGATCATATCGATCTTCATGCGTCAAAGTGAACAAAACTGGAAATACGGGTCAAGGGATCCTACAAAGAGCAAGATACAACAAGTCCACTAATACTCCTCGACCTTCTACTGGATCAACATTGTCTGCTGCATGTGATGTGGGTAATAGTCATTGTGAAACTCTGTCGGGGATCCATCCTATTCTCCCCCACAAGGACTATAATTTGAATTCGATTTTATAAGTGAAGATGTGAGCTGTTCATTTATATATAGTAGAATATATTATAATATAATATAATATATTAATATAATATAATATAATATAATATAATGCAATATCGACCATCGAGCCCGAGCCAATGACGACATTTGCTCGTGCTTTCTCAGTAGCCCTAGCTTGTTTCTCTCACTACTTCAACATGAAGGCACCGAATTCTGTTGCCTCTGTTGATTCTTCGTAAATCTATTTTAGTTTTCCTACAAAGTAGCATAGTAGAATTGAAGATGTCTAGATATTCATTATTTTATTGGCTTCTTGAATATTATTAAGGCAGAGTCTTTCTTCATCCCATCTTTATAACAAAGTTCTTCTTGATGTAGGGAGAGACATAGATCGTGACTTAGAAACTGCGCAGTACTTACTTATCTGAATTTCATTAATTTATGTAGATCTACCCATTCCGGTTCTGGCAAACGCCTATCATCAACAGCAAATGCCCACGAAGACAAGCAACTGTTGACAAAAATTGTAAGCTTAGTATTTGTCTAAGTCTGTGATGTCTTCGGTAACGATCGAGAAAGGAATATGATGCTATCCTTGAGTTCGAAGTCACCCTTTTATGCGCACACTGCGTCTTTTCGCACATGCAGTTGCTCCCGAGTACTCCCCGACGGAGCTTCGACGTCAACTTCAGCGATGCCAGAGCGATGCGGCTGCACCACAGATGGAAGCGTTGTCATATGACGGCGACAAATTTGAAGCGTTCCGTTCAACATGGTCGTACATAAACAAACTCGGCATGTAGTTGCATCGTGGAAGTGAGGAAGACGAAATCTACAGGGTGAAACAAGAAATTTATGCAGGGATGATTATTTCAAATTCGTGGAAAAAAGCAGACGTGAAGTTGGTTTCGAGCGCCGTGCATGATTCGTACTAGTAGAAATTTTTAACCACGACAATCTGGACCCACTAGCTGCTATGGATGCAGCGAACGCGCAACAGGTGGACAACGAAGCAGCGACTACACAATAGAAATAATCACGTTTTTGCGTCGCTCGAATCAAATTGAGAAAGAAGTAGGATATTTTGCGTATCTTCTGGCTACCGGGGCTGGAGCTCTGACCTTGAGCGATTGCCCACAAGGAAGAGAGCTCGCTTGAGTGTCAGCTCTGTCATCATCATCTTGGTGAAGCTGTTTTTTTCGCAGGTCGATGGTTACTTCACTACTTGGAAGTTTAGGTACGATGAATGTGGGAAGGCGGGACGTCGACAAGCGTGCCGATCCACGGGACGGACACCACAGCAAGCGGGTCTACAACCAGAGTTCTTACAACAACCAAGACCAGTATCCTCATGGTAGTCGAGGTATTAGCAGTGCGGCAAGTAGTTACTATAGTTACGGTGACAGGGCCGGCTTAAGCAGCAGGGAACATCGAGACCACGATAGTAAAGAGCACCATATGAGCTCGTCTCGTCGGGACCGCGACCATCAAGGATATAGGCAGGATGAGAACGGTGGACATAGCACGAGAGGAGGAGAATCCAGGAGAGGCGGTGGAGATCACGCCGGGCACGCAAGTGGAAGTAGTCGAAGTGGGTATAACGACCGCCACAAGGAGAGGGGCCGGGGAGGTAATTCTGAAAGCGGAGGTGGAGGCGCTAATGGCAGTGGTCGCTACCATAGTAACAACACTTCTAGCAGTAATCAACATGATCATGATAGCAGCGCTAAAAATCATAGCAGTCGAGATCGGGGTGGACGCTATCCTGGACGCGGCCGACGAGGTCCCTCTCCAAGCGGTAATGGGATGAGCCGTCCGCAATTGAGGGAACGGGTACGCGATAATCATCGAGACCGGTATAGAGGTAGCCGTGATTTAGCGTCAGGTTCGTCTGGCCCGAGCGCGAAGGCTAATAGTGGCACGACTAGCGGCGCAAGACTGGTGTCAAGAAACAGTAGCGGCCGCGACGGAGGAGGCCGTGGAGACTCCTACAGCAACAACAACAGTGGTATTAACATACTGCACCAGAACGGCAGCTCTGGAGGTGGTTCCAATAACCATGGAGGAAGTAACTCAGAGCCCCCAGACATTCGTGAGCGCGTGGGCTCGTCAATGAGCCGTGGGACTGTAGCTGACCGAGAGCGCGATGTGGACGGTCGCAACGGGGCCGCGCGACGTAGCAGAAGCCGTGGTGGTAACCATGCCAATGGAAAAATTACGTCCCGAACTTCGCGGAGGCGGAACGGGGTGGAATCATCTGCACCAGTAGGGAGCACAACATCGGCAGGTGGCGGGGGCATCACCCTCAAACCGAGGAGTACTAAATACGTAATTGTGCTGCCGTAGACGTATCGGACAGGTTGTCGATGATCTTTTGTGATGCTTTGGCTCATGAAGATGTTGTCTACAGCTCTTGTTCTTACTCTTAGCTATTGTTTCTGAGTTCGAGTTGTATCTGTAGGCTAAGAATAAGGAAATAATATTCATATCTAACAGGTGCTGTTCTTAGGGAAAAACAACAGGAAGAGCAGGCTAATAACAACACTGGCAGAGCACACGACAGCGGCGTAATTTTGCGGAGGAGAGACGACATACAGATTGAGCCTCGTCACGGCAGGTATTTAAATCTATTTCTAGAAGTTTTTCTAGTTGCTTCAAGAGATGTGCAATTAGTTTTGCTTGCCCTTCCGGCAGAAAGTAAAGATTACTCTATTGTCGTATCTAGTATATTTATCACGTCATCATCATTTTGATATATTCTCTCAGTCGAGCACCGACACCGTCTGGGGGAGGAGCACAGCAGGGGAGGCTCGAACTTCGGAGCCGTAGAGAAGTAATTGAGAAGCGCGGAGGGTCCGAGGACGATGCAATGGTCACCTCCCAGCAGAACGCACAAACGCACGAGTTCAAGACAAGCCACGACTACGTGCAGCCAGATGAGACTCCTAGTGGATCCCCGATGGATGTCGATCATCGAAGTAGTCACCGCAGTGCTGGGAACCAGCAGAGCCCGGCAAGCCGAGTTGCTGCGAGCGAGAACTCAGAAGTCAGCGAACGGGAACGCAGCTCTTCAAGCGAGCAGGAACGAAGCGAAGAAAGCCGCAGGGAGCAACCTAAGTCAAGCAGCGAAGAAAACGAGGATCCAGACGAAGACGAGGATAGCCGGAGCAGCATAACTTCAAGGGTATTTTCCATTTTCTGTCGTAGTTACTATAGTTTCGTCGTCCATCTCTAGGTCGCAACAATAGCTTTTTTAGAGATGAACGAAAATTCTTTTAAAACTTCGCCTTCTCAGTCTCCCGAGGACAGCGAGGAAGAGGACGTGGGGGATGAAGAGAGCGATGAAGACGAGGAGGATGAGGAAAGCGAAGACGAGTCTGAATCTACTCCCGTGACGAAAAAACGGAATAAGGGCACCTCTGGAAACAACACCACTAAAAGCGCTCAGACAGCATCCAGTAGAACAGGTGCTGTACAAGCAGCTTCATCGACTGCGAATAACAATGTAATTTTTTCCAGCTCATCATCTGTGGCGCAAAACAAGACGACAGGACCCACTGCCGGCTCTTCCTCAAGCAGCAGTTCTGTTGGCGGCTATAAGCAGCAGCCCCTCATAATTGTGACAGAGATTTCCTAAAGATCGTCATAACCATCGCGTGAAAAAATATCATGTCAATTGTTACGAATACGAATGCACTCAGTCAACATTGGCTTAGCTCTAATGTACAACCAGTTTCGGGCGGAGTCCAGGTTGAGCCAAGCAACAACCACTCTCTAGCTGCAAAGCTCGCGACCGCAGGGGAGCAGACGGCCTCTTTTGCACCGAACAAGGCAGCCCCCGCAAGCACAACCAGTTTCCCGACTGGAAATATGACCCTAGTCAGTACAACGTCCACGGGCAAAACCGGTACACGGAAGGCAGTAGACCCTTCTGTCGACGCGGGCGCGCAAGCAGCAGCTTTCGATGAGAAAGTACATGGAAATTTTGATGTAGTCGTAAGGGCCTATGTGACCGACTATTTGACTTTGAGTTCTACTCTGAGATTACTTCCTTGTGCAACTTCAACTTTAACTTTATGGGCTGAAGGTCAGTCGTTGGCGCCTTGGTTGTGTTTGTCTTGTTTGTTTGGTTGTTCGTCGTGGCCGTGTGCCCGTGTCCTTTCTCTCCAATCAAATCAGGGCTAGGAAGGGTTAGTTGTTATTTGATGGCTTATTCTTGACTTTATCATCTAGCACAGAATGGAGTAGCGACTGCGTCTGCAGTAAACAACTCAATACTTTATGACCGACTACTTCGGCTGATCCTCGTTATGAAAGAGAAAGATGACTTAAACATTTCTTGTGCCTAAAACTCAAACAGATCGCTGCAGACCCGCGGAATCTTCTCGAGGTTAGCGAAATACCTGAGGCGCAACTCAATGAAGAAGCTCTAAATCCTCACTTTAGCAAGTTCGGCAAGATTTTGAGCATAGAAATGGGAAGCCCCGATGAACAACGCGCTATGGTACAGTTTGGATATATTCTCTAGTCGGTATATTAGGAGCACGGTGACTTAATATCTTGATGGTGTTGCTTTCGGTGATGAAGAAGTTTAAGAATCCTACTCTCGGTATTCATACACATACTCTGCACGACCACTATCTTCCTCTATTTTCTCTACAACTGGATCCAGATTATTTATGAGGATACCATGTCTGTCGGCAAAGCATGTCGTTACGAGGGGTTGCATGTGGGACTAGGAGTTTTAGTGCGAGATCCGCGTGGGAAATTTCAGGCAGTGCAAAAGAATGCAGAGCTTGATATCGAAAGCAAGCGGCTTCTTGAGAAATACACAGGCATGCTACAAAAGGTATTCGCCAGTTTTTAGCAGTTCCTCCAACAGTAGAATTTATTTTGTCAGGATTACCAGTTATTTTGTCAGGATTGTATTTCGCATCCGCAATCATGGCATGCGGGACTTCTACCTCATCACCACAGGTGCTTGGCATGCAGGCGAAGTTAGGCGATCGGGAACCACAAAAGCGGGAGATCTTAAACCAGAAGATTATCAAGTTGAAAGAGCAGATGTCGATGTTGACGGAGATGAAGAACAAGAAGCAAGAACGGGCCGAGGGCGGAGGCTGGAGCGCGGAAGTGCCGGGGGGTGCAGTTCCAGAGGGGGGCGCAGACCAACATGGCGGCTGGTGGGGCGGACACTACGGCAACGGCAAGAGCGGCGCGGACCACCTTGGTGGCGGGCCGTCGTGGGATTCCTGGGCCGTCGGGGGACAGGAGGAAACCAGCGAAGATCCCCAGCAAGCGTACATCGACGACCAAGAGCCTCAAATCACAACCGGCGGCGCGGTTGACATGGAGGCTGAGGGCGCGCCAATGCCCGACAGTCCTGAGCGTATGCGAACGGAATCGGCAGCGGCGGACTATATTGAGGAGCTACCCAGTTTTGTACCATGATGTTGAGCAACCCAACATCTTCACCCAAGTAGTAGAAGTACTACGCAGAACGACAACCCGCGTCTTCTTTCATAACGCTATCTGCGAAACACGTCAACAAGAACTACCCACTTTTTCCTAAACACACCGTCCTCGTCGTCTGATCCGGAAAAACAGCTTTCCCAGTCGAACACCATGTTGCACACCTACAACTCAGCGTGAACCAGCTTAACCTCAATCCGCTCCTCCAGTTTTACCTCAACCCTGCCTGCCTCTCTTCTCCTCTCCGTATCTTGTGAGCAGGTTCATTGTCTTGCTGATGGTGTATTGCGGGGTCCCATCACCGTCTTTCCCTTCGACACTGAACATGGCGATTTGGATTTAGATGGCGATGTTTCGCTTTTGCATGCGCATTGTTACTCGGGCAAAATTTTTTGAAAATCTCCGTATTAAAGATGTTTTGAACTTCCATATGAAGTACTGAGATGCGGTCATCTAGTGTGTCTTGTAAATAGATGACGCATTATTCTGACCTTGGAACCTTCCGGTTAAAACCGCATGAAGAAATTCTTGTCATCGTTTATCTTCATCATCTGTTGTCAATATTCGAAATTGATATTTTGTCATTGATCAATCTTAATTTTATAATTTGAAGGTTAGGGGGTGGGCGAGTTTTTCATCCACGAGCAGACTATTTCTTCGTGAATGAACGAAGAAAATAAGATCATGACGTCTTCGCGTTGTTCTTCAGGAGTTGTGATTTGTTTTGACAGGCACATGGGAGTGTAGTATTTTTGTTTACAGCAACGAACATAATCATAAACATTTATCATGACGATGATCTAGTCGCTAACAAATGCTAAGTCGAAGAAGTCAAATGTTCTTGAGAATACGAATAGATTGATTGAAGACACAAGTCCCAGTCAGGAGCATCAGCTTCTGTTGATGTTGTATCATGTTTATGATTTACAGGTTGGAAACTCACTTCTAACAAGTGACTCCTCTTATCCTTCTATAGTCAGTCTAATAATTTGCCGTCAAAATCAAGATGTAGTAAGTATGTTCTAACCAACGGACCCCTTTTCGATTGAGAATGAAATGTTGGAGAACACAGGTATCGAGCTTGGTTTTGGCTCCCTCATGAAATGAAAGCTATCAAACCACAAATAATGACATCTTTCGTGACTGAGCTATTTAGCAATTTCAATTCATCGATTATTGGACGAATGAAAATTTGTTTTTATATCTAGAGGGATCTTCATCAAAGCAGGATGTAGTCTATTTTCTAATGTCGTCAGATCTTTGATAATCCTCCATTTTTTTGGGGCGAGTGGCGATTATTGCGGTGGATGAAGTCCAGTAAAAGGGCGCCGATTCCGACAGTCCACGGTTGACCTTTATCTATGTATGATCATCAATGTATATTCCTGTGTAAGTAGAAATCAAACAAGATATGTTCGTGGGGAAGCACGACTCTGTCAGATTTAGAACTCTCTCCTACGCTCAACCTCCTCCACCTATTTCCCCAGTATCAGTTTGAAAAATCGTGAGTCGTAAACATATTCAACATGGTGTGTTAATTTATCCCACAGAAAATCGCATCTTCCATGTCCACCACACATAAAGAAATATGGAAATCCAACGCTTCCTAACTCGATGTTGACCCAAACGTCGAGCCACGCAGATACGCGAAAACCGAAATACTTTCAATCGTTCGGGCGTTTCTGAAAGGGGAGATGGATTCGTGATCAGATGGATGCTTCTACCTCTAGAGCATGTCTATATTGAGTCCTCGTTGTTGTGCTCGTGTGTTAGTAAAGCGTTTTCTTCACAGTTTCAGTTTCTCTTTTTGTAAAAACACACATTTGACGAGTGACGTTAGTCGTTCGTTCGGTATCGGTCTTCGAAGTTTTTATGTTCTTGTCGAAAGTCGGAGCATCTTCATGATTCGGTGAAGTTCGGTCGCGTAGAATTATAAAGACCACAACATCGAACTAGGTACACATTGTCGCGTGTCCCCGTTATTCAAGATAGAGTGAGGAACGAACAAGAAAAAATTGAAGAATGCCAAAAATCACTACCCTTCTTGCTGTACACTTCGGTGTAGGAGCAGGTTCTTGCTTCATCATAAACGCAAATTGCGTTCCCAGCAGTTTTATTGAGAATGAAGTTATATAATATGTATAATTTGCACCTGAAGATTATGATTATAGATTGCTTGAAAGTAATGATGATTGGCGACTGAAATACATAAGGCTATATTAACGTTGCTGCATCATAGTTACGAGTTTTTGTTCTGTCATCGGCACCATGCTTCGCGCGTGTCAGTTTTTGTTTGTCTCCTCATGGAGCAATCCTACGTTTGGACAGCACGACGATGAAGAAGGCGATGAAGGGGCATTGGAGGACGATGCACTCGCTGAAAATAAAGCGGAAGATGGACGACGAGAAAGAGATGATCAAGATGCTGAATTTCGGCCAAATAAAGGAAAGACGCACTCACAATTAGCAAAGGCAACATCTCCAGCACCACAGCGAGCCACCACATATCCGGTATTTCATGTGTGTGGCGGCCTTGGTTGTGCTACTAGTTGGGCATGGAGCGCATCGGGACTTTACGAGATTGCTCGGGACAGCCGGTTGTTACTTTCAGCGCACCCTGGTATAGCCGTGGCAGCACTCCTCTCCACTGCCCTGGCGGTGCGGGGCGCCGCTGTTCTTGACGAGTTCTTGTTTCCCCAAATAGAGGAAGAAGTGGGTACTTCTTCATCGAGGAACCAAAAAATACTGGCGAACAATGATTCAACACAAGTAGAAGAAGGAGTTTTGGCAGATGCACCGAACAAGGAGACGACATCGTCGACCAGCGAGACTTCGAGGAGCCAAAAGTCTGCCGCACTGGGGTCACCGAAAAAAGGGGAAGTTGAAGAAAAACACAGAAACAAGGCTGCACAGCACACATCTGTTAAAATCGATTACATGCGGCACATGTTGGATAGGTTTGACGAACGCGAGTACGCCTTTCTGTTCTACCTACTTGCAGCATCTCTGCCAGCGTCCTGGTATGCTGCAGCTTTCGCGAGCAGCAGCTGCTTGCTACCAGTGGGCCAAAACTTTGTGATTCCATTCCAACTAGTCTTACCTGGGATCCTAGGCAGTGCGGCCATGTTCGAAAAATGGCATAAAGCCATTCTCTTCGGGCAGCAGCACCGGGAGAGCCTTGTCAGCATGAAGCATCCAAATGTGAAGGCGAAAATCGAAACGACACAGCGAACGCCGTTAATACAACAGCTCGGTCGAGAATTCGCTGCACCCACCAGTATTGAAGAGCGCACGGCAGTCTCGCCTTCGTCTTCCAACGATGACAGCTGTCATGCAGATTCTAGCAAGATGCTGAATCGGCAAGAACTGCTGTCCGTATCGACGACGGTCTGTGCGACCTCGACACAGGCGTCAAGTCCAGACGACTCGCAGGTTAGTTTGGAAGAAAATTCTCGTTCTCGATCAGGTGACCTACTTCAACATGAGGAGCAGGAGGACAGAGATGAGGGGACTTCTGGCCCGGGGGTGAAACCGACTGCGGAAGTACTGGTGGTCGCAGAAAGTGCTTCGTCCTGGACCATGAAAGGACAAAGCCAGGGAAACAGCGAGGAGTTGCAGTCCCAAGACGTTTGGGAAACGCTGCGATGGGGGAAGAGGTACTGATTATACAGGAGTTCGACGTTGTCCAGAGAAGTCTAAATGGTGTAACATATTCATATAATGGATTATCTATTTTTTAATGTCAAGAACATGAATATGAAAGCGTGTCTAAGGGACTTATTATTATTTTAACTAGATAGTTTATTCTAACCTGCTCATCTCTCCAATCAATAACTTGTAGGACAATCATCTTTCAACACCACCTACAGGGAAAGAAGAAACGAAAAAAAAAAGTTCCTCTAGTGTAGTTTTCTACACACACGATGCAGAGCAGAAGCTGATAGTTCTGAGTTTTAGGCTCAGACTGTTTTTTGTTTACTGTAAATAGAATATTTTGGTCTTCCTCGGTCTATCTCGTTATGAAGTTCAAATTGGTCAACCTTCAGCCACATCGTGTCGTATTTCTCCGATGCACCCGGGGCCGCGCAGTTTCTCGCGCTACAGGCTTGCTCTATGGGATTCAGCCTCTTTGTGGACTACAGTATGACGCAGTGGCGCGGTGCCTTCTTTGACACTTTCCAGACTAAGAACGTGAAGAAATTCAAGGTTTTGCTTCAATCGTTTGGCGTGATAGCGACGACAAATGTTGTCGCAAACGCGTACGCCGACTACATGACTTCGCTGTGGGACCTTCATTCTCGCGAATTCCTAACGCATCGATTCACCGAGAGAGCGTGGTTCCGGAATGCCGCGTTCTACAAAATGAAAGTAGAGGCACCCGAGCTAGGAAACTGCGATCAGCGGATCCACGAAGACGTCCAGGCATTTGTCAGTGGAAGTCGGGGGCTCACACTCGGCTTTGCGGATGCTGTCATGCGTCTTTGCTTCTTCTTCCCGCAACTCGTGTACCATTCTCCATCGGGCCTGTGGGAGCTCTGCCTCGTGATGTCCGTTGGTACAACAAGGATGTTTGCTGAACTCTGATTTCTGCAGCTTCTTTTTGCAAGAACAATCATCAAAGATCAAGTTTTTGATTTTAGAAAGCCGTATGGATCCCGATCCATAACATCCTAATGCATAGATTCCAATCAAACCATCATGACAGTTTCCTCGGTCCTGACGCATCAGCTTGGGCAGGATTTGGTGCCTGCGAATATGGCGATCCAAGATGCTGAAGCTGGCTTTCGGAATGGGCTGATTTCTGTCCGCGATCGTGCTGAAGCTCTTGCCCTTTCCGGATCCGGGGACGGCGGTCTTTTGCGGCGGCGCTTCGACGAGATCAAGATTGCACTGTGGAATTCGATGCAGATTGGATTTCGCTTGCAGGCGTTTACTGCTGGCTACGGTCTTTGCGCAGGAATATTGCCGTTCTTGCTGCTCGCGCCTTCCTTCTTCAGTGGTAGCATCACCATGGGAGCAATGTTCCAGCTGGAGAGCATCCTGGGACAGGTGCAAGGCTCTCTAGACTTCTTCATGAGTACATACGGCGACTTCGCGAGCTGGCGCGTCACAACGGACCGACTCATTGCACTCGACAAGTTTGCTGACGCAGCGAGTGCGAGACCCAAGCTAATGATTGAGGACGCTGAGCGGATGCGGAACGCGTGCTCGCCGTCGGCATCATCCAGATTTGAAGATGCTTGTCAACGGATTAATAAGAGACAAGAGAAACATTGCGGCTTCGATATTTTCTTTCATACAATTCGATTCAGACCAGATTCTGCAACGTCGACTGGAGGTGCAGTCGCGAATTCGGATGGTGCCAAAGCCGGCCCGATTCCCCAACCATTGGCAGAAGAAGAAGTTTTCAATGATAGTAGGGTACGAGACCCCACGACGCGAGAAACAATAGAAGCGCTTCTCGACAGCTGCATTCGAAGTGTCGCCCGCACAGTGATACAACTCGAAGAACGACCTTCTTTATACGCGCCAGACGGAGCCACTAGCTCTGCCATAAAGTGGCATCGACTAGATCTAGCCGAACACTTCTACTCTTCTCGTAGTCGCATCGATCACGGTCATTACGGTATTAATTACTCGGTGCCAATGACAGGAACTTCACCTGCGTCCTCTTTCTCGTCAAGACCTGGCGAGTGTTTCGAAGATAGAACTCTGCAACGCGAGGACAGAGCATCAAAGAGACAATTATCAGAGTCAGCAGGCACATGTCTCAAAAACTTGCACTTTTCTCTACAACCGAGCCAGAGGCTACTCGTTTCGGGAGATGCAGCGCAAGGGAAGAGCGTGCTTGTTCGATGTTTGGCGCGTGTGTGGCCAGAGAGGCTGATAACGGCTGACTTTACGTGTCGTCCTGAAAGTGTGCATTTCGTTTCCGAGACTTCTTGTGTGGCAGCGCTCATGGGTGAGAACCATCTCACACTGTTTGAAGCTCTCACTTTGGGGATCCGAATCGCACCAAATGAAACCCATGAACAGGAGACGTCATATCCATCGCCTCGCATAAGTAGAAGTATTCACGAGACCGCTCCTCCAGGATTCCAGAACAACCTCCTTACTTCTGCGTCAATTCCTTTTGCTCCGACAATAACGCTGCGGGCACAAGTAGAAGGACCAGAACACAGAGATGAGGGAAATCAGGTTGAAAGTGATCCTGCGACAAAAAATTTGCGGAGAAGTCATCCTACATCCGCCGCTCTGGAGCAATTATGCACTGCCGCACTGAGCGATGCCGGACTGACAGATTGTATTTGTCTGTTGCACGAGCGGAGCCACGAAGGTGGATCTCGTCACCTTACCGGAGAAGTACGCGCTCGCCTTGTTTTCGCACAGCTTTTTGTGATGCTCGAATTTCGACAGTATCTGTTGGTTGACGATTTCTCGGCAAAGTTGGGTCTACCGGAAGCCGCGACGCAGCAGCTGCTACAAAAACTTGCGGACAAACTCAGCAAGGAGCATGCATTGGCGCTGTTTGTACGACGTGGGCAGCATATAGAAGACATACTCTGCTTTTGATGGCGGCGAAGCGGTCGCACTATCGATTATAGTTATCATGTTATTGTTGGTAGCGACACCTTCGACTTCGAGTAGTCTTCAAACGCGTAGCCTTCGCTTCTTCGATCAACGAATCAGTTTCCTACCTCTGATCGAAGATGAACGGATCGATGATGAACTTATGTATCTATTGATTCATTTTGTTCTTTCTGTTTCACTTTCGATTTCTCTGACAAAGAACTATTTAGTTCTTTTCTACAACTAAATAGCGACCTCGTTCTTGGTCTTATTGCTTCATCGGGGTATTGGGGGTTCGCAATGATTACTTGTTAGGTTTTTTTACCAGTTTCGTCATTCCTTGGAGTTTGCACAGTAGTGTCACTGACGCATGATAATGATTCCTGAACATGCAGTAACAATTAGTTCCCAGAGTAGATGATGGTCTCTAGGAATCTGTAATTCTTGAGTCGCGTAAAAATATGCACAGAAACGCTATTGGCTTTTGCTGGAAAGAATGTGCTGACCACTGCTCAGCATTGATTCCAAGAAAAAATCGACTGCTCGCAGCTGTAATGTTGAACTCTTTTTCTTTTGAATGCAGACATTCAATTTTTGCGATGATTGATGTATGGTCATAAGACGAAATGAACGTCGACGCGCCAGACTGCGTGGCCAGCTGATAACATGCGAAACAAGGGATTGACATTAAAAAGGCTGTCTCTGCCTGTCAAAGAAGGGCGTTCGTTGTAGGGTTCCAAGACGCAAAAAAGGATTCGAGCGTCGACTGCAAATCAGAAGGACAAAAGTGCCCTACTTGTTAGAACCTTGGGAAGTAAATTCAGATGGCTTATGAGAATAACTTTGTAGACGAGAAAAAGCGCACTGCCTCGGGTTGCAGTTTCTGCATAGTCATTCCAAAAATCCAAAAAAGTACAAGAGAAATCTAAAAATAGATTAGGCGTCAATTCTAGGTCTAGGTAGTACTACTTCCTGTTTTGTCAATATCATCACTATCTCGATACATTTTTTTCTGGCTCACCGATCACGTTCACAAAAGCCGCAAAAATGTTGTCGAACAATAAGAACGCCAAGTTCCGGATGGACACCGGGATGGACGCTTTTCAGTCCCTCACCGGTAAAGCACGGTCTTACCGGACCGAGACGGAACACGAGAGGACGAGCGCATCCAATGCCGGTGGCGAGAACTGGGGGACCTCGTTTCAAAATCAGATGAACGACTTGCTCGTGGACGACGTCATGCAAATGGCGATAAACGACAAGTTCAAAGAAGGAGAGAAACAGATGGGTGGAAGAAATGCAGAAGACGAGGGAGAGGGAGAAGCTGGGTATTAAGCAAGAATGACTTTGAAACTTAATCCAAATCTTGAGTGGGTGATTTTTGATATTCTGAATAGAAATTTAGTTGTATTCCACTCATCTATTGTAGTTCTTCTTCGTCTTCCAAGAGGAAGATGCAAATGCAATCATCAACGCTATTCTTACGGTGGCTGTTTACATCACCCCAGGAACAAAGCTGGGAAAGAAGAGCATGAGGACGAGCACGACGGCAAGAACATGGAGGAAGACGGTACATGATGAATTATTTTCTTCACAACATGCTGGTACTCATGAAAGAGGCTGACTGGTGTTGTTTCGTGAAAACATTTACTGGAGTTGGCGTATTATATCAGCATAAGTTTAAGGTTAAGCCATTCATGAAGTAGATGCCTTTCATCTACTACCTAAGCGACAGCCTCCTGATCTTCATGGTCCAATACTTGCAAACCGCAGATCTTGAAGCGATAAGGAAACGAAGGCTAGACAAAATGCGTGAGCAGCACAAAAAAAAGATGGAATATCAGGCGCAGGGCCACGGCGAGTACACGGAAATCAAAGAAGACGAGTTTCTTGGAGTGGTACAATCAATTTAGGATAAAGCTTTTTCCTGTGTGGCTACATTATTTCGTTTCATCTTCCACTACCACTTTCATCTGATCCCAGTTGTGTTCTACAATTTTCTCCTATGTCTGACTCGAAGGAGAAGAGGTGAATGCTTCCACTGACATCCCGTTCCCATCAGGTAACGAAATCACTCCGTGCGGCGGTCCACTTTTTACCACAAAATCAGGTAACGAAATCACTTCGTGCGGTGGTCCACTTTTACCACAAAAATTTTGAGAGTTGCAAGGTTATGGACATGCATCTCCGAAAAATGGCGAAGAAGTTCTACGGAACCAAGTTCGTCCATCTAGAGGCAGAAAAAGCGCCCTTTTTCGTATCCAAACTCGCGGTGCAGACTATTCCCAGTGTGTGTCTCTTCATAGATGGTAAGCTAGTAGGCAAGCAGCTGGGTTTCCAGATGATAGAAGGTGGAGAGAAGAACGAAGTGCGCACAGGGCACTTAGCGAGAGCCTTGCGGGAACACGGCGTTTTAGAAGAGGATTTCGATTCTGAAGATGATATGTAGAAAAAATGAAGATTCGTGAACTTTCCTACTAATTTTATTACCAAAAACAGTCGACCCATTGTGATGTTCAATTTTTTGGTTCTTCCTTTGGAAGTACATCCATCTCGACCAGAACTTCATCTTTGAAGCTTCCGCGCTGCACGGGCTGCATCTTCATTGTCTAGTCATACTCTCGTGGCTTCAGACTACGAAGAAGTGTTATCCTCGAGAGAACAAGCGTTTGTGCAGAGAGAGACGGATCTAGAATGATCAAGACCAACCTGGTGTCATGGTGAGCCGGTCACTGTGATCCTCTTGCCTACCGTCGGAAAGACGCAATCGAGGATCATACTTAGACAAAACGCAGCCCCATGTTGGTTAATTTATATTTTTCAGAAACATCAGCAGTGAGTCGAAGACTTGAATGTAATTACGCGATTGAGGTTTACTACTGAGTTGAGACTTGAGAGAAACAGCAACATGTTTCATTCTACGTTGTCTCTTTACGTATGCAAGAGCAAGCGCCTCTGCGTTCGACTTGTTTCTGCCGCACAGACTGGCTACCACTACACGACCTCAAAGAGCCCCCTTAAGTCGGAGTATCGTATAGCTTTGCGCAAATACGATCCGATCGTTAATCAGCACGTGATGTTTTACGAATCAAAATTACCGGTTTGGAAACGACAAGTTAAAAGAGCTATCGAGATGCGGTATGCTCGCCACACTGGAGAACGAAACAAAGAGCTTATCATGAAATTGACGAAGGGTGACCGAAGAAGAGAAGAGCAGAAAAACGAAAAAGGGACGTTTGGTTGAGTAGCTCTGTAGGCTTTCGTGGTCGGAGCGACTGGTGGAGTAAAATATGAACCACGCATCAATTTTAAACATAGCGACCTGCTCAGCTCTCACACACACACTCACACAGAATCGATAATGAATGTATGTAGGAAAGCAAACTTGTTTTGGCGATGGACGTCGCCAGCTTCATGAGATCGCCTGCTTCTTGATATTGGAATGATTTATCTAATATCAAAAAATCGTAATCGTTTGCATTGAACTTAAGAGAAGTATGCGCGCACCAGCACATCTTCAACAAGGTCCGCTGCCTTTCTGCAATAATTTGTGGCCGCGGGGGCTTGTTCATGCACAATTGGAAGAAGAGGCTCGTGTCCGATTTCATATCGTTGATCACCAGACGCATCGTGTCTTCGGTCCTTGAGAGTTCGCCTGGTTGTCGTTCACCCTGTCTTTTCGGTTAGACCAATGTCGAGTCGAAGGCTCGGATCTGGGCTTTTTCGGTACTCGCGCTTCATCTAGATTGCCGGCGCGTCATCATGGTGAGCAAAACGCAAGAACAGAATCGAAAGTTATACGAAACAAGTATACGACCCAGCACTTTTTGGTCGGGCATTGAGAGAGTCGCGGCTCTCACTTTCCTGGTTTATAAAGATTGCGTTTTAATACATTCGAAGGCCCGTGTCCCTCGACCTCATCCCCTTGATGTTGTAGCCACCTTCAAGCAATAAAAAACTCAGATTTTTTTTGCATTACTTTGTGTCATACTAGGTACTGAGAACAAGCGCCTCCCCAGGGCTTAGGTAATGGCCCTTAGGTTGAGAGTGCTGCCCCTGCCCGCTTCTGAAATTACAAAAATAACAAGAGAGCCCTGGTGGATAATAGAACATTTATATGGTCAAGGAAAATGAACACGAACTGAACTCTGCCCAGCACTGCATCTCGGAGCCAAGGATTCACCAGTGCGAAACTGACACCGCTTGTCGACATGCCCCACTTGAAGCTCGCGAAGCGAAACCAAAAGTGCTGAATGGTTCGTCTTCCACCGAATGCCACCTCACTCCATTTACATCAACGGCGGTGCGTGTTATGCTAGCCATAGACAGCGGCAGCCTAGTTTTTACACGTGCGGCCTACGGGCCGTTGTTGAGGAGGACGGCCAGCAGCGTCGCGTAGTTGCTGGTTGAAGCTGGGAAAGCAATGCGAAGAGACGGAATTTGGTCATCAACATCAACATTGTCAACTGTCTTGTCACCACTGCCCAGACCGTTGATTCGTCCCCTATAGCCTGCTCTAAGCTTCTCCGCGAACACGTGATCAACATCCAACATTTTTCCTGGCCTTCTAACTGCGTGCGCTTAGACTGCGCACAACCACAATCGTAAAGCGAGACTCGAGATTGACGCAGATCCATAGTCGAATAGTACAAGCGACCGCAAATAACTACGCACCAGAGCCCAACTCGAACGCGTCGTGTAGTTGTATCGATTTCCCGCTGCGCTGAATCACGACGCATCTGGATTGAAGAATAGTGGAAGTAGTAGTTTCATGTGAAGCAGAGTCACATCTTCGAGTTCTACCAGGAAAAGCGAAGCAGAAGCACTACTAGGCAAGATGATGAACGCAGAGGAAGAACGGGCGTGGAGCGCAAAAATTTTGGGGACTTCGACGAGGGATAAACCCCAGGCACAGCAGCCGGTCTACTCCGATGACGTACCGACGCTGCGGGAAGAAAATCGTGAGTTAAAGCGCTTGCTGAGAGATCTCGTTTTCTTCGACGTCTCTAGAGGAATAGTCCCGAAAGATGAACAGCGAAAACATGGAGCAGGCTCGATGTGTGACAAGAGCAACATAGAGATGGACGTCAAAGACAAAGGATTCTACGATCTGCCGCTGCCAATACAAGCAGAATACATACTGCTTAACATGCAGAAAAGGTACTATTTCTGAAGGACAATCGACGTAGTAGTTCTAAAGACGCTTATTGTCATTATAGTTGTTCGTCTACTACAAGAACAGGATGTCCTGACAAAATTTGGTAATTGTTTTTTTGATGTGATCCAGTCCGATCATTGCCGATAGATAGCCGCCCAACGATAGATCAAGTTCCGCTTTCACACCCACCCATCACCAGATTCAACGACGCTTCTACTTACGTGAAGCAGAACTGTGTCATACAGCAGCCAGCCGAGTCCCCTGAGAACAAAGAGAACAAGGTAACGACAAGCAGCAACACCAGCACGCTTGACGTTGTCAAAAAAGTCATAAAAAATGCGACAGACGGTGTCGACATCTACAAGAAGTGGCAGTACGATAGCATAGACGTCAACCGGTTCGATTGGACTAAGCAGCGGATGGAGAAGAAGAAAAACATAGACGCATTAGATGGTACACGACTCATATAGTAACGGAAACTAGATGTTGTTGATGTATAAAAATAAATATGATTGCAAAAATCAAGCACGGCTTGTTTCCATCTGTTTGTGGTGCCTGTTATGGTAGAGATAGATTGTCCATGTCCTCTACCTGTCTCCACCATGATTGAACTTCTTCTGCTCCACGATCATGCTTGAACTTCAACGATAAAACAGAGTTTCTCGGGGAGCTCACAAGTGACCTGAAAGAGCATGCGACAACGAACCAAGACCTCACAAAAGTTCGGCGGTCTATAGGGAAGAAAATATCGAAGCAGCAGAAGGAAGGTAAGTTGCAGCATACACTTTTAGTTACTTTTAACTTAGAGTAGATTTTCCTTCGACCACATCGACATCTGTAAACAAAAAATTGTTCTCTCATCGACCAAAATATATAATCAAAATTTTGTTCACTTTTTTCCATCATCCTGCCTACCTATTCCTCCAGGTCTGCAGTGGAAGAATACGAAAGAGGAGATGAACAAGCACTTGTCAATATTGGAGCATTGCTACGAGTACATATCGAATCCAAGTTACAACTTCATTCGAGAAAATTCCAATGAACCGTACGTGCCTCAAATAATCCGAGGAATGAGAACAACAATATCAGAGCTAATGCGCCAGAATCGAGAGCTAGAGCTAAAATTAGCATTTGCAGAAAGGCAAAAGAAAAAATTCATAACGAAGATAAAAGGTACTTGCTTTTGGGATTAAATCTTGTAATTTGTTTGCTTAACAAGGCAACGGCAAGCTGAACAGACTGCTTACAGGTAGTAGAAGGCTGTAACTGGAATTATGCTTTTCTAGAGGGACCCTCGAGACAACTCATACATCCATGAAGATTCACACGACATCATGAAGATTGCAGATCAAACTCATATCTTCCTGTAATACAACGACAGCGCTGTACGAGGACGAAGTTCGAGGGAGCTCGGTGTCTTCAGAAGCATCCAGTCTAGCACAAGTGGCGAAGGCTGGGGCGGTCGACGTCTCAGGATGTACTGCTGCTAAAAGAAACTTTGATTATCATATTCTCGTATTCTATTTTCTCCAATCTGATGAAGCAAAGGCGGTACGCAAGACGAGACTTAGTGCGAACAAGTAGTCCTGCAATGTTACAACTAGAAGGGACCATCGAGGACTCACCCCCAGCGAACGGAATACAGTACGTATTACATTTCTACAGGCCGACGAGGTGAATCTCGTTAGTGTCCAGTAGTTCCTCTGTCCAGCTGTCTCCCTGTCCAGCTGTCCCTCTGTCCAGCTGTCCCCCTGGCCAGCTGCCCCTCTGTCAAGCTGTCCCTCTGTCCAGCTGTCCCGCTGTCCCTCTGTCCCGCTGTCCCTCTGTCCCCGGCGTGGTCCACTCTCTCTGTCTTCGGTGTCCTCTCTGTCTCCGGTGTCGTGGTCCCCTCTGTCCTCGTTGTCCCTCGCTCTCTCCTCGGTGTCCCTCTCTCCTCGGTGTCCCTCTGTCTTCGGTGTCCCTCTGTCCTCGGTGTCACTCTGTCCTCGGTGTCCCTCTGTCCTCGGTGTCCCTCTGTCCTCGGTGTCCCTCTGTCCTCGGTGTCCCCCTCTTTCTCTTTCTCTCTCTCCCTCTTTGGCTGTGCGTGTCCATGCGTCCGCGCGGCCAGATTTTTCTGCGTGTTTCTGGTTGTCTCTGGGGAGCGTGTCGGGCTGTGAGGCTTTGCCGCGGCCCTCTCTTTGGGGTCCTCGTCTCTCCTCCATCCTTCTGATAGTGAAACAGGACGAGGGTCGCCTTTTTCCTCTGTGTGGTTGTTGTGGCGTTTTTGATGCTCAAAAATCACCAAACACCTCTCGCCGTCGAGTGGGTGGCAATCCTCGAAGGCCCGAACTAGAACTAGTTAGAGGTTACATAGCTGAGTCAAATGTATCAACTAACAATCCTCACTCCCACAGTCGGGGCGTCCTCGTCGTCGACCTCCGGTGTCAATTTAGACGAGTGCATTTGGCCGGGTACTAGTAGTTGGCGAGGGCCAGCGCTCGAGAAGCTAGAGCAGTATGTCCCAATAACGAGGCCTAATGCCAGAGGAAAGCCAGTGCAATTTTTGAACTTTCTGCTAGCGTGCAATGGCCACATGCCATTTGAGTTTCTCTTCGCAGTTACGAAGGACGACTTAAAAAGTTGTATCAATTTTCTCGGTTGCGAGTACGTGGAAAACGTGTTGCGGACGAAGGGTCTCGAGTGTGCCTTCCAGAATTTACAGGAGACGAGATTTTTGACCGACATCAACGCGGCCGTGAGGTATCTAGTAGCGTCGATATCTTGCGTCCTCCGATGCGACCGAGCGTCGTACTGGATCGTAGACACGAATCGAGGCTTTGCATGGACCAAGTCCGCGGGAGGCGCAGGAATGGCCGAAATCTGCATTCCACTTGACGTCGGTCTCATCGGGGAAGCAATCGCGCAACAGAGGGCGGTCAACGTCGCAGATGCATACATGCATCCAAAGTTCAATAAGGCAATCGACATGAGGACAGGGTACTTTATCTTTTATCTGTGATCGTGTGCAGTATTCAGTCATTTTGGTGAGTCGCCGCGCTCCCTAGTACCCAAGCTCTGAACAATAGTTTGAGTTTCTACAGGGGGGGTACCGTCCGGCCCCGAACCATATATAAGTAACGAGTAACGGTAACCTCTAGCTCTAGTTGAATCATGTAAAAATGTCCACTACCCGCACCATCACTCTTAAAATTCAGGTACCGCACTCGGTCCGTTCTTTGTGTGCCCATAATAGTGAAGGGCAAGACCGTTGCTGTTATTCAGGCCATCAACAAGCTGTCGACAATGAGTGAAAACTTAAACGGGAACCCGATATTCGACGAGCGGGACGTCTTCATGCTTCACGTACTAGGGTACGGCATGACTGATGTGGTGCTTTCATGTGAAGAAATCGAGTTGGACACCCAAATCAACAGGAGAAAGGACCTACTCATTGCCGCTACAGGTATTTACTTTAATTGGTTCATTTTTTGCTCATGAGATAGAGATAATTCACGAAATAAAGTCATCGAGGAGGACGGAGAGCACATGAATCTTTCTAAGTACTTATAAATATGCATACCTGAGAAAGCTCAGGCTCACATCGTTCCCTTTGCAAGAATCCATCCGGCCTGAGTCTGCATCTTTTCAACCCGCCTTTCCAGGTGATTTATTTCTGCATTGCCATCAGAAGTCAGACCTTCTTTTAATGTTGAACAAGTATCTGGCAAACCTCTTTCGAGCGAATTCAGCGACGATAATACTTCTCTATTACGACCACATGGCACGACTAGAGCGGAACGAAAGCGGCGACATGGTCGAGAAGGTTTGCTTAGACAAGAATGCAGGTACTCCTTATAACTAGTGAAATTGAAAGAGTTTCTGGCGAACAAAATTTTGAATCGCTTCCGTGAGAATCAGAAAAATACGATCGATGTTTGAAAAACTCTTACCAACAAGTGCCACGCTTTGGGCATGGGCTCCTCGTCCATCTCATGATGAAAGCAGAACCAGATGAATGGGGATCCTCATTCATCTGGTTCTGCTTTCATCATGAGTCGAACCTTCCACACCAGGTCTAGCAGGCCTCTGCGTTCATGAGCGGGCCAGTTTGCACTGCGGAAATATCAAGGAAGACCCGAGGTATAGACCCGACCTCATTGATCTAGTCGTCGGCGACTTAGCATCGGGTGATGGCACCGGTACTACCGTAGCATTGCATAGTTGGCCTTTGTATCGTGGCCGCCTACTCTCAGCCGTGATCCAGTGGAGCTGCGAACAAAGGAGCCGCGTCGATTTTGGCGATGACGGGAGCTTCAACGAGCAATCTAATCGACACGCAGATCTCCTGCACAAAATGCTCATACTCATACAGGTACCTACCTTGAGCTTGATCATGTTTTCGATCTAGTCCTCGTTGTGATTCAAGAAACCTCTCCAAGTAGTCCTGTTTTCAGAGCAGTGCAGGCACTTCGTCGATCTCGACTCGTTATGGGAGTGACTGTCTTGTTTCATCCTGTTCATCTTCTTCACCAGGTCTATCTCGAAATCTGGTATCCGACCCTGGAGCGATTGCAGAGTGGAATCCAGAAGCGTGCTAGGAGAGGTATGAAGATGGCGCGACTTCTGAAACGCGATATGCCAGGTAGCAAGTCGAAAGGTGTGTTCGATGCTGCAGGTGGGGATAAACAGCCGGAGCCGTCCGAGGAGGAGCATGAAAACTGAGCCGCCTGCGCCGGTGCAAACTCAGTCATGATAGACGATCATTCTAGCAGTTGTTGTAGGCATATGTTGTTACATTTCATCTAACTCATCATTGACATTGACATAGTTAGAAGTTCGACGAGGATAGATTTTCTTTGCGATATCGCTTCGCTTTCAATCTTGTCAGCAAAAAATTCCAAAAATGAACTATTCCATTCACAAGTCAATAATGCACATTCAGTCTGATTCTGAATTCGGTTTCGGTCCCTTCTCGTACGTAAATATCTTATTGTCAGGGCTGTGTCCGTGCAGTGCCACGATTCGCAGTGTAGGACTAATTAATTATGCGAAAACAAATGAATGAATCGGAACCCGATCATTCCTTTAAATTTCATGGTAGTAGTAATCTTCACTCATTCTGTGCATATAGACAACGCAAGGAATACGAACAGTCATCGAGCTGCAGGAGAGCTGATATTCTTTATACACGACTCCATTTTTTCCCGTCATCGCAGAGTATTATGGCTGGAAATCGTAAATTTTCATCTGCAGCTTGAAGTTTCCCCACACCTCCCCTTTCCACCTCATTCCCATACCCATGCTCCTCATTCCCACAGAACTTATGTTTTGATATTGATGTATTCGTAAAGAATATCGTTAACATGATCAATGAAAATGATGAAGAATGTCCAGGCGAAAGTCACCTCAAGACTACTAGCTCTGAACTCCTCTTTGGGATATATGGAGGGAACAATATGGCCACTTTTGGGTTTACACTCTTTCTCTTTTTTCTTTCGAAAACATGAACTGAATAGAATGAACAGTGAGATAACGTAGGCAATGAACAATTTCTAATTCAAGTAACTTAGTCTTACTGAAATCAAGTATAAATTAGGCTATGATGCTTATCAGCAGGTCGTTTCATCTTGTGCATGAGATACTACTAACATGAGGGTTGCCGGGGGAAGCCGCATCGCTCAGTGATAAAAAATAGATTAGATACAAAAGGCATGATGTTAGAATGAACATCAATGTAATTTCGTAAACGTACTGATAGCGACGACTAATGACAACAGAGCTTTTTGCCTGGTCAGGCAAAATACACAATACAGAAACACGTCTTTCAAAGCCAGGACGATCCTGAACGAGAGCACCACATTATGGTACTTGCATTTGTGTTCCACGAGCACGACGCCTCCTAATAGAAGAACGCAGGACCTACTCGAGAGTTGCTGCTCTTTTCCAGCACGCGTCGAATATTTACAACCAATCTACCAACACCACGAAGATGAATGGAATGGTAATAAAAGATGACGACTGTACCTACTGTACATGGACACTAATGCTATGTAGTCATTATCGAAACAGCGAAAATGGGTCGAGAGATGACAAGTACGGTTCTGGCTCCCCCGTGATTTGACGATCCACGTTCAACACGATCACAGATATCACCTTCGAGCTTCTACGTATGTGGAATATTTTGAGTAGGTTATAATTATCGTACAGATTTCAGAAGGTTGAGGTTCTCTAAAAAAATCTTGATTAGCAGCGACAATTATTCACTCTTGCTCCGATCCTAACAAAAACAACCAAGTTAGAAAACTAATTGTCGTTGTTGAGATAGATACTTTATCTTCACTTTTTTGATATCAAATAAGGGATAGTGTACGTTCTCGCTTATTTTTTTACATTTGTCGGACGTGGATTCATTCACGATTGACTAGATTGATAGGATAAGATGGGCGAACAGTGCATAAACGAGCAGATTTCCGATGTGGAGTGCCTCAACCAGAGTCGTGAGTTTCCAGTGAACAACCTCTTTCTTGCCGGTGACGCACCACTGAAGTCCGACGCAGATCACCAGCTACTTATCAAAGTCGCATTTCGACAACCTGTGAAGATATCAGGTATGTTACACTTTTACTCACTCTTTTCAACAGTTAACTAAGCTCATGTTGCTTTGGAGTAAACGACTTTTTTCAGTGTCTAGCTAAGCAGCAAGAAAGTTTTTTACCCTATATATAAAATCGTTACTTGAACTTGAATCTTGCTCTACTTTTTTTTTGATCGCTCTCGCAAAAACCAGGTTTGCGATTTTACGGCGTCGAGGAGGATTCATGCCCGACCGACGTAAAGCTGTTCGTCAACAAGCCAAACATAGGATTCGGTGAGGCAGAAGATACACCGACGACGCAAGAGTTCACACTTTCGCCGGAAGAATGTACTTTTTCAACTTAAAGGAATAGAATTGTATTCTGAAGAACTTGATTTGTGATTGTGTAATTCATCTTCGTCATCGTTCGCAACACAAGCCCTCCCCCACTACCCAAAAATTCAGGCAACGTCCTCGCACGGAAAGATGTCATTTGTCCAGTAAAGTTCGTCAAATTTCAGAACGTCAACGCATTGCAAATTTTCGTTAGCGAGAATGGTGGCAGTGAGATCACAGAGTTGAAGAAACTTGAAATTTTCGGGACGACTGGCGAACAGTCTGACATCAGCGCGTGGAAACCTGTCAAGGGCTGAGGCTAAGCTTCCTCTCCAGGAGGAGACGAGCACATGTTAAATTCTTCTATAATGGTGGAACGTACGCGAAGAACGGAGTCTCTCAAGCAAGAGCTTTCCCCGCAATGAAGAGTAACACATCATGCCTTCGTCTCAGGAGAGGAGCGATAGGAGCTATACTTTTTGTCGAACGCGTCGACACGTCAATTATGGAGCTGTCGACAACGCCATTTGCTGTTGACACTCTGCTGATACACAATGTTTGCCAGGTGGTTTTTTAATATACATCCAATGAGAATAAATCGATTCGATGTCCGCTCGCTGGAGCTGGACATGGAGCAGCTGGTCCTCATAATTAAAGGCACAACAACATTTTGGCTCTCTTTGGATCACCTGCAGTTGGAGTTTGAGGGCCACCCAGGAAGGCGAACGCGGAACCACGACGAGAAGGCCTCTTCTAGAAACTTTTGTGACGATCTCCTAGGATATAATCCTAAGATCTGATTTAGAACATCGCAAAGTCGTGGGCGTTCCCTTTGCTGGACTTTTTAGCTTTTTCTATTATAACTTGCTTTTCGGAAACACCTTCACCTTCTGGACATGGCGTACAAGACCAGTCGGACGACCCCTTCGTTCATCCCAATAATTGCTTTCCCCCAGCAGGCACGACAAACGATGAATTAATTGATTTCAGAAACTACTTCTTATCAATTTTTTTTTATCGAAATTCAATCTCAATTATCCGCGCGGGCAGGCGTTCTCAGAAATCTAATGATCGAATATCGGAAGGAGCCTATTGCGCTCCATCCGACACAGTTAATAGTACCTCCAGACTGTCTGTGTTCTCCTCCTGTACACTACTTTTGAATGCTCGTCGTGCCATCTGCATCAGGCAAAAACAACGACCCAAGAACACTTCTTGAAACAAGGATTTTTACTCTGACGAGTGACTTAACGAGCCGATTAATATAGGCTTTTCAAAATTGCGAGAGTGAGATTCAACACCATGAAGATCTTCTGCAATGACTACGAGATTGTGACTTTGTCTGTTGTTGAGGTGCGACAGGTTGACGAGTTTTGGATTTGTTTTTGATTCCTTAGGTTGCCTGCGATGATAAGCAGGTTGTTCACGAAAGTAAGACGAGGCTGATTTTCTTTGGCAAAAATGACAAAGAGACTTCGATGATTCTGCTGAGGTTGTTGAGTGTCTTACCCATACTGCGATAGACGAGTTGTTTGTAAGCGTTATTGAGATCAATACTCAGAGGTCTTCCTTCTTTCTGCCGATTCTTCAAAAATCATCGATCCATGCTTGTTTCTATAATGGACTTAGTTAAAATATCATGGCTATGACAGGATCATGAGGCGCGGTGAGGTCTTTATGTGGGCGTTATTAAATACGCATTCCTAACTCCGGTTGGTAGCGCTCGCTCTGGAATGTTCATGTGTAGGATTTGCACCACAAGAAAAAATATAATGTTTCAACACTTTGATCTCCGGCACTCTGCTGTAGCGCAGGCAGAGTGCTACTGCTAGTGCTACAGCACAAATGTCTAGCTTTTTCAAGTTAAATCATGTTGCTAGAGAATACAGAGCAAAGTCACAGTATCATTAACTAGACTGCTAAGCATACCAGAATTAGAATCAGATAAATAGAACTCATCGTCTCGCTCCAAACGATCAACAAAATGTTGCGCAAATTCTTGCTCTGTTTTGGCATGGCGCTTGCCCAAGTGAGTCAAAACATCGGGCTCGAGCAACAGATGGGGATGCTGTTTCAGCAGATTATGGTACCCGGTGCTGACTACAATTACTAGCTTGTTATGATCCATGTTTTTGTAATTTGTGGCAACACGACATCAATGAATTTTTGACATGCAGCATGAACCGCAGAAGGAAACACTTTTATTCAAGTGAATATTCTAAGCTTTTGAGTGAAATATAAATAACCTACATCTTCAGGTATCTATGGGCAAGTTTGATGGTGTGAAACCAGCGTTGATCCGAGTGCAGCAGCGCGTATACAGCGAACCGCAGGTGGCTGCGGGTCTGGACGCGCGAAGCAGAGCTCTACTTGATGGTGCGGAGACTGAAAAGATGCACCTCGAATTCTTGAGACTCCAGAAGGTGGCTCAAGACTACACACAAAGTCCTACCTTAATGACGGAAGCGGGACGCGGCGAGCAGTATCTACGAGATTTGGACACCTATGCGCGGAGCCTCGCGCAGCATGTGGATGAGGTAGCGCAGAGTGTCGCAAAACTGGACAAGAATGCGCCATCGGGTAATATGGCTTCTACGCCTGGCATTCCTAGCAGTGGCGCGAGTGGTCCAGGCCATGTGGGCGTTGGTATCCCGATTAAACTACCCGGACAGCTTGGTGGAGCAAACGCAGGTGCATCTAATGGGCAAGGACCATCAGCTTCCGTGACTGGAGGTGCTCTGAGAGCAGGGAGTGGTCCAGGCCCACTGCCGCCAGCAGCTTCAACCCCCCCACCAATCAGCGCTGGAGGAGGTGTTGGAAACAATATGCTCGGAAGGACTACGGCAGCACCATTCCCAGCGGCCGAGGGCGTTGATAGTGGTAGTTTGTTTCCGCGAGGAGGCGCACGACTAGCGGAGAAGCCAGACATGAACATGTGGAAAGCGCAGCAGATGATGGGAAATTTGCCTGCAGGAGATGCTCCTGCACCTGCAGGAGTTGCAGGACCGATGGGCGCTGGGCCCAATGGCGGTAAGGCCTCGAAATTGGATTTTCTTTTTTTGGATTTGCAGAACGGGATGAGCGATTTCGAGCAACTGAAGCCTCTGTTCGCACAAGTGCAAAGCAAGCTCACGAGCTCTTCGGTTGCCTCGAAACTCTCCGTGGATGACAAGCGGGTATTGCAGGGCATTGTGGCAGAGGAGTTGAACATGCGGTTCTTGTCGATTCAACAAACGGCAGACCGCGTGGAGCGAGAGAGGCAAGGCCGTTTCGCACCAGCCGAAGAGAAGCAGTTCGCGGACGAAGTGGAGAAGTTTATCCAAGACATGCGCGCCCACTCTGCACGCGTCCGGGAGCTCTTCTCTGGGGATGTCCTCCGCATGCGGGGTCAAGTGCCAGCGCCGTTGCCACGTGCAGACCCGAACGCGCAAGTCGACCCAAATTCCATCGAGATGCGCAGGATCGCGGTCCATTTCTCCGAGATACAAAGCAACATGCAGATCTTCGAACGAGAGTTAGCGCCAAGGTTCGCTTCGGTCACGCAATCGATACTGCAGAAGGCGCCGGAAGCCAGAGACCGGGACATTCTCACAGGCGAAGCGAGTCAAAAACTGCACTTGCGGTTCGTCACCTTGCAAGCGCGACTGCACTCTTCCTACAAGGAAAAGGCGTACGAGCAGGAGGTGGCGCAGTTCGCAGCGGATCTTAGCCGCCACGTGCAGGAGGCTCTGAAGCTGATGAAGCAGCTCGGTGTCGAGAAGAGCGCAATGCCTGCAATTGGAGGCGGCGCCGCACCAGTAGGAGGAGCTCCAATCGGAGGCACGCCGATCGGCGGAGCACCAATAGGTGGAGGAGGTGCAGCAGGTGTTGGAGGACCGCAACTCTCGTCGCAGCAACTAGGCGGTGGATTGAGGTCTGTGCCACAAAACAATATGCCGACCCCGTCGAATTTCGCAGGCGGCGGTGGCAGACCAATGGATCCAACATCCAAAAAAATTAACGACCTCTTCGAAAAAATCGAAAAACACATGAACTACTTCGAAACGAAAGTGAAGCCTCTCTTCAGAAACGTGCCCGCACCACAAGTATTCGATAAGAATGCTCACTTGTTGCATTTTCTTGGCATTTTTAGCAAGAACATCAACATCAAGATGCCTACTATTGTTCTTTGATTAATACGTTACCATGATTAACTCATGACCATAATCATTTCCTGTTGCAAAAGCATTCATATTCCAGGGAGATTCCACCACCAAAAATAACAGGTTCTGATGTCAAAATTCACCGATAAAGCCGAATTGAAAATTGCTACTGGGCAAGCATCTGAGGATATTCACAGGAGGTTTCTCTCCATTCAGCAGCGCACACAATCGCTGGAGAGGCAAGCTGGTCCTGCCATCCAGGCGTTCATTATCGACTTACAGAAATTTGAGCAGGATTTGGCCGTACACGTGCCGCAGGCAGAAGAAGTGATGAAGCGCGCATCTCAGATGTCCCAGGGTAGTACTGAAGCATACAAAAAGCAAACGCCTACACTATCAGAAGAAGAAATGGAGGCAGAACTCAAGAAGGTCGAACAGGATATCAACGAAGCAGACCGACGATTGCCAACAACACTGCGAAATCTCAAAAAGAGAATGAAGGACCAGGTAGATGACCTAAACTATGTATTAGTTTTTCTACACTTCTTGATACTAGCTGGATCTATCACGACTTTATAGCTTTACTTAGCTGTAGTGCAAGAGGACGAAACAAAGGAAACTACCTAGAATAGTCCATAATCATACATCTCCTGCTGCAGGCTCATTACTCTGAAAAGTTTTCATGTGTTTTTACTATACTGAATTGCTATATCTTAGTACTATTGCTAAAGCTTTTCCTGTTCCATCCACACAGATCGGGCAGCTGTCGGATCAGAGCGTAGTAAACAAGGAAGTCAACAAAATGACGCATATGCTGGCAGCAATAAAGAGTGCCGCGTTACAACTCTTGAAGCAAATACGGAACGGCTTTGGAGGCAAGGGAGATATGAAAGCCATGAGCGAACTTTTTTGGGGAGATTTTGCAACAGAATCGCAGAGGTACTAACTTGTTGAGTATGAGTGCTTGAGTTATTTGTATTTTTTTGAAGAATCAATGCATTGCAACGACTACTTGCTTCACAAAGAAATAACATCATGTAGGATACACAGAGGACGTGCATGTTGTTCTTGAAGATGCTTCTTTGTCTCTCTTCACACATTCACGTATTTCCAGGTTCCTTGCTACGATTCGTGATTTGCAGAAGGAGGAGATGCAGACAGCGCGCGAGGAAAACAAAGGTGGTGATATGGCACAGAACATCAACATGCCAGGAATGAAACTGACCGGTTCGATTTTAGGAACCAGCGGCGTCACTCAACAGTCCTTGGAACAGAACAAAGCATCAGAGAAATCTTATGTCTCTCGTGGTATGGTCAACGGCGGCGCAGCTGCCGGCATGAACAATGACGCGGAGAACGCGATGCTCAGCGGAGCTGCAGGGGTACAACTGCACTACTCAATTAGAATTACATTTTCCACTTGCACTTGCTAGGGAGATCTAGTAATTAGAATGGCAGCAGCCCTGGCTTTGGATGAATTCCTTTTCTAGCTTTTTATTGTATCCCGACATTTCAATTGCACATAAAAACACAGGCAGCAATGCAGCCAGGAAGTGGGGGTGCGGGACTCGGTGGTGTCGGTGGATTGACGGGATTAGCGAAATTACCTAAACTTGAGTTGTGATCCGGCAACTTCCTTGTGGTCTCTAAGTGTTAGTAGAGACCAAGAATGGATAATATAGAACTATTTTTAGAAGCATGTTGATTTAGTACCTGTGACTAAGTACACAGGGAGATAGTCATTCAATCAAAAGCGAAAAAAGATTCAAAGAGGGGCTAGATCCACATTAACGTTGTGGACGGTGGACCGAGCCTCTCAGGGTGTCGCGAAGAGACACAAGGACCTCCTGCGCGGCATATTAGCTCAGAAGATCCTCCGTTGTTTCTTAGTGCCAGAGTTGAATCTCCGGAATCGGAGTCGATCTTCGAGATATATGCTGTTTTTCTGAGGAACTTGACTCGAGCACCTCCGCATGTGCATGCCGTTTCTACCCTAGTTTATTTCATCATGTTAAGTACCAGTACGACCAGGAAATTAAAGTTTTAGGCTAGCATCTATGATTACTATTGTTCATCAAGAACAAGAAATCACGAGGTTGGCGTAGATGAGGTTAATTGCGTCAACCAAGAATGCTAAATTGTTTACTGATTTTCAACAAGACAATCAAAACAAAGAAAAAGAAGCAACAAGTAGGAATGTCATATCAACAACTTTGCTGTTCTTCATTAGATTACCACGAACACGACAAAAGGCGCCAGAATGTTGTGGATGCAAGCAGACAAGCACATTCACTGTCCACAATGATTAGTTCGTGCAGGTACTTGATTCAAGGAGACGCCAAACAAGAAGAAGCTGCTGCTCACACTTGTTCTTACAATTATGTCATATGAAATCTAAAGCCAGTACGGACACACTGCATTAGCCGCCCAGGCTTGATGAAGTCAATCTCTAATAGTAATAGTTAGTGTGTTCATGGCAGTTGGAGCATTGTCCTTTTCACCGGTTATTGAACAGCAGCCGTCGGTTATTTACTAGAGAGAAAAATGTATCAAGCTATAGCTAAAGCTACTTACTTCTTGAAGGTCAAGGTAGTATCATGCTCTTTGCAACACAAGGACAAGCAAGGAAAATCGGTTAGGGCTGTGCTCGTGAAATAATGGGACTACTTTTCTGTATTGGTCCTATTCCAGGTCTTGATCGGGTCGGAGAGCATCATCTTCGCGAAAGTGTAAAACGTTGCGTTAGTCTTTCTCAGGATCCTTGTCGTTTCTTGGCAATCGGTCAACTTGGTTTACTACTTCCCATCCGGACCCTCAACCCTTTTAATTATGGTCTCCTCGTCGTGGTTGTGACAATCTATCATATGAATATGTACAACAGTGTTTATGCATGTCTGGGCGGCAATCTTATTCCGTTCCTCTTTCTCTTCATGGAATAGACAGTGGAGTTTCTATTCATCTTCTCGTGCTGCTTTATCTTTATCTACTTCTCGTTCCTGTCTATCTCTCATCAAGCATTTGATTTCATAATCCTAATTCATTAGACTTCAGTTATCCCTGAAGAGCAAATCAGGGTGTTCTCACAAGAATGACGGTAGATCGTTGACTCGCGTAAGATGTCCACTTTCGAACCACCGAAGGTGTTCCGGACCACTCCGGGTGTCTCCAACCATGCGGCAACTTTCATGAGGCAGAAAGCCTTTGAAGGTGTGACTCGAAACTGATGTTCTTTTTATTTTCTAATAGTTTGTGTTTGTCTTGGTTTTTTTCACCGTTCCATCTCCCGCATTTGTTTTCTTGATTTTGTCGAAATTTTGTCCAAGGACGAGAAAAAAAAACTCAAACCAATCCATGACAGGTTATGTGTACTCGGTCAGGGAGCGGGAGATTATGCCCAAAGGGAGCGGGAACATAAACCATTACGAAAGGTCAGTCGGGATGGTTGACAGGATAAGTAAGGATAGGTTTCTTGCATGTGCTGCTCCAGCGCACGCGGCGAAATTAGCGGAGGAACCAACTCTGACACCAAAGCAACAGGAAGAGGTGCCCTTATTTTTGTCGTCAAGACGGTTCGTTGGTAGTAGCAGCAGGCCCAGACGGCAAAGGTAAATAGAAAACAAGAACGGCAAATCCCAAGACCCTGTCCGGGCTGTTTCAGTCCGCTACAAGCACAGTTTTCAAAATACCCTCACAGGTTTCAAAGCAGATGAAGGAGCCTCTCTACAAATTTACCTGGGTCGACGCATTTAATGATCCGAATTTTATAGTACCAGGAAACAACAAAACATCGTACTTCTAAATCCATTTTCTCGAAAATTTTCTCAAAGCAGCGATAAAATAGACGTCAAAAACAAAAACAAAATATCCCGAACACAAAAAATATGCTAGTGCTTCTGAGTAGAAAGTTCCAACACATCTAAATTGTCTTTTCTTTTTGTGACTATATAGAGCACATGGACATGCATCGCGACCAAAACAGGTATAAGGCACAGTGGCAGTACAAGACGCCAGAGGATCTGAAGCCCAAACCAGATCTCTCCAAATTCGCCACAAAGCCGCAGTTCTATCCAAAGAACATGCTGGAAATGAACCTGCCAAGGGTGAAACTGTACTACACACATCATTTTAATATTTACTGAGGACGAGCACAACTCCGACTCCGACGTAAGGATTCTTTTCATTTACTTTGAATAATAAATACTTCTTGCTCACCAGCACGCGCATGTTTCTTTTCCACCAGTTGTTCAATCTTGTTTTATCACGACTCATTCTCCTAAACAATTACTTAGGTACGGCATTGATCCGGTCCATTACGAGAACCCGATTAAATTCGAGCTGAAAAACGACTACGGAGCGGGACGAAGCCCCAGGCGGCAGGGCACCAGGGCGTCGGCGAAGTGGCATAGTGAAGAGTCATGGAACGATCCCTTTGTGCGGAGCACTTACAAAATTACCGGCAAACCGATCCCTAAAGAGCAGCGCAGCAATAATTTGCCGCCTCTTTAGTAGAATCACTGATCGTGTGTGTGGTAGAAAGAGTTAACTAGAATATGATTGTTTTGCGAGGTGAAGGTGATCCTTATGATCCCCCACACTGGTTTATTATCTCACCTTCCTAGTTTGTTTATTGACATTGCTTCAGTTACTTAAAGACGCTCCGTTAAAGTAGAAGTTCAAGACACTGACACTGTTGTCACACAGTCGCATCAAATTTTTCGATTTAGCAGTTACGAATCATGGGTCTCCCGAATTCGCACGAGGACCATGATAATTCCAAAAAATTAAATGTGAGCGCTTCGCGTCAAGTATTCCATCATCATTAGTAGTTTTTATGTATAAGGTGTTGACCCAAGAACACCATCATGAGATCATAGACCACTTGTTGAGACGAGTGCTTCAAGAACTACAGACGTTAACCCTAATAAATATGATAATTGCCCATATGAAGAGGTTGCTAGTGTTTTCGATTCAAACGCAATCTACTATGCTTGTACGCCTATGATTTGGGTAAAATGTACAACACCACAAGATTTCAGAGTAAAGAATGTACACATCTATTGAACAACCTTGCTATCTCGAGTATTATTTTATCTTCAAAATGAAATTGAATTCCTATGTTGTATTCCGGAAATAAAAAACTACGAATTATGAAAATATGAATAAGTTATGCTTCTTTCTCGTTGTTCTTGTTATTGTCTATGCGGGCTACAACACTGATGCGTTTTGCAAATCTCTTATGGTGACATAGCGAAGCACGCGTGTCTATATGGATGCGCGAAGCTGCCTCGCGGGGACAACTAATCATGAGCACGACAAGAGACCACAGACGCAACACCGCACCGCAGTGCAGGTAAGGTGTTTTTCGGACTAAAGCCTGGGTCCAGTGCAGTAAGGTGACTTTCGATTTGTGCTGATGATCCCAGTGAGCCATTCAAGGTTCTTCTCCAAACGGAATCGGGCTTTCTGTCAACTTTTCGCGTATTCTTTTCGAACTATTCTTCATCCGATTTTTTTAAGATGGCTGACTTTGCTAAAACATTTTTGTTCCACTTGTTGGTCTTGGTTTTCTGTCCAGACACGCGCGATGTCGGTGAATCAGCAATCCGTGGCTTCTGATCTGTTGATGATGCTTTTCACTTGGGTCGGTTTATTTCTTCGGTGAAAGTTGGTCATCAATACGAAACCAGTTTATTTTATTTCGGTCTTGATTTGATTGATTTCTAATTAGAAGGGGTTTACTCTTCGTCCTCTGTCTTTCTACGCTGGGTCGGAACTTCTATTTGAAAAACGCTTCAATAAAAACGCGAAGGACAAGGAACGCACTACCTAGCAATGTTGAGCCCTAGAAATACATGGGCCTCCTTGTGTTGGAATATAGCCTTGAAGCCTGCGGATCACTTTTAAGCGCGCTTGAGTTCGATTGTCAATCTCGTCTCGTCGTTTAAGAAACATCACAAAAGAGGAGCACCACGAAGCATTGCAGTACCCGAGAAGTTCCGCACGGGAGAAAATCAAAATGCGGTCTCACGAGGATCAGCCGACTCTATTACGTGAAGACCATCGGACGCAGCGTACATTGATCCTATATTTCTAAGCAAAGCTGCTTCTAACAGACGAGGATACGTTTTGTCATCAGACTCTAACAGCTAGAACTAGTGTGTAGCGCGTCTGTCGCTTCTGAAAGTTCAACTAGTTTATTCTTGGTCAACATCGTGTGCCGTGGATTTTTAACCTCATGGAGATGGACCTGGATCCTGATGTGAACGGATATGGATTTTCATTTCTCGAAACCACGACTTCCCAGGTGGGGACGGCGGCAGGTCGGGACAGCATCTGGGTTTCATTATGATTCTTTGAGCAAGAACTACATTGAAAAGTTGCTGCATGTTACTGAGGCCCTTCACTTTCACTTCTTCTCTAGATGATGCGCCAACATCTTTTGCCAGATCATGAGTGACGTTCACAAAGATACTCGAGCGCAATTGCAGATGATTGATTAAATTTTTGTGGATCGAGATGAAAGCCTTGGGTGCTCACTCGATGGCTGGGATCACGTTCGTCTGTTCTTGACTTCACGGATATGAGTATAAGCAATTACTTACCGACGGAGTGATAGTTAGGCCTCCCTAGCTCCCCTTAGTTACGTCTCCGACGCGCGGCGTGCTCCCAAAAGTATCGCTTTTTTGGGAAGGTGTAGGTTCCGCGACGTTCAAAGCACACAAGGAAAATTAGCCGGCTAATTTCCCTCGGTGGTTCGGAGTTCGTTCGTAGTCTCTATCCGAAGTATATTTTTGTGGATCCGTTAACTATCGTTCATTCCGGACACGGAAGGTAATTATCAAGATCATCGTTTGATGAAAGGATGCCAGAAGTACTAATGATTCGAACCACCTTACCTTAAAGCTCAACTTTCAATGGTCATTGGAGTTGGTCACTGAGATCGAAGAGGCGACCCCTTGAGAGAACCGGGGAAAACGAAGGGAAAGGGGAGAGCTTTGAAGGGGGTCTCTTCCGTTCAGAGTCAGTGGCCAACGAATGCCGCGCTTTAATTACCACTACCACACCTTTTGCTTTTCATATTAGACGATCAAGAGCACCATAGCGGGTCAGCAACGGGCGGAGCAGTCGCTTCGAACGAAGGAGTACTGAAGAGCGCCACGTCAGAGGAGGACTATTATTTAGGTACTAAGATGAACGCATGCGATTGCGAATGCGTACATTTATGCTTTTTCTTATTCATGAATTCTGCATGTTTTTTACTTTTCGCTCAGGTTTTTATTTCTTTGGTTTGTGTTGCTTCTGCGTGTTATGGATGCCCTTTGAGGCACTTCAACTGTCCATCAAATTATTTTGCAGGTGGTAGCTCTTTTCGTAGCGGTCACAAAAGCGGTGCAGTAGGATTATCCTCCGCACCACGGGTTGCGATGAAAATCGAGGTAGACATTAAGGCTTCGCCTGATCCATCTCTATAGGGATTCCTCAACCGTATGTACCCAAATACAAAGGAGACACTGGGGCAGATTCTTGCGGAATCCCTGCAGAGAGGAACTGGGGGAGCCTCTAAGTAAGGAGCATCAGAAATTATGAAAAATTTTAACGGAAGATCTACTTCGTAGACGTAGATTATCCACTGAAGATAGTGATTGATGCGGTGCTGTTACTGTGCATAGGGATAGTACCGTGGTCCTGCTATGCATCGGTTTCATCTAATATAGGATACCTATATTGGTTTGATCATTATAGTAAAAGGTCTCACTCTGAGGCGAAAAGGCTCTCTAAGAATGCAGAATCGGAGGCCACGTATCGATCTGGTTTCAGTGTTGAGCAGAAGGCCGATGTCACAGACAATGCGTTGGGCGTCAAGATTGCCGCACGTGGATCTTACCGCAGACCACCACCGGGCCGATCCTACAGGTATCCTCTGTTCTGCATCTACATCTAGCAATATTTTTGTCAGAGACGGAAGTGATGGATGTGGTAAATATCTGTGTGAGCAATCTCTAGCGAGCAAGCAGAAGACCACGCGTCCTCGTTAGTGTTTAGAAACAGTAGTAGCCGCCGGGGAGACTAGCGAACCGGGGCAGTTGATGAAGCAGCTTGAGCTGCAACAGGTCCAGGTCAGGGAAATCAACTTCACGCATGGCCCTCTGCGACTTGCTGCGAATGTTTGCTGGGACTCTTCGAGCTTCAAGTTGCGAATCGAGCAACTCTCTGCCCCAAATTGCGATGGGAACAACTTCGTCGAGGACGCCATCACGTTGCTCGAGAGAGCAATCAGCGCGCGCAAATGATCATCAAGATGTGGAGGAGCTGACTTCCGAGGACAGAGCGACACTGTCAATTGCAATTCTCCTCAGTCCCTTGTTTCGGCGCGAGTCCTATCGGTTTTCCATCCACAAGGGCTTAGCTCTTGGCTCTCGGGGTACATCAGATATAGCCCGTCACTGTTCTAATTATGGGCCGTCGACTAATATGCCTGTGGGGCTTGGGCTCTAGCTTTTCTACAGCGGTTGTCGTCGTGCTTAATCGTTTGCGTAGTTGTAGCGTCTGCCCCTTGTGCTTCAGCTTCAGGCTTCCCGCGGGGTAATTGAGTGGAATTATTGAGGGAAATTCTAGACCCGGATATCTCTAGGGTCACCCTTGGGGCGGTCTTAGCCTGTACAAAAAAAGAAACCAAAAAATGCGGTGGGGACACCATGAGCATGAGTGAATGAATGAAAGAAGAAGGAGACATGTCTTTTTATGGAACCCGTAGCTATTTTGGCTCAAGACTCTGTCTTGTTGCCTGTATGGGATGTGGCGACACATAGATAACTGTTAAGTGCGTAGAGGGCGTGGTCGGCACATCCCCTTTTATAATTTTGTTGTAACATCGAAAAGCGCTCGCCCCGCTTCGTCGAATACAAAAGTCTGCTAGGACGAAAAAAAAAGCTATGGGTAGCGAGATCGAGGCATGACGCGGCGCCTCATCTCAACAGCGCGCGACCTTCGACTTTAGATTTCGAGCGTAACAGTCATCACAGACCAAATCATGGCGAGGTCTTGACGGATCGATCGCCTGTATTCATCGAAGCCGGCATCTTTGCGGAGGTCGTCCCAGCGAAGACCCGCGCACGCAGCGGCTGCACACTTGCAAAGTGCACGGTGAATTTCATTCAGGCTGGGTGGTGTTCTTTTTTTGTTAACTCAATCAGGAGGCGTTGTAACCATTTCAGAAAACTAGAAAAGCAAAAACTGGCACTTACTTGGCTCGATTTCAGTGCCGAGGAGTATTGGCGCTTCTGGCTATGAAGTTGGTGCTAGCATGCACGCAAGTCCTCCGCATTGTTCACCATCCAACCAAATCCAACAACATAACCACCCAAGAACTAGCTTAGGTACATAGATACTCAGCCCGCTGAACTGCTTCGTGAGGTGCATGTAGGGGTGGTTAGCGTGACGGGCAACCCTCTCGCATGTGCACACGGTCGGAGAGGGCTGTTGTAGAAAAAGTAGCCAGGTGCATCTGCAGGACCGGAGCGGGGGTTGGCGGGTCGTGGAGTGCCCATGGGTTCAGCCCCTTGAACAGTGTGTACGGTAGGCGGACGCGCATCCTTATTGGGGTGTTGCTTTTGCCGGGCGGCTCTCCCTCTTACTCACACCAGCGAGAGTAGAAGAGGCAGGGCCACGGGTCCTGCTGTGTGAGTGCCGTAAGGTGCGACAGTGGCGGCCGCAATGAACGAATGAACAGTAGTTCGCTGTTGTCTACCTGTACGAAACTGGTCCTAGTGCGAATAGCAATAGTGCTGGCCCGCCTGAAGACAGCACCTATAATTACACACCAGAATGTGATGTCGGTACTAGTTGTATGTATCCTCATTCTTTTGGATAAGAAGATACTTAGATGAAGATAAAAGTATGTCAAGTATAACTTAGTTATCGAACATCATGATGAAACTTCTAGGGCATCCTCGGGTGGGAACCACGCTTTGGCAATAGAACAAGCTGCTGAAGCTCATCGGAAGATGGTCCAAGAAGAAAAGAAGGAAATGGAAAACCTAGTGCGGGATCTAGTTTATGCATCGCAAATTTCGTTTAAGTGGTAGACTGAAACAGAAACTTGTCAATCTACTTCTAGGCAAATAGTATCTGAAAGTAGATTGAAAGTACTTCTACCCAACAGGATATGAAATAATGTCCTTCTTGTTCTTGACGTCGTGCTCCAGCTGCGGTTTCATATAGTCGTAGTAGAAGCCGACAGAACAATTGATGAAAGGCCTTTTTTTTCCGTGTCTCTAATGCGCTCAACAATCTGAGCATGACCCTAGAGGAATTTTTGGAGATGAGAACTTCGGTTTCGACTTACCGCCAATGCCGCGCGCTCCTGCTGTAGATCCAGCTGATCATGCATTGGTTGGGACTGGTACTGGAGGGATCACCTTCGCGGACCAGCAATGGGCCTCGTACGCTGTGGACGAGCGCGTCGCGCGAGAGTATCTGGAAGCAGCCATGGGACAGCCCCTAACAGATCAGAATCAAGGATTAAGGCTCCAGATATTTGATTTCCACAGGTTCTTTTCCTTAGTTTCTTTCTTGGGAATCCGAAGAGATGAACGCAAGAAATGAAATGCTTTGAGCTCTAAAGGGAGTTATTGCCGAGCGATCATCCGGGGCGCCCGTTGTCCCGCATTTCAATTCCATTGCTGGAGATACGTGGCAACGGTACACGCCACCAAAAAAAGACTGAAGAAAGCCGACTCATTTTGTTCTTAATGCAGCATCAACCTATCTCCATGCTTAGAAGAAGTTTCTGAGTAAATTATTATATTAGTATTACAGGGTGGATAACGATAACTCATTTTTGAGAATTGTAGCTGTAGGACGGAATGTTATTTTTCGTCTCCTATGCATTCAACAAATCCAATTTTGCCAAAACTCGTAACGCGTATGCTTCATGCTGATCGTTGTTCTCAAAAAGTATGATGAAAGATTCTTGCTAGCTCACTACGAATAAAGGTAAATATGATAGTACTGAAAGGAAATGCTACCTTTCTAATACGAGTAGAAAGTATTCTTTATCTTTTCCTCAAAACGTGAACGTTGATTGCTTTCCTACTTAGTGAAGTCACTAGCGTTTGAGCAGTCTTCAGGAGGAGAACCACGACACCGTCACCTACAACGGGCGACCGTCGACAAGTAAATCGAAGTATCGTGACTGAGAATCGTTCTTTCTGACTCATTTGCGATACAAAAATCGCTTGTACTTTACTAGTGCCTGTGTATTAAGTACTGCACGACCTACACCAACACCTATCTTTGAAGGGATGACGTCATGCGCTGACGGCAGTGCGGTTGTAATCATTTACGATCTCGCTCCTCGATAATTCAATCGGGAGATCGTTTGTTTCCGATACAGTACACCACTAGCACTAGTACCGGACCCGATTTACAGTTCAGGATATTAAATTCTCATGAGCTACCGGCCAGAGGGTCTGCGGCGAGGCTCACTGCTAATTTCTGCCAATCCGGTGCTTGAGGCGCAGGGCTGCGGCGGGAGCCCATCTAAATCTAAATCTAAATCCAATAGCCCTGGCGGGTTTCTACAGAGACTCTGCCGTAGTGCTTATGCATGGATGTAAGCGTGATTAAGAAAAGCACTCTTCTTCGCCTTCTGTGTTTTGGCGAGGAAAAACCCTAAGCCCTTTACAACAGAAAAAAGATAATAACAGTGGCGTTAGCGCTTGCCCTTGCATCATATCCAGCGTCCAGCGAAATTCGTGAAACCGGATAGATTACCTTTATCGTACTGCTGACCGGGAACGTTCATCTGACTTGACACTTTCAAATGGCCCTGCATTGTCATCGTTGATTCGTCCTCGTAAGAACTCCCCCCTACGCCGGTATCCACGCGGAAAATACGCAGGTAGGTCGTGACTTATCGGAACTTTCTCGCACTACAAAAAAACAAAGCGTCGACTCTCTAATTGAAACGAACTGGCGCTCTGATTATCATAAGCATGGTATTAAATAATTATACCAACGAAGTGTTCTAGGAGCGCAGGGGCGCAAAGAAACACTATAATTTCCGGCTCCGCGTAACACTCTGAAACTTATTCATTGTACACCAGCGTAGAAGATGTAATATTAAGATACATATGCCTCAACTCATCGTGTATTCATCAGTAAAGCGCTCTTGTCACGCAGCAGCCGCTGGCATCCCGAGGGTTTTACGATACAGGCATGTCGATGAAGATCTTTGGACGCATCCACTTTGTCTAGGGGCGTGATACAGACGTTCTTACAAGATGTGGATTGTTTCTCTTTGACTGTGACTATGAATATATGTATGATTTGTTTTATACGCCTTGATAGCGAGGCACATTGTTTAGGGCTTTCTTCATCTTTATTTTCAAGGCATTTCTGAAATGATTGAATGGAACAAAGACAAAATGGGACATGTATTTTCGAGCTTTTTAAGAATTCTGCGGAGATCAAATGATTTTGATTGTTACACACAGGCATAAGAAAGGAGATGGTTTATGTGTCGCTATGTCTCAGTGAAACTAGGTCTTGCAATGAGGCTGCACAGCAAAATTCCTCGTAGATCAGAGAATTTTTCCAGAGCCAGTGTTGACTAATGAGTCAACATGATCATTCTTGTGGTCTAGTTGTAGTTTGAAGATCAAATTGAAATTATGATGATGATGAATGGACTAGATCGTAGGTTCTGGTATAATTTCACTCACCCTGCGTTAAGATAATATAATTAGCGTCTGCGTCTCCATGAATTTTTATTGCATAGGACCTTTCTGGAAGTACATACTTTTAGACATACTTGCTTCGAGTCGTTCATCAGATACACATACTCATACCAAGCCACACGAGAGGACACGGAGGATCCTCGCTGTTATTCGTTTGCAGGAGAGGAGTTCGGAACTGTGCGCACTCGGTTCATTATCTCAATTCAGTTCATCCTTGTCTCGGCTTTTTTTTTGTAGTGCCATGCTCATCCGAAAGGGAAGAGCTTGCACGTTTATCCGCGAAGCTGCCGGCGACGGACGGGGCTCGTCCCCTATAGTATACGCTAAATTTTTTCTTTTTTTGTATCGCAAGGGAGTTCCGTAAAGGACCTGCCTACATATTTTCCACGTAGTTATCGGCGTAGGGGGGCTCTTAATCTCCTTAACAACTACGCAGATGTAGAAAGTATCGGCGTTCGCTATGTGTCTCCCTCGGTTCCCTTCGGTCATTGTTGTTATTGGTCAGATCTTCATCCTGTCACATGTGAGGCTTTTGAGAAGCAACGGCTTCGAGGATGAAAATTACAGTCGGTTGTGTTTGCTCCTCCGCGCTGACGCACTATCCAATCTACCCACCTCCCGCCGTCTCTGCATATCGCTTCCCTGTTGGCCTCGTCTTTTTGCTCTTTATTTCTGTCTTCAGCAACAATAATGAACAGGCAATATCTAATACTTTTGAGGTGTATTCTTGTCGAGTTCACCACTAAAATTAGTGCATATGCTGATACATGTCGACGTGTCTATGGAATCTCGTCAAAAGCTTTCAAGGCAGCTTCTTTGTCTTGAAAATAGCAAGAGGGAGGCCGACCCCGACGACCCACCTTCAGCTTCATCGCACTATCTTTACCTGTAAGCATGGCTGTGTGACGAGAGATTGGGGGCAAGATCAAGAAAGTTCGTGTTGTTCACTAAATGATATAGCCCAGGTTAATCTAGACGAGGGGTCGTAACATCATGGGTTCGACTGACCTGACTCTGCCGGATTTGCTCCGATTGGGAGACGAGCATGTTGCTCGCCAGCGAATGGTCGTGATCAACGGCGCCGATTCCAAGGCTGCTGACAATTATGCTTTGATGTTTCGTATTCGTCTACTTTCATTCTTGAATGATAGAGAGCAAGGTAGAGTTATTCGCACCATTTTTAGAGTTACATTTAGACTGACTTACACTAGAGGAACCAATACCAGGCATGAGCTACGTATGTACGCTGTGGTCATGGCTATTCGTTCTGGAAGAAACTACCACTACTTACCATGATGGCATGATGCTGAGGCATCATGTCCACCATCTCTACTAAAGTCTATGGTTCCGTGAGCGGCTGGTCGACAAACTTGAAAAAACTTATGGCAAGCCAATTCGTGGAGTGCCGAAAGACAAACTTCCTTTCCTTGTCCGACAAGCCTTATCAGAAGGAACCGCTCTCAGACGAGCAGATAGCCTCCGAAAAAATGCGAAGCGAGCGGCATTGCAGAAAACGCAGCAAAGGTAGTTTTCTTCATTTACATCCTTCTTTTTGAAAGTAGTACGTCGAGGCTTACAACGTCTCGCGAAAGCTAATGTGAAATCTTAAGTCATTTCGATGATAATCACAGAAAGAGTTGGAGCAAAACTGTATCTTCATCATTTTCGGCTACCCAGGTTTGACCGTGGACACAAGGGTGCAGAGGGTTTTGTTGCCACACTGAAGGGCAAACACATAAACTGCGTGCGAGGATGGAGAATAGCTTTCAAAGATGATGTCCTCGAGCATGTCGGCTTCGGCGAGTTCGTCGCAGGATGCCGCAAAATCGGTTACACCGGCGAAGTGAAATCCTTATGGAACTTCCTTACGCGGCAGCCAGATCCCGTCACAAATCCTTGGTTTGGCTCCGGAAAGCCGCCTCCGGGAGGAGCAGAGCCGCAGAACGGAACGAAAAAGGGCAAGAAGGATACCCCTCAGCGCCAGGGCATAAGCTATTTCGACATCGACCCAGTGAGTGTGCGGAAACTTCATACATTCGCGTGCATGGTTGAGGACAGCGCAAGAGAGGAAGGAAAAAGCTTGGGAGAGTTGTGGAATATGTACAAAGATACTTTTTGATACGCACATATTTACGATAATATTCATTGATGGTGTGACTCATACGCTTCTGCGCATCTTGATAGAGATACAAATACGAGCGCAGCTTTTAATCATCTTTACCTAATTCGAGGCGGCTTACAACAGGCCTATCGATCTTGGGTCTACTACAGGTACGCTAACTCGGGTGGCATGATGCGGTTCGAAATGTTTTACGAATTTTTTTGCCAGTGTGCAGAAACATTTAATCGAGGTCGTGCAGCGGGCAAATACGCTCTTATTAAGGCCTGATACGTAACTTTTGATTCTGTACTACTCTACGACGTGGATGCTCGCGGCAGTAGTTGAAACACTATTGGCTGTTGCTCAATCTCAACTTCAATGTACGTACATACTTAGATTTCCCATCGTAGTTCTAATGGCAATGCCGGCGATTCGGACGAGGATGCTACAACAGGCGACGAGTCTTCAAAGAAGCGGGGAAGTGATGCAGGGGCCGAAGCATCCGCAGAGGGTGGCTCTACGAATGCAGCCGGAGCAGCAGACGGGAAAGGCCTAAGTGGCAGCGCATCTTTAGGGAAAAGTGGGTCTCCTGGGGCCGCTTCCGGTGGCGCACGAGGCGAACAGAGAGGTTTATGATTCGGTGTAGATCCTAACGGGATTCCAGTAGTTGCCTTATTAGTGTAGTTGAGTAACTCCATCACTCTTCATCGAAGGAGGTTTGATGTTCCATCAGAGAAGATTTTTAGTCAGGACTAAGAACGACTTTAGACGCGTGTTTCTCGTGCTGCTTTCGAAAAAATATTTCCTCTAACACAGCAGAGTCCGGACGACGGAGGAGCGTTGACGATAAATGACCCTTACCTGCTGGACCCGCACATAGTGCCATTAACGGATCCAAAGATAGACTCCAAGGTGATTTTTGGCGCTTTGAACTTCGACTGGGACATGGTGATCGGAGAGGACGAATTTGCCTATCTCATGAACTTTCTCCATGTTCGTCGTGGCATCAAGAAAGGCGCGTCCAATATTGTGCTCTCGCAACGGAGAGCGCATTCGATGGAAATGCGAAGACAGAAAGAAATGGATTGGTACGTAGAGGGCCAGTTCAAGAAGCTGGAGGTAATGGCGCAAGCCGAAAACACGGGAGAACAGTTCTTGCACGCACCTGGGGAAGAAATTGACTCAAGGGTCAAGTTTCGCCAACTCCTGGCAAATCGCTGCGGCTCGATCGTCATCGGCTGGCGGGTTTACCTGGACCCAGAAAGCAGAGGGTAGTGCGATTTGAGTTGTAACTGTGCGAAATGTTTAGAGATCTCTATCCTCATCAAAGCGAATTTCCAATTTATTACATAACTTTAATCTTGATCATGTCACTTTTTCTTATGGTATCAAACATCTTCCTTCCGCTCGACCGCATCCTCCAGATACATCACGTATAGTGAATTTGTGCAGGGTTGTCGAAGGTTGGGTATCAGCGATAATTTGTATCATACGTGGTGCGACGCATTGTGTGTGGAGCACTTGGACGATATTGCGAAGGGTTTGGTTCCAAGGTCGGCCTTGCGACAGAAGACGCCGACGCGACCGACTCGGGAAGAACAGCTCAAGAACATCCTTTCAAGTCCAGCGCCGTTGCCGACACCTCCCGGTGCGAGCCCCGGGCGAAATGTGGGGTCAAGTATGAGCATGGCCAAACTAAGCACACTACCGCATCTTATGGGTTCTGCGAACAAGTCACCGATCAGCTCGCCGAGGAGTCGGTACTACGTGTCTAGATTCGTTTTCGTGCGCAGCAGGAAGAGTGAGCACATATGAAGGAAGTACATGTCATCGTCAAGATGCCTCGTGCCATGAAACTGCAATAAATTTATACACAAGTCTGATTGAAAGTTCGCATATATATTTCCTCAAACACGACCCTCGACAGCGCTTCGTCACCCGGTGGGCGGTCGATCCAGGATATTTTGTCGTCACCGAGCCCAACGCAGTATTCTGCGGACAAGTACTGGTTAGGCATAGACACGAAGTCTGCGGACTTCCGGAGGCGCAAGAAATACCTCGACCGGCACAACAAGAGCATGTCTCTGATGTTTGCACATCTAGACGAGCGCTCCGATCGACTCTTAGCCAGAATGTCGGAATTAGTCCGAGAATACTCACTGGAAGATGTGTGGACAGTGCTAGATCCCAAAAATATGGTACAACTACACTGATTCTGATTTTTTACTTTTGGCTGGGAGTTTAACTCTAAGATTAATTTGCGTGGAGCAGACGGACGAGATGGAAGATGCTGTGTTGGTATGTGGTATTTTTGTGGGTTGAGCGTGAAAGCTTCAAATCAGCTCTAGCTGCTAGTCTTTGATGAAAGTCGACGTAACTGTAGAGAGATTTTACCCTATGCCTTTATCGTCCAACCAGGTCTCTATCACGTCTCGCGAGTTTATCGAGCAGTGTGGGCAGTTGGGTTTTACGCGAGGAGAAAGCGAAGATCTCTTCAAGTGCTTAGATGTGCATAATTCTGACCTACTGACCATGGAGGAGTTAGTGTTCCTTGAAAAGTGGAACATGCCGCGTGAGGAGGGCGATACCGATGTGGCGCGTGGAAATGTGGCTTCGCACTGCTACAAATACGCGCAACAGCGGGAAAGCAAGCAGCGCATGCGAAACACACATATGACATACATGAATCTAGCGAATAACACTCACAAGAAAATCCTGGCTAAACTAGGCGAGCGCTTAGGCAGAGACCGCAGCCAGTTTACAGAGCGGCAACTCGAGCTCCGATCCGCGAGTATGCCCAAAGAAGACTAAGAGCTTCAATTTCTTGATCTGTCATCAATCATACACAAAGAGAAAGAGCATGAAATTAGTTAGCATGATCAATTGTAGTATGTAGTTTTTTTTGAAAAAGGAAACTCCGTTTTGTTTGTTAAGCATCTCTCTGCATCTTCTCCACATGTAAAATAGAATTTTGAAATTTGTTAGCATCTCATCTAGATCTGTTGAACAAAAGAAATCCTGTACATAACTCTGGCACGACCTAACATTCTCTGTACAAACTGAACACGCTAGAAGAAAAACAGTCCATGTAGAAATATCAAAATGTATCCATATATTCGTCCAGTATCACTACTTTCAGAAAAACGAGCACAAACCTATGTAAATATGGAGGAAAGTCTAGCTAAGCGAAAAACGTGTATGATACCGTCTTGGGTGCGAAAAGCGGAAACGAATGAATGATTCAACAACCGAGCACAAAGAAACAAGGTTCTTGACAAAATCGAAACCTATGGTTATCTTAATTAGATTAGAGATAGAGTAAACACAGGAAACCAAACCAACAAAATGCTTGAAAATACTACCAATATCACGATGGAAAAGCAAGAAGGATAACAGCATGCATGTTTGTTGTAACGGAACAATGGCTTAGAAATATGGTGATGAGTTCGAGTTGAAAATGATTCTATTAACTATAATGTAGAGTGCACATATTAAAGCAAACGGAAATAACCTTGACGTACGAAACGTGTTTGGACAGAGCACCAGCCCTTTTGATTACGACATGGGCTGGGAAAGCCATGATCGTGTTCGGCACGGTCATTAGGTCACTCTGGCTGCCGACCCGGACCTCCCGTTCAGGATATGGTTCCGGGGACTTCAACATCATAACGATTCCGCGCTCTTCTTCCACTGCAAGTAGCAGTGAGTGGCTTTGCGTGAGCTGCGATCATGATACTCGAGCAATAGTATCCTTAGCCTCACATCTCGTTATCAAAGTCAAGAAGAATTAGTTGCACAGAGAACTTCATCTTCATCGACATAAAACAGAAGAGGATTCTTATCTTCTTGATGTTCGAAAAATAACAAAAAGATGGGTGTCGTTGCGATGGATCCCGTACCCTTCACGATTGCTGCTCCTGGGGATAGCGGTGAAGAGGAATCTTATGTGCTTCGACAACTAGGTCCGGACGACTTCGCCAAGGGATTTAAGGACCTTCTAGCACAATTGTCGGACCCCGGCGACCTAGATGACGAGAAGTAATAGATATATTTTGACTCACGGCAACGACGAATAAGCAAATAGCGAAATAATCTATAAAAAGCTATGTGACCTCTGACTCCACCGTCTTGCACGTCGTGATGCCTCCACCTTGTCCTTGATTGATTCAAACTTTATTAAAGGTTTCGCGCCCTGCTGTCCGTCACAAATACTAGGGTTTTGGTCGTCGAAGACATCGCAGGCGGCCGCATCGTTTGTTCGGCGGCATTGCTAGTAGAACAAAAATTTCTTAGGGGCGGAAAAAAAGTGGGGCACGTAGAAGATGTGGTCACGCACACAAATTTCAGACGACGAGGTCTAGCAAAGCGAATCATCATGAAATTGCTAGACATGGCGGAGGCGGAAGATTGCTACAAGGTTATCCTAGACTGCACCGAGGACAACAGCGCAGTGTACAAAAAGATGCAGTTTTTCTCAACAGGTGAGATACAGATGCGGGTGAATCTTCCAAGGCCGAAGTAACTATACTTCTTGCAAGAGCTGTAGACCGACTGATTGAAGCAAGAACGACAGTTTTCACGACGGTTAGTGTGCTACGATATCAACCTTACTCAGTGTATCAAAATTGTGGAAGTCCTGGGGTGGCTTTTTCGTCCGTCTTTAGAATTAAAGATCATGTTTGCGTTAAACGTCACGCTTCAGAAAAAAGAGCCGGGAGATTACCTTGTGCAAGCAGCATGAGAGTAGGCATATTTATTAGGCGAGAGTTTAGGTAAACAACAACAGTTGGAATGCGGACAAACGATACAGAGATGATGGCACGAACTGCATAGCAGCAACTTTGTTTTTAATTCCGAAACTTTAGATGAAGATCTTGAATCCAACTCAGATATTACCTGACCCTCGTCCAGTAGCTCCTTGTTGAACAAGAGAAGCCGGAACAAAACTATCAACAGCAACAGCAAAGTAAGAGGATATGAGAGCATCTATGCCTATAGTACTCGAATACGCAGTTCTTTATTTCATTTAAGAAGACAACGTATGACGCGACACCAATCGCTCTTGCTCTCGTTGGGCACCTTTCGTTGTCTGCTGTGTGCTTTCGTTGTCCAGCTGCGAGGAGAGCAGCACGAGAGAGGTGACACAGGATACGCGGGAAATCGAGCGCTAGAAGAATCGACGGCACACGCATCAAACGATGCCGCGAGAAGAGTACAAGGAGGAGATGGAGGCCAAGGGTACGACCAAGCAGCCAGTCGGGCCGATGAAGGAAACGTATCCGGTGGTCAGGCCGCGTACTCAGAAATGCAACCCGTTGCGGCTGCGATAGCACCTGCGGCTGCAGATATCGCTGTTGTTGCTGAGTCTGTTGCAGAGACACGGTCGCAGGCCGCTAAGGAAGAAGGTGCTGAGGCAGGAGGTTCGCAGCCAGTGGCTGCTCAACTAGTGGCGACTCAGCCGGTAGCTGCTCAGCCGGCAGCTGCTCAACCAGCGGCGGCACAACCATCGGCAGCACCGCCAGCAGCTGCTCAACCAGCGGCTGCTCAGCCGGTGGCTGCTCAACCAGTAGCTGCTCAACCAGCGGCTGCTCAACCAGCAATAGCACAACCAGCAATAACACAACTAGCGGTTGCTCCACCAGCGGCTGGTCAACCAGCGGCTGGTCAACCAGCGGCTGGTCAACCAGCGGCTGCTCAGCCGGTGGCTGCTCAACCAGTAATAGCACAACCAGCGATAGTTCAGCCCGCGGCTGCACAACCACCGGCAGCACCAGCAGCGGTAGTACAGCCAGCGGCTCCTGCGCAACCGATTGCACAGCCAGCTGCAGCACCGGCGTCGCCCCCGACGGCGTCTCAACCGGCTGCAGCTGCCTCGACGAGCGGGGAGACACAAGTTGCGCCGCCTGCAGCCACGACGCAGAACGCAAATTCACCTGTAGTGCAATCCGCCGCACCAGCCGTTGCAGTGGCAGTACCTCATGCGTCTCCTGATGCTAGCCCAGCGTCTGGTGTAGCACTGCCAGCCGCGCAAGTGCCAGTTGCCGACCCACCACCGACAGCGGCATCAAGCGGTGGAGTTTTGCAGCAGCCTCCCAGCGCTAGTCCCGGTACTCCAGGAATGCCTTCAGAAGGCGCGCCAGCGTCCGCTGGAGCACAAGAGACAAGAGTTGAGGCCAATGCCGCTCCCACTGTTGCAGATTCTAGTGCAACAAGTAACTCAGTCGCATCCCCTAGTAGCACGGCCGGAACCGGAGGAGAAGGCGGCGGCACTTCATCAGCGCAACAGACTTCACCTTCGGCTTCACAGAAAACACCTCCAGTACAAGAGCAGCCGCCATCAAATGTAGCACCCGCAGCCGTTGCAACCCAATCAGCCGTCGCACCCGTTCCTGCACCAGCACCACCGCAAACGGTTCTTCCGACCTCAAAACCTGCAGGAGCAGATCTATTGGCGGCCTCATCAAGCGCCTCGTCATCGGTCGGCGTTCAAGCTCCGCCGCCAGCTGCTGTCGCAGAGCAACCGCCAATAGCTAAGGTGCCTGCAGCACCGCCCTCACCACCATCTTCACCTACATCAAAGCCCTCAGTGGCGCAGGCACCAGGAGAACAAGGAGAGGGAAGGAAAGATGGAGTCTCTTCTTCCGGTGCAACTTCGAATACGGTGCCGGCCGCTTCTGCGCAGGCTCCTTCAGTAGCTGCCTCCGCGGCATCGACAGCGACTTCAACGTCAGGAGATAGTGTAAAGCCTTCGTCATCATCTTCAGAGCCGTCAGCGAAAGCATCAGCAGTAGACTCGGCAAAAGCTCCCTCTAGTGCACCGAAGCCAGCTGCGGGAGCAAGCTCGTCGGCGGGAGAGAGTGCTAATAAAGCCCCTATCAGTATAATTACTAATACGAGCACCACCAGCACAGCAAAAGGAGCAGGAGTCGCCTCGTCTGCCTCCACCTCTAGACAAAAAGCCGGTGTAGAAAGTCTGGCAAACGCAAGTGTGCCCGCGACGGCCACTGGATCATCGGAAACAAGTCTGGGTCAAACGCAAAGACCTCCAGCTCCATCAGCGAAGAGCGCACCGACTAGTGACGCAGAATCTGGCGGTAAGCCCCAAGGGAGCTTAGATGTTGATAAGGCCCCCATAGCCGCATCTTCTCCTTCTACGGAGTTGCCGAAGACGAAAGTGCCATTCCCACCTTCGGCAGAGGAAAATGAAGACGATAGCGCTGCAATCAGTGCTTTGCTAGGTGGTAATGTGATTTTTTTGAAGTTGAGATGAAGCTCTATAAAAGCGAGTGTTGCTAACGCCTACGGTCCTCTGAAGTATATTATACTTGAATATATTATAATTTTTAGGTTCAAGCAGTAGGACAAGGACTCGTGAAGACCACCTGCCCACGGCTTTCTTCAGTCTCTAACACGAGATGAATTCTCTGTTGATGACCATTACAACACTTATATCAGGTCGTGGTAAATCCGAGCTGAAGCCTCTTGCAACAGACGGGTTTCTCGGGAAGAGTAAGGCCGACGCATCGGATGTCTCTAGCAAGGTGACGTCAACATCTATGCCACCTATCGGATCTCTGGACGGGGGAGCAGCCTCTGAGTGGGGAAAAACAGCCTTAGGTCCACTTTGGGGTGACTCATCCACCAACAGTAAGAGCAGTGTGCCGGCGCTTGATCTTGACAAGACGAAGGGAAAGGCACCGATAGTTGATGAGGCGAAAAAGAAACCAGAAGCATCAGTGAATAACAGTGGAGACGAGAAAGACAAATCTGCCGTTGTGCCAGCCAAACAGAAAGATCCGAGTAAGAATCAAGTCGCGCAGACTGGTGTTGCGCTCAATCCCATTGTAAAACAGCAAAGCCAGTACGGAGACTCGGAGGCGACACTGTCCGGCAGTGTTTGGATGCAGGTAGTCACCAGGTCTAGCGTCATTTCCTATTTGTATTCGTATCTTGTTCATCATTAGATTTTTTGACGTAAAATAATACTAGAAGGAGACTTTGGTGCTGTCGAACAATAACTAAAACTTCCACGCTTTTAGGGAACTTGCCATTTTTCGGCAGAGCGGAGACAAACAGTATTGTCATCCCCATATCCATCCTTCATTTCCTCGGTCAGGCACTTTTCGTGTTACTTCAAGTGATTATCGTGTATCACGTCTGCCGACTTCTGTGTTGCCCAGGAGGTGCAAAGAACGAAACCGTGAGCTATTTCTCGACAAGTGCCGGTACTTTAGCCTTGCTTTGAATTTGTGTAAATTTCTCTCTCGGCTACGGCTTCTCCACCAGTTGTAATTTGACAGTGTAGTAAAAACCACATTGATGACCACTTCAACTCCCGCTCCTGTAGAGATAGGTAGACCTCCCCTTTGAATATTAGAAATTCTGACCAACCGCATTGCGCGTCGTCTTCGATGCAACAGACTCTTCTTCTTTGTTTGCAGGCCTCCCGACTGGACTGGGACCACAACCACGAAAGGTAGATACCGTCGAAAAAACCGTCTCTAAGACTACAAAAATTGGAGCTGGTACTCTATTACTATCCAGAACCTACTACATGGACATTCATGGAGCAGCAGATGATCATCTGTCCGATATGGATATAGCGTCAACGTCAATATCTCGGGGAATGTCACTACAAGAAGTCAACGTTTCTGTGTAAAAAGTAATTTATCATGATTGATCCATCAAGAAAAACTAATCTATCTTTCTACACGAGACTTATGCCATCGATCTATCTTTCTAAGCAACTAGGACTACGGCTACATCCAACGTCAAGAACATATTTCAGGTATGTTATCCAAATCTTCGTCACTTGTTCGCGGAAATCCGAAAGTCGATCCTGGTGAGCAAAAGAGTATCCTGGCGAAGCCACCGAACATGCAGACAATTAAGGCTCAAAATACCTCACTTCCAGCGGTCATTTGCTTCTGTTTCATTCTTGGGATTCCGGAGAAATGAACCAAAGAAATTAATTGTCTTGAGCTCTAAGACAATGGGGAACAAGAAGACCACGAAAAATGATGAGGACACCGAAAAGATGTTGCAGCCTGACTTTGGCGGTGGCGGCTTCGCTGAGTTCAGTTACGAGGATGATGGAACGATGGCCGACGCTTGGGCTCGGGTGACAGGCAAGGACGCTGTCGACAGCGACGATGGCGGGTGGGGTGCATTTGATGATGACGACGATCTTGCTCTAGATGCACCCACCACCAACACAGCCGCCGCAGCTGGAGGGAGTGCTGGAAAATAGCGACTTCTGCGCATCATCAAGATGGACACAGTATATATAATAAATACACTGGGCTTACTCACTCCCTATCCCTAACCCTAGTTCAACATACCCATACAACATAATCTGCTTTTCAATCAAAGTCGTTCCTTTGAATGACGAATGCGGTCACCCAGCATCTTTTCTTAGTGTTGTAGCATACCTTGTCAGTCACTGAGCTGACACGGAACAGCAGACAGTCATGTTATTTTTAACGTTGTTCTCTGGTGTCTTTTTATCCGTTGGGGTTTTACTTTTACAATCAAGCAAGATGATGATGAAAGATGATGAAGCGAAGAAGGAGATCCAGACCGTGTGTCAGTTTTATTCATCGCGTCTGATCTTGCAGCGTGTGGGCTGACGAAGTCAAACCTAGAAGTTGACATGATGTGCCGACTTCAGCTGGTGACTCCTACCTCAATGTAGTGAAAATTTCGACCCTTTTCTGAAAATGATATTGAATACATGATACCATAGAGAATCATATCATTTCGATTTCCATTTTCAAATTGTTCAATTGTAGTTGTCTTGAGCAGTAGTACACTTGCAAGGCACTTGCAAGGTGGTACAACTACATACGATGTTGGACCGTCCTGCTTCGAAACGTTTCAGTGCGATCCCTACTCTCGTGAGAAGTGGGGAAAGCAGCTTGTTGATATCACAAAGCTGTGCTCGACAAAGAAGATTCTCACATTTCGTGTCGCTTTTGCTCGTGCTTTTATCAGTTGAGTTGGTGTGTGGTGCAAGTAAAGTAGCGAGCCCAGTGGACCCATGTCGCGACGAAGCCATTCCGGAGTTACCGAAGAGTACTAGTGCTGCTCTATCAGAAGAATTATCAGATGTTGAGGAAGCTGCCTTACGTGCGTTGAAGAGTAGTGTGGCTGGGCAGCCAGATCGAGCCGAACCAGGCGACGTTGTTCTCGTCACGGGCGGGAGCGGCTTTATTGGGTCGAATTTGGTGGAACTCCTGCTAGAATACGGATACGAGGTTCGCGTGCTGGACAATCTGGAGACAGGAAATATTCTCTATCTGAACTTGCTGGACAATCCTAAATTGCGCTTTATTTTCGGCGACATACTAGACCGAGCTGCACTCGAGAAAGCAGTGAAAGTTGATGAAAATACAGGTAGCACATCGAACGACAACACGCGGCCGAAGAAGCTCGTAGGCATTTTTCACTTAGCGGCAGCATCCAATTACGGGAATGGTTCACAGATCATTTTCTCTCTCCATCAGGATCTTCACAAGAATCGCAGACCGACGTTCTTGTACTTACATACATTTACATTCATCATACTAACTTGTTTTCTTGAACAACGAGGCAAAACAGCCCCTCCAAGTACAACAAAGGTAGATTGTAAGACGAAGGCAGAAGATCATCATGCGTTGTGAGATTGTTGATTGTGCCTGTTCTAATGCCTGGTTCTTCCATCTCTGGTTGATCCTGCAATGGCGACGCACAACGTCCGCAACAACGCTCTCGGAACTGCAAACTTGCTCGAGATCAGCAAGGGTCTTCCACATTTGCGCAAAATCGTGTATGCGGCAAGTTCAACCTATTATGGGAACCGGGACCCGCCGCTGCGAGAAGACATGCTGTTTTCCGTAAGCAGTCCCTATGCAGCCAGCAAGTACATGGGGGAACTTCAATTCGACACCTTTGACAAGGTTCACAATGTTCCATCTCTGAATCTGCGATTCTTCATGGTCTACGGGCCTCGGAATCCGCGACGCGGTGGGTACGCCGTTGTGACCGGCATCTTTGCGGAGCAGAAAAAAGCGGGTCAAAAATTGACAATCGAGGGACACGGCAAGCAATACCGGGACTTCGTCCACGTGCATGATGTTGCAAGGGCTTGCCTTCTCGCGATGCAGAGTGAATTCGTGCGCGGAACCAGTATCAACGTCGGCAGTGGGCGTGCGCATTCAATATTGGAGGCAGCAGAAATCGTGGCACCGGGTGAAGAACGGACTTACCTTCCAGCGCGCCGCAACGACCTTAAAGGCACACTTGCGGACACATGCAGAGCGCGACGTGAGCTCCGTTTCGCTACCGAAAAAGTCTTTGAAGTAGAGATGACGGCTTTAGTTCAGCAGACACTACAGGGGCGAGGCGATTACACATATGAGGAGATGGAACGAGCGTTGGGCGTCGGCGTTTTCGGTGCCGACATCTGGGAGTCCTTGACGCTAGACGAAAAGAATGCCCGTATACGCGATCAGATCGTGAAAGAGGGCAAGCTAGAAGCTGCTCTTGCATCTTTTCGGCAGAAAACGAAGGCCTTAGGTGTCAAACAAGGGTCCACGACATCGGAACTCTAGCTCGCAAGTCTTGCAGTGCAAACCCTTCGCTATTATCCACATGGTATTGGTAACGCTTTACCTCTTGTTACGTTTTCGCCTGTTCTTGTTCATAATTGAGGTACTTACTATAAAAAAATTTCTACTCTGGTTGTGTGCTTGCAGACCTCAAGAAAGTGTGCAGCAATGGCACTGCTTATGCCTCACGTCAATTTCATCTGAGTTTAGAAGACTCGGCGAGGCCGCACCTACAGCAATACCCATGTCGTGCTTCCTTCCGGACACTGTTAGCCCAAAGACTTGCTGTTTGCTGCACTGGGAAATTTAGCGATAAGACATGAATTAGAATTATACTCGACACACTCACACACAAATAATGACAAAGTCCTCGAAAGATTCGCAAATCGGTTTCATTCGGCAAAAAGCCAATATCCACATCGGCTCGAAAGTAACAAACGTTGGATTGAACTCTGAAGTGTCTAGTAGTTCCTTTGTGGTCTCAACATCGATCACCTCGAACAAGAACTCGCATCACATGATCATGGAGCAAATCACTCTCTAATTTCGTCATGTAGAATCCGTAACAAGTCCAATGTTCTTACTATTCTAGAACACAAGAAAAAAAAAAACAAAATGGCGCCCTCCTTACTGTCTCTGTCCAAGAAAACGTCTGCTGCCAGCAAGGTTTTTTCGCGGGCGAAGGAGGAGGCCGCTGAGGAAAAAGAAGCTGCAGGAGGCAGCGCTTCAGGTTCGGAAAATTCTGCGAGCGAGGAAAGCGAAAGTGGCGATCGTGTTGCGGGGCGGGAGGAAAGGAAACTTTTTTCATATGAGGATCGCATCAAGAGCCTAGATGCGGGTAACAATGACGACAGCGATGAAGATGCGGCTTACGATCGTGACTACCATGAGATGCTCAAAGCGTCACAGCAAGCGTTGAGCGCAGAAGTACAAGCAAAGAGCCACGATGGTACTTTAAATTTAACCTTGTTGTACATTAGTCGATAAATCGTTATCGCTGAAGATGAACGTTGTTCTAATTGTTAGAGTTCACAATTGTTAAGGAAAAGGAATCGCTTAGCAAGGAATAAAGACTAAAAAGAACGTTGTAATTTGAATTATATATATAAAATAAATTTACCTTGCCTTCGTCACCAGAAAAAATCATTCAGATTATAAGCGAGCGGATGCTGCTGGGCCGCGAACTTCGAAAGGGTCTCGGGGCACTGCGCCCACAGCGTCACCGGGCGCGCGCTCTTCGGGTGGCGATCACGAGGATGCACGGGAAGGAAAGAGGGAGATGTTGAAGCAGAGCCAATCATTCGCGTCGACTGATGATGGAAGTGTCAACGAAGGCGGACCTTCCAGTCCTACTGGTCGCGACGTTAGAGGGTCTCCAGAGCACGCGGACCCTGAGGATCACGATCCGACTGTCCCAGGATACGGTCTCGTCCGACGTGCGGTAGCCGAACTCCGAGAAACCCTGGGAAAAACGAACACCGCAATGGCGAACCTCTTGCACACGCCAAAAGCAGAACGCAAAATGACCAAACTGGAGTTATGTCAAATGGACTTTTTTACAACGACGCGGTACCCACCGCGGACGCGAAATCCACATCATCCATATTCCTAAATGATGAAGCAGGCTAAGTAAATGGTCGTATGATCTGTAACTGTGGTTATACCTATACATCGTTAACTTCAGGAGTATCGCCTATTTTTGCTACAGCTGATTTTTTTTCTCGTCCAGTGTATGTTTTACTTCTAAATTCGGGCATGCAGTTAGCTCAACGAGTAAAGAAGCAGCTTCTGCAGCAGTTTGATTATCGAGTGGAGCACGCGGAGGACATGCTTCTACAAGACAAGATCCAGTTGCAAACGAACGCCTGGAGGCTAGGCAACGATCTCGATGTTCAGCCAATAACTGATCGTAGATGATGATCGAAATTGTAGGACCATGATATTTGGAACTGGGAATCCTTCGCAGAGAGGCAGTAAAGATAGGAGAACTACGCAGATGATGAAGAAGTCATGAAAAAATGAACCAGGGCCAAGATGATTCCGTAACGCCAAGAAGATAACATATTTATGTATATGTAATGCATGATATTCGAAGACGTGGATCATGAAGAAGTAAGGACTTTTGAAGATAAGAAATCGCCAGCAGAGCTTCTTTTACAAACAACTCTTTGCGAGCTTGATGAAGTACATCTTTAGCACATATGGTCATCGAGGAAATATCCCCATTTCCATCTATAACTCTCCACAATATTCCTAAAACGTCGTTGTGTGTATACTAGTCTTGGAAGATCGTCCGATATCGGGCGACGTTCGTTGTGAGACGTCAGAATTCCTGTAAAAATGAAACACAGATGAAGTAGATGAAACGTTCCATGCTCTTTTCAAAATTGATGAAATCACTATGTTGTAGCAGATCTTCTTGGTAGCATCTATGATTGGTGTTTTTTTTTGTTCTTTTCGTTGATTAATTTCGAGGGTAAACAACAAGTCTTCTTCTTAGGCGTGTGTCCCTCGTTGTTGAGCAACGAACACGACAGAAAAATAATGCACGCATGTGAGAAGTCCGAAGTAAACGAGGAATTAAATAAGATAGACTCAATGACAATGAATCCGATCATTTTAGTACAGGGGCCTTCGTCGTCTTCAGGTTCAGCTGGAGCGTCCATTTTTGGCCAACGCAGTTCGGGCGCAAACCACGCTGAAAGAGCGCTGTGTTGCCTTTATGGCGCCAACTGAGTACATGGACACTGAAAAATTCTGATTCATCGTTTGAATTCAATCTTCTTCTGAATAAATTTATTTCAAAAGGAGATTTGATTTTGATATTGTTATCGGTATCCTATCGGTCCATAAAAAAAAGGATTACGGTATCGGTTTCACTCGGAAACCGAATGATCCGGCTAATGAGAAATTGCAGGCCACTCCCTCCAGTACCGGTATTGCGCCCCTCCTCGTCTAGCTCAAGAAATCTTGCACCTACTAATTCGTTTGTTCTTTTTTTGGGGCTTTTGGTTTTGCTGCTACTTATCTAGAACAAGTGTGGAAGGCTCAACTCTGCTTTACTTACAAATTTCTAGGATGATTTATGCTTATGGACCACTTGTTGGGATACTTATGGAAAAGACGTGGATGCTCGACATTGTTTTCCAAATTTTCAGTAAATTATGGCTTGAGCAGCAGATGCTGTGCTATGGGACCTTGTTCCGTCATGAAAGACTGCAGATCGTCGATTCTCATTCATCGTGAAAATAACACATTGAAACACATGAGTCGCGTACTCACTAGGGAAGTAAGATATTCAATTCGAATCCTGAATTGCTCAAAGTTGCACTAACAACAACTGAATTTGTCGTTTTCCTCCAGTGATCAAAACTGAACCGCATCTCGGTTCTTCGGACCACTGATAATGAAAATGTTGGGTTTCTCTCACCGTTGCACAAGCGTGCAAGTACGTCGTCTGCTTTACCACGGTCTTCATGTTCCTTCCGGCTGGCCGCGACGTGGTAGCAACGAGGTACTTCGTAATGCCTGGAGATGAGGGCATTTTCCGATTCCGGATTATGTTCGACGATAGCTCAAAGCTCGGCTACCACTTCATGATGCAGCTATGGGGAATCAACTGGATCACCATCTCCGTGTTTAAGATTATTGCAGTGATGCAGTATGAAGTCGCAGCAGCGGCGGGCACCGCACGTCGCAGTGTCAGTTATGGTGTCTAAATAGGTGCTCGCGGTCGCGGTGTCGTTAATACTGACATTGTTGTCATCGCTGAAGATTCATAAAGCCAAACGTTGGACTTAGATTCACCACTCCAAAAGATTTCATTCTCACCTCATCTAGGTCGATCATTATCGTAAGAGTTCTCTTCTCATCCTCTGAAGGTTCTAATTTGGCGGTAGGCACAAAAGCCTAAGCCCTGTGAAGGGCAACCCGAAGCGCAAGGCAGGTACCATGAAAGCGAGCGGCGTTCGTACACGACGTCATCATCGTCGCGAAACTGCTAATGGACTTCATGAAATTTCCAGCCGCTGGCGCTGACCTGACGGGCTGTCTTGTGCTCTTCGCCTTGGAGTTGCTGGCGATGACTAAACTCTGCTTCTTTTAGATCATCAGCACGCATTCTCATATTAAGAAGATGAGGATGATGAACATGAGGCAACCATCAACAGTTACAGTACGGGAGGAAGTACCAATAGAATAGCAAAGATGATGACACGCACTCATATTCAATTATGTTGAAGATTTTGATTCTAATTCTTGTAGTTAATCATCAAGAGCAAGACAACATTCATTATACTACTTGACCCGGATCTGTCGATGCAATACAGACATATAAATGACAAGGTTAGACACGACGCGCGCAATCAATCAATGCTCTTCACTGCGAAGTTTTGTGAGCGGATGACACGAAAACGCATCTGGGTATCTATTTTTGTTTGTCGACAGCACATTCAGTGATTTGCATTGACATACATTCATCAAACACATTTACATCGTACGCAGGCAATTCAATAAGTTCGAACCGAAATCTCTATCGTAGCCAAATTAAGCAATATAGTTCCGATAAGGATAACAAGAACAAGCCGACCCATGTCTGTTCCAGAGCATTCGAGATAACCATAGTCTTGTCTCCTGGTCGTGCTCTTCAACTGTTCTGCCTTCTCATGTTCCCTGTTCTTGTTCTTCTCTATGATTCTGATTCACTTCGCTTTCTCCCTTGAAATTAAGAAAATGAGAAATGTCCACGATGTTAATGTTAGTGTGATTCTCGTTCTTTAATCTACTTTTTCTCATTCAACAGTGCATTCCGGAACGATCTCAAACTGAGCGAAAAGGTGGCAGACGACTGTCTTCTGTCACAGATCTCATAGAACCTCTCACATTAACACTTTTCTCATGTTTTTTTGGGGATCGCTCAAAACGTTTCAATACCGGCCTTTCCCTTGTTACAATGATAATTTGTTCCCCTCAATACGGTTGCAAAATTGTTGCCATTTTAATCTTGCTTGGCTTATAACTCAACAAAATCCTCTTTTTGTAGAAGTAGGACGATAACTTAAATCGCTTCAAGTTCAAAAGCACGTCCCTCTTATAGTTGATATCGTCTTGAGTTGATGAACATGAAGACAGTCCTCGAGGCATCTACGTGTGAGTAGTAAGCAACGAACAAGAATGGCTCCAGGACAAGGACTCGCCAAACCCGATAAAGGCGACTCTACCATGAAGAATGAGAATGAGAGTGTCGTAGGCTTTTGCAAAGACAGGAGCCAGGGCATATGGAACTTCGCCTGTGGTTCGATTGAGCTCGTCGATGCCGATGCTGACGGCCTCGGATTTCGGTGGGCGAAGAACGGTGCCCTGCGTTCGTTTCTGCAGAGGTGCTTTTTGGTGCGGCGCAACCTGGTAAATCTCAAGAAGATATATCTACGACTATTTCATCGAGCGCGGTCACTGGAGCGGGAGCTCACTTGTCTCGCCACGTTTTTCTACGGAGACGTGGTGTCGTCGACGGTAATTCTCGAAAAGAAAGCACAACTTGAGGAGACCGCTTGCGAGACGAGGCCACGCTGCAGCTTGTCCCCTGATCATAACGCCAATATTAGCAAAGAAAGCGACTCTGTTAGTGCTGCCACGTCATCGACCATCGCATCGTCTAGAGCGTCCACGAGCACGACATCCTCGCCAGATGCACTGGTTGTCGAAGATGACTTGGAAAAAACGTTTTGCGGTTCAACGCAGCGAAACAATCCAGCAACCTCTGAGGATAACAACAGGTTCACCTATGGTTCCGAGGAGTCCGATCTTCTTTCTACACATGATGATGATGATGATGATGATGATGATGATGATGATCATGGAGCTGGGGTTTCCTTCGTCCATTCTGTCCGGTATCGGAAAATCGCTGAAGCCTTCCAGGAAGTGCGGGGTGCAACTCGGGCACTGGCACTCTTTCGAGAAGTGACGAAAAGCCTCTGCTGTATTCCGAGGAGTCCTTGGGAGGATGAAGGTGAAGCACTGACACGGAACTTTGCTCGTTTAAGGGCATCACTCAAAGCAATATCCCGAGAACTAGGGATCGACGAACACGAAGATGATAGTCCTGTAGGTATAGCACACAATACACTTTCGTATGCTGATGCCCCCGAAGAAGAAGATGAGCATCGTGGTCTCCTTTCTCAGGAATCGAGTCAGAACTTATCGGGAACTCCTCCTCAAACCAGAAATAGAATAGGTAGAGAAAACGGCTTCCGCACGTGGACGAGCACATCAACAGATGACCAGCGAGAAGCATTGCGCCACCAGCTTGTCACGAAACGTCGTGAATGCCTTGTTGGAGTGGCAGGAGGTGCGCCGAAATACATTGATGAGACCTCCAAGGTAGCATTTGGTGCAAGCTTCTTTCAATGGAATTGCGACATATGTGACCAGAGCGAGAAAACGATGAACAATTTGGCTGCCTCTATCCTTGCTGCTGAAGATCACCCATTGCATCAGGAGTTAACGGAGGTGAGGAAGACAAGAAGAGAACAAGAGCAAGAAGCAGAAGATGACGGCATTGAAGATATCAGATCTACTGGAATGACGAGTAGAGACAAAGGCGCGAGCAGCACTATAGGTGTACTACAAGACCTAGCGTTGCTCCAAAAATCGCTGATTGCAAGAGGCGCTTACAAGGCCTGGCGCATACGGGAATTGCTAGCGTTGCAGAGCGAGGAGGCATTCGACGTCGCTGATGAGATCGCGCGGGTACAAAGTTCTGCGCGACGGAGAGCAGAGGTTGTCGCAGCGCGATTGATGATTTTAAATGGCAGTTCAACAGATTCTGATTCCTCTGTGCGGCAGAACTCAGCATTAGCAGCGCTTTCTTCCCGACAGCTTCTTAGAATCGAGGCTGCCTGCGCGAGGCAGCAAAGTTACTTGCGGGGGCTCAGGCTGACATACGACACTTTGTGTGAGCGCTTTGCAGCCACTAACTTCTCCAGTGCGCGACTTTACAGTGGTGGCGATGAGGGTGACGGTGAAAACAGCCTATTTCTAGCAGGCGCCGACAGGGTGTTGGATTTTCTCTCAGACAAAGCGAAATTCATTTCACGTTTCAAGCGCGAGATGCTCACCGGCGATCCGAAGCTCTACCGAGGTTTAGGCCTGGATCACTTCCTGGACACAAGGTCTGGACAGTGTGTAGAAAAATGTGACAATGCACTGGAAGATATCGCAGCTCCTCGCGCAGTATCAACTGAAGCAAAGACCGCAGATCCCTGCAGTATCAAGGAAGAAGCAGTGGAGAAGCCCTTTCGAAACTGGTGTTTGCAGTGCAACAGAGGCTTTCCAGATTTTCTACTCGTGAGGCACAAGTTGTGCGTCTGGTGCGAGCAGCGCATGAGGGAAGAAAGGCCTACGGCATGCCCTTTCTGCTGTATTCATGAGTGGTATACCAAGGAGCAAGAAGAATCGCGAATACTGAAGAACCGCATGAAAAAAGAAAAGCGACGCTTGGTCCTGCTGGCCGCTTGTGCTGTCAAGACTGAAGCCGCGGTTGTGAACTCGTCGCCGAGAAGTGTGACCATGAAAAAAAGAGAACAACAGCAGCATGTTCATCACCATACCCAGCATTATGAAGCTAACCACAATAATGAGACCAGAAACGTTCTCTATCAGACTCAGAGCAGCCGTTCGACTTGTTGCAGCTCGGTTGATTCGAGTGGTGATAGGGAAGCACAGAATCCGAACGAAAAAGTGTTCTCTAAGCCTCATCTAGTACAGGAGCCTTCCGAAAAATGCATCTTGCTATTCTGTCCGCATCAAAAGAGGTGCGCCAAGTGCGACATTGACTTCGAGCATTGTGCCTTGTGCAATCTAGCACGCGGTGACGGCGAGGACGTGAGTCAGCTAGCTGCAAGTTTACGTCCCACACATCTTTTCCTCGATTTCGATCGCACCATAAGCAGCACGAAATGCGGCAGTGATCCTCTGCAGCGAGAGTACGTGGTGGATCCTGCACTACAAGAACTGTCTAATACTTTAGCAAGCAGCTCGAGCTCCAACTCGTCTGGTAGTGGTACTGGATCTGATCTTGTTCCACCTTGCCGTCTACTGGTGCTGACACGGAATTCTCACGAGAAGAATATTCGTGAATTCCTGCAACAGAAAAACTTTGCTTACTCAGACGTCATCGTGGCAGCAAAAGGCGCTCGGAAGTGCGAAGTAATGAAAGACATCATGACAGACCAAAATCAAGAAGGACGACGCAGCACTGCGCTCTTCGCTGACGACAGTGCTGCAGAGCATCTGTTTAACGACGACGCGATAACCAGAGTCCTTTTTGCGAGATAACAAAACCAATGCTTGTCCGATAGTATTCTTCAACTCGTTGTTTCAGCGACCATACTATAAACGCAGTTCTGTTTTCCCCATGTCTCGCTTTTCAGGTCTCAATAGTTTGATTTTGCCCTCCTTGCTGCTGTCATGAGGACAATGCCTCTCCTGGCGACGCAAGGAAGAGGGCTACCTATCATGTCAGAGTTTATTGTGCGGCTTACTAATATGTTTGAGTGCTTGTCATAGATACATAGGGGTTCAGTACTTGCAATGTCGGTTTTTGGATTCTGATCTTCGGTCTAGATTATTCACTTTCTGCACTGAAAATGCAATTCTCCCCACCTGATTTGGGATCTTGCCATCGACAATAAGAGTCTCTCAGACACGAGGACTCGAACTCGAAGGATTAACGCAAATTTTCATAGTGATCACGATCAGGATGAAGCAGCGTCGAGAAAGTGAGGGAGGCGTTAGTTTTCGTTTCGGTGAAAGATGATCAGACGAAGATTGTGCTGGAGAATGTTTTTTTGACGGAGATGAGAATGTGTTCAACTTCTTCATGTTTGTGACATTTTTTAAGGATGGCTCCGTGACATCGTTGACGAAGAAAAATGAAATGTATCTATCAGATTTATCAAGATATGGTCTCCGTTGAAGTTCTCGGGTCTCGTTCTTAGATTTCGCGGACAAGCGCAAGCCACTCGGCTTTTCACGATCTCGCTATGTTGATTGAAAAAGCAGCTGATTTGGTTCCTGCAGCTGCTGCCGGAAGTGAGGCAGCTGCGGAAGCGCGGCGTTCCGTGATTTTGTCGATTCTTCTCGAGTACTTGCGGAGCGAGGGTGAGCAGCGGCTCGGCCAGCTCCATCTGTTCTTTACGAAGAGTGAAGCCCGCGATAAGAGCGCACGTCTGGTGCAGTACTTTTGCAAGTTCCTTAGTGGCATGGTGCAGCTTCAATTTGAAAGGCGTGCCGATTACTTCGAAGACAGCAGGAACGCAGCAAAGAAGACTCGCCTCAACCTGTTTCATAGAAAGGTGAAAGATGTGCAGATCAGCATGTCCGACGCCCGGCGTACGCATCGCTGGGCTAAGGAATTCGTCGTCCTCGCCAAGGTCAAGGCCATACGCGCTGCCGCCAGACACGACACTATCGAGCACTTCAACCTCATATCCAAGCTGATTATGAGGAAGTGGAGTTCTGATCCCTAGAGGTAGTTGAAGTTGTGGCCTTACTTCATGCACGCCGACGCAGCTACAAGAGAATGCACGATCATGAATCCAAGCTGTGTGCGAATTTAAGAATGAACTGATGTATGTTTTTTCATCCGTATGATCATGCTTGTCTAATGTTTTGTTGATGTCTTGTTTTCATATTATTTCTGGCTTGGTGGCTAGCGTGCGATCATTACGCGTGGCTGTGCAAAGTTCGGCTGTTTGACCGAGAGTACAAGCCCGTAATGCAGTACAACATGCGATTTAACGTGGCGGCGAATGCGTTTCAAACAGTGTACCAGGCCCTGCTAGTGGTCCGGCATTCACGACGTATCTGGACACTGTCGCAAAAGCTGAAAGAGTTGCAGCAAAAACGCCTAAAGTTGGAGGACGGCAGTCCCGTTCCCGATGCAATCGACGATAATGAGGAAGATAAGCCATCCCGCATGCTTGGCGACCGGAAGAGTAGCCTATCCACGAGTAGTGCAGTAAAAAAACCGAAGTCATCTCCCTCGACCACGAATGCACCGACTGGTACCACCGAACCAAGCGCCGGAGCCGCGCACGCTTCTCCTTCAATACAGCAGACATCCAATCCGCTATCTTCAATTCTCAACGAGCAGCGCAGCGTTGCTTCAGGTGCAGTCGGGTCCACGCCAACCGCAGGTAGCAAGGGGCCTGCTCCGCTCACAGCAGCGGCTCTCAGATTGCACGACTCTTATCTTCAACAGGGTTCCAGCGGCAGCCTGCCAGTCCCTCCCGAGAGCAATCTGGGTGGTCCGGAGAGTGCCGCGCCATCACTCGTATCCGAGATGGATGGTGGGGTCAACAATCTACCAACTGTAACTCCTACGGGCAGGAGTCTAGGTGGAGGAATGATCGCACCCCTCACGATTAGTACGAGCTTCGCGTCAATGAGGGGGCGCGATAACTATCGCACGCGTGTACGACGAAGATACACAGCAGGTCCGACTGAGGCAGCTGAAGCCATGACGCGCGCACTTTCAGGAGACGTCGGAGCCGATGCCGATAACATTAGTGCACGGTGTAAGTCGGCAAGCGCAGCATCAACCGACAACGTTATGAGGACTCTCGCAGCAAATCGGAGCAGGTAATATCTTCGATGAATACGGGAAGATAGAGTGGATCGTAGTCTTTGTCTACTGTTGTCATAGTTGTAGTTCACTACTTGTTCTTCTCCTAATAATCATCTTCACTACCTTTCTTGTTCTTGTAGTCCTAGCCCTAGGTGATCGCAGCAGATCTTCATCAAGATAGAGGAGAGCACCGCGATAATCTCATTTGAGTGCCCCAGCAACAAGCTAGACTAGCGGGTAGAAGTCGCCAGGGAAATCCTAGGCATATCGCCGAGTAGATTCACGCCATCACGTGCCCAGGCGTTATCTATCCAATTGGAATTGCATCGCAGGTCTTCTATGCCATCTCCTTCGCATAGTGTGGCCAGTCTGCTCTCTGCGTATAAAACCGCGGGGCGTGATCGTTTCTCGCGTCGATCCTCTGAGGCACGAACCCGAGCGAATAATCGAGCTGAACGCGTGGAGGTGGAAGACGTAGACGTGTTGATCAGCTCTACGCCTGCTCTCAATACTCTTGTGGCGAGAACGGCGCTAGATCGCACCGAGGAGGACGAAGTCATAAAACAGCTAGCCTTTCATCGATGGAAGAGGCGCGAGGCGCTAGCCCTCACAGCCAAAGGCATCTTGCAAATCGTCCAAGCACTGCATAACGGATCGATCTACGAAATTCATGACGCACCAATCGGCGTTCTTGGAATCATCAGCAGCATGATAGACATCCGCAATCTTTGGCCGGCGAAGCAAGCCATTTAGTACCCAAGTATCGAACCTGAACAAGAAAAGAAATTGATGAAATAGATATAGTTCTTCTTCTGTCCTCGCTTTAGAGGTACTTAGAAGATGGAAAGTCGTGCCGTGTGCGCATGAGAGTCGGTTAGAATCCTCCGAAACCATGATGTCCTTCGATACCCCTGCCCGAGTTTGTGTAGATCCTGTTGATCAGACGTTCTGTGCTTCGTCGTAAACGAGTTTTTGGCCTTACCTGATGAAGGCCTTTTTGCAGCTTTACCTCCACATCGTGAGTGCCGCATTCGCTCAAACCGACCGGCACTGCTATATTACGTCTCTGAGCATCATGAGTAGCCTACCTACGCACTGAGTTCACTTTCCGCTCAGAAGCGCTCGCTCCAAGCTCTTCGCGTCTCCACTTGTTCTTCTATTTTCCAACCAGCCAGGAGCAGGACAGAATCTTGTATGTAATGATAATATACATGGCACCAATATAGAAGAATCAATGTGGTCACAACGCGAAGAACGAAAATATTTAAATATCTTCTACAACGAGGACTAGTTGTCGCTACATCGATGTAGTTGAGGTTAAGAGGGCCAGCGCAGCTTCTAGACATTTTTTTCAATATTCAGCATGAAAAAATAATTCATTTAGAGCGCCCGAGTGCGAGAGAGCTATCTGTACTAGCGCCCTTGTTCTGGTGTGGATAAAGAAGTGGCGCTTATCAGTGAGTCCTTGATCGCTTACACAGATCCGATTCGATGAGATCGCAAAAGGAGGGATCGTCAACAACTTGCTTCTGTTATTAAGATGATTCATCATGTTTCTGTCAAGAGAGCTGTAGCTGTTGTTCAGACCTGCTGACAGAGGGGAGAGAACAGAGATGCTAGCGATGAGATATTTGATTTTGTAACGCAGGAGTTGTTCTGGATTAACTGATTTTTGATTCTTTCATATACTATGCGGCCATCTCCGAGAGCTTTCCTAACTTTTGATGTCAGATGGCCATGACCGCGACACAGATGGTAATGCGGCTTACGAATGCATATGATCTTCAGGATAAGCATCTGCTTCATGATTTACTTTCCCTATGCCCCATGCCCATGACCTGTTGACTTTTCACTTTCGCTTTCGACACGTGTTCTTCTTATAATTCCTTACTTGATGCCTTATTTATGTAGCAGCATAGACAGGCATAAGCGTAGGTGGGTCTATCATGCATCGCATAAAGAGGACTAATTCTTCAGACAAATTTTTCTACATGATTCCTTCATCGATTGAGTACTAGAATTTAGAATCTTCACAGCTTCAACTTCAACAGGTATGAGGAGTAGACAAACTGAAACTTCTGGATCTGGATCGAGCTTTGAAAAACCAGCACAGAGTAAGAAGCGTTTCTTTTCTACCGCATAAATTTCAATAATCGTTGTCGTAGTTTCTTATTTGCATCAATGTACCAGAGACAAGGTAAGGAGCTGGGTCCCGACAGCATGCGGTCCCTACCCGGGATCTCACAAAGTGCTGCGTCGATAATTTCCGACAGATCGGTCGTCCCTGTCATTAGCAACGCGTCGTCTTCTTCAGCTTTAGCGGGGATCGCGAACGACATTGCAACACGGGCCGTCCAGGGAGGAGCACGCGGCGCAGGCTACGCGAGTGCGCAGTACAGCCTGATGCAAGGTCGCAATACGCCCAATAACATGCTGCAAAATAGACTTCCGTCTGCCGGATCAACGGCACAGTCTGCCTTTCTCGATCTTGGAGGACAACTTGGAGGTCATTTGAGCGCAAACCAAGCCCGCTTATTCCCTGCGGGAGACGCAGAGCACGTAGACGTCAACGACCTGATCGGCCGATCGTATGAGCTTCAAGTGGATCTCAGAGATGTGCGTCAAGTGGATGACGCGAACGACGATCCTGTGGATGTGGGTGGTTTGGTAGGCGAAACCAGTAAGGATACCACGGAACTGCCACTAGAAGATGCCGGCTTTTTGCAACAAGGTGCGACATCGCTTTTCTCTGGGCGTGGTTTATTTGCTCCTACTGGAGGTAAAGGTCGATATATTCAAGTAAACGGGAGTCCCACTAAACCACCGTCTGCGCTTTCCGCTTCCGCAACGTCATCCGGCGAGATCATGAGGCCGCAAGCCCAAGGGCTCGATCTGCAACAAGCACTGAATGCCTTAGCATTCCGAACCGGTGCAGATTATTATCCTGACAGTGACCACACGGACGTAGATCCCCTTACGGCTGCTGGTGATCCTCTTTTGTTGACACCTGAAGACGGGGACGCTTTGAAACAGCGCTTAATAACGGAGACTATGGAACGAGCGCGTCACATTGACGTTTTCGGGGACCGAATGAACAAAAGTTTCCTGAATCTTGAAGACGACCGAACCATGCTTAGAGAGGTTGCGGCTGTGAATGCACGCATTCAGAAAAATTTACAAGGTAAAAGGCGACTCAAAACGAAGGATCCACTGCCAGGCAAGAAGAAAAGGGAAAGCCTCATCGATGCTGAAAGCAGCTATATCAAGCCACGGCACTATGCGGGAACAGCGGAGGACGACGCGACTGAGAGTCGGGACGCTGCTGTGAACTCATTGGCCTCTACAAAGATGAGTGGAAGTATGTCATCGGGTAAACGAGTGTCTACAGGCTTTGGCAGCAACACGACCAGAACCGGCAATACGAGAAAACCGACACCAGCAGAAGTTCTCAAGGCAAGAGAAGACAAGAAGAAGAACGGTCTCGGCGGTTCCTTTGTCGGAAAAAATAAGAGAACATCCGCGATGGTCGCTGGCTCTCTCGCTGGAAACCCTGAGCAGGGATTCCACTATTTCAACAAAGCTATCGAAGCAGAGCACCGCTTTAAGCAGTTCATGCTACGACTGGAGCGCTACAAGGAAATCCGTGATCAGGATCTCGAGAAAGCGCGGCTTAGAAGAGACAAGAAATTGAAGTTGGAAATAGCAGAGGCCGAATTTTACAAAGCTAAGCTACTGGCTCAAGCGTGCGTACCACCGGAGTACCATAGTATGGATATCTATGACAGGTAAATCGCTCATCTTCCCTCCATTGAAAATTTGAAAACTCGTCTACTTCTTACGTCTATTCTTGGCTGTGATGAATATCGCCTGTCCTTTCGGGTACATGTTTTTCTCTTATCGTTACTTAGCAGGGAAAGAGCAATTATATGCTCAGACCACCGATGACGAAGACACGTATGAGTTATCACTCCATTATTTTACCACGACTCAGATGGTACAAGTTGCATGCGCCGCGCAGAAAAGAGTGGCTTCTTCACGCACAACAGGAGGCAGCAAGGCAGCAGGAGGAGTGGCATGCGAAGCAAATGACTCCGGAGCACTTGATTTCTGGCGAGCACAAGCTAAACCTGCAAATCAGACTCGACAGTACTATTTCTGACAAATGAATCAACATAATTTTCATATTAGTTAAGATTTTAATGGTATTCGTATTTACAACTCATGAAAGAACCCGCAATTTCTAGGTATGTATGTGTTCTGGATATTTTGTTTAGTCTCCAAGATAGTCCGTGTAAGACTATGTGAGACTCCTGCCATGCCATTTACAACTTATTGGTGCTACTAACTGTTCGAGAAAATGATCGGTTCTGCATTCGAACTTTCTTGCACAGCAACACCCTCTCAATCAGATTTTTGCCGTTAGATAGGACGGGTACAGGTATCGTGTCATGTCATTTAGATGAAACGGACACTTTTGCTCCTTACTTGAAGATGATACTTTTTATGTTCAACATCGAATCTAATCCGTCTATTTCTTCCTCCTGCTTATTATTTTATACTCAAACCAAACATAATTCTCAGCTGAGGATGCAGAGGAGCGTTGGGAGGATTTCATTAAAAGTCAGGAAGTCTGGATGCAGCAGAAGCGTGATGGAATTAAGGAGGCCGAGGAGGCCCGTCGCGTCAAGGAGGACAAGGAAGCGATGAAATTCACTTTCAAGCCGACAACCAGAGCCAATCGGGGAAGTCTTTTCGAAGCCGCCATCAACGGTCAGTACTCATGCGCCGACCCGGCTACCCGCAAGACCCGTTTCGGCGCAGCTGATACCGCGCTCGTTCCAAAGGTGGATGACCAGGATCTAATCGCTGACTACGCTGCCGAACACGCGATTGCACTGAACTTCAAAATACCACCGGCAGTAGCGACGATCTCCGCACAGGACCCATTCTTCAAGAAGATCGGCTTCGCGATCAAAAACTACGCTCGGGCAGTTCCGAAACTGGATGAAATTGATGAGGATCAGTAACGAAACACAAGAGACAACAATAAGGTCAGGAGCTGCAACAGCAAGATTTTATTCAAGATCATTCTAGCACGAATGGTTTAGCAGCCTATCAGGTTAGAGTCAACACAACCTTGCTACTCACAGACTCAAACACGGTGGGGTGTTATTTTCATATCATCCTAGATTAAGGCTCAACTTTCAGTGGTCATTGGGGTTGGTCACTGAGATCGAAGAGGCGACCCCTTGAGAGAACAGGCGAAAGCGAAGGGAAAAGGGAGAGCTAGAGCTTTGAAGGGGGTCGCTTCCGCTCAGAGTCAGTGGCCAATGAGTGCTGGCTTTAACCAGATGAAGGAGCTAGCCCTTGCGCTTCTCTGGTAATGACTTAACTTCAAACCAATTTCTTTCTAAAAAATCTAAACGCCTCATGATGATAAAGATTTCCACAGATAAAGACATCGTTACAATATTCAAACGTCGCAACTGCAACAAGAACAACCGTATGCATGAGTCAGAGATTCCGGCTCAGAAAATAATTCAGGTGTCGTAACTCTTAATCTTATGTTAGTGGAATGGTGTACAAAAATTTGGGATCATAAGACGGTCAATCGCCTGCGATGCGCCCTAGGACATGCATCCGTGTAGATACGAAACTGTTTTTACCTGAACATGTGCATGTGGATGTTGTGGATCACTCCTTTGACTTTTCTTCGGAAGGCGCAGAGTGCTCTGTCCAATATCTGTCATCTATCTGCTAGGACTAGTCTCCGCACAACGAGAGAAATCGCGGCGCGCTTCCATCCTGAGTATGGAGGTGAGTGTGTCGTCTAGTGAGAGATCCGATTCAATTTTTGAGTCTACTTATTCCTCAGATCTGTATTTGAAGTACTCAGTCATCAACATCAAAAAAGGGAATCATGGCTGAGACATCTTTCCGGCTGTTGCCTGGAGTTGCGCCTTCTGCGCAAATATCAAACACTAGATCCACTTAGATGACTGGCTCTTTTTACTCTCCTAATGAAGAAGGAGTGTAAGTGAAAAGCGTGTGTCGTGGAGTCTGAATTCGTCGTGTTTTTTTCAGAGTGGCGTAGAAGTTGGAGGGTTGACGTCTGTCATCAGAATTCATCGTATTTTTAGACAAAGAAACGTGAAACATCAGAGGAAGAGGACTAGAAAACCGATGCCGTGGGGATTGAAATGTCCAAGACTTCTTCGAAATCGGGTCGTGGACCGCATGATAGCCACCCTCCACCTGGACGAGGTACTCCTGCAGGGACGGGCACAAACGCGACAGAGCAACAAGGGGACCCGCGAACACGCTTCACGACACCTGCTGCATCCCCGGAGCAGCACGAAACCCCGTATCCACCTGTCCTGAGCGCAGATGAAATCACCGCAAACGGTGGCGAGGGTGGGATATCTTCTTCGCCGTCGACCTTGGCTGTCGACCAGCAAGGCAGAAGCATCGCGCTGCAAGTCGCGAAAGCGTACACAACAGCTACGGGAGGAACACTTGGATCGTCAGCCCAGGGGCAAGGCCCGCTTCTTCCACCCGGCCGTGTGCGGACTCTCGGTGGCGCAGTAAACGGGGCTCCGGCACCAGGAGTAGGCCCGCAGCTTTCCGACCGGCAAGTGCGCGCCGTTCATCTGGTGACGGGGCCGCAGGGAGGCCTGGACTTCAGAAGCTCCACCGAAGTGCCACTGAATAGAAAGAAGCCAAACGGCACTTCTTTTTTCACAAGTGCGCCGTCGTCCACGGCGGCGGTGGGTGGTAGCGCTGTTGTCGTAGGCGGAGATGGAAGTGCGAGCGCAACTCCTGCTGCAAATGGAGGCACATCAGACGGCACTTCGCAAGTTCCACCAGGCACTACACGATCTGCGTCGCAGATTGGATTGTTCTCGGCAAGTACCGACGCGACTTCGACTTCCCCTCTTAAAACTCCGCAGCAACCCAACCAACAGATGTGTAGTAGAATGTACGACGCTCGGGCGACCGTGATGCCCCGAGGACCTGGGGGTGACGATGCAGCTGCCGACGACTATAGCACTCTCTTGCTGAACACTGGGGATGAGGACGGTTACGGTTTCGCTCGCAAAGATAACACGAATGCCCACTACGGGACACCCAATGTGCTGAGAGACGATGCTATTGGACATGAGTCAAATACAGCTACAGCACCTGTGATCGAAGTCCACCACGTGAGCTATCACAAAAGTACGAAGTTTCCGGAACAAGATATCCAGGGACACACGCAAGAACAGTTGAACACAGCTCCACGCGCAAAAATGCTTCGACAAGGAACCGGCTTTATTAGGGATCCCGGACCAAGTGCAACACTATGGCCTTGCCGATTCTCTCCATAACCGTCCCTGACCACCTTTGACTTTGTCCCTCACTCATTGATTTTGATGTGATTTAGGTATTGAAGAAAAATAAGATTTTTTAAGTTTAGCAGTCTTATAAACATTTGGCACTAGACAGCTGCACTGCGCTTCAATTTCTTTTTACTTCGTAAGGATGATATATTTTCTTTACAATTTGCAACATATCCTGTTCGTCTACTTCGACTGCGAGTTCCTCCTTTTCATGCCAAGTCCCGCACGTACACGCACAGGGGCTGAGTGGCCTCGTGGCGAGTAGGCTGTCGGTCACGACGATGACAATGCGACGATCTGTTTTTAAGAACATGAAAAGATCTATACACAAACTGTCAAGACTTGGGCCAGCTGTCAGTTCTGGAGGCTTCTTCGCGACGATTGGGAAGAAGCTTTCGCTGGTCGATGGCGGAGCAGACGATGACTCAGACGGTGTCGGCATTTTTTCGTGGATGGCACAGCAAATTTCGGCACTGCCAATCATCAACTTCTACTCCGATACCAACAAGTAAAGGAATTGTTGATATGGTAGAACAACGAAGGTGCTCGTCATAGCCAATTTAGGAGCGTTTCTTGTGCTGTCGTCGTCATTCATTCACTCCATCTGGGGGCCGCGCATCCTACACGCGGCGCACTTGGGACGCCAAGTGTAATGAATCCACATTCCACCAATCCACTCCATCAATTTTATTCCCCACCCTCCTCTCCCTTTTTGTCCTTCATTCACCCTAGCTCACCGTTGTTGTGCTCGTCTCCGCCGGCTACATCGTCTCTCACATCAATCAACTCCACACGTTCGCACGATGACGCAACTGCGTGTGGGCTAGACTGAGTGTCTGACTGCACTAGCAAAATAACGCTCCTAAGTCTTAACGTCAGCACCTTCATAATGCTCACCAATACTTGCGCCGACTTGTTATTGTTCTCCTTCTCACAATTTCTACTTTCAACGAATTTCTTTTCGTTTTCGCGTATTCTTGAATTTCTAGTTTTGTCCCTATTGTGTTGTAATCTTGTCCTTGTGATTTTCACCTTTTCCTTTACTGGTACCTTAATACGAAATGTTTATAATAACAAGAATTATAAATGAAGAAGGTTAAAACACGACTCACACAGCTATGGATGGGATTCGTCTTTCTCCAACACATCGCAGGACTATTGACCGAGTTTTGGTCTTTGTGGCTTTATGGACAGCGATTCGTGTGCCTTTCGCCGTGGCTTACCAGAGCCGCGTGCCGGGAATGCTATCCCTGTTCCCCAGCGGCTCGTTCACCGTCTTCATTATGGACGAAGGCCATCTGCATCAATCTCTCGTTGTGGCGAACAACTCGGCTCATGAAGATCCCCTTTTGCCATTCTTTCGCTTTTCTTCCAACAGATGCTGGCGCCCGGCTTCTGTGTAGAAAATACGTACTTTGCGAACCAGTAATCATCAGCATCTAATCTGCTCGAGTTTTTTTGCGATGTGCTTTTGCTGGCCTACATGCCCCTACGGTTCAACGTATCCGTAGGCGACCTAACAACTGGCAAGGAGATGGCAAGTCGTCAGCAAATAAGCGAATATCAGGTGCGCTCTCCGGCTCTCTACTTCGATCTATTGTTATGGCAGTTCTTGATTTTGTAACTTCACTAATTCTGTTTCTGAACCGACATGATTGACATCAGAAGATCACTGTCCTTGCTTTGATAACTTGTAAGTGGAAATTCACGTGGACGTGGTCGTTGCCTTCATTTCTCCAACGGAATTCTAATGACCTCAATCTTTCCTGGAGTGATCATTACTCTGGGAGCTTCTACTGCAACTGTACCGCTTGGTTTGCTCCTGCTGAAAATGCTCCGCTGTCACCGTCTTATCTGGCTCCCACAGTCTCATTTTGAGATGGAGTATAATACAGATGTGCAGCTAGTCCGGATGCTCCTGTGGATGTTTCTTCTGTTTCACATCGTAACCTGCATCTGGTTCCACATTTTGGACACCAGGGGAAAGGTACTGGTCATTATTTCTTCACGGCTGCTTCTGATCCTTTCTTGTGCGAAAGATCTTGAAAATTAATTCAGCCACTTTGTTCCTACAACGTGCAGCTAGCGTGCATATGTCTTTCATCTGGCGATCAACAAACGCAAACTCTTGTGGTGCATTTTCATATCTGCCCTCGTTTCCTACTATTTTGCTCTAGGTCGACTCAGTGATTCTTGCTGGAGGGCTCTATGGCGCGGAGAGCAGTGCCAACGACCTTAGTACACACTTTCGCCTCTATGTGTACTGCTTTCGTGAAAGTATCTATCTGCTCAATGGTGAGTCGCGTACTCATGCGATGGGGGAAGATAACATTGAGATTCTCTTCATGGGTTTGGTCGGTGCTTTTGGGGGTCCCTTTTTCGCAGTCGTGTACGCTCACATGACGATTTTCTTAGAGCGCGTGGGCAGTTTAGCAAATAAACACACTGAACAGATGGGCCTAATCAAAGCCGCAATGAAGTCTCTGCAGGTGCCGCCAGAATTGGAACAGAGGATCACCAAGTACCACACTTTCTTGGCCATTCACCACAATTTGCACGCGTACAACACGCTGATGCAAGGACTCTCGGTTTCCCTTTTTGTAGAGCTCAAAGCGTTCCTCTTTCGCAAGTTGTTCGAGAACGCGCCATTTTTCCGCGCAGCACCCATGGAGTTCGTGCACACACTGATTCTAGTGCTTGTCGAAGTGACTTTTTCGCCGGGTGACTTGATTGTGCGACAAGGCGACATCGGCGAGGAGATGTACTTTATCATTCGCGGAACCTGCGACGTCCTGAACGCTGAGTGGGACACCGTGAGATCCCTACGCGAAAATGACTATTTCGGGGAGATCGCCTTGCTTGCACAGACGCCACGTCTCTGCAGTGTGCGCGCCTCGACTTACTGCCTGCTCGCTGAAATTACACGCGAAAAATTCCTTCCCATTTTTTATGGCAACAGAAAAAAGAGGAAAACACATGCAATAGATGATCGCGATGATCGCTTGTCGAAGAACAACGAAGTCGAAGATGTCAGGCATCCCTGACTTAACACGAGTTGTGTTTTCTGTTTCGCATATCATTATTGTTGTAGAACTACAACCTGAACCTCCAGTCTTGCAGCACCATCTAAGGCTCGGATCAGTTCCACGAGCAGCGCGAGGCCATCATACAGAATCTACAGCGCTATATCACGGGAGAAGACATGTACGGCAGTGCAGACGACATTGGACGCAACATGGGTGCAAACCCTGGTGCAGGTGGCGGAAATCGGGGATTCGACCCCGAATACGGTGCAGCTGGTGTGGCGCAAATGGGACATCGAAAAAGCTGTCGCGATCTGCTAACTGGTTTGGTTGATATTGATTATGTTTATGGTGTTGTAAGCAAATAGCTTTGATGAAGGTAAAAAAGCACGGTTTGCTTCCATAGCAACATATGGGGGAGTTTTGTGCATAGTCTTAGTCACGAATCTACTAGATGTAGATCTTAAAAAGAGCATTCTACTCAAAAGATCATACGTCGGCTTTGTTCTAACACGAGCCGGATCAGGCACGGCCTGCATCAAACAGCCCGCGCGAAGCCAATCATATGGGTCCCGACCCGAATGGCTACATCCCAGACCACGCATTTACTGGTTGCAATAGCGTGAAAAATAGCAATAGCGCTTCACGGATTTCGAAACCACGAGTTTCATCCTTCGCGGGCGCTTTGGGTTCTTTCTACGGCAAGGCGACGCAGAGGGGAAATAGCAGGGCTACCGCTGCTCAGCCAGATTCCAATTTACTTTCAGCAACGCGCTCACCACACGGAAACCGGAAAACACGGGCTGCATCGGTATTGCCGAACGCATCTGAGGAAGAAATGAGTTCCCCTTCTATTGGCGGACCAGGAAACGCTTTAGCCCTCGCGAGTGGTGCCGCACCACAACCAGGGGGCGCTAGGGGACGCTTGATGTTATGGTATCTGGATCATCGTCTTTGAGTGTATCTGTTGTAGAACAAGAAAGAAGACATAAAAATAAATATATAACGCGATCAACATAAATATGGAAGATTGTTCGTTGCTGTTACCGGTATCTGCTAACATGCAACAAGCCACAGCCACAGCCACTTCTTCTAATAAATTGTGTTTAGCGTTAGCCAAGGCATTGCCATTCCTTTTTTTACTTCTCAGAATCTCATTTTTTGTTCTAATTTTTAGCACGCCACAGAGTCAAAGTGTTACAGGTCCTGTTCGATCAAGCAGCTCGCACATAGCAGGGGGAGCTGCAGCCGGTGCGAATCAAGGAGTACAGCCGACAAACTCGATTGTGTCTTCGCCGTCGCAGCATTCGGATGCTGGGTTCAACAGTGCTACTGGCAACAACGATGTATTGACGCACCGACTGACGTCTCTTTTCACTAGCCACGGCAAAATGGAAGGGCCGCGGGGGCTCGAGGCATCGGAGCTGAAGAAAGGAAAGATAAAGGGAGGGCAAGTCAGCCGCTCCGGGACCGGGGTAGATCCGCGAATGACGATGGCCTACCCATCACCGGCGCCGATGATTACTCCTTCAGTTGGTGGAGGAGGAAACGCAGCTTCTGCAGTGCCGGGATTGTTGCAGCCTTCAACGAGCGAGGTTGCCTCAGTGGTCCAGCGCCTTTCGTCTGCGACCGCAGGGTCTTCCGGCAAACAACATGCGCCGTCTGGCGTCTCTTTGAGCAACCCCCCAGACGCGATATTTGAGGAACAGGATGACTCCATGGTCCAACAAGCACCTTCGCACTCCTCAGGCGAACCAGAGGAGCAACCGCCGACAGTGCTGGAAATTGATGTGGGAGCAGGGGAGCAGCAGCAAAGTTATCTTTTTCAGCAAGAGTACGTCCTAGTCGGAGCCAGCGCGCTTAATCCAGAAGCGCCTGTGGTAAGAGTTTCCTCCGCTGACAGCGAACGCGATGAAGCCGGAAAACTGCCGAGTATGTCAGCAAGTCGCAATCTCCGTTGCTTCAAGACTGTTACAGCCGCGCAAGCTTCTTCGCTTAGCAGTGTCGAGAACACACGGAATTACCATCAACAGCTCGATTCGTCCTCTTCTTTTTCCGGTGCTGGTCCTGACGACGATCCAGTGCGCATGACCATGTGTTCACTACCTGAAAAAAGCGAGAGCAGCGTGGAGCTGAGCATGCATACCGAAACCCCGCACCATCCAATGACAAGTGGAAAATCTTCTAGCGAAAGGATCAGGCCTACTCTGATTGCGCGAGGAAACATTTTGCCGCAGTCCTCGGCATCAGCAGTGCCATTCGGTGGAGCACGCGGATCATCCAGAAGGGGTAAGTCAGAGATGCATTATCCGTCAACGTGCCTCGTCTCGCGCAAGTCCCTGTCTCATCATGCCATGAGAAGAAACTCGCTGGGCGTGTCTGATGAGGTGCCTCAACCACAAACTACTCTATTTTTGAAAATATAATCAAAAATAAGAACGCGCTGGCTTTCTTGTCGTCGAAAGAGATGGCTGTGATATAAAATGATGTTGGTTTGGTTAAGAAGTACTAGAGTCGTGAGCTCTTGACTACGACGTCGACGATTTAACAAACAACGAAGAACGTCTAATTATTGATATGGAAGGATAGCGAAGGTGTTCGCCATAGCTAGAAGTTGGGGCGTGTACTATTTAGGCTGGCATCTCTTCCCATCTCCCGCATTCATCTTCGTACTCATCCTTCCACGTACTCGGGGGCTGCGCATCCTACACGCAGTGCACGTGACTGGCCATCGCGTGCAGTATTCACTATTCTATTCGTATTCGTATTCTGTCTCTCTATTCGTACTCGTTCTTCGTACTCGTTCTTCGTATTCGTTCTTCGTATTCGTTCTTCGTATTCGTTCTTCGTATTCGTTCTTCGTATTCGTTCTTCGTATTCGTTCTTCGTATTCGTTCTTCGTATTCGTTCTTCGTATTCGTTCTTCGTATTCGTTCTTCGTATTCGTTCTTCGTATTCGTTCTTCGTATTCTACTCTCTACTCTATTCTACTCTATTCGAAATTCTTTCCCACCCTCCACTCCCTTACTATCCTTGTGACACCTCGCTCACTCTGGCATCATGTTCCCGCGCTTCACGCGTCCGGGCTTTTCTCTTCACGACTCATTTTTGCAATTTCGTTGGTTCATTCGAACTCGATGCCAGCCGTGGGCTAGTCTGTCACATGGACAGAGCTAGCAAAATAATACTCACCTACTGTTTGGCAGCACCTTCAAGGATGCGCCTCAACTATCCTAGAAGTATGCTAGACCTGGCTGTACTTGTCCTACTAGTGCTAACTCACCTGTAATTTTGCTGGGCAAAAATCTACAAGAACTCACATCAATTGATGCTGTTCATCAGGTACCACCGGACGAAGACGATATCGGAGCGCGAGTGCGCGAAACCTTGGTTGAAGTCGCCACGACAGCAGCTGCAAACTCAGAGGCAAAACCTTCCGCCTCGCGGCTTACGATGGCTCTGCAGGCAGGAATCGGGAATACACTGGCATCACCACCACCACTGCCTGCCAAGTCACCGAGTGGGAATGGTACTTCTACTTCCGTCGCATTGAAATATCCCTACCTTGGACACAACTTTCTCTGTTACTCTTCTTCTGAGTCATGGAAATTTGAGACCTTCCAATATAAACATCACCAGCTGCAGAGCGCGGAGTGCGTCAGTCTATCGCCAGTGCCATCGCGCGTGTTCGTCGACCTAGCACCACCGTTGTTCCGGGAATGCAGCGTACAGGAAATCTTGTTCATTTTGCTGCACCGTTCTCGTCCTTGAGCAATTTACAGGGTGAAAGCCGTCAAATTGCAGACTCGATCCGTCAGGTGCTTCGGGACGAATTGTGCAAACTTGTGGTTGACTATCGAAGAACACTAGAAGAAATGTTCGGTCATTTCATGGAAGACTTAGTCGATGAAATCCGCGAGACGATCCATGTCGAACTAAGGGAGGAATTTCTTGCGGCAGGTTATGACAGGTTCTAAGATCTTCTTCTTTTGATGCTGGTTCGGCGTTTATCTCTATGCATAAAGTGAGGGCGTGTCAAGCTGCAGCACGAGTTTAAATCCAACATTCGAGGATAGATAACAAACCCAGGGGGGTCACCGGCGCTGAAGATTGATAAGTACATCTCGAAACTTTCTTCCTTTGGTGCGTCGCTTAAATGTACTACGATCTCTTCCTTCTTCGTATTCTTTCCCTTCTTTGCGTTCACTTGCAAGTTCAACGGAATATGTCGACTACTTCCGCCGGCAGCAGTGATGTAGGTGCTAGTCCCGGAGTAGTTGACTTTCAAGGAGCGATTAGCTCGGCAGTGCCGCATCGTAGCCTAGAACGCTCGGAGACGGCGCAGGATGTCGACGATCCCTGGGACCAACCTCAGCTTGCGGGCTTAGCTAGCGGCGTTCGATGGGAGCCAGGCCTCGCGGAAAATATACCCGAGGAGTGATGGTAGGCAACTCATGCAGGTGCACTAGTGACGTGATCAGCGATGCAAAAATTATTCTTGTACATGTATACTATAAATATTAATATTATATGTAAGAAAAGTTTTCACCTTTATCCGTCGGCTTATCCCTTCAAACAAAAAATATATTATAAGAAAGGGAAGACGAATATTTTTAGTATAGGACGAGGCGTACAACTAGCCTACGCAGAGACGAAATTTTTCACTCGATTTGTTTTTTTGATTCAGGCCGTCGAGGTTTGAGTTCTTGAAAGTAGATCGTAAAGAGGTGGACGTTAGTATCTTATTCGTACCGGCAAAACTAACATTTTTCGATAAAAAGCATTTTCGCATATGGGGGATAGGCCTAAAGAACGTCAAATACTTTTATATTTCTTTTTTGGAGATGATGATGAATAATATTCAGATTTGGATTTTGACACGAGTACGAACGATTTGAACTTTTTGTGTAGATGTTTTTTCATTGGCCACAGAGCCAGAGGGCAGATCAAGACTATTTTTGAGACTCTTACGTCAATCATTTGCAATCGACTACGATATTGCTTTGCAGCTTCCAATTCCAAATCCATGCAGTTATAATTTCACTTTCACAGTGAAAAGATTTTTTTTGCGTACTTGTCTAAAATCAAGTAAGTAAGTGCTGAGTGAGTGTGCACGCACACAATAGAAAAAGTATTTCTGTCTAAAAAATGCAATTGCTACTTAACTGTTGTCTCCTCGTTTTCCTTCTTCTGTGTGCTCTTTTTCACTAGTTTCAATCCGCAGTGCCCATCTACTAGTACTAGCTATCGCCCCTGACAAGTAAGTCAGTCTAAAGTCTTCAAGTGTTTATTTCAAACGGGTTTTTGTTTGATGATATGGAGTCCACAAGCAAATCACTGTTTCAGTTTCTTCTCTGATCTGCTTCTTGCAAATTACTTATCTACTCAAAAGTAAGATGACACTAAAATGTACCACCAAGTCGAAACACGTGATAGCATGATCATTGGGGCAACTGAGGGCGCAGGCGTCAGCGTTTTCTCTCTCTTTGCGACGATCTTCGGCTTGGTGATCAGAAAAAAGACAATCTTGCAGGTCCAGGTGTCAGCTCGTCATCTTGGTATAAGCGGAGCTTTGTGTTTGCGTAGAGATATGTCTTGACAAACCACTAAGCAATAAGAACACAACTTTTAGTAGCCTATTGCGAATTGGATCAATTTCAATGGTTGCGGCTGTGACCAGCCGGTGTATGCTGTTTGTGAACACAACACTAGGACTGCACATCTACACCCTTAAGGTGATGCGTTCTCATATAATTCTCGGCCTGTTTCAGTTGTGCACATCGTGAAGGTTTCGCATGATTCTCATGCGGTTGCAAGGTTGTCAAATGTGTGGGCCTTCTTGCTCATGTGTAACAGCATAGGGATTCACATAGAACGCGCAGGCTTTCAGTGCTGTGATCATTGTCACCATAGGACTGCAATGATCTCCATCCCGTTTATGTTCTTGATGATCTTCGTACTCATGACGGTACTGGGGTCATCGTCTTCATCTTCTTACTTTAATCATTTGCGGAACAGGGGAGCTGGATCATATGCGTCAATAGATCACGCAAGTGATTTGCCATCCTGTGCGATAGCTGCAACAGTATTAGAGTGACTATGATAATCACTGACGTGCGACTGCGGCGCAGATTGACCCCCACGAAAGGACACTTGCCACCTGCCACCTTCTGCGAAAGTGTCCTCGTTAATCCTCGCTTTGTCCCGTACGGGCGGACCTAAGCAATCATTTAGCACGACTGCATCATCTGAAAGAAAAAATAGATTAGCATTAGCAACACAGGCCACGAAAATAGTAAAGATCTTCCCGTCTTCCACTTCCACTTACTTACTCACAACAAGTTGTAAAGTTTTCTGTATCTACACTAGTATCTACCGTCATCACAATTAGAGCCTCGCTCTACCTCTAGTGTTTTCGGCAGCTTCCACTTGAACTCGCCTGCCTTTCCCCGCAGAACACAGAATCATGCCGCAGCAGCGCGACGGCCAGTCGTACATGCAGGTGGTGGTACCACGCAACTGCAAACCAGGATCCACCTTCAACGTCAAGACACCCGATAAGCAATGGATGCAGGTATCGCAAAAGATTGCTACCCAAGAAGAACATAATGGCTGTAGAGGTCCTGTTTGAAAAGCAAACTGCAAGAACACAGTAAAACATTTAACGAACTTGCCATCAGGAGCTAGGTTTTATTGGAACAATTTCGATAAAGCATCAGATGATTCCCACAGACAACGAAAAAATCGGCCTTGTGCTTATGTTTATTCGCCATTTGTATCGAGCAGGTAACAGTCCCGCCAGGTGCAAGACCAAAGCAGAAACTGGTCATGGCTTACGAGCCACTAAACGGGAAAGCGGCATCCGGATCCGACTCTACTGCGGCAGCAGGTAAATCAGGCGCTACATCTTCCAATAGTACGACACCATCACAAACTCCGAAAAACAGGGGGGGTGCTCAATCATCGCAGCCGAGTACGCCAAGACCCGGCAGTGCGCGACGAAACAGCCAAGTGAAGCCGCCATCTGACGCTTTTCTCGAAGAACAACGGAAAGCCTATGAGGCTCTCCAAGACAAATTCATGAAGAAAGAGAAAGACAGCGTCGTTGTGGAAGTACCACCACAAGCAAAAGCTGGGGATTTGGTACTTCTAAAGAGCACAACTTACGTTCGTCTTATTACTCATAAAGAAGATGGTCAGATGAAAAGTCAACACGAGTTGTCTCGATTTTTCAATCTTATCCAACATTGCAATTAAGAGAACATCAAAACAAACTTGTGTTGGAAGATGTGCCCAAATGCAGACGATAGAATACAACTTAATCCTCCATTCACAATACATAGTACTGAATCCTCTCACGATGCTTTACGACAGGTCCAAATCCGGATCCAAGGGGGACAACTGTTGCAATTTGCAGTACCGGAAGGTCTAGATGAGAATCAGCGATTTGTAAATATGGCGTACGAATTCCATGTGAAGCCTGTCGCTGCACATTGACGCGAGTGTTTCAGCGCCCCCTGGCGACGACGTGATCATCAATCATGCTCACATACTTACAACTTACACATAAAAACTCTGATGTATGCTTCATATTGTACGCTCTTTTTGTTTTTTTGGATATGTTGACTTGGTGTATCTTATCTGTCATTTTGGATCGCAGAGGAAGAAAGAGTGGCTGGCACATAGACGCGGCAGATCCTCGTCTAAAAAAGATCAAGGTATTCAGCTTAAGCTACAATTATTTGACCACAATTGCGAAAATGAGTTTCTATTTGTTTACGGAAACACTAAATTCTGTATCCTTGAGACAGACACAGACGTTCTGTATTTAAGCATTTTGCGCTTATGTGGTTTTCTGTACTGAGATATCAGTGAGAGTTCATCTGCCTACACACTAATCAAGGACGCCGGTCTGTTTTCAATCGAGTAGTTTTGATGAGGTTTTGCTGATCTGTCATGATCTGGAGTCAGTCACGCTTTTGAAATCAATCTGTTTGCATCTGAGAAGTGCAAAACGAGGTGCTACCAATCATGTGCGAGTGTCCGTCCTTACACTACTTCTGTGCAAGAAAGAGAAACTTAAGCGCATGTTGTTATTTGAGATAGTCCATCTTTTTTTACTTTGCAATGATGGCTTACGCTGAGGAGCGCACCATGCCTAGCTAAGTACAACTTCTATGAAATGTCTTAGTTGTAGTGTCTTTCTTCCCATTCATTCTCTCTGTCATCCGACATTTGGTTCGCAGGTATCATGTTGAATGTAGAATCACAATCTACAATTGATGAAGATTGCGGTCTGTGAAGAGTCCTGTGATGGTAGGACACACACAGAAACCTATTTTTCATTGAGTATGTCTATGAGATACAATAGTAACTCAGCTCGTCGTGATCATTTATTCTGTCACATCCTTATGGAGGTACTACTGCTGGGACGATAGGATATGTGAAAGACTAGCGTCATTGATCCTGAAAAGACACAATGGCTTCTCCGTCAAACACAGTGCGTTTCTTGCCACAACAGCCGGCGGAGATTGCTTTTCCCGACATTTTGGTTAACGTGGGCAGGGGTCCGAATCTTCAAGGGCATGTTCGTGGCAGATATAAGCATCTCAGGCACACCTCGTCAAACAGCCTGAGCAAAGATTGCTTCTTCTGCTCGCATAACGGTCTTTACATTTATGCAGCAGGCGAAAACGAATACGCGATTGGGCCTAGGCTTGGAGGACAGTCTTATGTACTTCTTCTTTTACTTCAGTTTGCTTAAGTTGCTCAAGTCTATTTGTGCTCAGGGTCAGGATTGTCGTTTTTCAGAACATTTGGAACCAAATGACATACTGGCGTTTGGCCACCCTGGTCGTCGTGCTATCTAAATACAACAGGAGCATACCGACTCCTGTAAAACCAAAACATCTCCACCCTCTCACTTCTTTCACAAAAACTACACGTAACAGATTGCCAAGATATGTTCCGGAGATGTCCTTTTGGGCGAGATCCTGGTTTGGTCAGTGCGCGAACAGGAGTTCGTGAAGCATGACGACGTCGATATCTGGATCGATGGTGACCTAAGTCACCAACCTGCTCACGAGATCGAGGATTTTGCACCACAAGCTGTGCGGCTACTGAGCAAATGCGAGAACATAGCAGGCGGGTATCGCATTGTACCGAAAACATGTTGTGATAGACCAGTGTACGTTAGAACAACTGCTGAAGAGGTGAGTGCAGCCGTAGGGGGTAATGCTGGCGCAGCTACTCTAGAACAAACCGATGAATCTCAGGAATTGTATTTCGGTCGTGAACATCAACCAGTACCTCTGTACATTCTGTACATCGATGGGCGATGGGTTGTCACACCGAACGACACGATTACGATGCAATCAGGCTTCAGTTTCTTAGCTGAAAGCCGCTCTACGAGCGCTTATTTCCCCACCGAATGCGCATGGAAAGAAGGGCTTGTAGTGGAAGAGGTACGGCGATTCTTCTTCTTTCTTCCTCTCTTCACTTCGATGACTACTCTTTCTCTTTGTTTTATTCATCATGGTTTTTCAGCATCACGGACGCTCATCGTGTAGGTGTACAACTTTATGTCCTTAAATAGATCTTGTTCTTCTTGTTGTAAACCTAAACTCAAGAGCAACATTCAACTCATTCAGGTCGTGGAAGCTGGTGCCATAGTTGGAGATTTTGAGGCTGAGCCTTTCGACGAAAACACGTTAGTCGTCCGACAAGAGCAAGTAGTCCCATCAGCCCCGACATTGCTCGAGGAACCTTCACCAGCTGGTGAAGCAACTACTTCGACTGTTGGCAAAGCTAGGAGAAAGCCGACTGCAGATGGTTATCAGGAGCCCGCAGAAGAAGTGGAAGCCGTGGCAGCGGCTCCAGTAGAATCACCAGCAGAACCCGAAGCCGTCTCCGAAAACTACACCACTGAAAAGGAGCATCAAGAAGACTCTCCTGCTGAAGCTGCAGAAGAAGCTGAGGTCGCAGCTGACGACACTGCCGAAGCTGCAGCGGCTGCAGACGACGCTGAACAAAAGGAAGCTGGTGACGCGGAGGCCAAGGACGCAGAAGCTGGTGCAGAGACTGTTGAAGGCAACGAGGAAGACGCGAAAGCGGAGGACGGTGAAACGAAGTCACCGAAGCCTGAAGGCGAGGAAGAGGCAAAACCTGAAGGAGACGAGGCTGAGAAGACTGAAGAGAAGGAGCCCGCAGCTGATGACGAGACTAGAAAGGAGGAGCAGGGCGAAGCAGCAACCGAAGAAAAGCCTGATGGGGACGCTCACAAAGACAAAGAAGAAGGAAGGGAGGAAACTGCAGAGCAAGGAAGAACTTCCGACGAAGTAGAAGCAAAAGGAGATGCTGCAGAGGCCGACGAGGCAGTCGCGAATGCGGAGGAATCAAAGGAGGAGAAGGAAGAAGAACAAGCAGGTGAGAAAAAAGTAGAGGAGAATCCGATCGAAGGCGAGATAGCGGCTGCTCCGAGAGTTGAAGCTGTACCGGATGCACTTGCCGAAACAGCGCCGGCGATGACAGATACCGACTCTACTCTAGCAGGTGCGAATAGCACTTTTAGGACAAGTCAACAGCAAAATCAAACAACAGCCTCAGGAGAACAAGGATTCTTGGGAAGCTCAACAGTCTCTGCCTCGTCTAGGGGCGCGGACAATGTGCGTATAGTGTACTCGTGTCCTTCGTCTGCGACTTTTGTAGATCCTCTGTTTCCGCCGAGCAGTCGATCAATTAGCCCCTCCGCCGAGGACGTGCCAGACGATGTCTACTGGTATCGCGGTCATCATCTGTCGCCCTCTCTGCTGCGTCCGCAACTGTTCGACCATGTCCAGCAGCCTACGAACCTCCTACAGGGTAACACAGGCGATCTGTCCTTGCTCGGCACCTTGGGTTTGCTGACCGAGTTTCCAAACTACATCAAGGCTCGGCTCTTTCGCTTGCCGACCGATCCCGTTAGCGTCTTGAACGGCTCATACATCGCGGAACGGACGGGCAAGTATTTTGTGAATCTGTTTGACGTCGCTCAGCGTGACTGGACGACAATCGAGGTTGACGATTACATTCCGTGCCGCGCCCGACGGTGGTACAACCATCGCCCGAAGCCGCTCCTGAGCCAACCACAAGGCAACGAGCTTTGTGCGCTTTTGATCGAGAAAGCTCTAGCGAAAATGGCTGGCAGCTACGCAGCAGTGGCTAATATGCCAGTACCATACATCTTAACCCACCTGACCGGATGCGAGGAACAAGAAGTGTGGGACCTCAACGGCAGGGCGACCAAGAGCGTACAATATCCAACTTTTGACGAATTTCATTAGCTTTTAATAGATATCGTAATGCAGATTTATACATGCGTTCCAGTAACTTCTTGGGGAGGGGGGCCGCCAGCCCCGGGCCCTTTTTCTCGAGGGACTGCCGGGCGGGAAGGCCTCCAAGCGCCCACCTTCGCGGCCTCGCGGCCTCTTGCCTGCACCCTACAGAGCCAAAACCCCGGAGGCCGTTCAAGCACCGACGGCCGGGGGTGGGAGGCTTCCGAAAGCGGCAAAGGTGGCAAGGCTGGACCCCCTTGCCGTGTTGCATGTACCCGACAGACCCCCCGCGCCGTGTTACATGTACCCGGGCGATCTCCTGGGTTCGTGCTTCTCCCTGGGGGAGCGTCGTGGGACGTGGAAGGCCTCCGAGGGCCGCAGGTGGCAAGGCTCGGCCCCCTCGCCTTTGGTCTTCAAAGGGGCCAGGCTTCGCGACCGTGGCCGCCTTCGGCGGCCTTCTTTTCCCGGAGGCTGCCCCCCTGATAGGGTCCAACTCCAAGAGTCGGGACGCCTGTGAGGTACACGCGGAGAGCCGCCAGGGGACTCCGGCCCCCGGAAGTCCTTACATGTCACCACCGCCGAAAAAAGGGCGCGCGGACCCTCCCGCCGCTCCATCCACAGGGGGGGCCTCTCTCCCTGGTGCGTATGATAATAAGTATATAGAATCACGTCGTCTGTCCGTGTCCTCGTCGTCTGCCGACGTACTAAGTAGACGATTTGTCTTGTTGGTTGGTTTAGAATTCATGCTGAAGCTCATCCACCATGACAATCCCCAAAATTTGCAAACTACAGGTCGTATCCGTGCAGTATCGTAGACAGCATCCTCGAGATTTGCAGCGCTTGTTTACCCAAAGTTCCGGAGAGAGCATGTCCTACCGCGAGTTTTTCTCCTACCTTCGCGAAGCCGAGCACCGAAACTATGTAGTCGCCGCCGCCATCGCGCCACGACCAGGAAAACAGGTCGAGAAGCGTCGACCCGATGGTCTTGTCGAGGCTAGTCCCTATGGCGTGCTCGAAGCTCGAATTGTGTCCGCTGTTTCCGGTCCGTCAGCCGGCCAAAGCGTTTGTCTGATCAAGATGCGAAATCTATGGGGCCCGTCATGCCTGTGGAACGGGGCTTACTCCGCACTCGCGCCTGAGTGGCTGCACATCGAGAACCCGACACTGCACAATACACCGACAGCAGCGGACTCGTTTTGGATGGAGTACACAGACTTCCTTGCCGTATTCGGCAAAGTCTACGTTAGTCGAATGGGCATGGCAGCAGCACGCTACGGCCGACAACAGTCTTTCGGTAGCGATCAGTTCGAGCTAGTACTGGCACAGCTAGGACCAGAATCGTGAACATACTGATTAACACAAATAACACGATCATTTCGAGTGCGAATAAGGAGACGCAATAGAATGTCACTCCACGTGGCATGGTGCACAAAAAATCAAAAATACACACAGATACACGATAATAACTAAACATAATCACCTTGCGATATCATTAACATGCATAGCGGAAAAGCTCGTCAAGGTCAAGGTCATAAAGGGTGTTGAATTGAAAAATAAACCAAGAATTATCCATAGCAAACCAAGTCGCCTGGTGATCTCCTTGAAGTTGAAAGAGAATTGACAATCACAAACACATAGTACACAGAGACAAATTGTATTGTAGAGTCGGACTGAAATGATGATAAAAATTAGTGATACTAGATAACGATAATTAGTGAAGATTGAATCCGGGCGTCACCCCACTCTAGCTTCTTCCCTTCTTACAGCGGCCTCTTAGATGGTCTGAACGTTAAACTAGCAGAGCAGGAGTGTCGAGCCAAGGAGTAAGTGCGGACCGAATAACTTGCTCAGCTCCTCAAGCTTCTCCCTTCCGTAGGCAGAGGCTGCCCTCAATTCCGCAAATTGGATGAATCGTGTCTAGAATACGGCATCTGGTTGGCGTGCTGACCTACACCTACGTGTGAACCTGTAGACATTCGGTAGGGCGTAAGTCAGTGCCATACCCTTGCAGGTGTGCTGCCCTGCTCATAGGGCCCCGCTGTGTCGGGTTGCGCCGTAGGTTTTCTACAAGGGTCGAATGTGCGGCCCTTCCGATAGTTGTAGAATTGTTGGCCGAATGTGCGGCCTTATGCGTCCCCAGTATGTAACAACTGTGTGATTGTATAATAGTAGTGTTTAATTGTTTAAAAGGGCGGTGGCATAACTGTTTTTTGTGACGTAACATGTACAGGAAAATGTATTATAATGTACGCTGACGCGCTTGGGATTGTTTGTATCCACAGGAACAACATAGAGGAAGTTCGATATCAGCACGTGTGATGGCCTACGATATCATTTTGCTTACGATGACGAGATCCTCCTGTGTTCGATTCCTGTTTGATCCCTCTATCTGACGATCATCACCGCAGCGTGGAGGACGGACTAATTTTCTCATCTGACAGGAGATACGAGAAGGAGAAAGAGCCCGGAATCACATTTACTGAAAGCAGATCTCCACAGGTCCAGGAGAACTCCTGGAGATGACCCATGTTCAATTATAGAATTCTATCATCTACTGCTATCCCCCCGCGAGAACCCTAATGTGTTCCCCGAGAAAATATTGCGCCTTGATTTTAGTAGCTAGATCAGTGTACCGCATCAACTACTCTTCGCAACTACAGTATTCTATCCTGCCTAAGTCAGCATTTTGCTCTTTTGATGTTGGTTAATGGATTAGCAATGAACCGTTCTTTCATAGCGAGTACTTGGCTCCTTTCACTCCTATTTTGATGTGTGTTTTCCCACGGACGTGATTGAAAACTGAAAAATGACGCAAGCAGGAAAGCAGCCACCTGGTGATGGTGCAGCAGCTGCCGATGCAGCAACTGCTGCGCCAGGGAATGCTCAAGCCCAACCAGCAAACGTGCAAAATGAGGGTGGACTGCCAAAGCTCCTGCGAATGGCATTCCTTTTTGTGCTCACTCAGTATGTGATGAACCGCATAATGGGAATTGGGGGCCAACGAGGAGGCCAGCCTGGTGCAGGAGGGGACCAAACAGATGCGACAATGGTTGACGTCGCCACAAGCGGAAGTCGTTCAAAGTCGAAAAATAACGCGATCAATGAAGCTGTGAACCCACATCGCATCTACCGGAACATTTTCAGGCCCGATGACCACTACGAATTTTGGGTTCATCTGGTTCGCAAAGATTATCTAGACCCGCACAATGCCTGCAAAGAACGGGAAAAAAGGCACTGCTATAACGATTTCGTCTCGAAAAAGCAACACGAATTTCGATACGAAGATCACTTTGATCTTGATGTACCGGTTGAAGGTGAAGATAGTGAAAAAGACAAAGAGAAGACTGACGACGCGACAAACGGTGAAGCTTCTGACAAGACCAAAATGGGCAGCACCGCCGTCGCCGTAATGACTTCGACAACGACTAAGCTTCCGCTAACAGCGAATGCAACGAAGACTCTTCAAATTATAGAAGTACAAGGACAGGCTGAAGAAGAAGATGCTGCTAGCGGGGATGGGGATGAACATGAAGCGTCTGCTCCAGCGCCGCCACTGCTGCTGTGGCACGAGCCAGCAGTTGGTTACAGTGACGCAAGCGACATGATAAGTCGGAATGTGACCCTCCCTGTGATCACCAATCCAGAAAGTGCCTACATCACCTTTACAGCCAGATCTGTCAGAAAGCGAACTTATTACCATTTTCCAGACATTTTACAGGAAGAGATGGAACTCACACGGCTGTTGCGCCCGAAAAAGCATGAGAAGCACAAAAAACTTTTAGGAGGTGAAGAAGATGAAGCGGAGGACGGCGTAGAGTCACCTCAATTACAAAGCGAATCAAGCGTAGTAGCACAACAAGAGCAACAGGCACAGGATGCAATTGCTGTGCCAGCTGACGAAGAAGAGGCGCCCTCCGATGCTGCTGCAACTGCTGCAGCTCTTTTGTCGAAGCTAACTCCCCAATCAAAGGAAGAACCGCACTGGATCTCGAAAATTGACATGCGGCTGGTCTACGATGTGCACGTCTATGACGACCGCGTCCTTTCGAAGGAAGTACCGAACAATCCACTTTCACGCGCTGTTCGCTTTCCGTTCGAACAGCTATATCAGCCGTTGACGTCCGTGACGGATTTCTGGAACCTGGAAGACGACTACATTCACTTAAACGGGACTCAAAAGACACTTCCACTGACGCTCCAGCATTATCCAACAACGCTCTACGCTTTGGCCATTCAAAAATCCATGCACGACACGATGAAAATGAAGGTAAGTAATTACAGTTCTAGCTTGTTCTTTTCCATTGATTTCGTTTTCAAATTAGACATTTAGCAACGACTGTGCACTACCGACGGTAAACACCGTGATTTAATCTAAGCACTTCAACGTTCATCTTATCCTCATTTTCTACCAAAACCATCAGGGCCAATTCGGACTGGTTTTTGATCCAATGCGGGAGTTGTTCATGATGAAGCGCATCTTCCTGAACAACTCGCCAATGGTGCTGATCTTCTCCTTTCTCTTCATGATGACACATTCGATCTTCTCCTGGCTGGCGTTCAAAAACGAATTATCCTTCTGGCGAAAAAACAAGTCGATGAAGGGTCTCAGCGCACGATCCATGGTTATTTCGTGGTTTTGCCGGCTCGTAATCGCGCTTTACCTGCTCGATAGTCGAGAAACATCCTACATCATCCTGTTCGAGATCGGAATGGACTTATTTTTGAGTACCTGGAAACTCACAAAAGCTGTGAAGGTCGAACTCGGGCCTGAAAAGCAAGCGGATGGTTCAAGCGGGACTGAAAGCGGCGAGCAATCGGATTCGAAAGATTTCTCAAATACAGGCGATGACACGGCGAAAATGCTCGAAGACGGTGTCGAGTTAGTGTCTCTGGACGATGCACCACCAGCCTCGGCTGTAGCAGTAGCAGGAAAAAGCGCCGATGGGGAATTGAGAAAAAGACACACTGCTGATGAGAAAAAGGAAGATAAGACGGATGTGGCTGAGACTTCGTCTGATGCTGCCGTATCAACGTCTAGTAGTTCATTACTAACGAAAGAGAAATATTCGAAAATTATTTCACGTTTCATCCAACGCAACATCATCCGTGTCAAGTCTCGTCACGGTTACGAAGACGGCAAAACATCGGAGTACGATCGCATCGCAATCCAGTACATGAGTTACATCCTCTATCCTCTGATGCTTGGTTACACCATCTACTCGCTGTTTTACAACGAACACAAAAGCTGGTACTCATTCTGTCTGAAAACGTTCGCAGGCTACATCTACATGTTTGGATTTATCATGATGACGCCACAGCTGTACATCAACTACCGGCTGAAGTCTGTTGAGCACATGCCGTGGCGCGCGATGACGTACAAAGCTTTGAATACATTCGTGGATGACGTAAGCGCCTTCCTAATGGACATGCCGTGGATGCACCGGCTCTCTTGTCTTCGCGATGACGTGATTTTCATAGCTTATCTCTATCAGCGCTGGGCTTATCGAGTAGACAAGTCGAGGCCGACAGCATTTAGCGACGGAGAAGAGGGGGGTGAGCAAGCAGAAAAGAAGTCAATAGAAGAGGGGAGTCAAGTCGCAGCAAAAACGGGCGACTCACAAGATCAAGACGCCTCCTGGACTGCAGTTGAGGATGCGTCAGCAGCCCGCTCTTCAAAAACTGATTAGCCTCTGGAGTTTTACAGTGTGGAGAACACAACATGTTGTCTACTTGCTCTCATCTATTGTCCGCCGAAGAACTAAAACTGTTGATTCTCCACGCCAAACTACCCTTTCTCCCACCTTCTTCTCGAATTTGATGTCCGGTTGGCATCGTTGGATTTCCTCGCACAAGGCAAGCAGGAACGAATGGCTGTCGATTCGTCCAGTGGTCTCATAAGAACGAAGATCTCACTTTGTTCATCTCCTTCTCTTACTTAGAGTTTGACAAGAATCAACGCCAAGAAAGCCAGAGAGGTGAGGGCGAAAGAGTTTGTCTGTTTCCTTCTATGTATCCTACTTGTTCCATTGTTGAATGAGCTACATCTACCTCATCTCTTTCTTAACGAAGGTACAAGTTGGGTGAATGACCTCAACACCATTAGACAGGATGGGACACGAGGTAACACGACATAACATGGCATCTCTTCTTGTCTCTCTCTGGCTGTGGTCGTGTCAAAAAAATGCTACGATCGGATGTGCTGCTATTTTTGAGTGTTCTTCTGACATGTGCAAGCATTGGTAGGCACAAGTGCGAAATATGATATCGATCACGAAGCTCTAGTACACGAACCCCCTACTTGACAAATCGAAGAATGCCACTGAAGATCTTGTTGCCATGATCTTTCTGTACGAAAAACCAGCCAGATCAGCTGCAAGTGCCACAGGTAGAAGTATATCAGATTTGGATTTCCATAACTACCCGACAAAGTATGAGTAAACTTGTGATTTCAAATGTGTGTGAGACAGAGACATCGTCATCAGCAGGTATTTGGAGATTGGTCTTGATAGTTGACGGCGGTGTGAAGTCTTGAGAATTGAAATTTCTCTATGTATTGGCTGATAATGTTAATGATAAACTGGTGCTACTCCCCGAGGGCAAAGACCATGGCCACGAGGTGATCCTCATAAAAATCGTTATCCTTCATTGTTTCACAACATAGATACAGCACATTTTTCTGACCGGCATAGCGAAGTACTTAATCCGTGACTCAAAAAATGAGGGCGAATACGGCTAGTGACGATCGTAGTAACGTCTTAGCCCAGTGCCCGACTCTCGTGGCTCTTGCGGACGCGGTTGAATCGGAAGACTTCGACAGTGACGGGGCATTCCCATATGCTTTCTTTGCTCGACTGTTTGCAGCGATTCAGGAACAGATAGGTCTTCCGACGAACGGAAATGCGGAGGGGAAAAACGCGTCCAACGCGAGGAGTGGGTCTCCGGTAGAAGCATGCTATCCGGATTTCGGGGGTGAGGATTCAAGTTGGAGAGACGTAGCTGGGCCTTTCTACGCTGAATGGCTTGCGTTTAGGCTATCCAATTCACCACCGCCAAGTAGTATCGCATTCGCACCATATAGATATAGTAGTGATACATCGGATGTAGGCGCAGATGATGATGCTCTTGCTGCAGGCAAGGAGGTGACAATTTTTCTGGACAGTGACGAAGATAAAGGGAACAGCGAAGACGAAGATACTGGCAGCGATATCGATAATGCTGTCGAGGACACTACAGGTCGTCAAAAGGAGGATGCCTGCTGTTCCATTGTCTACTCGGGAGTCACGGAAGAATCTGTGAGGAAATTAGTCGCAGCGCTTCGCAACGTTGATCCGCGCTATGTAGCTCATATGGCGGCAAACGAGCGGCGCCGCGATGTTGCGACTTCCATGTGGGAGCTGTCCAAAGAGGACCGGAAAATGTTCGTTTTCTTGAATCGGGACTCGCAACTAGAGGTAAACGAAGACGGAGAAGATGACGCTGATGTTGTTCGAGTCGAGCAACGAGGTACAAAGGACACAGAGGACCCTCTGCCAAAATCTGCATCCCGAAGGGCGGCGAAAGTAAAAACTGGCGATAACGAAAAAGGAGAGGTGGATGAAAAAGGAGCTAGTACACGCACTACGAAAAAGAAACTGCTTCAGGACAATTTCACGAAAGGCCAGCTTCTCAAAGAGGCTCCAAAAGACGCAGCGTCCAAAGCGGGAGCAAAAGAAACTTCCTCCAGATCCAGTAAAAAATCGAAACGAGTCGCCAACCAGAATGAGGGACAGGATGATGCCGATGATTTCGCTGATGCCATTGTATGCGCTATCTGCGGAATGGACTTCACAAGTGAGAAAAAGAGGCAAGAGCATTACCGCAAATTCCCCGAGCATGATCCGATAAAAATCGAAGAATCCAAAAGAGCAGCGGCGCAATTACGCCTAGAGGAGGAAAGTGGCGCGAAGGAAAAGGGAAACAACAAGCCAAAACAAAAGAGGCACGGTCATAGAAAGTTCTGAGTGTATTTGTAGTAGACTGTTTTTCGCTCCTGCAGCTTGACATATTGTATGACACTATCACGCTGCACTGCTGTCGACGTGCTGGAGCACGTGCGTCTATTGATGTTCGCCATCAAATCGCACTTTTTGACTCATGACCAAACAAGCGAATCGGTTCAAATTCGTTTGAGATCGGCGCATCTCAGGATCGAGACCTTCGGTTATCCAGAGACTTTTGCAGGCAGTGACTCCTACCTCTGAAATCTCCCAATCCCTATCCCAATCTCCTTTCTGTGTCTGGCATCAGTTTGTGTGATATTTCGGTCTCCATTTCGGTTTAGCTAAGCAGGTCGGTTAGTACTTCTCGGTGTCGCCTGCAATCGGATTTGTCGGTCCCCCAAGACGAAGACCTCCTGCTGAAAAACTCACACTCGGTAAGATGCTTCGGACGGTGAAGAACAAATCGAAGCTTATTTACTCCCACTGTTGCTTTCACCATACATTAATCTATCTGAATGTAGCAGAGGGAAATTACCTACCAACCAAGAGAATGACCATAGTCAATCACGAAAAAAATGAAGTTGGAACACGTTCCGCTTTCCACGCGGCGATCGAACCATCGGCAGGCACTCTTTGTTGCCGTGCTGGTCGGAGTTTGCAGCGTTCCTCTGTTTAGTATGACTCAAGCAGTGGGCAAGCGCAAGGAGAAGCAGCTTCTCCGGCGAGAGGAAGCAACAGCGCTAGATGAATCTTCGGGAGATCGATATCATGCGACCACGAGCGGGCAGAAGCTGTTAGTAGGAGATGCTGGTCAGTCGGCGAATGATGAAACAGAAGATCGTTTCGGTCGCTTACCGCGCGAGATCGATACGCCGGCGCCTGCTGACATGAATAAAGGAAATACCGTCTTAGTTGATCCGGATGCGTGGAACGAGTTTTTAACCGAGGAAGATGAAGATTCGCGAGGAGGCTCCAAGAGACAGTCTAAAATGCGGGCACGTGCCACACCCGGAGCGTTCTCGGCACTACAGATTCACGCTGCAGCACCATTCATGGCGTTGCGCATGGGGAAAGACCTACTCAAATATGCAGCATTATTCGCTTTCCTCGGATTCATTTGGATTTGGCTGAAGAAAACTTGTACATCTGAAAATTTCAATCTGAGACGACTACCCGGTTTCTCACGACTTTTCCGCTTCCTGAACATAGACGAGTTCCAAGAGCAAAAGATACTGGTGCAGATTATACAAGCGAAGGATTTGAAAGGTGCCGAGTCTCATTGTTTGTCGTTAAGTTCTTGATTTCGGTTTTCCTCTTAATTATTTTTGGCTCAACATTGCGCTTGCGGGGGATCTGATTTAGTTTATCAGACTGAGAGTGAGATCTTGTGCTTGAAAATTTGACTTTTTCTGAGCTCCCCTAAACCAACTAAGTAGTACTACACTATAAGAATCGCAGGTAAAGGCGAAAAAACTTTGCTGCTCAAAGATGCGATGTTCAAGGGTAGTGTCGCGTTTTGGTACGAAGCGTTTGAAACGGACGCCAAGGCCGACTGTGACTTCGGGCAGACTCGCTTCATGACGGTCCCGCAGGGTGCTTCGTCCACCACGTTCTCTGTCGTTTCCGTAGGCACCGTAAGCAATTCCGTTGTCGGGACTGCGGTGGTGCAAACGAAGCGGGACATTCTTGACCGCGAAAAGAGTTTTTGGGGCGCGAAGCAGACCTACCGACTGAAGGACGACCAGGGACAGATATCGGGTTCTCTTGTCGTTAAATTTCGACGTTTGTCCGCAGATCAAGAGGAGAACTACTACACACCACTTTTGCAGGGCGTGGACAACGAGTCGGGACTAGGTGCAGAATTGCTGAAAATCGCGTTGAAGTTGCAACTGCCAGAATCACTGCGCAACATCAGCGGCGAACTCAAGTGCCAGATGCTGGCGGAGGTGCTGCACGGTCGGGTTGCAGAGGTAGAAGACGGCGTCGTGCAAGAAACGCTGTACTTGAAAGTTCATCACTGCACGCTCGGTCGAGTCGATTTCGGCGCGCGGCAGCTCGAAGCGAAGAAGGCAAAGGGAAAGGGCAAACAGGGTTTGCCGAAAAAATTCTTTTTCTGCCTCTACGAGTCGAAAAAACTAGCTGAGTCAATGGCAAAGGAACCGATTGTTTTTTGCTCTATGGCCGCCATCAAAAGCATCAAAATTTCCCAGAAGCGCCAGGACGAATTCACAGTGAAGTGGGATCTCTCCCTAGCGCGTGGCGGCACGGCAAAAACTGACGAGAAGAAAAAGAAGAAGAGCGACACAGAAGACATCGCCTTGCGGGCAAAGGACAAAGACAGAGACCTCTGGATTGAAGCACTCGACTTGTTGCGCGAGGCAGTCTATACGTTGGACGTACTTTTTTTCCATTATACATTCATAAATATAGATACTTCTCTTGTCTGCTAGGTATATGCAAACAAATGACAATTATTTTCTCACGTTGCGCCTCGTGTCTTCTCTTCTGATGGCGCAGAGCGTCGCATAATCTAGGTGCTGGCATGCTAGCGAGTGTTAGACTTCAATTTCTTGGAATGGAATCGTTCACGGCTTTAGTAAGTTAGTGACTCAGTGCTCATCTTCTTCTAGTACTACTAGACTTGAGCGCCCGGCAGCACTCCTCCCACTAGGATCATGCCATCCACCCCCGCGACGCACTTTCTCAATGCAATCCCGGCGCGGCTTCGTTTCCCCGGCTCCTCCCCCGCCCAACAACCGTCTGGCGGCGTGGATCGTTGGAGCTAGAGTCGAGCGGGGGACGGCGTGCGGCCATTGATTGAAACGGCACAGATCGAAGTCGTTGGCCTGTATGTTTCTCCTTCTTGTGGTAGGTTTGGCCTTCTTTGCCTGCGTGCAAGTTGCGGCGCTCGGTCTTGCAACTTGTCAAGCTAAGTGCTCGCCCTCTTGTGATACAATCAAAGACGTTGGGTTGGAATTTTTTTAATTTCATTTTTATTAGATATGGCCAGGGCTCCGGCCTGCCTTCGAAGGTGAGACCTCTGGGGCTGACAGGACCACGACAGCGCCGGCGCTCAGTTAGTCGCTGTAGATAATTACTTGCTTGGCCTTTCTTTTTTCGGTTTTTGTTTTTTCTAGTTAGGCCTGCTCCGCCAGCTTTGTTAGATATAAGTAATCAAAAGCGCTGGACCTGAAGTCCCAAGTTTGAAACTTTGAGACATTGACTGGGGCGCCACCTTTAGCCTTAAGCGTCCAGCTTTGGGCCCGCAGCTTTGGGCTCTCGCCGGCGCGATTTCGCTTTTGAGTTTTCAACTTTGAGCTTTCAGCTTTGGGCTTTCCCCTTTGTTTGGGTCTTCGGCTTTGAGTTTTCAGGTGTGGGCTTTCAGCCTCTCAGCGCTTTAAGCTTTACGCTTAAGCCCTCAGCTTCCAATCTAGAGCGTTCAACTTCGAGCATTCAGCTTTCGGCCTTGGGGCTGGGGCTTTCGACTCTCAGTCTTGCGGCTAAGCCGATAAAGCCAAAAGCTTAGGCTTTTTGTGCAAAGTTTTTAGTTTTAACGCCCACGAATTAATAATTTAAGTCGCAGCGTGCTTCATATTTATAAGCACTCGATGTCGTGTCAGGGGTTCGCGTGTTCGTGTGGTGCTGTGTTTGTTGGTTTATTTGAAGAGAATCGAAAGGCCTGCGATGGGGGTCGCATGTTTTTGGTTCAAGTGTTATCGGTTCCGGTGTTTTTGGTTCGGTGTGCGTTGGGTTCGGATGTTGGAGGGATCGGCGTTGCTTTTTTATTTAGGTCTTTAGTATTCGAGGGCAACACTTCGATAAATTTATGATTCTTGCTCTGGGCATGGGTTTTTTAAATGTTTAACTTTTTGCAGTTCAAATCGTAAAAGTTTTGATTTTATTAAGTTCATGAGTCCATGAGTCCACGAGTTCGGGCGCTGGGGGTTCGGGAGTGGAAAAGTGAGAGTGGTCTGGGGCTCGGAAGTGGAAGAGTGAGAGTTTGGCGGGGTCGTTGTTGGTTTTTTCTTTAGCTCTTTACTTAGTATTACCTTGGGGTTTGTTAATATACTCGTTCTGCATAATTGCTTACCATGATGATCATCCACCATGGCATCATCCATCACATGATTGAATTCAGGAAATCAAGAAGGACGAGCATGTGCTGAAAGAGAACAAAGATAAGTTCGTGAAGATTTCGCAGGCTGCAATCGAAGCTCACGGCTGTCCTAGCACCGCAGAAGACTGGAAGGGATGGCATGACATGATGGAGAGTCAGGGCTGCGACGAGGAGACGCTAAAACACATCTACAAGCAATTGGCTCTGTGGATCGAGCAGAACAACATCGAGCAAAAATGGAAAGAGGACATCAAGCCGACGGTGGAGAAAGAACATGAATTTTACGAAGAAGACAAAGTGTGGCGGCGAGATGTGCTCGACGAAAATGCAGAAAGAGAAGAAACCATCACCGACGTTGTGTCCAACCTCTTTTCAAGAGCACCGGTGCCAGGTCCTGGGAAGGGCAGGAAGGCAGAAGGCGAGCGAGGTTCTGGCCGACGGACTTCAGCTGTCGACGGAGAACTAATTATCGAAGAAGGTGGCGATGACGGCGGCGGACCTCGGGAACGAGGAGGTAGCCCGCTTGCAACCGTCGACATCACTGCACCTTATGACTTTGGCGGAGGTCGAGGAAAAGGCAGTCCAAGGCCGACGGCTGGCAAGACCGGGAAAGGCGCTGGTAGTGTCGTGAAGGGCGGTAAGAATAAGAAAGGCATGACCACTCCGCGTGGCGACCTGAAGGGTAGAAAAGCCGAAGGAGAGAACATCGATTACGACGAAATTCACGAGCTGGCAGCGGCGGCCAGGCGCGGATCAGTACATCCTAGTACAAAAGGCAAACTTGTGCGTGGCGAGGGTGAAGCTCAAGCACCAGGCGACGGAATTGAAGAAGGAAAAGACGATGACGTCGGATACGGTACTTTCGGGGACACGATTCCAGGTCGAGGTAGTCGTGGCGGTCTCTACGGCGTTACTGCAGCAGATGCTGCTGGCCTCGGAGGTGACGAGCGGGGACGAGAAGTGTATGCAAATGAGAGGTATTTGCACGAAGAGCTGCTTGCCCAGACAACTCCGCCACGATGCTTTCAGCGTGTCGGACGCGCAATCGATTCTATCCTTGAACCCCTCGTCGACTGCATCTCACCGCCGCCTGCCAAGGATGATCGTCTGGATGGAGGTTTACTGGATGCTCGAGGACGACTGCGTGAAGGCGAAAAACAGAAAAGGGCGCTTCGACCACCGCCACATTTGCTATCCGCGATGGTGAAACACACAACGCCAGAACAGTGGCCGCATTTAGGTGTCACCGGTTGGGAGCAGAAGCGGGTGGACTCTTCGGTGTTGCTCGACAAAAGCCTAACAAGCACACAAAAACTGATCCAGCTTTTTGGGTTGCGGCTCGATTGGAACAAGTTCCCTGTCGTTGTCGTCTCAGGCGTCTCACCGCAGAGTCGTGCGGCTGCCGCGGACGTACATGTTGGCGACTTCTTGCTGCTTTTCGCTGGTCATCGCATTGCGGACGTTGGAAAAAAATCGTTCTTTCTCGAAGCGCACGACGCAATGGTGCGCGCACAACATCTGGCGGCAGTCGAGGCAACTGCCAGCATGAGTGAAATTTCGGAAATCCTAGGTCAGGACCTAGACATGCGCAACGTGCGTTCACCCGACGACGCGCTTATTTGGACCATCACCCAGAAGCTGCAGCAGCACCAAGCCGAGGCACCGCCTCCACTGCCTGGCAAAGCCACACCAGCGCCATCTTCCGCAGTCGCGAGCTTCCTCTTTCTCAGCTTGAAATTTGCAGGACAATACGTACAGATGTCGCCGGACGAGGTGGATCTAGGTTTCGCGGTGCAGGGCAATCAGGTGGCGCTCGCGCTAGTTGGCGGCTGGGCCTCTAAGCATGAACTTCGCCGTGGCGACGAAGTTGTGATGTTGGGTTCGACGCACTGTCTCCTTCTCGGCGACCACCAGAGTGCGCAAGAGCTGCTGGAGGACGCATTATATGGAACGAAGAACAAGAAGAGCGGAGACACTTCTGAGGACCATGACGCGGAAGAAGATAAAGATGAAACAACAGGCAGCTCTGGCCATGCCCTTGTCGCTAAAAACTTGCGAAAGCAAGCCCTGTCAGCGTCAGGTCGGTCAAAACCAAAACGACCATTGCACATGCTGATTCGACGCATCGACAACACGGATTTTCCAGAAGATGGACCGGCGAGACTCGCAGAAGTCTCTTTGGAGCGACCGCTCCCTGTGATATTCGAAAAGGCGATCGTGCGTCCTCTGGGTGTTGATCGCGAGTGCTTTAGAACTTCGCGGAACACACATTTTTTGCATAGGGAACGAAAAAAAGGCAGCGAAGCACGCGTGTTCGACCTCGATATGTACATGGAAAATCACTTTGACGATGAGGCGCTTAGCAGTGGCGATGACTGTGTTGACGTTGAGGATGAACACCGTCATGAGAATGATGCCGATTCGCATGATGACCTCGCCAAGAAACGTGGACTTGTAATACCGGAAACAACAAAAGACGAAGAAGCCGAGGAACCGGTGGCAACGCCGCGGGGACGCACCGGGAAAGGCAAAAAGGGCAAGAAGAGCAAAGACGGCAAGCTTTCGCCTGTTGGAAAGATGATGAAGAAGAAAGGAAAGAAAGGCAAGGGTCGAAGCCGTTCGGGGTCACCCTCCTCGCGATCTCCTTGGCCGCCGAAGAATAAATCGGCTCCGCGTTCGAGAGAAGGCAGCAGCCGAAGTCTGTCAGCACCTCGGAGACCCCCCAATGCGAAAGGGAAGGCAGCTCCCCCAAAAAAATGTCGACTAGGTCGCGCCGAAGGTGAAGCCTCTCCGACACCAAGTCCACGTGGAAGCGTCAGTGGTTCTCCGCCTGGTAGAAGTAGACCGCCTTCCCCACGACCGCCGGGCTCATCAACAAAGGGAGATCAGTCGAAAAGTCGCAGTCCTTCTGCATATCCAGAACGGCCTCCTTCGATGAACACAGCACCTTTATCCGGTGCGGGTAGTCTGTGGAGCCAATACAACCGCACTGGGGCGAAGGCGCAATCTGAGAGGTCACCCGAACAAGAAGCAGCGGCAATCCTCCAGGCTCGAGCGCGTGGAAAGAAGCCGCATGAGCACAAGGGCAAGGGAAAGAAAAAAGGCAAAGGAAACAAACACTGAGCAGGCGCCTGAAATGTTATAAAGCTCCCACTAATTGAAATTATGTCCTCGCCCTCCGGATACCTGTTTTGTCAAATACAAAACTGTTCAAGGAAGAGCCTAGACGAGTCACGGTTTGTGTAAAACAGTCATTTTGATTTTTGAATAGTAAGCAAACACGTCTTTCCAAATTCGCAGCCTTAGGCAAATGGCGAATACGAATCCCATTCTTGATTATCGCGATCGCGAATTTTCGGAACGCGCACAAGTCAAGAATAGTCAGACCCGGTGACACTTTGTTCTTCAAGCACACCGACACAATCACAAACTTACGCGTTGTAAAAAATTGGAAAAGTAGACGAGCAAGGTGTCACTGGTGTCAGACAATGCTGTATTAATAATCTGGATCTATCTCTCGCCGCGTCCAATTAAAATCTTCACGTTAGCATTGTGACTGTGATGTCGTCCATTTGGTCGAATCTCACTCCTCTATCAGCTTGAGGTTGCAAAAGGTCGGTGGTCTTCACCTTCGGAAGTAGAAGTTTACATGGCATGGGGAATGGATCGCGGCGAGCAAATACAGGAGAGATTAGTACTAGGTAGGAGAAGGACAACGACAAGGAACATCAAAAGTATAGGTGTAGAGCACTTTGTTCTTGTTGAGCTTATAGTAAGTAGTTATTAAATAGTTATAGAGGAGATATTCTTGAGCCTCACTTGTAGAATAGTTCATTTACCGCGACGGAAAGTGCTAATGTCTCCTATCTACCATAGGATTCTTCCGTACACAAAGACGAGGATGTCACATTCGCGATCACGACAGGATGATCCTTGGGTAGAATGAAGCGTTTTGTAACTAACCGATTCTGTACCGGCATGCAACGCAAAGAGAGACGACATAAACATTCCTGCACACTCATAAACATGTGAGGACGAAGGCAAAAATGACGGCGTTGACTCTGTTCGTGTGAACGTTCGTTGCGCTTTGCTCTATCGAACTGAGTGCGCGTTTCGCGTTAGCCGACGAAGCTGCAAAGGCAGTTTTTCACTGCAGAGTGCAGGGATAATTTGGCTAGAAGTGGTATCCGTCGTTATCGATGGTTTCATCTCCTCAGAATAGTCCAGTCGTGATGCTTCCCATTCCCTCCGCGAGCGCCGCGGCTTCCGGAGCACCAGCGACGTCCTCCTCAAGCTTTCACCAAACTGCTAGTTTGCCGCAGGATCAAAGAGGTCCTGGAGTTGCTCATCAACCCGCTCAGCTGGCTCCTGGCACATCAATGAATAATTCGGTCCCTTCGGGAGCTGGAATTTTATCGCAGGCTACTGGCGATGCAGGATGGGCACCGAGCTCCTCATCGACACTGTGGGCCCAGAGCAAGTGGCGTGGGCGCATGGTCCAAGTACCCAAACGAAAGCGGTGGGGATTAGTCGTATTAGAGGAGGGAACAACATTACACGTGCAATTGGGCCAGACTCTGGTATGTGCGGCACGGACACCACCGGCAAGTCCTTCACGTCGAAGTAGCAAAGACGCAACGTCGCCGGCATCCGGAAAGAGTCCAGGCAGGGTACTGCTTTCCATCTTCTGGATCCAAACTTTTTAGAAGCGAGATGGAGCAGAAATCGACAAAATCCATGTTGCGCTGATCCTGATTCATCGGTCTCTCAACTATCGTCAACATCACGAACATAATTTATCCTGTCATAACCATAAGCTACTCAATTAATAAATGTGCAGCAAATGGCATGCATACAGGCGCCGTCTCCCGACAAGGCTGGAGCTGTGTCATTCAACGACACATCACCTGGCGGCACAGTCGCCTCCGAGGAGAAGGAGATCGTCGTGGTAGAGAGCAGCACCATTGCGACATCTTCTTTTGCTGCAATTGGTGCTTGTTTATACACAAAAATTGGGATCGGTGTTCTCATCGGATATCGTCCAGACCACGACATCCACGTCTTGCGATATCCCCATAGTAGCACGACTGGCTACCTCCAACGAGATCAGCTGATAAGCGTTGCTGCTGCGTGTCCAGATCTGCCGGTGCGAACACCCTACGGATTAGGGATTTGCGTGCGCGAAAACAAAGAATTTGGAACGTACTTTTATTTTCGGCCTATCCTCTTCATCTTCAATAGCAATCAACACATTAGATGATCTCCCGACAAATTTAACAGCGTCAACATCTCCTATTTTCTTCTTCACCACCACTCATCACATTTCTTTTATCAGGTGGACTATCCGGTTAACGGGACACGAGAACGCCGGCCTCGCTCATTTACATCCTTCACGCTTCTCCTGCGATAGCCGTTTTGTGCCGCTAGTTGAATCCGGCAAGCGAAAGTGGAAGAGAAAGCAGTACAAAACGTATGAGCTGCTTGCCAAGCTACAGAAGGTTGCAACAGAAACGGGAGTCCTGGAGAAATTTCAAGATGCCTACGAGACCAGCGGCGTAACGTCAGTCTACGATACTGCGAGGAAAGCGTGGGACGTCGGTGTTGATGTTGTCGAAAAGGAAGTGGTAGATAAGGTAATCAGCGAGAGTCCTGCCTTGGAGTCATTGGAAAAGCCCGGACCTCAATCGAGTCCAGCTGCTATTAAGGGGTCTCCCGGAGGCATTCAGCCCACGCAGTCCTCCTCATCGTCCTCCAGCAGCGGCGAAGAAAATAATGCTTTCAAGACACCACCGGCAGACGACCTCGCAAACATCCTTGCAGATGCAGCGGGAGACGACTACTTGTACATTCCTCGACTTTTAATTTGCGTTTGCGACACGCATCGCTGTAGATCATAGGTAAAACTGTTCGTGTTCGGGCAACTTGCAGTAAGATCATGATTCGAAAAATACGCCAACTTCACTTTCTCTCTAAAAATAACAGCGTCGACGGTGAGTTTCGTGATGCGAAGCAGGGCGACGAAGAGCTAGTCAAAGCCCAGAAATTTGTGGAGGATGAGGCTGAAAGGCTACGGAAACTAGCTACGGACAAGCTCGCAGAGCATGACGAGATCGTCCAGGAGGTCTACGGATCACTCGACAAATTGGAAAAGGGCGGCGAGAAGGTTTTGAGCACAATCAACGAGTTCGGAGAAAAAGCGCTCGAAGAAGTTGGCAAAGACCAAGATGTGCAGGAAGTGCTGAAGTTAAGAACAGACTTGAAAGGCAAGCTGCATCATAATGTAGCAACTGAAATTTGACAATCCGTTTTCTTGGATTTTTTTTAGGTCTTGTTGTAAGTTAGTACCATTTCTCTAATCTAGCTCGTGGAGTCGGCAAAGCAGGAGGCTGCCCAAGTCATTGCATTGGAGTTGGAAAAGGGGACCAAAGTGTACGAAAAATCGAAGATGAGTAGCCTTCTCGAAGAATCGCGGAAACGACTTGAGGAAAAGATGGAAAAATTGAGCCAGCTATCCGGCCAGCAAATTCAAGAGTCGGGGGCTGCTGACATTGGCGATCGCGTGGGTCAGGGGCTGCAATCCTTCGTTGACAAAATAGCGGCGAAGAACGATGTACTTTCTACAGCCTCTTGTTCTTTGAACGACAGTAGAAAAAGAAATCTTGCATAGAATAAGAATTATTGAAAGCGCTGTGATTTATATTTTATTAAGCGACCTTGAATTGTTATGAATGTATGTTTTTCCCGTTCAAGAATATGTGCGAGAACCCGATTTTTTACCCCGCACACGCAGGTCTGGCAAGCCAAGGGATCGGCACTTTTCGGCTCTGTGCAACGTCGGTACCTCGCTGGCCCCGACGGTTGGATAGCCAAAACTAGAAAGAAACTACAAGCGGTCCTAAAAGAGGATCAATTAGGCTTAAAGCAATGGGACTTCAGTACCTACACCAACTCCTTCTATGCACAAGCCAACGACATAGAGCGCGAAGTTCTGGAAACGACCACTGGTGCCCAAAAAGAGCGCGCAAAGCTGACCAAGAAAGCCGTCAACTCTGCAGCAGAACAACTCGTGGCACTGGCCAAGCCTGAAGAAAGTGCTGCGGAATTGCTTGTTAAGCTAGACCGGATGCGTGGCATGGAGATGCTTGAGGCCATCGACCTCCAGGGTACAACTGCATACTGGGAACCACCATGCATGGCTCGATGTATTGGCTAATGCGCGATACGAAAGTAGACAGAGATTAAAGATACTACGAGTATTTTTTCAGCAATTTTCAACCATTCGTCTCTCTCTACGCAACAGGTATTTTGGACAAGGCCGGGATCGTAGTGCCGCCCTACGTGGCTGAGTACTTCGTGCAGGACGAGAGCAAAAGCGGCGCGACCTCAGACATTTTGGCGACCCTGTCGAACTTTCAAGGCGATAAAATGCTGGAGAAAGTATTGGACGATCAGACGTTTATCGGCAAGGCAGGTGAAGTGGTGGGTCAATTAGAGGGCGCACTTGACAAGGTCGCAGATCTGGCGCAAAACAAAACAGTCCAATCTCTACTTTCAACGATGGGTGGAGCCGGTGCTGTTGGCGCGGACTACGACGCTGCGGGTATGATCATGCAGAAGCTTGAGGTCCTTTCAAGATTGATAATCATTTTGAGGTCTGGTAAACAAAGAACGTAAAAAAAAGCACAGCTTTCATTTTCTGGCGCGACCCGTGAACGTGTCTTAGTGACTTATTCTTGTCCCTCATGAAATCAGCCAGTGAGAGATGCATCTACTCAACAAAAGACCATCTAATACTCCTCGTGTATTCACTCTAATCTTGTTTCTTCAAAACAGACTCTCGATGTGGACCAAGCACTAGAGATGACAGAAAGAACGCTTGCGGATTTGCAGGATCCTGAAAGACGGGCAAAGCTCGTAGATGAGATGGTCGATTCTGCAGTAGACGGTTTGATGGCCCTATTACCCAAGATCCAGATCGACAACCTGGAAGGCGAGAGCCACGATTTTGCATACGCAGTTGGGAATATCAATCTGGGCGGTTTCAAGCTGAAGAAAGAGTGCGTCTCTTTAAAAATCAACTTCGAAACTGCCACGGCGGAAAAGCTTCAGGATGGGTACTTTTGCGTTTGTAATAAATTGTAGCTTACTAGCCTGGAGCGCCCGACAACACCCCCTCGCACTAGGATCCCTCTCCTCCCGAAGTAACCCACGGAGCACTAAGCCTGCCTGCGCTTCAATCTCTTGGATTTGAATGGCTCAAATCCAAAAATTTCGGACTTTAGCGAGTTTTTCTGAGATTCAATATCTTGGATCTGAATTTCTCAAATCTAAAAGTTTACGACTTTAGGCGATTTTTTCTGGCATTCAATTTGGCAAGTTTTTCGCGGATTCAATCTCTTGGATTTGGATTGCTCAAATCCAAACACTTGCGACTTTGGTAAAAACATCTCGGAGCTTTTCTGAGACTCAGCCTTTTTCCTCAAGTCCAAATAAAAGGTTTCGGCTTTAGCGAGTTGTGCCGAGGTTCAACCTCTTCTCTTGGGTTTGAATTGCTCAAATCCAAAATTTTTTGATTTTAGTGGGCCTTGCTGAGTTTCAATCTCTTGGATTTGAGTTCTTTCCGCAAACCAAAAGCTTGCGCTTTTAGCGAGTTTCTCTGCTATTTACTTTCTTGGATTTCAATTCTTCAAATCCAAAAGTTTTCGACTTTAGCAAGTCCCTCAGAGATTCAAGCCCTTGGGTTTCAATTTCTCAAATCCAAAAACTTTCGACTTTGGCGAGCTTTTCTGGAATTCAATTGCTTGAATTGAAATCCCCAAACTCCAAAAGTTTTCGACTTTGGCGAGCTTTTCTGAGCTCAAGCTCTTGGATTTGATTCGTAAGCCCAGTTTCTTGTATTTGAATTCCTCAAATCCCAACATTTTTGATTTTAACAAGTTTCGCGGAGGTTCAATCTCGTGGATTTGATTCGCAAGCCCATAAGTTCGCAAGTTTCGGATTTGATTCACAAGGCCATAAGTTCGTAAGTTCACAAGTTCGGAAGTTCATAATCATAGGCTCCTGGGTTCGTGGGTTCATGAGTTTAAATGTGAAAGAGTGAGAGTTTGGGGGTTGGGGTTTGGAAGTGGGATAGTGAGAGTTTGGCGGGGTCGTGGTTGTTTTTTAATTTAGCTCTTTAGTATTTGCTTTGGTGTTGTTGCTAGGAATACGCGCTGCTTCTAAGTACAACTAAGTACTAGATCGAATGATTGTATTTGTATTTTATGGCCTTTATCTAATAAATTATTTGGCTCTGTCTTGCTTCTTTAGTTTAAATATATTCATTAGCTTCTGCGCGTTCGTCCTTCCTTTCTGACGAGCGTTGAGCGTGAGAGAAGCGCCTATGTTTTGATCACTCTTCTTGCTCTTCATCAACCTCAAGGTCAAATATCACATATGCTAAGGACATCTTCCAATACATTTCATACATACTGTTGACAGACTCGTCGACTTTGGCACTACACGTATACCTCTACATCGCAGCACTTTGCTCATTAATTGTCAACGTTCGCTTTCCTCCTCTCGTTTCTACAGCTTCGAGCTCATTTCGTTGCATGCATGGAACATGAGCTGTGTGCTGGAGAAGGTGAATTTCTCGTTTGAACAGCAAAATTTTCCGTATCTTAATGGAGAAGGACTTGCGAAGTGCTTTGCGAATAAGATATCCCTGCGCCTTGGCTTCAGCGTTCGATGGAAAAGCGGCGCACCACAACTTTACATGAGCAGACGGATGGTATTTTTCCCAATTATAGATTCAGCTTCGATTATTTTTATTATTGTCGGGAAAAATATAATAGACTGTTGGTGACCACCTACTTTATGATCTTCGTCAAGTGCAATGATCTTGCTATTTCCAGGTCGATATCGAATTTTTGACGATGGAAATCGAAGAAAGTTGGTTTTCGGCGCTCTACAACGTGCTGATTGCGGCTTTTTCGAACCTAATTTTGAATTATGTCAACGACAAGATTGAAGAGCAAATCGACGAAAACGTTAATCTTCTCACAAGTGGCTTGGATTTTGTTCTGCAGAACGAAACTGTGAAACCCTGGCTAGCATCCCTAGCACCACGCGACAAAGATGGCAAGGTGTTACCAGAGGTAATTCCCGTTAATGACGAGTCTCGCGGAGGACAACGTGCTCTGCCACTCTCGTCTGAGCGAAAGGCTTTGGCAGCCGAAGAGGAAAAGAAACGTCAAAAGCGGGAAGCTGCAAAGTTAAGACTTATTTGAAGCTAGTGGTTACTGCTACTTTCACTTTCACATCTACTTCGTGATATTTTGAATTTCACTTTTAAGTCAAGAAATCGGGATTATTATGATGGTTCTGGCCCTTTCCCGACGATTACCAGTACAACAACCCTGCTCTAAAAAATGCTGCGACCGCCAAAAAGCGGCCAACTTCTCCGAACGCCAAGGCGTCACCTGGCAAGGCAATCGATTCCTCGGTTTACGACTCCTTTAAGCCAGATTCGCGTGTTGCAGGCGGTGCACGGTCTCGCGGAGACTCTGGTGACGCTCCTGCCAAGAAAACGCTGGGCAAACAGGAGTCAATTTCCGAGTTTGGAGCGGCCTTGGCTCAGATGACGGTCATGCGCAGCATGCTGAAGTCACTGAAGACAGGAAAACCAGTGACGAGAGGTCAAGTCCAGCAAGTGCTCTTTTCGGCACTCTATGCGGTAGAGGATGAGGACGTGAAAAAGTGCCTGTCCGAAATCCACGAAATATTGGTAAAAGGTCCGTCAAGTAAGAAACTAGCGAAGGCGGCAGCAGCAGGTAGCCCCGCACCAGCAGACCAGGGTGCCCCTTCTTCAGGAGCATCCGGAGCGGTCACAGCACCGGATGGAGAAAGTGTTGTTGCTGTTAATGGACCGCCTTCTAGCGGGAGCAGCCCAAAGAATGCAGGAGGCGGGATTATGGGGAGTTACTTCGGCGCTGCAGGCAGCAAGATCGCTGGGTTTGCGAAGAATGTCTACAACAGCGCGACTACTACCGGCTCACCGGGTGCGCAGAACGCGATCGCGTTGCAGAACGAGATCGTCTCCGGGGACGAACGCAAGCAACTGATTTTCGGAGTCGGACTCGCGTTGTCGCTGCCCAAGTTCCAACAACCTACGCTGCAGGTTCGCGACATGAACAAGAAATGCCAGAAGAACCGCAAGGAAGGAGATCCGAATAAGCTTGTACCGCTGTCGGAGCTACTGCGACTTACCATCTGCTGGTCCGAGTTCAACCGGAAAATGATCGAGGACCTGCAGGACTTGTCGACACAGGCGGGGGGCGCGGCAGACCTCGCGGTCGTGAAATCCGCTAGATACAAGACAGTTTCCGGCAACCTCGCCATTTGTCAAGACGCGCTGCTCAAAATCAAGATGGATCTAGCAAAGTCCGCAGCCCTTCGGGATCGAAGACAACTGGAAACGATCATCTTGCACCTGCTGGATGCGATCCGTTGCCACACGGACGGAAGTGACATTCTCCACGAATTCAACGATGAGAGGCAGCGAGAACGGCGGTCGCAAAATGCCCTGCGACGAGGTCGCACTACGAACTCACCCACGGGCCGAAGTAGCGGCAACAATACTCCCGCGGCAAGCGGCTCCGCGTCCTCCTTGGCGACTTTCCCACCTGCAGAAAAGTGATCTCAACACTCGATGACGCCGGGGACAACATAGCATAAAGGAAAAATTCGCAAAGAAAAGGAACACCTTTACGTGTACCTCATCATGTTTGAAGAGGAGCACTCATTTCACGCTCAAAAGATATGAAACACACGAACTCCGAGTCCGACATACTTGTACATAAATGTCTCTCTCTCGCCCCCTACCTGGCAATAACCAAGAACGGTCAACAATCCCTATTTTCCTGCATCACGACCCGATGCCATTTTTTTTTCATACATGCTTCTGCAACTGGAGCTGCTTAACATTCATACGACGTGGTCATTTTATCTGAGGTTCCAAGAAGAGCACCCCCATTGGAGCAGTACGCGGCACCAGCGACTTATTCGCACACATCAGACACGCTTGCCCTTGCTTGTTCACGACGGCGTTGGCGACGTCTGGTAGTTCTCTAACCTGTTCATAAATAGTCGAATTTAATGCTCGAACTCGAAGACTTGAGAGCCATAACCACGAAGGTATGAATTCACGTTATGAGAATGTCGGTTGGTATAGTTGACACTTCTATCATCAAAATCTAGTACAGAACAGTATGAAGATTACTAATGCATGACAAGCTATCCTCTCTTCTGCGTATCTTCTGTCTCTGAATGATCCTTTTCGGTAGAAGTGAGAGAACCTGACATCTAGACAGGCAGCGAAAGGATGTCAAAGTCAAATGTCCTCGAAAGATTCGTCGGTATCTGTCAATAATGTGAGTGAAGGTGAAAATTTGTTGACGAAGGTGATGAAAAATACTTAAAGAGAGTCCACTCTCTGACAAAAGACCACTTGCGAAAGGCGGAAAATGGGAAAACGGAGTACACTATGTCTACATGATGGTTATATATATTATCCTTTTTCTGTCCATGTCCTAGTCTTGTCGTGTAGCTACAGCAGGTCGTAGCTCCAACTTACTATAAAGACTTACCGTTTACTTGTAATTGTTATATGCAAGCACGAGCAGCACAAGGCTCAGAGAATGTCGATGAAAGACGCGAATGAGAGAGAGAAACAAGCAGAAATAAGAACAACGAGGCAGGGAAGGTTGTGGCTCGTCCACCTAGCAGAGGATACCTAGTACTACAACAAGTTGTGACTTTTTAAGCTTCAGATGCAGATCTTGAACCTCATACAACTACAAGAAAGCGAACCATCAACATGTCTTTTGCCCGCCAGTATCCAGATCCGACTGTGCCTGCTCTGGGGCCCAACGGATCGGTGGTCGCGCAATGGGGACGATCTCCTGTAGCTACACGTACTCTGGTGTTTCCGCCGAGCGGTTGGGAGACTGGCGACGCGCATGTTCCGACCCAGAACTCGATCCGATCGTTTCTCAGTCGGGACTGGGTGCACGGAATCAACATCAACGTGGATGTCCAGGTGACTGACGACAGTGTGGTGTACGCTGTTGGCCAGCTTTGTATCGTCTTCGCGGAGTCTGAGGGAATGCAAACGTACAATACGATGACAATAGTTCCTCGCTGAAGATAACTACCAGACCGAGAGTGAGTACTTCTCAAATATGTCAAGCAGATGCAGACCCGGCCATTATATCAAGCAACTCAACTTTTCAGGTATTTCGAAGGCCATACATCCGACGTGACGTGTCTCGCGTATAACCGTGCTCGCAATTTGTGCGTGAGCGGGCAGAATGATCCTCGCGGGACTGGAGGTCCACATCTGTTGGTGTGGTCACCAGCTTTTCCGTCTGCAGGAGCGTTTGCAGAGTGCCGTTACTTCGTCGAGAAAGCGGAAACAAAAAACGTCGAGATCACCGACAACATAAGCATGACCAAGGCCTATCACTGCTTTCCGGACAAGGTCAACCGCGCACCCGTAAGAGAAAGTGGACTGCCGAGAGTCCATGTAAGTGTGATTTGAAATCCGGACAACATCCCCTAATTTCTAATTCGTTTCGATAGCTACGCGAACGCGAGCAGCTCTTGCTTATCACTTAATTTCAGATGCGGGTGAACCTGAGCGTGAAGGACCTACTATCTAAGAACTGAGAGAACTTTCGTCTCAAACACAAATACGCAGATCAACATCTTTCAATGGGATCTACTTTCTCGTTCAGCTGCCGATGACGGTCGATGCTTCGAGCCAAGTTGAGGTGCCGTTGCGGCGAATCATGTGCTGCGCATTCACCCCAGACGGTCGACGCGTCGTGGCGATGGGTGCTGATAGCATGAACTCGATGCTGATCTGGGACTTTTCGAAAATTCAAAATTTCAACGCTTTAACTGAACCTCGAGAGACCTTGGTCTATCGCAAACCGACTATGGTGGTTCAGACGGGCCGCGATATCATGCTGGGACTCCAGATGTTCGACGTGAGCAGCGCTGCTCGAAGCGATGGCCCAGACGGACGCAGTAAGCCGAGCTCTGTTTACGGAGCTGCTGCAACTGGGGCAGACGGCAAGGGTGGCAGAGCCTCTACGTCCGCGAGAAAGCGTCGAGGTGCATCTACAGCCGGGGGCAGCAGCATCGCAGGTAAAAGCCAAGTTAGCAGCAAGACCGTAGCAGCCGCAGGTGCTGCAGCTACGAATGCCAGGGTCGTGCATGGTGGAGGTACAACAGAAATGCCACCATTCCGGTTCATTTTGTGGGGTAAGAACGACAAGGGCTCTTACTTCAAAAACTACGAATGGAGGCATTCAGAGTTCGTCACGAAGGTCGGAGTCTGGGGCAAATTTCCGAAGCCAAAAGCTATCAATGGAGTGGCCTACGATCTCGATGATCCAACTGGCGGCTCCATTGTCATGGCTGGCGACAATGGATACTTCTACACGGTGAAAGGAGCCACTGTGGTCGGTGCCTATCGCATCGCTGACTATTTAGGTACTAGCACATGTTGCTAATGATCACGCTATCGCTATCATAGACTTTTGATATTTACTTTTTGTCTGCCTCGTTCTAGAACTCTCAGGCATCAAGCCTGAGGAGACTAGAAGTAGACTGATTGCATTAATTATGACTGCCTTCAGGTTCAGTCGAGTACTACCGCAGCGATAGTTTTCTCGTTGGTGGTCCCACTGGTCGGGTTTTTGTCATTCGTTGCCCGCAGGGACTGAAGGCTGCCGTGCTCGAGGATGTTCAGCTACCAAAAATTAACGGAGACGGCAACGCACTGAGCCGTGCACGTATTTGCCAAACTCGCATAGGCGCCCGCAGTGCGCATTCTAGTGACCCGGGCGAAGTCGTTGTCTACGGTTGCACGCAAAACCACGGACTTTTTCGCTACTTCCATGCAAACGCGGAACGAAGTCGAGGTCGACACATCGCCATGCTTACCATGGCCCATTCAGTCGAAACTAGGAGCATTGCAGTGCACCCCAGCATGCCAGGAGTTTTCGTGACTGGTGGCACCGATAAGGTGATCCAATTTTGGAGTGCAACGGAGCGCAAAGCTCTTGCCAGTAAACGTTTGCGCATGGATCGCGGTGTGAATTCCATCGCTTTTGACGGATCGGGTGAGTTCATGGCCGTAGGCATGTCGGATGGGATGGTCGCAGTCTACAAATTCCCCGACTCGCTGTTTCAAAGAATTATATGCGACAGGAAATGCGAGAAAGGAGGGAAAGAGTATGGTACTGCAAAACAAATCAGTGTCCTCGAGGCTACTTTGCAGCGTATGTTCTAGAAGATGAATCTCTTTGCATACGCTTATTTCTTCTTGTTCTCTTCAACTTCATTCAGTACGACTCTTCTTTTTTCTTCAACAGCGTACGTCTAATGATTCTGCTTAGTGCTTAAGTACTTCATTATCAATCTCAGGTCGCATGGTCGATGTAAAGTTTTCTGCTCGCTTGAAGCCGCACGCGGAACAAGGTACCGCTCCCAGGAAAGATGCTATGGGTTCGATGTATCTCGCTTGCGCCTGCAGTGATAACCAAGTCTACATGCTTCGCGTAAGTGAGGTGCTTGCTGGGGAGGATATCAAGAGTGGCACCAAGATACACAGTCCGCATGTCGGCATGCATAAAGTGCTCACAGGGCACTCAGCGATTCCTTACTGCCAGATGTTCTCTGCGGACGCGCACTACTTGGTGACAAATTTAAGGCGGTATAATTTCAGGTACTTGCAGGCTCTCATAGTCAATAAGCAGTGCGCAGACTGCTCCGACTAGGTAGATCATGACTCCAACATGAGTTGTGATGTCAAGAGAAAAAGTAAGATTGGTAGGAGGGTCGGTGAGGTTGCTGAATAAGTAAGGTTGGTAGGATTAGGTTTCTGAGGTTGGTAGGCTCGTTAGGCTGAAAGACAACTCACAACCACTCTAATAAAAGCGCGTGACGGACAAATCCGTATCTTCAAGTGTGCTGACGGCCGTATGCAGAAATCTCTGATGGCTTTCCGCGACCTTCCGATGCAGCTCCCCTGGACGAACCTTCTCGGATGGTCAACACTTGGGATTTGGGACATTTATGTCTTCAAGACTGCTCTAGTACAACATACAAAAAGATCCAGCTTTCGTAGCGTTTTTTACTGCTCATGTAAGATACATAGCACGACTGTGTCTTCAATACATAGGCATAGAAGCAGGTAGATTTGCGGATCCATGGAGGTACCACACTAAAATTCGGAGTACGATTTGTCAATGCTTGACACGTGCTGCAGCTACCACGAGGAGCAGCTCGCGTGCGGAGACGAGCATGGTGCAGTCCGCTTGTTTCAGTTTCCAGCTTGCTATTTGAATCAACCTTACAAAGAGTACTTCGGACATGCAAGTCCGTTGTGCTCAGTCCGATTTTTCCAAGATATGCCTGTCCTCATTTCCGCAGGATTCACAGATCGGATGGTAGTCCAGTGGAGACTGGCTGAGCCCATAGCAGAGGTTTACGGATTCCAGAAAATCAAGTACTGAACTTCTAGCACCTCTAAATGCAAGTACTACTTACTACTTCTTCGTTGACGCCACATCAAGATCTATGTGTGCCTTTTAGTTACAATCTTCATCTTCTCCATGATCCACAAATCAGGTATCCATGGACCGTGTTCACTCACGGCTACGGCGATGTCGTGGACAATACTTTAGGGAGATACGCTGCTGCGACAGAGCCAGGTCCTGCTTTCGGCATGCAGATACCTCCCGAGGGCGGACTCAATGCTGTGCCGGGCCGTACTATGGGTGACACGACAAGTGTCGTACCGTTTGAAGGCGATTCCAAGCTGTTTGCACCTGCTGATAGAGGTGCGCCGGGCTACTTTTACAACGACGCGGAAGCTGATGAAGGGCGTGGCCCAAGATCTAGAGGCGAGGTAAGCCCACGTCGACGCTTGGCTTCGTCGCACAAGAGACAAGAGCAAAGTAGCGGAGTAGGCTTTGACAAATTCGGAGCAGCCAAGCAGGAAATTGACGAGTTGATGATGTCACCAGAAAAACCGCGTCTGTCAACAGCAGCCGCGTCTGGACCCTCTCGCGGCGCTCCAGGCCTTAGCTTTTACCGCGACCCGCCTGGGATGACCAACGCAGAGATAAAGGGCACCACCATGATTCGTGGCGAGCGCGAACAAGATGCAACTATGAAGACAACAGGGACCAACATGCTAACCTCAGCGATGCGGAATTCAACAACTGAGCAACATCACAGTAAAGATCCGTTTAGCTGGCGCGAGGCGCAGCCGCCACCTACGCGAGGAGAAATGATGATGGCGATGGAGGTCGACGATGATTTGCAGACACCGCAGAGGCCACCAAGAAAAGTCGCTTTTCAAAGTCCTTTGCGTAGTCAACAAGGCGACGACGGAGATCGCAGGAGGAATTCTCAACATGGAAAAGCCCATCGAGGAGACCGGAGAACTACTGGAAGGTCCGGAGCAGAGAGTAATTCTAGATCAAGACAGCAAGAAGCAGAGATGACCAGCGGTCATTCAAAAGATAACAACGCAGCTGCGAGACATTCCTCATCATCTTCAGCTGCGCGCTTTTACGAAGATCCTATCATGCCAGCGGAGCAGGCAGGTGGCAGCAGTGGCAGCAAAAGCCGAGCTAGCAACATGCAAGCGGGGCCTCCACATCTTCAGGGACGAAATCCTATTACCGGAGAACTTGTTCGTGACCCCCTTCCAGGACATCCCCAACGCCTTATTGGGCCAAAAGAAAGCAAGGGAGCAGGGGGCATACGACAACCACCAGCAGGAGAACTTTCACAGCATCCAAACGATGTTTACGGTGGTCGGGAATTCACCTTCACACGTGGCGGTGATGCTCTACGAGGAGACACCGATTATTATGGGCAAAACCCGAAGCGCGCATCAATGGAGCAGCCTCCAAGAGGTGGGGGCAACTTCTTTGAGGGTGTACCGAGTGGGCCAACACATATGGTAAACCAGGTCCTTCGCGGAGGACCTAGCCTCGGAGGTCGTCCTGGTTTTTCTTCTACCGCTGTCGATCGAGGTGACTTTCAGTCCATAGGAGTCGAAGAGCCGAGAGCAAGAGCGCGTGATGGAGACGACCACCCACCTCGGCAGCTGTCTATGTCTATGACAAGAAGTGTCGACTTTGGGGGAACAACCACGCCAACTGCTGGCGCGAAGAAAAACTTACTCACTGCAGCAGCTCGACGATGCCGCAACATCGCTAACAAGCAACGTCGCTAAAAGGAGAAGGAGGAGCGGAAGACGAACATGGACGAGAAGCAAATCCAAATGAGGACTTCGACTTGGTTGTTGGTTTTATTTTTTACCTTTGAATCATGATCATCACGAGATTTAAGATTTTGCACGAAGAAACTACATGTACATCTCCAATATGCATGCTCGAACGCAAGTAGGATCATTAGAACTCAACGGAACACATCACCATGTTTCGTCAACGGCAAATTTCAGGTATTCAAAAAGTTCCGATTCCGTAGCAGACGATAACGACAGCAACTTGGATCCTTTGTTGTCTCTGTTCTTGATGGCATAATTGGTGATCAGGGTGTCTCTGTTAATCTGTATGTGTTTCCAATAATTGCGATTCCCTTCTCTTCATTGTCTGTACACCAATTGTTGTGCCCGCCTCACTCGAACTCGATGAATACAACAGTCCTCATCCCCAATTTTATGAGTTTCCTCGACGCTCTTTACGCCGCCTTGTCTTGTTATCTAGTTTCTATCGGTTCATTGTAATTGGTTCTTTTCATTCAATAGTCCATGAGCATAAGTATTAGTATTTTTAAAGCTGCTACCGTGATATTCCTAATTTCTTATACTTTTGTTTCGTATTTCAACAACATTTTCATCATTTCCATTTCCTGAGACAAAAAGATGCGTCTAGTTATTCAGCGTGTTCGATCGGCATCTGTCGAGACTCCTGACAAGGGCATTGTGGGTCAGATCGGCGCAGGCCTTGTAGTGCTTGTTGGGATATGTCAAACCGACACGAAGGAGGACATGGAATTTTGTGCTAGAAGATTACTGCGTATGAAGCTATTTCCAAAGAACGGGCAGAATTTGAGCTTTACCGAATGGGGCGAACAGCCAGGGAACGCCCAGTGGGCACAAACGGTGACAGAAAGCAACTTTGGACTCTTGATTGTCTCGCAATTCACTCTACACGCAAAGTTCAAGAAGCCGAAGCCTGATTTCCATTGCAGTATGGCGCCGCAGCCGGCTAAAGAATTATGTTTGAAAAGAAGCAAATGCAAATGTCACTGGTTGAGATGCAGAATGAATTGCTCATTCTATGATTCTTCTGATAGTCGCATTTCACTTTTACAAGTATATAAGCAGAACAAGGAGTTCAACCCAGCCCTGAATCTTCTAGTGCATACAACTCTTTCTCTATGTTGGTTAGAAAATCCGTGCCCTCTTTCATGCAACATGTACGAGCAATTTATTGAGGAGATCCGCAGAGCACATTGTGCACCTCCGCCTCAAGCTGGTGGTGGAAAGAAGAAGGGAGCGGCACCTGCAGCATCGACGGACGATGCAGAGCAGAAGGGTCCAGTTTTGGCAACTGGAGAATTCGGCGCGATGATGAATGTGAAACTGGAAAACGACGGACCGGTGACGATGATAGTGGATTCAGACCTGGAGATGGGAGGAGGGAGCGCAAGTGGTGCCACTGCACAGGAAGCAAAGGCGTCAGCCTAAGCAACTGCCAGTGGAAATGAGTAGTCGGAAGGCTCCTAGAAGGAAGGCAGCTCCCAATTTGACGATTGACAGCACAATGTCGTCTGGGCTTAGATGGCATGTGACTCATTAATATCGACATTTCAAACTAAATGTATCTATCTTTATATATAGATAAGAATAATGGTTGTTTCTCTTCATCTTCTCCTCTTACATTATTGTGAAATCCCTCGTCTAACATTAGCACTCCATCGAGTCCTGTGCAAAAACAAACAGGAGAGCACTGTAGACGTTTCCGGTTCGAGATAATTAGGCTAGTAGTAGTCCGGTAAGTGTCTTGCCTGTGTCGTCGGTTTTAATGTTCGAATCGTTCAAATTTCATCAGACGATTCTTCGGAATCCTGCGCGAGCTTTTGTTCTCTTCATTGGTTGACACCGCGAATGCTGTTGTGGATAGTGTAAAGCAAATGCATGAAAAATCGAAAATATCAGATCTGCTCGACAGAGGCAGGTGCGCTGGGAGCATCTCCTGCTGGAAGCTAATTTCAGGAAACTTGTTTTTAGAAACAGCCTTTGCTACGGCTACTGCTCGAACTCCCCTTCTTCCCTGGCGAACTTTCCCCTGAACATTTTTTGCAGGCGAAAGCAGGTCAACAGACTGAGTTGCGTGAAAAAGTTGATGTCACTTCTTCATCAAACACAACCGAGCATCGAGAATACAGAGAAAAGAGTAAATCATCGCATAACCATGGCTGACAAGGTGTTGCGGGCCTCGAATGTTAAGCAAAGCGGAACGTTAAACCGCGCCCCCACCTTCGCATTTCGCACCACGAAGAGCAATGTTGGGGGTAGTGCTTGTGGAAACCCAACTAGTGGACCGGGTAAGGAATCTGCAAAAGCATCATCACCAAACATCTCTCGACTAGTTTGCTCACCAGGTGTCCGAACTGCATCGTCTAGGCAGGACGTGCCTGCAAAAAATGCGAGTGCATCTGCAGCTACTGTTGCTCCCCCTGCTGCAACAACGAAAAGCCGTCACGCGCCGTATTTCGCAGACCTGAAACTGGTTTTCGAGACGTTCTGTGACCTAGCGGGCGTTGTGCCTCAAGGTAGCAAGAAGCAACTCGTGGTCGTGCTTACCGTTCGACACGCCCAGAATCTTCTGAAGAGATTTACAGGCGCTTCGGTTTATCCACTTCCACCACTGTGTGTGCGTGAGCTCGTGCGTTCCGCAATCGAAGAGCATTGCCGAAGTCAGCGCTTGGGTCCGTTTGAGAGCAGTCGACTTTTGAAAAGAATGGAGATCACGGAGCCAATTTTTCGTAGCGCGATTGAAAAATGGTCGGGCTCAGGTTCGTGCGCCTCGCTTTGGACCAACGTCATGGCATCCAGTGCTCCAGAACGGAAGAAGAAAGACGCTTCTGGAGAAGATAATGTAGCGACAGAGCTCGATCCGAGAGCCATTTGCGACTTCTTCGCTACTTTTCTGAATGACAGCACCTTCGAAATGGCGGAAATGCAAAGATTGATTCAAGACACGCTTCCAAGCAAGGCGAAGCCGGGTCACGAATCAACAATCTCAGAAATCGACTTCGAACACATGCTTAAACACAGAACAGTGAGGTTGTAGCACCGATACCGATCGCATTATTTTCCGCATCTTCTATAAATATGAAGGTGTAGACTACTATAACGCATAATTCATTGGTGTCATGCAGATTGCATCAAAATGTACGCATTTTGACTGTCTCGTGCTGTCGCGTGTTCTATTATCAGAACTATCGGTCATGATCATGCTCCCTAAAAAAACTAACAGCTTTTCTTTGACGAAAAACGATGTTTCTTTTTCACTTACAACTTGTCAGAGGTAGCACTTCTTGTGTTCTTCACATACAACAACGCAGTCACACGGCGCGCGCACGCACATCTGCATGGCTGTTGAGAATGATGCCAGCACCAGATATCTGGTTCATCTGCTGATGGTGCGCGACTCTCATGCTTTCTGCTTTCTGTCAGAGATATACCTCCAACGAGAGAGTCTACTATACTTCTAAAGTCCTTACTAGTTCTGCCTAGTTGAAGAAGATACCAGGAACGCTGGAGCGAAAAATTCTTTCGAGCCAACATCGATTCACGTGAAAGTACGTTTTTCTTCTGTACCAGCTTGTAACTTCTTAGCGTGGTTCACCACCAACTACTACTACATATTGATACTTACATTTATTCTACTACTTGTTCTTCTTTTTGTCGTTGCTTGTCGCACTAAATTGCTGTGAAGACGGACGATCACAAAAATACCGGGTTCAAAAGATTCGACGTTGCAACGCGAAGCGTCCAATACATTACCACCTGCTAGGGACGCAAAGAGACCTTCTCCCTGCGACGACGATATGACAATGTCGACCGGTGGCCAGCGAAAGCCTATCATTGGGGGCAACTGGAAGAGCAACCCAGCAACGGTCAAGGCCATTGGAGAGCTGCTTGACAGCTTCAACTCAGCAGGCTTCGACGCAGAGAAGGTCGATGTTGTTCTCGCTGCCACAGCTCTACACATCCCTCTTGTCAAAGAAAAACTCGACGCGAAATTCAAGGTATAAGAATTGGCCTTAGTCTCGCTGTAATCCTCTTAAAATCGATATCATGCTTCTATAGTTTCACACGATTGTCGTTGCTTACTTGCGTAGGGTGACCGTATGACTAATTGTGACGATGAATTGTCAATTTTGATTTAGTGTTTACTTCTGGATTCTCTGAGTTTCTATCAGGTTGCAGCCCAGAACTGCAGCAAGGAAAAAGAGGGTGCGTTTACTGGTGAAATTACTTGTGGTATGATTGCGGACTGTGGGCTGGAATGGACCCTAGTCGGACACTCAGAACGACGACACAAATACGGCGAGACTGATGCCGACATGGCCCTCAAGGTTGAGAAGGCTCTTGCCGCTGGTCTTAACGTGATCATGTGCATTGGCGAACTTCTTGAGGAACGACAAGCAGAAAAAACAACGGACGTAGTGATACTCTGTAGGCCGAATATCGAAGAAGAAGAACTCGTAGATGAACTAGAATTGTTAATTGTCACCGGGTCGTGAATTCGGCTTTCATAACAGCGGGAGCAAGAACAATGTTGTTAATGGATATTTGGCACCCCATAGCAATATGAATATTATGAGAAAGAGAAAATGGCCACCTCAATAAACTTAGGTCTGTAAAACGCAGCTCTTGGCCATTGCACCGAAAGTCAGTGACTGGTCTAAGGTTGTTATCGCCTACGAACCTGTCTGGGCTATCGGAACTGGTGTGGTTGCCACCCCGCAGCAGGCCCAGGACGCGCATAAAGCATGCAGGGAGGTATGGCTAATAGATAGGATGAAAGTGCTGAGTACAACAGTGTCGTCACAGCGATAGGCTGTTCTTTTACCAGAGTATTGTGTAGATCACCGAACAACGAACTGTCGTACGCGTAGGCGAGGAGCAGATGAAACGCCTGAACATCCTGACCATCAACAGATTCTCGCGAGTGCGGTATCCGCAGAGGTAGCTGCGTCAGTGCGAATTCAGTATGGCGGAAGCGTCACGCCAGACAATTGCGCGGAGTTGATGTCCTGCCCCGATGTCGACGGCTTCCTAGTCGGCGGCGCTTCATTGAAGCCGACCTTCATGGACATTGTTAAGACGGTCGAGAAAGGAGTGTAAACGTAATCCTACTCAATCAATTTGACGTCCACCACGCCGTACAAAAGATACAGACGAGATTTGTCTGCTCATCGAGTGACACTGAAATCGGCCTTCGCCTTAGTTTTGTAACTGAGACAAGCATGATGGCTACGCCCGCCGGTCGTGCGATCGGCTTCATTTTCCTGGCAATATTGATCTTTTTCTAGGTGTGATGAACTCCAGTTCTCGTATAAGTAGCGCTAGCTTTGTTCATAGAAATTTTTATCCGGCGGCAACTTCAAGTCTTGATTAGGTTAGAAAAGTTAGATTTAGAAACCAGTAGATACCTGCTGCCTTGAGGATGGGTCAGCATTTACGATATACAGAGCCACTTCATGTAGTTTATCTGAAGCAAGACTGGCAAGAACAAGGCACTCGAGCTTTGACAGTACAAATCCATTTTATGTGTTCGTGTTTGCAAGAGGAACGTTGGCTACACAAAGACCTCGACCATGGCTTCACGTGTTATTCTGTCATCGGTTGAGATCATTAAAAGTGTTCACGATCGTGACCGTGACTTCTATGTAATAATAATGTCTCTTAGAAGATGATTACCTTGAAGTTGAATCATGACAGGGACACACACACGAGCATGATTTTCAGTGTTCAGTAAGCCAATAGATGAGAGGACTCGGTAGAAACAACGAAGAAAGTTGGGGCGAACGTCATTTGCAACCACACGATTCCCACGACTCGGTTGCCTTCATCTCAATCTCTGTTGCATAACATCCAGATTGGCGGCATTCTCGGTTCCCCTCAGCCTCCTGTCCCAAATTCGATATATGCCTGATCAAATTATCTTATTTTTGGACACCGAGACCAACTGCCACAACTGCAAGATTTACACAGTACGTAGGTGTAGGTTTTAGTTTTGGGCAAAGAGTTGCTCTCGATGTAATGCAGTGGAAAATAATATTAGTTTTGATCCCTTCATTGTTCGGTAAATCTCCTGCAATAGTACTGGATTAACTTTAACATCTTCATCGAGTGGCGATTTCACCTCTCCTCTCGAAATTGTGTTAAGATGGCGTGCTAATTTACGTTCTGCGTGGTACATAGTTGGTCGAGATCACCTGCAACTCCATAGAGAAATTGACATTTTTGTGGGAAGAGAGAACCCCCACTCTTGTGTCAACACCTAGCGAGATCGCTTGTCAAGTAGTGCTTCTGCGAGTGGACCAGGTCGTATGCGGCGTGTCCGGCTAATCGCACTTGAACCTCAGATTATAGTCGTAGTGGTGGAAAAGAAATAGGAGCGCGAGTGTCACCACTTCAGATTTCGCGAGTACGAGAACGAAATAGTTGCAACATCAGACGACTTCATATAGCGAGCAGTTTTTCTTACCGATTCCGACAACAACTACCCCTGCCTCTTTCGGTCCTCGGTGGAGCTGGCAAGAAGCCCACCATGAATCCCGACCAGATCCGGCATTATGATGGAAAAAACCAACGACCCTTACCCGATGCGCCGCTTATACACAAGACGCCAGAACCTATGCCAGCTGTGGCATTGGGGAGGAGATATAACTGGGGTCATCAATGCGCACAAAACGGTCACTCACTTTTCCCGGTGCCAACATATTCCGAATTTCATCGAAGTACTTCTATGCATTGAATTATATTTTTAAGACTTAGTGGGACTTCGCTTCTGCAGCTCTGAAAAGGAAATATAGATGTTTTAGGAGTGATGTTGGTCAATGAATAGCCAGAGGCCGTATCGATCTGTAACGAACATCAGATAGAAGAGCTCAATGACTAGTAATGCCGATGGCTGAGCCCAACATGTGCAAAGTGGAAGCGAACTCATCTGCAATCAGGTATAAATCAAAATCCGCAAATGGGGAATCTTTGGATAGACGCGTCGAATACATACGAGGATGCGAGATTATCAACCCAGCCATACCATTTGGAAAAAGATACGAGGACGATGACCGCATATTCTTATGACCGAAAAGTGCCACCAGGTACTTATTTGTTTTTCGAGCTTGAGACTTTCTGTCCATTTTCTTTTTCTGTCTAGGGACGCATGGGTACACTTGGTCATGGTCGGAAGACCACAATAAAAGGACGATTGATTCTCATTTTTTTACAACAGTGAGTTAGTTTTAGTTGTGACAGTGCCAATAGAGATCCTTATCATGACTATCACCATCATCCTCTGTTCATTTCAGGTACCTACATCGAGCCGAAAGTTTTCAATCTGGGGACCCATGTCAACTGGAAAACTCGACCATTAGACAAGTACTTCTGTGCTTCTCCTAGTGGTGATAGACACAACTACGAAATTTGTTAGACCGTAGCTGTACTAGAACATGTTAGAAAGCATAGCTAGATCCTACAACTTGTGCATGAAATTATTGTTGTCGGTCTGTTACTTGTGGTATTGATTGTTGAAGTAACCAGAGTTACCTCAAGTAGTGCATAGTTGTCGATTTTTAATCCCGGCTCTTCATCACGAGGTATATTCCTTGTGTATAGCCAGCAGGTGATAGCGATAGAGGGACAGTTAACAGAACTGATTCTCCAACTCCAAGGTTCGAGCAAGCGAAGATGCGAAGGGATGTGCGCTGCTATAGCGTAGTCAAACGAGGCTCACCAGCGGTGCACCATCCCGTATGTGTCTTCGCAGGATTCGTAGATTGGACCATGGAAAGAGCAGCGATGACAAGGGGCGAGATGGATCGGCTCATGTATGCAGCTTGTGCAGCGAAGTATCCATGTAGTAGGCCAGCAACATACGAGGAATACATCTCACACGGAATTAGTGGACTACCAACGTTGAACCAGACAAAGCACGACATCACATTCGTGGGACCAGGTAGTGTACCTTTAGGAGTGGGAGTTGTGTTGCGTAAAAAATTATCTTACGACCGTCTGTCTCGGACGGGCATGTGTAAAATTTACTTATCTCTCCCTCATTATGACGCACCGTATTGAGAGAAGTGCATTCTACCAAGTGTTCGTGTTGACGCAAATATGATATGATTCAGGTAGCGACAAAATCGGGCCTGGAGCTCTTGACCATAGGAATACGATTTTCGCGAGAAAAAAAGTCGTCTTTCCAGGGGATCGACTCGATGGAAGCAGCGGACAGATAGAAATCGACGATTCATCATGTTGGGGCAGAAAAACATGTAATTTTCATTTGTCTTTCTAACTATTCTTGATTCTGAATATGTTGTATGAAATTCCGTCTATGATCATTAATTTGGTACCTATCAGTGGCAGGAATGCAAAAATTAAAAGCAAGTTGTCTTGCTTTATATATTACTTAACTGAAAAGCGATCAGACACGATAACCCCGACCCCCCCCATCGTAGGTATCGCAGTGGTCTACACAAACCGTTTGCGGAAGCAGCCGAGTCTGAAACAATTTGGCGTCCTTCGAAATACGTTGAAAGTGCGTGATGGCACCGATGTTAGCGGGGACGCGACACAATGGAATGCGTTTGACCACCTGTACAAGCAGAACGCAAGCGTGTTGCCATTGTGAACAAACTCATTATGGTCAAATGCGATCAGCTGCTGCTGTTGGCAGAGGCATGGCACGATGAGGAGGTCCACGTGATTAGGACGATGAGGGCCCTCTCTTCTCGTTGCTGTATAGTAACAAGTAGTTTGAACGTGTACCAGCAGGAATCTTCTAAGTTTTGATCGTATTCACAGGTATCAACAAATCTAATACTCAATCACCTTGTTCATGTTCATGAAAGTATACACGGCACCAGCACTAGGATGAGTTTCAATGGCATTCAAGAAAATTCGTCATGCAGATTTTTAGTTAAGTAATCACTTACGTCATCGTTGTTGGTTTATGAAGCGAGCTAAGACCGCAAGAGTAGTCAAGGTCGCGAGAGTTGTTTTATGAAGTTGCGCGTGACGTCTACTAACACTTGAGCTTTTTTGTTTGTATCCATTGCTTGGAACACTTTTCATAAAAATAGAGCATATCTTGATTGTGATAACGCAAGGAGTCTATCACGGTTAGCTCTAAGTATACATGACTGACATAGCGCATCCTCATATCCAAGGCGATTAATTATCTGACACGCAGACGCACTGGATCACAACTTCATAATGAAACTTCTTATCTGATCTTTTTTGCTTGCTTTATCCTTCTCATTTTGCATTTTCGGTGCATACTCCTCAAGAACCAAACTGGAAATTGCCTATTCTTTACACATTCACTTATTCCCGTTCATCGATTTTATGTTTAAGCTTGTTTCTCGTTAACTTTTGGGTAAAGGTGGAGAGAATGCCGTTCACAAAAATCTGTTGAAATGCAGCATGCTGGTGTCATGTTGAGGAGTGAGCACTTCAGTCAGCATCAGGCGCTATTGTGGCGAGTTCTACATGTGTTCATCGAGGAACTGCGATGAAGGAGGCGACCGCGGTCTTACTTTTCCGTTTACGTCAAAGGAGAAGACAACTGTGCAGAATTCTTCAGTGGCTTGATCCAATTGAGCGAAGAACGTCAGACAGATGACGTCAGAAGCGCAGCCAGTGTGTTTGTTCAGCTTGGAATCGTAGATGCCTACGGCTTGTGCACGATTGAACGTGTGTTGGTCTGTTCTCCCATGAGTTGTAATATCTGCCGTACCTCCGAATGCATATCTATGGCACACCATGATGAGAATAGCTCCAAGAGCATAGGTCGTTGTACTTCAGGAGTAAATACTCCACTGACTTTTAGAAAAAGGCGTTGTATCTATACTTATGTATTCTTAGTGTAGTGCTGTAGTACGACACTACCTAGAATTCTTATATATTTGCTGAAGTTGCCTTTGCCAGTTTTGTCAACTTTAGCGACGAGTACACCAAATCGTCTGCCCTTCGATCGAGCTTGCGACGCCTTCTGCTGTCTCCAGTCTCTTTTGACTTGGGTGAACCTACAACGTCCATACTTCCTCGTTGTTGGGCACAAACGTGGCATGACGATCATGAAGGCCAACATTGCAGGCGCGCTTTGCGCCTCTCTCGGTCTGTTTTCCACACCCGCAGATGGTATTCGTAACCGCATCCGCATGCTCGAGCAGCATGCTCAACTAGAGCAAACAATGGAGTGCCTGAAGCAACATCGCAACCGCCGCACCCCCGTCGGTGCGTACTACAAGCAGTGCGACTCTCTGAATGGTCTGATTACGCCCTATTACGTTCCGGACATGCCTGGTGCGCCGACCGTGGTGGCCTGTGTGCCGCAAATGTGCGAAGATAAGCTGGGTCGTTCGTCGGACATCTTCACCGCAGCTGGTGGTGCCCGATCGGGTGCTGTAGCGCCATGCGCTCAGGGTGGCGTCGAGGAGACCTGCTGCACCGACAGAGCCGCAGATCTCTGCGCGGCTGGACAGCTCTTATGAAGCAAGCCATTGCTAAACACAAGCAGCAAATAAATGTCATCTAGTAGTTGATGGTCTTTTCCTTCCTATTGATCCTTTACAATTAGACTCCGAATCAAGCTCAAGGATGTATGATACAGCTACTTCCTTTTTCATACCTACCCTGTCAGCTCGGAGAAGTGCACTCTTTGGGAGAGTATGGAGAGCTCTCTACTCCGGCTGCCAATGCAACGGACGCTGTGGAGATCGCTGACGACTGTGGCATTGACAAGCGAGGAATCCAAATTGACGGAAAAGGAACAGTTGCCGACTTCGAAAACGCGGTTAACAAAACCATCGAGGCTGTGTACACTCCGCCTCATCAGTGCGTCTGCCCGCACGGAACTGGCGCAGCCGGGTACGACTTCGTTGTAGTTAGTGGAATGGTCGTGTGGAGTGCAGCCCCTTATGGATGATGAAAGTTTGCTTTTATTTCGCCTTCTCCACATCATCCGTACCGTATGTAGCGTGACGTTGAGAGAGAAAGCATTCAGCTTGGCAAAATCCAATGATCTTTCCAAATGTCAGGTATGATTGCCCTGAGGACGGCATGCAGAAGTGCACCGCGTGCAACGAGACCGAAGGTTACTACCTGGAGCCTGCCAGTGCCATCTGCCACCTGAAGAACTGCACGTGCGCCAACGGTATCGGTTCCGCCGGGACCGAGTGTCCAGCTCACGCCCAGCCCAAGTGCGATTCATGCCATGCCGGTTTTCATAGCGACGACAACACCACCTGCGTGAAGAACATTTGTTCCTGCGAAAACGGAGTGCCAGTCACCGGGGCAGACTGTGCGACGCACATGAGCGCGCGTTGTGCCACATGCGAGCGTGGTTACACCATGCAGATGGGGAAGTGTGTGCCCAACCAGTGCAAATGCGAGGACCAGAACGGGATGATGGTCGGAAACGCGAGTGTCGGTCCTAGTTGCCCTGCGATGGGCGAGAATCACTGTGATGCGTGCGCGGATGGCCATGCCATGCTGTCGCCAGGCTCATGCAGCCTGAAGCAATGCCAATGCGAGAATGGTAGAATTTAGAATTCACATAAATTGAACCACGCATTTAGGTGAGAGGAGATCCAAGTAGCGAGAACATCAGCAGCGCTGAGGTCTTCAGCCCAACCTTGAAGTTGAAATGAGGTCCATAGATAAGTTTAGCAACTCTGTAAGGATTCAACGTGAGCGTCCTCTCGTAATCTATCATCATTCTGCTGCAATTCGATGTCGAACAACGACTTACCAAAAATTTAGGTAACGCAACTAGCGGATCTGAGTGCCCAACGGATGGCATGGAATTTTGCAGCGGTGCCAACGCAGGATTTCATCTTAGCTCTGCTTATCCTCCACTGACTGAAGCCAACGAATGCTACTGCGACAACGGTTCTCCTGCGATGGGTGGCCTCAATATGTCCAGCAGCGGCCCGATGTGCACCACACATAGCGAGCACAATTGTGACACCTGCGAGACTGGCTATCGTTTGAATCTCACGGAGTCCGGCAGCTACCGATGTGTCGAATTGCAGTGCACGTGCGAATTCGGATTGGCCTCGACGGGAACGTCTTGCCCGGAAGAAGGTGCTGAACACTGCGCGAATTGCAACGAGGGCTACCACAAGGAGGGCGACACTTGCGCGCTCAATGTGTGCGAATGCACTAATGGACAAGGCGCGACAGGCGGAAACTGCACTGAACACGGTACAATGACCTCTACGCAGCTAGAGCTAATATCTTCATCTTGTTTTTATACAAGTTAGGTAAGTATTCATTATGATTGATTAACAATAAACTGTCGTTGAGCTTTGGTCTTAGGATTGCTATTTCTCAGCGACAAACCGAGAGTCACATCTTCTTCTCGATACACATACACGTGTCTACTTCAACAGGAGGTCTTTCATCTTTCGCTATCCTCCAACAGGTTCGATGATGTGCGGTGAGTGCGCTGATGGATTTACCCTCAACCGTGGAACTGGAGTTTGTGAGTTGAAGAAGTGCACATGCGAACATGGCGAGGGCGCCACTGGAACATCGTGCCCAGCAGATGGCCATGCCGCCTGTGCCACGTGCAGCACTGGATTTCACTTGGGCGATCCGAACTCTGCAGACCCCTACGGCTGCCCCGCCGGATCCGAAGCCGTGCCGTTTGGCGGACAATACTACGGCGTGGACATCGGTGGTTGCGGTTTGACCGGATGTGGTGCGCGATACGAGCAAAAGACCTTCGACGAATGTTTTGACGCGTGCGCTGCAAATCATCGCTGCAAGTCCTTCACCTTCGGTGAACCAGGCTGCGACAAGGACCACCCTGACGTCCCAGTGTGCACGCTCTACGACCACGCCACTCCAAACCGGCTGTGGCCCGGCGCGGACGGACAATACCATACCGTTCTTTGCAAAATGAGTACTCCGCCTACTTTTTTTCTACTAGACTGAAGCGCCCGGTAGCACTCATTCCACTAGAATCCTCCACCCTCGGCACGCACTTCCCCCGCCATTGCGTGGCCCCGCTTGCCCGGTCCCTTCCCTACGGAGTTGATCGGTGGAACAGCGCAAGGGCCGGGCGCTTGGCGGCCTGCGGCTATTGGAAAGGCATGCCTGGAAATTGTAGGCCTGGGAGCTCGCTGGTCTTCTGTTGGGTTTGGCATCTTTGCGGAAGGCTGGGGCGTTTATCTTTCAAACTTTTTTTAGCAGTAGCTTTAAAATTCGCTTACCTCAAAGAAACTCAAAAACTTTGCACCCATTTTTTTTACGGTTCGTCTTTCTTCGATAAAGTCAAAAGCCTTGCCACTTTCGCGCTTTCGAGTTTGGGCCTTCAGTTTTTAACTTCATCGCACACAGAGCGGACTCAGGCGTCAGGGTGGTGCGTTGTAGGTTTCAAGCTGAAGACTTGAAGCCGCAAGACACTGGGAGACCTTGCGCCCAGTTTTTTTTTGCAGTTACAGTCTAGGCGTCTGCAATAAAGTCGGAAGCGTTGCCACTCTCGTGCTTTCAGATTTGGGGCATCGACTTAAAACCTTTCAAAATCTTGAAGCCTTGGGCTTTATCGTCAAAAAATTACACTTAAGCGCCAGGGTGGCGCGTTGTAGGCTTCAGGCTGGCTGAAGACTTGAAGCCCCAAGGCCGTAGCCTTAGCCATACTGGCGCAAGGTGGGGGTAGAATGCTGGAAGCTGGTAAAGGTCTTCAAATGTAACCGCAGACCAACAGGCTGCCACACCCACCGTGGCAAAGTCCGCAAAACCAGCAGAAGCTCTTGCCTAGGGCGTAACGTGCTGAAGGTAGGCGGTCGCTGCCACTGCCAAAGCCAGAGAAAGACACGCAAGGACAAGCAAACCACTGCGAAGAGGGAGAGGGCTGGAAGGTAGAGCGCCACTAGGTTCCAACTCAATCCATCGAGCACAGTCATGCCGACGCTCTCCCGCGAAGGCGAACTGTGCTCGCGTAAGCGTAACTACTCTTACCTAAAGGATCCAGGGCCATCAAGATGATAGCCAGCGCTGGCTGGCTTTCTTTCGGGCTCTTTGGCTCGTTGTTCAATTGGTCAAGTGCGCCGATTGATTCACACCAAGCCGCCAAGTCGGGAAGTGGAACACCTTCGAGCCAGATGGCAAAAATGTGGCGCGTTTTCTTGGGGGTTTTTCTGTATTCTCTATCTCTTCGGCCCGCTTTTCGTGGGGGCGGGGGCCTACCCATGAATCGCTGACAATTTGGGGCCCCCGCGTGTCTTAATTCGTGGAAACCCACGAGCCTCGGGCAATTGGCACTCTCGTCAGCGCGTCGCTTGAGAGTGACGTGACGGCGTCCACCCAGCGCCCACGAATTGCGGACAGTTGGGGCGCTGTGGCTGGCCGTCTTCGTGAAGATGTTTGTTAGAAGCCGTGAGGTGTGGGGCGTCTGTCTGCGTCTGTTTTTCGTGGGGACCCGTGAAAAGCGGACCGCGCTGCGCGTTATGCTTGCGGTCGTCTTTCTTAACGAAACGCTACCCGCGAGGCGTGGGGTATCTGCTGGCGGTGTCGTCTCTAGTGAAGGGAGTGGCTTGGATTGGCGTCCGCTTTTCGTGGGAGCCCGCGAGAAAGTGGACGTGGGTCGTGCTGTTCGTTATGTTCGTGGGCGTCGTGGGGAAGGCGTTGCCCATGAGGCGCGTTGGTGCTGTCAGCTCTAGCGGAAGGGAGCGCTTGGCTGAGGGTCCACTGTTCGCGGGAACCCACGAAAAGCGGACCGCGCTGCGCGTTATGTTTGTGGCTGTCTTGATGAAGATGATACCTGTGAGGCGTGGGGTGTCTGCTGGGGCTGGTGGCGTCGTCTCTACTGCGGGGAGCTGCTTGGTTGTGGTTCGGCGTCTGTTTTTCGTGGGAACCCGTGAAAAGTGGACGGCGCTGCGCGTTATGCTTGTGGTCGTCTTGTGATCGACGACAGGCGCAGACGATCGACGACAGGCGAAGGGCCGCCTTTCGGTCGACGACAGGCGCAGACGATCGACGACAGGCGAAGACGATCGGCGACAGGCGAAGACGATCGACGACAGGCGAAGACGGTCGACGACAGGCGGAGACGATCGACGACAGGCGCAGACGATCGACGACAGGCGCAGACGATCGACGACAGGCGCAGACGATCGACGACAGGCGCAGACGATCGACGACAGGCGCAGACGATCGACGGCAGGCGCAAACGATCGACGGCAGGCGCAGACGATCGACGACAGGCGCAGACGATCGACGACAGGCGAAGACGATCGACGACAGGCGAAGACGATCGACGACAGGCGCAGGCGATCGACGACAGGCGCAGACGATCGGCGACAGGCGCAGACGATCCACGGCAGGCGCAGACGATCGACGACCGGCGCACTCTGTGGCCGTCGGTCTGTCTCGTCTGTGGTCGTCGGTCTGTCTCGTCTGTGGTCGTCTGTCGATCCATCTGTCTCGTCTGTGTGGTCGTCGGTCTGTCTCGTCTGTGGTGGTCGGTCTGTCTCGTCTGCGGTCGTCAATCTGTCTCGTCTGTGGTCGTCGGTCTTCTGTCTCGTCTGTGGTCGTCGATCTGTCTCGTCTGTGGTCGTCGGTCTGTCTCGTCTGTGGGTGTGGTCGTCGGTCCGTCTCGTCTGTGGTCGTCGATCTGTGTGTCTCGCCTGTGGTCGTCGGTCTCCTTCGTCTGTGGTCGTCGATCTGTCTCGTCTGTGGTCGTCGATCTGTCTCGTCTGTGGTCGTCGATCTGTCTGGTCTGTGGTCGTCGATCTGTCTCGTCTGTGGTCGTCGATCTGTCTCGTCTGTGGGTTCTGATGTGTATCGCAAGAATCTGAGCCGTGCTCGTGGGATTGTGATCCCGCTCCCGGATCCTCTTCTGTAGAGGATGCTACAGTTTAACTCACTATAAATCTCGCTGTTGACGCGGCAATGGATTCACACACAAACCTTAACTTCTCACAGAGGATGCCTCTTCGTTCGGAATGACGACACGGCTTCCGGAACCGCAAGACTGCGAATTCTATGGCGGTATGCCGACGTGTGATAGCACCCTTTCCGGCTGCCCCGGCTTCCCCTACCAAGAGGGTGATCGCAAAGTTTACCGATGCTGTGCACAAGGCTGCACCGCTGGTCGCGGACTGCTCTTCAAGGAACAAAGTATCTGTGGCCGTGGCGGTCAAATATACAGCTGCAGCCAGAAGAACGGTTGCTGCGCTGCTGACGTCAGTGATGATCGCATTTGCGGAGTCGCCGGTGCAAAGGCCCCATGCCTCATCGACCCGCGTAACAACGCGGCTGCAGCGCCAGCTGGTGGCATGACCAGAAGTGCGCCGGTTGCGGCACAATCTTGCGTTGCTAACAATATGGCACACAGCTACAAGATCAAGATCGAATTGGTGCTCGTGGAGGTCATTGTCATATGTTGTAGGTAGAGTTAGCAAGTAACTACTCCTTTTTCTTAGAATAGAGCAGCGTCTCTCTGTCGAAAAAGTGAATCGCGTTTCTCATTTTCGTTTCTGATGTCCTTCACCTTTCCCCCGTGTCTAAGAAAGCGTGCAAATGCGAGAACGGTCAGGCGGCAGTGGGCATGGAGTGTCCTGCGGACGGCGAAGAGAAGTGCAGTATGTGCAATTCCGGATTTGCGTTGAATACCAACACGAGCCACTGCGACGCCACCACTATGTGCGGACGCGAGGGATGGGAGTGCTCTCATGACGGCATGGCCATGAAGATCTTTACTGAGAAGAAGATGACGTTCAGCGAAGCGCAAGACTTCTGCAAACAACAGAGCTTCTTTTTCACTGGCGGCGACGCGCGCTTGGCACAGGGTACAACAAAATACCAAGCGGAACAGATCTCAAAGATGGTCAAAACATCTGGCAAATCCGTTTGGGTCGACGCAGCCGACAAGGCTATTGAAGGAAATATGGCCTACGAACAGCCGCAAAACACGATGGAATACACGAACTGGGCCAGGGGTACTAGAACTTGCAAGAGGATGAAGAGGGCATTGTCACCAGATAGATACAAGCACAAAAACAAGCCATGATTATTGTTCTTCTTCACGCAAAAATGAATCGTCCACAAGCTCTGTCTCATTGATTGACTTTGACACTTCTAACGCGACCTTCCATCAAAGATTGATTTCAAAGAAATGGCAATTACAAGATGAGTTGCAATCACCAAAAAATCACAGGTCAACCGAACAACTGGGGCGGAAAGGAGGATTGCCTCGTCATGTGGAAAAATGGTCACTGGAATGACCAGAAGTGTAGTAGGAGCCGCAAATTTGTGTGCTCTAAAGCCACCTGTGGTGATGCCTCTTGGAGCTGCGTCGGAGATTCGGTTTCGTACCGTGTTTTCGATAGCAAGCAAAATTGGGCCGATGCCGCAAACGAGTGCGCAAAGAAGAGCGCCTCGCTCGCCATCATCAAGACCGCTGCGGAGAACGAGATGGTGAAATCCCTCATCCGCTGGGCCTGGGGCGGCTACTGGATCGGCGGCACGGATCAGCGACATGAAGGTGTGTGGGAGCTGGCACGCTACGCTTCTCCTTTCGCCAAATGGGCACGTGGAGAACCCAACGACTGGATGGGCAGCGAGGACTGCGTCGCTGTCTACGGACGCAACGGCAAGTGGAACGACTTCGGCTGTTCCAAGAAGATTTCCCCAGTCTGCTCGGTTGTCGATTATTCGACATTGCAGAACGAGTGCAAGTGCGACAACGGGGAGCCGGCTCGCGGCGTCGACTGCCCTGCCGATGGAGCACCGAAATGTGTCAGTTGCGGCAACGGCTTCATGTTGGAGGGGAACAAGTGTGAGAAGGCCACCATTTGCGGCAAGGACGGCTGGCGCTGCGCCGAGGATGGAACCGCATTCAAGCTGTTCCTGGATGACAAACAACAATGGAAGCAAGCACGCGAAGCCTGCAAGGGCACGCCCTTGTTCTACGAAGGCGGCAACCCTCACCTTGCGAAGCTGCTCTTGCCGGAACACGCGAAACTCGTGAAGACTATGGTCCGCGAGGGGAAGAAGAACGTCTGGATTGCAAGCAGCGACAAGTGGCAAGAGCGCAACTTCGCCTACACCGGACATTAAGGCTTCTAGTAGATCACTTTCCCATGTGAACTATTCTGAGTGACGTCCCATTGTGATTTAGGGAGAAAACCAAGGGGAAAGAAAACGACTCACTCAACCACGGATAGTGATACTCTGCTGCTAAGGACAGAAGAGGCCGGGACTGCCGTACAAAAAGTGGGGCAAGAGAGAACCGAACAACTGGGGGGGTCGTGAAGATTGCACAACCATGAAGTTATGGGTCCCTGTGTATGATTTCGCAGAGAATTAGAATGATCACTTACCACACCTATTCTACATTCTTCTACATGTTGGCTCGTCAACACGAAGGAAAAAGTTTTTGAAATCGTACTTGTTCTTCTTCTTCTTCTTCTTCTTCTTCTTCTTCTTCTTCTTCTTCTTCTTCTTCTTCTTCTTCCTCTGCTTCTGCTTCAGCTTCACGAAGTTGTAAGTAATTTAGACGCTCAAGTTTTTCATCCTCAGCTATTGGTACTTAGAAGTGAATCATTTTCTTTTTGTTGCTCCTGCTCGTGCTCGTCATTCTTTTTCTCTTTCTAAGCATCGGCAAGAACGGTAAGTGGAACGATTTGAGCTGCGGTGCCAAGCGTTGGTTCGTGTGCAGTCGCGAGAGCAAGGACCCGTCGACGCTCAGCTGTGGCAAGAACGGATGGGTTTGCGTCAACGGAAAGAAGAAGGCCTTCAAACTATACAAAAACAAGAAGTCATGGAAGAAGGCCGCAGAGAAATGCAACAAGGTGAAGGGGTCTCTCGCACGTATCACCACAAGTTACGAGAACAGAAAGGTGGAGAAAATGATCGATAATGGAGGAAGGAACAAAGCGGCCTGGATCGGACCAAACGATCGCCACAAGGAAGGCAGATTCAACCTTCTTATGAGTCTCGATTTTGATTTCGATACTTTTGATCAACAGCCTAAAATGATCCACCCAAAAAATCTTACGCTTGTTTCGAAATAACGTTCGAAAGAGCAATATACTAGGCTCCTGGGGCTTCGCTCGAGGTTTCCGCTACCTCTCTAGACGTTTCCAGCCTGTCCGGTAGTCCTGTCCTGTACTCCTGTCCTATTGTACTCCTGTCGTGTACTCCTATGCTTTACTCCTGTCCTGTACTCCTGTCCATCCTGTACTCCTGTCCATCCTGTACTCCTGTCCATCCTGTACTCCTGTCCATCCTGTACTCCTGTCCATCCTGTACTCCTGTCCATCCTGTACTCCTGTCCATCCTGTACTCCTGTCCATCCTGTACTCCTGTCCATCCTGTACTCTGTGTGTGTGTGTCTCTGTGTGCGTCTGCGCGTGCGCGTGTGTGTGCGTGTGTGCGTTGGCAGTGTGAGAGTGTCGGGCTGTGTGAGAGTGTCGGGCTGTGTATAAAAAGTGTCTTTTTGTGTGTGTTTGTTGTCTTGGTGTGTTGTGTTAATGGTTCTGGAAAATTTTGGTCAAGAACAAGAAGAGTTACTAAGTATAATTATTACCGCAATTCCTAGTTTCAGGCCTAGGTGAAGACCTCCCGATCAAGCTGTTGCGAATCCATCTAGATGAGAACCATAATGGACGAGATAGTCATTTACGATGATGCCACCCTTCTTTCATATCAGCGAAGAAGCAGGCCACCACCTTGCGCTGGGACAAGGGCGAGCCGAACAACTGGGGGTGGGGTTCAGGCGAGGACTGCGCAGTCCTGAAGACGAATGGAAAGCTGAATGACGGCAAGTGCACTTGGAAGCGTGGTTACGTCTGTGAAGCCACTGATTTCACGGCCCTTGGGAACTAACTTGGTCCTTCTCATGCTTTCCTGGTCGGAATCAAGGCCAGTTCTTGTAAGAGGCCAGTTGTTGAAGTCGATGCTGTAAGGGAAAGTAGGTAAGTCATAGAGTCAACGTCCTACGCATATTGTGCTTGTGCATGACCATGATGATGAAGATTGAGATGATACACAGAGTTCATACTAAGTATGGTTTTCGCACAAGAAACAGAAACTAAGTCGAGAAAAACATCGACATCCTAGCTATGTTGTATATCATTTTAAGGTCTCAACGGTTGCACAGATGATGTATGTTAGCAGCAGGAAGCGAGCTGCAAACAGGAATAACACATTTTGTAGTTGTTGAAAAATGTTTCATAAAAAATGTGGTCAGTAAGTTAGCTCGTCAACATGGAATAAGCATATTTATAACACATAGAAGGTCTCCTTTTCTTTTCCGATTCCGGTTCGTGCCTTCAAGGTTTGACCAGGAGCAATGAAAGAACACGTTTTCATTGATGCCCATTTTTTTTTCCCGTAACCTCATGTATACCAGCAATCTGAAGATTAAGATTATACAGTGAAGTTCTACTACCTAGTATTGTTATCTGCTCATAATCTCATTGTTCTCAGGTATACGACTGGAGTAAGCTACGCGGTGCCGACTACGCGTTCTTGGATCGTTGCTCCTTTTCATTGATCATTTCTCGGTTTTGTCCATCTCATCTATATTGGCAGGGGTGTACGAGTGCGTGGAGCGAAGTTGATAATCCGGTAGAAGTTTCAGCTTGAGTTTCTTGCGAAGTGGAAAATGTCTGTTCAAGTAGGTCAATGTGATGCATCGGTTATCTCTTTGGCATTGGTAGTATCGAGAGATCTCCTGTGCTGGTGAATTATACAACGAGAACTCTGTCATCAAAGTTCAGCGACAGAGCTCTCAAACCCTATCATCATTCATCATTCATCTACCCCTTCCCCAAAGGGGTATCATTCCCTGCAATCCTGATTTTTCGTATCTTTCGCAGTTAATTCCTCATCCTCAGCATATACTTTCTTTTCTCTCGTCAGCAGGGGCCTGCGTAGGATACAATCTTATCAAGATCAATCAATTCATACCGATGCCACCTATGCACTCGCTTGCGGGCTGAGTCAAATTTGAAAAGGCTTGCATCAGAACGTAGTAGACATACTACATCGACAGCCAGTCTTCTTTTTCGGTCTCACTGGCAACGACTGGCAATTTTCCACTAATAGAGACACAAAGCATCATGAATCTGCTTGAGACTTACGACTGTGACGGCAGCTGCGGCCCACCGCCGCTAACTGCAGAGGAGGAGGAAGTGTTTATGTCGGGATTTGTAACTCCACTGAGCCAAGGCATAACTTCGGGGGTGCCAAATAGCGGCTTGAAATACCATACGCCGAGCTACGATGGTACTTCTTTCGCGTTACAACTGAAACTGATCTACGTGTCACTCTCACTGAACGTTCTTTGATATGCTCCTTAGTTCTCAGGTCCTTGAATCATGGCGACATTATTGCAATCCTCTATGCTCTAGCAGCAGCTGCACTTCCAGAACGAGAACGGTCTACAAATTCTGTTGAGGCTCTGTACTTACAGGCTGTCCTTCTTGTACAAGCTGTGAGATGAATAACACCAATGAAGGTACATCCGCGTCAGTCGCATCTACGGGCGATGATTATGGATATGTGAGCGCACTGGAATCAGCGTTGGGATCACCAGCTCGTGGTACGCCGCAGGATAATTTTCCCAATGTAAAGCAGCTCGAGCGGATGAGTCAGCGCTTAAGCCACCGAATCATAACAGAGTTGGAAAGTGGCAGGCTTATCGAGTCTCCGACTCGGGAACGAGATGGAGAACAAGGTGGTTTCCGTCAACATTGTGAAGAGGAGGCATCCTCCAGTCCTAAAGTCGACGGTTCGCAGGGTCGCCACGTTTCAAGACGACTCTTTCGGCATGAGTGTGAGTCGCACGAGTCTTCGGCTGCTGCGGAGGAGTACGCTGCGCCGAACAATCGCGGTGGTGGCGCAGCAAGCTGCTTTTCGTTTCTGAACTCCTACAACAAGCGCGGTTCAGCTGGGAAGCAAGATGACGATGAGGACCGATCTTCACCGACAGATACGAAAAAATGGCGGCACCTGTTGCGTGTGCCGTTCAAGGTTACGAATGGCGAGGAGTCTTCGCAGTCTGACGAGCACGTGACGAGTAAGAACTCGAGTCCAGTCGGGAACTTTATCAGTCTCAACTATCGTGGAAGCCCAGGAGGTCCGCAGGAGCAGAGTGCAGCAGCAAGTCCAACAGTTTTGCTTATGGCCTCATCAGGAGTCACAGCAGCTGTAGTGGAAAGCGCAAAGATGGAGGGAAAGGCTTCACTGGAGCAGCTCGCGCAACAACTCGAGGAGGGCAAGAACATGAATATCTCCGAATATTTTCCCAAAAATGCGAATGCTGGCTGTAAAAATGAAGACGAAGGAGCAGACGACTTGACAGTCTTGATGAGAATGAACGCCATCAGGCATCTGTCATCTGCATCGGAACCAGAGCGAGAACCGTCGAAACAGAACGCCAATAGAAATTGCAGGGTAGTCGATGTCTGTTCTTCCACAACATCAGCTTCAGGCTCCTCGGCGTCATCAACGACTACATCGACTTCTTCGAGCACTACTAGCGAAGACCAGAGGACGACTGTGCCTCCACAACGGTCATTGCAGCAGTTCGCAAATACTCGTGTGCGCTTGGAAGAGCAACTACAGGAGCAACGCGAGGGAGGGCCACATGACGAAGAAGAAAGAGGGTGGACGTCAAAGCAGCAGAGCCAGGACCCTGCTTGCAGCACGGCCACTGCTCTTTCGCCTTCGATTGGTGGAAATTCGAGAACAGGACTTCCGCAACAGCTTTCTAAACCGATAGCAAATGAGGGCGAAGCCGTGCAACCAGGAAAGGATATTGCGGGCTGCCCAATAGGTTCGAGACGGCCGTCCTTGCCCGTAGAATGGAGCGCCATTTCTCCCTCTCCCAGCGAAGAGCCGCCAGACTGTGGAAGAACGTCGCCGACATTGATTGCGGGGGTCGACATAGTGAACGAGCAGTTGCATCAAGAACGAATACGAAGCCGCGGAGACGGAGGCGACCCCGGCCGCGGCGAGGAGACACCACAGCGGCTTTCAGTTTCAAATATTACAACAAACTTAAATAAGTACGAATACCGAACGGAGGCCGAGGCGATAGAGAATCTCCGAGACCGTGGTCTAGTCGACCCGCAGGTGCTACCCCATGTAGCCTCGAGCACCAGGAACAGCTTTCCAGAGCAAGAAAAGTCCAGCAGCGACCTTTCTCCATGTGACGCCCAAGTCGACGAGCGAAACGAAAAAGTGACACCATCGAGCGAAGGTGAAGTCACTTCATCTATCCCACGCTCTGGTGCCGTAAATTCAGAGCAAGAACAAGATAAATCGGCAAAGTCATTCGCCTCATCTTCTCCCTCGAAAAAAGAGGTCCAAAAGCATGACGACGGCAGAACAAGCGCTAAGCTCGACCAACATGAATCTAGGACAGCGTGTCTGCGGGTGTTTTTCGCACGCTTATTTCTTGGAATTCTTGCGGCACCCGTCTTGTTCCGAAGCATGCAGGTAGCATTTTCTGCCGTTGTCGATACCGTCTTCGAAGATGAAATACTTTGAATCTTAGCTTTTGATATTCTATCTCTGCTCAAACGTGCGTGCTAATGGTACAAATCTCGTTCGCCATACCACATCTCACGACCATTCAACATTCATTGGTTTCCTTCGACATAGACGCATGGTACACATATTTCGGAAACGACGCTCCTCACGATCCAGGAGCAGACGAGGCCAGCATGCACACACGATTCCGGCTCCCGGAAATAATCAAGCAGTAGAGGTTTCTGTAGTATAAACATTTTCCTTTTGATGTTTCGATCTGATGCTTGATGTATTCCCGGTTTCTGTAAATGGATTTCTGTGCCCGTATAGTTGATAAAAGACAGTGAGAATAACGTCTCGACGGTCATCATGAACAATGGCAACAGGGACAACAGAATGCGTGAGAAGATTGATGAAGACCCCTTCTTCTGGAGTTGCGTCATTCAACAACTGTCGTTTTTGAGAGACACCAAGTAATGAATATCTCCTGAGCGTGCGTAATCGGACTCCCGATGTGATGCAACAGAGATTGATGATGATGTCGCGTTGTCGAGCGAGCCATAGATATTCTTAGTTCCTTCACAGGCACAGGAGTGTCGTGAGAGTACCGATTATCTGGTAGTGTTGCTTCAGTTGTGAAAGAGAAAGAGTGGTCAGCTTTACGCTTCGCCAATTTTCTGGTGTACGCCCAGAACTTTCTTCTTTCGATTCTGGATCTCATCAATCTTCGTTGGTCTCAATATTATTTTCAGTGGGTTGAGTGCTCTTCTCTCCTGTTGCCGCAACATCAAGTACAACCAGCGCCAGGATGCGGAAACAGCCGCCAAGATCACCATGTGCAAGCAGGATGCGACTCCCGCGGAGGCAGGTGGCACACCAGAGAGATGAGGTGTTGGCGCAGACACGTTCCGCACTCGACGCCCAGGGTGATGCAGAATAGGTGGAGGACAGAGGCGTGTACAGCAATATGGATGGCGGCTCCTGGAAACGCGCGCGCGACTTTATGCCCGCGCTGAACCCCGACAATCCGACTGTCACCTTGTTCGGAGGCACGTCAAAGAAGGACGTGATTGCGCGTGTGGAGGGCGTGGAGTTGCAGGAAGTGGAGCAGCGGTGCATGGAGGAGGGCGCAGCGAAACGCGGCGAAGCGTAGAAGGGAAAAGAAGGCCCTACGCCCTTGGATATAGGCCAGGGCCAGGTCGGCAACCGCAACTTCGTTGCCGCACTCTCCGCGCTTGCAGATGCAGAAGAGCCAGACCGTGTGGCCGCTCTCTTCGCGAATTCCAAAGTAACTGAGAGCGGACGCTACGACCTGGTCTTATTCATCATTGGCCAGTGGCAGCACATCACAAGGGCGATAACAATAAGCCCGTTTTCTGCAACTCCAAGGGAACCAGCAAGCTATGGCCGCTGCTCCTCGCTCCATCCAGTTTTAGTTCGCTCGAAATTTAATCGTGCCACCTGCACAACGCCATGAGTTGTTTTGATGTATTTCTGTCCTTGTTTATCGATGATTCTGATTCGTCGATCATTCCTCCTACCCATCGAAAGATTTTATTCGTGATCTTGTCCATACGAAAGTTCAAATCAGCCTTTCCAAGTTTTCCATGTGGTCACGGGTTTGCAGACGGGTTACGTCGACTTGCAGGGCCTTACCCTCACCTTCACGGACGAAGATCTGTATGTCTATATTCTGCGAGACGTCACAATCACCAACCCGGATGGCATGGCATGTGGTGGGGTCGGAATGCTCCCTCTCATCAGCAACCTCTTTTTTCCAACGGCACTGTACTCTAATTTTTTCTTGCTCTTTTGGTAAACCCTTGCGCTGGTTCCTGCCGACGAAGGTTGCCTGTCTTGTTCTTAGTAAAAAAGCATGTAATCAGAGATACGGAAAAATACGATTCCGAATACGCGGAGCTTACGTTTCAAATACGTGGAGAAACAATCACTCCGGGCGTGTAGATTTGAATCAGGGCGGTATGGTGATCGACTTTTCGATTGATTTTGGCAGGGCCTGAAAAGTCAGCTGATGAAGAAATGAAACTCTCGGATTTGTGCTGCGGGATGCTGATCAACAGTTATTGTTTTTTGAATTATTCTTATTTCGTTGTCGATGGATTTTATAAAACCTACCACAACAAGAAGAATCTAGAACAAGTAACTTTTTTGAATTTAGTAGGTTTAGTCCATGAATCAAATGTAAAACGTGCCATCAGATCTGTCGCAGTTTATCCTCTGAATAAAACAAGTCCGCACTGTTGGTTCCATTATCCATTTCATTCCTCCAGGGTCGCGCGCTGGTAGAGCGAGGTGTTGGGGTTGACGGATGGCTCTCGAGTATCCTGCGGTGCAAAGCCAAGGAATTCTTATCAGCAAAAGTATTCGCGAGAAGATAGCGTCATGATTATGAAAACACCGCTCAAAATGTTGAATTTATGAAGTGGAAAGCTAAGCATCGACGAGAGACGAGAGGACCAAAACTATCGATAATCAGCAATGAATGGACCTACCTCAAATGTTGCATATTTTTCATGAAAAAGTGGCCGGATGTACTACACTTTTAGGAAGTTGGGACTTTGATTTACATCATGGATGTTCAGAGAATAGATTTTTACAGCTTACAGACAGTCACTTACTCACTTTCGTACTCAGCTTGCTTGCATGTAAGAAGATGCCGAGGACTAAGGTTTCGTCTTCTGCTCGTACAAGTGCGAGTGGTACGAAACAGATAAAGCCACGCAGTTACTTCGTGGGCTCGAATTCGAGTGACGTATCGTTGAAAAAAGGTGCGCTCGCGAAAGCCGACCTTAGGACTTTCAGTCCTGTTCTAAGTGCAAGTGTGGTACTTAGACTTACAACTCGACTTCTTGTTTCTTCAGATTGTTCTGCACTGGTCTCACGCTCTTCGGCCATGATTAGAATTCTCCACTCACCTTCATGATCTTTAACTTTATACTAACTTTTTTGGATTTAGATTTTTCAAACAGTGGCACTCAGTCCTTGCAATTATCTTTGAGTCATAATGTAACTCCTTACTTAGATTGAATGAATAGAGTTCATTCGTAATCAAGTACTCTTGTTAGGTCGCAACGCAGGAAGACCCTGGTCTTAAGGAGCAGGATAATAAGAAAAAGCCAGCTCCTCGCCCGAAGAGGAAATCTTCGCCGCTTCTAGGTCTAGGAGGAACAGCTACAACATCAACACAAGAAGAACTTCAAAAATCAGACGTGGACTATAGTAACAAGAAGACACTTCCTCGAGCGAAGAGGAAGTCAGCACCTTATGGTAATAGTGAGAGACTATTAAAACTTGGAAGGTGCATATCAATGCGAACGTTCAAGAAGCTAGTAGATGAGTGCTTGAAGCGAGACAACTTCACTGGGGTCAAATGGGCACGGCGAGCACTAGAGCTCTTCAGGATGGCCTTCGAGGACGAGTACGTGAAGATTTTCTATATCATCAATCACATCCAAGAGCATACTGTTCGCACAAACAAGCGGGCGGAGGACTACGAGCGCCTGCCATCTTGCATCTTCGACATGCAGCCGGATAATTTTTGGGAGCGGTTGGAGTACAAGCAAAGAAGGTACACGAAAAAGGTCCAGGAGATGGAAAGAGACCAACTGGCAATAGCCGCGAGCAAGGTCTCTTCGTCTTCATCATCTTCGAGTAGTTCTTCGTCTTCTTCTTTTAAGATTCGGAAACTCCATCGTAGGTAGCATTTTGGTTCGATTTTCTAATGGGAAATGATCGCGCGCCAAGATGTGGGACAAGATGGATTTCTTATGGTTCTAATTCTTCATCATCTTCATCTTCTAGCAGCACGGCGACCAAGAACTTTCCATCTACAGCTGCTTCTACTTCAACTTCTTCTAGTTCTAGTGCCTCTGGCGGTCTTGCTTCATCTCCTCGTGGCGCGTTGCAGCAGGAGCACTTGACGAGCGCGATCGCGTTTCCAAACGTGGAATCGTATTCGGTTTTCGAGGTTCCGCAAAGCCGAGAAAGCTTTGCGAGTTTACTTAAACTTTCCGGAACTGCTAGTAGCAAGAACACTGATTCCATTTTTTTGCAGGGTGCCACAGCATCGAAGTGTACGGCTTGCCCAGACGATGACGGGAGTGAATGCAGTTTATACGATGAAGCCGACTACAGAGAAGAAGATGACGCAATAGATCGCCAGGACAAGATGGAGCAACGGCTCATGGCGGACTTTGGTGGTTCGGATGAAGATGAGGGTGTGCCAGGTGCTGTCGCTGTTGGAAGCAAAAAGCGAAAGATGAACATGAAGACGGCACCAACGACGCAGAACAATAAGAAGCGTCGGATTACTGTGGGGTAGTTGACGCCACAGCAGTTCGCTGTTGTAGTTTCTCCGTGGTTTTCATCATGTTATGATATACGAAGCGTTGATGTATGATAAGCATCTAACTTTTTGCATTGATCATAGTTTTTTTTGTAAGCATCACACAGACTACACGCTTGCTCAAAAGAAAGAAGCATGAGCACCAAGAATATCTGGCATTGAGTTTTGCATGGCTGAATTTTGCACCACAACACAGACGTCACGCCATGACTTTCAAAAATTATACATCTATGGAAAGACGAAGCAAGAAATACTGTGCCAAAGTTGGCAAATATCTATGTCCTTGAACTCACAAGATCGAAAGCCGCTGATGCTTGTGTGGCGATCCTTTCGCGCGGAAGCGCCTTGCTTGTCCTTGTACAACTACGAGTTGAAGTCGAACATGAAAGAGCAGTGCGTCTGTCTTGAGCGTGTCACTAGAAACAATGAAACCAAAAAAAGGTGACGAGTGAAGAGCGACAGCACGATAGAGCTGCTTCTATCTTATTCTTAAGTGAACCAACTTGGAGAAAAAGGAATAAAAGGCTCGACTTCCCATAAAAAACACCCCATCCCCTCAAGAAAGAAAAACCTGGCCTGCTCTATTATGTATTTCAAAAATGAGCCTTCTCTTCTTGATGGTGATGATTGAGAAAAAACCTCGTCCCACATATTCGAACAGAAAACACGATAATGAAACTGAGAGTAGGTATATGTATCTGATAGTTAGGAAAGAAGTCAGAACTTATAGGTTTTTCAAGTTGACAATGAATGAGAGAACTTCTTGCACAGCTTCCATTTTCATACTCATACTTACCACCGCCTCACGGCTATAAGTTAGTTTGAAACTAAAAGCAGTCTTGGGCTTGATCTTGGATTTTGTTGAGCTGTATATTTAATTTATTGTGTCCTCATCCTGTACTGGATTTTTTGTTCTGATTAAAGTTTGTTATCTTCTTGTTTTCATCACGATATTTGCTTATACGGAAATCCTATTCAAGTGCTTGACAAGAAAAAACGCCTTCTTCTAGTTCTAGTGCCAGGGCCAGCACTAGGAACTCGCAGTCCGTCAGGATGAGCAGTTACGATCGCTATGTATGGCAGCGCGAGGGGGGAAAGCTTAAGGAAGAACACTTCGTTCGGGAGATCGAAGAAAGATCGCGGCAGTTTTTTCGGGACGGTAGAATGGGAGAGCAGGAGGGCGATGGCGATGTAGTTCCAGCTGAGCTTGGGGAGATCTTGTATAGCTGCGTATGCAACGTTGCCCCAGTCGAAGCCATCCGTGCTGCAGCGTCTGCGCCACCTGGCCTACGCATTTGGGACCGACAAGGGGACGCATCATCTCGCATGGTCTCGGAAAGTGGCAAGATCAATAGATCAGCGGGGCAGTACTTCATCAGAAGCGTGCTGAGTTTCCCAGCTCCCGCAAATCCGCAGGAGAATCAGCCAGCGCCTGCGGCAGAACGGTGCACGCGCGCAGAAGGATCGTCGAGATTTGAACTTTCTCCCGATACGATTCGACTGATCGTCCCAACTCCAACTACTACCAAGAGGGCGAAGTGCTTCTTCAACGCGGTGGACCTGGAGGAGCTACTTCTTCTCGACAAGACCTGCGCGCGCACAAATGACTTCTGTGTCTTTCATTGTAAAGCGGATGTCGGAGGGCTAAAAGAAATCGCCGACGCTGCTGGGGCTATCGCTGACGATGACAGATTTAGTCGCACTGTTCCGATGCCCGACAAGTGTTTCATGCATCAGGTTGGGATTTCAATAGAGGAGACGGTGGAGGAGTTCTTTACTCAGATTAATCTGAGTAAGCGGAAATTCGAGAAGCGGCTATACCTTCAGGTAATATGATTACTTTTCTGGTCGATGTATAGGGTTTTATCTATGAATGAATCTAAGTGACGCCTGTCCTAGATTTTTAGTTTGGATAAAAATGATAGATGACCTTTTGATACTCATACTTGGGAGCCAACTTATGGCAGTTGTGTAAGTATTGGCTATTGATTGATGTGTTCTTTGATCATGATCATCATTTAGTCCTTGGCTCTTCGCCTCTTCATCTCAGGCGCTGTGCCTCAAAGTTCGAGGATACGCCGTGCTAAGCGATCTGGAAACAGTTTTGGGAAAAATCAAGAGGAAGGTTCCTGCTGAGGACCCAAGTACGAGGGTGAGCTGCAGTCGCACTTTTGCTGAATCGGTTGGGGCTGATAAAAGGATTAAGCCGCACTACCAGATGGGAAGAAAAGAGCGACTGTTTCCGAGGGATGTGGCGTTTCGGTATCGAGATATGGAGCGGGTTGCAGGTAGTGATACTCTGACGCTGCGCGCGGACTATGACGAGCAGAATTGCCCTGCAGTAAACGATAAGTGGCTACGAGCATACTACAGTCAGTTTATCTTGATGCGGTGGAATCGCTACGGTACTTTTGGCCAAGGTGCGCGACAGCAGTTGTTGATTTGTCCGCTTGGCCTTTTTCACGTGCTTCAACAACGAAGCGGGTCGTTCATCGCTCCTGATCTTCCAGAGTTTATTTCGCCAGGTCGAGTTTCGTTTAACGAGTTCTGCGTCTTAAAATACTTCGTGCAGCTGATAGTCCGCCCTCTGGACGCGGTTCACGCGGGACAGCTAAGTCGGAATCCGCATAACGGTCGAGAATTGCGGGCTTTCTTTGAGCGGGAGTTTGCGTGGACAATGCGCGTTTTGACGGACAAGGAGCGGCTCTTAGAGGAGATTTTTATAGTCACTGGCGTTGACTTTTGGGCTGACGATTTATCGACGCACGCTTGTGCAATGATGTCATTAATCGAGCGATGTCGCATGGCAGGTGTTTGGGCGCTGTTCGTGAGTCGTACGCTGGTCGCCTATCGCTGCAGTTTTACGGACTCCGAAGAACACGGTGGTCAGAACACGCACCACGAATGGCTATACGAGTACTCTTTGTTGGATTCCGATCAGCGGCGTGATGTTTTTCTGGATTCTTTCTTGCAGCAGAATCCGAAGCTCTTCCGTCGACTCAAGCGTGAACTAGGAGGCTCGTTTTTTGTAGGACTGCGTCGCGTGTTGCTACCATTGGTGCCGGCAGAGCGAAGGCGACTGCTGCGTATGCTTTGCGACGCGAAGTTGCAAGCTTCAACGGAGCAGGTGGAGAGATTAATTGGTCGTTGGAAGGGGCGGCAGAATAGTTTGCATCCGAAATCCCTCGAGCGACTGGATGCGGAGCAGGGGATGCGCGATTTCATCACCAGTCGTGATAATCTGCGGGAAATCTACACTGAAGTTTCTACTCGGCTGAAAGATGACTTGGAGGCGTTCTACACAGAAATCTCCAGGGGACCACAGCAGAAGCGTATGCGGACTAGCGGTGGTTATTACTTGTATTTGAAGGATTGTTTAGCAAAGCAGCAACTTCATCCTGGACTGGATGAAAAACAAGATCGGCCGAATGCTACTGCCATTTTCGACAACATCATGAGCAAGCGTCAGGAAAGCCGGTTATCCGTGTCAACCACTGAGGGTGACCTGTTTGGGGATGCTGAGTGCGGAACCATGGGCGAGTCGTGTGCCTCTTCTTCCTCATCTTCTTCTCAACCCCACCAGCCAGCACTTGCACCAAGTTGGAGTGAGTTATCAAACGAAGAGCGGGATAGATACGCGGAGGAAGAGAAGGCAGACTTGTGCAACCACTTCCAGCAAGACGCTGAGCTGCTGCGGACAAGGACAATCCAATCCTTCAGCATACCTGATGAAGATGTCGAAGTTCTTCGATGCTTGCGGAAGATCGAAATTGAGGAGAACTACTATAAGGCAGTAGAAACCGCAGCGCTTAACCTGTACTATCGCTCGACGAACTTGCGGCCAACCCCTAGTGTAGAGCGGATTCTTCGAGTCACCGGCGAGTCGTTTAATCCTTTGCAGCATGGAGCGAAGAATTGGCGTAAAGCAACGCTGCAGGACATACACGATTTGTACTTCGAAGCAGTCGAGCCGCAGCAAAACTACCACAACAGAAAGGGGAAAAGCAAACTAGCAGGGGTTCTTAGTCGATTTGCCTTTTTCCATCGGCGAAAAGAGATCAGGCCGGACCGAGGCATGCCGTTAGACATGGATGTTGTTCGTGAGGAAATGGAGACGGACTCTGAGAACGAGGAGGAGGTTTTGGCAGCAATCGAAGGAGAGGAGCAGGGCGCAGTAGTAGCTGGGGACTCGGAGCTAGGAGGAAAGAAGCGCTTGGAAGAGCAGAAGAAGAAAATGACAAAAACAACAAAGCAAAAGCTCTCGGCAGAGAACATCATCATCAACAAAGGAGATGCACTTCCGCAGTTACTCGTTGTTTTGTTTCGAGTCAACGAGCAGGAGCACCGCTGTGTCTGCCTAACGAAGCTGTTCAAGACGCCTTTCGTGTATCTTGGTATTGAGCTTGGAGATAAGTCAGAAGCATTTCGTGGCGATGTCGATCCTGGTGGCCAATTACATGGGAAAGATCAAGATGCAGGGCGCGGCATACCAGAGTACTACAAGAAATTAGGAGGGGATCAGCTAGGACTTGGCACAGCTTTTGTTCCGGGGCGTGCTCGTGCTGCATTGACGACTGGCATGGAGCATGGCGGTGAGGAAGAAGATGTTACTGGGGGAAGTGTTGGTCTGATAGCGCGCGCAGCGACGAATGCAGAGAAGGACAACGAAGGAGAAGCAGCTAGTCAAAATGTGCTTGGCAATTTTTGTGATAGCCCCTGTCTTGTTTTGGATAATGCTGCGCCGATTCCTGTTTCTGAAGATGGTGGAGGCGCGGAGGCTGGATCTTCGTTTCTTAGTAGTGGAAAAAATGCTGCCTTCGGGCCTGGAGTTCTACGACCAGGAAAAGTAGAGGGAGACTTCGAGAACAAAGAAGAAGATCAAGGTGGGCTTTATACATTTTCTATTCGTCCCACCGGTATGCTTTTTTCTAGTACTATGGACAAGTGGAACGACTGGAAAATTTTTGAAGGGGAGCTAGTAGAGTTAGGAAGTGGAGTAGGAGTGCGTTTGGTTCGGCAGCTAACTACCAGGTCAATGCCATCTACGACTGAGACAAAGCAGCCTCCTGCGAACAATGCGCCTGCGTCTTCAGTGGCGGCATCCGTTGCACTAGCGGATGGCGCTAAGGCTGCTGGGAACAAGAAAATGACTACGCAGAAGAAGTTGAAGTTGCCAGCTCCTCAAGGGGCTGTGACTCCTCGCGCGCGGAAGCAAGATCAAGAAGCCGTCAATGGAGCCGCAGATGGCGCGTCTGCGGCGATGGTGAGAACGATTTGTTTGCCGGAGTCGCTTGTTGGACCTGTGCCTGCGATTGCACAACAAGGAGACAAGAAGAAAGGAAAAGCGATGAAAAGCAAAGTAGAGTCAGTGGCTGGGCCGAGCAACCATAGCCATTCAGTGGGGATGAATCACTTCGGTCTGCAAGAACAAAAAGTAAAGCAGTCTATTCGTCCGCTGTGTGGGACTGCGCCTGTGCCTGCCGCTGTGCCGCAAGTGAAAGCAATTAGCTCTAGTTCAAGTTCTACGGATGCGCAACTTGCTGGAAGAGCAAAGCCTATGGCCATCGAACGAGGGCAGCAGGCGGGGTGGACGGAAGAAGAAAAGCAGGAAGCGCTTGAACGTGCTTTTTTTCTACAAATAAACTGTAATGAAAATTAAAGCTGACTGATTTGATTGGGCATGTCATAAAAAGACTTCTTTGCATTTGTCCTTGCATCTCAACAGCACTCCTTCTTTCATAAATTCGCGACGCTTTTCTGTATGTTTGTGCCATTTAGTTTTTTTCTCAATAAAGATTGTGGCTACGGAAGATGAGACTGCCACCTTCTTTGCTATGTTTTATAATGCACTGTCTTTTACTAGGTATTCGGGAGAAGCAGCGGAATTTCGACCCCGAGGCGTTTGGCCGACACATGCAGAAGCTGTTGGATGAAGATCGACCGGCGCTGACGATGAACACGTCTCAACTGAAGCAAGCAAGTGCTTCGTCAGGCGTTGGAGTATCAACGGATGCCTATGGGGTGGAGCTGAAAAACGAAGACAGGGCCTATCGTCGGGTTGTCCGAACGAATTCGGAGCGAGTGAATCGCCAGCGGGGTCGAAATGAAGCGACTAAAAAAGTGGACAAGCAGCTACTACCTGCAGGCTACAAGGTTCTTGGAGACAACCACGGTGAGCGCATGCGTGCCACCGTGCCTGCTGCAGATGCTTGCTTTTTGCCGGACTTAAGGGCTGCTGGGGCTGAGTTGTGTATTGGCGAGCCGATGCCTTTTGGATTTTAAGGCTTATAATTTGTCTATATTTTCTCTATATTTTCTCGGTGTTCTCTCTCCTGGGGCGGCAATTGTACTCGTCGAAAAAACTTTTTTTTGGCAGGAAGTAAAAACTTGCTGCAGCCGATGTCTTTGAGGGGGAAGGTGTGGAATCAGTGTGGGTTCAAAAACGCTCGCTGTCATGTTTCTCGAGCAGTGTAGAAAATGGAAGTCGATCCTGAAGCTTGAAGCTGTCAAGGCACTACCAAAACAGATGAGGAAGAGCACTTTTTTGCCATAAGCTTGGCCGGCACCAGTTCATGTCCAGCTATTTCTCGCAGTCAATGAATCAGAATCGTAGCGAGGTCTGAGCTGTATTGTATATTGTAAAGGACAGACACAGACGCCCGCCGCAGTGATATGCTGTAAAGGGATCTCGATCCTTATGGTGTGTTGTCTTGTGTCCGAGCGCGAATTGCGAAGCCGATCTGATCTCTACGTCTACACTCGGCACTTCTTCAAGGTGAAAGATCAAGATGTTCGAAGACGAAGTCACGTTGTAGCTGTGTCCCAGTACTTGACTCTGATCTCATCCTGGTGTAGACTACTTGAAGGAGAAGATAGCGTCTACTTCGCAGCGCAGAGTGCAGCGCCTGCCTCGCCTGTATAGTGCTTTGTCCCCTTCTGCAGTTCGACATCGTCTCAGGCTCTCGCCTTCGTGGGGGAAAGCAAAGTGAGGCCGCTGCTGCTCTTCACTTTCGCTTGCGCGAGCGTATCGCGAGGCGAATGCTGCGCTTTTCTTCACGCCCATACTGAAGGATAGACTTCGTCTGCGCTACACAATGCTTTCACCACGCTGTCGCGAAGAAGACAGCACAAGAGTAGACAGTAATCAAAATAGATTAGACATGAAATTAGTTTAGAATAGAGGACACGACGACGACTTCTACAATGCTGGCCATTCCTGTTCGCCTTTCAGATTATGCCCCAGCCGGGACTACCTTACGCTCCATGCCCACATCAAGATTACAGCTACACCGAAGAACCACTCTGCGGTCTTTCGCGCTCGTGCCTCTGCCTACCTCACGCTCTAGACCGAAACGGGTCAGACTTACAGACTGCTTCTGGTATGGCATCTTCTTTCGCCTCGAGGTGCAACGCGTCATCCTTCTCTCTTCGCTTTTCCAGAAATTTCCTCTCATTGTATAACGCTTTCGCTCGGCTTTGCACCTGTTTCTCTCTTTCTCACGGATACTCACTCTTTTCACCGGCTCAAGCACACGCCGCCCTTCTATTGCCGTGTCGTCTCGGGGGCCTTTCTCTTGCTGTTTCTACAACATGCCAGAAGCAGAGCAACACATCGCCCGTCGGTATCCCCGACTTCTGCCTTGGAGTAAGCTGCTACTCCGTCGAAGGTCTCTAAGGCCTTCACGCTCTTGAGTTTGTTTTCTATTTCTTAAGGAAGATGAAACGTCATGATATACTTTGAATCCTTCGGCTCAGTTTTGATATCCTTCTGAAATACCACACGAAGGTGGTAGAAGTTCTTTCGCACCATCAGGCTTGTCTTGCTTCTGCTTGTCATAGAACGAGATAGACAAGACGGGTCACTTATCGCGGCCGGCGATCTGCCTGTCGCCTATTTATCAGTTCGAGTCCTAAGATAGTGAGCGTGAGGGGTCAAGCCTATTTCTTCACCCAGACGAAGTGTTGCTGTATTCTATTGTTGTAAGTCTCGTCTTCGATTCCGTGTTGAAATGATTGCGATGCATCAGTTGGAAGATTCGAAACGAAATCAGACGGCGCTACTTAGTTCTTGTGGATTCCTATTCTGAGTAGAAGGATGGCGGACGTGAACTGAGGCCCTCGCCCTTCATCGAGTAGTTGTAAGATTGATTTTGATAACGAGTGGAGTCATTTTCTTTAATGAAGCCACTCGAGATTGCAGCATGGTCTTTTTCAAATTTGTTTTGCCTCCTCTATTTATCACATTGAAACTGGTATGGCGTCTCCTAGGTGGCATCTACTCACCCTCGAGTCGATGAACATGCTGGCAAAAACCATACTACTAACCTCAATCCAGAATAAAATTTCGTATGTAATGCTCATGCTTATTACTATCATCAAATATAGCGTCCATTTTCTTCTTTCAATCTTCTGGCTATCTTAATTCATTCCCGAGGGAAATTCATCATGTGGCTGGTAAATTGTAAACGCCGATGACAGCTCCGCCCTTTGCTTCAAAAGCAACGGGTAGCACTGTCAAGCGGCTCGAGAGATGACTGCAGTGACAACGTCCCGGCCGAGTTCAATTTTCATATAAGATACTTTCACTATTTCAAAAATATAACTTATTATTAGTTCTGCAATACTCAAAAGTGATCGCCTCGGCACGCGGTGGTGATGTCCTCACCCGAACCACGACGTCACGTGGAGGGTGTCGACTTACAATTCGTTGTGCTTCAGAGGGTTTGGAGTCTTGTCGTTGTCCTGTTGTTGTGTTCAATGCGATCAGACGCCGTCAGACATCTGGTCAGCATTTCGCACGACTGTGCTGTGTGCCGACTTGACTTCCATCGATCTTGAAAAAGTAGTTGAATCAGTCTCAGGTTGATTTGGAAGCTTTTCCTTAACAAAGTGAGCAGATCCGTAGAGACAGCTAGCAGGACTAGTTCCGTTCTTCATTTTTTTAGTCATATGTCGTTATCCCTGTGTAATTCTTCATCAATTGAAAGTGATAAATCTGAAAAGATGAGGACTCAGTTAGAAACTGGACCCTGCATCATGGTGAAACGCAATCCCGTAGATTGATTTGATATCTTTCAGAAAGTCGAAGCCTGTTGGGTTTTGTCGTCCTCACGCATGTGAATGCGATAAGGATGAAGGTGTAGGCATTTCTTGTGGTTGAATTTGAAACACTACTGAACTACTTACTTCAGTGTGACCATTAGAAACACTTCTAGAGGCACACGCATCACGGTAGGAAGTAAGGGGCGCTCGTAGTGATAGGTCAGCTCTGAAGATTCAAATCGGATTGAGATTTGTGGCCTAGTTCTACTATCAAAATTCTAAACGAAGACTTTACATGGTGCTGGTTAAGTTGTTCAGGAGTAGAAAACAGTAAGAGACGCAGCTGACAGAATGACTCCCGTACAGTCTGACACTCGCAGCAAACAACTACTGTCACTTATCCTTATCCCCGGTAGAACTATTCCATAAGGCTTTCTAGTCATCTATTGCACGAAACGAATAGAAGAAGGAGTAAGTTTCTCTATATGAAGGTCCATCAAGTGGCCTTCTTCTTGTCTGTCTCTTCAACTTAGTACTTTCGCTTTTTCTTCATCGGTGCCATACCGGAGCCAGCCGCCGACGGATCGGTGCGGGACGCTTGCTGGGCCGCGGCAGAGAGGCAGATTTGCTTCAGCAGCGTCTGACGCAGCACCGGTTTCAGCGCCCACATGGTGCCGCACTTGTTCTGCACCTCGTCGCGAAGGGCGTGGACCTCGGCCATATTGTTGCAGCCTTTCTTCACCTTCTCTTGCAGGTACTCAACGTGATGGGAGCAGACCAAGTCGAAAAGGAGCTCTTTCAGCTTCGTAACGGAGATGCGCATCTTGGTGAGATCGCGGCGTTGTCCGCGAGCAGGTTAGAGTAGAGATGAGAGCAAAGGACCGCGACGGACTCAGATGACTTTACTACTTAGCTGGCTCTTATGTGATCGCGAGCGCTACTAGCTCTGTCTAGTAGCACACGCTTCTACTATTGGAGCTGTGAAAGTACTTCTTCACGCTACAACTAAGACTGCAAAGCCGTCTCTATTGCAAGAGACAACTAGGACTGGCAGCACTGGCACCCGTTCGACATAAGTGAGGGTATCGAGGCGGAGGAACTTGGACAGCGCTGCGTCCACGGTACCAAAATCGAGGGTGCCAAAGTTGCAGACTTCCCAAGACCGTTGCTCTTGACCTCCTCGGAGTCCCGTGGACATGGCTTGGGCCAGGCGATCGCAGAAATCTTAAGAGTTAAGTTCAAGAAGTTTCAAGATGTCATCAGGATGTTCATGTTGGTAATAATTTGGATGAACGTCAGAGCAAATAAAAAATTGATGAGAAAGGTGATTATTTGCTAGGCATCAATCTCACACGACGACACGTGGCCGATTCTCCAACTTGCATGGAGAAGCGTGAGATCATGCAGGAGCACTGGCAGAAGAATACGAAAACAAAGGGGCAACGAGTAGGGCAAGAAAGTAACAGCAAAGGTTAGTACTGGCGTATAAGTCGCAGGTGAGTTGGGAAGCTTGGTAGCGGGAGCCGACGTGTTCAATCTGCTTGTTTTTCAGCGCCATCTGCTTCTTGCTCGTGTTTTCGTCGGATGGAGCGTTCAACGGGCGAAGCGCCAGGGCGTCGTCGAATTCTTGCTTCGCAATGTATGCAGATTAGAGAAAGGGGGAGAAGGTGGAGTTAAGTGGATGGGGTCTCAGCAGTACACGATAGCACAAGGTGACTGAAGCTATTCTTTCCTAGATGCTAAAGATGAAAAAGAAAATCATCTCACACCATAACCAAAGTAGTCGTGGAAGCCTCCAGTGGCCAACGCCTCCTCGATCATGGTCAAGCCCTCCGGCGCTTTAAGGTGCTTCTTGATCAGCTTGCTCACCTCGTTGAATGCCCACGTAAAGTCGAGCTTCAAGTACTTCGTGAGCAATTTCTCAAACTCTAACTGTAGGCCTTTATGCTTCGTGACCTTTGTTGTGGTTTGTTTTGCTTGTAGTATTGTATTGGGGCAGGGTTGTTGTAGTCCTAGCTGTAGTACTACTAGTTTCTTGTAAGATTAGCAGCATTAGACCTGCAGAAGCATAGGCTTCGGACCTGAATAATCAAAATCCATCTTATTCAAAGACAGAAGATGAACGTCTTCCACAAAAACAACAGGTAAACAAATTTTTCAAAGCGCCGGGACTCCGTAGCGGCAGAAGATCATGTTCATGATGTAACGGCTCGGGTCGCTGAAAGGCGGCATCTGGTCGAACATGTGATCAGGATCGTTTTGGAAATCGAGATGGCTGATGCTGGCCTGGATGTTGGTAGCCAGCTCGATGAGCTCCGGACCGACCTTGCAGCCGTAGTTCTGGAGGTCCTCGATCGTAAGCGACATGAAGCCGGAGCTCAAATAATAATGAGCATCAACTCCTTCATGGATGACCTGCATGAAACATTTCAAGTCTTCGAAGTCGAGCTTGAGTTCCTCCGGATCCGGTACTTCGTCCTCCACTTCGGGGACATCCTCCGAGGAGCAGTCGCTTGCCGATTCATCGCCCTTGTCCCCGTTGTTCGCCTCGGCGGGCATTTCGACCAATGCAATTGCCAAGGATGTAGTTTTAGATGTAGCTGTACTAGACGTAGCTGTGGTCCTGGCTTGTTGAGCATCGGCGTCAGCCTTGGCCTCCGCGCCAAATAGATTGGCGGCCGGGAACTCGCGGCGGGAATTGGCAGACTTCTTCTTGCCAGTAGAAATCTTCAGCTGTTGCAACACAGAGCTCTTCTTCAGATTCTCCTTCATCTGGTGATCCGGAAGCAAGCTGATCTCCTCCTCGTACAAGATGTCAACGCGCAGAGTGATCTTCGCCTCCCAATCTTCGATGACCTGCTTGTGCAAGTTCGCCTCAAAGTCCGCCTCGAACTGCTCGGTCTTCTCCTGGATCTTCTTGTTTTTCTGCGGTCCGTTGCGACCTTTGATTTTCTTCAGCTCCTCGGCCAGCATCTCATTCATCGTCTCATCGTTCTCTTGCATGATGATGCCAAGTTCTTCCTGACGTTGAGGCTCAGTATTCGTCCAAAGCCACGAAAAAACACCCTTGCGCCAAACTTCCACGTCCATCACTCCACCGAACAGAAGTTCGTTATCAATCTTCGCACGGCGCCCAGTGGAAAGCTCTTCAAAGGCAATGAGGTCCGGTCCTGGTGTTATGTAAGACACAGGGTTATTAGTTGCGTGAGAGCCGAAATCTTGAAGACAAAAACCATCGAGATGGAAAGATCAGAAGAAGAAAGAAACTAGACTCATTGTTCTTGGGAATGGCATGGGACTGCGATCAACGTAGTGCAAGCTTTAGCTGTCGAATTGCCTCGGCGTTTCGTGATCTATCGTGAGTGAATAGAATTAACAACTTCTAGTACCTGGGTTTTTTTTGCCAGGAGCAGGGGTATGCAGCAAAGCAGCATCAGCGTCAGCGCCTTCCAGCAGCAGCTTCTCCTCCTCGTTGATGGGGTCGCCCAGATCAACATCAACGTCCATTGGATCCTCCATGATGTTGTCGATGTCGTAGTTGTCGTCCTTAGGCTCTTGCTTGATCCGGATCGGCGCCTCCATCGATTCCTCCTTCTCAGATTTCTTGCTGGCGTACAACTTGCGCTGCAAAGCGACCACAAGTCCGGGATGAATGTTGCCAGCTTTGTTGCGAGTGGACAACAAGGACTCGAAATCCTCTTCGTCGTCGTTGTCGTTGTTCAAGCTCTTGGTCGGATCAACTGCCGGAGACTTGTTGGCGCCCTGCTCTTCTTCTTCTTGTTCCATTTGGCGTTTCTCGTCCAGCTTCAAAGCTTCTGCAACCTCGCGGCGACCCTTCGCTCCAGGGGCCGCGTCAGAGTTTGGGTATCTGCATAGATAGAGAAACAGAGATGAGATAAGGAAGATTTCGGGGCTTCTCTAATTGATGAAATTCGATTGGATATGAATCAGAAACGTGCAGGTTGATAAAAGGAGAAGTGAGAAGCGACGCGACGTCATGACGTGACCATAGTCGAGCCCACTCAGCATCAAATGCAGATAGTCTAATCTGAGGTCTAATGAGTAATACTGGAAGAATCCGTGGTTCGGCACGTCCTCCTCATCGCGCGTTGCACGAATACGCTGCAGCTTTGCACATAGTTCGTGCTTGAAACGCGTACGGTGCACCAAAATTTGGCCCCGCATTGGCTTCCTCAACCCGTAGAGCAGTGTCTTGATCTCTTCTTCACATTGCTGCAGATTTAGGACCATCCTATCGTACATGGCTTGCGGCGCGCGGATGTGACGATCAAACTGCTCCAGGAGCCAGGCCAAGATGTTTTCCTCCCGGTCAAATGAAAACGTGAAGGGGGACACACAGTCCGAGTTCTCGTTGAGCCTGGGAAGTGTTATGTTTTGTGACAATGTTATGCTTCCTTTGCGAATCCATCAGAAGCATATGCAAACCGATGGAGAAAAGTGCACCATGCTGTTTCACGAATCACGATAGCATAAGAGTCTACGAAGCTAAGTTCTGTGCTAAATATGCACTGAAATCAAATCAAGGGTAGCACCACACGGCCGCCTCGTCAATCGTCTCGCACAATTTCAAGACCCCGGCGATCAAAGTGATGGCCCACGAGGAATTGAGCTCACACCAAAGCTGCGCTTCCTCTGCAGATAGATCGTGCGAAACCATTGCTTCGTTGATCGACTTGATAGCGAGGAGGCAAGCACGTCCGCGCTTCTTGCGTCCTTTCAGGGCCATCGTAGTGGAGTAAGCCAAACCGTCGTTGATCATGGTTCCAATAGCGTTCATTTCGTCGACGGACAGGGGCTCCATGCGAACGCAGTCCAAGATGAAATCCAGCAGCGTGTCCACTTTGGTCATGCCTTCGATGGACAGCTTAAGCTGTCTCGTGGCTTTACCTGAAGGGCCAAGAGTGAGCTCAGTGGAATTGTAAGAGCAAGTGTATGAGTGCCCGTTACATATCAGACCGGCTATGGACTCTATCTATGATCTTACCCTTTCTCTTCGGGGCACACGCAAAGACGATAAGGTCACGCGAGTTGTTGCCGCCTGCCTTAGCAGGAGCAACACTACGCAAAATTGAAACTAACAGCAAGAACTACCATCAAGGAGCGTGTTTGTATCCCTGAGGCGAAAGCCTCTTGAGTTTTAGTCAGCCACTACATTTTTCACAATTACTACCAGGATGATCACCATCAGATATTTGGAAAGAGTGATTTGGCGACTTCGTCCTTACGGACTGGAAATGCCTGGAGCTGGAGGTGGAATCATCATGACAGGGTCAAGCGACGGCACGGAGCCACAAGAAGGCCTAACCGAAAGCAGACAACTATAAGAAGTAAAGGAATATTACAAAAGAGATTCTTGTCCGTTTCTTTTTTCGTCTTGAGGTTTTCGAAGTCTGGATGGTTTTTGATTTCGTTGACGATGAAATCGACCGTAACTCCGCCCTGGAAGCGCTCCACTTCGATGATTCTCCATAGAGAATCCTGCTTCTTCAAATTCGCCAAAGTCGTACTCACCTCCGGGTGGCTTGCGACCTGGAGAAAAGAGACAGACCATACAGTGAGAAGAGGAAAACTCCATCGGCGGAGATAGACAATATTAGACAAGGCCAGTGGATTCTTATCGAAGACCTGTCGTTTTACATAAGAGGTAGACCTTGCCTTGCGCACCTCTAGTCTACGTCTTTGGGCGTCAGCCTTCGAGTTCGACGACAATAGAGCTTGCGATCTCTATTGTGAATGTAATTGCAGCTACTACTAACATTACCTTTTTTCCCCACGCTTCCGCAGTTTCGGTCTTTCCGACGCCTCCCATCATAATGTCCTCCTCGGAGTCCGACACTTTGTTGGTCTTTTCTGGTGAAGAGACTCTTTCTTGGTAGTTGTTGCAAAGTTGAAACGAAGATAGTCGCCTTCAAAAAGGGGAACGACTCTCCTTCTTCGATTATAAAACCCTAGAGTGAGCGCTTTGGCAATGAATGGTCGGAGTGTTCGGTGGTTAAAGTTACTGTTTCGAGTACGCAAGTGATGATCAAGCTTATCAGAATGAAGTGGGATATTCCCGTCGCAAATGCAACCTAGCGTGACGAGAATGGAAAAGCGACGCCAATGTCTACAGGATAAAGCTACGATGGGCACTAGATAGGTAAACAAAGAGAAAGTCTTTTGCACTAGAGACAGTAGGTGTTTCAGGTTTAGCCTGCGGCGCCGTAGTGACTAAATAGTCCCAATTATCCAAAACGCAACAGGTGGACCGCGAAGAGATCAATCACAACAAACGAAACCAGCGTGAAAAAAAGCAGAAAAACGATCGACAGACTTCCACTTCGCTTGGATCTTGTGCACGCGTGGTGACGACTTTGCAGAAGCATAGTAGAGGAGGATCGCGTCGGTTTGTTGGAAAAAAGAGCTGGCTCTGCTGTTGCCGAGAATCCAATCTGTCGCAGCCGATCGGTGGATCTATGTCTATCACTGGATCTATCATCTTCTTCTTCACGCGAAAAAAAGAAGTTCTGGGATCAGTCTCTTTGAAAGTGAACTACAAGACGGGAAGAAAGAGCAAGAGCAAGACACTCAGATCTTAGCCGCGGGAACACACAAGCGAAGCGCGTTCTTCATTGCTGCGCTAGATCGGGTGCTGCGTCCTGTTTCTTATAGTGCAACCCTGTCACTCGTTCATCCTACAGGTTGTCTGACGCTGGCTTCCTATTCCTACTATCAATGTCTATCCCGCCCCAAGTTTCTACATTAGATGAAGCAACCACTACAGCAAGGAGGAAGAGCGCTGATGGCTCTGCTACGGTAAAGCTGAGCTCCAGAATGCTCTGAGTTGATCTCTCTGTTTAAGTTGCCTGCGCATGTCCACTAAGTTAATCCGTTGCATGTCCCCTACATTCTTTGTGACAAATGAAAGCTAAATCGCCCTACACTTCTCATTTTGCATGTCGCCTACAGACTTGCGAATAGCGGACACTATGTGCAAAATGAATCAGCCTACTAATCTATTGATTTCCATACTGAAAAACAAAATTATAAAATGGCTTTATATTTTACTTTATATTTTCTCTATAAAATCTAACTTTTTGCAGAATGTAGTGGGTCTGGCTCAAAAATGGTACATTTTATAATGGCAAAATATAATGGATGGGTCTGGACCAAAATGGTCACACTTTGACAACAAGATTGAAAGTTTTGAATATAAGTCGGAAATCTGTATCGTTCTGGCCAGTCTCTAGTCGTGATAAGGCGTCGAATGTGCATGGTTTGGCGCACATGGTTCCACTCTGACCCTTTAAGTTGATGCAAGTTCTTATCTTCCTCTTCAGCTTAGCTACTTTCGTTGCGCTTCGATTCTCCCAGCTACGCCTCTTCCTCCTCGGCGTCCTCGTCGATTCCGAGCATGTTATCAACAATAGCAGCGTCCGATCCACCATCACTCGCTTCTTCATCTTCCTCAGCCGCCTGTAGCTCTGCTTGATGTGCAACGGGCGCCGCCCTAGAAGTTGAACTAGAAGACGCTGAGCCTGCTGGCACAATTGCCGGATTGCTACTGCTTGTTGCCTCACCCTTTTCGGTCAACGGCTTGATCCACTCGAAGTCCGTGCGGCGGAGAGACCGGACGTGCCCCTGCTTCTCGTTCGAAGTGAGGTTGACCGCAACCATCGCGCTGATGTAGGGCTGGATGAATTCCTTGTACTTGTTCTGAATTTCGGTCTGCTGCTTATTCGACATCGCTTTGCTCGGTCCCGCTTCGTTGAAATGCTCGGTGATGAAGCTGTTGCGAGCACCCCATGCCCTCAGAAACGCCGCAGCCTCAGCCTGGCCGAACTTCGCTGTTGCCTTTTGTAGGCCCATGTCTTGTCGCTTGAGCAAGAAGAACAGCTCTCTGCCTGCTTTTTTAACGGCCTTCTTGTACCGCTTGTAGAGCTCACAATCACGATCCGGAGTCATGAAATAGCGATGATCGTCGCAACTCAGTGCAAAGAGCGGAATACGAGGCAAAGACCTGCGACGTGCTCCAGCCTTTCGTAGCTGCTTCCGGCCGGGCTGGGTCTTACCGGGGGACTGGGACGAGGCGGGTGGCTGCGCCGCGAAGTCGGCCGTTACGTCAGCTGCAGGAGCGCCAGATGTCTGCTTCTCAGAATCAGAAACGGCTGCGACTTCTTCTTCTTGCTCTTCTTCTTCTGCAATAGGAGGTAAGTGCGAGACTGTGGCATTGGTAGGGCACTGCTGCTGCGGAGATGAGGCGACATTCAAACCGAGAAGATTTCTCGTGCCAGCAGCGGAGCACGCAGCTGCATTTGAATTTGATCTAGACTTTGCAGTTGCGCAAGGAAGCTCGTCTCTGGCCACTGCAGCAAAAGCAGCACGTCCTCCTCCTTGCTGCTCCTCAACGTCGTCTCCTCGAGTTTTTGTACTTGTGCTTGTGCCCGCAAATGCAGATGTTTTAGTAGGAGTAGCAAAAGTACTGGCTGGAGCTGCAGGCGCAGCAACGGGCGTCGAGTTGGTTTGCTTGCCAGAGGCGGGCTTCGGTGCTGGCTTGTAGAAATGCGCTGCGTACTCAGACATCTCTTCCCGGACTTTCCTCGGAGAAGGCGGCTTTTTCTCACTCTCCCAGATTTTGGCCTTCACTGCCTTCTTGGTGCTATCATCGGGGGTCCTCTTGCCAGGCTTCTGCTTCGGCTTAGCAAGTCCTGCTTCTTTCACCTGCTCCGCTTTAGTTTCCTTGTCTTCTTGGGACTGGATTTTCGACAGCTCCGCTTCTGTTGCCACAAATTCACCATGAAGCTTCACCTCCAATTCTATCCCTACCGTTGTCGGACAATCTGGCTGGAAAAGCGACGCAGTAAGCCAGGCTTCGTGGACGCGGTGCGGAATGTAAATCCCGTCGTCCACGTCTTCGTTCGTGATTCTCCGAACGACAGCAGCACTCTTTTGCCTGGCGGGCGTGCCAGCAGCCTGTGGAAGAGCGCCTGCGGCCCCGACATCGTCTTCTTCTGAAGCTTCTGCCGCTGAGAGGTGCCTGTCGGTGTAATGCAGAGCATCTTCATCAACTGCACTGAAAACTTCTCCGATGTTTAGTGTGAAGATGTCTTCTAATTCATCCAGTTGGCGTTTTATTTCTATGCCACTGAATCCCGGCAACGCTCCGCCAAGTGTCCACACCACTAAGAAGAAGAGAGTTTCGGAGGGCTCTTCGTCTCCGTTTACAATTCCACCTCCTACACGACATTCAACGACAGGATACGCGTGTGGTAAAGAAGAGCGCATTTTCTTCATAGAGAAAATGCATGCAGATGGAGCCTTGTTCCTCTTTCCGTTCACGCCCTTTTTTTTCGCTTTCGACAAGGGTTTCATTTTTGCTGCTCCCGCATTTCTAGATTTAGTGGCTGTAGTTGTAGTGGAGGAAGAAGCAGAAGAAGACCCCTCACCATTAGACCTGCCAGCAGGAAATCCAGGCGCAGCCTCCTCTTCGGAATCTTCGGAGGTACCACTGTCCATACTGCTGGGCGCTGTCGACTCTTCATCGCGACCTGCTCCCCTTTCACCTGCTTCTGCGCCTGATTTTTTCTCCTGCTTTCGTTTCTCTGCCGCTACAGCTCTCCTCCCTGCTGTGCCTTCTTCTTGCTCCTGTACCTTCCGAGCTTCATCTGCCGCAACTTCTGCATGTGCAGTCGGAACTCTCTTTACCCCATATCGCTCGAAGAATGCAAGAAGCACTCTTGTGATCAGAGGCGTCTCCACATGCAGCGGCGCCTTCATCGCAAACTGCTGCGAGCTTACTGCACCGATAAAGAATTAGAAGGAAAGGAAACTCGAAAGACGGCGAGCCCACTACACTGTAGTCGCCGCTCAGTATGAGTTGAAGAGGCAGGGCCCCTAGTATAAGTATAGCGCTTATCTCTAATTGCTTGCTTATGATATCGTGATAGTGCGTGCTTATGCGCGGACTTATGGCCAAAGTGAAGTGAACTCTTGCTGTGTTGTATGTTGTTCGAATGTCAATCCTGCTACGAGTTGCTGGAGCACGTGGATTCACTGAGTATGGGCATAAAGTGAATACTCGACGCAGTCGCTACTGCCAGTAGCGCTACACGAGCACGCTATATTATGCTTAGTTATAATAACTAATGCTATTGTATCCGCAAGCTAAGACACTACGACCATAATCGAAGCTGCAAGGGTTGTAGCACTCGCGAATTCCAGCGGCTCTCGAATTCTTCTGACCGACGACCATTCCACCAGGACGCAAATCATCCACATCAACGCGCCAGTCTCTCGTAGCTGCGTCGACAAGCTCGCCTGCTGCGCGCTCCTTGACGTCATCGTAGAAGAGCTTAGTCTGCCGAGCTGCTGCCTTCTGTAGTTTCTGCACCGGGTCCTTCATCCAGAGACGTGCCCCTGCTCGTTTAGTCACATTGTCACGCGCGCGAGCGATGGTGGCTTTTTCGGCTGCTTCCTTCAGGGTTTCTTCATCAGACGCAGCGCCCTTGTACTTGTTTGATCGTTTCATATCCACCGCGCGCATGGCTCGCTGCTTTTGAAAAGGAATGCCGGCTGCAACACGGCTCTCCTTGTCAGCGGCGCGACAAGCAACTACGCTGCGCTTGTAGCTGCCACTCACCACGCTGCAGTTGGTACGCGAGCACAGCAACTCCAGGCCTCCGCATGCATCTGGATGGCACGCGCGCTGCGTAATCGCGTGTCTACTTTCCACCCGCAGATTTGTTCGGGGCTGCACTCTCCAAACCTCCCAGCACTTCTTGATGATCATCGGCCGGACACTGGAAGGAGTGCTTCGTTCGCAGGAGCGCATGCAGCAAGCGCAGCCCGCTAGGTTTTTTCTTCTTACAACGTGGTCGCGGGCCTCGGGTAAACGCGTCGGCAAACTCCACCTTCTTCTCGTAGGATGGTTGCTGCCAAAAAGAAGAAAAGAACTCGTCTTCTTCGTCGTTGGTACAAAGGCGCCAGTACATCTCCAAGTAGTAGGTAAGAAGACTCAGGACCAACGCCACGAGGATCATTGGATCGCACGTTTCAGCAGGAGGCTCACCGCGTTGATGCGAGCACATCATACCACTTCCCATCTGCAACGACTTGAAGGCGAGATACGTCGAAGCGACGACCTTATCCCACATTGCTGCGCGCGTGATCGAATCCATTTTCTGCACGGAATAGGTTAGACGATCGGACGGCATACTCAGCACAGCAATGCACGCCAGAATTGCTCGAAACTCCGGGTTGCAGTGTCGCGCGCGAAGCCAAACATTCTTGTGGCAGTGCAGCTTGGTCAGATCCGTCAGAATGTCGGGGAGCACCTCGTTCACCGCAATCATCTGTCTTGCTCCGTTGCCTACCGTGCCGAACCGCCCGATGATTGGACTGCCCGTGCCGTGCAGCAGTCTAATCGAATCTTCCAAAGTGGCTCGATTCTGCACTCGCAGATCACCAGTGGGGCCTTCTGGTTCATCTCCAGCCGCGTTAGGTGCTGGCACTGCTCCCAGTCGCAGTCCAGTCCCATTCTCATCCGCAAGAAGATCATCTTCAAGATCGATGCTCAGCTGCAGCCGCTGGCCCGACACATCATCCGGCGCTGCGGCCGCTGAAGCAGCTGCATCTCCGTATCCGGTATTGCTGCTGCTGCTCCGTTTATCACCATCACAGTCTTCCTTCTCCTTTTTCGGTCCTACTAGAATTACTTGTTCGGGAACGTCAACTCCGATCTCTTCCCCATCTGCCCGCAGTATACCTGCCAAGAGAGTGCGAGAGTGCACGTTGTTACCAGCGTCACATGCTGAGTCATCTATGATGATGGAGTTTCGATTTCGAACTGAAGGAAAAAGACTGACGACTACATTACTACTTGTTCCCAATGAGAAACAGAAAAAACAACTAGAAGCACACATAGTTAGCGCCTGGAGCGCCTCGTATCTCGGACTGGTGCCCTCGGTGTAGTCTCTGTCAGGTGGGTTCAAGATTCGGCTTACGAAATCGGTAACACTCACCATCCGCTCAGGCTCCAGCTTGTTGATGAGGTTCCTCCATTTCTTGCTTCGCAAGTACTGCTCCACTTTTGGCTGGTTGCATGTAAGTCCTTTACACTGTCGCCGCAAGACCGCAAGGAAGCCTTCAGCATCTAGGCCCAGCAAATGGAAAAACCGGTAGAACGCAACTTTGAACGCGCTGGAGTTGAGATGCTCGTAGCATTGCTCGATACACATGAAAAACCCAAACAACGTCATATCCCAAGCTGTGTCAGCCTCCGGCGAAATCGCTTCCTGTCATGAAGTTGAAGCGTGTTGTTGAGGATATGGCCTTTACTCATGCGCCTTCAGAGTCGAGTATTTTCATATAGTTCCGCGTCGGCCTGGGCCTTGCGTTACTGTGATGTGGTCTATTTCAATTGTAAATGTAAGCAGTTCATAGCTATAATATGTATATGCTAGTATCATAATGATAGAGATGCCTCATTCATAAGTGAAGCCTGTTGGTCCACATTCGGTCTCTGACCCGATAACCACACAAGCAGGACCCGATCCCAATAGGAGTAACAATATTAATATCAGGTGCTACTTAGTGGGCGCCCAGTACTACATCATAACATATGTAGTGAAGTGTAGGTGTACCTCACTTGCAAGCTTGAAGGGAATCTGATCAAGCTCCAGCTGCTCCGCCATGATCCGGCCGCAATCCTCGTTCCACACGGGAAGGCCCAGCTGGTTATCTGGTAGACGTGGAAGCGTTGGGTCTCCGCGCGGATCGGGCAAGGAGGTGTCCATCTCGTAGTAGTACTTCAGGAAGATCTCGCGCAAAAAGTGGCCGCAGGTTACTGCACCACCATCGGTTGTGAAGTGCAAGCCGATAAACGAGTGGAAGTTGTACAAAGGGCCTAGCCGACTAGGATACGGAAGCAGCTCAGCGATCCGCAAAGCTGCGCACCATGCTTCTTTCCATGAGGCTGTGTTCGTGCTGCCTCCCTGCATCCGGTCGACGCTGTCAGTGCTAGTCACTAAAACAGGAACCGGAAGGCGGTAGAATCGGTCGATGTCTCTGACATGCTCCCCAGTGGTGTCCGCCCTCAACGGAAGCCACACCTCTCCACAGCCGACAACCAGGTGCGCATTGTGATCGCGTAAACGATTCCCCTTTCTTTCCTTACACCCCTGCATGTTGCGAATGTGGCTGTTCGTTCCATCTACTTCGTAGTGGATTATGCTCACCCGGTCACGACTTCGCCGCAAAAACTCGCGACGAACGCAAAGGCGAACTGCTCTGTCGATTTGAAAGATCTGATCTCCATCGAAGTGCCTTCGTTCTCCTTTGAAGTAGTAGTGCAGGAGCTGGCCCATTTTATTTCGAACATCCACTAGGCGATCTTGCTTCTTCATCGTTTTAAGGTCGATGATGCCACTAGCACTACTAGAACTACTCACCGGATGAAGGAGTGACGTGATTGTCGGCTGAAACGTGTCCACAGCACTAGAAGTAGATGATGACTGTCGAAAAGCTAGCCCGGCTCTCTTCATCTCGCTCCGCGTTGTTCGTTGCAGGTGCTTTTCTAGTTTGGCTTCTGCCTTCTTTGCTTCAACCTTCGACTGAGGAACGAGGAAAGCCTGTCCACGCCCTGCAAGACTTGCTTTTGTAATTCGTTGGCCTGAGTTGAAACTACTCCCGCTTGCACCTGCGTGTCCATCCTGCGACTGGTTTCGGCCCAGTAATTCCATCTTGAATCGATCTAAAGAGGAAGACCCGGGCCCCGTCTTCTCTCGAATAGTAGTTGTGCCTGTAGTTGTAGTATTTCGCGCAGAAGAAGATGAAGATGTAGAGCTAGGCTGTCCAACGTGGTTCAAGTTCCAGATGGGTTTCTTCTTCGGAGGGCGTTTGACATACGGGTCGCGCTCGTCTTCCTCCTGGAAATCGTCTTCATCAGCTGAAGACGATGATACTAGATCGATGACGCGCTTCGCAGCACGCTTTGCTTTAGCCTTCTCTTTGTAGTCAGCTGCCTTCGCCAGTGCTTTCTGCAAATTGCTTTGCGCCTGCTTTTCCTTTGCTGCACCGATTTTGCGACGCTTCGAGCCCGGCTCGAATTGGCGTCGGAACTCTTCGTCCGAAGACGACATTTCCAACTCCTCCTTTATTCGACGGCGTGATCAAACACGAGGAGGGGGCTATGAATAATACCAATTAATTTGAAACGACGACTTTGGCTTACCCATGTAACAAGAAAGAGACGGCAGTTAGAATAGATGTAGAGCCACAAGATGATCAGAGAATGTCAATCAGCATGCTGATCTGGATAGGTCGAGTCAGAAATAAAAAACAATGTAGCTCAGCTTTCATTCAAACGATACAAAAAACAATAACAGTACTTCCATAGGGAGAAATAATCACGGCGAATTTCGTTGCGGTCAGTCACTCACATCAAGACCAGTCCTTCCTTTAATTTTTGCTCGCAGCTAGATCCGTTAAGCAGAAGTTATTCTATAGGTTATTCTGACTCTTTCCCTGTAATTCTACACTGCCCTACGATTTAAAGAAGTGACGCCTTGTCAGAAGTGAGCGCCTCTTTTTCCGCCCGGAAGATTAGCATGTCTATTAGATAGTCTAATGCTTTCTTTTGCTTGCGGTCACGACAATTTTCTACAGCAACAACTTTGGCAACAATCCAGAGGGGGCAAATCGTTTTGGAGTCTCCTTCTCTGTGTTTTTGATAGAGTCGAACTTTTATCAGATTTGGTGTGGTCGATGCAACGGGCTCTCGATGCCTGCTCGTGCGAGACAGGATGCAACTCAACTCTCGTCCCGATATCAATGATTGTAAGCCAGACCGATTCGACGAAAGCCGATGAATTTGATCACCCAGCAGAAAAAGGAGCTTCATTTTCACAAGCAAGGAGCTTCATCTGAAAAAAATCATACTGCGTTTGGGCCTTGATCTTTTTGTCTCTCACACTGAAAAAAGAAGAAGTCAAAGGGGACGCCTCTTCTCAAGACCGAAAGCAACTACTTACAGCTCAACATCGAGGAGAATCGAAACGCTTTCGCAGTTCTTAGTGGTGGCAATCAATGAAAACGAATGGCAATGACATGAGTTGAAATAACAAAGCATCCTTGAATCGCGCTGGTAACGCAATGCAGCCTTTCTATCGACACGCTACAGATTGGTAGAAAGGTTCACTGGTCTCACAATCAGGCTGAACGCTGTATCCTTTCCATTATCACCGAGTAGACTAGATGCCTTTGAAAAAACAACCGAAGATCAGAGGGACCGAAATGAACAAAGCATCCGCGACTTGAGCTATCGATCTTGTCATCGCACCAACTCACGCCCACCACATGCCGGCCTTTCTGTGTCTTTGGCGTTGTGCTGCAGCAGTAGCTTTTGGCTGCGCGCACTCTGGTTCTCCTTGCCGGCTCCATTTGCATGCAAGCTGCAACGGCAACTCGACCACAGGGCCGGAATGTAGTCGCAATATAGTTTAGTATACTAAACTCTTATAGATGTAGCACTGGTAGCATCTGCCGTGGCAAAGGTGTTTCATGGAGTTAGAGTAGAATCTTCGAGGTCAATGCACATGCATTCCAGTTTCAGCCAGACAAGAGGAGCTGCATCGAGTGAATGCGAGAGCCTTGCGTATTAGATTTGTTTCTTCCGATGAAATGTCTAAGCTAACCTGTAACGACCCTGGAAATGAGTTCTATGTCCAACAATCTAGCTGCAGACTCTTTCAAGCCCTAGAAATGCGGAAGCTCCTTCAGTTGCAGCTGCAGTTGCAGTTTCTTGCACCATTTTCAAGAATCAGGCTACGACTTCGCGTGAGGTGAGGTGATATCGCCTCGCGCTGCCGCAACCGCAAGGACCGACGACAGCTTCGCCCCGTTTCAAATCAAGAACTAATCCAGCCTCGCTTCCTGTTTTCTTGCTTTCATTTCTGACCAACTAGCTATCTCTTCTGTTGTTGTCTTCTACAGCGTAGTCGCCCTCACCTCTCGACCAAACGACAACTCCACCCCGGCGGAAGCAAGTGTAGATGATCTAGATCTAGTCTACTCCGTGACGCTGTGCAGAATAAAAACTAGATGTAGGCTCAGACGAGTCTGCGTCTCGAGTGATGCGCTATCAGGACAGATGCGTGCCAGCCTCACGCGCCATGCTGCTCACCACCGGCCATCTGGTGAAATGTAGGCCACGCCATTTCCCCAAGAGAAGCGCAGGCCGGATTCTGCTCTTCCGCAACCAGGCCAGGCAGGAAGAGACGGCCGATGATCGAGAACTCCAGCCGCAAACCAAGGTCTACAAAGGTCGCGCCCACTGCTGGCACTGTGTAGAAAAAGAAGCGAAGAGAAGTATAGGCAGAGCGGAGGAGGACGTCGCACGCCTCCGCCGGGCTGAGTCGTATAAGAACGCCTGAACTTCCAACGCAAAAGCACGCCCCGCTGCTCCCAGTTTAATGCCCATTCCCGCTGTCGAGCAGTAAACAGCCACACGCAGCAGAACGCCGCGTATCGGCCTAGCAAAGCATCCTACTGGTGTAGAATTGAGCCGACCGACCTTGAAAGATGTGTTCTGAACACATCAGGCGCGCGATGCGCTCCTTCGTCGCTTTTCCGAAGGTTGGAATGTGGTTTCACTTAACTTGCCCGAGGATGTCACATCTATCGAGCCATAAGGATGAAGTGCGCAGCTTCGGGCGATGAATTTCGCCTGCAGGAAGGGGCGAGTCCGGTCAGCGGCTCGGTTTCTGCACAAAGATGCTCGGGCGACAAGCTGTGCTAGAGTTTGCACTGGGAGGAAGAGTCTCCTCTTTTCCAGGTGGAGAAAAAAGGCGACTTCCAAGATTTTCGGGGTGGGAGCGAAATGGTCACCAAGACCTTCAATTTTTCGGCCCCAGTAGCAGAGCATGTCACATTTTATAGAGAAAATATAGAGAAATTATAGTGCTGGAAAACCAAAAGGCATCAGCTCGCCAAGTTGTGTACCGACGGGACCGGGGGGACAAGGCGACTATCAATAGGCGATGGAACCGCGGCAGAAACTCAACTGGTTTCGGCATGGCTCACGTGTTGGTGTCATCGGATCAAGTGTTTGGTGTCTATCGCGAAGCAGACAAAGAAGGAGGCTGCTGTAGTGCTGCGGGAGTTCAAGACCCACACTGACGCCATCTTGCAGCAGCAGATCGAGCCTATTAGCGACCTCATGGGCAACAGCGATAGGGAGTTCCTCCAGTCTGTGTGTGCCATCGACTCGAAAACGCTGCAGGCTGTAAAGAGTAAAGCATTTACATCGAAACGGAAACCGGCCATGAAAGTAGCGAAGGGGAAGGCGAAGTCTTAGATGGTGGAATCAGGGCTCTTGGGTGATGTAAGTAGTACTTCGTCTAAATCTATTTCATTGTACAGAAAGAATTATATCCAAGATAAGTTGCTGGAATGTATAGGAAAATGGTAAGTAGTTGAACGCGGAATGTGCTTTTTTTTGTATTATCAATCATACTAAGTATTTTCAGAAAGTGAGTAGAGTAGTGCTAGTAGTCATAGTTGATGTCCAGTAAATAAGGTCGCAGTGTGGCAAGTAAGAAAGTGCTTTTTTTCAAGTAGAAGCGGGGAAGTCTGTAGCATACATGCAAGACCTTAGAATCTTGCTCAAGTAGAACTTTGCTTCCCTTTTCCTTTGGAAGAGTGAGACTTTGGACAGAAGAAAGTAAGGATATTCAGATTTGTAAAGTTGGGAAAAATACGGGATTCTTACGTTTGAGATACGATTTGACAGGGTTGGAAATACGCGGAAGAATACGGCAACTTTTCAACGATGCTAACCACGTATTTCTAGTGGTGTTTGACTTTTTCATAAGAGGCCAAACCTGTGGCGTATTTCACGTCGTATCTTTCCGTATTTGTGACGTATTTTCTCAGCTGAGGCTCTTCCGCAAAAATCGCGTTTTGAGAGTCTCCTGAAGTCTCAAGAAAGAGAGAACTTGCTGAGAGATCTTTAGAGACTTCTGATTGTTGAGACTTTGACTTGCTTGCTTCGTTCTTAAGGCTAAAGCATTGCTCCTTCGTCATTTTCTAGAGGTAATCCAGAATCTTTTTTCTATGTTGCTCTTGTTTGTGAGGTAAGAACTGAACTGACACAACTCTGACTCCAAGACAACTACTTTGCTTCTGTATGTGAACCTGAAGAAGGGCCTACCCCTACGCAGAGAAAAGTAGAGCAACTGAGACGAGAAGGAGTGAGAGAGACCTCGCCCCTTGTTTCCCTACAATCCTCAAAACGGCCTTGAAAAATGTATCTCCAACGTTTCCCAGCACCAGCGTTCATTTGAGACTGAATCTGGCATCACACTGACTGCCTCATAGTACTTATTGACGTTGATTGTTGACTTTTTTCACTTTATCCACTTTTCTGAATTGTCTATTCGATTTTTATTCTTCTCTTCTGTAATCGTGCTCACTGCCATATCATCCCCAGCAAGGACTGCCTTGCCCTTGCCTTCCCAATAAAACACTTATAGCTACTTGCTTTGAATCTCGTGAGATATCCTCGACTTTCTGGCTTTCTTCCTGAGAGCCTTACAAGATGCCCTCCAAGCAGTCCTCTAAGAAGAAGGTGCAGGACGTTGCGCCTCCGAAAAAACAAGGGAATCCGTTCACGAAGCAGTCGCCGACTATGGCAATGGTAGTCCATTTGAATGATTCAAGTAGTGGTGATGTGTGCTCTAATCTTCAACTATCTTGCAGACCAAAACATCTAGCATTTACTTTCGCTTATCTTGATTTGATACATATTGATTGATAATTCATAGATCTAAATGCCTTCATCTATGTATACGCTCCTAGGTAGTAAGTCAAGTCTGTGCACTAGTTTTGCTTCAACCTAGGTAGATGGGTTTGAGTTTATCTCTCCGCTGCTAAATCTAAATGATTTAGATTTGAGAACTGGAATAGCATAACTGTACTTATTCAAATTGTAACTCCTTCTTTCATGACGTGGGAAACAGTTTTAGACTATATTAATCTATCAGGACGAGTAGATCAACAGAAGTCCATATGTAGTTCGGTATCTATGGGAGCCACACACAAGGGCAGCCGACTCCATGTCATGTGTAGGAGCCGGCATGGCGATTGCGGCTCTGCGTGGGCACTTGAGGTAGGAGGGCAAAGGCGGGTTTCTTTTGGTTGGATTGTGTGAGGCCAAGGGTTGCTTGGATCATCTTTCGGCTGCTCTAGGTAGCTGGCGACACGGTGTTATCCATGAACAGTAAGGCTCTTTGGTTCCTTGTTCGGATTCGGCTTCGTGTTGTTCAGGGACAGGGTCATCTTCGTGCGTTGTTCCTAGTGCTGTTGGAACTCGTGGAATGTGGGGCCAGTCGTTTCTTATTTCATGTCTTTCCGTAGCAGTAGTAGTTTCAATGCCTCCTCTTAACTATTCTAAATTTCTAAACCGTACTCAGCCTCAGCGCTTTTTCTAAGTATCTAAAACTAACCTTTTCTTTCTAAATTAATTCTTAAGTCTAAGTCTCGCTGTGGATGTCTCAACTTTTGATCTACTAATCGATAAACATCTTAGCTTCTCCTTCTCCCTCTCTAACACTTACACCAAAACTGCTACGGTGGTAGCATCCCTGGGACTGAGCAATGAGACCGGCATTGTTGCGGCGCGCAATTTCATCCTCCGAGTCGTGAAGGAGAACCCCGCTGGCAAGTGCTCTGAGATCGTGAAAAAGGTGCAGAACGATCGCAAAATCGTGGGCTTGAAGGTTGAGAGAACAAAGGATGAGGAACTGTGGCATTTGGGCAAGCGGATCGACGTGCAATGTGGCAAGGTCATCAGCAAAGTCGTGGACTTGACGAACGTTCCGATCAGTCGCCTTCTTGGGGAGATCGCGGCACTTTCTTTTCATTCCATAAGTCATAGTTGTGTTGTAATTTAGATTTATGACGTTGTGGCTTTTGTGATCGTGTTTGTTCGACATGACTGCGACTTGCGTATGACATGAGTTTTAGACTTTTAGGAAATTTTGAACACACTCTTCCTTCCTCTTTAATCTCATGAAGATTGATTTTGCTTCGTCTACAATTTTAAACTTTCTCTTCCACAGGTGGACTTCTCGGGAAAGTACGAGCACAGCGGGGAAATTATCTACGAAGCTTCTGCGATGTCCGTTGCGTTGTTTTATGGAAGGTTTAGAGCTTCTTGATTTTTGTGATATAGTTGGTATTTGAGTGTAAAGACCAAAGGGCGTCGTGGTCCAAGGGAGTGAGAGTATTCAGTATCACCATGGCGATCAACTTTCTGCCAATCAGTGCCCTCGTGCCCGTAGTGCTTCTTCTCCTTCCACGTCAGTCTTTCATTGAAAAAGGGAGAAAGCTTCGAACGCCAAAGGCTTGGTCGATCCGTTCTTGGAGGAGAAAGAGGAACTCTTTGAAATAGAGGCAGCCTTTGCTGCAGAAGCAATCATTGGGAAGTGCGGAGGATTTCCAGACCTCAAAAAGTGGCGCCCTTGTGTGTTTTTAGATTATAGCTATTCCTTTAATTTTATAAGCACGACTGATAGAGGTAGACATGCTGAGCCTTCGCATTGTTTGTGCAGTAGCATGAATGTACATTACCACCTTTTGAAAATTTAGATTTCAACACTACACTCGTATCGACTTCGCATAAAGCCGACATCCATGCTCACCAGGTTGGACAAGGCGAACACGACGCCGCTCCGATTTTCCTGGCTTTTTGAGCACCTCGGGCACAAACGTTTCCAACCAACGAACAACTGGACCATCAAGGCTATCGAGGACTTGGAAACTGACGAGATGTGCGACCTGGAGTTGAAGACTCACGCGGCGCTTTTGGACGTACTACGTTTTATGTTTTAACTTTTAGATCGGAGCAGTTTTTTGACTGCGTCAGAGGGTGGCCGAGCAACTATTCACTGCGTAGCTTACATGCTTTTCTCTGATTCTAACGAATGCTTGTGATAAGTTTCGCATCTTGAAGCTCTCTCTTTTCTCATTAAGATTTTTCTTCATTAGGACTGCCAATTTTCTTCGATATAAATGCTTCGACGATGCTATAGCGATCTTTTTTCTAGTCGTGAACCCTCCTCATTATGAATCTTCTCATCATGCATCTCCATACATTTTTTTCTATCGTAGGTCCATCTCCTCACACATCTTTTTCATCATAATAAAACTTATCGTCGTAAATCTCTCTCATCCTAAACTCTCCCTCATAACGATCTTACTCAACCACCACCAGTTCTGTTCTAACCGGGCAGCAAAAACATACGACGAAGCACGAACTACGGAGAACATCTTTCGACTGGCCGACGGTGCGCCTGGCTCCGCAAGTGCGTTTGCAGGGAATACGCCGGAACAGGTTGCTGAGTACATTAATCGCGAAACGCCGCACACCTTGTTCTTGATCCTGACCCAGCAAAAGCAGCGCGCTCTGAACGACCAGGGAGTGGAGACGAAATACCGGCTCGTCACTCGATACCTGGCACTTCGCCTTTCTCTAATAGAAAGTAGATCTTGGCTTCATTTTAACAGTCTTACCCTGACTTTACTACTACTTGACTTTGGAGGCATTTTCTTACTTTTTATTCCTTCTCTTCACATCGAGAATGACTTTCGCGACCTCATCAGTTATCCGAGGCCCGGCGACGCATCAGAAATTTGCAAGTCTACTTTGATGGCCAGGGTTTGGTTATCGAGAATTGCAAGGAGCTCCTGGACATCATCAAGCGGATTGAGGCGCTTTTGACGGAGGTCGTGCAGTGCAACGCTATGGCCGCTTGTTTGCAAATGCCGGCGAAGGTGCAAATCGAAGGTTGGAAGGAGTGGCGCGCTTGGCAGCGTAGCCAGACGATCACGAACGTCGTCCGCGCGCTTAGCATCGGGCAGTGGAATGAGGTGAAGGAGATGCAGGTCAACGACACAGTCTTTGCAGCGCTGAAGGTCGAGGGGCAGGTACTTTGGGACTTACTAAATTCTACCTCAGTATGAACTTTTGAAATTTAATTTTTTTAGAACTTGACTCAAGACTTTCAGTGAGTTCTAACTTCATCATTTGCAACTCTTTCTTTGAGTCACTGAGTTCTCTTTTGAACCTTCAGTATGCAAGTTTTTTCATGAAAATCTTGCATGATGAACGACTTCTGAAGAGCTTCTTCTACTTATCCCACTCTCATAAACACCACTTCCGCACTTTTCCGTTTTCATTCCTTCACTATTTCCACCAGGTCTTTTCATTGGTCGCGCAAATCATGCGTGCTTGCGGTGATCTGCAGGAGGAGATGATGCATGGCAAATGGTCGATCACCGCAGGCAACAGGATGGAACGCCTGGCGCAGCAGCTGACGGCCCCTTGGATGCGCTTGCAGGAGCTTATCGACGACGGCTGCGAACGACTACTGAAAGACGTAGAAGCAGTAACCACCTCTGCGATGGCGCAGATTCCGTACCACGTGCAGAAGATGTTTGAGATGCACGCTAGGCGATTGGATCGATTTACGCAATCTGTCAACACGAATCCGACCCAGAACGCTGTGGACGAGTTGAGGGACATGATGACCAAAGTGCCGATCTACAAGGCTTTGGATGAGATCTCAGTGGTTGTGCCGGAGTTCGCGAACTTTTGCGCTGCCGCAAATGAGGCCATCTACAGCAACGGCTACGCGGAAAAGGCAGAAGACGAAGATGGCAACGTCATCTCCGCCGGGACCAAGCTCCTAGAGGAGTTCAAGCAGAAAAGAGGCATCAAGCGTGTATCCCCTGGTCTCTTGTCGCGCGCGCATGGGTACACACGCAAAGCATCAGCAGCAGAAACCAAGGCGAAGATTAAGAAGGACATGGAATCCCGCAGCAAGCTCCAACCGGTGTGCGATGGTGAAGGAGATAGTCAAGAGGATTGCAATCTAGATGGCAAGGAGCAGGAACCAACTCGCTTCGTCAGAGTTAGCTTGGGCGAGAGCGCTTTCAGTACCGTCAGCCAGTGCGATGACTATCAATTGCGCAGATTCATGGAGAAGACTGACATGCGTACGCCAGACCAAGGACCACGCAACGGAAGCCAAGAGCCTCCAAGTAATAAGCTTTCATATTTATACTTTCGTTTAGAACTCAACTCTTCATAAATAGAGACTTGGATTGTGGGCCTCAATGTCGACGGGTGTAGAAGTGCTTGCTATTTCATTTTCGACGAATGTGAAGATGGTCCTTCTTCTCTTTTCTTCCCCACACCGTAGAAACAAACATTGTTGAGACACTTCTATTTCTAAACTTTTCTTGCCAAGGTGAAGCAGAGTCAATTCAAGCCAGCAGCGTTGGCCAGAAGAATCTTGACGTGGTTCCTTCGCAGCAACCCAAGGATGCGGATGGCAACGAGCCTGAAGGTCAAGAATGCATTGGCGGTTCTAGCAGTAACGCTAAAGAGCTCATCCCGGAGTCGGAAGCGGCTGACCTGGATGGTTCGCCCATTTTCTCTCCGGAGAAAAATGAGGAACGCAGCAAGAGCGTGGCGGGACAAAGTGCTAGTGTTGTTCTTATGTGCTAGCTTTGATTTAGATTTCGGACTTAGTGCGTTTTTTTAATGGGGACCTTCATCTTCTTTCGGCATTGCTTTGTAGGGATGTCACCATCTGAAATTGAAAACCAATTTTACTCTCACACCCTTACTAAATTTCTAAATCTGATCTCTTCCAATACCTCACAGAGCGTCGAGTCAGTTTGGGCCAGCAGATTCCGTCTCCCCCAAAGAAACGCTTGTCACAAACGAACGAATCCAAGGAGCCGGAAGCGGAGCAAGAGAACGCTGGCACTTTTTCTCAATTTTCTAATGAACCTATTCTCAGGGATGATCTAAATGAGCATGTACGTGAAAGAAGTAGACTCTTTTCTCGTGTCTCTCAATGTAAGGAGAACATCAATGCAGATATTTCTACGTGAAGAACAACCTGTCTCGCACTTGTGTTTTTCTTTATCTATTTTTATAATCATCTCCGTTTCCAGGTAGAGCCCAGCAAACGCCTGCTAGCAGAAGCAGCAGCGAAGACAGCAGTGATGTCGAGATTACCTCCAACAGCTCTTCATCTGACGAAGAGTCTAGCGAGGTCGAGACCACCAAGCCTGCGGCCAAGACCACGGCTGCGGCCAAGACCAAGGCGGCGGCCAAGACCAAGTCCAACGTGACGGCGAAGACCAAGGCGGCTGCCAAGAAGCGAGTGGGAGGCAAGTAAAGAGCTGAAGTGGCTGATGGTAGAAGAGGCTGCAGTGTGCGTTGCGAACTACAGAGTCAGGGCACGAAGAAGGGGGATATGTTGAGCAAGTCTGTTGTTAAATACCTTGGGCGTTGGTGGGGCTTACATAAAAAATATAAACATAAAAAACAGAAAAAAATATAAAAACGCAAAAAATATAAATATGCTCTTTTTTTTAAAGTAGTTGAAAAAACTACTACTTATAATAATATATTCATACTCGCTCCACCGGAGGTGGAGTCGCTTAGTACCCCTCGTCTGGTGAAGCGGTAAGACTTCGTTGGACTTGTATGGGGTGTAGTCTGATGCGGTCGAAATCCGTACTACGGGGAACCATGGGCTAAGTAGAAACAGGTGGTGCACTAACTGAAGTCTCAGCGCAAGCAGAGAAACTCTTCCTCCCTCGTTCATCTATTTCGTGACTCCACCTCCGACCCTCCGTACTATACGAGAGCGCGCGGGGTTGGTAGGCTCACGATTCTACTATATAAGCTTTTCCTTATTTATGAATCGTTCTAACTTTAGTAGCAAGAGGCTAGTATGTAGATCGTATAGAGTTATTGGGTATGGTAACTGGAGGGTAGGCAGTGTTGAGCGATCACCAATCCTCCACTGCCCGAGCTCCACCAACGCCCGACGGAATGAACAGCTTGATCCATCTCCCCACTCGAAATATGTTCGACTCTTCGTATCCCTGACAGGACCTAGTCTTTGACTTATTCGCATGCACATTGTAGCCTCTTTAGTTTTTGCTTTACTTTCATTTTTGTAAAAATTTTCTTCCAAGAAGACATATTCATGTATCAAGTAGTGCTGTCTTCGTAGACGACGTGCTACTTATGTGAGCTGAAGCTTGTAGTACAAGCTGACGCTCCTACTTAATTTTCCTGATGTGACTTTCTTTCGTTGCCGTGTTTTCTAACGTGTAGCGTGATTAGCTTGCTTTCTCTTTCGGAGTTTGCGTTTGCTTCTGAAGCTCACTAGTAAGTTGCTGCAGTTCCTTTTCTTTCGTCAGAACTCTACACTTACTTGTTAGATACGATACCCGCTGCAAGCGCAGCAAGTACGATGCTCCCTAGGAGAGTACTCGGCACTTAGTCACATCCAATTGATTAAGAACGCTCCACTCATACGCTATGCCGACCGTTTGAGCGTGTGAGTGTGATGTTCTTTCGCTTGCTGATGTGCTTGTCTAAGCTTTTGGGCGTGAGTCTTTCGACTTGAGTAGGACTAGAGATTCAGATATTAACTTTCTTGCATCTTTGAGAGCTGGTTGGTTGAGCTTCCTACTCATAGGCTTACTTAGCTAGTCGCTATGGCCCTTGCTTTGCATACTGCTTGAATGTCATGGATGAAGTTGAGGCTGTACTGGGGGGAACATAAGTACAACTATAATGCATTCTTGTTCGGGTGGGTGCATCGGCTTGCGACGCCAGTATGTAAGTAGTTCTCGGCTGCCAAGCAACTGCGCGAGTAGTAGTAAGTGCTGGTCGTTTAAGTAGTCTTGCTTGTGAGGGACGTTTTTTTTACAGCACGAGTCTAAAGTAAAAGTGCAAGTTAGTCGTGGCAGAAGATAGTATGGGGGATTGGAGTAACACAGCAGACACGACCACGCCGCTTCACTCTTTTTGCTTTACATAGTCGGCCATAGTATCACACATCCACTTTTATGCTGTCCATGTTTTGCATCTAACGCTAACGACTTTGCCGACAAAGTTTCCATATGTGTCTACGGGTGACATCATAGATCGAATATGGTGCCATGCCGTAGACTGAAACTCATGAGCAATCTTCTTTTATCTCACCTGTCACGATATTTGGCATCATCTTTCTACACAGGCTTGCACAATAAGAATACTACACTGATTTCGCATTTCTGTACACCATGACGATGCTCGTGGCTTTTGGATGCACATGAACACATGAGGACGAGATGGCAACAAAACCCTCGACGCATAGCTTGTGCATAGGTAGTCGGACGAGCGAGAAGATTGAAGCGTCGGGCTCCACAGAAGCATCCACATTCAGCCATCAAAAACAAGAAGTGAGTGGTGCAGAAGACTGCCAGTATTCTACTCGAAGTGTTCTAGTGATCTTTGATTTCGTCAATTACAGTCACAGGCTGAAACGAGTCGCAAGTCTATGCTCTTGTTTCTGCTGAGTCTGAGTCGGAATCTGAGCGCGTGTCTTCGCCTATCGTCTGTCGAGACCCGTTCTGTCTGTTCAATCTGCAAGATTTTATACACATATCTTGCAAAATGAACCTCGTGGATCGTTTCTGAGGAGTTTTGGTTCAGAAAAAAGAGTCTCTCTGAATCTCTTGAAAGTTGATTTAATGCAAGATATTGATCAAAAAACTTGCAAAATGAAGAGGAACACAGAAAAAATGAATCATGACTTTTGCAGGGTCTCAATCAGCTCGCCTGTCCCGTTTTCCCTTATAGCTGCAAGTAGTGCCTTTTTCAGGTTCAGTGTTAAGGATGCAAGTTTTTCATGTGTTTTCTTGTAATTTGATCAGTCGTTCCTGATAAACACGTTTATCGTCTCTTTTTCATGACATGAACAGAGTATGAAAATGGCGCTCCTCGATAGTCTGGCCTTTTCGCTGCATCAATCCGATCGGAGGAGTCAGACGCTCCAACTTAAGATCGCAGCACTTGGTGCCACTTCTCTCCATAAGTATCTCTCCGTGAGTCACTCATTTCAAAACCTATCATTTTGCAACTTTTCTACCAGTTTTCTTGCAAGTTGGCCGATCATTCTAACAGTTCATCTTCGAATGCGCGTCGCAGTTTGGTTTCCTGTTCCGGTTATTGGGTCATCGTTTGCAGTTCCGGTTCTTCACACTCCGACTGATCTACGAAGTGCATGGACATGCGAAGCAATCGACGCAGCTGCCTTCCTTCCATTCACTCATCCTCAACTATACCTCGCACTGCCCTTTTCAACAGCTTCACAACGAAGCAAATTGTCCATATAAATCCAGGCAGTGTCCGCCTGATCACCAGAAAGCTGAGGACTTTGTGTTCTTGTCAAATTGAAGAAAACGGTGTTCAGAACACCGGCCTGTGCGATTTTTGAACCGACTAGATTCCAACATCTTGACGTAAATGAAACGTGTTTTGCGCGTATTTGCATCGTATATGGACTTTGAATCTGATCACATGCTTTTTGTTCAATTGTTCGACTGCATCTACTCTTGCTACCAAACTGGAAATGGAAGCTTTGGAATTGGAGCGAACTGCATGTTGTTCGCCATGGTCTGTCTTCCAGACAATCCAGTGTACGCCATGCTGGACATGATTTACCAGAGTTACACCACCGGACTTGTGTCCACCCACGCATACTTACTCGATCCTGGACGTCGCGGAGGTTCCTATGTATCGATAACTGCTGCGCCTTGGCTTCCGGTGCAACCGGAGGACCCATTCGCATCGTGAAACTCCGAATCCGAAACCCGTGGGGTATTTCAATATCCATGAAAGCCTTGGAGTTCTTGATCTTGTTGTTGTCATCTTTATCTCGTTCAGCACATGATCGTGGTTCGGTTTAATTTCATCGTCATCACGATCAACACCTAGGAAAATATATATCAAGTATGATCTAGATCTTTCCTTTCATCATCCAGTTTCATCCATCGTATACTATATAAGAATAGACTTCTTTGACACTGTAGGGGTAGGAACTGGTGAGTGGCGTGGTGCGTTTTCGGACAGCAGCATAAGTATGCTGGACTGAGGAGGCAAAGAAGCAGACGGGCTTGGTTGTGGCCGACGATGGTGCTTTCTGGATTCGCTTATCCTCTGACTTCCGACGCTATTTCATGTGTATCTCGGTAGCACCCTACCAACCTGAAATGGCCACGAGGAAGTCACTTACCAATGTATTTCAGAAGCGGTGGATGAAGATGTGAAAGTAGGAGGGAGGCGTGTTGCACCCGGTACAGCTCTGGTTTCGGAAAACGATGGTGGATTGGGGTTGTGTTTTTACCTCGAAGTCATTCTTGATACGGTCTTGGTCATGGACATGGGTATGATAGGGCTAGGAGTTCTTGTAAGCAAAAAAAGTCTATTATGCAATTCATAGTTGTTGTCGTCATCGACATCTATCTTGTTGTAAAAAGATGTTATGAAATAAATTTAAATCATGAGCGATATTTATAGAATAGTTTCCAGTTTCAGCCACAGCTGCTCGTTGTCAGAAACTCAGAGCAGCTTGGGAGCGACATTCATTGACAACGACCGAGGCGTGCGTGATGTAGTCACAGTAAGATACGTAAGCGTGTAAGTATAATGAGTATGAGAAGCATACTTATATATGTACCAGGGAGGGAGGCCCCCCCCCCTGTGGATGGATCTGGGGTGGACCACGCCAGAGGGGTCCAGCCTTGCCACCTTATTGGCCAGGCCTGTCGAGGGGCTGCCGGGCGGGAAGGCCTCAAAGCGCCCACTTCTGACCCCTTCCCGCTTCTTGCATGTACCCTACAGACCTGGCAAAGGCAGGGCCCCGCTGGCTTGTTGCATGTACCCGACAGACCTGGCAAAGGTGGCAAAGGCCGGGCCCCGCTGCCTTGTTGCATGTATCCACAGACCCGGCAAAGGGGGCAAAGGCAGGGCCCCGCTGCCTTGTTGCGTGTACCCTACAGACCTGGCAAAGGTGGCAAAGGCCGGGCCCCGCTGCCTTGTTGCATGTACCCTACAGACCTGGCAAAGGGGGCAAAGGCGGGAACCCAGCCCCTTGGCGTAGGGTTGGGCACACGCAACACGACAAGAGGGCCCGGCCTTTGCCACCTTTGCCAGGTCTGTCGGGTACATGCAACAAGCCAGCGGGGCCCTGCCTTTGCCAGGTCTGTAGGGTACACGCAAGAAGCGGGAAGGGGTCAGAAGTGGGCGCTTTGAGGCCTTCCCGCCCGGCAGCCCCTCGACAGGCCTGGCCAATAAGGTGGCAAGGCTGGACCCCTGCAAGGAGCGGGAAGGGGTCAGAAGTGGGCGCTTTGAGGCCTTCCCCCCCGGCAGCCCCTCGAAAAGAGGGGCCGGGGCGGGGAGGCCCCCCCCCCTTCAAAAAGTTAGATCGGGGGGGGGGCCTCCCGCCCTGAGCCCTGGAACATATATAAATATAAAGCTATTTTCGGCGCTTTTTGTGTGCATATTACATTCATAAGGTGGATATGCCCACTATATAGTTGGGAGGAGTAATCGTGATCATAAGACGACTCCATACAATGAAATTCAAGATGGAGAGTAGATGAATTAGAAAATTCCTCAATCAGTATCTTCAATTTCAATATATATCTGACGCGCATCCGAAAATGAAATTAATACCGGCAAAACAACATCAAGCAACATTGACAAAGGAATCCATCGCCTTCTCGTGTGTTCCAACACAGTGTTCCAGCACGAACACGAGCGATCTTCTTTATTGTGCTGCTACTCCATACGTGTTGGTGTTCTACCTAAAAAAGTAGTTTTTATGTACTTCCTTTTATTTCTAGCGTTTCTTTCAAAATCTTGTTCTCGTGAACCTATTCTTCGCAATCTATCACCAGGACCAGCAGGAGCACTGCTCACCAGCATCATGACAAAGAAGAATGCTCACACATACCGAAACTTCTAACCTCTGCTAACGCACATTCCAGGTCCAGGAACGAACCAATATCGGCTAATTCGGAAAAATTTTCGGTGACTGTGTGTACTTCGTGTATTGAGCAATAACAACAACAAGACATAGCAAGTTCGTGAATGATTATTTATGGACTTAGGTCGGTATTAGATAGGAGCGTTTTGTCTGTTGTCACACCTTCTACCCTCCCACGACTCAGTCCACATCTCTCGTGTCTCTTTCACCAGGGCCCGGCAGTAGCTTTCGTCTATAATTTTACACGAACTACTTGTGGGTTTTGCCCCAATTCTACGTGGAGGTCCACACTTCCGCCTTCTGATCCTTTTTCTCATTTTTACCACGCTCCAACACCCGATTCATCTCGATTCTTGAGTATTGCATTATGTAACTTCAGCTTTCAACATCCGAGCTCCTGCTCCTTGGTTAGTATTTCTAGGTTAGTGAAGCCTCTTAGACTCAGTATTTGCGGCGATAGCAGCGAAACCTGTGAAGTGGCTTGTGCTCTACTTCAGAAAAGGAATGTGGTCATTTACTGCCACGTACCCGTAGTTGTTAATGTTAGGTCTGACACGATCATTGAGGATCTTCGTGTTGTAGATACAGGAAAGAAGGCGGCACCCCGTCGTGGGCCGGTAGTAGTATTGGAAAACAAACAAAAACGTGAAGAAGTTTGTAGGTTAAGTACAGACCGTAAAGACCTTTGGAACAAAACCAATCGATTTAGACTAAAATTAACTACTAGACGAAGTACGAGTGGCACAGCTGCGCGAACTACATTTGATGTAAGATCTCGATGTACAACTGCTAGTGCTAACACGACTCCCTTTCTTGATTTGCTATATGGTGACTCAATAGCCACTGCCAATTTTTTACTTCCTGAAGATCAAACACGATCACGAAGAATGTTCAACAACGATTTCGGTGGCTTTGGAGGCGAGCCTCCTGCCAAGAAAATCCGGCTTTCCGTGCCTGCTCCCGCGTCGAGCTCTTCTGGTGCCGCGAAGGACGACCCTCTGGGCCCCCTCGCGCTGGGCGAGACAACAACAGTGCCTGGCTCTGGTTCGGCCACTTACGTTATTGAACGGAAAGGACCCACGGATGATCCAGACCGCCAGTACTACATCTGCAGCTGTCCAGCATTCAAGTTTGGACCGAAGAACAAGGGTACTTCATGGGCGGCGCGGACCTGTAAGCACTTAGAGAAATTTCGTGGAGCGGACAAGGAGGCCTTTCGTATAACCAACTGGTTAACGAAGAATGGCCAGAATGCTGATGTTCCGGGAGCACCCTCCGCAGCAGCGCCACCCTCGATGAAAAAAGCAGCCGCGAAGGGGAAAGCGAAAGCAAAAGCGGGCGCTTCCCCCGCAGTTTCCAAAGCGTCCGCGGCTGCCGGAGGATCTCCTAGCAAAGACACTGGTAGGACACTGCTGTCTATCGCGTCAAATCTAGTTCTTGTTCTGTATTCATTGAAATATTTTTTTTGTTAGCATCAATCGAGTTAGTTTTAGCTTTAACGTCATCAACATCCCCACGATTTCTCCATAGATATCGCAGTTCTCCTAGCGCAAACTTGGGAGCCTGGTAAGATAGATGTTGCTGGATGGTGGGTCTCGGAGAAGCTCGATGGGGTGCGCGCAGTGTGGAAAAACGGGAGCTTCTATAGCCGGGCGGGTAATCCTTTCAACGCGCCAGCGTGGTTTACCCAAGACATGCCGAAAGACCGAGTACTAGACGGGGAGCTTTTTCTTGATCGCGGGAAATTCCAAAAATGCGTCGGAGTCGTCAAGAAGCAAATACCAATTGGTAATTGATTTCTTGGCCGTTATCCTGTTAGAATTTGTGATTAACTCGAGATCATTATTTATTGGGATAACTCTGTTTAGAAGAGCAAGGGGCGACACTGTTGATCAACGATGATCTACTCAAAAGCGGTCGTCAGCGGACGATAAGACTGAACTCCATTTTTGAATTGCGACTCAGATGCCGAGTGGCAGCTGCTGCGTTTTTGTGTTTTCGATATCATAGAAGATTCGGCAAGTAAGCCGTTTGAAGCGCGAATGGCCGAGGCACAGAAATTGCTACAGGGGAAGAAATATGCAATCTGGCACAAACAAGAGAGACTTCCCCGAGCGAGCAGTATGGGCACGAGTAGCACACCCGATGGCAGCGGTGCGGTAGCGAAGACCATTGCTGCGGTAGAAAGATTACTGAAAGGCGTTGAGGCCAAGGGCGGCGAAGGACTCATGCTTCGAGAACCAGGCAGCGGGTACGAGAAGAAGCGATCGAACACGCTCTTAAAAGTGAAGTCCTTCTTCGATCTCGATTGCATAGTCACGAAAATCGAAAAAGGAACAGGTAAGTACAAGGACTGCATGGGTGCTCTCCATTGCAAAGACAAGAATGGGAGCACCTTCAAGGTCGGGACAGGCTTCACAGACAACGTACTTATGATAGATATATATATATATGTTCCAGGGGTAGAGGCTCCCCTTCTGATTCTGTATGTTATAAGATTGATTTTGTACTACAAAGGAGCTAAGAATTAAGAATAAAAAAGGTTATGAGATGGTATAAACCCATAGTGATAGTCCGACGACCTTTTCCTGTCTGTTTGTGTCGTTCGTGTTATATGGAGAAAAGCCACCACACGCTTTTCAATCACAAAAACAGCAACGGCAAGCGCCACCAACAGTTGGTGCTATTATCACGGTGAAATACCAAGAAAAGACGAATGATGGCAAGCCGCGTTTTCCGGTTTTTCTGCGTGTCCGAACCGACATCACTAAACTAGCCTAACTTTTTGTTTTGGCTCGGAGGCCTCTCGTTCGTGTGGTATTAATGATCCGGAGCATCGATAGAGATTTAAGAGGTGGAGGTGGCTTCGTATGTGACTGTTTATGGTTAAGGTCATCAAGATCAAAACGGTTTTTGGTATTGTCTTCATTCTGCTACATGATTGGATTTTTCCGTTTCGTATTTTGATATGTTGGTACCCATGACGTAATATTATGCGTATGCCCAAGCCTATCCTTTTTTATCATACCAGCCTCCCGTCCCCGCGCTGTTCTTTGTTTGAAAAAGAAAGAATCTCAGACCCACGCTGTTGCCATTTCTTTCGCGTCACTCTGATGCGCTGGTGCGGTTTTTTACAGGCAGAGTGTGGCTGTTCCCCTGCGCGGCATTTTGAAAATGAAACATAATAAATGTAAACGACGTCAAGGACGAAGATAGATTTGCATTTGCTGGCTTCTGTAATTTCGAACTGATTTTCTACATGCTCATCTTCCTTCGTCGCTTCTATGTTTGTCTTGCATCTGTCGATCAATTGATCGGCCACTCATTCCTCTGAGGACATCAGTTATGCTGAATCTGTAAAAGTGAAGAGTTTAACATAAACACAAAAAGCACTGTGCCTGTGGCACGGTATCTTCTATCCATCGTCCCATACACATCTAGTAGCACTAGCATATCTAGTAGCACTAGCACATCTAGTAGCACCAGGTACTAAGATCAAAGACAACCAGGGAGTAGCTCTTAATCCACATTATGTAATTGTTCCTATAATAAACGTAAATAATTATGTGTGTCTATGCAGTAGGCGGACCCCGTTCTAATCAAACCTAACCTGTCTTGTTCTTGGTGAGGTTTGTTGACACTATTTGAAGCTTAGCTTTTTCTTCGCAAGCCGGGCTTTTCTTGTCTCACAACTCATTCACTGGCATTCACTATTCATTCGTGGCCCAAATCGAATTGATGGCCGCGTGTGAGCTAGTCTGCCGCGTCGACAGCACTAGCAAAATAATACTCGCCCGACTAATGTCAGCGTCTTCAGTATGCGCCTCAACCTCGACGAGGTGCTAGTCTTTTGATTTAGTAGCATTTGGCTTGCTACCAAAAAAAATGAAGGCGGTCTACTGGTGTATGTTGCATTTCATAGGATGCGCAGAGGTCCGCGCTCGAGTTCTTCGCACCCCCTCACCTCAAGGAGCAGATGGTGTGGAGGATCCAGGTGGAATGACAGACAGCACACACAGAGACGACCAGCAGGATGCTATAAAAAGTCTGGAGAAGTCGATGAGCGGCCTCAGCGTGGCAGGAAATAGAGACGAGCGCAAGGTTGAAGAGGCTCACCCGAGAAGATCGGTGCGGTTCCTGTTTGATAGAGATGCTCTTAGTGTAGATCTCGATGAAGATGAGGACGTTTCCCTGACGGCAAGAGAACTGGCAGGAGCAAGGAACGGGCTTAAGGAGTCGTCACAGCTAGACACCTCAATCGACGAGGAAAATATCACAGAGGAACTTGCACCATCCAACACGCGGCCGTTGAAGTCGATACTGCGAAGACAAAAGGAGGATGACATTTACATCCCGGTGGATGACAGCAAGATGACATATTATTCTCCGTCCTCGGAAGACTCTTCATCCTCAAGCAACACCGATGTGAGTGAGGATATGACAGGAAGAGATGACTATGGGAAAATTCCGAACGCTTGGGTAGAGAAGCAAAATGCTGGCGTGGGAACCGAAATTAAATGTACGATGGCAAACCGCACGGGTGTCAGTATCGCTGCAGCACCTGTACAACGAGAAGAAAATGCTAAAAAAAGACTCGATGAGATGATGGTTCGTGCAGCAGAAATTGAGGATGGCAGAACTTCCACTAATGTCGATCTTGCGAATGCCCCACCAGCCATACGCCCAACAATCACAGCTAGGAAACTGTCAAAGCAGAAGGAGTTTACAAAGACCGTCAATGCCAGTGCAGAACGAACCACTGAGCGACAACAAAGCGCGCGTAGAAGTAAGTCAACAGATCGAGTAAAGGAGCGCTTGAAGGCGGTTGCAACTTTGGGCCAATTTTGCAAGAATCCCGAGGATTGGACAGAAGCTGATCTAAGAATGCTAGAGCAGCGCCTGGACAGGTACTTATGAATGAGAAGTAGAATTCAACACAAGTCCAGATCCGTCGATAGGATGATCAGAATCTGCGGTCTGTGGAGACTACCTTGACTGGTGGTCTGAGCAGACTCGCTCTAATTAAATTCACGCTGGACAGCTGAAAATTAGAAGGGGCGACAAGCTTTCATTTCTTGTGCTGATCTCTCTATCTCTAAGCTGAGACGCCCTTGTTCCACGCAGCCGTGCAGGATTTGGCACCACAGCAGGCAGCAGCAGCAGCGTTGCGGCCACAACGGTTGCGACCCCGAAGCAAGAGCAACGATGCTTTGAAAATATAGAGCCAATACGAAATTGTCTCGAAGATGACTCTTCGACAGGGCAGCACCACGAATCTCTTCGTTTCATAACATCTTCTAAGCTGGTCGAGTGCCTGAAATCAGTGACGACATTGGGTGAAAGTCACCGGACTAGAATCTTTGCGCAGTTGCCCTCCTTTTTCAGACACTCGAACTCCCCGAGTCGGAGTCGCAGCGACTCTGAGCCCGAGGCAGAGGAGCCCATCGCAGCAAGCAGAGGAGCACGTATGAAAACAGCCGAGTTGAGGAGGGATGATGCACAACGTGAGACTAAAGTCAAGATACGTTCTTCAGATCGTTGTTCGAGCTACTGTCCGCTGAGTAACAGTAGTACCAAGCAAGATGAACAGGAAGAACCGCAGGGAATATCGTGCCAACGTGCGCAAGACGAAGTACATGATTTTCTCTGTGCTGCATTGGCTAGCATCAAAGCAGCTATTCTCGACGATCATGCGGACATCCATAAGCCACCTCCAAGAGTAGCTCTGGTGGACGGAATTATTCACGGTGTGTCCGTGACCTCTCATGACGCAGCACAACAAGTAGGAGTCGTCTTGAAGCTTCTCGCTAATTTTGGCCCACGCCCGAGAAACCTCATGACAGTGTATTTGAATTTCCTTCAGACCACGAGAGAGACTTTCCCATTATCACAACTTTGTCTTCACTGGATTCATTCATCAGATATATTCTGTTGTTTTTCCTCTTCTTTATGATTGATCTAACATTGAAAGACACAGATTTCCCGAGTGACTTCCTTTGATCATATGCCTAACCTACCTTCTTTTTTTCAGCATGACATTCATAACGACCTTAACCAGCTTCCTCGAGCATTGGCAGATCGTGGTAATCTGGTCACGAATCCTATTCGATGGTGTCGCGACTGCGTTTTTTACTGTCTGGGGTCTCATCGCAGACCCTGATGTTATCGCCGGAGTGATTAGAAAAAGCCTTGAAAAAGTAATCCAGGATGAGTTTGAAATGGAACTAGAGCAAAGCCAGCAAGCGACATCTGCTCTAAGAGTAGTCGACCCTTACCTTTCTGCACCACCGAAGACATCATCTTCTGCTTCAACAAGTAGCCATGGCCAGGCAACATCCTCGAGTACGGGTAGTACAGCAGGATCAGAAAAACTTGCTAAGAAGGACAAGGCCCCGTTGAAAAAGAAAAATAAGAAATCTTCACGAGATTCGAAGATAGCCGCGGACAGCGTTCCTTCGCCGGATGAAGATCAACGTGAACCTTTGTCGCAATGGGTAGTGAAAGTTCATAACTATCTGGTCTGGGGAAAAACTCGTGGAGCAGCTGTAGGTCTCATGTGTGGCAACGAGGGCTTTCAGGACCAGCAACCGATGGATGACGTTGATATTCGTGAACCTGAACAGCAGAGAGCGCCAGCACAAAATGAAGAACTCCGCCAAAGCGGTGCAAAGGAAGACTCAACAACAGAGACCACTGCAGCTGATGCAGATGCAAAGAATCCGGAAGACCGAAGTGAGCCGAAGCCTGTCCTTTACGTTCCAGCTTCGTCGTTTGGAGGTCTTGATCAAATTTTCATCGGGAAAAAAGTGATCTACCGCGCAAGCCTCATGGACCCGAAGTGCGGTGTGCATGCGTACATAGTGGAGGGTGTCATTGCACGAAAGAAGTCAGAACAAGCTGGTAGCTCAAAGTTAAGCAGGCAAAAAATTGACAATTCTACTCGTACTTCGTATTTTCTCCATCTTTTTTACTCCTGATTTTTTCTTGTTGTTGCTAAGCTGCAGAGTAAACATTGATTCTCCTTTCTAGTTCTACGAAAAGGTGCCTTGGCCCTCAATAGTCGAGACTCATAGATGATGATGAACTAGGTGCGAGAAAAAAGAGTCCACCAAGCTGCCGCTAATTACGGACTCAGCAAGTGGAGCGACCAGACCCCGAGTCCTGCTGGGTTTTGGAGAAGGAAACTTGTCATATTCTTCAGTACTGAAACTTTCGCCCGTAGTGCCTGCGATCGATACGCGGCATCGAAAACGAGTAAGCCAGAAAGAACGACGCGCGCGCCAAGCAGCAGCGCGAGCGCAAAGGAACCTGCAGCACAGTGGTGTTGAAGGGCAGGATGAGCATGAGGCTGAAGAACAAGATGAGTTGATGAATCCACAGGGAAGTGAAGATATTTTTGACGTAGAGCGCGCTGTTGAGACAGTGAAACCAGAAATTAGTCCGGCACAATGCTGCAGCACGTCATGCTCGGAAGCTCAGACGACAGGTTGTAACATAGAGAAAATCGAGGACGAACGAGTAACAGGTGTTGAAAAGTCACCTCTGCTGTCCCTGCGTGAAAATCGAAGAACGTCAGGCGATGCGGTAGTTCCGGTTTCGGATCATGATTATGAATGACTATAAGTTTCCCTGGCCCTCGTCGTGATCGTCGGGTTTAATAATATGTTCACTGAGTTCGTAAACACCATCAGACGATCACCCTCTGTTACGTTCAAGTTGTACTCAATCGGTTCAGTCTTGGCTCAACAACGACACTCACTCTACGGTGTCGAAGTATGATGAAAAAGACGCACTTACCTCCTTATCCTCTTTGTTCTTTCATGATACGAGCACGAGCAGCACAGGCATCAAGCTACCAAAGCTGAAACGGAACGAAGAGTACGTGGTGGTCATGCGGTATGGACAAGCTGACGCTCTAACTGCGTTGCTGCAAAACAGCGATCATGGCGATGATTACGATTCGCGATAAAAATGTGGGCCCCCTATCCCTTCATCAAGATGAAAAAGTGTATCCGAACATCACCATACTCAATAAAAGCTTCTTGTCGTACTACCAGCTACAACAATCAGTACAGCTCATAACCCCACTGTGATTTCTTGACGGATGAATGCGCTAAGCCAAGCCCGAACGGAAGTCCCTCTTTGGTTTATTCGTGCCGCCAGACGACAGATCGGTCCTCGAAAAATATTGGGCGCGGTATTTTGTGGCTCTTCTCGTTTACCTTATGCGCAAAGGACAAAGAAAAACTTCTTTGTAGTTGGGTTGTCGTTGTACAACTATGCTATCTGCGTCACGACGCTTTTGTTGTACCTCGTCGTCGTCTACTTCACTCAATCAAACTCTACTTGCTTCCGTTTCAAACGCGTTGGCGTTGTCTGCTGTAGTCTTTGTCTTTTTCTGTAAACGGAAGTGGGTTTCTAGCGCTACCCTTCCTCTCGTCCCCTACTAATATACTTCTTGGGAAATTAGACCAGTCGTATCAGACTACGCAGGCCTCTGCGGAGGCATGCAGGCAAGATAGAATATGCTTTGAAGCTTTGCAGCATTTGCAAAACCCCCCTCCACGTGTGAACAAGGGTGGCAATGCTTGTCCGTACGATTTCAGTGAGCGTGTGCGTTTCGCGTGGCCAGAGCCTGGGACCGGCGGGGAGACCTTTCCTGCAACGCCTGGTCAGGAAAATAGCTGGTCATCGGCTTTCGAGATCATGAAAGTGGGTCCACCGTGGCTCTCATCTTCATCCACTACCATGCCAGAAACGGCCGAACCCGAATACGTGTGCATACTGCCACATGCTCCCACTCGCCACTCTTTACCGTTTCTTGCAGGAACAGGAGAACGGCTAGGATCTTCGACTTCACCTATACCGACATCGCAAGAGGCATCAACGCCAGAGGTTCTTTCCTCGGCTATTAGTGATGCAAGATCCGCATTGAACAGCATGGGAGAGGTAAGGGAGATGCTCCTCAACGGTGCACGCGAAGGCCGTTCTCCGAGGCACCAGAACAAGACGGCTGGTGAGGGTAGCAGACCTTCTTCCAGTGCATCTAGTGGAGCTAAAGATGGAAACTCTTTCTCAAAAACGCCTGGAGACGAGCTTCATCTAGGATCAGCATCGAATCCGGCACTGCTCAATTATACGTGTGCAGACTTGGACACTCAAATGCAGCAGGGCTTTCCAGAAGGTATGCTTTTCAAGCAAGAGGACGCCTATGCGCTAGATGTGCCATGCCTTCCGCCTTATACACCTGCGCATTTTGGAACAAGCCTAGAAGATGTTATGAATATGATGCTGGTAGATAAAGATTAATAAAGAAGATACAACTGCCGTGTCAATAAAGCTGCTCCTGCGAAATGGACAAGCTGCGCATTGCATGGACAAGCGCCAGGCATTGCTATCAGCGGGCTGCCTTTCGGGGGCTGGATGGCTCGGCCCGCTCGGGGCGGATCAGCCGGCTGTCGCAGCATGCCAGCGCAAGGACACGGACCACGCTAGTGCAGTCTCTTCCCCTGGAAGTAGCTGGCGCCGTAAGTGCGGCCTCACAGTTTTGCTGCTGGGTTCGATCTCGATGTCACAGAGTTCACACGTCCGCCAGTTCCTCTCGGGGGAGACATTTGCACTGAGGTGGACGAGGTTGCTGAGCATGGGGCGGGTCCAGATTGTGCGCCTGCGGTGCAGGACCCACCGGGCAGGCCATGGGCGGGGCAGTGGTCCTCGGGAGTGCGTGCGATCGCGGGCCGTAGGCTGCCTCGGGAACGCCTCGCCGGCGGATGGGCTTCTTCGTCTACTCGTAAATGCGACACGTCTGGCGGTCTGGTCGCTTTTCGTGGAGGTTGGCCAAGCTGAGCGGCTTTGTGGCTGTGAGTGTGAGGCATTGGAGCGCGGCGCACTGAAGTCCAGGCATGCAGCGCTGCGCAATGCGGTTTGTCTCTGGCAGTTCTTCGACTTCCGGAAGGATGATGGCCGCACTTGATGCCCGTGCCTGTGCGAGGTGCAAGGGCAGGCCTTTCGGGAACTTGCGCGTTGCCCTCAGGCATATGCGGCAAGCAAAGAGGGGGACGGCAATCGGGTGCGGGTGCCTAGCGAAGCTGCTTGAGCGAGCACAGCGGGAAGTGCAGGAGAGAGCGAAGAAGGCAGGGGAGGGGAAGGACGGTGTGCCGCTGGGGGCCGGGGGCGTGGGTGTAAAAAGAGTGGTAGACAGAAAGGGGGGGTCGACCTAGGAAGCTAGACAGGTTGCTCGTTCGTTTAACAAACTTCGTCAAAATCGTAGAAAGAGATTAGTGGCGTTACAGTGAAGCTTCAGAGAAAGTTATCTTGCAGGTTTCTTACAAACTCTGTAGAATTTTCTTACAAACTTCTTAGGCGCAAACTCCTTCCAAGTGTCTTATTAGCTTCGTACAATTCTTCGCCCTCTCATTTTCTTACAAACCTCCAATCTTCTGCTATAGCAGGTTGCGTCTTTTTTTAGAGGTTGTCTTGCTTAGGACTAGTCGTTCAAGCAAGTAGATAACGATTCACTCCAAGTCTTATCCGAAGGTTTTCAGTAGTTCAAGCTCTCAAAAGAAAAAAGTAATAAGGTGGACGGATCTCGGGTCTTGGTCTTAACCGTTTCGTTTCTGTCCACATGGCTCGATATTTATAAAATATATAGATCTCAAACTCAATCGTGCTTGTGCTAAGTAGTGTAGGCCGATGCTGTTGCTTAATTGTAGCGTTTGAGTAAGTTTGTTGTTACTTCCATCCTCAGTTCCGAGTCGCTGTTAGTTTAGTCAAATAAACTTGCGTGAGTAATCATCGTGGCGAAACTAACACTATGACGCCGTGCGGAAGTCTGCGCTGAATTCTGTGCGAGATTAATTGTATTGTATTGCATTTGCAAGGGCACACTTCTCTACAACTCCATAGGAGAGTAGAGGACTCATTGAGTGCAACTTGCGCAAAAAGTTTAAGTTATTGTTTAGAAGTACAATGTGAATGTTGTGGCAGTTTGAAGGTCTCATCTAATGTCGCAACAGCAAACAAGGGCGAAACTTCCGATATACCAGTCGTGATGGATCTCGGTCGCGCACGGGAGTTAGATCTGCCTTCTGCACGGCGATTGGTTTCTTGCCTTAGTGAGTCCGTTTGCCCTGAGTCATGCCTTGCAGAGTACGCGCGAATCTGGGCAGGCAAGGATGGCGTTGGACATGCCTCAGTCGACGACCGAGTTTAATGAGGTACAAGGAGCGGAAGCACCATGATCTACCGTTTTTCTCGTGAACGGAGAGCGTTTTCGTGGTGATCTCGTCTGAGTTTGTAGAAGATGTGTTGGCTTCCTCAAATTTGAGGAAGCCAAAGACGAGCTAAGCTATTTTATCGATCCTGGTATTTTGCCGAAATTGAGTTTCTTGATTCCTGTATTTACAAAGGTTTTTGAAAACGACAGGTACATTGTGTTTGTACCCAGTGGATCTTCTAGGAGGGCTTAGCTTACTGTCAGTGTCATCCAGACATAAATTGTAGAACAAAAAGCAGCAGTTAGTTACATAAATATCGAAACTTTCGCTTCATCTTGCATCTTCAAGAAATGGTGATGCCAGCTCCTTTTTCACAATCTTGTAAACGCAATACACAACCGCAATTTCTGAATCAGAATCAGGCGATTCATATCTTCTTTTGAAAGTTAGAATTTACTCATGTTGATGTTGATGATGTATTTTGGAGGTTTGTTGTTTCATCTACAACACTGTTCGATTTTTATCATGATGTGTCTATGCAGTAGCAATTTTCGGCATTAACCTGAAGATGAGACCGATTCAATGTCAAATATGTCGATATATTTCATAAGGATATCACTTTCACTGACCTGCGTATGAATTTGATCACGGGTTACAAATATATGCAAATGCAAAAAGTCCGTCAATTCCTAGAACAAATCGATACTCTTTTAGTTGGTGTCAACCATGTCCGATGTTGTAAAGTCTGGCTATCGCTGTCTGTAATTGCTGGTAAGTAGTCGAAACTGTAACTTCTGATCTTGGTATGGTAGCGTGGTACAGAAAGTGAAGCGCCATGTCAGTGGAACGGACGGTACGCAAAGCCAATAATTGAATGTCGGTCTCGCACGTCAATAAAATAAAAAAATGAATCGGACAACATTAGCACCACCGCGCCGCGTGTCATTGTGATCATCGGTTCTCTGTCTCTTTCAATATCACACTAAGGTGGTTCGCGTCATGTCATTGGAGATAGTCTGATGCCCCTGTGGCCACTGTGTGCTGGCGATCGGTCAATGCCCATGAGCATGGACATCCTCATGCAAGTGCAACTCAAAGCCCACACATGTGTCGCCCTGGATCAGCACAATATCCAGTCTAAACTTGTAACGTGTTCTTGGCGTTCTAGGTAACTCTATTAAGGAATATCCATCTCGTCTACGAAGTTGGTGAAAGAAGCTGCTCCAGACCTACTCCTATTCTTCAACAAGTTCCTTCATAATTTTCAACATCTTCATTGAAATTTGTTGTCCGTTTGGGAGTATCATGCTAGTTCGTGCATACGCCGACGAGGCGTAGGCATGATTTCAAAGAATGGGATGAACTACATGATCACCACGACCACTAGAAATAGTAGAAGAACACCGAGAGCAGAAGCAGATCAATATGTCGGGAGGCGGGTTCCAGTTTAAGTTTCCTGGTGGTGGCGGACCGCAAAAGCCCTTCCAGTTTGATTTTCCTGCGGGAGGACAAAAATCGGGAGGTGCTGGCTCTAGCGGAGCTGCAATAGGCGGTGGGAATGTTTCTGCAGATCTCTTTTCACTGGAGCCTGAGCGCGGTCCTTCACCTACCTCCGATTCGGTTCAAGAATTCGGAAGTTTGATGTCGCTAGCGCCTGAAAACGATGAGAAAGTGAAGGAGGGTGAGCAAATTAATAGCGCTACAGGTGAGCATGCCGGAAGCGAAGAAGCTGAGACACGCATAAAACCTTTTTCGAATGCTGTTGATGAAGAAAGAGAACTGACACAAGGAGCTGCAGGACAGCCTGTGCCCGCAGAGCACGTCGCAGATCCGGAAGCGGTTACGCCTGTTGTCGGTGCAACTTCAACATCGCAAAAGCGAGCACGCAGGGGATCGATTAGCCTCTTGGGACAATCTGCCGGGGTCGACTTGGCGCTTCACGTCGATGACAAGGGACAGTTCGAAAGTGCCAGCGGTTTTGGGAAGCATAGTCAAAGAGATCGTCGCGTGGCGAGTAGAAGCATTTCACCACCACTGCCTCCTTTTGACATCAAGGAGCAAGAAGACGAAGTACAAGTAGCGGAACGAGAAGACGGAGCTCCTTCCTCACCTCCTCCACCTGTGAACATCGTTGAGGAGTCCCTTGGCCTCGAGGGAATTGCACCCGTTGCAAAAAAGAGGACTTTCATGCAACGTCGCGCTACTTCTAAAGTCTTGGAACAACAGGACGAATCAAGAACCAGTCAACCTCTTCAACAGAAAGAAGAACATGCACAGCCGGAGCAACGAAGCATCAAGGCACAGCCCCCTCCAGCAATGGTGCCTGTAGCAGCACCGTCAAGCAGTAATAAAGCCAGTCCTCTAGTGTCTTCAACAAGACCGCATCGCCAGCCAGTTGCATTGCCAGCTCAAGCGGAGGAAGAAAGAGATGACTACGATAAAGTCAATGCCGAGTCTGCTTCCCTTGCGGGAAAGGCGCGAGAGGCCGTATCTTCATCGAACTCGGGAATCCTCGAGGACGAGTATGGCAGCGGCTCGCACTTGTTCAGCAGGCATGGGCAGAATTATAGCGCGCAGCCATCACCAAGAACATCCCCAGGCACGCGTGGCTACGATTCGAGGCTGGACGGTCCAGACCTGTCTTTCAAAGGCACTGTGCGGGCTTCACGGCGGCACATTGACTCGACCAGACTCGATCAGCTGAGCACACCTCGGTCGTACCCTGCTCGTGGGACAGTGAACACCAGTGCCGCATCTGTCACTACAGGGTCTTCGGCACGAGACGCGTCGAATGTCACCTACAATGCAGCTGGAACAAGGGGCGTTATAGATCCACACGGATCATCCCGAGGTCGGGGTCGCGCTGCGGTTGAGCAACGCGTGAATAGCAGAGAACAACAGGCGCGTGGAAAGGCGCGACATGGTTCGGGTCTACTGGATTGGGCAGGTAAGGAGCTTCTCGGGTTTACGGCAGAGGGTGCGGATTGCACTCCTTTGGAAAACGAGCTTGTCACTTTGCTTGAACGCGCACGGAGCCCGACCGGCAAGGAGATTGTAGACGCGAACGTGAAACACATTGCGACCACACAAAGTACAAAAAGCGGACGGGCTGGACAACAAGGCCGTAGTACGAACAAGCAGACGAAAGTAGTTGGATTCGGTGGCGGCAAAGACCGCAAAAAAGGAGCGAGGATGGCAGATGCGGATGCATCACCAGAAATGCTCCTAGACAGAACTGGTGGACGCGCGGCTGCAGGTATTTGATTTTTCAAGCTAGAGATAGTTTTTGTCGTGCTTCATACTTAATGATTAGTTTGAGCAATAGAGTCATTCTCATTTTTGTTGCTGACGTTCAAACAATTTGCTTATCATGATCTTCCATTTTTGAATAAGAGGTCGTGTGACGGTGTGACCGTAGTTGTACGGCCGACTACAACGAAGCACCACACCCCCTGAAAACTTGAACCACCTCATCTACCAGCCTCGATGACTCGCCGGAATCTCTCACACAAATCGTCGCTGGAACACGACTTCGGCGACTTTCTGGCATTGGAGCCACGCTTTAGCAAGAGCTTAGACCTTTCTCCTGACCATACATTTAACAAGACGGCCTCCCTAGGCACTGTCTCGCGTTTCGATGGCCTCACATCGGAAATGCTTCACGCGCGTGTGAACTTCGAGGACGAACAAGCTTACCACCGCGGCGGCCCTTCTGCGGAGGGTGACCGTGAAGCCGCAGCGATGAGGGGCCGTGCGGGGGACCAGGACGACGAGCAAGAGGATGATGAAGACGATCCCTACGGCGATGATTTCGACGTCGATGACGAAATTATTGAGGATCATGAAGATGATCATGGCGAAGAACAGATTTTCGCGGCCGAGATGAATCGTGGTAACGCAGACGGCTCTTCGACGATGGACGACCTTCTCTCGAAATTTGCGAACGACGATGGTTTGTACGCTGATCTGGACAGGGAGCAGGAGGCGCATCAACGGAAAAATGAAGCCGATGGAGATGATGCGCAAGACGGAAGAGGTGAGACGAGTACTGAATCAGTTTCGCCTTCGCGCAGTGTGCGTTTTGATCCCCTTCTCGACAATAGTCGGCGGTCTCTGTTCGCAACACCTGGCAGAGAACTCGGCACAAAACAGCGCGGAGCGAACACTGGAGATATGTCTTTGCAGTTGGCAAAAATGCTTTCGACAAATGAAGACTTCACTGCGGGAGACCAACATGCTTTGGCGCTGGCACAAAATGCTGGTGCAGAGTCCATGTCTCCCACTGGTCGGACAGTTGGCGCGACAGGGCCAGGATCCTCTTGTCGTCTTTCCGTTCGCGAGGAACGAAAACGGCGGCCGGCGGAACCTGTTGATTGGTGCGAGCAGAAAGCAACTTGCGGAGGCCAAGAGGCGCATCGCGTGGCCCCAGTACCGAACTTGCTGATACCTTGGCAGCCGGCGCCAATAGTGGTCCGGCGGTCGGGAGAGAAAACCCGAGAGTTGCTCGGAAACTGGTACAAAGCAAACTTTTTGCGGAAGGATGGTGCCGTCCTCGATCGCGCGGAGCGTCACAAACTACGCCTCGCGCAAGAGAAACGCAGTGCGGCCTCAGTTGCGCCACGCCCGGTCGACACTTTTCAAAGGGCACCGGGTCAGCCGTCGACTTACACGGGAAGCAAGAACCATTACTACGTCATTCGGAACGGTAGTCGTGGTTGCATGATTCAGCCGGGGTATCCGCGGGTTTGGCCTCCAAACGACAAGCGCAATCAGCGAACCAAGCGGCGTGCTTCCAGTGCCAGTCAGAGCGGTGCCCGTCGAGTAGTCAAAAATGGGGGCACGACTGGTGGAGAACAGGACCCAGGTGGTGCCTCAACGATGCTCGGTACTGCAGATAGCATTGCCGAATTAGACAAGCCAGGCGATCAGGAGGAGGATCCCGAGACAGGGCAGTTGCGATCTGTCATGCGCTTTTTCGACCGACATGCACCTCCAGAGCGCTTCTTCCGTAAGCACGACGTCCATGGCGAAGCTCGAGCAGAATTTCGGGGCCGTGTCCTCGTAACTGCAGAAAAATTAGGCATCCTGAAGTCAGGCCAAGTGGTTTCGCTGCGGCTCAACGAGAATTTCACAGAGGCTAGTTCTACGACTCTGCTGGGAGACTCCGATCCTTTGGACACAACCAAAACGTTTCAGTTCCGCGTATGCAACATCGCGGCCGAAAACATGGTGCTTTCCTTACTAGAGAGCATGGAAGTCACAGACCAAGCCAAACTTCGGGCAGTGCGGCTGATACGGCTGTGCGGAAGCGCAACAGTGCCGCATATCGGAGAAAGCTTGTCTGCACAAAAGCGTGTCGTAGGTGAGGGTCGCTACAGCTTGTGGAATACTCTGGAGCCAGCGGAAGTTGTCTTCAAGAACTTTGAGGAACGGGATCCGCGAACTGGCGCAGCGGAGCAGCTGCCACTGCCGCAGGTGGGCACCGTGATCCACCAGTTTACACCAAATTTTGGAGTGCGGTGCGCCATTTTCTTTTTCTCCGATGCACAGGCCATTGACAGGCAACTTGCGATCTTATCACGTGAACCGCCTGCGCCACTGCCTCCGCCTCCAGAAAAGCCGACGGAGTGGAAGCTCGAGTGTCCACGTGACGCACGAATTCGCTACGGTGGACAGCTCTCATCGCATGCGCAAGTGCCTGAAGGCGAGGTAGCACCCTTGGCGCTTCAGGACGGCGCGGTGGATCCTGATAGCATCAACAACAGAGACGTGTCTGGTGCGACAGGCGGAACGCAACTGACAAGTGCCATGACCAAAAGAGTAAGACTTATTCCAGCAGACGACGACGAAGACCAATATGACGAAGGGGAACCACTGCGGCAAAAGATGCTTTTTGAATCACCTTTGCGCGAGGCCGGCATCGCAGCTAAGGAGACGGCTAAAAAGGAAGCATTAGCGGCGCAGATCCGCGCACGCGAAGCTAGGATTGCGGCAATGCAAAGGCAGTATATTACTGCCTCGGAGGCAAGTCAACAACATGATACTTCAGCATCTGCTTCCGGTGGTCAAGATCCTCTGAGCGGTGGCGCCCAGGCGAGGAATGTAGAAGTAAGCGGTGAAGCTGAGGAGAGCACTGTAGTGGACTTGAATATAGAGATTCGTAAAGAGGCTGAAAAGGCGAGAAAATTATCCAACAAAGCTTCTGCCTCAAAGCAAGGAAGCTGTGCCCGCTCATCGGCGAGTGCACGACAGGCAACTTCGACGAGAAAAGGTAGAGGAGCTGCCACAGCGCCACTTGCGTCCAGAAGGCCGACATGGAGACACGCTCCGTGTCGTGCTACTGCGAGTGTTGTACCACTTGATGGAGAGGCAGAAGAGTCTCCTCCGGGTGGTGGCTGTCGGCGCTCGAGTCGTAGCCCAAGTCCGAGCACAAGATCTCCTCGCACCGGAAAGAAGCTTTCTGCCGCTGAGTTCTTTGCAGGTCGATCGGACCGCACGTCGCTTGGCGTGCGCAAGGGACTCGGTCGTTTGGACATTCTCCCCCACGAGTCTGAGTCTGACGTTGATGACGCTGCTATCGGGGATAGCACTCATGACGATTCGGCTGGTGGTCAGATAGGAATGTCAACGAGCGACACCCGTGGCTACCGAGTGATTTTCGGGGCCACCACGGGCGTCGGTTTTACACACATGGAAGACGCAGTAGACATAAGGCCTTATCAGCCTGGTTCCGAGCTAGGAAGCACCGGCCACTTGTCCGCACGTTCTGGTGGGAGGCTCTCAACGAAAGGCAGCTCAGCGAAGCAGTCACCACGGTCAGCGAAGCAGTCACCACGCTCACCGGAGCAATCACCTCGTATGAGTGATCGTGGAGAACAGGCTGTGGCTGCACCGAAGAGGCGCTTCGACGGAGTTAGTCGTCACAGCACACAGACAGAAATTGGTGAAGGCGACGCTATGGCAGGAGGAGGCTCAGATCCTGATGACGGAGGCGGTGGATTCTACGACCACCTGCCAAGAGGAAGTGGAGATAGCAAGAACAGTTGTGAGTCTGAAGCTGATATGGTGATCGTAGAAAACGATCCGCCCATTATCAGGTCTACAACTGGCGGGCAGACGCCACGGACTCCTCGTGTACTCGAAGCTCCGTCTTCGTCAGAAGGAGAAGGGCCGGCAGAAGCTGCACTGGCTCAAGGAGAAGAAGACTCTGCCGATAGGCAACAACTTGATGAAAATTCACCGAGAAAATCGGAACAAGAATCGTCGCAGATGATAATCACCAGTGAAAGTAGCCTCGCGCAGGACCAGGGAGTTGAGAAAGAGATAACGCCAGCTATTTCGTCGTCAAGCCGCAGCAATGGCCTTACCACGAGCAGGATCAGACGAGAAGCAACGACGTCTTCAAGCGCACCAGAGCATGACGCATTGTCGGAACTTTTGGGTGGCAACATGGACTCAAAAAAAGCACCCACGGCGGCATCTGGAAGTGTACACGTGAAGCCTAAGAGGATAACGGATGAGGCACTCCCAACGCTAGTCGCATCCAAGACATCCCCTAGCAAGGATACTGCCCCGTTGTTAAGACCAAGGGAGCAAGATTCTAAGGAATCTGACAAGAGTCGGCATCTCGCAGGACAAGATCATGATAGCAATCTTGACGAGCAGGGTGGTGTCGCCTTCTTTGAGGATTCGAAGAAGATCGAAGAGTCTCTACTGCCTGCATCCTCGTCTTCAACTTCTGAGTCATCTTCCGAAATCGAAGTGGAAGACGACGATGAGAGAGACGATGGGGCTGCAGTTGACAGCCTAGCCCGGCTCTTGCAGGGATCTAGCTCGGCAAAGGCGGGAGCGGGTGCGCAGCAAGGACAACTACCTCAGAAGACCGAAACAACGATCGACAACAAACAAAGCGCCGAGTCATCTGCGACATCATCAGCGCGAGGCCGAGCGGAAGAGCCTCAGTCAGTGTCAAGCGAGATTAAAACAAGCATCAGCTTCAGCGAGCGGTCATCGGCGACTCCGACGCCAGCTGAGTCCGCCCGAAGCAACAGGTTGCTTGGCGATCTCCCGCCAATCAGTGTCGCCAACAAACGCTCTACTCCATCGAGCACACCTCACAGTTCTGCTCGACGGACACCATTCGGAATGTCAACGGAAGGAATAAGAGAGGAAGAAGCTCCTGCGCCGGCTGAAACCAAAACAGCGCCAGAAAAAAAGGCTTCTAATACCATCGACAAGATGCTCTTCGGTCAATTCTCCTCTGACAATGAGGAAAGCTCTTCGCCACGGTCTTCGTCGTCGCGGAATCAATTGAAGCTTTGGTCAAAAAGCGAAATGGACGCAAAAGAAGCCCTTTTACTGCAAGACAATTCCAAGAACAAGAATGATACAGTGCCTGACGAGGGAAAAGACATCAAACAACAAGAAGATAGGAGCGCTTCTAAGGCTTCATCAGCGGCAAATCAACAACAGGAATCACGACCGCGTGGTGTAGTCTCAATCGGACCCGGGGATACGCCAATAGAGGAAACGCCGAAAGAAATTCAAGAGTTACTGCGAAACTCTCCAAAAGTACCGGAACGACTTCCAAAGCTTCGATTGGTTGGCATGAGCACTCACGGCTCCAGTCGCGACCACGTGTCGTTTAGCCCTTACGGGAGCGATGCGCACCCTCACTCTTCATCATCACCGGCTGAGAGTAAAAAGTCTGCTGGCCCAAGTCCACATGAAGATCATGCTGTTGCCACTGGTGGCCAGAACTCTAGTGGATGGAACGAAGAAAAGCAGCAGCCAACTCCTCTAGTACCCCAGCCACCTCCAGCTCCGAGTCCAACGTATGACTTATCCTCGGGTGCCAGTTCGGCGCGACGCCGCGCGGCGCAAGAAGCGCAGGACAACGTGAGGGCGATCGCCGGCAAGTACGGCTCTTCCTCTGGCAGCCAGTCTAACTATATCGCTTCTAGCGGTACACCGATCTCTACAGCACGCTCTTCTGCTCGACGTATTGGAGGGTCGCAAAATGAACTAGGAGAGAGCGACAGGACGAGTAGTTCTCGTAGTAACAGGCAAGTAGTAGGAGGTGGAACTGGTGAAAATGACACTCACGCTTTTACAAAAGACCAGCGGCAACCGAGTTTGGGCAGTAGAGCACCTCCACCTCCGCCGCCACCAGAACCTGCGGCATCTACCACGACAGCGGCTGCCGCTCCAACAGCAAAGAGAACATCAGGAGGCGCACTAGACTCTAGTAGGAGCAAACAATCATCCGATGATGGAGAAAACTGGTGGACACCGAAAGCAGATTCCGTGAAGGAAGAGCCACCTCTGACGAAAGACATTTTCAATTTCGGCAGTGATGATGAAGCAATTTCAGAGGACTTCGAATCAGACGACGGCTTGGATCTCCTCTAAATCAGTGCCATGCATTGATGCACGTAGTACAGATCAACAATGATAGTACTTAGAACATTCTTGTTGATCAGCTCTCGGGAGCAGAAAATAGAGGAGGGGTATCCGTGCCCTTGCTCACTTTAGAAAAAGCAACAAACTAAGAAGTATGAAAAAACATTTCAGAAAGTCGACGAAGGCAGATAACATGTTTTTCTTATACATAGAGCTATAGACTTGAAATAGGTACTACATCACTTGAAGCAAACTCAAACTACTACTACTACACAACTACTTGGTACAACAAGACTAATAATTGGAATAGAACGCCTAACCGTAAATTACGACACTGTAGAGAATTTCAATAGGACAAGAGGAATATTGTATTTTGTGCCAAAACTTAATAAAGATAAACTTAATAAAACTAAAAGGTAAAGGTTGATCACGTTAAAAATGTAATCGAATTCATCACATTCATACAAATACAAACATAAGAATGCCATCTAAAACTAAATCAAAACCTATCATCAAAAAATAATGAATGTAGTTCTCGAATTTGCACCTCTCACGGACACGGATGGCATCGTACTAATATAGTTGGGAGATTGATTGGAAAAAATCGAAAAATCATTACAACCAAGGCCATTATCGCATGCTCAAACGTGGTCCTGGTCCAGGGCAGATTAAATCTTTCTACTTCAGGCTTCAGAAGAGGGGTCTATTCTGTATCTATTTGAATACGAGTAGCGTTGCTGCCAACGAAGAAACGGTGAATCTGCGCAGACTAGTTTATTTGAAAAAGTGTACACGTACGTTGGACAAACAAAGGCAATCAACGGAAGGTCGATGGACACCCACTCATATACTAGTTCAGGGGCAGGAAGTTATCGTCCTCTTGTCATGTGTGCATTCTCAGCTGTATGGAAGCCAGGTGGTGACAAAGTTGTATTTGCAAGCGAGCAGCGAAGATCATGAGGCACTACGGTGGAACAGAAGCCCTGCGCTTCTAGCATCGTCGTGATGCCGGAGTCGATATCTACTGACGATTTTAGGGATTCCTTTTTGTTTTTTGTTTTTCTAAGATGATCATGATCAATCATGAAGATGGTGGACGTGGAGTTAGAGTAGGCACTAACAGGAAAAGGTGCAAAGTTTCGGAAGCACCGTCAATGTTTTTTTTGCCTCTAGCAGTACTAGCAGACTCCTTCTGCCAGCAACAAGTTCAAATACATGGACAATACATAGGATTAGAAGTTTGATCGTAGAGCTAAGTAGATAAAGTTTCTTTCTTCATGTAGCTATAGACCATTGATATAAGTAGAAAAAATTGTACTAGAAGATGAAGAAGTAGAAGAAGTTGCACTACCAGAATAGGCACAGTTGTAAGTATATTTTTTCATTATTTCTGTTCATTCTCGTCGTTTAATTCTTTCAGGTCTGAAAAATGACGCAGCGTATCTACGTTGATATATCGTCCAAAAGGGTGCAGGACTTTCTGACTGGAACGCCGCATATCGGAAAGTCAGAGCTAGACCTCGATATTCTTTATCAAGTGATAAACGAGTATCAGTGTAGAAGTGCAACGAACAAGGGCGGCATCCAGGGAGATGAGGACGCACACGAACAAGAAGATGCATCAGTCCGATTATCAAAGCAGACGAATGGCTTTAAGGCTACCGCCGATGCCTCTTTCAGAGATCCGATGTCCGCCCTTGCCGCGCGAAAGAATAAAGATGGTAGTTAATTCGGGCACGACTTCTGAGGAGGCACCCTCGGTGGAGCAAGATCTTCTAAGAATTTCGGCGACGATAAGCAAAGGAGCAAAAAAAGCGACTTGCTCCAGGGAATTATGCAAGACTGCCAGATCGTGCGGCGCGAGCGTGATGCGGATGATCCAAGTTCGAACCTTACTGAAATTGAGTGCATGCGTCTCCGCCAAGAGGAACGCGCTTATCAGCGCTCTGTTGCGAATGTAACAGTGCAGGGTCATCAAACGGCAAGAAGAGATATCAGGGCAGCTTCGGAAGGAATCGCGACTGCTGGCCACTTTGTCCTCAGCTTCGTCGGCGCGTTTCTCTGCGGGTACTACTATTGAACACTATCTTTTGACTTTGATGCAGCTGCACTTGATGCACCAATTTATTCTCTATAAAATATATGTTTTAGGGTTGCACGGTGCCCCCCCCTGTGGTACGGTCTGTGGTGGCGCTCGCGCGCTCTTTTGCGCGCTGATTTTCGCGCATTCTAGTGCTGGAAGGCGTCAAAACTGGGCGCGGGCGTCACCTTGCGCCTCTCTGCCGGTTCCTCAGGGACCTCCTGGCCTCGGCTGACCCTCGCAGGCTGGAGGTCTCCAGGGTAAAACGCCGCCGGTGGCGGCCACGGTTCCAAGAGCAAGCAAGCCGATGCCCAAGGGTCCGGAGGGCACAGGCCGCACGGCTCAGGGTGTCCAGCCCCTCGCCTTTTGCCGCCTTCGGAGGCCTTCCACCGTAAGGGCCAGCGAACGCCCCCCGCGGTCCTACATAAGACGTCACGCCTTCCCCCTCTGGTATACTACTGAGAGCCTGCCCCATCTTGGTTCGAGCGTCACGCGAAAAGCGTGACGCTTTTGTTGCATGTACCCTACCGACTTACTAGAGACAAGGCGTCACGCTTTTCGCGTGACGCTCAAGAAAGGGCCTGCAGATGAAGGCCCCACCTTCAGATCATGAGGATCTTCGGACCCTCAGCTGAAGTCCTTCCGATCATGAGGGAGGACCCTCAAGGGAGAGCCCTCACTCTGAGAGGGCTCGCCGATGAAGTCCTTCCGATCATGAGGACCTTCAAGGGAGAGCCCTCAATCTGAATGGAGGACACTCAGCCGAAGTCCTTCCGATCATGAGGGCCCTCAGTTCAAGGGAGAGCCCTCAATCTGAATAGAGGGCACTCAGCTGAAGTCCTTCCGATCGTGAGGACCTTCAAGGGAGAGCCCTCAATCTGAATAGAGGGCACTCAGTTGAAGTCCTTCTGATCATGAGGACCGTCAAGGGAGAGCCCTCAATCTGAATAGAGGGCACTCAGCNGAGCCCTCAATCTGAATAGAGGGCACTCAGTTGAAGTCCTTCTGATCATGAGGACCGTCAAGGGAGAGCCCTCAATCTGAATAGAGGGCACTCAGCTGAAGTCCTTCCGATCATGAAGACCTTCAAGGGAGAGCCCCCTACGCGTAGCTTTTTCCGGCTCTCTCTCTCACTCTCTGTCTCTCTGTCAATGCGCCCGACTGTTCCTCACCGCCTTCCCTCTCTCTCCCTCTCATCACCCTCTCTGCCCCGTCTCTCTCTCCCTCGGTCTCTCAGTCGGCGCGCCTCGTCTCTCGCTCTCTCTCTTTCTAACACCGAAGCAAGCTAAGAGAGACATTACCGACAGCAGAGCGGCTCTCTGCCTGTCTTTATGGTTCTGCGCGTCTTTTTGCATTCTGCGTGTCTTTTTGCGTGCTAGCATACTGCCAAAGCTGTCCCCGCACGCGTGACATCTGTGGCCCTTATCTTATGACGCGCCTGACTTCGGTCAGCGTCACGCTCACACACTGGCAAAGAGGCGCACGGCCTGCATTGGATTCCCATGCGTCACACTAGAGAACGCACGCGGAAAGACATCCGACCCCGATGAGATTCCCACGCGTCACGCTAGAGCGCACATCGTCAAAAGGCACCCAATCCCCCCGAGATTCCTATGCGTCACGCTAGAGCACGCATGGCGAATAAACACCCAATCCCCCCGAGGTTCATATGCGTCACGCTAGAGGCGTGACGCGTGACGATCCGCGGGGGGCGTTCGCTGACTCTTACCCCCTTCCACCTCCGGCGCATGCAGGGCACAGGCAGGCAGCTGGAAGGGAGCGGAGGCGGTCCCTTGGGCCCCTTTTGAGGCCTTCCACCTTCCTCGGAGGTCGGTAGGGTACAGCCAGGCTGCTGGAAGAGAGCGGAGAGGGCCCCTTGGGCCCCTTTTCAGGCTTTCCACCCCCGGCAGACGGCTCCCGCAAGGATCCGGGGCTACCGGTACCCCCCCCTGCGCTAGGAGGGGGCACCGTAGCCCTGCGCCCTGGCTCATATATAGTAGAGCAGTTTATAAGGGTTCCAGGTCTGGAATGGCATGGATCGAATGGTACGGATGGCGGGGGCGCAATCCGTGACCGCGATCGACCTCGCCACTCGTCCCGTTCGTGGACCAAATAGACCTTCGAGAGCAGGGCGCCCTTCGGGCGCCCTGCGTTCCGACGCGTTGCTCTCCCCACTGGGTTGCCACTTCCTGCTCGATGCTCTACGCCGACCGCCAAGAACCCCGCGGGCGCGGGGCGCCCTTCGGGCGCCAAGCCGTGCACTCAGCCAAACGCACATCCCGCACACAGTTCCACTAGGTGCCAAGGCTGTCCCCCCGCTACGGGCGGGGCGCCATGCTTCGGCGCCACCTCTTCCCTTCTTCGTCGTCACGATATGGCTTCTCTCATGGGCGGAATCACTTGCATACGACCGACATGGACATACTCGGTAAGCGAATGAGACCAGGGGCGCCAGCTGGCGGAACCCTGTCAACCTGTGCCATTCGTGCCATTCGTGACACATTTGGGGTTTGTTGGGGTGTGCCATTCATGCCATTCGTCCCATGCGCCATTCGTGCTATAAACTGTCCTAATATCGGCGTTGTTCTCGTGCTTCTGGCCTGTGATCTAGTGCCCTTTTTCTCACTCATGATCAATGTATGATCTCTTTCATATTCATCGAGCTTCCTCACTCAGGTTCTACATCTGTGAGCTTTTTATCGTTGACGAGATAGCGTTGAAGGCTACTGTGGGTGGCATTTGCTCCTTCGCAACACTTTTACTTGAGGCAGCGTTGCTCTTGGTTCGCGAGCAGAGGCAGGAAAAGAGGCGAAAAACGGAGGAAAGACGCCGGGCTTGCGAGGCAATTCCAGTCAAGAGTAAGAAACAGGAGCAAAAGCCAAGAATAAAACCTGCTGACGAGCAAGCGGGTCACGGAATCGCAGAGGCTGAAGAATCTTCAACTTCAACAATGATGTCAGAAGCGCAAGACGAGCAAAAAGAAAATGAGGCTTCGGTGATGAATGCCAGGCGGCGCATACAAAAAGGAGTTCACATCGGTGGTCGTACCGAGGATGAAGAAGAAGGGGTTGCATCATGAGGTTGACCGCGGAGACACCGCAGGCATTGCGGACGGCCTACCATTGAGGGGCAACAAGAAGGCCGAAGCATGGTGCCGAAAAAGCGTGAATTTTGTTTTTCTCGCTTGTTTGGCTCTGGGGATGATGATGATAATGATATATAACGGACAAGATGAATCATGATAGAAACGATTTCGTTCTGCTAGTCGTGCTATCCGACGACCTTCTTCTTAATTTTTCAAAAACGTCACGCGCCATCCTCGCGATCCGCAATCGATAGAAGAGGTCCCTGAAACTCTCCGCAACAACCTTCAGAGAAGAGCAGTTCATCCTTTGTTTCTTATGATCAACGATCAATGTTCCTGACCCTGCCTTCAAAGACGCAAGCGGATCTTGTGGTGAAAGACGATCATGATGGGAAACAAGATGATCGAGCAAAGTGCATGGAAGGTAGAGAACCCGAAGTACTTCGGCTTAAGTAGTCGGGAAATACCAGTAAAAAATATTGATATCGTAGTCGTAGCATGATTATGTTCCAATTCTATCATCCATCGTAGATGCACGCATCTTAAGAATTAACTTCCTTTGTTTGCCAGGGGTCTTGGAGGAAGTGTGTTCGCGGGCTTTATTTGAAGTTAAGACTTTCTCTTAAGAAAATCATACTTGTACAAGCAAAACATGAATGCATCTCTCGTCTGAGTTTGTTCATTTTTTCAAGTCTCAACAGAAATAAGGATAGGATGGATCTTAGCTGGCGTAAATGGCAGCCAGCGCCAAGCTGCGGCACGTCTTCCCCAGATACAACGACTAGTCCCGACCACCTATCGACGCTAGGGTCGAGTACTGGGTCACCGTCATCTTCCAATGGTGAGAATTCTCTGACCTCATCACCAGAGCACGAGCGACCACTACAGCAGGAAAAACGGAAAACACTGACATACTGTCCACGCTATGAGCTCGCGAATGATGTTAATGGTGACAAGCGGCGAGCGCATGTGGCGAGGGTAGAACAGCTTCTGGCAATGCGAAGCAAGGGTCACAGAAGTATGAAAGTTCTTCTTACGCAGACCACAGAAGAATTTCGCGAATGTTGCCATGAAGTGATGAGTGAACTACCAGCAGGGGTAAAGCCACGGGGGGCAAAGCAAAGCCAAAGAGAGGTGGTGCTCGAAGTTGGGTGTTCGTACGGGGAGATGACCATGAAACTCGTGAAGGCGTATCCAGACGTGCCCTACGTCGCGGTTGACAGGAGCCGAGAGGCTATTGACTCTCTCCGCCAACGCATAAAGGCAGACAACGAAAACCAAAATCGGGATATCGGCAGCAACAACTCGAGATCATCGACATCGGCAACTACGAAAAGCCTGCACCAGAATTTGAACGTTTTTCAATGGGACATGTTTTCTTCGAGGTCGTCAGTCTCAGTATATTCAAAATCGCACCAAAGCAAGATGGAGCAGGAGGAAAATCAAAACTCGTCGACGACCGTCGACTACTGGACCGCAGCTACAACACCCGCACCATGTGCTGTCTTCTTGGATATTGGTGGAGATAGGAATGCACTCTCCGTTTTAGAAGCGATAGAGACGCTCATCACCAAACTAGGACTTCTTGAGGTTGAGTCGGAACGTGCCCATAGCAGCATGGACGACCAGGAAGACGAAGACCAAGGACCAGCGGGAGTCCCCACTTGCCTCGTGGTAAAATCAGAATGGCTCTCACGGATTTGGGTTGAGCAGAGGGATCTTGAGTCGGATGACAAGTCTTTATTTCATCCAGGCAGCGACTGGGCCCGGGATTTTCTGAATCTGATCTCTACAATGCCACTCACTTGGCAGCACAGTAAAATGAACAAAGACAAAGAAACTTCTCCGACGTAGGCGTTGTACTTTTAACAGCGTGCTTAGGAATGATTTCTTTATCTATTTAATTTGAAGCAATTAATTGTCTTGGTGCAGAGAGAAATGCGTAGAAGCAACAAAATGTTGCCACGCGGGTGATTTGGCGCACCAGCCAATGCACTTCGTCAGAAAATGATGGGCGGACGATGCTGTTCCAGAAGCGCAAGGACATCGATGAAAGTGGAAGTCTCTAAGTATCTTCTAAGAGCTAAAGAGAGCAAGAAGTAAAAATCGATAGGTCGCGAGCTAGGGCGAGAGACAGCTACGTGTTCTAGTCATGCATCATGCAAGAAACGACGAGTAGAGCTATGTCTGGAAGAAGATGGCGATCATCTTATCGGCCTTTCTTCTTGATCAGAAACAGAGGGTAGCTTGGCTTGTGGCTGTCTCTGTAGGTGCTATTCTTGAATGATTTTTGGAACGTAAAAACACGACAGACTTGGTGTTCCAATAACATGAAAAGAACACGACAGACTTGGTGTTGCACCTGTTCATCTTTTTTTTCCATTCCTATTCTTGGGTTCTGCCTTGATACTGATACATAGTGCAAACGTACAATGAGAATGATGTCTTTGCCTCTGCTAGTACGAACAAAGTGGCTTCGCCACCTTTGGTATTCGAGGACTCTGGTGGGAGTATCGTTTTCGTCGTCGTCATGCGCAGGAGAAAAAAATAGCCAACAAGTGGAGATAAATTACAGCGGAAAGGGAGGCATAGCTCAGATTTTGGACGAGTCAGATTCTTCAAGAGAATCGGTTACAGAACAAGGAGAAGGTGAGCCAGGAGCAGGGCAAGATCCTGGACACGACGAAGACGAACGCGAGCAGCAGGAAGACGAGGATCAAGACCTTACTAGAGGACCCTCACCAAGTTCAGGGGAAAGAAGTCCTCGTCACGGAGGTGCCACTTCGTTACGATTGATAAAGGAGGTGATGCATAGTTCTAGTGAGGCGTTGCACTTGGTTTCTATTGACGAGTGGCTTCCCAGCCTGAAGCCTGAGGAAGTGAACATTTGGAGCACTGATTTTGGAAATTTGGTAGGTGGTCTATTTCCGGAGACTCCCAGACCGGAAATTGAGGTCGCAAATCGTTACAACGAAGTTCGACGACGAGCTGTTCTTCCGCTGTTGCGCCAAATACTGCACCTCTTTCGCGAAGACACTCCTCTGGTGTACGAAAATCCAGACACGAGAACGACAGAAAATAACAATGATGAAGGACAGGAAGCTGAAGAAGACACAACACCAAGAAGTAGTGTTATTGGGGCTAAAGTAGTTGACCAACTCAAACTTCAGGAGTACTCAGTTGTGAGCACCAGTATGCCGTGGCCGCAGCCGCAGTCAGATGCTGCCAGCGCGGCCGTGGCTGGTCAGAGGTTGCACGAACACGACCACAAGCAGCTTTTCCCACTGATTCCCGCGGTCCTTTCGCAATTAGTCAGCGAAACGCGCGGCAGCTGCTTCGACATGCTGCTTGCCCTTGAGTGGATCATTACCAACCTCTTTCGCTATCACATCGAGCTCACGCGCAAGGAACTCGATCTGGACGTACAGGCTGTGTCTCGGAATTGTCACCGCGCTTTCCTCGACAACACTCTCATCAACGAATACAATGAGGTTGCGGGAATGGAACTCTTCTTCTTTCGCGCCTCTCGCATGGTGCGCATCATGGAGACCTACCTACATCTTCTTCTTGCCGTGGTGATGCTGCAACCGCACTGTTTCAATCAGGAGACCCGGTTGACTATTTGCAGACTGCTTACTGAAGATGTGCGGCGGGCCAGACGGAAGTGGAACAAGATGGAGTTTGTGATCACGTGGAAGAATCTCTATCACACTGCGGATGCCTACCGCTTGAAAACGCACGTGGAGAACATCCTAGAAACGGGTGTTTACGACATTTTCGATATCTTCCTGAAAATACAGCGATCCGCACTGCGTGCGGTGCTTGATCAGCGACCAGCCGCACTTGCAAATCGGAGAGGCGCAAACACAGATCATCGAGAAATCGGTCACGATTGGACTCCAGTGGAAACTACAGGAGGATTCATCGATTTCCTCTACCTCTACCGAACAGCATTCGACGGTTGGGTGATTGATCGGGATCTCGTGCGTGCCGTGATCAAACTTTTTGCTGGGAAGTTTGATTCTCTGCTTGATGTTGGAGCGGGCGGGGGTCAGTACAGTCAGCTGCTTGAACTGGGCTTTTCCCAGGTGGTCGCAGTGGACGCGAGCTCTATTGCAGCTGAAGTCACCGATGGTAGAGTGCAGTTTGCTGATCTGGCTAGCGACCATATGCCACAACGAATAGCAGAAATTGTTAGTGCGAAGACCACGGGTCAGAAGGACAACGGTAGTTCTCGAGGAGAAGACGATAGCGACGAGAAAGCAAAGCCTGACATTGGTGACGCGCTGAGTAATGCAGGGCAAGCAGAAGTGATGGAGACCCCGCAGTTTAATGTTGTCTTTTGCATAGAAGTCGCAGAGCACGTAGCAAAGGAGAGCGAAGATGCACTGCTGGCAAACCTGCACGCCTTGACGGAACACTTCCTCGTCCTTTCGTGGAGCAATGACAGGGACAATGACTACCACGTGAATCCGCTCCCGCCCGACAGGGTCGTGGCCAAAGTGGAGGCGATGGGTTTTCGCTTAGACAACAGCAAAACAACATTGCTGAAGGAAAAAAGTTCAGTATCGTGGATAAAACAGAACGTGATGGTTTTTGAAAAGGTTTCGTAAGACACGTGATGAGAGATCAACGTTGAACTTCATGAGGTATCTGCTTGAGCAGAAATCCAGTGATACGCAGTCATCGGAAGTATGCGAATGTCAACGCATCTCCTTCCAGCGTTTCAACGCATGCATGCTACAGATACGTTAAACTTTTTTCAGGCGTCGCAGCGTTCTGTGCAGACATTCTTGTATCAGCGACATGAGCTCTTACCTGATGCAGTCGCGTCTGTCTTCACTTCCGACTACTGTTCCTCTCGATCAACAATTCTTTCCATGTCCTGCTGACCCTTAGTTACCGATGATTCTTTCACAGACACTGCGACTTGCTGCGGATTTTGTCGCTCCCAACACCGCAGCTTGCCATATACGCGGACATTGCGAGTCTTCATCTACCCACCGCCAGGCCCAGTGTGGTTCAGAGATTCATGCGTGCGTGTCAGTATCAGACAATGTGCGACATTGTAGTTCTTGTACTCACAAGTTCTCTTTGATTCGATATGATCACTTGAGACGCAATGATGATGATTCTCTCTGACGTGAAGGTGAAACATAAGCACAAAAAATGTTGTTGCCACGGACATTTTGTCTTTTCACCTGCTTAGAATAAGGCGACTTATTTAATTTTTGTGGTGGAGCCGACCTAACTAGAAAAAAGACAGACCAGAGGCGACTCATTTAATCAAAATTTCGCTGGGCGATGACGAACAAAAATTAAGCTAAAGAAGACTGTCAGATGAGCAAAGCACACACTCCGCCTCTTTCGGCGAATCCTCCTTGACAATGTTGTTAACTACGCCATTTAGAGTAAGAAGTAGTAAAGAAGGAAGAAGCTACACGTTCACATATTACGGCTTCTATTGCACACTTTGATCAACAGAAGATGCTGCTTTAGCCGTTCCAGCTCCTTTACTACACGACGAAGGATTAGATGTGGAAGTCGGGTATTGAATCCACCTTCAAGGAAATTCAATCAACATCATGGCCATTCATTCTATTGCTGCACATAACTGGACAATGAATCCCGAGTTGGAACTTGAAGCAACTACGGAACAATTATGGATACACCGCGGCAGAGCCAGATGCAGTTATTGGCTTCTTCACTAGGTTGGCTTTATAGATTCGCGTCGGGGAATAGGGACTTCAGAAGCTTTGAGTCCTGGACTTCGTGTGGTGTGGTCACTCTGAACTCAGGGTTTGCAGCCATCTCCCGATTGATCGCGAATTTGGCATTAGGATTTCGTGCCCATGAACGACGGGTGATGCCGTTGTAGACGTCCCAGTGGAGCATGCGCTTAAGTCGTGTGTCCGCCGCGGGCGAGCCATCCAAGAGCATGCCGAAGCCGCCATTGACCACTTCACCCCAGCCGACTCCGCCCCCGTTGTGCAGAGACACCCACGTAGCACCACGGAACGCGTCCCCGCAGAAATTCTGCACAGCCATGTCTGCGCAAAAGCTGCTGCCATCGTAGATATTGCTCGTCTCCCGATAGGGACTGTCGGTCCCACTCACGTCGTGGTGGTCCCGACCGAGCACCACGGGTGCTTTCAGGTCTCCACTCGCAATTTGCCGATTGAATTCGGCAGCTATCCTGCTGCGCCCTTCCGCATCGGCATACAGAATGCGCGCCTGTGAACCTACGACGAGCTTGTTTGCGCGCGCACCCTTGATCCACGTGATATTGTCCCTTAGCTGCTGCTGAATCTCGGGCTGTTGAAAAGATATTTCTGTTTTTTAGTGTCATGATTTGAGTGCGGCTGTGTGCGCGGATGAGAATATGCGTCGACAAAAACGTTCATGCTGGGCAGTCAATAAATAGCCAGAACGAGGATATTAACCTTCAAAGGTGCAGAAAAAGTAAAAAACCGGTAATCCTAATGGTGGATACCGGTGATTCCTTTGCGACTTGCTCTAGGACTTGGCAGGCGATCTCGTCCGTGCGCTGCAGATCCGCCGGATCCCCGCTACAGCATACCCACCGAAACGGCCCGAAGCCGAAGTCGAAGCAGATCGGACCCATGATGTCCTCAACGTAAGAGGCGTATCGGTAGCGCGTTGGATCTGCTTTATCGAAGATATCTGCGCCTGCACGACCGCACTGCAGTAAAAACGCGTTTCCGTAGTCGAAGAAGTACATGCCGCGTTCCGTCGTCATCAGGTTGACAGCCGCTGCGTGGCGACGCAGCGTGGCCTCCACGAGCGATTTGAACCGGTCCGGTTCTTCCCGCAGCAAGCGGCGCGACTCGGCCAACGGAATATCGGCTGGGTAGTAGCCGCCGGAGAACGGAATGTGCAACGAGCTTTGATCCGAGCCGAGGTCAACCTGTACTTTCTCTTTGACCAAAAACTCCCACAGCTCCACGATGTTCCCAATGTACGCAAAACTCCGCGCCTGCCGATCTACGTCCTGCGCTTTCCGCACCTTTCGCAGCAGAGTTGGCAAATCCGTCTGGATTTCGTCCACCCAGCCCTGGTGATGGCGTTTTTTTGCAGCGATGGTGTCGATCTCGGCTGTGATCGACACCACGCCCGCGATATTTCCGGCTTTTGGCTGCGCACCGCTCATCCCGCCAAGGCCAGCGGTTACAAACAGCAACGGGCAAGGCTTTCCAGATGCGTTCTGCTTTTCGGTTCCTCGTTTTTTTGCTAGCAAGCGGGAAGCATTCAACAAAGTTATCGTCGTTCCGTGCACTATTCCCTGTGGTCCGATGTACATGTAACTTCCAGCCGTCATCTGCCCGTATTGCGACACGCCCATCGCGTTCATCCTGGTTCGATGCGAGATGAAAAGCAGTTCCTTTTCTTGCCTTACTTCTAGTTCTCTCTCCTTTCCTTTTAAGCTCTTCTTGCTGTTATGCCACAGGCTTTCTCTTCTTCAAAGGACCGAAAACAGAATACCGAAAGAGGAGGAAAACCAGGACGCGATTTCTTTTCTTGGAGTCGAGCAAAAAAGTTGTAGCTTACTTGCTTCCGGCCGTCGCGCCGTGCCTATTCATAGTTTTATATATAATCGTTAGAAGTTCAAGTTTGATGAATTGAATCTATTCGGCGAGCTGCCTAAGATTTCCCAGAAGAGTTCTACCCGCAAGTCTAGCTTGTTGTTGGGTTGTTAGTGGTCTGTCGATTGTTCCTGTTGTTCCTGATGGTGAACGAAGAGGCTCAGGCTTCTGCCTTGCTACTTGTGCCAAGAGGTTCCTGTTTTCTGCGTTACTTAGCTGCACCCCTCTCGCCCTTAGGTCAGCCTCTAGCTGCCTCTTGTAGGTTGCGCGCGTTTATATATGTATAAATGTATATGCCCCAAGGTTCAGGGGAGCGGCCGCCTTCTAGCGTTAGGGGGGGGCCGTGGATCCCTGGGCCCCTTTGGAAGGCGTCTGCCGGGGGTGGAAAGCTTCAAAAGGGGCCCAAAGGACCGCCGCCGTTCCCTTCCAGCTGCCTGCTTGTTCCCTACAGACCTCCTATTTGCTTCGCCGCGGGTGTGGAAGGCCTCCGAAGGCGGCAAAGGGCGCAAGGCTGGACCGCCTGAGCCGTGTGGCTTGGCCCCTCGGGGCCCTCTGTCATCGATCGGCCTGCTTGCTCTTTCTTGAGACCGTGGCCGCCTTCGGCGGCCTTCTTCCCCGCAGCCCTCCAGCCTGCGAGGGTCAGCAGGGGCCAGGGGGTCGCTGCTAGGGAACACCCGCTGAGAGGCGCAAGGGGACGCCCGCGCCCAGTTTTTACGCTTTCCACCCCGAGAATCCGCGAAAAGCAGCGCAGAGAAGAGCGCGCGCGCGCCACCAGACGAGGGCCATCCACCGGGGGGAGGGTGGCGCGCGTCCCTGTATCAGTATCACATATGATCCAAAGCCCAGGGCTACGGCGCCCCCTCCTAGCGCAGGGTGGAGCACCGGTAGCCCCGCCCCCGGACCCTTTTGGGAACCGTCTGACGGGGGTAGAAGGCCGCAAAAGGGGGCGAAGGGGCCTCCCCCGCTCCCTTCCAGCTTCTCAGCTGTGCCCTGCAGACCTCCGGCGTAGGTGGAAGGCTTCAAAAGGGGCCCAAGGGACCGCCTCCGCCGCCTTCCAGCTGCCTGCCTGTGCCCTAAATGCATGCGAGACGCCTCGCCACCGCAGCAGTGCGCCGGTTGTGGAAGGCTTCCGAAGGCGGCAAAAGGCGAGGGGCTAGACCCCCTGACCCGTGCGGCATGTACCCTCCGGGCCCTTGGTCATCGGCTTGCTTGCTGCTCTTGAGACCGTCGCCGGCCTTCCACCCCAGAAGCCTCCAGCTGCCTGCGCGGGTCAGCAGGGGCCAGGAGGTCCCTGAGAGACCTGCAGAGAGGCGCAAGGGGACGCCCGCGCCCAGTTTTGACGCCTTCCAGCACTAAAATCCGCGAAAATCAGCGCGGAAAAGAGCACGCGAGCGCCACCGCAGACCATACAACAGGGGGGGGACCGCGCAGCCCTAAGACATATAGCATACGCTCCAGGGCGGGGGGGATACCGTTCGCCCTGGGCCCCTTTTGAAGGCGTCTGCCGGGGGTGGAAGGCCTCAAAAGGGGGCCCCGTGGCCCCCCCTCCGCTCCCTTCCAGCTGCCTGGCTGTTCGCTAGGGGCCTCCGATGGTGGTGGGAGGCTTCAAAAGGGGCCCAAGGGACCGCCTGCGTCCCCGCCAAGGTGCCTGCTTGTGCCGTAGGTGCATCCGTTAGGCTTCGCCGCCGCAGCAGTGCACCGGCAGCGGAAGGCCTCCCCCCTCCCCCCCTGTGGTCTGGTCTCTGGTCTAGGGGGGAGCATCGTCGCCCCGCGCCCTGGAACATATAAATATAGAAATCTTCGCTGTTTTCTCATTCTCGTCCCTGCTAATCTGCTTACGCGGGATACTGGAGACTAATATTGTTTATTAAGTTTCCATTAGTTTTTGTTTATTTCCTTCATCTGAGTCTTTTCTATCGAGGGCCCCAATGACAATCAAAAGAATAGTCAAGTTTTTCAGTACCTTTCGTAGTCATCCGGCTTGGAATAATTCGGGATGACCATGCCGTTCGTGACGACGACTCTTGGCGCCTCCGTCGAACTGGGGAAGAGCCCGTGCGGGTGCCCACTGTACATGGCTAGAGTTTGCGTGTCTGTCATTTGCGCTAAGTACTGCATGGTCAAGAGGTACTGGGCCCAATTTTGAAAAACAGCACCGTTTCCACCATACGTGATCAACTCATGAGGATGCTGAGCTACGCGAGGATCCAAATTGTTCTGGATCATCAACATGATGCCGCGAGCCTGTGTGGGGTAGCATGCAGCAAATACCTCTTCTGCATGACCATGCTCACCTAGCTATGTATTAGGCATCTGTAATACGAACAACACCAAGATCATACCTACCACAACCACAAGGAAGTCCAAATATAGATAAGTACCTGCATGCTTTTTCCTGGATATTCGCTGATGGGTCTTGCGTGCATTGCATAGGTCGGGCGGAAGCGGTACATGTAAATCCGACCATACTCTTGGAGCTCCGCTGCGAATTCGGGTGCTAACTCAGCATGGAACTTTGGTGCAAAGTAGCGCAAGGCATTTTTCAGCGCCAACTGCTTGTCTCGGTTGTTCAGGATTTCCTTCCGCTTCGGGGCGTGCGAGATTGTAGGATCCGGCGCGCCCGCCTTCGATGGCAGATCATCCTGAGGAATGCCTCGCAGAATTTCTTCCTGAAACGGCGTCAGCTGAGTCTTCGACGACGACGACGACGCACCATATGTTGTGACCATGCCGGTGGCAGCCGCGGAGACACAAGTCGTCGCGAAAGAAGAGGACGCGGTGGCAGGGAACGTTGATGTGCTTGCACTGGGCGCATCCACACGCGCGTACGGATGCACTCGTGTTGGGCTATTTCTGCTCATCTTTCTTTGTTGATATCGGACTGTTTGAAAATAACTTGAGAACTTCGACAAGCTCGTTATAATGCCACTCTTCAAGATAAGCAAGAGGATGAAAATTTGAGAGGAGCCATAAAATTTCAGTTTTGCGACCAACAAGTTGGACAAGAATAAGAAAAGAAACTTAAACTCAACGGTACATGAATAAAGACTTTTTTGCAGTGTCTTCTGCTTCTCCAAAACAACAAATACAAAGCCGAGAGCGAAAGCCCGGGCCAGATATTGATAAAAATGAATAAGGAAGGGGACTAGAAGTCGTAGACTTACTCCAACTGATATAGAAATAGATGCTGAAAACACTGAAACACAATGTCCCTGATGGTAGTCACTGATAAAAGTTCTTATGTGACGAAGACTTCTACTCTGCACCGAAATCGAAAAAGTGTAAATGGATCTTGCTAACCATCCACATCCTCGTTCTTGCTCGCTCACACACTCGTAAATCAAATCACGACTCGTTAAAATTCGTTCGTCACTCTCATCTCTAGTTGCGACCTTCTGTTTCTCACTCTTCATAACCGATAAAGCGTCGTCAAGATGAAGGTAATTCCAGACGTTCTCGTTGTGATGCTTCGTTCTCTCTTTTCTTTGCGTCTGTCTTCTTTCCTGGCGAATTATGACGCAGCACAGTACACCCACACTCTCACTGTCTGTCTCCAACAAGAAGAGAAACCCGAGCAGGCAATCCCTGCCCAAACACGTGTATCTTGGTGTCAAAAAAATTCAGTCTCCTCAGCTTTTTAGTTGGCATCGGCATCCTCATCCATAGTACGATATACAAGAGTTGTTGCATGATGTCCATGCCTGCTAGCAGAAATAAAAAGAGGGTATGAGGGTGGATCGCTGTGTCATCTTGCCGTTGATGCGTGATGTGTGTGTTCATGGCATGTGCGTGCTCCATCTGATAAAGCCATTCGTAACCACCGTAGAAGTGTGTGCTCATCTGCACGATCTCAAAACATTTGACCATGACCGTCAAAGCTAGGCTTATGCACTGCGTCACTACTTTTAAGCAGGAAGTGCCCCCGTTGTAATGAAAGAACTTGCTCCAGAAAGAAATACACAGTCAAAGAGTTCTTGGAGTTGGAAAAGAGATTACTACGCTTCGCGTCTGAATAAAAAGTTGAATCAAGAAGAAAAATATACTGCTCCTCGTGAAAGGACCAAAAGATCGTTTCATCTCGTTGGCCGTATTCTGCCACAGCCACGGCCCGCTCCATAATTGGCACCGATCTACAAGTCGCTGTCCTCATCCAGATCATCCTCTGACGCATCTTCTTTGTCCGTCTTCTTCAGCATCTGCGCCAGCATATCACGACGAGCGACAACCCAGACTCGTTTGTCCTTGGCCATAGAACCCGCGAGAAGCTTTTCTAAGCGGGCAAACCTGTGTGGAAAGATGGTGAGGTAGTTCTCATCCTGCTAGTAAGCCCATGACGATCACGATGGATTGTTGTCGTTCTCGCAAGGCGTCGCACATTTGCTTTCAAGTGCTCCAACGGTACAAAAACATACGAAAGTAACTGTAAAGCCAAAGAGTGTTGTAAGGCATTGATTTAGCGATCTTGTTGGGGATGTTGTGAAGCTTTCAGCTCTCAGCTGTTCCTAAGTGTTGTCTTGGAAAAGGAGCGAAAAGAAGAAGAGCTACTTTTATATGATGAAGCTAATAGTAGTTTCAGCTTGACGACAAGGAAGAAGAGGAAAGGAAGGAGGAGAAGTATAGAGAGTACAGCCGACAAGTGGTTTACAGGATGGAAGAAAGGAGAGTACCCAAAGGGGTAGGAGAGGTCAGGGAACAGCCACTGAGCACCTCACATCAGAGGTCAGGGAAAGCATACGAAAGTAAAATAGCAATTTATCGTGTCACGACAGAAAGGCTCATAAGCAATAGTACTCCTTCTCCTTCTCTGCATCGCTCTTGCCTTCGAACTTCGTCAGGAACGCGGTCTCCTTTACCGTGCAGCGCGATTTGTCTGTTGGCGAACACTTCACCATAAGTGTGTTTTCGACGAACTTTTTCAATGTTTTCAAGTCGCGACCTGATTGTAACAGTGGTTCTGGTTGTATTTTATACTTTCATTTTCCTGCTTTATGTACTCGGGTGAACTTTTTGTGGCGCTTCTTCCTTTATTAGTGTTTTGTTTCTTCACATGATGGCTTGATGCTGATGCTGTTCCTCGTGTACTAGAGTAACCTCCTCCACCCTACACATACATTTCATGATTCAACATACAATCACATTGAGTTGTCATTGAAAAGCTGAAGACCATCCTCTTGTCGGACTCAGCCATCGAATAACAAGAATTTCATAGACAATACCTTGTTGGTAGTCCGCGCCCTGCTCGCCGGTTTCCTTATTGAAATATTTGATGGTTGGATAGCCCGTCACGCTGAACTTGTCACAGACAGGTTGGCTGCTGGTGCAGTCAACATCGGCGACCTGCACATTTGGGTAGGCCTCAAACTCTTGCGCCAGCGCGTCCCATGCCGGACGAAGGGCTTTGCAATGACCACACCATGGCGCAAAGAATTTCACAAAAGATCCTCTCCCAGACGTTGAGACTTTCTCCTCAAACATCTTCATCGTTGTGATGTGCAGCACTCCTGGCCCTGAGTCCGCAGACACAACCTGGGCAAGGGCGGCCGTGCCCAGCAATATAGTCTTCATGTTTGCCATCGACATCTCGAAGTCCGAAACTTGGTTGCAGGCTCGTGGTGCTTTCCTTTCTGTTGTGGCAGCTCACAAGTCTTAAATGAATGTCGCGAGAAAACTCTAGCTTCTTTTTAGAAGGATTAGGTGAGAAGTATGTGCAAATAGTTATAGTTCTATCTTACGTTTTGTAGTACGTCGAAGCATCCATTGGAAATCTTGAACGACGAAAACCTTTGCTCTCGATCTCGATGGTCTTCCTTCTAAGTACTTAGTAGACCAAGAACTTTTCTTTGACCCAACGCCATGACCAGCTGCACTTGCTCTTGGTCTTGTACCACTAAAAGAGTACTCTGCAGCTCATGTTCTTCTGAACATGCAACAGAATTCGAAGATGGTGATGGCTAACGCACAGATGACTTCTTGATCGATTCTTGTATCAAAGAATGTTGTCGCACGACACTGCCACCGTGATCCTGTTCCTGATCTTCATCAAAGAAAAGGCTTGTTTTTCTACCTGCACAGCAGGAGACGAACACTTTCACAGCCTCAACAAAGAAAGGCTTACTTCTGGTTGTGGTTCATGACAAGCACGAGCATGAAAGATTAAGAAAAAGAGTCACGTTGTCGGAAGCCTTCGCTCGGACCTTCGTTCTCCGAAGCAAAAAAATATTTGCTGAAGGCAGTCTGCACTGAACTTTCTTTCCGGAACTCGCTCGCGATACAAAAAAAAAAAGCGAGATTAATTGTATTGTATTGTATTGATCAATATCTTCTGCAATGGGAAACAATTCTGAATTCCATCTGCAGTGGGTTGTTATAATCATGGTGACCCTTCTTCTAATCTCTGTAACGCTCGTTCCCGCACAAGCAATTGACCGGCCATGACTGCACGCTGAGCGGCGCTTACATCCGCTGGAAGTTGGTCGTATGTCTGCTTTTCGTAACTTGCCATCAATTTAAATTCGTCAGCAAAGAATCGCTGGAGCGACCACGAAGATTCGTCTGCGATCTTGACAGCGTACTGTTGACACTCGACATCACCTTCAGCGTTGAAACCCCATTCCTTCTCAAGCTGCACTGCGATACTCGCTCGTCTACTGTCCTCTTCTCTTTCACTTGATGTGGTCCACGAGTCGTAGAGGCAGAGTCGGTCAAATAGAACCGCTAGAGCGAATTTGAAATCGTCTCCCTCATTCTTGGTCGGGCTATCTATTCTGATTAGCTTTGCCTGGCATAGCGCGATTTGTACCAATAGTCCTACGATTTGGGGGTCCGCGTCTGCGCCTTCTGCAATTTCCGGGGAAATTCCTAAGGGTTGAGAGTCCTGCACCATACCGTCGCTCTCTGGTCGACTGCGCGTGTTATAGAGGCAGTAGCACCCATTGTAGACCCTTTGATCACTCAATTGCCGACTGACGTACCAGTTTCGCAATTCTTGGTCAACTTCGGCTATCTGAAGATCCTCAGCTGCTCTTGCTGTATCCCAAGGAGATCCTCCGCTACGACGTGTTTCACGCAACTTTTGGAGATTCCTTTTGATTTTGCGTCGCTGGTGATCCTGTTCAAGTTGGACTCGTTTCTTTTCAAAATCCTTGAGAAAGCCGTCATAGCGCTCAGCGTTCTTGGCGGACAGCCGTCGACTGGCACCGGTATCCAAATACGCTAAAGAAAAATCGTCATGGCCGATCGGATAGTTCAGGGTCACGCACTCTGCTGGATCGAGGCTCCACTCGCCTTGTAGCTGCTCAGCAACCCGTTCCTCGCTCATGTGTGAAAAAGGAGTAGTTGCTCGTTTTTCAGCACCCTCCACAACACCCTTGTTGCTCTTCTTCACTTGCGCTTTTTTCTTGGGAAGAAATTGTACTAGCTGCTGCTCCGACGATGTTCTTTGCCATCGCAGGTCCGCGCAAATACTTTTGTACAAAAGACCCAAAGCTCGCCCGCGCAGAGAAGCATCCTGGCGAAATAACGGGTGCAGCAAGTATTGCTGGCAAACGTGTACACCATGGATCAATGTTTCCAGCTGGTGAGTTCCTGCTGGCGGCGCTGAAACGCTCACGTTCCAGTCTTCGCTATCAGGCGTGAACAGGACATAAATGGGATCCGTTTGTCTAACCTGTTCGACCAATTGCCGCTGCAATGAGGATGACGAACTCGAAGAACTGCTCCTCTTGCCGGCAGCGATGTCGCTTTTATTGTCGTCACGTTGACCCTGTCGCTGCACTTGTCGATTACATTTGTCCTCAACGGGAGAAGATGTTGATAGATGAAGACCGTCACTCCCTTGCGGCATTTTTTTGGGCGTTCTTGCGGGAGGTGTTCTGATACTGAGATGATCCAATAGAAAAAAGGGGTAGGAGTTGTAGATGGGAAGGGCGAACACTAAAACCTGCAACACGGAGGGCGACAAAATAATGTTTCACTGTAGTTCTTTAACAAACTCAATAACGGTAGACGCAGTCGTGTAGGCCTAGAATATTCTTGAATGCATGGGCCTGCTACAGCTACTTCAACATTGATGTGCGTTGATGAGGTTACAGTGAAAACCTATGTATTAGATGAAAGTCAGGCGCGCCGATCTAATATACGAACCAGGGATGTTGTTCTTGGCCGAGAACCACGCGCACGTGGATACTGGGTAATTACCTCTATTAGGTCACGATCTTGTTTCTGACCTTCTTCATCGTGTTTGGAACTAAGATCTGATTTCGGAGCCAACAAAAATCTTCTTTTTAAACTGTCAATCGCGTAAAACTGATCTTCAGTGTTGTCTGTCAAACTCGGACAGAGGACGACGGATTCTGACAATTATGATTATCTAGCTACTGCAGGACTTTGACGACGAAATAGAGTTTTGAATTTATTGATTTGAACACCATCACCAACGTATGTATAATTACGATTACTTGAGTCAGGCTACATGGACATGCATGATTTTGTTTCGTTGATGAACCTATCTCAAACGATGCAGTGGGATCTTGGAGGGACGAGGTCGAGAAGGTGATGACACTCAAAAAACAACGATAGAAATACATACTTCTTTACGTTTAGTATCCGTCAGATGAATTAGAAAATGTTGATAGCTCTGCATGTAGGTTTTATAATATAAGAAAGAGTGAACGATGGAATCAATGGGATGAATAAAATCTAGATGTTGATAGTACATCTACATGTACAACTGGAACTGCAGTGCTCATGCCTATGACATAAGTATTTATGCACAGGTGTTATAGCTTTTCGTGAAGTTCTTGAATGTGTACACTGGAAGGAAAGAGTAAGGGAGCGTCGTGGAGAATCAAGATGTTTTTCGTGAAGTGGGATTGGTTAGCGTTAACAGGAAGACAGAGTTAGAAACTATTACCTTAAGATGGGAATGGGAAAGAGAGTCCTGGCTGGATTTGCGCGGGGTATGTAATACAAAACATAGCTCAAAAAATGGATTCTACACATGGAGATTTGCTACTCGTATTCGTTTTTCTTCTTCTCTGATATTCTGTTGATGTATGGATCACTTTACAAAACTTGGGATATGTTGCAGAAGGGAATATATACTAGACGACGAGATGGCACTAGCTGCTTCTTGATTATGACATACAAAATTTTTGCTAGAAACGTCAACATGACATCGTAACGTAATGATTACTGTGCATAAGTTCTGTGCGTACTAATTGAGATGTGATCTTTACAAGAACAACGCGTCATTACCACTCACTACGAGAACATGATCAAAATTTATTTTGATGGCACCATGAACTGTTATGTGCTCATGACTATCGGTGTAAATGTGTTCATGCTAGCTCACCTATCCAGAATTCTTAGAGGAAACGCGTTATCCAGCGACAGATTTCCTCCGGTAGTTGACGAACCAGCGGAGATTCGGGTCGGATTCCAGCATTAGCGCACATGAGGAAGTACTTGCGGCGCTCCCAGCGAACTTTCTTTTCGAAGGGAAAAATAAGCGCACTCAGGGCAGCCAGAGGGCGATCTACTTCTGCATGTAAATGATCATTACGATCAGGAGCAGGTGTAGTTGTAAAAGTAGATCCAGAGTTACCAGGAGTCGACTCTGCAAGATGATAGGCCTCATAGTCTTTGATGAGAACATCGTCTAGGTCCCGTTCTAAAAGCGGTTCCCGTTCTACAAGATACTGCTCCAGCGCAATGGCGAGGAAGGCTCCGCCCTCGATGAGGCACCACATGAGAAAACCAAGCGAGACTTCAGTAAGCGGAGGTGGTTGGGGTACTTGTGCATACGGGTCGCCCTCCATCTCCAGTTCTCCGGCTTGCCTTACTGCGGCAATTGGTGCTGCCTCTAGCTCGCGACCAGCCCGGTCCGCCACGTCTTCGTCTTCTACCCTGACATTATTCAGGTTGCGCAGTGGTCTCCTCTTTCTAGGGTAAATCTTCTCAATGGCGCGAACAATGCCGATAACCAAAGCGCGTAGCGGGACACCAATTTCTCCTTCACTCTTGTGCTCAGGAGCTTCGGGCATCGTTCTCCCGCCTCCTGTGGTCGATGAAGAAGACGACGTGGAAGACGATGTTCCTACTGTCGGAATTCCAATTGACGAAGAGGAACTAGTGTAAGTCCCGGAGTCTGTGCTGAGGGACGAAGTCACGCTGTCGTCTTGTCGATTGGCGTCATGTTTTGTTTGAGCCTCCTCCTCGGCTGGTATGGAGATACCCGAACGCGTACGCGGCCAGGTATGGTCATGACGCTGCATAAACCCTATCAAGGCAGGCCATCTTGCTTGAAGAAAAGAGAATGGCAGCTCAACGTTGGCACACGCTGCAACCCGGGTTGCTATCATACCTGGAACTGGATTTGGCGTCATCATAATGCCCAGTTTTCTTTATTCGTTCATGTGATATTATGGGCTGGCGTTGATTGCATGCCACAGCTTGCTGTCCCTCGTGCTCTCCGTCTTCTCTACCTCGACATGAATTGCTGGGTGCAAGAAACTAGAGTAAACATTCCAATTCCATATGACAACGTGAAGGGCGCAATGAAGCTCTTCAACATTTGCCACTTCTTATTGTCGTATGATGTGGTAGTTAAGTAATAGTAAATAGAGTCACGAAAACGAATGCGGCAGTGCTTAGTGAACGAGAAATAGATGTTGTAGTACTTGTACAACAAACACGGAGGGATTCTAGGCGCAGGAAGAACATCCACATGAAGAAAAGCACAAGGCCCGTAGGGCGGGATTAATTCACTCCAAAGACAGGATTGTTGACCCAATCACCTCCAGGACCAGACCTTGAGACCTCATCTTTATGTTGCCAAATGTTGTGGAGATGAGGACCGATACATGGATACCACGCCAGTCATCACCTTGTGGCAAGCCCAAACTTGAAGATGATCGCCATTACCGATAGTGGATACCTAACGATTACCGAGAAGGGCGGAGCATGCCTAATCCGGAAACCGACAAAACTATGCGCGTAGAAGCATGGCACAGCTCGGCAAATCAAATCTAACAGACGCAGGAACAGGATGTTACGACAGACGTCGAGAAAAGCACGACGCAAATAAACAAAGCGCGATCCCGATCGTTCACTAGGCATGCATAATCATGGTTGTGTTGCGCAAGTTCAAAACATGAAGTTTGAAACGAGATTGTCGATAGCATGGCCTCACAGCTAAATTTGAGGGTGATTTTCGGGAGGAATCATTTTCTCATGCGGAAGTTCATGCTATTGCTATTCAATTGTTTTATGACAACAGAATCATCAAGGTTCTGAAATTGAACTTGAAGTTAAAACTAAACCGGAATAAAAGAAAAAATAGAAAAAATAAGCGACTTTGAAGATTGACTTGCACTTCCGTAGCTGACACTACGTCTGCCCGCACAACAGCTATCGGGAAAAGTATTGGTATGTTCTTCGATTCCGTTGCCCTTTCTCGATTTTTTTCATCCTACGACTAGCAGTAGCATCCAAGAAGACAGAAAGTATACAGGTAGGTGGAAAGATTATCGTCCGAACTCTATGTCAACAACAACAGAAATCAAAATATTAAGTGGGAAACAAGTGCGAGTTTCTACATTTTACCTTCCGCACGCTTCCATGCTATGCTTTTCGTGGCAGTGATTAAGAGAATTGTACAAGAAAATTCAGCTCAGATACGCCCCTACGGACCTTTTTTTTCCATCGTCAAAATCGACCATCACGTCCCCGATAGATTGCCGACATCAGCCGGGTACATTGTCTTCACATTCCACGACAAATTGTTCCTAGTATGTGTGAAGATGTATGAACAAGCAAAACCAAGCTTAGTAACTAAAGCAGATCACTCAGGATGAAAAGGAATGTGGATATTCATATGGCGCAATAAAAAATTGGCACTCGCTTTTCGCAAAAAAGTAAGAAATCAACACAACTTACTAGGGCATTATTTGATAGAAGATACACTATTGATAAAAATACGGACTGATTCCTTAGATGAGCCAAAACCAACAGGATGGTTCGATGGTTGTAACTGTACAAAAGTTAATTTTCTTCATCAAAAGTACTAGTTGTAATCTCCATACTTCTCGACGGCGTATTCAACATCATTACTGAGCACATTCTCCCACATCCACTTTTCAGGTTCGCCAATACGTAAAAAAACACTTCATCCTGCCTGGTTCGCGACTGCGTTGGGAAATTTCTAAGCCGTCCACAAGTCACCAATCTATCATGAGAAAAAAAAAATAAAAGATTCCCCGGAATTCGTGTGCTGTATCCCAATGATTGATGTTATCCTATGAAAATGAATGCTGTACGTAGTAGTTTTCGTGGTTGTTCGTATTATTGACTCACGCAGAGGATGACCTCTTCATCTTCATGATCAATCTGGAAATAAGGAAGCTTCTGAAAGAAAGTGAAAGTGGTAAGTACAAGTAGATAAAAAATCTAGATGCTAAGTCCCCGAATTCAAATTGGCGTTCCTCTTTTCTTCTTCACTTTGTCCGTGTCACAAAACATCGATCTTCCCATAGTAGAAATCACGCCTTTACCATACTCAGAACAAGATAAGATAGCCTCACTATCTTGCACATTGAACATCGCTGCTTTCCTAGAACGCTCCTCCCGCGTGAGAGTCACTGCAACAACGTGAGTTGCCTTGCAGCTCCATCACCAGAAGCATCTGACTTGTCACCAGCTCCTGCACAGTCTACTTACACCAGGCGAGTGCCATGATCTCGTTATGTAGTGCATTGAAGTCAAGATAGTCAAGGAGAGATCGCAGATCCTCCATCCGTCCACCCGCGCAGCGGATGGACGTACCCGTTGGACACCTCGGGCCAGGTCGGTGCTGCCCCTCCTTCGCAGCACCGCGTCAGCACCCACCTCGTGAATGTGCTGTCCGGTCACATAATGCAACACCTGAAAAGCATCACATCATGCAAACTATACCAAGATCCAACCGAAGGAAGGATGATACTGTGTCATTGTGCTAACGCTAGACACCTAACCCACATGAGGCTAGTGCTCGAAGAGCACTCGAAGCCTGGCCAGTCAACAGACAGACAAGTCCGTAAGGCTCCCTGTACTGCCACCCCAGATACTGCCTTCCATCACGCACCAGAGCAAGCGTCCTTGCTATACTCGCTGCGACAGCAAGGTCCTGTCTTCTGACATTCCAACAGATTCGCACCCGCAAGGCGCGGCTGCTACATCCAACTGCAGACCACGTCTGGCGTAGGATCGGATATCCTCCGCAACGCTCTCAAAGACTTCCATGACCAATGCGCAGACATAAGTCAATCCTAATGGTGTCGCTAGGCGAAGCCTATCTAGACATAACCATAACGGCGAGCGAAACCCGCTTACTTCCAAGCAGTTTCCGTCTATGGTCCCATCTTCAACGGTGTCACGCGGTCTATCAACAACCCATTGTGGGTCTAGATCCATGGCAGCCATTTCCCTCGGAAATGGCACAAAGTGAGACTATCTTATGCTCTAAAGTGAGTCCGGTAACTACGAATATTCCCATAGTCGCCCCCAGGACGACGTCTCATGTGAATCCGGCTCACAACATATAATCTCGAGTCACTGCATGCCGGGGTAAAGGGGGATCAATCCTTTACGCCACCAGCCATCCAGCGTTCCCTGACTCGCAAACCACTGTGCCCCAGCCTGACTAGGTTGATAGACTTTGTTGTTGCTGAGCTAGAACAGGCCAAGAGACAGTCGGCCTCTTCCCGAATCGATCGGACTCACTTCACCCACATATAACCAGCCCGCAGAGTTTGGTCATAGCAGTAAAGTCCTTCGTTAAATAATGCTAGCAAGTGTTTATCTTGATGTGCGTAAGCCCACCCAGACAAGAACAGAAGAAGTACGGCTTTGGTCCGAAGATTCCAAGGCTCCAGAACGGAACTTCCATCGTTCCTAGATCTCATCCTTCTGATCATTGTCCTCCGTCATGAAGTCTTCTCTTGTTTTACCCAACATATCCGCCGTCGACGGAATATAGTCAAGCTGTCCCAAAAACTGGGAAACGTGAGAAGCCGGAACTGCTCGCGTTACCAGATGCGTAGGAAGTTTTCCTCCCGCCGCACCGGTCGCGTCCTGATTATGCAGATCGGTAAGAATAATATAGCGCGCACTGACCTTTTTTACTTTGAACAAAGCTGGATAGTTCTTTGGATCGAAAGACTCCTTCCTTGCTTTATTATTCTTCACTACCGCCAAGTCTCCTACAACCAAGGGAGTCCACAGATGCTGCCCCTGCAGTGTAGTCTGTGCAATCGATCGAATGTTACTCCTCTCGTTTCTAAAACGTTCAGTTTCTTCAGTTATATTCTGACGAAATTTGTTCGCCTCTTGCAAGTACAGGTCAGTCCCAGCGTTCCCGCCGAACGCAGTCCGGAGAGTTTCCGAAAACGCGTGTCGTGGTTTACAGCCAAAGACCACCTCATATGCAGATCTTCCATTCAACACCTCGTAAGGTGTTGTACGCGCAATCCAATTCAAGTAAGGAACAAGCTCAATCCACTTTGAATTCTCCGCAAATTTCATGAGCAACTTCCTTAATGGTTTGTGCAACACTTCAACCAACCAATTCGCCTGCGGGGAATAAGGCATTACTGGAGCATGGTGCACCCCGTACACCTGGAGCCATTTGCCTAAACTCTTGTCGCCTTGTTCGCCGAATCCTCGATCTGATCGAACAATCACTGGGTAACCAGTTAAACAAAATACATTCGCCACCAGCGCTTCCGCAGCCTCTCGCGTGAACTTCGACTTCACCGGGATAAACCAGCTGAACAGCGTGGCGTGATCCCTTACCGAGAGCAAATACCTATAGCCCCGGTCCACTTTGAACGGGCCCACATGATCAACGTTCAAGATTCGAAAGAAACCCAAATACGTCTCGTGGCCTAGTGGGGCCTTATTGCGTGTGTTTGTTGCCTCAGCAATGGTGCACGAAATGCACGACTTGCAATGATTTTGGACATCTCTCCACATTGTCGGCCAAAACACGCTCCGATCAAGTAAATGATTATAAGTCAGGGTCGGCCCGCCATGACCGGTTCCCAACAAAGAGTTATGCGCGAGGATTAAATAATATTTTCTCCAGGGAACCGTTTTCCCTCCCACCGCAGCTGGTTGCTTCCCCCCTAAAGGTATACAAACAACAGGATGGTCTCGAAAACGAGTCATTAAGAGTCTCGTGTCGCCGTCGATCCAATGCTCCGGCATCCGCGATGTTGCGGCTCGACCGATAGCAAGCTCCTTGTATTTTCGAGCTACATCTAGCTCTATCTGTACTAAGTCCCGTCCCTTATTACGCGCAAGACACGCATAGTAAATAGGTCCGTACTCGCGGCATTCCACCTGATCCCTGTACAGGCTACTGCGAATACCAGCACCCTGCAGAGATACCAGTGCGGGAATTACCGAATCCTCACCACAAAACACAAACTTCCAAACTCTTAACGACCACCCTGCCTTCACAGTGAAGGTATGACCATCCTCACTTAGTAACGCCGGGAAGGCCGAAGGAGGCCCCGCCTGTAAGGACGTGGCTTTTCCCGCCATCCATAGCGCTACCCGCGCGACCTGTCCTTCACCTGCTCGCACATCCACACTCCCATCTTCACTTACATTGTCTCGTCGGGCAATGGTATAATTCTGCTCCACCACTGGCAGCGTAGGGAACAACACACGAAATCCCTTAACGCCATCTGGGTTGGCCAGAAACTTCGTTCGCATCTCGGCCGTAAGGGTCGCGAGATCTGTCGCCGGGACAAACTCTGTCAAGTCAGGAGATTCGCCTGAGTGCGTCCCCTGCCCGCATTGACATTTGCAAAGTATTGCTGGCACTCTCCCAACATAGCATCGCCGAACTTCGGTATAATTCTCACAGGGAGGACCATCCAAAAAACAAGACTGAGGGTCCCACGAAGCGGAAACCGTAAACAAATCTTGTGAGATATTCTGAGTAATGGCAGACCTCTCTGGCTTCTTAAACACATGAAAGAACTCACGGCGCCCCTTACTCGTCTCATTCCCCTGGACCTCTCCCGCTCGTCTCGCAGCTCGCGTTCCTGCTTCTGCGAAAAGCTCCTTCAACCTTTTCCAGGACGTATCATATGCATGGGTAAAGGTGGCATTGCCCGAGATTCGAAAGAATTCTCTATCCACCGGGCGTCCGTCAATAGTACCACGCACCACAATATTATCCCGCCGCGGCTCATGGCGACGATACAACCGTCGCGGGAGGAAAATCCCTCGATGTCGTTCTGTCACAGCAGCAGGCCGAAGCTGTGACCTCATATGCTTCATGCAAATTCGAAGCCGTTTATTGGCTCGCGACGGCCCCCCAAGGTACTCCAGGAACCCCTCCCAAGACAGGAGCCGCGGACGATTATCCGCGGTGAGTAGCCCCTCTTTCCACTTGAGATCATCAATTGAAGTTACCCGCAGCAAAACCCAATGGATCCCCGCGTCACTCAAACTTGGACACGTAGGGAGTTGCGCCGCTAACGCAGACCCGTTATGTACTTGCTGCGTCAAATGCCGCTGCATGGCTGATATTACACTCTCACCGTCGCTTACTGGCCCGCCAGGCAATCGAAGACTGAACTGCCCTCCAATGCCAAACTCATCTACATCAGCGGCCAACACACGACCCAGGTGCGTAATCACCACGGCATATACTCGACGCTTAACCTCCTCCCCCTCCATGCCTACATCTGCTACCAGATTCGGCGCGTCCTCCTCCTCTGAAGCAGACAGCAGCCCCGCATTACAGGGGTTACAGGTCAACTCTTCGCCTTCACTGGATCGAAACACGTGAAACGCGCCTCCATCCTGACGAAACTCACAACCATCGAATATACTTTCATCCAAAGTAACACCTCCTAAAGGTCCCGCACTATTTAGTTGGTTCAACGCTTCCACTTTCTTTCCTACCTGCAGTTCACTGGCCCCAACATCACCGCCAATGGCCCGGTCCGATGCCAATGCACACGGCAAGTGATCGTGGGGGTCATCCATCAATTCACTGGGGTGAATTGGCGGTAGGAAGTTATCCACCGCAAGGACTCTTTTGCGTTCAGCCATCATTTCATCCAACTGCTCGGGATTACAGAAGATGAACTGCGCCAGTGATCGGATACGAGGAAGCATGGCAGCTAGGTCATCTAACTCTTGCAGGTCCTCACTCACCCACGTCATCCCCATCCTTCAGACGGGAAAGGGCATCCGCTACCACATTTGCCTCGCCCTTTAGATATACCCTTTTTCCGGTGGACAAAGGGCGGGCAATCAGATAAAACCACCTTAGAAGCTTCCCGCCGGTGGTCTTGTTCGCACAAAGGTTGTTTAACTCTTTCGTTCCTAGATTCTGACGATCCGTGTACATCACCCATTTGCTCCCCTTCGCGAGGTTATACCCATGCTTAACAAAGTCCACTATAGCATAAGGCTCGCGCTCCAGTGTTGGCCATTGCTTTTGCGTTTTATCAAACGAATGGGTCGAACATTTCCATACCCGGAGTTGTCCCGTTGCCGTTCGTTGACAGATTGCCCAAGCAAACCGATGCTGACTTGCATCGGTGAATACTTCAAACGGTCTTCGCCAAGTATTCGCCGCGTCATAGTCGGGATTGATCAACACCGCATTCCTTGAGACGACTATCTTTAACGCCTCAAAGGCTGCGATCGCCGCTTCGTCCGAGTGAAACTCGGCGAGCGGCCGCTTCTTTAACTCATAATCCTTTAGTGGCGCAGCCACATTCTGCAACTCGCTGGTATAACACTGCAGATAGCGCACGACATGCACAAACGAGACCAAGTCCTCCCGGTTCGTCGGTAGCGGCCAGCTTTCAATCTGAAACAATTTCGCCGGACTCGGGTGCATTCCCTGTTCATCGACAATATGACCAAGAACTTCGATTTTGTCGGCACCAATGAACGTCTTGGTTAACGACAATCGTGCTCCACTGGATTCACAGGCTTCAAAGACGCCAATCATCCGATGGATGAACACGTCTAAGCCATCCTCACCGAACCCGATATCATCGATGAACACTTCGCTTAAGTGTCCGAACGCAGCCTCAGTCTGAGCCTGAAACCAACCCGGGGCCGGACTCGGTCCTAACGTCAGACGTGTGGGCAAATATGCCCCAGCATGCGTCACAACCGCCAAAAGTCGCTGCGTTTGCTTGTCTAGCTTTGCTAGGTTATATGCCAGCGACTAACCCGATCCGAAATATAGCTTTTTCCCTTTCAGATTATGGAAAGTCTTCTCCTGATTCGGTGCCGGAAGCGCTATCGGAGTTAGCGCTTCGCTACACTTACGATAGTCCACCACGATCCGGCCGATAACCGAGTTCTTCCGTGGGGCCAAAAAAGCAGGACTGCAGAAAATTGGTCGCGTGCTGTCAGTCCCATCCCACTTTTCAAACAAGCCGTCATCCAGCTGCGTTTGAAACAGGAAATCCAGACACCGCTTCCCATACGCACTCAACTGCAACGGCTGCGGCAGGCTTCGATGGGTCACTCGATTCGGATTGTAGTCGAAATGGCGCACAGTCTTCAGACTAGGGAAGGGACATCCTTCATCGTAGAAATAGTGCGCATTCTCCCGAATCACCGTCAGAAGCTTATCCCTCTGTTCCTGCGAGAGATGGCCGTAACCCTGTAACTGTGCCGAAAACACTTTCATCACATTCGCAGACCATTCTTCGCTTGGCACCTGCCACTTTTGATTCCTCGCCCGTTTTGCCGTTCGGTCGTCAACTTCCTTCTCAAGGTCCTCGAAATTCTTTGGCTTGGACTTATTCTTATACTTTGCCATATTCACTATACCCTGGATCTGACACACGCTCTCCCACTCCTGGAACAGGGCTCCCATGTGGGCAGTATCCCTTGCTTCAGGAAGTTCTTCAGAGAAGACATGCGTTTTATTCGTCGCGGCTGCAGCTGCCGTCCCTCGAAACTCCCTTGTGCCAGCTTCTCGCTGCTGACTTTTCATCCACTTGTACCATTCCCATCTTACATTAGGGAGGTCCACCGGCGGATCCACAAAGTTATGCACTTCGCGGACCCAATCCGAAATTTCAGAGGACTCATCCGCAAAGGTTCCCCCGAGACGCCACACATCTGCGCATACTCGGCTGCCCAGTGCTGCCATGCCAGGATCATAGTCCGTGCTATTTACTTTCATCAAGGAGGGCTCGCCCCCAGCGAGCAATCCATGCTTGCCCACGATATCCCACAGACCCAGATCGGTGATCAGGGCCGCAAAGGTCATACACGATTTCCACCCGCTGAACGGATCCCAGCGGTTATTTTGAATTTTTGAAGAAATTTTCGGAGAAACTGGGTTGCCCTGCGATTGAGGGTGTTGAGTATCCCTATGTATAACACCCTCGCCCCCTGGCTGTGGCGTAAAACCTCCAGGGGTTTGAGCTACAGTCATACTGCTACTCACCAGGGTTTCTTTTGTTACTGGTTCCAACGGCTGGGCTTTGACATGCTCTCGCGTCAGCGCGACACTCCGCGCCTTCGGTCTATGATTAAAAATTTCCACCACGTGCTCGGTTTCTTCAGTATCAGAGGCCTCGATTAAAACTGGAAGGAACGAAATTCCATCTCTTGCAGCTTTCAAACTTGGCTGCACCACGGCCATCGTATTCGGATGATTAATCGGCGGACAGCGAAGTGTTGCTGTAATGGAGGCGAAAGCCGCTACGTACGCCAGGCGCGTCATCGCATTGATAATCGGTTTGTTGGTGGAAGTATTGAACTCTACAGCGGGGACCTCTTCTCCAAGGAGCTCAACCCATTTATTCCCTTTGCTAAGTGGGTTGTAATTAATTCCCAAATCGTATACCGCTGTATCGCCTGCAATGATACATCCAGGGGTTTTTAATCCGTCCACAATCAGAAGCTTCCGCTTAAGGTCCAGATATTTTCCAGATCGCGTAGCAATCTTAAAACATAACACACACTCTCGATTTGCGGTATGCGAAAACTTTTTTCTTCCAAAAGAGATTTCCACCGGCTTGCAGCTAAATGGTGGCGAGACCACCGCTTCGAGCTCTCTCTTACCACGCAGCCTCTCGTAGCTTGACTTGTCAATCACGTCGTAGCCCAACCACGCCCCCGGATCCAAGTATAGGGGTGCTGGCATGTCCCGGCCGAGAAACCCAGCGATATACACTGGCGCTCGGCGTGGTCGCTTGGCTTCTTGCTTTGTTGCCTCCCACGCTGAGTTCATCATTGAAACAATACCGCGGCCACGCTGGAAGCGTAACTGGGCCCTTGATATCAGTCGAGGCAACGCCGTTGGCGTGCCTCTCAGATAGCAAGCCCCCTGCTCCAATACTTTGCACACCATCCACAAAATAACAAATAGTTGGCTCCATATCCACACAAAATCCCTCACCGAGTCGCCAGCCCAAGACGGTTCCTGCACTTCCATTCGATTCCCTACCGTTGCAGTTAATTGGACACCATTCCAGAGCGATGCATCGATCGAGGGACCAGTCTCATGCTCATTCTGCAGAGACAAGTCATCCCCTGAATCATTGCTCATAGAATTCAGTCGCCCACCTTTCCCGGAACCTTTGCCCTTGCCTGTCCCTTTCGCACCTTTCCCGGTGCCTTTCCGCATCTTGTCGTTTGGCTTTTGTACTCCACGATTTGGATTGAGCTTCTTCGACTTTACCCACGGCGGCGGGTGAAATTGTTGTGCTTCCGTAGGCGAAACAAATTTACACAAAGGATTCGCGCCACTTGCTTTTACCTCGGCTAGCTCGGCGGCGAGCCCTGCTTGAAACTGCGGCTTCGAAAAACTAGGGTGATGCGGCCTTCCTTTCTCATCCACAAGGACATCACAATACACTACTCGTGTCTTTGGTCCTCGTTTCAGGAGCAGGACCCGGCCTGCTTGCCTTGCTAATAAGTTTGGGCAGCAGAGTTGACCAGAACGATCGACAAGATGTCGGCGACCATTACACGCGGGAAAGCTGCACACCCGGGGCTCCTTTGTCCAATCTACATGGGCCACACAGGCATAGTGCACCCCTCTCATGTGATTCGGATCACCACATAAAAGCCACTTCTTGCCTCCCTTATCGGTGTGCTCCTCCACCGGATCACAAGTGATAAATTGCGCACTACGATCTTCTTTCGGGTAAAACCCTGCAGCATTCATAGGATTGTCCGGAGGACTCTCCTCAGAGCTTATCTGCATTTGCTGGAGAGGCTTCCTCGCATGTCGATTGATATTATAGTCATAGCGCCGTGACTCATAGTATGTAGCCTTGACGTCAGCCCGAGCTACACAATATTCGACCACCATATCGATGGTGGCATTCTCCACACCTCCCTGGTTGATGAGACTCTCCTCGAATGAATCGGTATAATCAAACGGGAGAGATCGGAGTAGACCTCTTACAAACCGCTTTAGTTCTTGCGATGTTCCCACTCTGTCTTTCGTCGTGAAAACTTGACCAGAGTGCTGCGTGGCTCGCTCGCTCATTAGCTCTTGGAACTTGTTTCGAAACTTCTGGCAATATACTCCTACTTCCACTCCCGTGGTCCCAGACGGCTGCAACCGATAGAGCTGGGCCTCCAACTCTTCCTGCACCACAATGGGCCGAAGGCCGCACTGTTTGGTGAATTGCTCCCGAAATACCATCAAGCAGGCAGCACTGAGGAAATCCCGAGATAAATTCGGATACCTCCGCGCCTCTGCCTCAACTGACTCCACCACAGAATCCGCGACGTTATCGCCGGATTTGTGTGCTCCATTCACGACTGCTTGCCAGCCATGAATCGGCGACTGAAGGTGTTCCAGCCGCAATCGATCCAATGCCTGCCTGGATGCCAGAGAATCTTCAATAGATTTTGTTTCCAACCTCACCGCTGAGGCGTGCATTTTAGAAAGCACGCCTCCGTCTTGGGACTTGGAGTTGTCAACTGTCATTAACGCCGCTTCATACAACCTTCCTGCAACCGGTCTAGCTAATACACTCTTTACACCCTCAAACTTGACGCTATCAAGGTAAGTGTGAATGTCAAATGCTACCGTATATCTCTCGAATGTGTTCGTGGGAAAATTCGCCCCCATCTTTTCAATACAAAGTCCTATACCACTGGAGCGCGTCACTGTATCTACCACTGGACAACAACGAACAATTCTAAAACCCGCAAGGTCTAAATTGTCTTCTACTGTTTTGCGCAACCTGCTAGTACCTTCGTTCGCAGCAGATTCACAGAATGTACTCTGCTCCCACGGCTGGAGCGCTTTGTCAAAGGAACCAGAGCCTAAAAAGGAAGAAGCCAAAAAAGGCATTCTTTTGGAATCCTGACCCGAAACCGAAACCGGAACTGGAGCCGAAGGGTCCTTCTCGGTGACACCTTGGTAGTGACTGTACATCTCATAGGCCATCACTGCAAGAGCGAGTAGCAAACTGAGGTAACTCAGTGCCACGGAAACCGCATCGAGGAAACCGGACCGGGCTAACGCAAACCAGCCGTAATCCGAATCCCAGTCGTCGTACTTATCTCCAGGGTGATGGTGAGCTCCAGGAGGTGGCGGTGGTGGTGGTGGCGATGAAACCGGCACGGGTGTCCGCGACATGTTGCTTACGCTTACCAACCCCGATAGGAAGGCAGAGGCGACCATGAAGGTCGATAAACCGTAACCGCATACAGCGGTTGTACGAGGAGGAGCAGTCAGAGTAGTCATCCTGTAGTTGTGGGAACCACCCGCTATCGCTTTCTAACCTCTCTCTCCTAGGGTGGTGTGTTTTGGGTTGAAACCGAAACCGCAAAGAATAAGCAGATGTAACATGTGTTATTTTCTTTCGTCCAGTCGAAAAAACTGAAGTACCGCATTGGCCTAGGGCCCTAGATGGAGAAATCACAACTAGTCCTACCGTAAAAAGAAATGATCATGATCAACGAGGATCGCAGCTTTCCATTCGCTGGCCTCGGCCTATTGCCCTAAATGACGGAAAAAACCATCTACCGTTCTAACCTCCTCTCTTTCGCTCTTCGTTGTGTCCACAAAGACAAAAGAAAAAATCCTAAACCTACTCTCGTTGTACTCGCACCAGCTAGAACCGAACAGAACCGCCTGGAAGACCTACAACAAGGCATCATCCAGAAATCCAGTATAACACCCTAGATGCATAAACTCAGCAACCTACAAGAGGCAGCGCCAAGCTTTACAACCATGGCAAACATTTCCGGAAGCCCTACGACAAGGGAACAACCAGCGGCTTGCTCTACTTTCTTGTTCGGTGTTCAACATCGCCCCTCCATCGCGATGAAGTGTCAGCACCCGCCTCGCTACTGTGCTGTCCATAAAACACCATGCTGGCGAAGCAACAGCATACCGATTAACATGAATCCATCGATGATAGTTCATCCTTGGTTGAACACTACATTCTTTCAACTTCAACTTCAATTTCGCACCATCGGCGCAGAACCTTGATTGGCCCTATGTGTTTCTTCCCTTCTCCTCCTTGCTTCATTTCACGGTCTAGAAAAAACTGCCAACGTAACAAGGATTAGGCATGGGATGGGGAAGTTCGTTCTCAGACAGGGTTGCAAAGACTCAGCAATAAACTGCCATCTATGCCCTTCTCAAACGTTGTTATGAGCCTGCCGAATGCAGTGCCTAAAACAATAAGTCTTCTCGTCCTGTCTGACATCACCACGAAGGTGCACACCCTTTAGCTTCCACTCAAATTCGTAGAACTGGTAGCGGCTGCCGGAACGCTTGGAGAGGAGCTAGCTGCGGGAGCAGTTGCACGCACCGTTGAACTTGAGCTCGTGGTTTGTAGTTTACGCCGTGCCAACTCTTGGTTGAGCTCCATGAGACGAATCTGTGCTGTAAGCGCAGAATCGGATAAGCGTCGCACATCCTCGGTGAAAACGTTTTGAACTTGCGGTGCTGAGCGACTCATTGGTGATTCGCGTCCAGACAACACAATGTCCCCTTCTTCCTCCTGAGGTCGAACGTCCAGATCCACATGGTCCACCAACACCACCGACTGATCGTCGGATGACGCAGCCGCAACAGTATCCTTGTTTTCTTCAGCCGCCTGCTTCTCGTCCTCTTCAGCAACTGAAAGTTGGATGGATTTGCGTGACTTCGGCGATGTGAAGATGGTTTCTCGGCTGGAAACCGATTGCGAAATTGGTGAGAAAAATGGTAATCGACTATTGCAAAGAGTATCCACAGATGCAGACGAAGTCCGTTCAACTGGTTCAGGTGATGAACAACGTTTTACTGCAGAAGATGTAGGTCCAAAATTGTTATCAGGATTAGTACTTGGATGATCTAAAACAAAGCGCGCAAAACCTCCTGCGAAGCTTGCTGGGTGCGGACCGAAGGTCGGAGTGGCTTTCGACGTAGCGGAGACTACACCTGGCAAAACCAAGCGCGTCGTCTGGGCCTCCGTTGCCATAGGCACCGTAGTGGAGGTCCGTCGTGGTTGCCGAATTCATTTGGGTTCCGGAGCTGGAAGCACCCGGTGTTGATTTATTCGAAGCCTCGGCTTTCATCTGGTGCTGGCGCTGCACTGGTAGTGCCAGACTTAGCTCGTCTTCATCGAGCAACGACTGTAAAATCGCGGCGCGATTTTCGCCTTTCAATCCCTGCAACCGGTGTAGCGCCTTCTTATCTGCCTTGGTTAGTGCTGCCATAGGGTTCTTCGACCCTTGAACCTTACGCAGTTCCCGCACTTCACAAGTCTTCTGGTAGTACGTAGTCACCTGCTTGTATGATCCGCCGTAAATCTGCTCACGGATCGTAGAGTCCGAATACACCACATCGTAGATCTGGTCGAGTGAAACCAGTCCAGGGAACCGCATCCCCAGCTCGCTCATGGCTAGCGCAAAAAGGAGATCCGCTTTAGCTCCCGCATTGTAGCACTGCCACAGCAGGTCCGTGAGGGACTCATTGGACCTGTGCTCCACTAACGTGCTCATTGCGCTCGGAGCCGTTACTTGAAATTGCGGTTTACCCGGTCCCAGGGCCAAGAATTGACCCAACAGAGTATCAGTCAAACTGTCGTCCGCCAAGTAGGTCGCTAGGTTCTTGTCAAGCGCCGCCTGTAAGGGTCAGTGGAAACATGATTCCTTAGGATCAATAGGTCATGACTGTTCTTTTTTCCGGAAGAAAATTTTGTACTTCTAAATGTTTCATTTTCGCGTCTTGTGCCGTTTCGATTCCAACTATCATTACACCAGAAACTCCACGGAGCAGAGCTTGTAAAACTTGTATTGACTATCATTCTAAAATCCAACTTGAAGTACGGTTTTGCAATAACCAACTTGGAAAAGTTGATTAAGCATCTGCGGCGTGGAATCATCCGGATCCACTCCTGGTAGCGCCGGCGTGAGCGGTAACTTCTTGAATTCTTCATCAGTCAGCCGACCTTCTTCGAAGAAGACTAGTAGCTCACCTTTCACGAAACTTTCGCGAATCTTCGTTGCACTGGCACGGCGCCAGGTCTTCTGCGCGAAATGTGGATGCAGCGAAACTTGCAACTCCTGATTGAAGATGTTGTTGAGGACAGTATTGTCCACATAGACGACTTTGAGGTTTTCTGGTCGAATCGCCACCTTCGCGCGTTCTTCGTCTCTGGCCGGACTCAGGAAGAAATCATCATCCTGGTCCATTTCCTCCGCAGAACGCGAGTTCTTCCATCCCCACTGACATGCGGTATTATCCTCCACATTCGGGTCCATCGTTTGCGGTACGTACTTCGGGGAAATACCTTCCATCTCCACCGCCGCCGTGACCTTCGTTTGCTCATCGAGCATCATCACATCCGCCGCTGCGGGAGCAACAGCCGGAGGTGGTGCTTCCAGAGTCGGTGGACCCTGTGGTTGTGCCGCTGTAGTGACGGCTTTACACTTGTCCGCCTTTTCGCGGTTCCAGCGTTTCCACTGATCTCGCGAATATCCATGGATATATGGATCAGGGCCGCTGCCGTCATCTCCCATCGCTCCGGGTTGAGCCAAGAGCGCTGCTCGCTCATCTGGCGGGTACGTAGTACCTCCGGATGTCGGGTAGTTCGAACCGCTGCCGGAGCGATACGACTGGTTGTAGCCGCGGTCTCGGCCACGATGCGGCTCGTTGTAGGAGCTCGAAGTGCTCCTGTTCTTTCCGTGAGACTCGCTTCGCTGGTTCTCACGGTCTTGTCGTCTCTCCTTATACAACGACCCGTCTCCTTTCCCTTGACTGTGGTTGCGGGCATGCCATTGGGCATTATCCTTGTGGTCGTCGGATTTCCGAACCGTCTTCGAGGAAGACCGGCTGGGTTTGCCGTCACCGTATTGTCCGGATTTTCCACCCATCTTGTAGTTTGAAGAGATGATATCTCAACAAAGATTTTTACAAACTTGATTAGCACGATCGGAGATCGTTCGTGGTTGCCTTAGAATAAGGACTTTTCCGTAGTCAGACTCTCCCTGGGGTTGATAAAGATTGGAAGATGATAAGATTTGCTGATTCGTCCTTACTTGATATTCAGTAATCACGGGTATGATGAAGCTGAAAGCTCGGAAAAATGTAGAAACGCAGTTTCCTAACTTGTTCACAGCCTTGCACAAACATCCATCGTCGTTTACGCAGAAAGATCCATCTTCAGTTCATGCAGTAGCACGAAGTGCCAAAATTGAAGCTCGCTTTCTCACGGACACACTGCTGAAGCCGTCACCTATTCTCACACGCCGTTGATCGTCAATTTAAATTTTACAGTCCTGCATTCTTTCCGAAGGAGAGATCTTCACCCTTGCATTTCCATTTTCATTCTTGCTGTTCATTCAGTCGGAACGACTTGCAGAGCGCGTTTTCATTCCTTCCTTAGTTCAGGTCTTCGATCCCTTGCAGGATCAAAGCCATATGAAGGCTCACGCTAACTCCCTTTGTGTTTCAAGTTTAGACTTGACTAGGAACTGTTCTTCTTCTCGATTGTGATCATGTCAAATGTATTTTTCTTCGGGAAATCGGACCCCGGAACAGCCCCCAACTAGTAGAAATCACGCCTTTACCATACTCAGAACAAGATAAGATAGTCTCACTATCTTTCACATTGAACATCGCTGCTTTCCTAGAACGCTCCTCCCGCGTGAGAGTCACTGCAACAACGTGAGTTGCCTTGCAGCTCCATCACCAGAAGCATCTGACTTGTCACCAGTTCCTGCACAGTCTACTTACACCAGGCGAATGCCATGATCTCGTTATGTAGTGCATTGAAGTCAAGATAGTCAAGGAGAGATCGCAGATCCTCCATCCGCCCACCCGCGCAGCGGATGGACGCACCCGTTGGACACCTCGGGCCAGGTCGGTGCTGCCCCTCCTTCGCAGCACCGCGTCAGCACCCACCTCGTGAATGTGCTGTCCGGTCACATAATGCAACACCTGAAAAGCATCACATCATGCAAACTATACCAAGATCCAACCGAAGGAAGGATGATACTGTGTCATTGTGCTAACGCTAGACACCTAACCCACATGAGGCTAGTGCTCGAAGAGCACCCAAGGCCTGGCCAGTCAGCAGACAGACAAGTCCGTAAGGCTCCCTGTACTGCCACCCCAGTTACGACCTTCCATCACGCACCAGAGCAAGCGTCCTTGCTATACTCGCTGCGACAGCAAGGTCCTGTCTTCTGACATTCCAACAGATTCGCACCCGCAAGGCGCGGCTGCTACATCCAACTGCAGACCACGTCTGGCGTAGGATCGGATATCCTCCGCAACGCTCTCAAAGACTTCCATGACCAATGCGCAGACATAAGTCAATCCTAATGGTGTCGCTAGGCGAAGCCTATCTAGACATAACCATAGCGGCGAGCGAAACCCGCTTACTTCCAAGCCGTTTCCATCTATGGCCCCATCTTCAACGGTGTCGCGCGGTCTATCAACAACCCATTGTGGGTCTAGATCCATGGCAGCCATTTCCCTTCGAAATGGCACAAAGTGAGACTATCTTATGCTCTAAAGTGAGTCCGGTAACTACGAATATTCCCATACCCAATCTAACTAAGTAGTCGGAATCTTCATGATCATGCCCCTGCTCGCATTGTTCTACTAAATTATATATATTGGCAATGGTATTCCTTTTCTACCTAGTCGTAGTCGTAGAATAAAGATAAACATTTCATCAGCGTTCTTTTTTATTGGTGTCAATAGTTCCGCCTGCTTCGTCCTCGGTCGTCGTTGACATCGCAGGCACACTCTCAGGATCTACATCCCCTGCTGAATACGTAGACGCTGAAAGCGAGCTGTTGCTTTTGAATAAGACTGCTTTCACATCAACTGCGCTCGGCTGCCTACTATCCGCCTCATTGTGATCAGTCATATATTCGGATGTTGAAGAGAGTTTTTGTAGTCCGCCCATCACGCTCTTACTCTGCGCGCCGTCCAGCGCCGTCATATCTTTTAAGCCCTCCGGGTCATCCTCATGTTTTTTCACCGTCGAAGGCAGCACTTTTTGATCTGCTGATGGATCCTTGTTTTTCCCAAGATGACCCTCCGGCAGCTCCGTGTGCTTTGACGCGCTTCGGCCCTTGAGTGGCGAATCTACTAAGCTTCGGCCCTTGACTGGAGAACTTAGCAAACTGCCACCACCCGACGACGTGCTACTCAGTTTTGATGGTGTCCGTGAGTGTAGCCCAAAGTTGATTACGTCTACACCTGCTCCTGCTTTCTTACTGCCCTTGCTCCGCGCTTTTTTAGATGAACCACTGCGGCTCGAAGGGCCCTCGGCAGACTTTGTTGGTCCTGGTGGAACACTAGCATTTAGCGGAGTGTCCTTCATTACTTGGCGTCGGCGTGCTCGCTGTCGATAATGCCTTTGGATCTTGCTCGCAGCCACGTGCTGCTCTAGTGGAATCACTGGCGCTGCTTTCCCTGGTAGCAAAGTGCCTGCGCCGAAGGCATGAGCGGCGCGCGAGAGCCGCGCGCGCATGCGCTGGGAACGCGTCAGCTCCTCTAGGTAGGATGGATTCGAAGATACCACGGCAGCACGCTCGCTGGCGAGCACCTTCTCGTTAATGGCATCCAGCTCGTGGATTATGGAAAGGTGGGCTTCGGGCACCGAACCTCCCGCGTGGATGATCAAATACCGGAAGACCTGAGAGTGATAATTAATGAGTGCTGACACGATATTACAGGAGCATTGACATTGTTCACACTGAAGGTGGTACCACTACCACGTATTTCTAGGTATCCTTTCCAAAGTCAGAAGACTAACTCTAACAGTACTTCAAGGAAGCTCAAATTTCAATCGCAGTATGATCTTCAATCAAACTAGGGGCTCTTGACGTCGGAGGTGAAAGCCATCATCAATATGTCGTTGATCTTGATAATGATATTATACTACGCAGTTGTACACTACAACCAAGTTGTAGTTGATCTTGATATTATACATCCGCCCCTATAGTAATAGCAATAGGTACGTAGTTATACCGACAAAATTGCCGCAACGACCGGGACATTCCCGTCAGGGGTTACCCGGAGAAACAGTGACTTTGTGAAAAGCAAGTCAAACTTCTCGTATCGATCCCGCCGTCTATTCTTCTCGAGCTCCGTGTTCATCACACTATCACCTAGCTCGCGAATGACTTCCTCGATGAACTCAAGCGCCTTGTTCAATGGAAGGAAACACGTACCTGATGCTGATATTAAGATAGAATATTTGCAGTACTTTTTAGCTAAGCTTAAACAGGCTTCGACTTATGACCTCCAACCATGCAACAAGGCAACGGAGAGAAGCAAAAGGAGACCACCAGAACTCTAGTACAGTTCACGTCGAAGAGGCGCCACCGCCGAATGCAGAGGTCTACCACTTCGGAAAACGTCTCATCCCTCTGAGCTGTCTCGTCGAATGACTCGAAAATAACCGCAATAAACAGGTTGAGAATCAAATACGTAATCAGGATAGTGTACGTGCCCCAGAAGACGTAACCTGAGAGATTCATTCCTTGATGCATAGAAAAATTTGAACAAACAGTCAGTTGAAGTACAACTTCAACTTCTAATTCTACCTAAGAGTCGTAACATCACTAAATTGACATGATTATTTTCATCCAGCGGCAGTGCTTTCTTTTCGTCAATCATGTCGACAACAGAAAAACTGTAGCTTGTTTACTCCATTCTGTTCCGCATTCTACTGGGTTATCAACTTCTCCCCTTTCGTTGTGGTGTGCGAAGTCTCTGACCATGTCCATCTCGTCGAGGCACTCCAGTTCTAGGACACTGCGATAAAAAAATCTGTTGCCGGCAAAATTGTGCATCAACACATTCCATGCTTCCCCAGTGCAACTCCGGAACAGGGTTACTACTGACGTTTGAAACGTCTGAAAATTCGCGTATTCATTCACTTCTGCAACCCTTACGTCGTCGCCGAAAAAACGTACTTTTGCGAAAAGGTGGACACCCAAAAGTGCATACACAAAAAGGAAGAGAGCAAAGACTCCACCGACATTCACCTAAAGGTTGTTGATGCTATGTGAGTTAAGAAACTGCTCATATCTGCGAGAAGCTGCGACCTATTCGTTACAACTTACAACTCTGCTGGTATCATGAATGATAGCCCTCATATATTATAAATATCTATAATAGAACAGTTTCTAAGGGTTCCCAACATGGCTGGGCTGGGCACGCTGGGCACACTGGGTCGCTGGGCGGCCCAAATGTGCCAGATCTGCCGAATTCTGCGCCCAGCGTGACGCTGGGCGTCTACAATTGCGGGGCGCCCTTCGGGCGCCCGCTTGAGAACCCCACCAGCAGTGCTAGTCTAGCGTAGGCCAAGGCCAACGGCGCCGGCGAGTTTACCGCTGTGCACAAGAGCGGCGCAGCATCGCACGCATCGAGCAGCGCAGTGCAGCGCGACGCAGTGCAAGCCTGAACAGAGCAGGCGCCGCGCAGCCCGCTACTGCGCAAACTGGCGCAGCACTGCGCCAGCGCTGCCCTGAACCTTGAGGGCGGCGCGCCGCCTTTTTTTGTCCTCACGGGACGCGCTGCACCGCGTCCCCGCGGCGCAAGTAAATCCATCGGCCGCGCAGGCTCGACGTGCCCAATGTGTGGCCATCAAGTCCGCTAAGCGCTATCCAAGCGCCCGCCCAGCGTGCCCAGCGTTGCCGCCCAGCGTGCCTCGCGTTGCCGCCCAGCGTGCCCAGCGAGCCCCCCAGCGTAGCCCAGCGTCTACAAACTACTCTACTATAAAGAAAGCAGTACCAGTTTCGGGATCGAGAGCAGGAAAGCGTGAAACAGCTTGTTGAGCCCCTTCATGTTAGAGCTCACAATAATTCGTCATCTTTTCATTCATATTTTCAGACTCCAAAAAGGAAATAGCGAGGAGAACGAGCAGTGATAGGTGGAGAAGGAGACTAATTATTACGAGCCTTAATCATGAATCTCGCTAACCGAAAGAGCCTTGCTATTCGGAACAGCCGGATCACAGCGAAGAAGCCCACGGCCGCGAACTCATCTCCTGTCTGCAGTGCCTGTAGGATTAAACCAAGATCTGCTACTGACACGCACAAAAAATCGAAGCGGTTCCAATTGACTTTGAAGTAGCTCCCTCGCATAGCTGCTAGTTTTAGCGCTGCTTCGGCGTTGAACACGAGGACAAACAACTCGTTGAAGAAGTCCAGGAGGCGGTTGTAGCCTGGTGTCGGCTCGTCGGGATACACTTGGCAAGCCATGATCAGGGTGTTCAGCAGGATGCAGAACATGATGAACCCATCAAACTGCGCCGAGGAAACGAAAGTATAGAGTTGCCGACGAAAATGGCTCACCTCGTGGAGATTGGTGAGCAGAAAAAACTGCGTAGGGTCGACCAGCATTTTGTGCGCGTCGACCCATTTTTTCTGGCTATCTGTGAGAAATAAGCTGCTCTGCCCTGTTTCTCGTTTTACCTTCGTAAAGTTTTCAATGATCACACCCACCGCAAGGTTCAGGATAAAGAAAGAGCCGAAGAAGATGAATAGCACGAAGTAAGCCCCCCAGAGCTGCTGCTTGTCGCGCGTCGGTTCCCGGTAGGCTGCCGTGCTGTCAACCCCACTGTACATCACGTCGACCCAACTCTCAGTTGTAGCGATCTCGAACAACGTCATCATGCTGCTTGGCAATGTGTCAAAGTTTTGATCTGGGGCCAACCATTTGCCACCCTGTTCCAGGCACTGCGCCGCCTCGTAGACGAAACCCTGACAGAGGTCCGCGCAGAGACACTTCGATATGCACTCTTTCACACACCCGTAGTTTTCGGGTGACCCATCGTCCCGACAAAAGTACGGGTGGCCCTGCGCTGGGGCCGAGCAGTGATCGAAACAGGTCACAAAGTCATCATGCTTGCTAGGGTCATCCCGTGCTGTTGTGTGCACGAAATGCTTTAGTGAAGCCAAGTCGTGGATTGGTGCATGAGGATACGTTGAATACAGCACTGCAGCATTCCCAGGAGCTGCACTAGCAGACGATGAGTGACTTGCTGTTGCATTAGGCTGTGCTAGAGACGCTGAAAGGCCCTCGTTTGTGTGCTGGAGCACATACAAGTCGCGTTCATTAAAAGAGGCGCTATCTCCTCCAGCTCCTTGTCGCCCGAATGCTGTTACGACCGCTTCGCCACTCGATGAATTACTCCTGGATCCAGCGACTTGCAAAGCTAAGAGATTCCTTGCCGGATCGTTTCTGAAAGAGGTGGGGTGAAAAATATGCTGCTTTGATGATAGCCCTGTAAGGGTAATCGCAGTCGCGTTTGTGCTCTTGAGCTCCACTATCCCTGAAGACGTGACAGCTGTTCGGTGAAGTGTGGATGTGGAAGTAGAATTGCTGTGTCCTTCTGTTGCTTCTCGACCTTCGACATGTGCCACTTCTAGCATGGGGCCGCCGTCAACGAAGTAGTTTTGCTCACAAAACTGCTTCGCGCAGTGACTGCACTTCATGACTCTGTAGCCCCACACTTTTTCTGACTGGCAGTACTCTGGTGCATCTGCGTCGTCATTCGAGCAGCGTAAGAGGCACAATGGCGTGTCAGGCGTGCTGCGCGTGTAACCCAGATACTCGAATGTAGATGAAACGAGTGCTGATGTATTTTGACTGTGACTGCCATTATGCGCAAGAGCTAATGATGTTGCCTGCGCCATGCTGGTAGTTGGATCCACGATACTAGAACTCGCTATCAAAGAGGCGTCCTGCTCAAAGGGCATAGAGGCTTTTGCGAAAAACCGGTCTGACGGATCCAGTAGCAGCTGCGACCTGCGTTCTTTATCGAATTCAAAAGGAGCAAAAAAACGGTCTTGACAGCTGTAGAACTTGCCCTTGAAGTACGTCAATCCCCAGAGCGCAAAGACTAAAAATACGATCGAACCCACAATGATCAGATTTCCGAGCTCCGGAAGAGAATGCAGCAGGGTGTTCACCACTAATTTCAAGGAGGGGTTGCGCGACACAAGCCGCAGAGGTCGAAGCGCCCGGAAGACACGCAGAGTCCGCAGGCCTCCCACAGCAGAGGCTTGAGGCGCCAATTCTGTGATCCATCCGACTAGTACAACAACCAGATCTAACCAGTTCCAGCCGTTACGAAAGAACGGTATTCGCTGGTCATTCTTGCGCTGCATGTCTTCGCGTTGCCGTTCTCGCTGTATTTCGATCAGGTTCACATTCTGCTGCCCCTGGCTCAGCTGTCTGCTTTTGCGCGCACTACTCCGTTCCGGTTGTTGTTGCGCATGCCCTGCTTTTTCTCTATTTTCAGCGGCCTCCTTCAGGATCTCGTTCGCCTCGTCGACGGTTGCACTGGATGCTGACCGAGGCGAGGGCTTCACAAGTCCTGCTCCTTTACCACCGGGAACATCTGCCTTCGCTGGCTGTGCTTTTGAGGAGTTCTTGTCAGTAGCTGCCTCACTTGTGATTCTAGTTATTTCCACAGTCTCAGTCCCTGATGGAAATTCTTTAAGGTCAGGCACTCTCCTACAATCTGGCAGTTCTTCGATCGCACCGGCAGGTCGATTTGGGTCCACTGCTGGATTCTTCGTGCTATAGTTCGTGTTATTCGTGTTTGTAGAAACACTCGATGTGGTTTGGTCGTGGTCTCTGGTGCTGAAGTAACTAGGTGCATCAGGACATTTTTTTTTGTTGCGCTCGACTGAATTCTTTTTCCAGGTGTCAGCGGCGCGCTCCGTCGTCCTTGACACACTTGCTCTAAACCGTGGAGAGACGTGCTTCCATAGACTCTCCCGCTGTTTTCGCATCTCGGCTCTCCGCTTCTTCTCCTCGTAGTAGTTCGGCCCCACGACGTATCGGTTCGTCAAAATAGGCAAGCGCCATAGGCCGAACGCAGCTGCTTTCAGAAGGCACTCGAGCGTGAAGATAACGGTGAAACCGAGGCTGGCGCGAGAGAGAAACTCTTGTGTCTCGCTTGTTGGATCTGCCAGTGGATTCTGCCATGTCATCAGGATGCAGGAGAGCAAAATACACAACATCGAGGTCTGCTCAAACGATGGGTGGAGGACCAAAAGTGTAATATTTTCACGCAAGGTGCAACTGCGAAGATCCTCGATCCACGCCCGAAACGCTCTTCGCCGTCTGCGCAAGCAGCGGCGCGCGTTACGCCACATCGACCAAAGCCACTCCTGACAAGACAAGGACGCCGTCCGCAACGCCACGGTGGTTGGGCTAAAAGGAAAATATTCGGACACAGGGGGAGAGTTCGACGGCGTCACCTCTGCAGCCTGGCGGTTTGGTGCCGGCTTACTAGCTGGAACGCCGAGAAGCTTGGTGCTTGAGGCCATATTGCCAGCGTTCAAATTTGGACCTGTTGTACTCGCGCTAGCACCTTGTAGGGTCAGCGGTTGCAAGGCTGCATTGCCGGCAGCAGCGATACTTTTGGGCTTTTCGTTGTTCACTAAGATTTCGGCACCTGCTTTGGTCCCTGTCGTACTGCTCCCTTCGCCAACATCTGCTTCTTGTTGGTCGTCTTCCTCTATGTCCGGTAGCTTTATTCTGGACGAGCTCCGTGACTTCCCAGCGCTCATAAAAGACATGCGTTGAATGCCATGTAAGTTGATGCTCGCGAGGGATAAGACTCCGGTCCAGGAGTGGGTCTTTGGAGGCGAAGAGGAAGACGTCCCGGAGTCACCGCGACCTGCTCCTACTGGTGTGGGAAGAGCATTGCTGGTCAACAGCTGTGACGACCTGCGTCGGGCTGCCCGCGTTTCCTTGTTTTTGGCCTCCTCTTGGCGTGCAAGCTCGCTCTGCTGCTCGAAATTGCACATCAAGATGGCTAGAAAAACATTTAGAATGACGAAATTCCCGACGCACACGACCACAGAAAAGTACAAAATCGTTGCAAAACCTGCTTTGGCTTTCATCGCGTCGTAGAAAACAGCATTCCAATTTTCCCCTGTAAGAATTTGGAACACGGTCACGCATGCCCACAGAAAGACGTCAAAATTGGCGCGACTCGAGCAGCTCGGTAGGTCTGGTCCTCCACAAAGTTCCTCACAGTAAGCTTGATTGTCTAGGAAGTTGCGGTGAGGCGCACATTCGGATAGAAACTTGCCTGACGCCGGATGGAAGACAAACATTGTGGCATAGAAATTTTGCCCGGCCAAAGCAAAAATGTAGATCATCAACGCCAGGAGCAGGACGAAGTTTCCGATCTGGACTACCGTGCCGTAGATTGACTTGAGCAAAAGCCGAAAATTCGTCATGTTTTTCGCTAGTTTAAAAACTCTAAGTGCCCTGAGCGCTGTCATGGCCGGTGGACTGTCCTTGTCGCTCTTCCACAAGATCTCCAGGCAGCTGGCAAGCAGAATCAGGCCGTCGAAAGCTGTGAGCAATGACGTCCAGTACAGCTTCGGTCCCATCGCAATGTTCAGCAAAAGCGCTTCCACGACAAAAACGCCGAAGAAGATATGGTTGAAAAGGTGCAGGACGTCCATCATCTGCTTGGGCCTCGCTGGATAGTCGTCCAACGACAATGTGATCACGTTTGCGACGATGAAAAACAAAATCGTCAACTGGAACGTCTCTAGGTCGGTGAGATCAAAGACACGTCTACGGAAGTGCCCCCAGTGACTGTCGTCCGCAAGCAACTGATTGTAGCGCTTGTTCAGTTGGCTCAGCCCAGTACCGACTGCAGAACTGGATTTCTGCATCAGCTGGTGCGGATGTATTTTGTAGTTTCGTGCAGCGCGACTCGGTGAGAAGTCCGACAATGACCTCTTTCTGCCTCGTTTTGTCACCTTATCTCCGTCTAGCACGCCCTCACCAAGGCCGCCTTTTGTCGACGCATCTACACTATCTTCCGCTGATGATGATATCGGATAGACCAGCATGACAGCGCCGGCGCCTGTAGAAGTCGCGTGTGTGTCGCCCGAACTGGCTGGGCTGCTGCCTGGACTCCTCATTCGCTTTTCCTTGTCATTCTTGGGGTTCTCCTCAGCACTACTTTCTGTCGTAGAAAAAGCGACGACTTTTTTAGCAACTTTGCTAGCTGCAGACTTGCGTCGTTCTACTCCTTGGTCTTGCTGTTCTTCAGCAGAAGTAGACGTCACATCACCTTCCTCGGCTGTAGTAGTGCCGAGAGTGCCGGAAGCGATACTATGCTGATCCCCCAAAGTTTCAGGATCTGCCAGATAAACTTGACTCCGAGGACCGCGGACAATCGTCGCATTCACGTCCTGCTTCGTGGTCCCTTGAGTACCCGAAGCGGCAGTGCCTCCAGGCGCTAACACTATATTTTTGACACCAATTTTTGCTGACTTTTCGGTCTTCGGATCTCCCTCAGATTTTTTCTGCCCTGCAGCTCCTGCATTAGCCGCGGATGAAAGGAGCGCTTGGCTTGCACTAGTGCCTGCTAAACTGATATTTGACGCTGCTTCTCCTGATCGCACTGTCGAGCCTGCGGAGGAGGATCCCGCACCTCCAGTTTTGTTCGACCTCTTACCTAGTGAAGTTTCGGATGAATGGTTGGTGCTTGCACCACCGTCCGCATGGTCGTTTCCGCCGACTTTTACATCGGCGTGACTGCCGTCTGGTGTGTTGTTAACGCCGGTTTTTTCTTGCAGGCTAGAAAATGCGTCGAAGACGATCGCAAGCGTTACGTTCAAGATGAAAAAAACACCCAGGACGATGAGTAGAAAAAAGTACAACTGCGAGAAATTTCTGTTGTAAGAGTCCTCGAACAAGTACATGATTACGACCCAACCTTCCAGCGTGATAGATTGAAAAATCGAACTTACGGCGCCGCCAAGATGGTCAAAATGCGTTACGCCGAAGTTGTAGTCCTCTGTGTGGGGTTTGAAGGGTTCTGAGATCTCTAATTCTGGGGGAAAGTTGTCATCCCCTAGGGAAGGCCAAGACAGGAAGGCTGCTTTCTTGTCCTGCTGCTCTTCAGTTTTGTCAGTCCCAAAGCGCAGTAAATCCATCAAAACTGGAATCTGTCGAGTGAAACCATACTCGAGGTCTCCACGTGTCATCGATCCGCAATGCGTGGAGGTAGCGGCTAATGTAGTAGAAGACGACGCTGCAGATGCAGTAGATGCCAACGTGGGATTAGTTGGCGGAACTGCCGGCGCCAAAGTGGTCTGAGAAAGAGAGGGGAAAAGGGGAAGTCGCGCGTGTGTAGAGGGACTCGATGATGTCGTTACTGATGATGATGCAGTACTCCTGCTAGGAGATGCCACGGTTTTGAGGAGGTCGGCTGTGCTGCTCGTCGCAGGTGCTTCCTCACCTGCCGCTGAAAAGCTGTAGCCGGAAGTAACGAGCTGACTTGCAGCTGATTGAGAGGACACGACAGCGCTAGTAGAGTGATAGTGAGAAAACATCGCTATGACGGACTCGTCGTCTGCAGGACAGCTGCGTCCGCCACAGGTTCCAACAGAGAAATCCTCAGGGTAATGCCGACCAGTCTCCAGGTCTGCGCCACCATCGGCCACGGGCCAAAAAACGAACACACGACCCTCAGCACTCGTTGCCCTGTGGCAGGGTGATCCCACTGGGCAGAATCGCTGAATTATAGCTTCGCTGTTCTCATGGGTATGAAAAACGTTTATGGCTGCGTTCGATGCTGCCGAAGCAGAATAGACCGGGTCCACGTCGAATCCGTATCGGTACTCGGACGATAAATGCTGCCGTACTAGGATGCCGTTGGGAACGGTGAGACCCGAGGAGCTGTACATAACCACTGGCGTCGGTGTTAGTCTGCAGTGTCGATGTAGCACGCCGCCGTAGAAGTTGAGACCAACTATGCCAAAAATTATGAGAAGAAAGACGAACATGCCGGCGACGTTGCCCAGGCGAGGAAGTGACAGAAGGAAGGTCTTGATGATTGCCTTCAAGCCGGTGAGCTTTGAGAAGCCACGCAGAGGCCGGAGGATCCGAATAGTTCGGATCACATTGAGACCACCTCCTTCGTCCAGCAACGACGAGAACAAAAAGCTGATGAGACCGGACAGCACAACGAGAAAATCAAGCCAACTCCATGGGTCTCGGAGATAGCTCTTTTCGTCGAGTATGAAGCCAAGTGCGATCACCTTGATGGCCAGCTCCACTAGAAAGCAGAACGTGAAGGCATGCTCCGTGTTTTCCACAAATCTCGTCGCCCACCCCGCTGGGTCTCTGTAGTCTAGAAAGGCCTGAAACAATGCGTTGATCAATATCAGCGTCAAAATTGATCTCTCAAACCACAGGCTGCGAAGAATTTTCACGCATGCCGTCCGTGTCGGCGCGGCCTCGGAAAATATGAAGAGCGATCTTCTGCACCGACCTCGAAATTTGTACGTCTCCTCGTCCACATAGCGTGGCTTGTGCCGATCAAGCCATATCGGCGGCAACCACCGATTGCGGAATCTCGCACGTCGAACTTCGCGGAGCAGCACCGCTGCGGTGACAGGCATGGGACTCCGAAAAAATACATCCACCAGGTCCATGAAAGGGGGTGTCTGCAGTTTTCGTGCCGACTGCCGTTTTCAGATTAGAAGAGCTCAGCGCACGAGCTGTTTTAGTAGTTGAGTGCTGCTGCACTATTCATAACCGTAGTGTTTCTGAGGCTAAAAAGATGCCTGACCTTTACGCGTGCGACAAGATATTGCATGAAATTTGTAAGAGTACTTATTAGCGAAAGCGATTCAGCCTTAGCGTGGAAACTCTTCGTGCCTGGACCTCACGCTCTTCAGCGTTGTTGTGCTTGTCTAGCTGCGCCGCAATATCGACTCCGACGTGCCTAGGACCGGCTAAAGCGCACGTAGAAGCAGCAGAGTTATGGCCGGACTCGGTGGTCGATGCTGGAAACAATTTCGCTCCACGAATCGAAAAAGATCCGAAAAACGAAGAGAATATTCCACTTTCACTTTGTGTTAGCGCTTTACCTTCTGATCCTGCCTTTTTACCGGGGCTCGCTAAAGATCGAAATTTCCGGAAAAGGGTCTTCATCCTACTACGGTCTGCGCGGCCACTAGGGGTCGATATGGAGGTCGCAGGCCTGACGCCAGCAGAGCCACTGCCTCGCGAACAGGACCAGGTTTCTGATAGACCCCTAGTGCGGGAATGGTCACCTACAACACCCGACGAAGAGGTGCAGCTTGAAGATGACGCCCGTGCGAAATTGATAGTGGCTGACCTTGACGGCCGATCGATCGCACTATGGGCCGTTGCGTTGGAAGTATCTTCGGCTACTAAATCGGTTCCTGCAGTTCCGTTTGTCGGTCGCGTTGCGGCTTCCTGCTGTGCGGAAGTATCTTTCCTGGAGTGACGATGTCGACCGATGCTGTCCTGTAATTTATTTTCCCTACTGAGACGCTTGTGGAGTTCACCGGGTTCAACAGTTTGTAAAACGGCCGCTGGCAGAGTTTCCTCGGACTCATCGCGACTAGGAGGCACAGAAATTCCCTCATCGGAGCCCTTCAACAAGACGTTACTAGTCGTCCTTGCCTTAAGCCTTTTGGTCTCAGTTCCGCGCTGCCTGTTTTGGGCCTCGTCTGTGAGATAGGACGTTCCCTTCTGATCTAGCTCGCTTTCTGTTCCTGATATCGTTGCCCTCCCGGATGTCGACGCTTTCGACATCAGGCTTGTTTTCGCATTACCCCCACCAGGAGATGATTTCGGTGCTATTGAGATGCTGCTGCTGTATCCGCCGCGCGTGAAGTGTAGTTCGGGTTTTTTACAGAACGGCTGACTAATCATGCTAAGAGTCGCTGACTTGCGCTTCAGCATGATTTGTCCACTCCAACTGTCTTGCCTCGCGGCAAAGCGAGGTTTTTTGTTTAGCTCAGCTTCGCGCTTTAACGCTGCCCTTAGCGCAGTTCGAGACTCAATGACGGCGAGTCCATCAAAAGCCATAGAGCTAAAAACCCGGCCAAGCTCTTTCCGTGCAAACTCCAGTTCCTTTGTCGCTAGATAAATTTCCTCACGGATCTGGTACAAGCCTTCTAGGTCTCCATGCAGACTGTCCATCACTGCATCCTCCGGCCCCGCACTTCCCACAACGTTTTTTTCGTCAAAGTTCTGGATATCCAAAAGCTTGCGTTAAAGGTAGTCTTTCACTATCCGTGGTCGACTGGGTTCCCTCTCCTTCCCTTAAAATCCCCTAGACTTCAAAGGGGACTCCACTCAGCTGCATAAATAGTCCACGCTTGTTACAGTTACGCTCTCGAGTGATATAATTACTAGCCTTAATTGTACTGTCGTGGCTGATTACTCCCTAGAGGGGAAGAAGAGCAGTGGTTTGCACTTGCCGCATGAAGCGATGTCGAACTCGACGATCCGCCTCCCGAAAACAAACACGAGCCAAGACCGCCACTCTGCGTTACAGCGATGGGTCTCTCGTCAGCTCCTTCATCTGTTTCTGCTTCTGTTCCAGTGCCCTCGTTTGATATGGCGTTCCCAAGAGAGCCATGCCTGCCTGCGCGATGCTCGCCCTCTGTTGGAACGAGCGTCTTCAGAGCAGGGTTCTTCAGCGTATCTGGTAGCGGTGACGGCGAAGCCCTAATCACGCCCGGATTCAAGTATAATGCTGGCGCGCCGGAGGTTGTAACGCTAGGCGACGCCGTTGGTGTCCTCTTTTGCGCCGAGGATGGCCCTGCTCCTGCAGCATGCTGCTGAGCCTTGATGTTGGACTCACCATGAACAGGCTGCGAAGAGGATCCACTTCCTGTCAGGGCAGCCAGGCCGCGGGGTGATCTGGATCCAGTTATTGCCATCCGTTTTACGAACTGCTTTACTCTGTAGTCAGACTCGACGATACTAGGTCGATGGGCTTGTGCTCTGGTGTGCGGACTGCTTGTAGACACGATACTCCCTTCAGCAAGCGGTGACGGGGCCATCGGGTTTTTGGCCACAACTTGCGGCCCTTCCTCCATTTCCTTGTGCGGGGCATTTTCTAACGCCTTTCGTCCACCACCAGAGGTAACCGACATTGTCGAATTCGATTGCCTTTCGCCCCCTCCCCCTCCCCCTCCAGAAGAGTTAGAGTGTCGCCTGTGGCGCTGTTGAAAAGGGTTTTGCTTCCGAACTCGAACCGAAAACATGCCGAAGCCGAAAACATGCTGAAATCCGCCGAGAATCTTAGGTCGCCACGAGGAGCCAGGGAAGCTGCGTCCACGTGCTGTAATTGCAGAAGAGTCTTTTTCTTTTAGGGGTAGGCTTTTGGTGTTATTTCCCCTCGCTATTTGTGCCCCTTGTTCCTGCATTAAGAGAGTCAAAACAAACGGAAACAGCAACGCCAAAAAACTACCCTTAAGTCTTTGCTTTTCCCCGGATCCCTCTGGAAATTCGCTATTCCGAAATCGACGCTGCCATCATTCTGAACAGAATCGCCGTATTGATTCATCTCATGAAGATGTGCCTCGTTTTCCTCGCCACTAGTACCTTCATCCTCTCCGGTTGGCGAGCAGACCCCGCCTTGCTGCTCTTCCTCCTCCAGGCTGCCCATATCTTCTTTCTCCTGCATGCACTCGTGAAAATTGGACCCGATAATGGCGACCGGAAGCGCTATTAGGAAGATGCCCGTCACCATATCGAAGTACGCGATCACTTTTCCTACGAAAGTCTGCGGAACCACGTCGCCGTAACCCACCGTTGTCATGCTAACGATAGTCCACCAAAAGCTTCGTAAAATGGAGGGAAACTGCAAAGCATAGAGCGCATGCAAAATCAGAACTGGAGAGTCGCCTGCTATTGCCCCACTTTGGTGGAGTTGTAACAGTCGCTGCCACTTGTCCTTCGCCCCATTGTCGTGCTGCACCTGGTCGTTGAAGAAACTTGCATCACACAACGTACTTCTGGGAACGTTGCACGAATAGCGGCAACAAATGAGATGGTCTTTGTGCGCCCCTGTGTCGAGTTGTTGCTGACATTTCGCTTCGTAGCTCTGAAAAGAGGCGAGGTCCGTCTCGCCAAAGGCCGGGCACTCAAACAACTCAGCGTAGTAGACAAGAGATCCGTACAGAACCATCCCTAGACCGACGAAGAAGAGCAGAATCTGGAGTGCGGGGAGCGAGTTCGCGAGCGTCTGTGCTAAGACACGAAATCCAGTGTTGTACTTGCTTAACTTAAAAAGCCGGAAAATGCGAAAGAGCCGTGCAATCCTAAGAATTCGTAAAACTGCGATTTTGTCCTCGAATAGCGAGAAATAAAGCGGCAAAATAGCGAGCAGATCCGCAACGTTGAGAGGCTTCATCATCCACTGAACGCGAACGGACAAGACCACAGCGGCGCTACGAAGACAGGCACGCGCCCTCCATCTTCCAGTTCTCAAGCAAGCAGGCTGAAGATCTCGGCCACCACCGTCACTACCCACGACAGCATCGAGAGCCTTGTCGATTTCCGCTCTTCCCTTCACGTCAGCCCTGTGTTGTTCATCTTGGAAGTCATGAAAAGTTTGCACCGCGTCTCCTGCATCGCCATCAGGGTCCAATTGGCGAGACGTGTCATAGTGTTCGTGATCCTCTAATAGTTGCACGTTATCCTTATTCTCATCATTTTCGTCTCCGTCGAGATCGCCAGCTGCAGCCGCCACGCACGCCCACATACGCACAATATACTCGACGGTGAAGCCAGACGTGGTGATTATCTCGCAGGTCAGCCAGAGTCGCTCCCACTTCATCAGCTGTGGATCCGTTTCCATGATGAAGCCGGCAACACTGACAACAATCAGCACTAGCATGCCCATCGACAGTCTACGCGCTGCAGCGGACGACGTAGGGACCTCAACAAGCAAGTACGCCGTTCGTTGCGCATGCGCGATGCGCACCGACCACCAGGTCGCTCTCGCGGGAGATAGCAGCTTCATCGTAAATCCTTGTTCCTAAAAATAAGGAACTTTTCGTCAGAAACACAAGCACAAGATTAGGACTGGCGTCCTGCGTGTCTGTGTGTGGCGCACGCTGCGACACAAGTGTACACGCAGTGGAAGGACGAGGAAGCTGTGTAGGTCGCAACAACTGTTGACGTAGCGATGCAAGAGACCTCCGAATCGAAAACGTGTTAAGGTCTCAACACACTCCTGCATTTAATATGCTACACCGATGCATCACCTCATCGGATCAAACACGCGAGGCCGGCTGCGCGTCCACCTACTCGACTACAGCGTAGTTTCGACCATCTCCCCTCGTTGTGCAGTGGGACCTTCCACGGCAACCCCGCTCGACAGGCCCACGGGATATGCGACTGCGATGTCTGTTCGCGATAAAGATAATGAAGTGACAGCCATTTTTTTACTTTTTATGCCATTTCTTGGTCTTTACATTTGAGGCTCGAAAAACAAAAAGGTGAATTGATCAAAATTGAGTTTCATCCAGAATACCCCTGGAAAGAAAGATTGATATGATACACGAGTTATCACACAACTGAGGATCAATTAAATTCTAATTCATTCATTGTAAGTTCAAGAAACCCATATTCTTCATCCTAGTTACTGACTTTGCTTTTTTACGCAGATGATGACCTCTCGTGCGTTCGAGAGACATCACCAACAACAAGTCCTAATATCATAATATATATATAGCGTTAATCTTAATTCATGTAGTCATCTACGGATTTTTTTTCTCTCTCTTCTGTTCACGCTTTAGTCGCCCGCCAGCTCTCTGACCCCGTCATTTTCCAGCTATGCCTGTTCTTCATCATGTCCGTGTCTAGGATATTAACTACAGATAACTTCTCCCAAAATTTCTCACTGCTCCTCGCTGTCACAATTAAAATCTTGAACTCTCCTCGATGTATCACGATCAGTCAAACAGCACTAGCTCGTTTTTCATTTTATCCTGACATAAGAAGATTAAGGTGAAGCCTCCTTTTCTCAAAGAACTTTTTCTTCTTCTTTCTGCAACAGCAACACTACCTCCAGCTGGAGGATGCAGAAAGATCCTTTGATGTGTACAGAAGGAAGGTATGTATGATGACCAACGCCGATCGACATTGACCGTCTTGGCCGTTTGCACTTAATATTGTAGTTTTTATTATCGATTTCAAGCTTCGATATCGATTGGATTCACATCCTTACCTTTCCGTCTTTCGTGTTGCGTCACCAGGTTTCAAAGGAATATCACAACATTGTCTCTTTCAACCGTCCTCAGCGTCAGCTAGAGTTTGCAGTATTCGTAAGGATGCCATTCGTAAGATAATACTTTGAGTTTGAAGATCATGACCATCTTATCCTTCTTGCGGTTGCGGGTTTTGTCAAATAAGATAAGATAAGAGTACTTCGTGAATACACAGTCAGACAAAGAAGAAATAATTGGGTCTTATTGTTTCGGTTTCGATATTAATCTACTTACTCCATCGAGTCTTGCAAATATCATGAGAGAAGCGGGCATGTGTTTGCACTTACAACGGTTTCCCTCGTTCCATATGGAAAATCTTACTTTCGCCGGTGCTCCGCGTCGCCTCTGCGAGCATCATTCCTCTTACTTGTAGTCCTAGTAAAGTGATCATATGTTATGTTTGTTCCTATGTCGTTTCACGAATCATGAAAGATTCTTCGTGCTTCATCTTATATCAAATAAGCAATGTTGGGGCCGGCGCATGCCCTAATAGATGAACATTTAGTCCGATGTTAATAGCATTAGCAGAGCAATATTTTTTGATCTCAAGCCTCCTCCTCTACTAGAAAAGTGAGAATATGTCGTTCTAAAAACGCATTTTTTCCATCTCTTAGTCTTTATGCTTCTCCGGATTCAGCATCTTACGATATCAATATCGGTAGATTGCTTAGTTTCGTCCACGTCCGCGGTCACGGGAGTCTCGGCGGTCGCGACCTCCACGACCACGGCCCCTGGAATCACGCCGGCCTCCACGTCCGCGGGAGTCGCGGCGTCGGTCTCCGCCTCCGCGGGATCGGTCGCGGCGGCCCATGTCGCGCTTTCCCTTCGTTGCCAGACTCAGCTCGACTCGCTGACCGTCGACCTCGACCTGTTGAAACAAAATGAACAGATAATTTTTTGTGTAGGAAAAATCTATTTACAAGAATGAAGAAGAACATGGTCGCAAATGACAGAAGAATCTTCGAAATTTGTAGTCGTGGTACGTGTTAAAAAAGTATACCTCACGCTGTTCCGATGCTTCCTTAGCCTCATTCTCGTACTGGAACCGGACAAATCCAAAGTTCTTGTTCTTGCCAGTTCGGTAGTCGCGCGGAATGTACCTATTTTGCGCATAGTTGGAAAAGAAAATCGGGCTGCGTCGTTACTGTCTGCTGTAACAAGGCACGCAGCAAATGCAGGCCGCATTAGCATCCGGCAGGAGGACATTGCTTGTCAGCCTCAGCACGGATATGTGACAGTTGGTTAGCAGACAAACACCCGGAGGGACGATTACGTAATAGCTGCTGGTTTAGCAGGTTGCAGGAGGCAGCCTATATTCAGGATCCGTTTGATAAGGTTAAAGAGGACACGACCGCGGCATACAGGCAAGATCCGGAGCGATCAAGTTAGCAGCGGAACCAGGATTATACAGGATCAGGATCTTTTCCACGCATTTGTTGTAGTAAGAAAAAGCAGCCAGCAACATGTTGCATTTTTCAGGAGAGATCTTCTTTTTAGATTGTTCATCAACTGCCACCGCAGCTTTGCAGGAAGCACTGCGAGTTTTAATAGGCTGGCAGCTGTGCCGGATCTGGTCACTGCTACTGCAAATATCAAGATTCATCTAACAGGAAGGAAGACCCAGCACGATATACGCTGACAGACGATCGAAGTGGACCGCGCCAGCAGTGTCTGTTTATTTGAAAATCAATATATAAGAGAAGAACGAGTCAGAGAATCCCAGAACTAGTAAGTACTCATCATTCAAACACAAACTCAAATGCATTTGGGTATAAGCCAAGTGAAATAAGGTATCATTACTAGTTTGTAGGCGTCATGCAGAAACAAACAATGAGGAAAGTAGTTGTACACGTCCTGAACTTGCCCATACTTCGCGAAGAGGTCTTCGAGTTCATCTGATTTCACGTACTCAGTCAGACCATCGAGCTTCACGGAGAATAGATCCTCCTGTCTCAGTCCATTGCGTCGATATGCCATTTTTTTTGTGTTTTGATTGGTGTGAAGTACTTGTGGTGATAATGATGTTGATGATGATCTTTTAGTTTTATAATGATGTCTGTTGTGCTTGTGCTAAAGCTAAACTAGGAGACAACAGGAAGCTAAGGAGATTGTTCTTTCAATCCATGAACACGAAAAGAAAGCCTGTCAGTTTGGGCAGCCAGCAAAAAAGAAAAGATGATCGATGATTCGTAGCTTCGTCCTACACTGGCGGAGCCGAAAATACAAAATGCAGGAATCAATGAATCAATGAAGCTGGTCTGCTGCTGCAGCTTGAAAAACAAAAAGGGACTTATGAATGGCAGAGATCTTTCATCATTTTTGTTTTATGCACCTTTTGAACACATGGTCAGGGATCATTTCTGATTCTTCTTCAGTTTGTCACCTGCTTGAAGAGGATCTGAAATTTCGATTGGATGTGCGTCCTCGCAAGATTTTTATGCACATTCTCAAAAATGTACATCTGTATGTCATCTGCATTTTTTCGCATCGACGCAACGCTTCAGCATCAATTCATTCGCGATTGCATTTTTTGTCTTCAATTCTGTGTCAGATCTTCTCGTCTGTTTTTTCCAATGATGTGATATGAGGAGTGGGATCTCGTCTGCAAGCTTCCTGAAACACGACTCTTGAACACAAAAATCTCAGGAGTGCTCATGCTTTTCACAAAAAGCATCGAAGTCAAGCATCAAGATGAACCCGGGTCAGCATGAAAAGAAGACTGTGCTTATGTGTTCTTCCCTATGACTGTCCCTCGTCATCAAGAAAAAGAAAATTTTCGCGCCGTACATCAACTGCCCTACAGCTGTCGGAACTCTTAAGCTAATTCGTTGAAGCTACTGCAGCTGCATCAGGTCTGCGAAAGAGTGCAAATGTTTCTAGGTGGTCTGCACCTGGAAAAAGGAGGAAGCCCTCTGCGCGATCCAAAACCCACTGTCCACTGGCCAGTAGTGCATCACAATCACGGGTGAAGGCCGGAAAGCCACAACTGATGTAAACTAGGCGCGATGGAAGGTGAAAGGTCTTGCTCATTTTTTTAGAAGCTTTTTCTGAGGGCTCACTATCACTTCGTTTAGAACAAGATGATGAAGATGTGAGCGCCTGGACTACTACTGCGTCTAAACCTTTTCTCGGAGGGTCCACGATCAGGACATTGAATTTATCGATGCGGTCAACCATTTCCCGCGCAGCTTTTGGCACATATCGGACGTTCTCTTCTTTGATTGGAGTGACTGAGCCTGGTGTTGAGCCCGAAAACTGTCGGAAGAATTCCCGAACTGAGCGCTCGAAGCATCCCGCATTGAATGGATTTGCGTCGGAGCATTCGAGTTCAGCGATTTGAGAAACGAGCAGTTGCAGGCCGATTGTACCAACGCCACCATAAAGTTCTAGAACCCGGTCTCCAGGACGCACGCATTCCCTTACTCGCTGCACGATCTTCGCGAATTCCGACATATTCGCCTGTCGAAACACATTTGGTGGCAAGAAAATCGATGCTGGTGTGACAGTGATTTTAGTCGTTGTCACGGTTTTTTCCGATTTTTCAGTTGTACTTGTGAGAGCACATGGAGGGGATGATATTTGCAACTGATACGCCGCTGCAGGGAAAACCTTTTCGCGCACGCCTTCGTTTGCGCCGACGACACACAGCCATCGACCGCTTTCCTCGAAAAAGCAATTGTTGTGGTGCGACAGTTTGTTGCTATGAACCCAGACGGACTGAAGCCATGGCGTTTTGTTACTAACCTGACTCCGCAGCAAGCAATGAACTAGTGCGCCCAAGTTTGGGCTATTTTCGAAGTCGTCATGGTTCCAAACCAGACAGATCTGCGCTCGGTTTGTACTGCGTTCCACACCGAAAAAGACGTATCGCAGTGCGTCTGACTGCGTTGCCCTGAATAAGGGATCGTGAGGCATCTTAGTTACAGAAGCTCCACCTGGACCTGCAGATTTGTTGCTATTCTTGCAGGTTTTCATCGTCTTCATCGAACTAGTCGTGCCAGTCATGGAGGTATCTTCATCTTTCTTCTCCTCGATGACACCATCTTCAGCACCATTTTTCGTCGCTTTATTGTCATCTACTTCATCTTCTTCTATCTCCCCTTCGTCGTTGAGAAAGTGAACATTGCCCTCGCACATTTGTGTATGGAAATCAGGGACTCCAGCCTGTCTAATGCATCGCGTGATGAGGTCGATTGCGCGATCGATTACTGGATGATGTGCTGCGGAGCCTTTCGCGGGTATAACACGCATATCATTTCCTGTTCCCGGCTCTAACATACCGATCTGACAATCTACATGTTTCAGCTTCGGGCCTCGCTTATTCTTTGTTGCGACGACGTCGCCATCGTCGGGGGACGAGGAAGCTGTTGTTGGCGACCCACCAGCAAGTTCATTCAGGGCGAAAGAGGTCGAATTACTGGAACAGTTGTCTTTCTTGTCGCTGATTAATCTCTTCACCACAATACTGGCAATGCTATCAGGTCTGTCTCGCAAATTTGCCTGACGGAGACACCACCGCGAAACGCCACTGCTGGAAGCCTTCTTCGTCTTCTTCTTCTTGTTCTTCTTTTCACCAGCAACGTAATCCTCGTTACAAAAAGCAGAGTTATCGACGGTGAAAACTGAAAGCACGCCTCTTGGCTGTGCGGTAGACGAAGTTTGGCCCTGCTCGTCGTCCTCGTTTTTAGCATTCCCCGAAGTTGTAGGACTACGTCGAATGTCTGCCGTAGACCTTACGTGGAGTTTGCTCACTGTCCGCCAGCCTCGAAGGGATCCGCTATTGACCTTGAAGTCACCTCGCTTCTTTGCCAATTTTCCTGCGAAGAACTCCTTCGCTTTAGCCACTATCGGAGCGCTCAATGGATTTGCCAGATAGATCGCACTTGGATCCTTGTCTGTCTTCACTTCTTTCGGGCACGAGGGTTGGCGAGCTTGCAACTTCTTCTCCGTCTTCTTTGTTGCAACATGCTGCTGGCCAGAAGGAGGAGCTACAACTTTTTTGTTACCAACAGTCGTAGTAATCACAGGCGTCGTCGCGGCAGCGCCGGATTGTGCTTTTTTTGTCTCCGTCAAAGTTCCCTCCTGCGAGTCTTTTGCTTTGTTTTCTTTCGATGATGAAACTTTTCGCTTCTTATTGGACGCTTGGCGCTGAGCTTGTGCAGCGCCATCTTCCAATGAGGCCACACTGGCGTTACGGCCTGGTCGTTTCTTGCCCATCTTTCTCGACGAGAACTGGTGGTGCGAATTATGTTTTTAATTTGTACTAGTTCCTATACATAGTTGTGCTTGTAGTAGTACAAGCAATTACTTCTAGCTCCTTATTCAATATTCTATAAGTCCTCCGACTCCGCCCTGTATTTATTGGTGTTGGTGAAACAATACCAAAAATATTCATCACGAGATCCCACGAAGATCGACGATTTTGAACATGAAGAACGACCATAATATTGATACTTATTTATTGTTCTCCTAACAAGATTCGTATTCCGTGTCCGTGCAGCAGAACTTTCCAGATCTCAGAGCTCTTCTATGGGTGCTCGAGATGTCGCAAGAGCATGGTGGTGATCTTTCTCAACTTCATGATCATGAGGATTTTTCTCCATTTTGCGATCATGCTGATCGATCTTTCGCGGAGCTATCTCAGAGTACAAACGTCGAAACAAGAGCAGGAACAAATCCTCCAAAAGAAAAGTGTTGATATCAAAAATGCAGATTACTTGCTTTACTTCCGTATAAGCCGAATCTTTTGACAAAAAGGAATAATGCTTGAAGGGTCCAACCGACACGGCATAGGAATAGGTGCCCGGAATAAAGGAATCATTCATAATTCTTGCTATGCATGATTATAATGTCGAGTAGTTCAGCTTCTACTTTCAGTTGATGAAGGAATCATCATGATTTTCAGTAATCGGCTAGGTAATCGGTATCTATAAGTCAGTGATGCATCATATAAAGAACTTCATCCACATTTTTGAGTGCCTTTTCTTGATTTTCACAAAAACTTTTCTTCGCGTGGTGCAAGCGGGCCTCTTGGCCGGTTTCGATTGTGGAGTATCTTCATTCTTCCATTAAAGTACAGCTCTTTGCCCTCCGGACCATGCGCATCTATGTGCCCAATCTTCATTGTTTCCGGTCGTTGTTTGAAGCCGAAAGGCATTTTCGGCGGTAGCTCGAAACTAGGATAGTTCACACGACCATGCATATCTACGTAGGCCATCTGCTGTGGATCCCGCGGCGGAAGTGGCCCGTAGATCATCTCGTCCTCGCTTGCACGTGTGCCTTTGCCAAACGGCTTACGCTTTCGCACGCGCTCCCCAGTCTTTAGATCCGTCTCATATTCCGCGTCAAAACCACCCTCACCGTCGTCGGCATCTCCTGTTATCCAAATCCATCATACATAATGATAATCATCATAGGCGTAGGCAGGGTACAAGTCAACCATAATATTTGTATTTCTAAACCTTATCCTTGTTAGTCTTAGTGCATGTAGTTTTACAACTGAATCTCTCACTTCTACTTAACAGTTGAAGATTGACAATGATATGTATCTATGTATATGATAGTGAAGATGCCGTGGTTGGAGAGAAACGTAAGTACCTGTGTCTCCTTGAGCTAGAGCCTCTTTCGGGTCAATCTTTGCAGCCGCCTGTGCACGTTCAATCATTTCGCCTAAGGTTCCCGGGCGGTTTATCGTCACCAGTTGCTCTGCTCGAAAGGCGTTATCGCGAGCCGACTTCGGTCCAGGTGCACCAAAACGCGGCTCCCCTTTGCACGTGGTTTCGCATACGTAAAAGTGCTTCTTCGATCCTTGTCCACAACACCTGATTCTTCCTTCTGCATCCCTCGGCACCCCGAATTCATCCTTTTCGATTTTTGGAGGAGCAGCAGAAAAAAACGACGTTTGGCTTTGCTGGAGAGACGAGGATAGTTTCAGTTTGCCAACAGAATTGCCGAGCGATGACGTTGAATGGTCCCTCCTAGTTCTTGTTCCACCTGCATCTGGAGCTGCTCCTGTTACATTCAGAATAAGCGATCGGGGATATAGACTCGCCCAAGAATTGAGTACAAGTCCGCCTCCACTCCCAGGCTCCGCCTCGTTTACGAGGAGAGCAACTGTCGCCGAGGTCATGACTGTGCTTCGGGGTCATCCTGGATCACATCCTGATTGTAAGAGACTCACTTGGGGCCTCAGATGAGCTGATGAGTCTTTCAGTGTCATGGTTATCTCCATCGAAAAACAGTTAGCAATTTCATTGGCCTTAGAATTGAAGAAACTCTTCCTCTTCAGAAGACAAAAAACAAGATGAACATGAATCTTAAAACAAAAAAAGAAGAGAAAAACAGTTAGCAAAACTAGATGAATCTTAAAACCAATCACTACCATGCCAGCACACATATCTTCAGAGACTACCTATGTTTCATTCCGTCATTGGTCATAAGTTACTTAGGAGGTAGTTACGGGGCATGACAATCAAGGATGCAGCGATCGCAAGGACGGGCGGAGCAGTATGCACTCTGGGATTGTTTGCCGATTGAAGCTCTGACTCTTATCACTGATATGTCACCGAATCTACCACGATGTCCAACACCTGTCGATACTACAAATCTCATCCGGCTTCCAATTCATGATTCTTCCGAGTTCGAAAGTCACGCATTTTTTTCGAGATTTGATCCCGTGGTGCACTTTGATACCTCGTATACCAGACGAGGTAACTACACCAACAACAAGGTTGTAATACACTTCGAGGACCTTTTTTTGATCTTCAGAAGAACGTGATCAGCTTGCAGTTATGAAATGATCATTTGGGCAATGTTGATGAACTGCAGTGGGTTTTCACCGAGAATAAGGAAGACAAACAGCGTAGTTCATCTCGAACTGATCTTAAGCAGGACGATGACATCCTTGTAGTAGAAGCAAACACAAATCATGAAAAGAGCAAGAATACGATAGATTTTGAAAAAAGATCAAGATGTTCTACTTGAGTCGTGCTGGAAATCGAAATGTGATTAAGTATATATAAATCAGGGTAATTCTCAAATCGTCTTCGTCCTCACTTCTTCTTTTTGCCACCACGCTTCTTTTTTCCGTCATCAGAGTCCCAGTTTATCGGCGCTTCCTCCTCAAGAGTGATGTTGGCCGTACCGCGGGCCTTTTTACCCGCAGCACCGCCTGCGTTTCCGCCTGGCTTATTACCTCCGCCGCCTTGGGCAGGTGCTCCTCCGTCATCATCGGCGGCGGCAGCCGCCTTTTTTGCGCGTTTCTTCGCCGCTGCACCCATTTTCTGTCCGCCTGCTGCGGCACCCTTTGGTGCGTTATCTTCCTCATCGGACCCTGGCTGGCTCGGATTTGCGGTGTTCTCACCCGATTCTGGCGGAAGTAAGCGCTCTTTCTGTGCTGGCACCGCGCCCCCACCTTTGCCCCTTTTGTTGCCCTTCTTGGTGCTTTCTCGACCTTGCGCTGCAGTGTCTTGTTCTCCGTCGTCATTCTCGTTGTCGTCCTGACCGCCTGATGCGTCTGCTGCAGCCGGCCTCGCTCCACCAGCTGATGACGTCTCTTCCGTCTCGTAGAAATGGCCGATTTTAGCTTCGTAGACCTCTGGATCTAGCACGCCAACATCTTTGGCGGTGCCGTCTAGACCTAGTTGCAGACACGACAGGAGTGCACCGCAGTTCCACGCACCAGCGACTTTGCTGCGCTTCACTTCCTTGCCGTCCGGCCCCTTGACGCCTTCCGGCACAACGACCACGATGGCGCCTTCGTCTGGCACGCTCTCGAACGTTGATGTTACGATGGATATGACTTCCTCTGCACCAACATCGATTTCCAATTGGTAAGTGCCTTTCTTCTTCATCGTTTCTGACAACGTCACTTTTCCAATCTTGAACTCGGTCTTCGTTGGGACAGCAGATGGTTTCGCTTCTGGCGCGGATGGTTTCGCTTCTTCGGCAGATGGGGAACCACGGGGAGATGATGTTGAAGACGCGCTACTTGTGGCGGCGGGTTGTTCCTTGGCTTTTGCGTTGGCGCCGCCCTTGTACTTGTTCTTCTTGCTATCGCGTGCTGATGGCGGAGTGCTCTCTTCCTCCTCTTCGTCCTCACTCTCAGGCTTAGCTGCTCTATTCGTGGATCCCTTCCTTGATCCGCGTGATGGCGGGTCGAAGTTCTTTTTGCCACCTTTAGCAAAGGCTGCTAAGTCTACTTCGTCGTCCTCTGACTCGTCCTCTCCGTCGGATTCCTGCTTAGCAGGCTGTTTCTTTGCCTGCGGCTTCTTCGCGAACGCAGCAAGATCCACTTCAGAGTCGCTATCGTCTTCATCTTCATCATCGTCCTTTTCGCTATCATCTTTCTTCGCAGGAGGCGCTTGCGACTCCTCTTTTTCCACAGCTTTCGGCTTCTCCTCTTCCTCGACGGCGTCAAACTTGTCCTTCATCTTACACGTGAGGCCAGCCTTGTTCTCTTCCTCACTGCTACGAGGAGTCGCTTGTTTTCTGGCAGTGTCCTCGTCGTCATCCTCAACAAGGTTGAACTCGCGCCGGCTCTTCTTTTTCTTCTTTTTCTCGCCACCGTCGCTACCTGCGTCTTCTTCGTCGACGAGTGCAGTCTTTCTGGTCGATCGCTTCTTCTTTTTCTTTTTCGCGTCTTCGTCGCTGTCTTCCTCCTCGTCGCTGTCGACCTGCTTCTTCTTTTTCTTCTTTTTTTTCGCGGCAAATATATCGTCGTCAATGTCCGGCAAATTGTCTAAGAGGTTTCCGAGTTGGTCCGGCATTCCAGCTGCGGCTTCGCGCTCCGTCCGAGCTTTCTCCTCGGCCGCTTCCGCCGCCGCGGCTTCTTTCTGTGCCGCTGCCGCTGCTGTTGCCGCATCCTCCGTGTCCTTCTTTGCCTGTTCCTTCTTCATCATCTGCCTTTCCTTTGCGGTCATTTTCTTCTTCTTGTTTCCGCCACTGGGCGATCCGTCCTGATCCCCTGCACCAGCGTCTCCGTTCTCTGCGTCTTCGTCCTCATCACCGCCCGCGCCCCGGGACTTAACACGAGGTGCAACCGCCTTCTTGGTCTGCACTTCGACTTCCCGCACAGTGACGCCGAGTTTCTTGCGCTTTTCCTCTCGCTCCGCAGCCCGCTGTCTTGCCATCGCCTCAATCTCTTCCTCCCGGTCTGCTAGCGCACCCAGTACGTCCTGGCGATAACCCTCGAAGCCGCGCTCATGCCGTTTAATTTGCGCAGTCTCTGGCTTTACTGTCGGATCGTGGAGAGCAACAACCCAAAGCGTGCAATCCACAGCTTGGATCAATCGCGCGTCGTGTGTCACAAGAATCACACCACCATCGTACTTGTCAAGCTGTTGTTGTAGTTGGGAAGGAAAAGCCTGGCTAATCATGCTACCTTCTGGAATTCCTTTCCGTCTTTGGAACTTGTTAGTCCCACTACAACCTGTACAACACGTACTATACACATCACTATTAGGAAGAACTACCTAGGAAATACAAGTATCTATGGGTATGTTTTACTCATCGTTCCAGTGCTGTCAAAAGGAATGAGTACGGCATCGATGAGCGCTTCCACGGATTCGATATCCAAGTGATTTGTCGGTTCATCCAGTACCACAATGTGCGGCTGCGAGAGGGACAGTGCGGCGAATGCCACACGTGCCTTTTGACCTCCGGAAAGATTTCCGATTTTTGTCAGATGTGCAAAGCTAGGCAATCCGAACTGCCCCAAGCTTGCGCGTGCTCTTTCCTGAGACGTAATGCCCGCTTTCGAGAAGTCAGACATCAAATATTCCACGCCGTTCTTGTCCAAGGGCAACAGTTCGTCGAAGTGCTGATGGTAATGACCAATTCGTAGCTGATTTGCGTGTCTTACTTCGCCCTCTAGAGGCTCGAGTTTCTTCAACATCAAGTTGAGAAAGGTTGACTTACCGACACCATTGGGCCCGACGATCGCGATGCGACTTGTCGTGTCGCAACCGAAATCCAGCTCGTCCAGCAGGTAAGGTTTTTTACCGTTGTAAGAGAACGCAACGTCGGATACGTTCAATCCGCCGATAGCGCTGTCCTGGCCGAGGCCGATAAAGTTGAACTTCACAATGTAGTCTTTGATTTTTTCGTGGATGTCATTAATGGACTCCAAGTGGAACTTACGCTTGATTGTCTCCTCCGCTTTATCTTTGGCAATACCGCTTCGCTTCAACGCCTTAAATTCGTCCTGCATCTTCTTCAGTTCGCGCTCCTTCTCGAGCTTCTTCTGGCCCAACATTTTGCGGAAACCGCGGTAGCCACCACGGTAGTAGAACAGCTTCTGCTGATCCAAATGGATGATGTCTGTGCAGATCGCATCGAGGAAATCGGCATCGTGGGATACACAGATGACAGTGTGGGGATATTCCTCAGCCAGGTAATTGTCGAGCCACAAAACCGCATCCAAATCCAAGTGATTTGTTGGTTCATCGAGCAACAAGAGCTTAGGTTGCATGAACAGTGCCTTGGCCAAAGAAATACGCATACGCCAACCTCCCGAAAAAGTTTCGACCTGTGTTGATTATGAGTAAAAACAAAATTAAAGTGAGGATACTTACTTTGACGCTCTTGTGCTTGGAAAGGGACATTTTGAAACTCAACACTCTTTATGTTGAGCAGATGAAGCACCTGGTCCTGGTGCTGGTATGATTACTTAATATAAATTTCTTGTTGTATGAAAGTGTAAGCACAGTAGTAGTAGAAAACATTATCATGACTCACGAGAGCAGTACTGTTTGCGTTTGCATTTTCTTCGTGAAACCTAGACCGGTCAGAATCTTTCGGACTGTTGACTCTAACGCATTCGCATTTCTCGCGTCCAATTCCGCGCTAACCTCTTCGAGTCTAGCTCTTGCTTTCTCCATTTCCTCTGGTGACGCTGAATCGTTTTCCAATTTCTCCATAAGCTCCTTTTCTTCGTCGAGCAACTGCACACAGGCGACATCCGCCGCCATCACTTCCTCTACCACGTTCTTGTTGGACGCACGCGCTTCCTGCTCGACTAAGAGAATATCCCAGTCCAATGGGATGGGGAGCTCGCGCTTCGCAATGTGTCGCAACAAGGTTGTCTTACCCATACCGTTGGGACCCAGAAAACCGTAGCGGTGACCCTGGACGACCTTGAAATTGGCATTTTTGAAGAGCCAGTTGCCTGCTGCAGAAAGTGAGAAGCCCTCGACGACTGCGGCGTCACCTGATGGTGGGTGCTCGAGCTTGCCACCCGGCAGAACGATGCTAAACGCCTTTAAATCACCGGTGTTCTCCTCGTCGTCTGGGTTGCTGTATCTGAGTTGTAGTAAAGCAGTACAGTTGATTGATTCGAAATTGATATTGCATCAACGAAGACAAAATGCATTTTTTTCGGTCCGATCTAGTACGTCTTTGTCATCAACCAGCCTGAGGAACAAAATAAAGTGGACTCTGGTGCTTGTTGAAAACAGAAGATGCTATGTTCGATAAGTACTTGACTTCTTGGGTGTGTCTTTCCAGCATTTTCTTTTCCTTTGCTGTGAGTTTTTCACCCCGCGCCTGTCGTTCCTTAAGGTCGGCGACTTTCTCGTCCAAGGTTTTGTCGTTTCGTGCATCGACAACAAGCCCCACGGATTTTTGAGGGGTTCCTGTGGCCTCATCGTCCTCGGCTTGCTGCGCAATAAAGTCGGCAGCAAACGTTTTTGCGTTGAAGTCCGGCAAAAAAAAGACCAGGTATGAACCCATCGTTTTGGTCTCGAATGTGAAAGTGAGTTCCTCATCCTTGAGAATTTTCTTCGTCTTGATGACCCCGTAATAGCCTAGTGTCGTTTCTACACCGGCTTCACCGGTAGGGTCAGCTAAGCTGCTCCATTTTTTGATGCCAGCATCCACACCAATCTCCTCCCGACTCAAAACAAAGATCGACGTCGGCCGTATACAGGAGACGGTCAAGGAGGTTGCTTTTGCACTTATCCTAAGAAAACCGTGTCCCGAAGCAGGTGTGAAACGGCCGAGCGACAGAAACTCTTCCTCAGTCGCACCTCCTGCACGTACAGCGCCTGTTCCCACGTTGCGGACACTCGGGGCCAGTTTCAGATCGACCTGAAGAAGTTTCGCAAATTCTAGTACACTGCAACATCTTCAATGCACTTTTAGCAAATGAAATAGCAAACGAGCCTAGGCGCAGGCTTGTTGTAGTTCTAGAAATATTTTTAGAGATTAGAAGTATTCTTTATCAATACGTCTGTCCGCAGTGTCTTGAAGGTTCCAGTTGCAAGGTAATCATGAACGACTCGCCCTTCCAAGCGGTTTCCCAATTTGTCGGATACAAGGGATTCACCCTTGAGATCTAGCTCTTCTTCCGATCGGTCCTTTTCACCTGCGCCATCATCTAAGCCTGCGTACAGGTCTTTCGCCTTCTCGCGTTCGGCCTTGTTTTTCTCCTTCTCCGCAGCTTTGGCCTTCTGCTCTTTCTCTTTGCGCTTCAAAAGGTCAGCCACGACACTGCTCGTCTCCTGCTCGGAACCGCCGACAGCAATCTTTTTCCCAGGAAAGGCTTTCGCGTCTGCTTTGTTCCTTTAATGCGTGGATTGATGTACTATAAAGTCGCGGCTGACGAGGCTGTTATTTTCATTTAATAAATATTAGTATTCGCCGCGTGCAATTCTTGATCAAATACATACTTCTTGTTGAGCAGGAAGCAGTGTACTGACACAGACAGTACAAGTCGATCAATAAAGCTGGGCCATTTCTTGATGTGAAAGGCCTGAGTTGTGACTAGGTAAGTATTCAAGAACATTTGTAATTCAGTACCTCTTATCCAGGGCTTTGTCGCTTTGCTGGGTGAGGTAGTTGTCGGATTTCGTGAGATCGACGTTTTTGATTTCGCCGACACTATCCCACATGGAGACTCCCTCGTCGTCGCTATCATCGCGCTTCTTTTTTTTCTTCTCGCCATCCTTTTTCTCCTTCTTCTCTTTCTTTTCCTTCTTGTCCTTTTTGTCGTCCTTTTCCGCCATTTTGTTCTCAGTTCTAATCTCTGAAATTTAGAGTCAATGAAAAAGATGAAACGAAATTATAACGAGGACGAGCACCCAAAAAGTGTTAATGAAAATTAGGAAATCGGAACCTTCTTCCTTCTAGTAGTTGCTGTACTAAGTATAATGTATTCACGACGAAGATCAAATATCCTTCTGACTTTCGTAATAGTGACACCTTCGCTGTTGAAGTGGTCCCCTGTGCAATCCTAGCTTTCTACATTACATCCGCCCGATGCCTGATGAATATAGATGAGAAAATATGAGCAGGAGGTATTCGAAGATGATGAAGACACTGAAGATAGGATTTTTGATTTGTTGAAGTCGTAACATCGATTCTTCATGGGATCGTTTGGATCAAGATCTGGAAAAGTTCAATCTTGGACGAGTGAGACTAAGCTTGAGCAAAAGATAGCTTCAACGCAAAGAACAGTCACTGGGTCTTCTGTTCAAGACGGACGACGGAACCAATACTAGCATTTTTCCTACAAGAACTTAAAAGAACACGCGCGGATACACAACTAACGGTGGTCCTCAGTGGCGCTGCTACACGAGTGAGAGTAGCAGTTGTTTTTTTTTTTACAGACGCAACACGTCATTTGTTGCTCCATTCGATTCATTTTTAATTGTAGGATAGGATGGGAATGGGATGAGTGTCATTCATCTTCAATGTTTGTGCGCCATCTAGTACCGCAATTTGCAAGGATCACTATGGAAACAGTGAGGTGGCATGTCCAATCTATCATCTCTTATTTTGACAGGGCTGGCGTGTCAGTCAAGAAGTGCAAGTCATGGTCAGAGAAAAATCTTTACAGATGAAATTCTATCAGATAGGAATGGTGTCTGTAGCACCCTCGTCCCACCTCCGTTTTTATTGCCATTGCTTTTCCTTACTCATCAATTATCTATAGTAATCAACAATCAGTTTTCTTTTCTGTACATGGGCTTTTACTGATATCCGTGGTGTTCATTATGTGCATGTCGCTAGCCGTGCGACATCTCCTCAGCTGTCGTAGACTGCTCCCCGTCTCAGAAGCTGATACTGCCGATTACAACTTTTCAATTGGCTAGAATACGTAGAACTTCACTTTTCCTAATTTCTATGGTTGAAGAAAATGAAAATGATCGAATTAAATAATTGCTAAAAGCCGGCTATATGTTCGTTGAAAATAAAATATGTTGTTGGATGAGTGACAGGAACATCTTCACCTCTCAATGTTCGAAGTCTGTCAATAATATAAATTCGAATGTTTCTCCCCAACATTACGCAGTGCGCTACTGTGTGTGTATTTTATTAAGTTGTAGTAGGAATATCGAATCGTTTTGAATACCAGAAATATATGGCTACAACAAGTGTGATTAACATAATTGAATCAGTGATCCTTTCTTAAGATTAAGTTGAGCACGAGAAGTTTTGATTTGTTTCCATAATACCAATCTGTATGTGACTTATTGTGTTCTTGAGAATCAATATGGATTAATAATATGGATGATTAATATTATAATAATCGACCTATGTATTCCTATGTATACTTTCTACTTGTTTGGTAAATTGTTCTCTAGATAGGTAGAAGTAGTTAGTTAGTTATTATAGGAAGCCCGGCGGTACTCCAGCAACGTGCAACCCGAGAGTCGTATGCGGAATGCAGATAGGTAGAAGTACTTCATGTTCATCACTATCAATCCTCATCTTGTTCGATCTTGTTCGAAGCATGTGCATGATCTTCACATGATACTGGAATGATCGTTACGATTTATTTGACCCTTTAAAGATCGAGCGGACACCTGTGTACCCTCGATGCATCATGCGCAACGTTTCCAGAGTTTTGGGTGCGTAGCTGGTCATATGCGGGACTATGTGGTACTTCCAAAGAAGGTTGCGCCGACTCGGGTCTTTCTCCTTCATGTACAGATCCCACGTGTCTTGGGCTCCCTTCGCCTTGCTCACGCTCTGCATCCCCGCTTTCTCGACCATCGAAAATGGGCTACGAAATGCAACATCCCAAGGGACATACGCCTGGACATGAATTCATTGCAGTTGATTGTGCGATTGTTTTAAGAATATTCAAAAAAAATCCGTGGTCGTGTTGAATGAGGAGTGGTATGCAGTTGAACTACTTACTTGTTGAACACTAGTGCAAAATGAAAATACAACATCATCTTCATCAGGGGAGGACGCACCACAACAAGACCTTACTAGAAAATCACAGAAAAGCGGTCATCTTTAGTACCCCATCTTTCTGCACGCCTCGTGGCAATGAGTGCTTCAAGCCTCCAATAAGCATTTTGTAGCCTGCAATCCAATGCACCCCGACGCACTTGAGAAAGCCCTCGAAAGCCGGGTGGGGGTCCAGCAGATGCCGTGCAGTAGTAATTTCGAACCACACACGACAAAAGATCGTCTCAGAAAGGTTTCCTTCAAAGTACATATCGCACGCAGCCTTGATATCATCCGCGGTAGTTGGAGGCCTGTCTTCCTCTGGAGCACGTGTTCCGAAAATCTTCTTTTCTTCTATCTCTGTCTGCTCGAAATACTCGGTGTATGCCTGTTTTAGTTGTGTATCAGTGGATTGCGATAAGACCCTGTAGTTTCTTGTTGCTCTTGGTAGTATACCTATACATCTTACAAATGATAACGTCAGTAGAGGTAGTACACGCTCAGGCCCGAAGTCAATTTCCAATCGAAATCTAAATCTTCTACTTCTAGACCTACAGCACGACCTACAGGTCCTAGTAGACCGACAATTAATACTAGATCATCTAAGTTCTTCAACACCCTGCAACTACATTCATAATTACTGTAAGCTGCTGATCGTGCTGATTGACGAGGTAGATGAAAATACTACACGACATAAGTACCTTATCTGTGGCTGCCTTGATGCGTTCCACGAGGTCGTCTTTTTGCTCTTGGGAAACGTCGGGTTTGAACGGGTAGACGCTGAACAAGCGTTCTGGTTGGTAGAGCATGCATCCATGAAGGAATTCGTAGAGGCAAACCCCGAGGCCTGTCGGGTAGTCGTGCGAGAAGACTTCGTAGCTGTTCCCGAAATCGATGATCGAAAACGTTTTTGTGGTGTCGCACCAGAAGAGATTGCCCAAGTGGGGATCGCCGTGGAAGAACGTATGTTGTCGGTCTGCGCCTTTTTTTGCCTCTAGGGCTACTGCGAGCCACAACTCAAAGCTTTCCAGGTAGGAGCTTACGGCAGCATACCAGTCGATCAGAGGATAGTCCTTTACGGGGCAGTACTGCTGTTCCGCGAGACAGCGGTCGAACGGGCGGCCCGGTGCCATTTCGAGCACTAACATGCCGGGATCTCTTCGCTCAAGTTCGTCGACTCGCGCAGCCACGCAGAACGTACTCTCCTCCTCTTGTTTTGTCGCGCCCCCCTGCTTCTGCTGGTCATCAGCTTTGTTGTTTTTCGAATATGTTGACTGCGAAGCATGATGATTGGCTACAAAAGCTTGGTCGTATTGAGCTTCGTAATCGATCTCGTCGAAGCGACCAGGCGCACAAGTCGGCGCAGCCCCAGGTTGGCCCTTGGAGAATCCACCCGTACGATCTATTCCGCTTGGTCCAACTCGGGCTGCAGGTTTGAACGTCGCTGACTGTTCATGCCCAACATGGTCCTGTGCGCTCGTTCGAGCAGCAGGTCGAGCCACGACACGTGGCACAAAAATATTGCCTCGCTTGTTGAGGTTACCTGGTGGATGGCGGACATATTTCTCGTACCCCAGCTCCAAGAACATCTCCTCTTGCTCAAAATTCGTTTCGGCAAGCGACTTGTTCACATACGAGTCTGTCATGTACGATCTAGCTCCAGGCAAATTGTCAGTGACCTTTTTCAGCAACAGTCGTTCACTTTCCAACTTGTAAACAACGTCGCACCGACGCATCTTGACAAATACTTGGGCGAACTCCTTGTTCCCTTCCTCGGTGTCACTCTCGACTTCGGCCACGGGCACCTGATGATGTAAAAAAAGTTTCATGTTGATAATTAAGGTTTTTGAATTCCTTGCATTTTTAGCGTAATCAACCGCGAGTAACTCTTGTTCATCTTCAGCTAAAGATTCCTAAAAAATTCCAAAGTACCTCATCTGTATAATCCTTGTTTTCCATCGGATAGTATTCCTTCTGCACGGCTGTCGCTGGTTCCCCCACTGCGATACTCGCGTTGTAACGCGGCGTCTCGGAGATAGCGTAGAGACCCAACTTTCTTCCTGTTGGAGACTTGTAATCTGACAAGTCGATGAGAGCAAAGGATTTGCGCTCATCTTCATCTGCTTCCTGTTTCGCTTGGTCCTTGTTCGCGCTGTTCATGTTCGCATAGAAGTTGCTCTCCTGCATCATCTTTAGCTGCTCGTCGCCAAGCTGTTGTGGAGAAGAGGATGAGTAGACCGAGGACAAGGCTCCGAGCCCGCTGAGCAGCGCCGAACCGATGCCACCAAGGTAGCCCTGCTGGGCGCGCAGTTGCTCCGCAGTCGCGTGGGCCTGCTGCTGCTCGAACGCGAAGCGCCATAGAGGCTCGTCGACAGAAGTGTAGAGAACCCCTGCATTGCGTAGGATATTGCGGACTTCGTGTCCACCCATAGGTTTCAGCGCGCTCTTGAACTGCGCGAACAGTTGTGTTACGTCCGAAGACGGAACGCACAGCTTCGCAAGCGGGGCCTGTGTGCGAAGTTCCGGGTAGTCGCTGGGCGCGAGCTGGTACTCCGTGCGGAGAAGGTCGCGGTTCTCAGAATTTCCACCGTACTGCTGGAAGAGCTTTTGTAACACTGGGCCGGCCACTTGGAAAACATGCAAGAACTCGAAATTCACAACAGAACGACAGTTTTTCAACAAGACTTCAGGGCGTTCGCGAACATTGAGCACGAAACTCTCCATGAACTCTGCCATGAGCGGAATCTTAACCTCGAGATGAATATCGTCGAAGTAGCGACTGATGAAAAGCTTGATGGCATCCATGTTCACCTGCGGTTGCTTTCGCTGGTCAATGTCCAGAAAGTTAACGTCGCGGAGAAACGCACTGCGCAAAAAGTGGGAAAACTCAGACTGAGGGAAAAAAATCTTCACAAAAGAGTCCAGACTCAAGGCTTGGAGCTGGCGCCCTAGTACTGTACTGGGCTGTTGATGGCTATGTCTTGCGGTAGACGACAACGCGGCAGCAGCGCGAAGATTCAAAGCTTTGTTCGCATCCTGAGGATGATGGTGATTTCCAGAATTGGCATTCCTACCAACATCGATGTGTCCACCTGGCGAGCGAGATTGGCCCATCGCGGTGATCGGAGGAGTCCACATGTCTGGGTAGTCGCCTCCGCTAAGGCTTCCGCACCCGTCGTCACAGGTATCATACCCACCGTCGGACGCATATTCTCCGCCAGACGAAGTTGCGCCACTGCGTACGCTCGCGCGCCTGGCTGCGATCGCGTCCTGTTTCAGCTTGTTCCTCGACGCTTGCCGTTCGTGAATGAGGCAGTTTCTCAACTTTTTGATGCCTTCCTCCGGGTTCGTCACTAACAACATCAAAAAGTCGGCCTTCTGCTGTACATCCGGGTCCCCCTGTGCGTGCCACTCGTTGACGAGCTGTGTAACCACTGCCGGAATCACAACAGAGGGTGAGGGTCGTCCTTGTTCCTCCTCACCTCGCCGTGATAAGGCTCCACCTGGTCGGGTGCTGCGACCAGATGAGCAGGGGACCATCGTTCTCCGAGCAGCATCACTTTGACCGCGGGGTCCAGAAGAACCTGCTCCCGAGGACGACACGAACGTCGGTCCACGTTTTGGATATGAGACATACTCAACGACGTCGTCTTGTTGCTCCCCTGTGGTCAGCGTGTTACCGTTACCGCCTTGGCTGTCCTTTCCGTTTCCATTTTTCATAGCTTCATCTGGAGGTGCGCCCAGGTAGAAATGGTCGGTACTAGCAGCCATAAGCACGTTATTCACGTTCACTTCGCCAGTACGCAGCTTGTGCGAAAGGTCGTAGGCCTCGTCTTCTTCAAGCCCGGCGACGGCACGGGGATCCTCACCAAAGAGATATGCCGATCCGCTGTTCATGTCCGGAAGCATGTTATACAAGGAAGTACCCGCAGAGCGCAGGTCTTCGGAGGAGTAGCCCATGCTCAAGCGTTTGCTGAGGGACGTCAGGTACGGAGTAGATGACGGCGACGTGTCTTCACCCGTTGCACTGCTTGCACTCGAAGATGGCGACGTTGTGGAGGCTGCAGCTCCCTCGTCATGATTCGACGCCCTATCTTCTTGACGAGAAGCGCCTCCCAACATCATATTTAGAGGCATATTCATTAAAGACTGTGGCTTATCTCCTCGTGTACCACACTGCGTCAATATTCTTGATGCGCCGATCCTGGCTTCCATATCCGCGGACCCAACAGGCTCACCTCGACCGATAACGTAATCAATCATCGTATCCGTATTGTTATTATTTGAGTTAGTAGATCAATATTATCAATGGTTTCTAGTACTTACACGAACTTCTTTCAAATTAAAGATGATATACAAAGAAATGACAGAACATGAATGTTGCTGCATCAATATCAACTTCGAAACGCAAATTTCAATTTCATCTTCATGATCTCATTCTCATTTTTGCTATTACATCAATATTAAATGGACGACGAGTAGGGCCAGGAATAGGGTTAAAACAATCACTGAAAATCGAAATCCTTCAAAAACGTCGTCCAAAAAGTGGGGGGAACGGGGTAGAGGCTGCTCCAATGCGAGCAGAAGCCCTGGCATATTAGCAATGTGATTTTTAGATCATGTTGCTGGAATGGGTAGGCTTAGTATTGGGCTCAACAACAGAGTCAAGACGGAATAAGTAGTTTCAGCTGCCAGATGATCCATTGTGACTCTCGCATTAAGAGACATCATAAAAATGGAAATCTAACTTCCTCTTCCTCAGAATCACAGAGACTTTTGTTGCGCTCGTCGTCATTGATAGCGAACAACAGAATAGCAAAAGGAACTCATTGCGCTTTGCCACACTCATCCAGATTCAGTTGCCGAATGTCTTAATGCTAAGCGGACACATGATTATCTTTGGAGACTCAAGCTCAACGACATCACCAGACAGAGTACGTATCGCACATAGTTGTACTTCGATGAGAATGGTCATGATGCCTTCCTGTCTGCGCAACAAGAAGTCCTCAAAACTAAACATATCTTCCAATCTGGTGACCAACGACATCACGTCTTTCTTATTAGCAAAACTCTCCAATTAGCACGAATCCCTCTCGTTCTCGCAGCACTGAGTTGCTCACACCAACACGAACGCCAGAAGCTGAAGATGAATTCTTTGAACAGATATGCCAATCATCCTCACGACCGAGTCTCCTCCTGTTCCCCTCTAGTTCAAGTGTGATCTCTAGGACGAGAGGTAAGAACAATAATATTAAAGAGCTAAGTAAATTAAAAAACAACAACGACCCGGCCAAAGAACTCTCACTCTACTTTCACTTCCGAGCCCCGAACCCTCACTCTTCCACTCCCGAACTCGCGAACTTCTGAACTTCAGATTAAGAACTTAAGAACTTGCGAGGCCTGGGAATTGGTTGGATTTCGCGCGAGTGGGTAACTAACTAATATAAATTTCCGAGATAATGATAAAGGCAAAACTTTTACAATTTGGACGCAAAAAGTTTCAACTTCTCAAAAATTCACGACGATGCCAAGAAGTTTATAAATTTTATGACATTCAAACAGATGCCACAATATGAAAGAGCTAGATAAAAAACCAACAACAACCCCTCCAACATCCGAACCCAACACACACCGAAACGAAAGCACTGAAACCAAAAACATGCGACCCCCATCGCAAATTTTTCAGCTCCTTTTCTAATCAACCAACAAACACAACACACGAACCCGAGGCACGACGTCGGGCATTTATTAAAATAAAGACACTGCGCCTATCTAGCCTTATTTAATTCATGGGCGTTAAAGTCAAAAACTTTGCACAAAAAGCCTGAGCTTTTGGCTTTAACAGCTAAAGCCTTATCCTCAACCTCAAGCCCGAAAGCGTAAGCAAGCTTAAGACTTAAAGCCTCAAGCTGAAAGCTCGCACCTGAAAGCTCAAAGTTGAAAACTCAAACGCGAAAGCTCGAAGCTGAAAGCCCCAAGCGAAAACGAAAAGCCCCAAACTGAACGCTTAAGATTAAAAGCGGCGCCCCAATGTCTCAGAATTTCAAATTTGAGACGGTGAACCAAAAGTTTTCGATTATATCAAATAAAACGAAACAAATTGAAAAAGTTCCCATCCAAAGTTTTTGACTGTATCACTCGAGGAGGCACTTCACAAGTTGCAAACTCGAGCGCTGCAGCTTGCACGCAAAGAAGGCCAAACCCACCAAAAGTAAGAAGAGCAAACCGACAGCCCAGCGACCTCGCTCAGCGCCTTTTTAATCAATGGCCGCACGCCGTCCCCCGCCCAAATCTTGTTTCAACGATCAACGCCGCCGGACGGTTGTCGGGCGGGGGAGGAGCCAGAGCTGCGGAACCACGCCGGGGCTGAGGAAGTGCGTGCCGGGGGTGGATGATCCCAGTGGGAGGAGTGCTGCCGGGCGCTCAAGTCTAGCACTTTTCATCCACGACCTGCGAAAAGGACAAGCTGCTCGTGAGGATACAAGCAAAGTCGGTAAAAGCTAGACGGTCGGCAGGTGATGAAAAGGAAACATTGTTACTGTCCCATCATGAGGCTTAGATAGTACTTATTCGGACTTGTTCATCGGGTTTTTTCTTGAACATGATATTTATGCACTGGAGGAGCTTGCGGGGGAAGTGATTATACTAACTGGTGAGTTAACTTAGGTGAGAGAAAAGATACGCTCTCTGGAAGGTTCCTGGACGACAGTCGACAAAAAATGTCGGCTGAGGGACCAACTAGGGAGAGGGTTGGGGGCAACGGGCCCCGCGAACCCCGTCGTGTGCGGTGCAAAAAATGCACTCACGCGCGACGCCGCCGGTCGATGCAATGGCGCATCTCGGCGAAGGCGAACCACGGTTCGCGCCTCCGCGGAGGCTCGGGTGCGGTCGGGTGAGAGCGTTAATGCTACACCCACGGGGCGGAGTTCACATGCAGAGCGGAGCAGAGCGGAGCGGAGCGGAGCGGGCTGCCGGCGCACGGGCCAAAGCGCTCGTGCGTAGGCCGCGGGAGGGCCAACGCGCCCTCCGGCGGTGCGGTGGGCAGGCGCGTGGCGCCCAGTGGGGGGTGCTGGGGAGCTCGTAAAAATCGAGTTCCGCCGCGCGCGCGGCGCGCCATCCCCTCGCGGGGCAAAAATCGCCGCGAGGGTTTGGCGCTTGTGGCAGCACATTTTCGTAACCTCAAGCTGAAAGCTAGCTTGGGCAGGTCAAAAAACTTTTCTTTTTCCCAAAAATCCAGGGACTTTCTGTGCGCGTATAATCGCAATCTAGAAACTAGTGACTAGTAGTGCCCCCGCACTCTGGTTTTCAGCAAAACAAAAAACAAAATGACCTCCCTGAAAAGCGTCGGAGACCTCGTCATCCACACAGGCAAAAATCCTGTGGGGAGCGAGGACGTCGACGAGAAGGGCAAAGCCCTTCTGAAACTGATCGACGGATCACTGTTTCACCCCTCCATGGCGGAGGCCATGGAGGCGCTGCAAAAGCAGCTGGAGGAGAAGACGCAGTATGAGGATAAACTCATCTTCTGCGCAAACATCCAGGACTGGATTGCAGCACTCCGACAGATGGTCGGTGAACTTCCGGAAACGGAATTCATCGACACGGTCAAAAAAGACCTGGAGGACCCGCGCTTCGTGGGGGAAGGTGGAACCCTAACCGAACAGGGCACCACCTTGATGTGGTTCCACTTGTGGTTGGGCGCATACCACGAGGAACTAACGGCCGAACCCTGGGCCTCGAAGTCTCTGATTAAAAAAGAGACTTTTGAAGCCGGCGCGAAGCTCGCCGAAAAACGAAAGTTTCGGGAGGAAAACCCGCAGCTGAACCTGGCGGAAGTCCCGGCGCAGACCGCCAAAAAGGAGGTGATAGTCCGCTACCTGATCGAGCGCACCAACAAAGAGGTGCTCAACGACTGGGACGCGAAGCCGGCCAAGACGCCGTGGACGTCGGTCCGCAAGGCGCACGAGGAGGAGGACCGAAAGCTCCTCGAAGAAGAGGAGAAGCAGCGCAAGGCGGAGCTCGAAGCCAAAAAGAAAGAGGAGGAGGACTCCGTGGACTTCGCCGACAAAAGCGAAGAGTCCTCCGAGGAGCCGCCGGAGACGGCAGCTCTGTTCAAAACGTTCGCGAAGAAGACCGCAAAGGCCATCGCAACGGCTTTGAACAGCAGCGGAGAGGACAAAATCCTCTCCTATGACGACACGCGCCCGGCTAGCGAAGGAGAAAAATTCTTCGTCTACCGACGCGTAAACGGCGTCGAGAAGAAAACAGAGGTGAAAGTCGTCTGGCCTTCCGTCTTAACTCCGGGCGAGGAAGTCGCAGACGCACAGGAGCAGTATAAAAACTGCTTCTTCACGAACGGAGAAAAAGCCTCTAAGCAGGCGAACCACGTGCTCACCGCGTTATTAAAACACGTGGAAAAGCACGGCCTCCGCTCCGTTTTCGACGTGGACGAAAACAGCGTCCTGAACACGACGGCAGGCCAACGCCTCAACCAAAAGGCGCTGGCGCTGCTCTTCGGAGCATACGCGGCCGCAGGCATCTGGGGCGAAGCCCAGGTGGGAAAAAACCAACCCAAGGTCTCAAACTGCGCCATCGCAGGCTTTAACGGAGACAACCTGCAGCGCACAAACAGCGCGTTCCAGAACCTGGTCCGGAAACAGGTCGTCGCCAGCGTCCCGGCTGACTACTGGGACAGATGCAACCTGGACCAGTGCTGGGAGACGCTGCGCCGCGTGGAAAGCGCCATCAACGGCGCCACCGACCTGCAGCCCTTCGACTTCATGACCGAGTTCAACGAGAACTTCCCAGAAATCGCCATCAAAAAAATGATGGTGTTCTTGGGATTCATGAAGGAAGGCTCCCGCAGCCTCGACGCGCTCCAGCAGAAGATGAAGCGCTGGGAGACCGGGCTGGTGAACAGATACATGTTCAACCTGCTGGCCTGGTACAACCACTTCGGTCTCCACCTCATCGACGAGGCGCGCTACACGGACGAGGAAGACGGGGGAAAAATCAAACCGCCCGTCCAAAAAGCGTTCTTCAAGGAGAACATGGAGGAAATCAAAAATGAAATGTTCTCCATGCGAGACGCCGAGGCGAGCTTAGGCAAGCCGAGAAGCGAACGTGTGACAGTCACACTGCGCTCTCGTAGCCACAGCCGCCGCCGCAGCGAATCGCGAGAGCGATCGGCGAGCGAAGGCCCGCAAAACCCGTTCGGCAGCGACGCCGACAGCGGCGGGGACGACGACACGGGCACAACCATGCCGAGCGACACTTGGTTGGAGAGTTTGGATCTGGAAAAAACAGATTTCAACCCGGCCATGGACCCAGTCCACAACCGCCGCCTCGACAAACGTGTCGACGTGGTGCTAGCCGAGCGCCGAAACGCGAAGGGAGGAACACGCACCACATACTACGTGTACTTCCCTCAAACCGGCTTAGTGGAGCCGTCCGCATTGAAGTCCCTGAAAAATATGGGACTCATGCTTCCGCCGGCGGTATGCCACTGGTTCCACGCGCACAAAGCGCATGCGGTGCAGTCAGGCTGTCGCAACGACGCTCAACACCTGGAATGCACACACCACCACCTCATCGACCGCAACCGTCCTCCCCCAGACATCACTATCGCCAAGAGAACGTGGGCAGAAGTGATCCGCTCGCAAAAAGAGCTGGCCGAAGTCCTCTTCTCGGCCCGGTTGGCAGGGCGAAACATCAACCAGCAGCCAACCGGCACAGCGGCAAAACGAGCGGCAGCGAAGGACAAGGAAGCAATCCGCCACCCGAAAGACTTCGTAAAACCGAAAGTCCAGCCGATGAAGGCGATGAAGGCCAAAAACGGCCGAACACGCCGCCAACCGAAAGGACCCCAGCGAAGCGACGCAAACGCGGTTCCGCTGGGACAACGGCATCGCAACGACAGTCGCGAAAAAGACAATCGTGGCCGCAACAAATCGAAGCGATCGAACGAGCGCAAAAACAGCCGCTCACGCGATCGACGCCGATAAATCGAGAGTGATGGAGGGAAAAATCCTCCTGGGGAGAGACGTGAAGGAGCACGTTGGGAGCAAACGCTCCCTCGCGGTGTGGTGGAAGGAGCCACGCACAAGCTAGAACGCGACTAGCTGGAAGAAAAAGGCTACCGGCCTCGAGGACAACAAATCCTCGAAAAACAGAATGCAAAAGCATTCGCCATAAGCCCTCTGGTCAAATTACCAGGGGCACCGGACCATTATTAAGTTAGTGGCGGAACAATAAATTCGTCCTTTTTGACAGAGTAAAAAACACTCTAGTTGAGAGGGAGGAAACAAATCAAACCACCAGTGACGACTGGTGGCCGAAAGGGAAAACGCGGCGGCGGCGGCGCAGTGTTCGAGGGAGTGACGTGTTACATCTCGTCAAGCTAAAAAGAGGGAAAACAGAGTGGGAAGGAGTTACGAGTAAGTAAAGAAGCTAGGCTGGGGAGACCACTTCATGAGATACGGCAGGAGGCCAAGATCCATGGTGGAGGTTCGCCTAAGCAGCCGCACGAACCAGCCTAGACAAAAAAGTAAGTAAGGACGAGAGAACAAACTAACTAAATAAAAACTAAAAAGAACGTTAGAGGGAACAACAGCGAGAGATAAATAAAAAAGTAACATTAAATAAATGTCGAAGCGGGCGGACGCACTGCGCAAAGCTGTCGATCTAAACGACGACGAGCTGCGCGCCATGGGAGAAGCCGACTCCACGACTAGAAACAAAAAGTCGCGAGTCGCCTTCTTCCTCGACTGGCTAGCGGCCAAGGGTGAAAAGCTACCCGTGAGGCCGGAGGCGGTGCAAAGATTCGCCGCCTTCCTAGTGTTCAATGAATACACCTCAGTCGCGCAGTACACATCCAGCATCATCATGTGGCTGGTAGAACCGCCACCCGCGGATGGCCCGCAGCGGCTAGTCGAAAGCCCCGCCATTCTCCGAAACATCGGGGACGTGGAAAAGGCAATTGAACGAACAATCCAAGACCACAACCCGAGGAAAGCAAAGCCTTTCCTACCGGGTACGAAGCTCGAGGCGCTAAAGGCAAAAGACCAAAAAATGGTCCTCCTTTGGGCGCTATCGGGATTGCGGGGCGACAGCATCGCGGCGGTGGACGACACGGACATCTCCAAAAAAGGAGACGTGTGGCGCATCCACATATCCGAAGACAAAATCCGCAAACAACGCGGTAGGATAATAGAAATCCACTGCAATTGCGACACCAACGCAAAAACAGCTGGTGCACGAAGTCGCTTTTGCCCGATGCACGGCGAAGGCGCTGTTATGAGATCTGATTTCCCATTAGGCAAGGCCAGGATAAGTAGCTTGGCGAAGGGAATTAGCGGCACGCTGCACAGCTGCAGGAGAGGACTCGCATTGGCAACGCGACGCGAGTGGGAGCAAGGGAAAATCTCCGTGAAGGAGGATGAATTCCTCACCCACATGGGCTGGGAACAGTCCAGCAAAATGTGGGACGAGTACACAGCCGACCACAAAACGTGGGAGGCTTCGGAATTCATCCCGCTGCACGGATTGCGCAGGCGGTGGCCCTCGGGGGGGGGTCCACCCCCGCGCGTCTTCGTGCAGCCCAAGGCGGTCCAAGAGGACACCTTGGTCAAGCGGACGATCAAGATCACCCCCAAGCAGAAGCTACAGAAGAAAGGGCGGATTCAACAGAATACCGTTACCAAAAAGGTGACGGCCCTAGCGCCAAAGAGCGCCAGTAGCAGCGGCTCAGGGGCACTCAAAGCAGTACCGGGTACAAAAAACGTACGCACCTGGCGGTTCTGAACCTCCAGTCGTCGGGAAAAGGATGGAAGGCGCACCAAGGAGGCGTCGAGAAAGGATGGCCCAAAGGGCTGGAGGTTCAAAGTGACCTTGTCCCCCAGCGGGGGGACAACGCCTGCTACTGCCGAGGGATTAGCCGCGCACCCGGGCCAAAGCGCCCCGGACCAAAGCGTCCGACGCGAAGAGCGAGCACCCGAAACCTCGCGGGTGCCGGTTGATTGACTCGTAGGGCGACGGTGCACGAACACCGGCCGAGCCGCGAGAGGGGTTACGACACCCGGACGTTGGTGTGCAACTCTCTCTGGGGAGGTAAAGGCCTCCCGCCACGCTCCGTGGCAAATTTATGGGCCGTAGGTGCAACGACCGGCGCCGGCAAAGACCTGGGTCTGCCGAGCCAGCCTACCGTGCTGCCACAGCACTAAAAAGTATAACTCACCAGTAGATTTAGGATCCCCGGGGGTTAAGTCTCCAGTTTGTATATTGTTCACAAAAATGGTGCTTTGATATTTCTAGATACTAAAAGTAAAATTAAAACTCCAAGTACAAGCGGGTGTAGGCTTTTCTCATTTCCTAGCTTTACATAATTTCAATTTTCTATTCATATCAATCTTGTGGCTTGTGCAACAAATAAGGCGCGACGTCGCTCCTCAAAGCCGTTCTAGTACTCATCTCCGGCTCCAGAAGCAGAACAAAGACCAAGATAAGATTTTTCAAGATGAGGAAGTTGCCGACGCCCTTTGATGACGTGTCTACGCCTGCGCCCGCAGCGTTCTCCTTCTTGAAGTACGCTTTCGCTTCTTAACGTGAGAAATAACATCCCGTCGTGAGACGTATCCATAGCCTGATGTGTCGTCGAACACAGTCTCCTGTAACCAGTGCACACTAACACTCGGTCCTTTCGCGATGAGTGTCGCCTGCTTGCGGTTATCTCTATGTTGGCGCGCGCCCCGCGATTGCGCACATGAGAACAGTCGTGTCAGGATTCAACCACGCGGCGTTGTTGCTTCGTCAATTAGAGGTATCGGGAATCCATCCCAGAGATCATCTGGGTCTCTTTTTCCCCTTGTGTTTTTCTTCCAGATGACTTTGGAGATGGATTCCCTACACCCATAAGTCAAGTATTGAAATTGTTTATTTAGGTGTGCAAGTCGCGTCTGAGATTATGTTGGGTTTGAATTCCGCGACGATTACGACGAGCGAAACTGACTTCATGCAGCAGACGAATCCCGCGATGTCTTCAGATGAAATTTTGCGCGTGCTGACGAACACGATGGTTTTGAATTTGATGTACGTCATCCTCTTGTTCCACCTCGTCCTCAGCATCTTCTTGGGATACCAAGATGGTGGCCTGCCGATGTCGTGGAGTAGCCTTATCATGATCTTGATCATGAGTTGTAGTTGTAGTCGTGGGAATAATCTGCAGGAACGATGAAAGGCCACAGCTGCTTATGAGTGCAACGCCCGCGCTTATTTCAGGAGTAGTTCCTGCGCACCCGGACGACAAGCTGGCAAGTGTCAGGCGCCAATCATCAATATCCCAGCACTGGTGACTGCAGCAAACTTGACGACGAACTTGTCGGTAGACGGGATCGTTGCCATATGTCGGACCGCGGTGCGCACTCCACGGATACGTGATGGCATCATGAAATTGACAGCGACTCCTGTACCGCGTTTTGAACCACATCAAACCCATAATGCCACACCTGGAAAGATTCAATGTATTCACATCAACTTCTATGGGTAGTTTTACTAGTTGATTCATCTCGTTGATCACGGTCGAGCTCGAGTCGACCACGGTCGGGCTCGAGTCGACCACAGTCGAGCTCGAGTCGACGACGTACAATCATAAAGATTTAGTAAAGTGGAAGTCTGGCGGTAGCGGAAGGAGTGGTGGAGTATTATCTTCAATGTTGACTTTTCAAACAGGACGAGGACGAGGTTTGACGAAAATAGAAGTCCTCTAGCAAAAATGCAAAACAGTGTTCTTCTTTAAGAATGGTGATGACCGTATTCTGAATTTGTAAGAACACAATAATTGAATTATGAACAAGAACAAAAGGAAATCGAGTACCATCCCTCGCACTTCTCCACCTCCGTACCGAACTTGTTCAGCGTGCATTTGACATACTCGCCGCCGCCAGAGCAAAGAACCTTCTTGGCACCTCGCATGATAGCCGCATACAGTCTTGGAACCTTCAATGCGACGGCGAGTCCATACCCGAGGAAGCTGGTGGAGTGCAAGGTTGTTCCCAAAGGGGTGGCTCCCAACTCCGTTCGTCTTGTCCCGCTTCTCCGGTAGTGCAGTCTGGGACTTCTGCTCGAAGGTACACCAGCAGTAGCGTATTCGCCGTTAGTTGTATACCCGTCGTTTGAAACTGAAGGGCTATAAATGTTAGAGGAGGTGCTAAGAACCTCGTTGCCATAGGTCCCGAGCTCAACATCGCGACGACCGCGTCCGTGGACAAAGGAGTTTGCCACGACACTGTCAACGTGATCGAGTCTCATTTTTTTACTGACAGTGAGCTTGTCGACCTCTCGTACGCGTGAGCATGAATAAGATTAAATGTTGATACTTATTCCTCTACTTCATCATCTTCATCTACTGATGATTATGATTCTTGACGATACATGCAAGAATGAATCATCCGCGCAAGCCTGCTTGTTGATGTACTAGGTGGGTGTACGTGTATTTCGACATCAGAATGATGAGGAAACAATATAGCTTGAAGATTTTATACTTACATTGATTAGACTACGCGATGGAAGCAAATCGGAGGAAGGTGATTACCTGTTAAGTACTTATGTAAATCCCTTCTGTGACATCATAAGTACACTAGTGAAGTATTTCTTCTGTCATCTTCAAATTTGGTCTGTCCTCCAAACAAATGTTGCATTGTCTTTGTTTTTTACGATCTTCGCCTTGCTAAAATTTTCGATTGACGAGAGAATGGTCAGTGTACTAGGGAAGAGCGCGGTCTTGATGAGATTGAGTCAACACGGCTCGGTCGTTGAGTTCTCTCTCGTTCTAAATTATGGGACTTGATATTAAGTGGCAACAAATCTAACCGTGCTCAAGTCTACTGCCCTGAATACGACTTGCAGCAACAGATCGCAGTGCCACCGACATCTATTTAGCTTGAGATGCACCTTCAACCTCAGAGGCAATCAAAACCAAGAACCGACGGAGAACGAAGGACCGACAGAAAAAGAGACCGAGAAAGCAGTCAGGAGAGGCAACCAAGACAGATTTAAAGAGGCAAGCGAGACAGATGAAGATGGGCGAACACACGTTGGCAGCAGAAACAATCCAGGCCCACTAAATAAAATCAAAAGGACGGAGCAGCCGTGCCCGTGGTTCATGGAAGACCTGTAAATAATGAGTATTCATTGTAAGTAGCTTCATTAGTACAGCATCTTCAATTACTATTCAGTTTACTGGACAAAAACAAATGAAAAGGCTTGACAAAAAGAGGATTGGAAAGTCGAGATGCAGCTTTATTTTCCAGTGAGCACAAAGAAAAAAATGAAGTCGAAGTCGATATTCTTCATCAATAAGTGCTTGAAGATGTGCTTTGTTAGTTCATTATAAGTATTTTCGTCATCAAGAACTGCAACTACTGCGCTGCCCGTGATGTTGAATCGTGTGAAGGAGAATCGCGAGTCGTGGGTTCTTCGCCTTCCTCCACGGGCACATGGTTGTTCTTGTTGGGGGCACCTGCGGTATCTGTTGCGTCAGCTTGTCCCTCTCCTCTCCGTCTCCTCCCTCTGGGGCTCCCGGCAGACCCGAAAGACATTGGCTGGGCGACAGACGGCCTACCCTCAATTGTGCTATTCTTTTTTGCAGAAATATTTCTGCTTGGTCTACTGGTACTGGATGAGGCGGAGGGTCTAGAGGACCTCCTGGGTCTGGACTGTTTGCGTCCGTCTGGCTTTTTGGCGTTTTTCTTCGAGGTGTCTCCTGGCGGGGTCGCGGCGACTGTCGACACCGGGTCTAGCGGCAAAGCGCCTGCAGGCGGGACGAGAGTGTTGAGTGGTGGCGCCGCCAGTGGCGGCAAGACCGGGGGAACGTTCAGTGGCACGGGCTGCTGTTGCGGAAAGATTAGTGGCGCACCAAGCTGTGGGGGAACTGACGACGCGGCTCCTGCATTTTTTGTGGTGGTGTTGAAGAGAGTACGAGAAGGCATGACCTTCTTCTTGTTCACGATTTTTAGTGCTACAACTATGGACAATAGAGGTCAACATTTTCAGCACCGAAAGAGAAACTCAAAGGAGAGAAACACCCGGTTATATCACAGTCTCATCAAGACCTGGCCTGAACCTCCACCAATCTCGATCAACTTTAGCTCTCTGTCGACTTATAATCGTAATAGACCAACCATAGGCTGAGCGATACCATGTTGGCCCAGCGTCCCGGAAGCCCGTTCCGAACCCGATGTTCTGTCCAAAACTTGGCCTGACGCTGACGCTCGACCGGGAGACCCGCCCATTCCCAAACTTGGCCTGGTTACCGCGGCTTGTTGGCCTCGACAACGAAACAAGCAAATGACGCCTACGATCAAGAGGACGAGCACGCCAACGCCAGCCACGGCGACGTACAGCCACTTCGTCGAATCGGCTACCTCATCTGCAGGTTTGGCTCCTCCTGATGTAGATGTTGAAGTCTCTAGTTCTACTTGATCCTGGACTTTCTGTGTGTTCAAAGCCTCAGCTTCGTCCACATATGACTCGGCAGGAAATCCTACCTTGATACCCCGCGCGAAAAAGTCTTCCACTTCTTCAGGGCTCAGTGAAACTCTTCGCGTCTCCAAAAAGCTTTGTTCCTGTTCATCGTACTCCTTCTCACGATCCTCTTGCTCCTCGAAGGACTTGCTTCGTCCAGGAGCATCGTTGTAGTTGGCCCCACCGTCGCTGACGACATCATTAGTGAAGTTGTCCTTGTTCTTGGCGACATCGCTGCTGGTACCTGACTCGGTGGATGAATCGGTGGTCGCCTCATCGTGAATAGGGATCACAAAATCCTCAAGCGCTAGCACAACGGCTAGTGGGGAGTAGAGCGGCAACGGCACTGGACAGCGAAGTCCGATGATCTTGAACGCAGCATTTGCTTTCCAGTTCAGCCACGACATGGTCGTGGTACTTCATACACCATATATTTCAAGCCTCTAAAGTAGATGGCCTGGCACTTTCGCGACGATCGCAACAGCAAGAGGAGAAGTGTGAGATGAAAAGAGGGCGTAGCTTATGAAACATATATAAATGTATATGCTTCAGGGGTGGAGGCTCCCCCCCGTGTGGATAGAGCGGCGGCGGCGTCCGCGCGCCCTTTTTTCCGCGGTGGTGACATGTAAAGATCCCCAGAGGCCAAGGCCTCAAAAGGGGGGGGGCCGGAGGCTCCTGGCGGCTCTCCGCGTGTACCCGAGAGGCGTCTCGACTCACTCTTTGACCTTATCAGGGGGACGGCCTCCGGGGGAGGAAGGCCGCCGAAGGCGGCCACGGTCGCGAGGCCTGGCCAAATCCCTGGCACATAAACATATATATAAATATAGTTAGATATATAAGGCCGATCCAAAAACAAAATGGCTAGGCTGTAACGATGAGCAGAGTAAAAAGAGGCGAGACAAGCCCTTATCGAATATTATCAGAAATAATAGTACTGTGGTATCATTATGTATCGTTATAGAAATATACGAGAGTGCTGTCCATCACGCAAAATCTCTTGACTTGTAAAGCTTTGCCTTGGTTATGATTATATTTATAATTTTGACTTTTGACTTAGAGCTTAGGTTTTGAATTTTGATCTTGAGTCTTGAGTTTTGAACTTTGGTTTTGAGTTTTGTTTTTGATTTTAAACTTGAATTTTGAAGACCAAGACACGCGGAGACAACACCGCAAAAACGCGCAGCGTTTTGCTATTCTCATGAATTTTGAAAGTTGTTAAGGCATGAACTACTACGAAAGTTACTTAGCGCATGAATTCGAATGGTGAAAGTAACGGCGTGAATTTTGAAAGTTAGGACATGAATTGCGAAAGCTACGACATGAATCGCGAAAGCTAGGGCATGGCCATGAGTTTTAAAGTTGAAAGTTAAGAGTAAGGCATGAACTGTGAAAGCGAAGGCGTGAACTTTGAAAGTTAAGAGTACGACATGAACCACGAAGATGTAGTTAGCGCATGAATTTTGAAAGTTAGATAGCGCATGAATTTTTACGGACTGAATTTTGAAAGTTAGCGGGTGAGCCTTGAAAGTTACGACGTGCCTGAATTGTGAAAGTTTAAACGTGAACTTTGAAAGTTAAGACGTGAATTACGAAGAAAGTTACTTGGGGCATCCGCGAACTTTGAAAGTTAGGATGTGAATTGTGAAAGTTAAGAAATGAGCAGAACTGTGAAAGTTAAGGCGTGAGCTTTGAAAGTCAGGGCATGAATTTTGAAAGCTATGCCAAGGCGTCCGTGAATTTTGAAATTTAAGGAGTGGGTTTTGAATGTTACCGCGTCCAAGTGCTTTTGATGGTGGCCCGCTCTCCTCTCCCCCCAGCCCTGGGCCTGTGCAGTTAAGCCGTGGGCTTTGAAACTTAAGGCGTCCGCTGGCCGCTTTGGCGCCGCGCTCTCCTCTCACCCAAGCCCGTGGCCCCGCTCGCGCTGCCCGATGGCGCGAGACGGCGGCCTTCTTGCGTGCAGTCGCGTCACTTGCTTGCAGCGCCGCGTTCCACGGGCAACGCCCTACAGCACTGAACCCCCGCGGGCTGGCGTTGCCTCTGAATGCCTCAGACCCCAGCGAGCAAATTGACTCCCAAGGCGTGGCATGTGCCTGCTTATGCCTTCCGCTTGAAGATAAGCTCGCAGGCACTTCCACCCCTGCCAGGCGTCCGCATATCCTCCGGAGGCAAGCGGCGCGCACTCATAAGGCTCGCCGCCCCGCGGCAACGCGCCCGAAGTCGCCTTGCCAAGGCTGACACTTCTCAGGCTATTTCTCAATTGTGGCGCCTGTTCAAGCATGTCCGTGCGTGTGTTTTGTCTGGCCTGTGCCTCTGGTCCCCATCGTTGTATCCTTCCCCTGGGGAACCACACCAGGGGGCTAGTGCTTCCACCGAACTTGTTTTCGTTTTGTCTCATTGCATCATTGCGCCGCTTCATGTTCTTACTGAAAGTCGAAAGGGGTCATCACCAGACACTTCTAGCTATAGGTAGAATCATGAAGGTGTACTAGATCTAGAGCAGGAGGTGGGAATCGGATGAGTTATGTTCGTTGTAAGAATTTAAGGAATTAACTCGTCTCACACACATGATTCCATTCAAATTTCAAATTCAATCAGAAAGGAAACAGAAACAGTCTCAAGCTCAATCGACGTAAGAAAGTAAGCATCTTGGTCGTGCCCCAAATTATTGTTCGAGGGCTGCCTGACACTGAGACAAACGAGTCTTTCTACCAAGTCTTTTTTCATACAACCGATTCATTGACTTTTTAAGTACCTCTCGCGCATGCTACATGGGAGCAGCGACCCTCCGATATCCCTTGGTTGGGCATGGTATAATCAACCTTCCAATATTCTTTTTCTCCCCGCACCCTTGTGTTCTGCAAGTTGTACAACAAGAACCGAATGCAGCACCGATGACACAAACTTTTGAACAGCGCTTGCTTGGATTCGTTAGCTGTGCCTCTTATTCTATTTCCCTTTTGAGTTTTGAACTCATTGGATATCCTGTTAGTTAATAATGAGCAGGTCCGATCAGAATCGACTAACACCATCATTCATAATGAGTATAGTCGTGAAGAAACTGACTACATCGCGGCAGCAGCAAGAAAATTCTTGGAATAATGATTGAAACCGAAGAAGAACAGCATGATCCGTACACTTTCGCGGTAAGTCAGAGCCTGATTCTTGGCATACTCATTCTTGGTAGGAGCCTCAGGACTACGAAGTGATCAGGTCTTTATCTTAAAATGAATGAAATGAAGTACAGCAATTACTAATCTTCCTGTTCTTGAAGTAGGTATGGTAGAAGATCTCATGATTATTTGGCCGCGGGATCAGACCTTAAAAAATAATATGGGGCCGTCATGGTCATGAGCTTCGTTCGAGCTGTTGTATGTCTCTATATTCCGCAGGACATATGGCGCGGCAAGCTAGAGATTGGAAACACAAGTCCGACGTATGCAACATGAACATGATTATGCGTCTGAATGTACTAGTTTACTAGTAACAGTTGTATGGTGCATTTCGAAACGTATATATAAATATGTAGTAGAGTAAATTTCGTCGCCCACCTTATGGACGAGGAGAGTATTTATGGGCGGCCCGAGGGATGGTGCACAGGTCATCCCGTCGTGGGGCGTCACACAGCTGGTTCGCAAAGAGGCATTGCCGAAACCATATATAACCATTCTCTTCTCCAGTGCTCAAAAGTGCTCCCGGCAAAGCTATCCAGGTGCGCCTCCAGAAACAACTGTTCGTCTCAAGAAGGATCAGTATTTAGATTCATCGATGGATTCTTCAAGCATCCATTCTCGCCGCTGTGTGTAGATTTCCTTTGTCGTTTTGCTATCATTTTCTCTTGTTTCTCGACGCTTTCGCACCCAGTCTTGGACTTTTTGCGTGTAGCTTTCGAACCAAAAAACGTAACCAAGCTTGCCGTCTAGTTGGGGCACAGCGCGACTACACAGGGTTTCCTCGTAGATGTCAGCATTAGCATTCAGCTCATCCTTGAGACTGTCACGAAGCTCGCAGATATGTTTCTCAGAATCACGGAGCAGAGGCTCCATAAACGCATCATCTCGTATTTTCCCGGACGAAACCAGGTCAAACGCTAAGCCCTGTGCAAGCATCTGCGCGTATCCCGCGATTTGCCTCGACTCCTCGAAAATTCTATGAGCGTTCTTCGCGTCATCGCTGCCGATTACTTTGCTGCGAAATGGTGAATTTTTTAGATTTACTGCGATGTGGACGAGCAAAGTCAAAAAGACATGAAAGTTGTTTGTTCGTTTCTTCACGTTCACCTGCTGTCCTCTTTAACATCTTCATACTTTATTACTCTTATGGCAGAGCAATTTATAATATAAGGCTCCACAGCTCGCATGGCATGGAGTGCATGGATCACATGGAGTAGCATGGAGCTAAAGGGGGAGCTTCTTGCGCCCCTTAAAGCTCTGCGCTCCATGCACTCCATGCTACTCCATGCGTGCTATAAACTACTCTGTTATTGAAATCGTAATCATTTATGGCTTTTCGTAGATGTAGTAGTAGTTGTAGATCATGTAAAGATGCTTCTTCAAAGTCTTCTTCGCTATATCTCTGTTTAGTCGAGGATCTACTATAGCCCCAGCCTGTACCTTTTCTGCAAGGCCTTCTTCTCAAACTCGAGCTGTTCCCAGTGCAGCTTTTGCCTTTCCCAGCGAGCTAAAACTAAATCCGCCTCCCCGGGTGGAATATTTTGAAGAGAGCCTGAGTCTGAGAGTAAGACGGACCCAATATTTTGCAGACGGGTGCTGGTCAATTGGCTCTCTGACTCAGATGAAAGGGGGGCCTTCGTGCTGGAGTGGCATTGGTCTTGAGCACGTTGCGGAGGCGGAAGTCGTGCCTTTATATCAGAAGGCGCACTTTCGTTAGCCTGAGTCGGGTTCTTCGTGATGTCGCCACGGCTTTTCAACGAGTCACAACATGTTGACACTTTTTCTTTAATGCGGATAGCAGGTGAGCAAGAAGACTCGCCGCTGCTTCTGCTATTGATGTCCTGACTCGCTTCTGTGGCAACTAGCAAGGCAGCAGTTCTTCCAGTACAGTCACGATGTGGATCGTTGTCCTTGTCACTGGCTGCAGTGGGAGAACGCTCCTGCAAAGGTGCAGCTGTGCGCTGTAATCCTTCGAGCCAGGCTTCGAGTTCTTCAAGGTTTTTCTCCACTTGCTTTTCATGGCCTCGAATCCGCAACGTCTCGTCTTGCAACCGTCCCTCCCAGTCGTTCGTAAAGATCCACTCAAATGCACCAAGCAAAGACTCGAAGGCGTTCGCGTAAGCTTTGTGCGCCCCGGTGCTACCACGAGCTAAATTATGAAGCATGCATCTACACCAAAATCAAAAAAAATACTGCAGCAAGTAGAAGTAGATAGAAATAGAAGAACAAGATAGATACCCTTTGGTTGCGTCGGCGACAACATTTATCTTTTCTTGCTCCATTTTGTTCAATTTTTTACGTAGATTTAGATTGATTGCTTTTTCAAAAAGATTAATCAAAAAAGAACAAGCATCAAGCAAGCCAGTCTTAGCCTTAATAGGTGAACAGGTAGAAGCGCTCACGCGCTATTTCAATTTATCTACAAAAAAATGAAAGAAGCCCATAATTTCGCGTGGCAAATCCGAAAGGAATGCGCATTCCTGCACCAGCGTCGGCACAGTTGCCATAAAGACACTGCTCAAATTGAGACCGGTAGGGACTGGCGCTGCTCGTGCGGGACTGGGAAGCTGCATCCGCTAGAAGATCAGCGCCACGGGGCGAAAGTGCCTCGCCGGTTTTTGGAAAGAGCTCCATACCCACGAAGTGCTGGACTACGTTCCGGCCGCACTTCTCCACCAAGCTTGCCAACTCACCGAAGACTTTATCAGCCCACTGCGATGTGCTGGATTTTGCTGGAAGACTTAACGGGCGAAGGCGGTCAAAGAGGTCGCTCTGGTCGTCATCTCTTGCCACGCCGCACGCCACGCCCTTGCAGTGACCTCGACTAGCTTGGTCGAAGAAGGCACACGCCGCCAGCTGTCGGGCTGGACTGCGCCTGTCGCGCTCAGCTAACTTCCACACAAACTCCAGGAACGGAATCACCTGAAAACGAAGATGGCAGATCACACCCGAGCCCCCGCCTATTGATGACGCGAAGCAGTCGGAGAGAGTGCCGCCCCCCAACCTTCGAAAATGCGACAAAGCAATCTCATCACAAAAAAGAAACGGCGTGGAGCCGTCCGGGTTCGGTCGTCTTTTTCTTTCATCTTTTCCACCTTTACAACGAAATGGTGGAACTAATGCTCGGCCCATCCACGTGCAAGAGCGAGACGAGCCAGGCAGCCGCTCAGCCTCATGCGTTTTCGGATCAAGTTGTCTAGGCACATCCGTGACGCGACAGTTTCCGAGTGTCGTCCCGATTCTTTCGCGAGCAACTCGACCTCCACCAGGAAAACCAATCGCCAGAGTCAGTTTAGGCTCGGCTGCTCCGTCATTCCAGGAATGAGAATATAATAGACAGCGCTCGCGAACAAGTACCAGCTCCACAGATGCTGGCAATGCTCTCTCGCACGTCCTCTTGCCGCGGCGCTTTCGTTCTTTCCAGTCGCGCTCGAAGTACTTCATTGCCTCCCCCAGAGTCATTGTTCTCCCCATCAATGTCCTCTGAATACCTTCTGTGCCAAGAGCCATCGGCAACGGCTCAGCCGTGCTGTCGTAGTCAGGGCCGTGCCCCTGTTGCGTCTGCTGCTGCTGTCGTTTTGCCTTTTGTGCTTTGTGGAAGCGACGCGCGATGCGCCCGAATCGTTCGAGCACGGTGCGCTCCTCGAAGATGTTCGCATCTAGTTCGCTCAAAATTGCTTAGAGCAGTTGCAAGATCGACGAAGTAGCTAAAAAAATCATATGACGAGAGACGCTAATGCTAATCCTGATCGAGCGACGAGCCAAGTGGCGTCTCTAATACTAAGTTGGTGCTGTGCCTCTAATCTAGGGCGCTGACGCGGTCGCATCGTGTGATCGTCATACCCTCAGCTAGTTCTACTGTACAAGGAATCGAAGACTAACATGATGACCATGCACTACCGTTCTTGCCGTAGCCGTTCTTATTAGAATCATAAGTCTATGACGAAGAGCCGGAGCTTGCTGGAAGTAATTCCTTCTAAAAAGTGGCACACTGTTGGCGGCCGTAGTCACGATAAAAATTGTTGTATATTATTATTAGTCATGGAAAATAAGCATAAAAAACAAAGTTTGTGCGTTCATAGAAAAAACATAGCAAAAAGACAGACAAGCATTAAAAGTTTATAACTAGTACGCGTCACTCTATAGCTAATAAGTGCTCGATTTGAGCTAGTAACTGTTGAACTTTAACAAATAACTGTTTAATTTTAACTAGAAAGTGTCACTTTATAGCTAGAAAGTGTTTAATTTTAACTAGACAGCGGCACTTTATAACTAGAAAGTTTTCATCAACTATAACTAACATTTTTAAATAAGTGTGTAACTGTCGGCCTAATACTAGTAAGAAGTTGCGCTTAATCATAACTAGGAAGACTAAGCGTCGACCTATAGCTAGTAAGTGTCGGAATATAGCTAGTCCTAAGTGTTGAAATGTAACTAGTAAGCGTCGAACTATAGCTCCTAGCTGTCGAGTTATAGCTAGTAAGTGTCGAACTATAGCTAGTAAGTGTCTAGCTCTAGCTAGTAGATGCCTTATGGTCCTAACTAGTAAGCGTCGGACTGTAGCCAATAAGTGTCGAACTATAGCGAGCACGTGTATAATTCTAACTAGTAAGCGCCTAACTCTAACTAGTAAGCGTCGAACTATAGCTAGCCAGTGGCTAACTTTAGCTAGAAAGTGTCGAATTTTAACTAGTAAGTGTATAATTTTAACTAATAAGTGTCGACTTTTATCTAGTTGGTAGCTGTCGAGCCATAGCTAGTAAGTGTCTAACTTTGACTAGAAAGTGTTTAATTTTAGCTAGAAAGTGTGTAATTTTAACTAATAAGTGTCAGGATTTTACTAATAACTGTCGACCTATAGCTAGAAAGTGTCCCCTTTTAACTCGAAAACATCTAAGGAGTGTTTAACTTTAACTAGAGAGGCCCTGCTTGGTGGGGGCAAGGAGGTAAAAGCAGGGAGGTGCGGGTAGGGCGGTGGGGGTAGAGCGGTGGGGGTAGGAAGATAGGGGTAGAGAGGTGGGGGTAGAAAGATGGGGGCAAGGAGGTGAGGGCAGGGAGGTGGGAGAAAGGAAGGGAAGGCAAGGAGGCGGAAGCAAGGAGATCAGATGGAAGCAGGGAGATGGAGGTTAGGAAATGGGGGCAGGGAGGTGAAGGCAGGGAGGTGGAGGTGAGGAAGGTGAAGGAGAGCAAAGACTTGGAGACAGCGAGGCGGAACAAAAGGGGCAACAGCCAAGGCAAACGTGAGGGGCTAAAGCATGGCAAAGAAGCGCCAAGGCTTTCCCGATATCTAGTTGTAACTAGCTACGTTGTGTCTTGTCGAAAATCCAACGAGAATGACACACCTGGGCGGAAGCGACGGCAACGAGTACATACCCTAAAGCTTAACTACCCGGCTCCTTTGGTTTCCCGGATTGGGTGCGCTGCGATGGGGCATAACCGCCACACGGTCCAGCAATACTAGCGTCCCGTCGACACTGTCACACGTCGGATTCGATAGCAGTTGCGGTTGTTTCGGTTCTTCGCCGAAAGTGACGTGCTGCCTCTTCCATAATTTATCATCGAGCGAATACGTTAGAGGTAAAAATTAGGTGAAGTTGACCATCCATCGTCTTCGGCTAAGTACATCCTTGCTGGTAAGGACGAGTCCTTTTAGGAATGAGAATCGCCTGAGGCGATTATCAACACCCATAGTGCTCGACATGAAGTCCGCTTTTAAGAAGCTGATGGTTGGCCGATCGATGGTGAAAGACTAACAAGCATCCATAAAGTGTAGGGCTCGCGCTCCATTCGTGAAATAAGAGGCAACTTGCGGGCGCCAGTCGTCGGATCGAACTTGATCAGCCGCATGGTGTCCGGCACGGACGCCTCGACGATGTCAAGAATTCCCAACGCCCGAAAAATTTCCCAAGACAACTCACTGGGATCAATGAAGCTACTCACAGCTACAACGTCATGATAGATTCATCATTGAGCATGACTGTGCTAAATCATTGATAAGACGGACAGGAAGCATTCGTAAGCGAATAGGAATACGGAACACACGGCGAAGCAGGGCCGTTGTTGTAATCTAAAATAAAACTAAAACTAAAAGACTCCGCGATAATAAATCATTTAGATATACTTCATACTGATTCTATTTTAGTACTCCCTTAGTAAATTGTCCTTGATATTGATCGTTATTGCTGTTGTTTTTACTGCCAGAAGGAAGAAGTAGAAATTTAGATGAAGTCTTCGAATCAAACGCAATAAAAGAGTGTGGGTCTAGCTTCGTCAGTCTCTCGTAAATATTGCGTCCCCCGCCGTTTCGCTGATCTTATTCCGGTTCGCTCTTGGGGCGTTGGTGCCTGCTTCGTGATTCCATTCGGGAGGCAGCAGGTGCATCATGTTCAACTCATGAACTGCGTCGACAATGGCCGCAACTATGTTCCGACGCATTGCTGTCGATAATGCGCACGGCATAGCGCGTCCTCCTTGGAAAGAAGGGCTCCCACAACCACTCGCGTCGTTTTTTGAGCTCGTAGTGCATGAGTGGAAACCGAATGCATTCGGGAGCGGCACACCAGCAACATCATCGTCGGCAGAGTGCATTGTTCGTCCTGAAAGAAAAGGCACCCGCGTAGCCTCAGTCCATGAAAGTATCCACCAGCAAAAGCTTCATGTTGATATTTTGTATACAGCATATGAGTTTCTTGAGTAGTCCTATCATGAACGCATGCAGAACATGTTGAATGAGAATGATGTAGATTCGTTGTAGGAATCTGGAGTGCCAGTGCTTTTCAAACACATGAACAAGAACATGCGTCCTTCCAGGTAAAGTTGAGAGTCGAAGTCTTTGGCCTTTTTCCTTTCTCCGAAGGGTTGTGAAATGGTTCTGTTATTCCAAAAATATTTTGCTTTATTACTATTAGTCGTTCTTCTGGCACTCCGTATTTCCTGCTTTCCAGGTAGTAATAGATGCCCTTATCCAGCAAAAGTTTTACGCTTTCTTTGTTGGACTTTGACGAAAAGATGGTGCCCAAACAATCCCATTTCGTGTTGGGCGTTACAATCAAAAAGAAAATAAATCGAAGACATATTTAAGCGTAATTTGATCGTGAAATTGAGTAATTTCCGCAAAAATCACAAAGAAATCTAGAGCGTTTTCGTTGAAGACGCGCGTGTCCGTCATGCACTAAGCGACAGACTCCAGAGTGCGAGAGGTCTTCTGGTGTAGATAGTCTTTCAGTAATACATGAGAGCACAGATGGCAGTTCCTCAATGAGTAGTGTTAGACGTTCACCATGCTGCTCAATGCAACGGTGGATCTTCCAATACCGATCACGCATCTTCATGATCTTGTCCGATACACGAGGACATGTGCTTGTTGCTCCAAGAAAACGGTAAACCAGCAGACACGCCGAGGAAAACTAGCATCGCCGTCACCAGTCCATGTCAACATTTCTTATCGTCGTAAGTGATCAACATATTGTCACTTATCCTTTGACGAAACCGCGCCCGAAGAAAACTACCTTTCGCCCTACCATTTCGTTGTAGCCACAACGGTCAAACAAACCTCCAGGTGATCCATTCTTCATTTCTTTCAAACAATAGGAAAGCGTCATGGGGGGCCTGGGTTTCCTTCCCTATAACTGCTGATCTCAGTAGAGGACAAAAAGATCTTGTTCATGACTAGGACGAACAGCGGGATACACACGATACAGGGAAACAATAACTGCGCCCTTCTTGACGATGAGGATGCCACCAGCATCTTTACACCGTTTTATCGGCACATGCACAGCAAGCTGCTCGAGCGCGTGCTTCTGTTTGATGTAGTTGGTATTTCACCCGATGTATAATTGTCTTTATCCCAGGAATGAGACGCTGCTCTTACTCTTAAGAAATATGGCCATCAGGCAGAGATGATTAGTTGCATAATCGGTTAGTATGCGCCGGAAAAGTGTACAGACGAATTTTTCCTATATCTTGAAAATAATCTCCTGTGATGTTTTTTTGTTCGCTAACCTGTTGCACCGGAATCGCAGAAAGATTCTTAACTAAAAAGGCTAGTAGTAGTATCTCCCATCATCAAAATGAAAACTACAAGGAATTTCTACTACTTATAATAATCTCGTTAACCTTAGAGAGTCAAAAGTCTGATCTTAGAAGAGACGAAAAAAATCCTTATTACAGGACAGAGAGACGGGTTGCAGCTGGATGACATTTTTTGTTTTGTTGGTGTGTTAAAGTCCCTAAGCTGAATAAGTACATTTTGACCTGCTTCGTCATTGAAAAAAATGATGACGTAAAAAATTGATGTTTTTAATCCGTGACTTGAGTTCTACTGATTAAGGACTTAAGAGTAATGCTAATGATAACAGATGGATGGATGGGAGAGATGTTGTTTGATGTCAGTAAACTCTGAGTAACTTACAACTCAATATCTTTTTTTAGAATTTAGATCTTGATGACCTATTTTTTCATAATTGACCTAACAGAAACAATTATCACGTGTCTTAGTACACTTAACATAATCATAAGATCTTCACAGGTGTAATAAGTATAACTAGAGAATAGTCCCAATTCAAGAAAGACTTCCGCTACGACATAAAGCATATTTTTCGAAACCACCTTCTAGTACTGCTCCCATTGACTGCTTGTATATAAGATGAAGACCAAGGCACACCGTACGTGTCGCGTCTCCATCTATTAAAAAATACAAGATATAACGTCTCTTGCTCCTACTCCTTTATTACTTTCTGTATTTCGACACTAAAATTATTTGTGGTTTTTGTACGGTACGTAGCAGATTTTGTTGTAACATCCTTCAAATTAATCATCAAGTTCATGTTGTAGTTAGAAAAGACTGACGCGCGTACGCCGTAAGATTATCTAGTGGTCTGCTCCAACATGGTCGATACTCTCGAGCTGCATTTGAAGCTCCTCGATGGCTCTATCAATGTCTTGTAGGCAATTGGTTTCTTGCTTCTCAAGCTGGCGCAGATCTTCAAAAGAAAAGTCCATTTCCTCTTCATCTTCTGTTCCCTCTTCAAGATCAAAGACACATCCTGCCGACTCTCGGTCATCTTCCCCTGAACAATAGTTGTAGCTTTCGTTGATTGTTGTACCTCGTCGTGGATGTCGTACTTTTTCTCCTCGGTTTCTACTGTCTGATGACGAGTAGTGCGTAGCTTCTAGATCCTGTCTCTGCCTTCGAATGTAGTCTGCGCGTAGTGGAGACACAAAGTCTTCGTCGCCTATCGGAATAATGGGCGTAGTTGCAGGGTCAACTGCTTGTTTGTGACCGTGTTGCTTTTTGTTGACCCTTTTAGTATTGGAACCGGTAGTACTAGTACTACTCCTTCTTGCATTTTTAGTTGTTGATGCTGTAGTACTCAAAGCAGGATTCCTCGTTCTGGTCGGGTCTACAGTATCGTGAGGTCCTCGTCGATTTGCGTCGCGGTTCAGTCTTGCGTTCTTCCTAGCCGTGTTGACTTCTTCGTCCGAAGAGGCGCCAGTCGTTTGGCTCCCTTCCGCTTCACTATGCGATGTGTAGTAATCCCAAACAACACGACGGATATTAGAGCCCTCGACTAGATAGTCCTCATGATGCCTTAGAAGTAGCACCACTTGCAAAATACGATAGGAATATAGGCGACAACATGTAAGAGCTTTTTTAGAATGAATCGTCGCAGAAGAAGTAAAGCTGTAGTTGCTGTACCTCCTGAGGGTGACGCGCTTGGTCTGTGCTGGTAATAATCATGAGTCATCAATGTAAGACGTAAGTGAAGATGCGCCCATTCCTCTGTTTTTTCGTTCACCGCTTTTCCTCTGCGGGCCCAAGCGGATGCGAGTGGCGATTTCGTCGTCCAAATCATCCTCACTCGGCAGCACATTTCGGCTCAGAAGGAGCTCGTGCGTTTCGTCCACAATCTTTTCCATTTCTCGAAGCGACATTTTGCTCTGCAGATTTCTACCAGTACCATGTTCATGGTCATGATCACCAATGCCATCGGAATGAGATGAACGCATGAGCGTTGCTGGAGGGCTACAGCTTGCTGCAGTGCGGGCTGAGGGAACGTGCGCCGAAGGATCGGTCACCGTCAGAGGCGAAGCGGCTGCTGCTACATGGCCGCCAGCGTTATAATGTTGGCTGTTGACAACTTTCGTCTGCTGACGCGCTGACACGCATTAGAGAGGACCACGAACCACATCAAGATGCAGTTTCTCGTATGGACCACTTGTTCTTGTTCTTCTAGAGATTCAGCGTCGTGTTTGTGTTTCGAGTACTTATTTATCATAATGCACTAATGCACATGCAGGATGCAGCTTTTTGTATGCACCACTTCGATGAACGACCATTAAGTATAATCAATGTTGTCAATGTTACAATAACCAGTGACATTCATAGAAGTCGGGATTGGCGGAATGGTGCAAATCTGTTGTAGTTTCGGTCACTGCAGCACCCGTTGATGTGAGCGTCAAACCAAGAGAATTCAAATTGTTGACACCGCCTACGCCTTTGGAGCTTTGCCTCGTGTGCGGCTGGGGTCGTCCATGTTCGTAATTCCTCTCCAACACAGCTGACGCGTCTTCCTGCGATCGCTGTCCACGATCCATGCCCAAAGCCGCAGGCTTGAGTAAGTATCGCCGCCCATTTTCCAGAAGTCGCTGCTTATCGGCTTTCAGCTCTTCAGTGATAAGTTTGGTCGTGTTGGTCTTGTTCATCATGTTTTTAGTGCAGTCTCCATGCCCTTGTTCTTGGTTGCAACTGCTCCCTCCAGTTCCAATAGCCGAGCCCCGAGACACAATTCGAAGCTTTCCCCCAGCTTGCCGCGTGCTCTGTTCCATTGCAGAGTTCACCTGTTGTATAATTCACTTCTTTAAGATGTGAAAGCCAGGAGATCCGAATGTTGATGATTATAATTCTCAGTTGATAAGATCCATATCAGTATCACCATGTTCCGTCGCAAAGAAATCCGGCGGGATCGTACGCGTCGCCCGGAGCGCATCAAAACAAACAAACAATATCACCATGTTCATCTTGCTGCTTATTTCACGACCATTATTCCGATTGCAAGACGTTAGTTTTAGTATCCATATTTTATGAGGGTACACGAGAATGATCTGCCGAAACACTCTCGGCGCAAGACGATGCGCTTGTCGACGACGCGCCACGATTTACTTCGACTGTAGTCGACGGCTCGTCTTCAGGTGAATGGTTCCGGTATTCGGTAACCTGAATTTGATCATAAGGGAAAACAAGAAGAGAACCCTTATGATCAAACGCAGCTTACCAAATAGCAGAACCATACATCAGCACCCGCTGCCGCATCTTCGTCAATGATTCCGTGTATATTTTTCTTGCCTTTGTTGTATTTGCTCTTGGTGTTACAACCACCAGCGGATGGGGCTTTGCTGTAGTTTGATGCTCCTCTCGCAGGAGGGTAGACGACAGCACTTGTTGTCTTACTTGTGCCCGTGGAACTCGCATTAGTGGCACAAGCAAGAGCGTTTCCGCTCAGCGTTCGCAAACGTTCACGCCTCCGATCAAGCTCTAAGAGCTCTCTTCGATGAGGCCCAACATATTTGTGGAAATCCCCGTCAATATCGGTAGCTTCCCTGGTCTGTACGGAGGACCCTACCGTACTACCTCTCGTGAGGCCCAGCTGCTCTAGTTGTTCGTGTGAAGACGTTCCAAGATGATCGAGCCTGCCTACGCTCTTGGATCGCAAGGTTCTCGGGCAGTGTGTGCTCGAACACGATGACGATCCCGATGCTATCGCTTTCTTTGTTCCACGAACGCCAGTACTTTTTGGCGTTGATGAAATACGCCTAGAAAGACATTGATTTGATGTAAATGTTAATGTTCTAGTTCTTGACTACAACATATGAACAATGTGGTGAGCAGGGCGAGAAAGACATCAGTACAACCAAGAAGGTAAGATGACTGTTGTAGTACACGATCTACATTAATAGACCCTTGTTGACCAACAAACTTCAGTGAGAGATGTTCTGAACGATACCTATACTCATGGTCACCGATGAAAATCGTTTCCTCCGTTTCTGAAGCGATGTGCTGGTTAAATTGATCCTTAGCGTCCTCCACCTTTGGAACGGTCACACGGAGAGGAGTGCGAGATCCTGGTCGAAATGTGGTCTGTTGAAGATTTGTTTTACAAAATCGGGTTTGCAGCGTGCTTGAAAGCAGTGCAGGAGCGAGATATGGATTGCGCTCAGTTGTCACATGCCGTAAGCTAGTCGCTGATTTTGAGCGCTTTGGCTGGAAAGACGGCAAAGTACTGGAAGAAGGTCCAACAACTCCACCGCTCGATCGAGGAGGTAATGTTGTAGTGTGGAAATTATCCACGAATGGTGACTGCAAACTGGACGAGGTGGCGGAATCCTTCGACGCAGCGCGAGAGCTCGGCGCAGCCGTGGAGGATGCCCCGACAGTAGTGTCTTTGGACAAGCTAGCGACACCTTGGTTCATTTCTTTCAACTTGGTTCTAAGCCTCTCACGCATGAACGAGGATGACGTGGTCGCGGCTGGTGCTGCAGCTGCAGGTGTAGTATTACGTCGACTTGATGATGGACCCGGCAGTACTGGAGCTGTTCCGGGCATCGGCGCGGAGCCGGCTGTCGACTTACTAATACTCCTCGCCGGTGGACGAAAAGAGATATCAGTCCCGACAATGGATTGGTGATGCACGTACTTGCGATAACCGCCTCGCACTGATGGCGTACTCGAAGGGGACACGGCAGACAAGATGCCTGCTCCCCCAACCGGTGCCGCTTTCTTGTTTAGCTGCATTTTAGAAGAAGGTCCAACTCCGGCATTTTTCCCAACCTCTGGTTGAGCTTGTGGAGTAGAGATGGATGAAGACGACACAGTTGCTCTACTCAGTGGTGCTGCAGGACGCGCTGGGGCCTTTGTTGGCTTGAATGCCGCGGACGCAGCCATGATCGGCGTGGAGACTTTCACCCCTGCGACGATTACTGCAGCGCCAGATCGCGGCGCTGTACTACCAAAGCCCGTTCTGCTGAGATGATGCTGTGGTCCTCCCTTTAATGAAGATGACTTCCCATGCGCAACCCCTGCAACCGCCTTCGCTGGACGAGGGTAAGCCCCTCCCCCAAGGACCGAGTTTCCTGACATCACGCCAGCATCTTCGTCTAGCTTTTCTTTACTAGCACGATACATGCGTTCGAACCGCCCTTCCTGTGATTCGATGGACGTAGCCCGCGCTCGCATGTTGTTCCTGAGCAGAAATGAAATTGAAATAGGACGAGATATCATGTTGAGATTGAACAAAACTTACGAGTGGTGGAACGGAAGATAATGAAAACAGGTAGTAGACGTAGAGGTAGTTTTGGCCGGATAGGAAGGGCATGTGCAGAAGTACAAGTTGACCACCTACTACAGCTACACTTCTTACATAGGGATAGGTAATTTTTTAAGAATTACCGTGCACCACCGAACTCGAGGTGGAAAGACCCCGCCGAGGCGCATCGCGTCAAGGATCTTCCTCTCCGCAGATCACGAAGGAATATTTCGGCTGATCGAAGGGCCTCTTCGGCCTTATCCATTCCGATAGGGGGCGCCTTCTTCTTCGCGGCTTTCTTCTTCTTGCTGGCCTTCTTTTTTGCTTTCGCCTTGCCAGCCGTCTGTATTTTTCCACTAGCGTTTCCCATCTTTTCCGCATTCTGTAATAAATATGCGTTAGTGATCTTTAGATGATCAGTCTCAAAGTTAGTAGTGAAGTACTGATGTAATATTAAGAGCAATAAAACTTTGCAAGCGCTTCCCCTCCGAAACCTCAACCTCCAACACCCAAACCCACAACCTCCGACACAAAAACAAACAAACCCTGAACCCATGAACCCACGAAACCATGAGAAACCAGGAAACCAGGAAACCAAGAAACCAAGAAACCAGGAAACCAAGAAACCAGGAAACCGCGAAACCATGAAACCGCGAAGCCATGGAATTGAATTCCAGGGAAAGGGCTTAAAATGAAAAGTTTTGGGATCTTAGCACTTCAAACTCACGAGGTTCAACCTCAAAACGACGAAAAACGTGGAAAATTCTCGAAATTTGAAAAACAGAAATCCAAGAAATTGAATTCCAGGGAAAGGGCTTAAAATCAAAAGCCTTGGGATCTTAGCACTTCAAACCCACGAGATTCAACCTCAAAACGACGAAAAACGTGGAAAGTTTTCGAAATTTGAAAAATGCAAATCCAAGAAATTGAATACGTACCAAGGAAAGGGCTGAAAATCAAAAATTTTGGGATCTTAGCCCTTCAAACTTGTCCAATCTCAAAACGACGACAAAACGCGGAAAATTTTCGAAATTTGAAAAACGTGAAGCCAAGGAGTTGAATCTAAGGGAAAGGGCTTAAAATCAAAAATTTTGGGATCTTAGCCCTTCGAACTGGTTCAATCTCAAAACGACGCGAAAACGTCGAAAATTTTCGAAATTTGAAAAACGCGAATCCAAGCAATTAAATTCCAGAGGAAGGGTCTAAAGTCAAAAATTTTGGGATCTTAGCACTTCAAACGCACGAGATTCAATCCCCAAACGAAGGCAAAACGTGGAAAGTTTTCGAAATTTGGAAAACGCACATCGCTCACATCTTTGCCGTGCTTGGTTTCTTATTTTGGGGAGGAGGGGAATCCTAGTGGGCGGGATGTTATCGGACGCTCATAGCTAGTACTAATCGAAGTTGACTTCATAAAAATCTATTAAATATTGGACTTGTACATGTACTCGGTGATAAGAGTTTCCTGCTGTTATTTGTCAAGGGTCGCCGGCAACAAAAGAATGCGGCAACAACGTCGAACAGATTAAATGAAAGCAGTATGTAGCACTTACCTGGAACTAGTAGAAGTGATCACGAAAATTAAACTACATTTGCATACCTCGTCATCTTGTATTCCTTTTGCACTTTTTGCAAATGCGCGGAGCAATTCGGTTTCCGCAGTGCTTGATTTGCTCGCCGCTCTCGCTGGCGCACTCGCGATAGGCCGAGCAGCAGCGGATGGTCGAGCGATCGGAATAGATACAGGGTGTTCAGGGAGAGGTGCGTTCAAAAAACTCACCTCGTGCTGACTGCCTAGAAGCGTCATTTTTCTGGCATCATCGTCAGCCTCAGCAACGTCCACTTGTTCGTGCACTCGTACTTGTTCATGATCTTCTAATAAATCCCGATCAGCGTCGAGTCGGCTAATCATGTATGAATCTTCTACCTCACTGCAACTCGCTGCTCCTCCGTTCACAGATCCGACAGGACGCGCGATTTGAAATCCACATGGCTCTGACGCCATCGGACCTACGCGTTTGCATGTAATAATCGAGTTCTTGCCAGAAAAGCTCTCAGCTGGACGTCGGCTCGACCTCGAAGGCGAAAAGGTTGTCTTCTCAATCTTTTGATGGCCTTCATCTGGTTCTTCTTCTTCTTCTCGACCAAAATACTCCTCTTGTTCATGATTTACTCCGGTGTAGTTCCTGAAGTCGTTTTTTGTCAGCGCCACTGCTGCTGGCGCTGGGGATCTTTGGCTATCAGTATTACCTCCAAAAGTTGAATTTCTGCTAGAAATTGTTGAAGACGTTGGCATACGATGGAACGAAGACGTCGGAGCTGGTGCTGCGGCGATGACATTTGTTCCATTATTGTAATAGCGCGGAAGTTCCCTGTGCTGCTTAGCAGTTCTTGCTGCCCAGTGCTCGCTGGCAATTTGATCGGTCGACTCCTGCTCCAGGCGTGGAGGACGGTAGTTCTGCAGTATTTGATCGAAGTAGATGTTCTTGTTCTTGTTTCCCGCCAGAGGAAAAAAAACATCAAAATAGCAGAGAAAGCGTAGTGATTGTGTATGTCAGTCGCACTTGCGACGCAATAATGATGAAGTTCCTCATAATTCCGAATATTAAAGAGCTAAAAAAAAATCAACAACGACCCCGCCAAACTCTCAGCCTCACACTCCCGAACCCCCAACCACCGAACCATGAACTAGAACTTGGTTGCGAGCTTATGAAACTTATGAGGCTCAGTCTGCGCATAGCCAACCACGACCGCACGCGATTCGGTTTAAATTCTTTCTAAGCGTCATAATCAACAATTATTTTGCTACTTTAGGCTGAAGTAGTTGTAATAAAGTTAGCAACATATAAATAATCTTAAAATATAAAAAGTCGACCCCAAATCGTCGAGCCCAAGGCCGCAAGCCCAAGGCCCAGGCGTGGCATGCCGTTGGACTACGATCACGACACCGGCCAACACGCTGCCGGCGATGTGTAGCCGATCACACCCAAAGGCGGCCACATTTAAACTCAAAGCGATAAAATCAAAAATTTCGCTATTGCGGGCTATAATAGGAAAGTTTTTGACTTTATCAGCCGAGGCTAGGCGTTAAATTTTTCAAATTCGAGCACTCAACTCCGCAAGCGAGGCATGTCATTCGTCTACGATCGTAACCTCGGCCAACGCGCTGCCCGTGCCCATGGCCCTGATGTGTAGCCAATCGCGACCACAGGCGACCGAATCAAAACTCTAATCGATAAAGCCAAAAAGCCTTCTACTTTGGGCTAGCGTGCCCTGCATTTTTATATCTTATCAGCCGCGACCAAGTTTCAAACTTTTCAAGTTCGAAGACTCGACTCCAAAACCACAAGCCCAAGGCGACAAGCGCAAGGCTTCAGGCCTAACGCTGCGAGCCCAAGGCTTCATGTCCAAAGCTTCAAAGCCAAGATCTCATGTCCAACACTTCAAGCGTAGCGCTTCTGCTTCAACTCCAAGCCTTCAAGCCGAAGGCTTCAAGTCCAAAGCATAACATCCAAGATGTGAAGCCCAAGTCTTCAGACCCAAAGTCTCAGGTCCAAGACTTCAGATCAAACCCTTCAAACCCAGCTACGCCCTAAGCCCAAAGCTTCAGCTTGCAAATCCAAAGCCTCAAAACCCATGCGCCAAGCTCGAAGTTTTAGGCCTAGAGCTTCGCTGAAGCTCAAAGCTTCAAACTAAAAGATACGGGCCTCGTTTCTTCAAGCTTCAAGCTAAAAGCTTCAAACCCACTCCAGGAGATAAAGCCCCCACCCCAAGGGGCTTAAGCGTAAAGCTTTGCACTCAGGTCAGTGCATCCAATCCAAGAACTTGCACGATATTCAAAGCGGGCAAACTCTGAAACATCTAAAAAACCTCAGGGAAGCGGCCTCCTCTGTCAGATTCTGCGGCGCCTCAGCCCCGACTCCTCTTCCGCGGATCAACTCCGCCAAGAAAGCGCCGCGACCTGGCGGAAGAGGAGCGGGGGGGGGGGCGTCTCGACGGAAGAAGTGAAATGCTGGAAGGAGGTGGAGGATTCTAGTGGAGGGAGAGCTATCAGACGCTGACGTCTAGTATCAAACAATGATGAGTGATCATGCGCTAGTAGTATAGATACTGGTCGTGGCTCTTGCTCTACATATCGACACGCGTCAAGCCGTGCTCACACGTTCTTGTAAATCAAAATTTCCGCGACATCATGATGTACAAAGTCGAAGGAACTACCACAGACCACCATCAAACTATAGTGTTGGAAGGGGTAGATCTCTAGAGGTAAAACCTAGCCGGTTGTTTTACTTAGTGCTTTGAGCGCCGCTGGACCTAAGCCTCAACTTTATAACATAGAAAGGGAGAAGCCAGTCGAGATTTGCAGCACACCTCAGAGAGGCGGGGAAAATCGTATAGCTTGGTAACCTAAAGTGACTTAGGAGACTCATCAGTGACTGTCTTTCCTCTTTATGGAAGTTGAATGACCACCATCAAACTATAGTATAAGAGTGCTTTTTAATATAGATACTAATACTGCATTAGCATTGGGTGGCTTCCTCGCGAGGATCTTGCGCCTTCGATTCGGCGAGACTTGGAAGAGCACGTCTGCTGGAAGCGCAGGGTCCGTATGTTGCAGCAAGTTGGGAGGTTGATGCCCGCTGCGGTTTATTAACAGCGAGCTACTAGCAGGACTGCGGGCCTCCAATTCCTCCATACTCCGCGATAAAAGCTCATGAATGAGACTCCGATTTCCCGTATCATTTTGCGGTTGCAAGGGTTGATTATCATATCCATCCTCATGGTCATGCAGATGCTGTAAATGCCGTGCTTCATTCTTGTAGTCTACAACTTCTTCTACTACTATTTGGGTCGGAAGTCTAGATGTAGGTAAGTAGGACGCTGATGATGTTCTAGTGCTGCGTTCAAGCAGAGGATCTTCAAGCAGATTTCCATGGCCGGCAACCCTCGTCGTCGTCGCGACCTCGTTCCTATGCCGGTGCGCGTCGTATCGACGGGGAGTAATGCTGGAGGTGCTGAACGCAGACGCAAGCTCCCGCAAGCTGCGCATTTTGCTCTCGTAGTCAGCATCCGACATTATGGGCGCGCGAGGCCTCCCAATATAGTTGGTTGACCTGGTTGACGCCGGCATTTTCAAAAATCCTGTTATAAAAATCCTATTATATTTATAGTTTGTTTATTGCCTCGTTGACGTCCTGAGATATCAAAATGGTCGGAAGAGGGTATCTTCAACTACATTATCATGCAGATGAACAAGGAATTATACGACAGGGTCTTTTGAGTCAAAAGCAACATGGCAATTCCGATAAAGAGCCCAAGCTGAGGCCTCAAATCAATCGGGTTCCACCAGCAGAGCTTGTTTTCTCCCAGGTTTCCCCGTTGTTCTCTCGAAAGCAAAACGTGGTCGACACAAGCGTATCGAAAGCTTTTCAATCCTTCTTATATCGATATATTTGTATCCGGTTTCTTACGGAATCGTGGTTACACAAGCAGATGAACAAAGTCGGCATTTGGATCATCGAGCGCAATCAGCGCGACAGCCATAATCCGGCACATCACGATGCCTGTGCTCTACAGGAGAGGGCAGGCGGGTCGTTCCTCAGCAATATTCACAACAACAATAGCGTTTCATGTTTGCGCGGCAAGCATATCGCGCACGTACAAATTAAGGCGAAAGTCGTGAAATCTGTCAAGATCATGATTGAAACCTGACTTATCTCCCTACAAATTTTTTGTGAAGAACAACGTTTTACTTCAGGTTCAGTGAGACCATAGAATATATTCTGTTGTTCTTGGGTAGTCGTGCTAGGGAAAAGTAAGAGCGGAAAATAATACGAGGACTTTGACTTATGGTGATCGTTAGCGATTGGTTGCTCAAGATCATGATTAACGAAAAAAAAGAACAACACTTTCACAAATTCATTTGAGGATCATAATGTTCCTGAAAAAGGATGATATTTAAGTATGAAAACCTTCCCCATGCTACTTGTATATAAGGACTTTGTGCGTTATCTAGGACTAGGTGCCCCAGTCGCATCATGGGAAGACACAGTAAGAAATAAGCAAACACTCGATATCTTTATCTCATCTTACTTACTCTTGTTGTTTCTCGCTTGGTCTTTTTCTTCTTCACCAAGGAAGTCGTGAAGGTGAAGAAAACAAGAATTTAATCAAGAAAAAACAATACATCGGGAATAATGGGATGAAGCAGAAGCGCACGACTTAATAAATTGGGTCATCATAGTTATAGATTTGGCTGCATCATCAAGATCACTACAGGGAATCAAATTCAACAGCACGAGGCTTCTTGGAATCGAGCAAAGCACGTTTACTTTGTTCCCGCTGCTTGATTGCAAGGCCGTGTTCTCGGACAACGTCCTCCTCCACCGTCCCTAGCGTGAGAAATCGCCATACGTGAATAGCTGACGCTTTCTGTCCGTAACGCCGAATGCGGCCAATTGCCTGGAGTTCGAAGCTTACAGCTTTATCCAAGGTGGTTGCGTTCATCGGGTGCACAAGCAAGCAATGATGACAGCACTCGGCCAGATTGGTGCCAGCAGCGGCCGTCTCGAGCGAAAGAAGCAATACATTCACCATGCCCGAGGGGTCCTGTGAGTCAAAATGTTCGCATAATTGCACAAAAGCAATGTGGATGTTCTTCTTTTCAAAATTGAGTTACATCATGATTTATTTTTTGTTGAACGTTCACGTGGGCGTGGCGTTAATTACACAAGTAAGAACTACAACTAGACATCAAGATCAAGACATAAAGATCAGCATCATCATTTAGACGTCTCAAGTGAGCGCCCTTGGAGCCCGGTTCCGCTTGCAATCAACAACTATAAAGCAAAGTAATACCTTAAACTCGGAGAGCTTCTTGTTTTGCGTGACTGCACCTCCCGTCAACGTCGAATAGCGGAAACCGTATTTGGTCAAGCAATTGGCAATTTTGCACATCAGATTTTTCCATTGGCAGAAAAGAATCACTTTCGCACCAGGCTCCTCTCGATCTATGTGGAGCAAGACTTGACAAATCGATTGAATCTTTGATCCGTACTCAGCGTATGCCTCAGGATCCCTGATATCTTCCGGAATCAATGCATTGTCGTACTTGATTTCAAAGCTTTTGTCACCTGAGTGATAAAAATTTGGAGGTTTGAAATTATCTCATCAAGTCTATTCAAAAATTCTCGTCAAACATATTTACGGAAACGAAGTTAGAAGTGATCCATCCATTGTGCGGGTTAGTACCTCCTAGCTCTTCCCGAAGGTTATCCGTCTTCTGCTGTTCCGAGCGCGCATCAATCTTTACCCCAGCAGATCTCATCTCCAGGGCGAGAGAATAGATATCTTTGTCGCGCAGAGGCTTCCTGCAGAGACCACACTTGTTATGATTCGCGCGCATTTGCTGATGAATACACTCCACACAAAAAACGTGACCGCAAGACGTAATAGACAAATTCGACACAGGCAAGTCTTCCTCCATACAGAGCACGCACTTGCGATCTGGAATTTTTGGGTTGTAACAAGTTAGTAGATATATGTATGATATATTCAGAAAAAACAAACTGAAAGGTTGACGAGTCGGAGTCCACCATGTGCATGTTGCAGTTCTAGGTTTACGTACTTACTTTAAAGTAATCATGTAGCAGTATCCTGATAGTACCATCTGGCGATTCGGATCCTTTGCCAAAGATTTTTAGGGTCTTTTTGAAAAAAGCGAAGACGTTCGAGGCTTCGCGCAAGGCGTTGAAATCCTGCATGAAAAGCGAAAGTATTTGATCTTTCACCTTCGTCAAGTGCTGCATTTGAAGCGTTGTTGCTTGGTATTCTGGATAAGACTTGTGCGACTTTTCAACAACTTCTTTCGGTTCCACAAAGCGGAGATACGCACCATGTTGAGAAGAGGAGGTCTTATTCGTATTGTTCGACGATTTGCTACTCGCGGGTGACGGACCATCACGTGCGGCTTGGGATTTTGCGGTAGCTGTGTACATCGCCAAAGCGCAAACTGCTAGAATATCGGAAGTACTAGCATCTTTATTTTTCTGCTGATCCTTCTTTCCTGTTCCCTTTTTGTTAGCGGAAGCTGACGCTCCTGTCGAACCTGCACCCCTGCCACGAGTTGTAGAAGATGGCAAGCCAGTCGTTCCAGCCTCGTTTTGGTTCTGAAGATTTGCTCTTTCTTTTTCGATTCTATCCAGCTGCGCGGACGTCGGAAAAAGAAATTTTAGTACCCTGCTCCAAGCCTCAAGATCTCCTGCAGATCTCATCGATGACGACATAAAGCTGTGATCGCTAAAGGCGGAGCTCGAGTCGTGTTGATGATGATCTCCTTCAGATTGTTGACCAGAAAAAGCTTTCATCGCAGTCTCACGCGACAAGACGCGCTCTGTCTGTTCACAGATCCTCTGCATTGCAAGGATCTGCTTTTGAAAGTCAGCACAGAAGTCGTCGTCCAATTTCGCCGCGGCATCAGACTGCTCCTTATTATTTGCAGCTCCAGATTTATTCAAGGCTGCTGCAGCAGCACCGCTGGCTGCAGCAGCCGCGTGCTTGGAGGAAGATGAAGCTGCAGTTTTCATCGAAGTTTTCTTCATGGAAGCACTGGCGCTCCTGTTGCTCTTGCCGGCGCCTGCTGTTGTGACTGCAGTACTAGTAGTCGTAATAGTAGTGGTAGTAGTAGTGGTAGTAGTAGTAGTAGAACCTTCAGCTGTTGTAGCTTCGTCGTTCGCCTGTTGCAAGTTCTTGACGACGTGGACGTCGTCATCTTCGTCCATAATAACATCCATTGCTGGGCCAGAGGAGGATGCATTTGTGGACGGAACGTAATTTCGCGTAACTTCCTCCATAAGATCCAACGCAGGTTTGAAGGCCTGCTTGCGTTGCGTTTCGTCATCACGATACACGGCCATAATAACTGCGAGCTTTCGGCATGTTGCACGGAAAGTCTTGAGGGCAACCTTAACCGCGGCCTTCTTCTTGTCGAAAATACGGGAGCATTCCGAGTTCGTATCTGCGTGGCTGTTGTAGTCGCCGAGTGTGAAGTGCGAGCACAGCTGCAACAGGCGCGCCCTCTTATCCAAGTCCGAAGCGGATAAGGGCGCCGGACCCGCAATAGCTAGTTTGTTGCTCCATCCTCCCCCGGGAAGACACAACATCGTGCCGTTTCTCGCACTCCCACCAACGAGAGGTCTCGCAGCGTTGCTGGTGGACGACGAACTTGCTGCGCCGTTGTTACCCAGAGCCGCTGAGGATGATGAAGAAGAAGAGGGGAGAGGCGTCGTTGACATCATACTAGCGGTCGTTGCGTCACTTGCAATGCTACTCGTATAGTTCAGTGAGTTCGCTTGGGACAAATAAATGGCGCGCTCTTCGGCTGTATGTGAAACTGCAATCCAGTGCTCTTTGGTTTCAATCTTATCTGCGTCGGTCACAGCGCTGTTCTGCCTCACGAAGAGGCGCAAGAAGTTCTCGCAGTTCTGGCGGAAGATCTTGGACCGATCCCAGGGGTGGCATAAGCGTAAGTAGTCGAGTCTTTGGCGAGCCATTGCCTTTTTGCTCACCAGGCGGTAGTACTTCTCCGGCTCTTCAGCGAGGTTCATTTGCCGCAACATCTTCACATATTGCATGCGTGGATCCGCTTGAACAAACCGACGCAAGGCGCTTCCGCGCAGGCCTCGTGGGGTGGCAAGCGGATCCTCTTCTAGCCGATGGGGAGTAGAGAAGCTAGCGCCGCCATATGAGCGAGAATCGGAGGAAGCTGCGTCGAAGTAGTCATCAACATGGTCGTCAAAGCTGTCGTAATCGTCGGAGTACGATAACTCACCCTCCGAAGAATTGAATGAATAGTCTCTACGTCGGTACCCGTATTCGTCGTAGCGAACACGATTGAAAATTTGGCGCTGACGTCTGCGCTCGTCAGCCTCCCGAATGCCATCCACGGCGTCGAGAATGCGGCCTAGCCTTCTGTCCTCCTCCCCGTCCGCCTCGCCTACCAGTTCCTCGAAGAGTCCTCGAGGGGCGCTTGTCCCTGCAAAGGGTGGCGCCGATGCTGCTCCAGCTGCAGTGAGGCCTCCTGTACTGCTAGTTGCTGCGCCGCCAGTAGTCGTTGTTCGATCAGGCGCTCCGCCACGCCTACTGGCGCTGTCCCTCGCGCCCGACCTCTCTTTCTCCGGAGATCCATTAAGGTTGATGAAGAGATCCGGTGTGTGATTGTGGGTCCCACAATGCTGGCAGATAAAATCGACCTTCGTCGATGGGCTAAGACTCTCTTTCCCACCTTTCCCCGGATCCATTGCCAACGAGCGAGGGTCACTCGTGCCTTCGAACGCAGGCTCCAAGCAACAATTGCAAATCCACTCGGACATTGGCTTCAACCGCTGTTAAAAACATTTTATAGGATTCAGATTCAACAAATGATTCCCTTTGTCGACAGGTTAAAAACCAGATGATGCAACTGAATTCGAGGTTCATCGGGAGGCTCCATATCTCTTCAAGTAGTATATTTTCTACTATGTATAATGAACCACGCTAGACTAAAATAGATTCTCGTCGAAGAGATCGATATGTTACGAGATTGTTAGCAATAGGAATAGCATGCTGTTTATTTTTATGTTATTCAGTATAATGCATTTTTTTGGACTCGTCACATGTTGAAGAGATATTCATATTTTTCATAATATATATTGTAAAACTAAAATCATTGGTTTCGGAAGTAGTGCCTCACCGCCAGGCGCTACCTACGCGCAGTCGCCGCCGCCTGCAGCACGCCGCGCCTGGCATGCCACAAAAGCCGCAGCTGGCGGGGACTGTGGCGACCAGACATACCATAGTCGATCGCAATGACGACCATAGCACTACACACACAGAGCACAAAGAAGTCCGGCGGGATCGTACGCGTCGCCCGGAGCGCATCAAAACAAACAAACAAACAAGACAATTGCCAAAGGTATGTGATACTGGTGTAATTACGTGACTTGTAAATCAACGAGATCATGACCATGAGGGGCTTCATCTTAATAATTTCTGAAATGCTGCAAGAAGTACTAGTTGTGGTATAATATCTCTTGTATAAACTGAATACCGCCGGTCGTGTGTTCGTTTGTCCCTGCTCATGATGTGCACCCTCTTGCTCCTCAGCGTAGTTATAGGTAGTGGCAATCGCGATTTGAAATGCACGCTGGGCCTCAAGACGTCCACCATCATACGGATCATAATTGTGATAAAGGTGACGGTCTTCTTTCCGCATCACCTTTGTCAGGTCATTTTCGCTGTTGCTGCACGCCAAGCGCCACAGCCGATCGGCGTAGTCGGCTTCCGTCCGGCTGACACCGCACAGGTCGACGCCAAACAAAGAAGCCGTGGCAGCCACCTGCCGCACACTGTCCACTTGAGGCGTCCCCGTCAGCCCGAATTTGGAGTAGGCCTTCAGCGATAGCAGGGTAGACACTTGTTTGTCTCCAAATGCCTCTAACTCATGAAACTCGTCGAAAACGATACGTCGGAAGTAAAATTGCTCCAACAAAGGAAAAAGTAATAGGCGCTCGCTGCTCTTTTCTTCTATCACATCCCAGATCACCTCTGCTTCTTCTTCTTGATGCCTTTTTTTGGTAGTAGAAGTGGCTTCATGTTTACCACTCGAGGTTCCTCCCTTGTTGTTCTTCAGTTGATTTTTGTTTAGTGCAGTCGCATGTTGCTGTTGCTCAACACAGATGTCCTTTCCTCGATCTGAATTAATACTGGGTATTTCGATTAGCACATCGCTTTTCACCTTAGATGCAGCCTTGATTTCCCACGCCTCAAACTTTTTTTTCCTCGAGCCCGAAAATGAGGTCCTGCTGCAGGATTGTTGTTGCCTCATGGCCTGCATGAATTCCCGCGTGCGTTCGCGTAAAGTCGTGATATTCGCATGTTGTTCGACCGAATCTTGATGCTGCTCTACTGCTGCGCGGCCTTGCTTTGACCCTGCTTGTGCAGCCCTTTTTCCCTTGTTTCCGCGTGCTCCGAGCAAGAGGCCGGCAGTCGACGAAGTCGATGCGGGCAAGTCGAAACTATCGAGAAATTCTTTGTTCTTCGCATCATTCCCTGCACCGCCGCGCCCAGATGCGCTTTTGTTTGCGGAATGCAAAGTGCTCTCATCGCCGTCATTGCTTTGCTCTTTTTTTTTCCTGCTGTCACCCCCCGGCGCGCCTGACAGACTACAAAGGCGGGACTGATGCACCGGTGAATAGAGCACTCGGTAAGTGACCAAAATGACGTCAAATTGTTGCAATTCGTAAACCGTCCTCTGCTTTAGCGGTGCAATGTTCTTACAAACGAGCACTTTGAGATCGTTTTTTGGCAGGAACTTTTCAATCTCCGTACTCCACTGGTCAATCAAATGACTGGGGACTAAGATTAAAGTAGTCTTCGGGGCAGGAAAAAGACTCTCCCGATCTACGTCGTTCATTTGCAACAAGCGACACTGCTGTTCAAATGACAGTACCTGCCTTTTCTTGCCGCGCGCATCGGACGATGGAAACGAGCTTCTATTTTGCTCCACCTCCTCCCCATCTTCTGTTTGTTGCTCCTCAAAAATGGTTTTCAATTTTGACGCTGTCGCTGCTGCACGTCCCCGTTTCATAGGCAGGGGAAGAACCCCGCTCGCGCCAGATGAGTAAGATGATGAGGTCTTCATTGCAGAAGCCGATGATTTCTGAATCTGTGTAGGTGTGGCGTTATTTGTCGCCTCTAGTACTATCTTCCTTTCCTCGTTGCTGCCAGAAGCTCTGCGCCTCTTTGCGGCTGGCGCGGCGTGCGTCACACCTTCATCTTCATCACAAAGAGAGTCTTCATCGACATGAAGGTTGTCCTCTGCGTCTACTTTCGTCTTATTTTGATTTGATTTCCTGTCGATCTTCTGCTTATTGCCGTTCTCATTTTTTGCGCTATCACTGCAGGCGGATGTTTTATCAAGAACGGTACCTTCCAAGTCGATACTTTCCTCGGTTTTTTCCAATGGGAAGGCTGAGGTCGAAGACACAAATTGTGCTCGATTGAAATCTGTGTCCGGATCAGACTTCACGGCAGCCAGAGATGCTCCCCGAAGAAGAAGTGCGCGATCGGCCGCGCGTTGGCTAGCCAACAGACCAATGCACGTGGCCGTTTTCCCAAAACCGATTTTGTCAGCGAGAATCCCTCCACGATTGTCGTAAGTAGCGGTAACCTCGAACTCGAGACACCACTTGGCGTTCCCTAGAGGGCATTTGCGTACTTGTTCGGTTTCAGGAAACGAACCCTTGTTTGTGTTCACTTCGGTCTTTGGAATATCGTGACGCCACGCGTGCTTCGCTGCCAGATGCCGCTTGTAAATCACTTCCAGCGCTGCTCCCGCTTCCGAGCCGGCTTCAACACCACCCGATTCCGGGGACGAGGAGGAGGACACACGCTCGCGCTGCTGCATCCAGAACAAGGAACGAAGCTGCTCTGGTCTCAACGGATGGTCTTGTGACCAGCCTGGGGGCATTGCTGCGGAGGGGTCGTTATCGTTGTTCATGATTTCGAAGCTTGTGACATTTTTGTCCCCGGAAGAGCCCCCTGCTGCATCTGATGATGCTCGAGCTCTGTCGGCTTCAGTAAAAATATCATTTTTGCCCTGGGGGGCCGGCTTCTTCTTTCTATTCCTACTTGATGACATGGCTGCAGTGCCCGCAGTAGCTGCTGGCGCTGCACTTTTTCCCGTCCTCGAGCAGGAGGCACCTTTCTCCTTCCCGGTTGTCAGTAAATTGCGGTGACCGCGTGCCACCTCGTCTACTTTCGCTATGTATCCTGAGGGCCGCATGCGGTTGATCACAGCCACTGAGCCGCTCAATTTGGCCGGTGGAAACCGTATGCGCCCCGTGAAGAATCGCTCAAAAATTTGGTATAGCTGTACGTTCACCTGTAGCTGATAGTGGTGCTCTTGCAGCAGTCTGAAGTCCTTGTGAGTTTCCATTCTACGTGTCCCGGCTAGGATGTCCTCGGGCAGGCACTCTATCGTATTCGTCAGCGAGCCTCGCTCCAGTGGAGACAGGCTGGAGTTGTCAATACCTTTCAAGATAACGTCTAGCAGATTAGCCGAAACAAGTGCAACCCCGTTAATACCGAACAAAGCCGAAGAGGACGCACCATCGTCTCCCGCCTTATGATGTTCGTCTTCCACCTCTTGCACCGCACTGGATAGGTTTCCGTTTGTTGATGTTGTTGCTTGAAGATCGCTTGCGTTTTTCTTTTCCGCTTTCATCGATTGACTCTTGTTTCCAGTCTTTTTAGTTGGCTCGTCTTTATGGTCGACGCCATTTGTCAAAGCTTTAATAGGCAGCGTTTTCTTAATATTGAAAACAAACTGCTCAAGGGCGTGTTTACTTTGGCTCTGAGAAGTCTCAGCCTTTGCTTCACTGGTCGCATTACAGGGCATGCGCCACAGTGCGTGCGCAATCCTCATTTCCCCGGTGAAAATTGGAACAAGGACGTTGCGATGGCTCTCCACCATGCGCAGAAGTATAGGAGCTGGCACCCCGGAATTTTGTCCAGTACTACTTGCTCCCTTGCCACCACTATGATAAGCTCCTGCATATCCCGCCAGACCATTTTCGACATTGTAATTGTAGCCGAATCCGAGTTCCTCATGCACGCGACGCATCGCGAATGCACTAGAGGAAGACCCTCCGAGTAAGCTACCAGCCTCTGCATTAACCCCTACCACACCAGTAGAATTTATTTTGTTATCACCCTTGGTTTTCCTGCCTCCGCTCTTCATCTGTTGCTGTATAGGAGCAGCTAATTTGTTGTCCTCACTGAAGTACCAATCGCATCCGCGAATACGGATACGGGGAGGCATCGTGGGAGAGCAATGCGAGTCAAAGTTGCAATGCTTCGTACGGAGACTCTCAGTAAGATAAATTGCATGTGGATCTGACCAAAATCGGAGATGCTGTTCATCAAATTGACGAATTTCCTGCGGCTTCTTGTCCAATTCATTTTCGCTCGACGAGGCGTAAGGATATCGTGTATCATCATAGTAACCCCCTCCGTAATTCAATCGCCATGAACTCTCGAGGTGTCGACTTCGATAATTGTCATCTTCATCAGCATCCTGATCAGTCATCCATGGGTCATCTTCAACATGTTGGATATCATCATCAAGGTTGGGGTCGTCGCGATCATAGATTGTGTCACTGTACTGGAACGCTCCCAGCCGACCTGTCCCACGACTACCATGGAGCAGGCCGAAATGGTTCCCAGCGTGTCTAGCTGCGTTTGCCTGCGTTCGTGCGTTAAGCTGCAGTGCGTGGAGATAATTAAAAACGTCAGTTTGATCGCTCTTGTCCTGCCCCACAAGAAAGCAATCGTTGCGCGCGAGTTTGTCCATCTTGGTCACGTAGACAGATGAGACTGACTCCTCTTCATCGATGCCTCTATTTTTACTGCTACTAGACGAAAACGACACTCCGGCATCAGTGAAATTACTGCACAAAGGTGCCAGATCGACTGGAAATCTCCGCTCAAAGTATGTCGCGTTCTCTGGTCGTGTGCTGCCGTACGTTGCTTCCCGCTTCTGTTTCAAGAGACACTCCACGATCCCAGAGACAACTGCATCTGTGCCAGCCAGTTCTTTTTCATCTTTAGGAACGGTCGTACTAGTCAAGGTGGTGCCATTCCCATGGCTTTCTATCGTCTCCGTCAACTGGGGCTGTGCAGCTGATCCACATCCTTGTTGTTGTCCCTCAGCGCCCCCACTTTCTAGGACCTCAGAAAGAAGCGTATTGGCAGCCTTCTCCACTGCGTGCTGCTTTCGTAATTCCGTCAAAGCATGAGATTCCGCGAGAGCATGGCGTCTAGTCAAGGGAAGAGTGCCGAAAATGTGGTCTGGGGTGCAGGGACGGAAGACGCTTGCGTGTCCGAGCGATGTTATCACGCCGGTACACGGAGATGCTTTATTATCACGGCCTGCGGCCTTCTTGCTTGACGCAGCTTCCTGCTTTTTGCTCGTCTTTTTTGCCTTGTTCGCTCCAGGAGGTTTGCTTGATTCCGGATACGCACACCAGAGTGGACGCTCCAAGAGATTTTCCTCCTGAGCGGCAATGACAACAGTAGGATCTTGTTCTTCTATTTCTGCGTATGATCGCTCTCGGGTTTGCATCTTCGTATTCGATATTTGGTCTTGTTCGGTGGCGCGTGCTTCACCGAATATGCTGATGCTCCTGCTTTCTTGAGAGCTCGTATCGATGATGTTACCATGTTGAGAATCGGCCGCCTGTGGCGGTAATACTTTCACGGATCGCAATCGATCAAAGAGGCACTGCACCAGGGTCAGCGGTTTGTTTATAATCACTCCAGCGTGGCGGTGGCTCTGGCTCTGCTTGGAGGAGATCTCAGCTCTATCGGCCTCACGATCTTGAAGTGAGGTCGCTCCTCTTTCTGTGTCGTCGGAGACCTGCACGTACGCTGGAAAATCCGCTAGGAAGTTTGCGATATGTTGCGTCATGTCGATAGCAATGTCCGAACTGGCGTTGCGTAATTCGATTTTGCTCCCGCCGATATCGTCGTGATACATATCTCCTCCTGGGGGAATGGCTGCGTTGGCGCTCTCGCGCAAGGCGATCTCCATGCCCTCACAGAGGCGGATTTGGTGACTCTGCTGCATGACGAAGAGGTATGCCCGCTGCGCTGCAGTCAAAGATGAAGATTTTTCAGTCGGGCGCTCCGATGTTGAAGTTGAAGTAGAAGGATCGCCGCCCAACAGAACAAAAGCAAAGTACATCGCATTTTCTCCGCAGGCGCCCAAAGCATCAAACATGCGCCAAAGCATCCCCGTATCTGGAAAAGATCGGTTCAAGCGCTGTCTCACCATGAAAATTTGGCTGGTCTCGTGTTCCTCCAGCAGCTCCTCCTCCATCGTCTCGTAATCCCTACCTCCGAGCATCAGATCTAAGGCGTCATGCTTTCTTTTCGCTACGGGTCTGCCCGTGCGCTCGCCAAAGAGCTCCGCCACGATCATCTCGTCGCGGCTTCGCCGTTTTTTCTGCAAGATCGCCTTCTCAAAGTGAGCTTCATACTCCGGAGGAAGAGCCTGGGCGACAAGGTCCTGGAGTTCTTTATCTAGGAGTTTTGTACTCACACGTGCCTGTAGGTCAATAAACTGGAGTGCGAAGACTTCAAGCACCGCCAGGAGAGCCCTGAGGAGTTTTTTTGCTTCGTCCTCCTGCGTGTCGAAAGCCGATGAAGCGAGCGGGAGACCCATGTCGTTGTCGTGGGCAAGTGTCTCCCCAACAGCCACCCAGAGGTGTTTCACGCAGATCTCCAACGTCAATGAGTTCACCAGATCGGTCTGCAAAATCCAAGATTCGAAGTCGCCGCGTTCTTCGACACTAGCCAGCAGAAGCCTCACCAGTCGATTGGCAAGGCTGTGGTCCCAAGCGCGTGCGGCCCGAGTGGCTGCAGCTCTGTTTATTGGCTTCACGTAATTTTTGGCGGAAGAACCGGCTTGACCAGTAGTACGACGTACTTGGCCTTGTTCCTCAACTTCCTCATCCTCGTCATCGAAAAGGAGCCTGTCCTCGTCATCCTCCGACATATCTTCCTCAATTTCCATATCCTCATGACCTTGATGCTGCTCTCCACCAGGAGATTGTTCAGCATTGCCCTCATCATCTTGTTCTTGATCTTGTGGACGCCGAGAACTGCAACAACTTTTATCTTCACTAGCAAAATTTTTGAAATTATTCTTCTTCGTACTGGAAGATCGTCGTAATTTGTTCGCCTGTGCAGTGAACGCGGCAGCGATTCCTTGACTTTTCTGCGTGGTACGCATGAAAGCGAGCAATTTCTCGGTGGCTATTGCGATAAATCTGTTGCGCACCTTTGATAACAGCTTTCGGGAGCAGAATGCGCGAATCTCATGATCTAGAGTTAAAAGAAGGGTGTTGCCGTACTTTCCAGGTCCTCGAGCCAATTTCCCCGCCTTCTGGTTCAACTGCAGAACAAGCTGTTGCAGGGCTTGCTCCGCTGGTAGCTTCTCGGCACGTACTTCCAGATTCCCACCGCCAAGCGGTCCAAGACTTGCAAGTCGTGCGCGGTCGGCCTGCTCTGCTGGTACATAATCCGATACAGCTTCGGCCGCCCCTCCTGGTGCTACGTATCTTCCTCTTCTCGTAGAATGTAAATGCTGGTAGTCGAGCTTTGATTGACACGGTAGCGCACTATAGAATACAAGGTCACAAGCTGCCAAATACGTTGCATCGTGAGGCTTTAACGGGAGAGCACCTGTATTTTGCGCATGCTCGAAGTGCGGCGTAGCTAGTGCACTTGAGCCCGTAGAAGCTTCCCTTGCTTTGCTTAAAGCCAGTTCCGCGACGCTCTTGCCGTTGCTCGCTGGTAACTTCGGGCCGTCGATTTTGCTCGAGAAAGGGGGCTCTTCGTCGTCTAGAAGTTCGTCACGACCTTCTCCAGCCTTTTCCGCCTCAGCGTCGTGTTCGCTCACTCCAATCGCTTTTCGCTTATTGCTCACCTTCCTCGTTTGCACGGATTTCGCCGCAGCACCTTTCGCGCGCGCTTTACTCTTTGGCGCCGTCTTCATAGCTTTGCTGGCAGTAGAGCTGGAGACTGCATCCTTCTTCATCACCATTTTCTTTTTCCCAGCAGAAGCCTCGGATGTGTCAAGGCCCGTCATCTCGTAGTCCTCGCGAGCCGGAAGCTGTTCGACGTTTTGTTCAACAGAGCTACTACTATCATTTCCATATCGCCACTGCAGGACACTCGCACTCACACTTTCCGACACCCTCAATGATTCTTGCGCAGAAGATTTGTCGCCGCCCGCACAATGAGTGCGAACGATGAAAGGGTCAGCAGTCATTCTAGACATTGCTTCGGTGCGACACCAGGGCTTCTCTTCATGTAGCAATGTCCGCCAGATTTCAGGCGGCAAATCTAAAAAGCGCCAGTCTTTGTTCTTGTTCGTGTTCCTTCCTGGGGGTTGATTGTTACCACCTTCACTAACATGAGGCCCGCTTAGGGGAAGAGATGACGCGCCCGGCTGACGATCCGAATCCACGTCCATCATTGAGGGAAAAATATCTCCCCCCGTAGACGCAGAGTTGGAGATGTTGCCGGGGTCCCGACCAGCAGCGCCGTCTTGTGGCGCGCTACCCGATCTATTTTCCCCGTCTCCCAACAAAGCTGGCAAGATCACGCGCATCACCTCGTGAAAAGTGTCCAAAGTGTTCGAGGGTCTATCTTGTGCAATAGTACTGATAATTTTTTCAACACGCTCTACGGCACCCTGCCCCACCTGCTCCGGCAGCTCCTTGTCATTGACAAGACGTTCCACAGCAGGGGAAACCAAGGCGGAAGGTTCATTGTCCGGCTGATCCGCAGGCTTCCGAGCACTATCCGAAGCAGTGTCAGGAGTGATCGCTCGCACCCATTTTTGCATTCCCTCTCGGAATTCATTCGAATGTCCAGACAGCCAAAAAATGCGTCGAACGACTTGAAGGAGCGGGATGGCATCGACCAAATCATTATTCGTGAAGCACGCTGTTGACGTAGTTGTCGTACTAGTATTTACTTTTTTAGTAGATGAAGTAGAAGACTTAGTAGCGTGATCTTGCTTAGAGCCTTCGCGCCTTGGTAATTCCGGGTCTAAATCGGCTAGGCTCAAAAGAGTTGGAGCTGCTGTCCGCAGGTAGGCGGCGCGGCCTCTATGATCGTGCATAAGCTGAGGGGTCTTCATGAGCTCGTTTAGGCGCATGTCGAGTGTTTCACCCGCGTCCTCGTCGCGTTCATGTTCGTCCATGCTTTCACTAATCTCGTCAACATCCTGCAAGTCATAACCGAGGCGATGGCCACTGTTTCGTGAGTCATTTTCTTCACGGCTTCCATTTACTGTAGTCGAGGTTGATAATGAACACTGGTGCTGGACTTGTTGGTGGATAATATGAGCGGCAGCGTCGTTGTCATCCCAGCGCCATCCCATTTGCGACATGCGTGGCGCGACGGACGTTGAATGTCTTCCATAGTCGTTTTCAACGGAGGGCGCTTGCGCTATGCGATAGCGGTTATTTAGCGCAGCTCTTCTTCTACTCCTGACTCCGCGCATAAGCGGCTTCATGTCCCGATGGTAGCCGGTGAGCGTAACAGTTTGCTTGTTTTCGGCAGTCACAGCTCTACCACTCCCATCAATCCGTGGAAAGCTTGGGATGTCGTAGGCTTTCGTTCCAAAATAATATCCTTCTTTGGCTCCGAGGAACCTCTTGCATTGAACGCAACCCATGTGACGCCGGTTCGGATGCTTTCCAAAGAGTTCCTCTACCGTTCGCGGCTCGTCCCCATTTGCAGCGCCTGCTGCGCTCAAGACTGAGCTTACAGCTGCGGTGGACAGCAGCAATTCACGGACCTGCGCCTCCACGTCTGCTGCTCCTTTTGGTTGCCCGCCAGCAGCAGACGAGGAAGAGGACGTGCTTAAGGTAGTTGCAGCACCTTCTTGGTTTTTCAGAAGCGCAACAATCTTCTGACTGAGCTCAGTCGCATGCTGTTTCAACTGATCCGCACCATGGTCTCCTCGATGCCCTCCTAGCGACGTCTTGTTATCATTTCGCGCAGCGCCATTCGATGTATGGCCAGCCATGTGCTGTCTTCTATTGGCACGTTCGACTGGCGCAGCTGATGGCAAAGCCCTGCCAGACGAAGACCCTGTCGTTCCACCATTCCTCCCTGCTGCAGTTGCCTGCATCCGCTCAAATCGACCAGGGTTGGCCAGATACTTCTCACACGCGACCTCAACCGAGAGATACTCATGATACAGTCGTCGAGCAATGTCCTCACCACAGGCTAGAACCTCGGAAATTTGCACAATCGGCTCGCTGGAATCACCTGCTCCATGATCGCCGCCAAAGGGTGATGAGTTGAAGAACATTTTTTCTTCTATTTCAATGTAAAATGAGAAATGTTTGAAGATGAGTAAGGAGGAACAGGAATGAGTCCAAAAGTCTTCCTCATTGAGTTCACAATTTTATCTCCGACGAAACCATAAGAAAAGACTTAATTGATGTTTAATGGTGGAAGGAAAATACAGACCGAATGAGAAAACTACAAGCAATAACATCGATCAATCAAGACACATCTTGTTCATCATGTATTTTTGGAAGCCTCAAGAATAAAAGGTGTGAAAAATCTACTGTAGTATGTAAAGTGGAAATGAAAAAAGCATTAGCATAGTCGAAGTGGTACTCCTGCTTTTTTAGCAGACAAAGTTGCGTCTTCACTGTCCATATTTTCGAATTCGATTCATTCATTCACCAGGGTCACCACTGCCTTTTCTTTATTTTTGGTACCTACCTGGGTCGATACTTCTCGTGATACGAACATTTAATCACCCTGCAAGAAGCCTGAAGCACAACGGCCAGGTACCTAAAACTACCAAACGATTTTTTTTTTGTTACCTGGGTCTACAATTCACCTCACGGCAGTCACACAGCGCAACCAAAAGCTTTGCCCCTTCGTCACCCGCGGGTGCCGTAAGGGGGGAAGCTGTCCGGAAGCTGTCCGGCAAAGGCAACACCCTAACAAGAGTGCGCGTCCGCCTACAGATGTCAACGTTGATGGGGTCGGCAAGCCAAGCGAAAATATGCCGCCCCACCCCTTTCCTGCCGATGCACCCGGCTACTTTGTTCCTCGGCCGAGTGCGGGTGAACGAGACTAATATATAACTACTGCTCTAACTCATCCATCTCTGCTACTTAGTACATCATCTCTACTAGCATTAATATCAACCTAGTTATACCTAAGAGGTAAAAAAATGTCCTCACCATATCTACGTGTAAGAGTATCGTATGAAAGAAATCCAAATCGTGATGAATTTCATGCAGGAGCAGGGGAAGAACGACATCATTAAGTACTGCTCCGTCCATCTTTCCATTAGTTTTACGTGATTTGCAGATTTGTATTGTTCAATCCACCTGATCTTCAGCAACCTCAGATCGTCACCAGAACAGCGTGCCACTACCAATTAACCATCTGACTGCGCTGTTGGAACGCATCGATTTCCTCCGGGTCGATTAGAGATCGTCGGTCCTCCTCTTGTTGATTGATTTGAATTCTTAGGAGACTGACTGCAGGTGGAACTAATGATCAACATAATCTCCATCACATTATTAAATGGAACAATGCATTTTTTTTATCGAAGACCCATCGCAGTAAAACGTGAAGATTAGTATTCGAAACAGGAGCAAAAATAGAGTTGATGGGCACTGCGACTGCCGCGTGCTGTTCAACAATCATGATCGTAGAAGCAAGTAGTAAGTTGTGAATTTCAAATACAGCCTGATCAAAGACGATACAAGTAATGCTTGTGCATCCGATTCGCCTCCAGAAGTTGTGATCTCGTTTGTTGCTCATCACGCCGATGTGATCGATTAGTACAGAATAACCGATCATGTTCCTACTTACGCAAGACATCGTCTCATCGATCATGCGAACACAAAGTCGTGACTGCGCATCCGAGAAGCTTAGAAGTTGCCTCAGAGGCACCTGTAGTGTAGCAGTAGCTGCAGCAACAACTTTTCTGATCGGCGTTCGCAATCAATTATTCCATGGAGGCACCAATTTCGACTCGTTTCGAGGGCAGCGCGTCGCAGAATATTTCTCAACAGGGGGTGATCATTTAATAGCTGCGTGCTGTTGGGTGGAATAGAAGCAAGTCGTAGTCGACACTGCTTGCGATCTCAGAAGTCATGCCTCACGAGAATGAATCTCAGATTTAGAAATTGTAAGTTCTGCAACCAGAAATTGAAAACCACAAGACGAGCTGTAGTCGACACTGCTTGCGATCTCAGAAGTCATGCCTCACGAGAATGAATTTCAGATTTAGAAATTATAATAAGTTCTGCAACCAGAAATTGAAAACCACAGGACGAGCTAATATAAGTTGGTGATGGATCAAGAGGAGCATGATTATAATGATCCTAAGGAAGAAATTAGACGGAGTAGATTTTGGTGTAACAGGAGCATGATTATAATTGATAAGCCACAGTAAGATGACGTTGACCTTGACGCACCAGTCAACATGATGTACGAGGCAACGACGTTGCTTCATGAGCGAATTCTGAAAGACGCTTCTTCGCCGTGCTTTTTCAAGTCCTTCGTGCTTCACAAAAGGAGCGGAGAGCCATGACCAACTTCGCTAGAGCTTTACTTTCAGCGATGCTTTCCTGCTCCGATTCTGTAGCACGAAGGGGGGAAGAGCCTGCTTCATCTTGTTGCTGGTCAGAAGTCCTTGATGCTACAGTTGTGGTTGTGCTACTGCTACGCGCCGCGCCAGGAGTTGATAATTTGTTACTGGAGACTACGATTGCAGTTGTTGAGGATCCAAATTCCATCTCTTCTACTTGTTGTTCACAGCTGTCGACTGCCTCTACAAGAATATCGCAGAGCGCCACCGCTTCGAGTGAGGTTAGATCATTCAATTCGTATGAAAAAATCTCTAGCGCTTCGACAGAGCGCCAGAGATTTCGCAGGCAATCGGCTGGTGTGACTACAACTGCTTCTTGTGCCGTTTCCTCGGAAGAAGCCATTTGCGCATCAACAAGAATTGATGTGCTGGCGACGTTCTTCTCGTCACCTTCATGTCTAGTCCTAGGGGAGGTTTCTTCTTGGTGTTGAGCAGTGCCTCCTGGCGTGCGAGCACTACTGGTTCCCGAAGAGGCTGTTGTAGTAACTTCGTCATAGTCGTGTCCCTCATCGACCTCTTTCAGCAAATCATTGCCAAGATCATTTGCGTCGGAAAGAAGAACGAAACCATCTTCGACGGCATCACTGATTTCGTTTCCCTGGTGGTGCTCCGGGTCACTCGGAGCTGTCTTTTCTTCTCCATGTTGTAGTTCCGTTGGTCCTCGTGGTCGTTGTCGTGCTTGTAATTGTTCCTGAAGATTATCTTGTTTCTCATTCGTGTTCGATTGCTCACTTAGATGCTGGTCACTGTTTGTGCCTGGAACAGCAACAGAGCTGTTGTTTTCCATCTCGATATCGTCTTGTTCATGGTCCTCGATAGCTTGTTTTCTTTGACTGGTGTTGAAGGCGGAGGAAAACATGCCCATGGCCATACTGAGACCAACCACTTCAACCCCGACAGTCGCAGCAGCAGCAACAGTAGCCATCGTGGCGATGCCATATGCCCCAGTCTTAACTATGGACTCTGTTCGCGTTTGTTGTGAGCGCTGTCGCCACTCTCGAAACCGTAATCGCCTACGGCGCCGAGCGTTCTGCAGGGCAAGCGCTTTGTCTCGTGAGGCTTCATCATCCTCGGGACGAGGGCCTGGTGGACGAGAGTTTTCAACAAGATGTATCCGCTGAGGGTGAGCAATCGACGCTTGTGTACTGGAAGATGTTCCTAGGCTTTTTCCACTTGCACTCTGGTCGTGCGGGTCATCAGATCCGACCATGACAAAATTATGTCCCTCCTCAGCCACGCCGCCAGCTAGTACTGTTTTCTTGCATTTGATTTCCGCATCTGTTGTGACACCTCCTTCATCGGGTCTGCTTGCAGCCATGTGCGAGCTGGTGATCTGCATCTCATCATCTTCGCGTTTTGAGACCCCTACTTTCTGCTCACCTGAGGACGAGGGTTCATCTTCAATCATCATGTCGTCGCTGGGACCGCACTTGCAAAATTCGCAGAAGAGTTCGCAATTTCTTTCAAGAAAATCATACTCCAGTTTCTCACAGCCAGCCCCATGCTCCTGGAGCTCGCAGAAGGATAGAGCCCGCAAGACGGTCACGAACCAGGGTGACGCGCGCCGTGAGTTTACAGTGCCCGACCGCTTCAACAAGGCCTCTAAGCTCGATGCCCCGTAACGGACCCGTCGAATCGTCGTGCCCATGAAGGCCTCATCGATCAAATTCGTCGCTGGTGTACTAGTTGTAGCAGTATCCGCTGACAACGTCGACTGCCTCTCGGGTCGGGCTTGTGCAATCAACATGGTATCTGTTGAAGTAGAGGCTGCATGATTGGATTCACTTCCTTCTCGTCTACTATTCGGTCCTGCAGGCGTCACACCAACCGAAGCAAAATTATCAACGTCTTCTTCAACATCAAGAAGGTCATTTAAAGACATGTCCTCCTTTTGTACAACTACAATTGGTTTGGAAACTTCTTCTCCCACGCTTCGAGATGAACCACCCCTTGAAATGCTGTCATTTCCTTGATCTCGCGTCGAAGAAATTTTAGTTGTATTGCTCGGATGAAATGCGGTGAAAACCCCTCCTCGTATAAAATCGTCGATGTGATCGAGCTTTACCCCATCCATGGTGAAGTGAACAACATAAACATCGTCGCCTCTAGACCACGCCTGCCCTCCACCTTCATTTCCACGATCATTATTGCTTCCCTCATCTACTTCTTGTCGCTTGACGGCTTCCTGCATTGAGCCTTGTCTTGATTTGCCGGACCGACCGGCCACCACGATCCCATGATGAGAGTATGTGAAGAAGAGGCGATACACGTAGATATGATCGCCAGGCTGAAGCGCCTCTTGCTTCACGGCGTGGCTCAGCTGCAACGATTCAGCTAACGCACTCACCAAATGGACGCTCATTTTGCTTGTTCGACTTTTATTACCTCACCAGGGAGAAGGTATTTCCATTTCCCAACGTTGGGCTTAATTACAACTTCGTGTTGATTCTATTCAAATAATGCGTCAGATGATTATTCTTAATATTTATAGCGAAGACATAACATGACGGAAAAGTAGGCCAGAAAAGGTGCACAACCTCCAAAATAACGAACTTCGAGTATTTCTTTTTGTGTTACCTTAATACGAGTGGAAATTATTATTCACGAAACGAATTTGAATCTATCAGTGGAATGAGGGAGTCACGACTAGTTGATAGTCATAGGCTAGCGACGAATGGATATAGATACAATTCTTACAGATTGCAGTCGATTCCACGATGAAAAATCTTATTGGGGCTTGTATCGTTCTCTTTCGTGCATATCAATGAGGGGTTTACCACGAGTACAACCATGTTCCTAATTAAAGAGGTAAAGACATGGTCAAGATCGGTTGTGCTCAAGAAAATTAGGTCCCTGCAGTAAATGAAAGAGAAGATGAACTCGCATCGTATTGATGCATGGTGAAGATGAAGAAGTAAAGATCGCTCGTCTCCGCGTGGCAACATCGCTGGCGAAAACAAGCACTGACACGACGAACAGACTCTTGAAGGTCCGCACCTCGAATTTCTGAAGACGACTGCTCTCGCACCTCATCATTTCACAAGTCAAGAACAAGACAACCAACATTTACAACTCAGCCTCAGAATCAGATAAAAAGGCTGGCACCATCAGAGCTGATCTCACAACTACCGATGGCAACATTCAGTGAAAAAATCGGCAACTCGATGTCGGAAACAGACTCGTCACTCTTCTAAATTTAACACCTCAATACGAAGCAAATGAATATTACGTAGACCACCATCTGCTCAGGATATTCAATTGGCTCGTTTCGAACTTCTACCATTGATTCATCTGGTTGATGCATCCAGAGCGCAATGAGTGAGTCTTTATCTTCTTCAACATCTTGCAATTACTTATATACATGTCGAGAGTACATAGTGCAATTATGGATTCGCTTTGATCATTGAAATGATGCTGAAATTTTTTCAGGCAATGACATGTTCTTCGTCATCTTCAAAGCCTATCTACAACGGACTGTCAATGTCAAAAGCCTTTTTATGTAATTGCAATACTGCACCAAATACTACCAAGTAACGTATGTTAAATAACTCCTAATAAAAGCTAATTTCTATGTGTTCCAAAACCAAATGACCATGCGCGATATTCTCAAATCATTTTATTGTTTATCATGAAGAAGAAAATTATTATTATCCAGGGGCGACGTTGGCCCGCGGTTGGGCGGGCTGTGCACTACAGTACTCCGCGGGAAACGGAGGACCAGCCTAACAGACTACCTCAAGGTCTCAAGCGTCTCCAAGGCGCGCTAGAGCCAAAGCTCAGCAGTTTGGAAAGAGAACGGCCACGCCAGCCGCAGCTCTCTCGCGCCCTGTGACTGTGCTGGTGCACAGTCAAAGAGTAGAAGTCTGGGTTGGTTGCGGCGTGGTGGTCCGAACTCCCTGCCGAGGAGGAGCCTTACGCAATGCGCTGGCACTGAGTTCGAAAATAAAAGTAGAAAGCAGCAACGCAGGCGCAGCGACTCCCACCCCGTGGGCGCACCTGCACACGACAATCAGAAACAGACGAAGAAAATACGCGGAACCTCGAGCCCGTCGAGGAACGAAGCCAAAAGCCACTGCATGCGGACACGCGCACCAAGCCTGTGGCGCAGATCTGTTCAGTCACACACCCAGCCACTCACGCGGAGCAGCGTAAACAAGCCAAAAGATTGACCTCGCTGGTGTCTGTGGTGAAGCCCGCACCGACCAGCACACGCGACCAAACGCGAAAAGACCCAACGAAAGGGAAACAAGGCGCCACCTGCGCCGACGGATGGCGCGCGGGGGGAAAATCCGGCGGGCGAAGGTCGGGCAGTGCGGTGGCTAACTGCTCTAAGAACAAGCGACTGAAGCTGCGCCTTCGTTGTTTTTTTAAGGAGTTAGTAGTTCCAAGAGAGAACCCACGAGACCTATCCTCTGCGGATTCTTCTCGTTGACGGGTTGCGCTCGCTATGCCTGCGCGCATTCTGCAGCCACTGAGGGAAAGCACCGGGAACAGCGTCGAGCAGAAAGCCCAGAACCACCGCCGAAAACCTTCGCCAGATGATAGCCACGCGCGCTCGTTTAGATTAGCCAAACCGCACACAGAAGCACCCGCCACCAGGGCGGTGGTACACCTCGACACCCCGCAGGGGCGCGGACTATCCTACGCACACACAACCAGAGCAGGCGGAGACGAAAAAGCAAAGACACACCCCACCAGACACGCACGGCACAGGGGAGAGCTTGCGCAGCAAGCCAGGCGCGCGCTTTCGTCAGAGGAATTGCGCTGGCCATCTCTCGATGGGTATGCGCATCGCGCTTTGCCTTTTCGTTGCCCCTCTACACTCTGCGAGGAAGTTGCGCTGGTCATCTTTCGACGTTTTGCGCGGTGTTTAGCTCACCCGGAGCTCCCGGTGACCAGCCGGGGCGAAGAAGAAAATGCATGATGAGATGTTGAATGTAGTGAATGATGGAAATCATTTGAATTACAACTACGAACTCGACGAGTGCCGATACTGTGTCCTCTACTTGGAAGTAGTTCATAAGCTTGCTGGCGTGACGAGTATGAGTTTGGACGATCAACAACATCACATCCTTCTCAATGGTGAAGCTGATCCTGATGCTGAGTTATTTTTTTTTGGTTCTAGTTCATCATCCTTCATTCTTTTGACTTATCTACATCCAATGTAAAACCTCGGACGAGATGTTATTAATGCAATATATAACCTAATCGTCCCTAATATCACAGGCGCAGCATCTCCTCTACATCTACTTTCTCTTGTTCATAAATTCAAAACTGTCAATCGAATCGTAAAACCAGAATGGTGCAGCGTTTCTATCATCAAAAACTTGCAACCTGTAACTGTTCTGCTTCGATCTTTTTTGAGCTGTTTTTCAGAAAGAATTCGTTTCGCTAGTAACTACATGGTCTAACCACTTTTTGGACTAAATAATTGGTATTTTTTCAACTATCCTCGATATTGCGTGGTGTGAATGTGCTACTTAAATGATGAATTAAGGAGATGGATGTCCCAGAAAATCATGGAATCGTTATTGCTTACCGGCCTTTTCGTTTTGGTCTTTTCATTTTGATAGTGAGTTTATGTTTACTTTGGATACGAGTTCGACTTAAGAAAGCAAAATGTTGCTAGCGCATAGTACATTGGAAAATATAAACGACGAGCAGAAGATGCGAAACCGTAGTTTGCAGTCGTTTTCTTCTTGTTCATTTGAAGCAGTAAATAGTTACATCGTATTTTTTTGTACCTGCTAGACGAGTTTGCGTTTCTACAATTTAAAAAAACACAGCTCAACTGCTTCTGTCCCGAAGCGGTGTTGAGTACAGACACCAATAAATAAGAAATGAAAGTACTTAGCATCCACAGAAGCGAAGTTCCCGCCGCCTTGTTTACGAGAAGAAAGACCCGAAAATACTGCTTCCTCGATTTTCTGCATCTGACGAGTAGAACGAAAGAAGTGGGAGTTTTGATGCAAAAATAACGTGATAAACAAGTAGAAGATAGCGGAATGATAACTACAAAAGCAAAACCTTGACCTTGTTTAAGAAATCAACGAACTGAATTATAGAAGGAGTACCATTTTTTTGGTCTACTACGGGTACGGGGACGGGCTCCATTTCAGACCCTCCTAAATCAACATCGGCTTTCGCATGCGCCGTCTTTGTGGCGGTGCTCGAGACCCCAGACTGCGGAAACGAACTCTCTTCAGCGTCCTCGTGGTGACCTGGCTCTTCTACCACAACGCATTTTTTATCACTTTCGCATTGCACGTACTCATCTGTACATTCATCTACTTGTTCTACTCGTGTTTGATTTGTTGCAGCATCTCCCACCTCTTCCTGGATTTGCGTATTTTTACATCTAGATGGACTTGCTCTACTGGGTCCACTCTCTTGTTCGGTGGGCGAAGCGGAAGCGACAAGGAGGTCGCTCCAGTCCACTACACTTCGTCGTCCACTACCACTAGCACTAGGTGGATGAATGCTCCTTCCACTTCTATCTTCCTCTTCCTCGGGCGTTGTCGGCGACGGTAAGACACTTCTTCCTGCTGCTAGTGATAGTGGTACAGTAACAACGTTATCGTCGACTTTGCTAGTAGTCGAGGGTGAAGAAGTAGACGAAGATGTCGTGGCCGCATTATGATGCGCCTCTTGTCCATCGTCAATGACAATCATGTCACCATCTGTTGCGTTTGGCTTCAGTGGCAGTTCTACAACAGAAGTTGTTGTCTCCATCGAATAGGTGGCAGCAATGCTAGAACTAAACGAGGTTGACGAAGCTGGGCATGCAGTTGAGCTGGTGGAATGCAGCTGTTCTACTTGGGGCATTGTTTTCTCCATGATTGGACGAGCAACTTCCACTTCGTCACCATTTGAGTGTTGAAGCAGCGAGGGTGAACGCTGACCGGCATTGACCAGTGTAACGTCTGGAGCAACCCACACATCGTTCGTACTGAGAAAAGGGCCGCCCGCCGATTCGCATGAACGAAGCAATGAAACTAGAACTAATATTTATTACGAGGAGAGGTAGATGAGCAGTGAATATTAAGAATTGCTCGTTTGAATTTTTATCGTCAGGAATGTTCATTTGTTACATACTTTTTGCACTCACTTACTTCAAGGCCCGCCTCTATGTCCTCCTAGCTTCAATCTTCATGTTATCAATTCTATCAGTAGAATCATTTCATTCGAAAAACGTTAGGATTATCCTCTCGTCCATCTGGTGCTTGTTTGATATTGCTTATGATCGTTATCACGAACTTCTACGATAAAAACACATTTCATAACTGCTCTCCTACAAGCTTTCGCAACATGACAGGCAGATGACGAGACTCCGCATCAGATCCCGATCGAGAGCGAGACCGTGAGTTGCCCGCACCATGAACTGAGCCTGAAATGGATGAACTAGTCTCCTCTACTCCGGATACTGCTGATGATTGTTTGCTCGACGATGCTGAAATACTCTGCTTCTCTTTTCTGGAGTCCGCCAAACAGGACGTAGCTGCGACTTCTTCATCCGCGACTTGGACAGGAGCAATGGAAGTCGCAGGCTCCACTCCGACCTCAATATCTGCTCTGGTGTTTTTGTCCTCTGGAAGAATTTCTGTTTTGTGCGCGACTGCGGGTTCTGGTAGTATCGGTTTTTCTTCTTCAACAACGTCTCCTTGATCTTGAGTTCCTGCTTCTAGTGCTCGAGTCTTATTTGACTGTTCGGCAATAAGATCAACATTTTCGGCTGCGTTACCGTCTCCCCCGCTGTTGCGACGTCTCGCACTCATAGGCTGCTGTAAATTTTCCTGAATCACCTTGGTTTCCATCTCCTCCAGTCGGATCTTCATCGCCTTAGGCAGGAATGCCTTGTCGCGTATCGAAGGACATCTGATGGCATTCAGTGCCGCGTTGTGTGCTGCCAGGTTCTCTAGGTTCAACACAGACTTTCCATCTTTATTCATTGCGTCCTCGTTGGAGCAGGAGTCATCTTCCTCCAGTAATGGAGACCCGGCATTGCTACCGTAGATTGATCCCATGGACTTTGGGGTCTCGCAGTTGTAAAGCGAGCCGACAGAGGAGTCGCAGTTATAAAGACTGCCAAGCGACAATGTACTTGCTGCAGAGGAGGTGCGTCCCGAACGGCACCCAGGCTCGCCACAGGGCTCGTCTTCGTCCTCAGACATGCACTCCAGCACGTGCATCGAAACCTCGGTGCACTGCGACGAAGCATCGCTGTCCTGCTCCTCGTCACTAGACGGTTCCGCTACGGTTGGCTTCGGTGGTGGGGAAAGGAAGCGCCTCTGCGCGCCAACGCCTTGCTGCTTATTTTTGACTGCAGCAGCTATAGTTGGGCAGGTTCCTGTTGGTCGTGTGGAGGTTGTTGTACTCTTGGTGGTCGTACTATTTACTGGTACACCGAGTGCTCCGCCCGTGCTCATCGCTTTTGTACTCGCCGGCGGGTGGTTGCTAACTGGAGTACCAGTTTCGAACCAATTTCCGATGGGGTCCTCGCTTTCCCGCATCGCACGTGTTCGAGGTGAGTCAGCGATGTCGAAGAATTTTGGTCCGGACGCGGTGTCTTGAAGATCGAGCGTCGGCACAACGTTGAGGTCAGAAGTCTTCTTCAAACTGCTTTTCAATGCAGGCTTCTTTATTGCGGGCTGAGGTGGAGGACTTCGAGTTCGACCCCCAGCGAGACTAGCTTTATTTGAAATTCCTCCTGCAGGTGCTACACCCTGACTTCTACTTGCAGGGTAGAAGTTCTTGCTCCCCATCTTCTTCGCTAGGACTGCGCTGTCACGCGGAATGCGCGCAAAGCGGTGATCTATCTCCCCAGGCGAAGACGATGAGCTACTACTATTACCATGAAGATCCTGTTCATCTGCGTCATCATCCAAACCATGATGATCGTATCGCCGATCGTAATGACCGAAGCTATCATCTTCATCCCCATCCAACATATCCGAGTCACGACCTCCATATCGTAGGGCGGCGGGCGAGCCGCCTGCACCCCCGCGTCGGGTCGAAAACTTAGCAGGTCCGCAAACTGCTGCCTCGAGCACTTTGAGGCGTGCACGCTTCACTTCTTCTTCTGCTTCGTCGAGAGCCGACAGTTTACGCAGCAGAGCATCATTGTCGAGCACGTGTTGGGGCGACTTAGCGCGCTCAGGAGGAGGTGGCGATTTTCCCCGAAAGAAGCGCACCTTTTTCCTGCCACTCGTTCGCGGGATCGCGCTACAATCTTGGAGACGCGTGCTCATCTTGTCGTTTCTGCTTGATAGATCAACGTGTTTCAAGTCCAACCTCGAAACGTCGTAGTATGTAGAAAGAGTAAGAGCTGAGAACTAGAAGCTGAGCAACACGGGATCGGGAAAATGTTTAGCAACATGATCCTAATTCTATCTGCGATTCTTGTCCTTGTGTTTGTCTCGGTCACGGCGTCACCTGCTTCAATTTAATCATGATCGTCGTCAAGTCATTTACAATAACTCACTAATTTTGAACAAGTGTTGAAGGTATTATGCGTTTACAAAAAAATACATCTTCATGTTCATCGAAAAACGAAAAGTTTCAATCGTTTCCTTCTTTTCAGTGCGTAGAATATGATCTACTTCTCTACGAACCAGTATTTTGTTTTGCGGGCGATGTTGGAGGATGTAATGAGTTGTAGAGAGACAGAGATGATCATGTTGGGGATATTAAACTAGCAATCATATCAAACATAATGGTAAATAAAATCTATGGTATGATAAATCAGTATAATGGAATTTATGTCATAAAAATACAAATAGCAGGTCCTTCAACCTGCACTACTTATTGTAGTAAAAAATCATCATCATGCTAATGATCGACAAATAATTATAAAAATCACGACTACCGATTTATAAAAAATTTAAACTTAGAGGATGGGTCTACCGCAAAACCGATGATGAATTCACAACATGCATCTCTTCTTCTCATAAGCAGGGAAAGTGAGGGAGGTGGTGAGTTGAGGTAGAAGATTAGATCTTTCTCCGAGACGAGGTCAGAATATACCCAAAGAAAAAATTATTCGACGACTACGGCTTCTCTCATGTTGCTCCTCTTCATCCATCCTCATTTTCTCTCGGCCAGATCAAAGAACAATATCTTGCTATAGTACGAACGTCGATCTTTAACTTTATGGCCTAACATATGTTGTTCGTGATCGTGGTCGGGGTATACTTGCACAGAGGATTGCAGTTGATACCTCGTCTACGCGTCGAAGTCGAACAACGATGAAAATTACCAGCTTGGTGGCTCCGGAACTCGACCACTGTAGGTGGTAGTAGGTGGTAGTAGATGGGAGTGCCTGCCACTGGTCTTGTTATGTTGGTACTACAACTCAGTAAAAATGTATGTCGTGTTCTTGGGATGAGGTCCGAGGGAGGTGAGGGGTTTCTTAGCCTTCTTCAACGGGTTCGCTCTGCGTCACAAAAATATCACTACACCTCATTTACGACCGGTCACGCCGTTGCTGCTTGTTCTCTAAAGGTGAGTGTTTGACATTGCATACTGATACTACACACGGATCTGAGTATTACAAGCAGAGATCATTGTCATAGTCATTGTTCTTCCTGGAAGTCGCAACTTGATGACTCTAGTATCGTGACAGCGAAATGTGAAAGAAGGAGGACAGCCGCCCAGAAACAGAATATTGGTAAATTAATATTAATAAATCTATGTTAAGACAAGATTTATCCTAAGTATTATGTCTCCGTCGTCATTGACGTTCCCTTCTCGACGTTTTCGTCCTCAGATAACATGTTTCACTTCCTCGTGCCTTAGGACAACTTGCTTCATTTCATACCCTTACAAAGGTACTGGTTGACGTTGACCGTTTTACTATCAGTGTTTCATAAAAGACAACAAGTAATAAATCCGGGTTCACGTCAACAAAGAACTTACCCAAAAACTAAAGCGCTTCTCTTGGTGACAGTGATAATTTCTCTCCCTTTTCTTTATCGTAAACTACAAGTTATGATGTCATGGATGTGATTAGAAAATTAGTCTACTAGTGTAGCAATTGTTTGTGTTGATATTCACAGATGAAAAAGCAAACGAAATATGAGGCATGAATGTACACACGCATGATGAGAAATGCTTGAATAGATACATACTGAGCGTCTTCGCTATCGGTATCCCATTTGTTGGAACTGGGCAGGCGTGGGCATATTGAATTGCTGCTGTTGATTCATGGGTACTCCACCCATTTGCTGTGCGTTGTATTGCTGGCCCATGGGCTGTTGACCCATCATTTGCGGCTGCTGCTGCGTCATCGGCTGTTGCCCCATCATCTGCGGCTGCTGTCCCATCATCTGCGGCTGCTGTCCCATCATCTGCGGCTGATGTCCCATCATCTGCGGCTGCTGCCCCATCATCGGCGGCTGATGTCCCATCATCTGTGGCTGTTGCCCCATCATCTGTGGCTGTTGCCCCATCATTTGTGGTTGTTGGCCCATCATCTGGGGCTGCTGTCCCATCATCTGAGGCTGCTGTCCCATCATTTGGGGATGTTGTTGTGCCATATTGTTAGCCATCATGGGCTGCTGTTGCTGCATCATCGGTTGCTGCGAATTGTAACCATACTCCTGGGCCTGTTGTGCTCCTCCTGTTGCTCCTGCAAACTGAGGGTTGTGCCCTGGTTGTTGATTGAATTGCTGAGGCGGTTGCTGCTGATACTGCCCCACCTGTTGTTGTGGTGCAGGCGACATGCCCACATTCTGTCCCATCGGCGACATTGTAGTACTGGGCCCTCGTTGCTGGCTTGGTGTGACTTGTTCTTGAGCAGCACCTCCGGGTGTCGCAAAACCAGGCTGTTGTGGGGTTCCTTGGCTGAACGGCGGCATCATATTTTTCCCGCCCATGCCCATATGCGGATTTGTCGGCGACTGCGAACCTTTCTGGTGCTGGTGCTGAAAGGCCTGTTGATGCTGCTGCTGGAATCCAGGACCTCCGCCACCTTGCTGATATTGTTGCGATGTCATCTGTACTGGCTGCTGCTTGCCCATCATCGGCTGCGGCTGACCCATCATCGGCTGCTGCTGACCCGCCATTTGCTGCGCCTGTTGTTGACCCTGTTTTCCGACCATCATATTACCTGCAGGCTGCTGTTGACCGCCCTTTTGTCCTGATGCTGATGGCATCTGCTGGTTCTGCTGGGGCTGTTGAAAGTTCGGACTCATGCCATCAGATCCCTTCATTTGTTGCTGCAGCATCGCGTTTTGATCACCAGCTTGCTGTGGTATCATCTGTCCTCCTTGCATATTCAACACCTGCTGCTGCCCGTTGCCTCCGCTGCTGTAACCAGTACCTTGCGGAGGCGGCATTTGATTCTGCGGCGGCATCATTGAAGCTGGAACAGGCTGCGGCACCTGTTGTGGAGAAGGCATTTTTCCTCCGTCACCAAACAAGGCCGCCATTCCGCGACCAGCATTGCCTCCTCCCTTTTGCAGCTCGCAGGAGGGCATACGAACTGGTGCACCTGAAGAAGAGACTTTGAAACACCGTGGACCTATTTTTGGAAAGAGTACACATGTTTACTTCCTTTTGGCTTTGGGTACGAATAAGAAGAAGTCAACACATCAGACTCGAGTTTCCCCATCACAGCTTACAACGCTCTTGGCTGAAAGCATGATACTCATGACCACTCAAGAAACGCAAACAAAAATACTCCTAAAAGCATGCAAGATAAAAGTGGTATGAAGACGACTCGGGCGAAATGTCTTACCGGACGCGGGTGCTCCTTTTCCTGATCCTGGTGCTTGTTGCGGTTGTCCGCCAAAGCCCACTCCACCAGATCCAGGTTGTTCGCCGCTGGGCCGTCCGCTAGACGCGGGCTTTGGTTCCGGCGGCAAGTTCTCAATAATTTGCGTTTTCTCTTCCTGTCGCGCGAAGCAGTAATCACTAATCTGTTGTTTGCTCTGCCTTAGGAAGTCTCCCAGTCGCGTGTAGAAGTTGATGCCGTCGGCAACGTCCTTAATCATGGTCACGATGATGGAGGCTGTGGTCTCGAGCACCGACAAGGCTTTTGCGCGTTCCGAAACCGCCTGCGCCGACTTGGTGGCCTCTAGCGTCGCTACATACAACTCCAGGACCTGATTGCACTCTTTGCGTACTGTCGCTCTCAACTCGACGAGCTCACGGTTATCCCGCGCAAGCTGGTGTTGCTCCACTCGATGCTCCACAATCTGTCTGCACTGAGCGACGAGGTTCTTTTTCCCGAAGCTGCTCATGATTGAATCGTTCGCCAGGCCGTCACGTCCGCAATTTAGCAACTCCTCTTCCAGCGGACCCGCCTCAAGCTTAATCGTTTGTTTTGCTTCCTCCACCTTGGCAGCCAAGGCCTGCTGCTGAGCTTCGAGTGCCTGCAGCGCCTGCTTCACGGCACCAAATTTGTTATCCTGGGCACCGTTGGCGCTGGTGGGTCTGTCGCTGGGAAGACCATTCTCGATTTCCTGGCGCGAACGCGAGGGTCCGATCAGAGCGGTGTTGGCGTTCGCTTTTAGGGCAGTGAATCTGCTTCGCAGAAGCTCGTTCGCAGATCGCGCTTCAGCCAATTTCTGCTGGTAAGATTGCAGGTTTTGGCGAAAGCCCTCTTGCAATTTGTTGCTGCTCTCTCGCTTCCACTTCTCTGGACCGTACTTGTTGAAGCACTCCGCGTCTTCAGCTCGCTCTTCGTCCAACTTCTGCAGACTCTCCTCGAGCAAAGCATCGCAAATGTTGTCGTACTGGCCCAGAGCTTCCATGCTGTTCGTGACTGCATCCACGCCGCCTTTGCTGTTGACGTCCAAAACCTTGTTCCACAGCTCTTCCGGCATGCTGCGGTCGTCCACGTCGTTCCCCGTCTCCATCACTGCGATCGGTAAGCTCTTTTCGGCCAGTCGGCCCTCGACTTCTGCCCGTAACTGCTTCACATCGTCGTCCAATGCAAACAGCACAGACTCCTGCCGCATGCTGTAGTCCTGCAGCGCGGAGGACACCTCGCGAGGAAGCAATCCGTTGAGCACACTGCGATATTTGGCGGCGACAAGAGCGGATGCGCTTGGCGGCTGATCCCCGCTTCCACTGCCTGGTTGCTCGACACCGGACCCTGGCGGTGAAGTCGAGTGCGAACCAATCAAGTCCTCTAATCGCACAATCGTAGGCTTACTCACGTCGATCGGCACAATCGGTGAGAGTTGCGTAACCGATGGCTCGTCCCTCGGAAAGTAGATGTTATCGCAGTCATGCTTCACTTTCTGGAATTCCACTTGCACCGTTTGGCGCAGCGACGCAATGTCTGCGTACTTTGCGTGTCTCTGCGCGGTCTCCTCCACCAATCCCAAGGCGCAGCGAAAACGCGCTAAGGTCTCGCCCCAGCCTTTCATCGTGCTCTCGCTCGCCTCCCGCTCTGACATTGCCTTTTGGAAAGTAGCCGCCGCTAGGAACGTGCGCTCTTGTGCTGCGAAAATCTCGGCAAATTCTGGTCCAATCGCTCCGGAAAGCTTCCGAGCGGACGTCAAACACAACTGATAATCCATGGCCACGCGCATCGCCAATCTGGCCAACAGCGAACGCAAAAGAATGAACAAGGAGGAAGAAAAATGACAGTGATCATAATTGTGCTATCCACCAGTGCCAGTAGTTCTAGAGGACATACAGGATAACATCAACAATAACAATAGCTGCACGGCTGAATCTTAAGAATACTTAGGTTTCTTTTTGGTAGGTGTATGATATTTAGGACACCAGAGGTAGTATCAGGTATTGATTAGTTGTAATGCGGTTGCGGTTCCTTGGCCATAAATTTTTTCTCCTTGACGCCTTTTTCGTAGACACAGGTGTTTGCCTGTGCAATCATCGTACACGCCCACATGTTCAGCGCTGGTTGCGATAGATCGGCGGTCGCTTCGACTTGAATCTCGTCTGCCATGAAGTCACGCAAATACGAAAAGATTCCTGCAGCGCGACAGAACAGCTGTGTAGCCATCCTGGATCCCTCCTCGGTGCTGCGGTTGGTCGACACAGCCGCAGAGCCTTCCAATGCAGCCATATTGTAGATACAAGCAGCTTTTTCGCACGCAAAAGTCGCCCGCGCCGTCTTCACCTTTGGCCGAAAAGTGTCGAACCAAACAAGATCAACATTGAGGCCCTTGGTTCCGGGTTGTGCAATCGGGAAGCGTCTCTCCACCAACTGCACGAGCGCGACATACTGAGAGAGGCCAGTGCGCGAAGACTCCAGGTGTGCATCGGAGGTACGAATATCGCGCACGCGCTCACGACGCTTTTGCAAGTCCGTTGCTAGTTCATGCACTTGCGCCTTGGCAGCGTCGCCGAAATGCTTAACGCTGTAAGCCTCCACAGCATCGCGGAGACCCGCCGGCTGCGTGGTCTTTACGTCCGGCTTCAACATTCTGTTGCTCTTCTAGTTGAACCGACAGACGAAAATAGAAATATTCTTGTTCTCCTCCTTGTAGTCCTAGTCGATATTTGTACTTACAACTCCTGCTGCAGCTTCTGAAATGAACACTACTAGTCGTATACCAAACCTAGTGAGAATATGAGATTGAGAATGAGATCATTATCAGAAAGAAAGCTGTAGAACTAGCAGAACCCGAAATACAAGAAGTATGAACAATAGGTGGAATAGAAGATGATGGTGAAAATGAGTACTTGAAAGAAATCAACAAGAGGAATATTCTTGAACAATTCGATAGTTGTTCGTTCAATCCCAAAACTATCGAAGTACTAGGATGAAGAGAAAAGAATTCCAAAACTGCAACTAGTAACTCGGAGATGAAAGTCCTCTAACCCGTCTGCACTAACTTTCAAAACGACAAGAAAGAATCAAAGACTGCTCCTAGCTGCTTTATCAAACTTTCGTGTTGCTACTCTACACCTTAGTACTTGCAATAACAGAGGATTCTAAAGTCCGAAGATAAACTAAACACGAAAGATTCACTCACGTGTTGCTGATTTTACAGTGGGACAGGCCCATTTTTCTTCCCTGTGGTTTTGATTTTGAGATGTGGATGTAATCGCTGGTGAAAAAAGATTGATAACTTTTCTTGCTGCAGCTTGAGCAGCTGCAAGCGGAAAACTAGTAGATGGAGTTCACGCATAAGTTGTATAATGATTGGAATTCGACGTTTAATAAAATGAAGCGCTCACTATTCGAGTTTGCGACGTAAGAAAATTATAAGGGGTATAAAGCAGTACTCCGGTTGATCGAGTCGATTTCTGATCTTCATCCTGTTCATTGATTTAACTTTCATGAATCATGATTGAAACTCTTGTCTCTAGCGGATTGGTGATCATTATGTTTTTGACCCTCACGCTGACGCAATTTCGAATATTCCATTTTATACAAAAAGGGAATCCAAAACCACATGTCGGGTCTGTTCCTACTTTCATTTCGAAGTCAGATTTCATATCTGTTTATTGTTGATCTTTTTTTTTGTTAATCGAAAATGCAAACGAGATGAGATTGAGACCCAGAAGGGAAACTTTGACTCTCTGCTTCTCGAGAGCGCGCATAGTGGGTTACCACGGCATGTATAGTGACGAGGATATCGATCTTGGAGAGTGAAGTCGGTTTGACGACAGTCGCGAGTCTGTATTTTTTTGATGCTGCCTTCCTCCAAAATTTAGATGGAAGCCCAAGCCCTCCTGCTTACCTTCTTTAAGTAGTTTGGTTCTGTCCTTTGCGCATCACTTCCAGTTTGCCCCTTGGCCTGCATGATCACACCAGGGGAGAAGTTGCTTTGGTTTCAAATTTCTAGCGCAGAAAGCGCTGCGCAGACACGCAGCGGCTGGCTTGCGCTGCAGCGGATCAATGGTCAGCATGCTAAGAAAAAGCTCCAGCGCACCCCCCCCTGCTACAGGCATCTGCCGCCCTCCGCCTCCGCTTGAACTAGAAGCTCCGTCAAGAACTGACATTTCTCTTTCAGCTACTTCATACGGTAGTGTGTCCACGCGCAGGAGGGACATTGCGTCGTTGATGGTCTCCTGAGGACAGCGCCAAAATGCCGCTAAGGGCAATGTAGGAAAGCGACGGGATTGCGTCACGATGTGGCCCGTGGCCGCACAGTGAAGTCTCCCTTGTTGAGAATCAGAAAGTTGAAAATTGTTCATGACTTCAGCCAGCGGCCATCGCGCTAAAAGTGCCTTTCGGAACTGGTCCGCAGAGGTTAACTTCTTTTCCCGGTCTGCTTGCTCGTCATCCCCTTCAACTGCGGCAGAAAAAGCTGCACATGTAGTTGCCGCCCTCTTATTGCTGGTCGTACTATTCCGTACAACATTCCCGCTGCTCGCGGATGCAGAACTACTACCTCCAGCTCTGTCTACATCTACTCCTCGTTTTTTGACGCATCCATCAATGTTTTCATAATTTGACTTGGATAAGACACATTCCAGGATGAGCGGCAACATTTCGGCTTCGTCTCGTCCTTGAAACAAAACACGCCCTATGACCATTTCCGCAAAGATGCATCCAAGACTCCACACATCAAGCGGAAAATTGTGAAATTCGGAGAAGAGCAACGCCTCCGGTGCTCGGTACCAAGCTGTTACTGCACGTCGCTCTACTTTCCAAGGGTCGAGAACCGCGTCTCGCAGCGGAATCTTCATCTTCTTCGTACTAGTTGTGGGAGTCGGAGTAGGATCGCCGCCCACATGATCCTCGTCAATCTTTCGTCGCTTCATCAAGGGACCTTCTCCCGATGGTGACACGTTTTTCTCTGACGCACCAGCAGCGGTTGTGCTACTTATGCTTCCTCCGGAAAATGTACCTGGGTTCACCACCACCTGAGACAGGTCGCATTCTGCTTCCCCAAGTCCAGCACGACTTGATGTGGGAACAGTTGACGAGGAGAGTGTCCCTCCACTTTGACTTCTAGAGATAGTCCACACTGCTTCCCCTGCTGGCAGCTTTCTTGACAGACCGAAGTCAGTAATTTTTAGGGCTCCAGTGGTCAGGTCGCACAGCACATTGTCGGGCTTCAAGTCCCTGTGCGCAAAATGTTGCTCATGAAGAAAACTGAGCCCTGCAAGAAGCTGATGCAGCATCGCTGCGATATCAGGTAGTTGCAGTCCCACTTTGCGCTTTTCTTGCTCCGCTTTGGCAAACAAGTCACGTTGAGCTTCCAAGGATACATTCATGCGTACTATCGCTCTACTTGTAGAAGGCTGGTGTCTTTGAGAACTGCCGGTGAGACCTTGGGCACTAGCATGTTGGTGTGCTTGCAAAGCCGCTATTCCCGGCGTTGCTGCAGCAGAGCCTGTTCGACCGCCGCCTTTTGACCCTGGAGGCAACATGTTGCCTCCAGTTGGGGCAACGGATGAGCCTGTCTGAATCTGCAAGCTTCGACCTGCACTAACTAGCGCTGCTGCGGATGCTTCGGACTGCATACTCTGGGCTCGACTAAAAACTTGGTGCTCTTGTTCGCGGGCTCTCTGATCTGCGATAAACTTCGACAACATCGAGGCTCTGTATAGTAGAGACCTGTCAGGCTGGAACTTGTGAATTACATGTTTCAGTGTGCAATCCAGGAAAGGCATTACCAACATGAGCTCCGCAGGTCTCGCACCAGAAGACGGCATATTGGCTTCGTCCTGGTTGCTTTGTTTTGTTGTTTTGCTGTCCAGAACCTGTTCGCCCCCGCCATCTTTGTATAATGAGTTCTTTTCCGACCCAGACGGAGTAGCAGAGGCGCTTGCCGCTACCGTACCCCTATGCAGAAAGACACTCTTCAGGAACATGACATTTTCGTGCTTCAAGTGGCAGAGTGCTTTAATCTCACGAATCGACGATATATGCAATCCGGTATCGCGCGTAGTCGCTTTGATGCGCTTCACTGCAACGAAACTGCCATCCACGCGGTCGTAGCATTTGAACACAGCTCCGTAAGTTCCCTCGCCGATGTTGCTTTCCACATTCTCAAAGCGCCCGTTGGGACCATATCTGAGAACCAGTGCGGACGAGGAAGCCGCCTGCGATGTTCCAACCTGTGGCATTCGTGGATGAGCTCCATCTTTCCACTCACTCTGAGTAGAAGGCCTCACCACACCAACTCCGTGGGCATCAACGTGCTGAAAATGCTTTCCGTTGTTCGACATTTTCTCTGTAACGATGTTCTTGATCTTGATAGAGATACCGTTCTTCATCAAAGAAAAGTTGATGATGCAGCTTCTAAGTTGTAATGATTGCAGTCACATCTTCAACGTCTGGTGCGTCCTCTTTTACTCTTGTACAACAGTATGATCTAACAAAATGAACAACAACAAGAAGCTGAACGGAAATTAGTGGCCAAGAATGGAATAAATCATGTGGATCGCCCTGCTATTTATTGTTCATCTTCACATTCAGAAAGAAACGGGAAAGTGAGGCGTCAGCGCAATACTGTTGGAGATCAACAACTAAGCTATGCCATATATGATTCGGAGCTGCACGCCCCCCCCTGTGGGTGGCCCTGTGGTGGCGCCTGCGCGCTCTTTTCCGCGCTGATTTCCGCGGATTCTAGTGGTGAAAGGCGGCAAAACTGGGCGCGGGCGTCCCTTTGCGCCTCTGTTCCTAAGGGGCCGCCTGGCCTCTGCTGACCCTCGCGGCGGGCTGGAGGTCTCCGGGGGAGAAGGCTGCCGAAGGCGGCCACGGTCTCAAGAGCAAGCAGGCCGATAACCCAGGGCCCGGAGGGTACAGGCCACACGGCTCAGGGGGCCCGCCCTTGCTCCTTTTGCCGCCTTCGGAGGCCTTCCACACCCGGCGCACTGCTGCGGCGGCGAAGCACATCGGCAGTCTGTAGGGTACATGCGAAGGGCGCCCGGGTCTCTCGCGACCCCTTTGGAACCCTTCCACCGCCGGCAGACGGCTCCCGAAAGGGTCCGGGGCTACCGGCCACCCCCTGCGCTAGAGGGGCGCACCGTAGCCCTGAGCCCTGGAACATATATAATATTCGGCAGACGCTGACGCATAGACGTAGAGCAATGTTGAAACTATGAAGAAAATAATCGGGACCCACGAAAAAGTGAATGTTATTCAGATTCTCCTTCTCGCTCATCATCGCCATCTCCTTCTTCATCAACTACTACGTCCACCATCAAGGATGATATACAACTATGCATTTGAAGCTGTAAACGGCTTACCGATGGCGTTTCAGTTATAGAGCGTGTGGGACTAGAAGGAGTTCCTCTCCTCTGGCCCTGAAATATGAAGATGAGGTAAGCAAGGACTATCAGGGACATTTTTATTCTTGGACCGAAGGAGAGCAGGCTGTATTCGTGGCGTGCAGTCCTGCTTTGGAGCAGGACGACCGTGGCAAGAGGTGGTTGTAAAAGTCAAGTCGAATCCATTGGACAGCAGGACCGGGACAGAGAAAAGAACATCAAAATCGGAATCGGGAAAGTGAGACATCCATGCTTAATAGCAAGGTACATAATAAAATGAAGTGCACTAGAAGGGGTAGTACTTGATGATACTTTGAAATACATAAAGGGGTTCGGGGGATCAGCATCAAGATGTTGCTCACAGGGTGTGACCTTTTGCAAGCATTAAGGATTTTAGCATATTGCTCATGCGCGGTTGGCCTTTGTTGTTGCGGCCACTGTCTCGAATATGGTGCTTCTGAATTCGTCGGTTTTTTGTGTCTTTTTTCTTTCGCGCTACTTCTCTTTCCAATTGATCCTTTTCATCTTTCAAGCGCTGTTTTTCCCTCTCTTGCTCTTCTAACTGTCGTTGTGCCTTGCCGTATCGCGTATTCTGCAACTTCTGCGTTTGGCCTTTGCTCTTCTTCTTGTCTCCTTTTACAACTTCGCGATTTCTGTTTTTGTTCTTGTTGCCGCGAGAACCGTCGCGATCATCATCTTCGTCCTCCCCGTCGGCTGGATCTTCCCTTTTGTTTTTGTTTTGCTCTTCTGAAGACCAATTTTTTCGCCACTTTTTCTTTGATGAATAGTCAGTCCACCAACTGCTGCTAACGCCGTATGCGCCGGCCTTTTCATCTTCATCTAGTACGTTTTCTCCTTCGATCACCACGGCCGCTTTATGTCGCACAGTAGTTGTTGCATCCGCATCGTCGATCGATTTCTTAGACGAAGTGCTGCTGCTGGTGCTTGAAGACGATGCTGCTGCCCTTTTTGGAAATGCAAGGTTGTCTTCAAATGCATTATCTACTTGCCCTTCTTCTGGTGCACAAGCTTCTTCTACATCTTCATCGTCATCGGCGACACTCCCCTCGTCGTTTCTTGAAAAGGTGGCAGCGCTATCCTTGCTTCCGACACCAACTTCATCGTAAACGTGCTGTTTTTGGCGTCTCCATTTTGCCTGCTGCTTTTTGACATCATGAAAGCGTTCCTGTCTTGCTTTCGCGACGTAAGCGTTGTAAGGGAGTCGCTTTTTTTTTCCGTTGTTTTGAACACCAGGAGTGCGTCCCATTTTGTCCGAAAAATACAACTGGAGATTCCAAATAGCACTACAAGACTGAAGTAGATAGAGAAATTTATTTGTCTGAAAACCGTCTAAGAAAATCTGACTCAACCTGGTGAATGTTTCTTTTTGTCCTATTTCGTGATACTTCGAATAATTTCGGGGTCTGTCAGGCGCACGCGCGATATACAACCAAATCCAAATCTGCGTCCAAAAAACAAAACCAATTCGCCTTGAAGCTTAAAACGATCTTCGAAAATCTGTTAACCCTACCTAGAGTTTCAGTTGTGTTTGATCTTCAACAAGGTGCGCATTCTTTCGTCATCAACCTTCTTCTCCTGCGGCTGGATCATAAGCCGACATATTCTTTCATCATCTCCTGGATCTGGAAAATATAAAGAACTCGTCATTTAGGATCATCCTCTGGTGCTTGTAGTGCGGGGACTCATGTCGTGATCGTGCTATCCAAGATGCGTTGATCCATCAAGAACAAGTAGTGGAACACGGTGACGCTTCATGCCTTCGGAATAGGATCACTCGACTGGAAGCAGCTCGCAATGTTGGGGGGAAAGCCATTGCGTGTAAGTAATTTAATGACAGGTATGGAATGGAACGTTGCGGCCCAGATCAGTGTTCCGGAAGGTGGAAAGGAAACTATTAATCACAATGTATGAATAGTATGTCCTTTGCGAGGACTAAAGTCATATGATCAAGGTTTTTAGAGACGACTGCATAAGCAAGAGACTGAGAAGGTTGTCATTGCAACCTCCATTTGGAGAGTTTATGGTGTTTGATGTGTTGCTCTAAAAAAGTCTATGCCAGCGAACGTCAACGTCTCATATTGGTCGGATGTTGTACGAAGATTTCTCATGGGGAGTGTTGGTGGGAGCGGGAAGATCACTCAAAACAGAGTTCTTGTATGGCGACATGATATAATCATGTATGGTTTGCGAGAGACTACCCTTCTAATCCACATTAGCTGCTGCGCGCCGAGAGGAGCCATGTTTATAAAAAACATCCAACAGTACGTGAGAGTAAGATAAAAGAGAAGTATCTATAAATATTAATAGTAAAAACAAGGCTTGATTCTACTATCAGTGGAGCGAGACGTTGTTCACGTTGTTGAGCAATTTCATCGAATAATCTTCACTCTATTCATCCTTCTTGCTCGTGTCAACATCGAGTTATACAAAAAAGTTTTCAATTACTCGCGCGTCAGGCAGTTGCCGCATTCGCGGTCTGCTCAAGAAGACAGTATTCAATTCGCAATCTTTCAGATCATACATTTGCTTCATGTTCTCGCAAATGGATGGCGTTGCAGCTTCTTGTTGTCGTGCACCGTTTGTACGCAAATCTTCAGTGGTGCTACTCAGTCCTGGACTCAGCATGCTCGAACTGCTCGACCGGGCAATCCGCTGAAGGCGACCAGTCCATTCACGTTCTAGTGCCTGTTCAAGCTGCGCATACAGTTGGGAATTTGTCCACGGAAGTACATCGCGGTAAAAGCGGTCAGACCCGAAGATCGTCGTGAGAAAGAGCAGAAAACAGCGTTTCCGTGGCACTGCGGTGTGCGCCACTCCGTAGCAGAATGGGTGAGCCTCACACTGCCTCATCTTCACTTCGCAAGCATGCGGACGGGAGGAAACGTGGTAAACCTGCCATGGAAGCCAAAATCTGTCTGGCTGGTGTGGTGGCATGTCGCGCGTCAACTGCATCGCCTTCGTTGGGCTGATACGAGGAGGAAGGGCTGGCTCTTGTATCGACGAGGGCATTGCAGATGCAGCAGAACCTTGAGTGCCCGTGCTTGTTGGCGCAGTAGATGTTGCTGCAGAAGGCCCAGGTGCTCCATTCTGTGTAGGTGCAGCAGGATGGGCTGTCTTTGCTGGTTGCAGAATTTTCTTACCCAGCACTTGGTCCAAAATGTCTTGCATGCTGACAAAGCGCCTTGACTCGCTTTCTGCGTAACGGCGCAAAGCTTCCAGACGCTGCCGGCGCAGTGGCATTTCTCGTTCTCGGACCCAGCGCAAGAATCGTCGAGGATCCTGCAGGTACAGCCAGTGCTTCAGTACTTTTCGCTGCTTATTCGGCGTCAAAAACCAGGACAACGCGTGTGTTTCTTGCTCCGGAGGTGTCTTATTCCACAACGTCTTGAAAATATCCAGTCGCATCGGATCGCCAACAAACGGAGCTCCAGAGGACTGATCCGCGACGTCTCGTCCTGCTGTAGCCCTCCTAGCGGCATTCGGCTGCCGTGGCGGAGTCGTAGGTGCCAATGTCGTCGGTGGCGAATATGCCTCGCTACCTGCCGTTGTGCTCGGCACAGTGGACGTAGTTGGCATACTAGAAGCGCCGCTGACCATTTGACTTGTTTGGTCTACTTGAGGATCTTGTCCACCAGCTCCAGCTACCGTACTACTTGCTGGTGCTGCAGCAGCACGACCACCAATAGAAGCAGCAGCTTGGCTGGCTTGCTCAGACGGAGGTGGCTGGGGCATTGTCATGCCACGAGTAGCAACCTCTCCGCGAAGAAGGTTCGCAGGTACCTCTTCTGTCTCGCGAGTGGAGTCGTCTGGAGAAAACTCGATGCTCCTTTTGTAGACCGCATCGACGCGCGCATGTTCGCGCGCCGTTTCGTCAAGCAAGCGAAGCACAAACTTTGTCGCGCTCCGTGGAACTCGGACTATGATGTACTCCTCAGGGTTTGCGTTTCTTCTGTGCGCCATAGTTGCAATTTTTTTCGGGTTCGAGCCATCAGGACGTTGGTGCGGAATTTGCCCTGCAGCGTCCAGATCTGCTTGATCACCGAACGCCTGCTGCTGTGCAGCCCCTTCTCCATGATCGACAGAGCCACTGCTCTCGTCCATGATATTATACTCGTCTTCATAGCGGCCTTGATGTTCCGGGTTCAAGGCCCTGTAGTCACGCGGGGAGAATTTCAAGTCGAGAAACTCTTCGGGATCCACGCTGGCATCTCTAGGTGCCATCATCTCAATGCGGTATCGGTTGAAGCGCAAGTGTGTGGCGACGTACTTGTAGTCGATGCGATTTAGCAAGAGCTGCCCACAATCCAAGGAGCACTGCAGAGGGACGTTTGCGAGCAGTCGCGGATCCATGAGGTTGAGGCCAACCTCCGTCGCCCCGTTGGGTCCATAGACCTTTCGAGACATGTCCGCGAAATTCGCTTCCTCCGCAGCTTCTGGATCAAAATCGTCAGCGCCTTCCTCAAGGCGAAAAGGGTTCCAATGGCTGTCTCGAAATTTAGCCGCGGCGCTTCGTGCGTGGCCCTCGATGTCCAAAATTCCGCCTTTCAGGATACCTTCTCGAATCTGATCCAGAATCGACACGCCGACAAATTTCAGATCACGGGCCATGCGATGTCGCAGCGGCTCGTGCTGCCCCACAGAAACCAGCGTGCACGGGATCTTGTCATGATATGCGTAGTTTGGAGTGTCGACTATCTCGTTCTCGTTCACGAAAGTGGCAAAGAGTTCTTTAAACCCAAGGCGCAGGTCGATGCGGAATGGCGGCTTCTGATCGATGAACGGCAAAGGTGTTTCGGACGTGGAGATAGCTGACGAAGTTCGACCGTGAGGCTGCGTTGCAGCAGTTCCTCCTGCTGCTGGAGCGTGACTATTGTTCGCGGTCGCAGCTTCAGACGACGTGGATTCCAACGTATGTCGACGCGACGTCGTCGCAGTTTCTGTTTCTTGCGTCGACGACCCTAAAGGAGATGGACCTGCAAGCGTGGTGACTCGGCGTGACGTTGGCTCCGGTAGCGGATGCACTTCGATCTGAAAAGGAGACGCCCCTAAGTGTCGGTCAGCAATGAGCTCTGGCTTTGTCACATTGCCGAACACGGGTAGCACGAGTGGCAAAGCGTTGTGTCGCAGCACTATCATAGGCCGCTTGATTAGCGTGAAGCCTTCATTTGCGGACTGGTAAATGGGAAGAATTTTCGCGAGATGTTCCACCGTTTGCGAACGGACTCTTGTGCTTACTGGCTCTCGTTCCACGCATCGGTTGTGCACGTTAGCCATTGTCTTCGTGTTCAAAACATGTAATGATATGTCATTCTGCAAAGTCTCTAACACTTGGGCCAGAGGCATGCGGTAGGGATTTTCGCCAGGTGCGTCCAATGCCTCCATCTCTGGGTCGAATGCGTCATTGCCTTCTTCTCTGTTTCCTTGACTAGAGCCCCCAAATGTTGTCGTGGTAGATGTGGTCTGCCCGACCGGATCCCCAGAACCGCCTTTCACTGCCGACGCAGGTCCTGCAGTAGCTCGCTGCAGGACAGCGGGTCCCTGAATCACAACGGAGCTTGGCTGAGTGATCCCGCCGGCAGTCGTCGACGCGATGTCGCTAATATCCGGATTCGCTCCTGGTGTACTCACAGCTGCGGCAGCCTTGGCAGCCGGTGACGGCTTCCGTCGCTCGTGCCGCACTATAAAGCCGATGTCGAGCTTGGTACTGCGGTGATGAAACGAAATATGACTCTGCTGTGACCGAAGCTTTTCTGAGCGAAAGATCTTATGGAGTACCGTAAGCACGCGATTCTTGAGCTGCGTATCGCGATTTAGCCAGCGCGTGACGCAGTCGTCGAACTCCGTATCGTGACGAATGTAGTTCTCCAAAACTATCTTGTAGCCGTTCTTCGTCTTGGTACGCAGCTCCCGCAGCACCCCGGTGTTGAACAGAAGCTCCATCACAAGTGTGCCGTCCGCGAGACGCTCGAGACGTGAAATCACACCCTTCGTGCGCTTGCGCACCATGCGCGACAGGTCAGTCTCGTTCCCATCGGTCGTGCTCAAAATGTCTGTACGAGTGACGATGCGCTCACCAACATACCACGGGGTGCGTGCGCCAGGAAGGATCTCCACACCACCAGGGCGCGAAGCTGAACCGGGATTCAACGCTGGGTCAGTGCCGATTGGTGTGCTGCCCGAGGGACTGTAACCTGGCAAAGAGTTCCCGCTTTGGCCTCCTCGTGTAGTTCTCGTCGCAAACTCATTGCGCGACAAGCCAGCAACAATGCGCGGTACCCGGTCGTCTTTCATGGGAGCTGGCGCTGCATGTCGATCTCCCACATCGTATCCACGTCCTAAAACACGCCGGCGCCGCTGCGCAGCAGCCGCATGCTTCTGCAGCATGTGTACAATTTCCTGCGTGGAAGCCCGCGGCGAGCTACCTTGGCTCGGATTTGCGTGGTGCTTCTTCACGCCAACATGGTAGGCCATACTAATGACAGCGCGATAGATGTTGTGGTCGTAATTCCGACGTTGCCGCTGTGCGCTCGTGGGCATACCACTTGCGCTATCTGGCACTTCGCTGCCGTTTGCTATCGTGAGGCGTGGCGTAGCCGTATCGAACGACACGGGCTGAGGATCGAAATTCAGTCGAAGGTGTTGGTTAATGCGCAACCCTTTGAGCAAGTTCAATCGTACCCCGAGCGCCTCCGGAATGCGCTTGTAAAATCGGGAGTGCTGGTTTTGCTGATCGGCGAACAGGACGTCTGTTTCTGCAGTTCGCAATCTATTGTCGTCAGGGGCAAACCCCTCTACCAACGTATCGGCACTTGGATGATCGGACGTCGTAGCAGTTGCATCATCAACTCCCTCCCTTCTAGACGCACCCACGTGGTGCCTATGAGTCGCGTCGGTAGAAGTTGCGGCACTGGCCTGTTCTCCAATGTTGCTCGTACTCCTCTCTCGCGCAACGATATCAGGCGTATCGACGTCGCCCCAGCCGAAAGCTGCGCTATGATCCGCTTCCTCAAGCAGACAACCACCGGTCATTGAGGGGTTGAAGAAGTTGGGGAAATTGATCGGAAAGCGCAGGTCGCCCTCCCACATCGGTGCCACGGAAGTCAGATCCTGTGCGAGGTGCAAGCTTATACCACCTCCCGGCTCGTCGGTGCCGATTGTGATCGGACTGCGGCCTTTGCTGTAGTTGAAGATACGGAATTGGCAAAAATTCGCAGCCCAAAGATTGATCATGTACGGCTTGTAGCCTTGCTTGATCATCTCCCGCTCAATATAGCGACTCCACTCGTTCACGATGTAAATGGGCTCTTCGACTGTGCCACCAGGAGTCATAGCGCCCTGCTCCACGTCGACCCTTGGAAACCCGATGTGAACCTCGATATCGCGAATGGGACGGCCGTTGACTTGTCTATTGCGAGTGGGTGGCAGCATCTGCGTAGTCTGAATGAACTGCTTGCGTTCGACGTATGCACGACAGAAGGGACGCATTTTCAAGCTGCGCTCATCCCCTGCTAAACAGTCGCTCTTGTCGTCGACAATCTCGCCCGTGTAGTAGTCGATATCGACGTTTTCGCGTTCGTGCACGCGCGCGTCAATTCGCATGGAGACAACGGTGGCTTTGCGCCGCCGCGAGTACAGAATTCGAACCTTCGACAACCACTCGCGGATAAAGCGCTGCTGGGGCAAAGTAATGGAGCGGTTCACCATGGAGTTGACCAAATCTGTGGCCAGAATTAGTGAGCTCACAAACGTGACGAAGTTGTTGCCTCCTAGTTTGAAGCCAGGTCCGGTGTTTTCGTTGGGGTAGTTGCATGCGTGCGTCGGCCACAGGGAACCGAAGATCTTAGCGTAAATCGATCCGCCACCCGGGCACACGATAATCGAGAGGATTCGTCGGTCTTTGTTCTTGTTGTTCTGACGGGCTGCCGGCACACCGGTTGCGTAACCTTGACCTTCGAGCTTGCGACCCGAACTTGCAGCGCTCGACCCTGCAGAGGCCGCACCTGCATGATGATGATTTCCATGATTGTGAGATCGTTCTTGGGCGTCATTGGTTGATCCACTTAAATCGCTTCCGTTTTTTTCTCCTCCTTCACCGTCGTTCTCATTCTCATGATTTCCGTCTCCCACGCCATTTCCCAGCCCACGGCTCGCTGCCTGTGTCCGGAGTTCTTTCCGTGTTCGGGCAATGACAGCGGCAGCCTCGGCACCCTCGGAGTTACCCCCATCTGGGAAGAGCTCGGCCAGCAGGTCCTCCTGGTGCTGAAGTTCAGCATCTGACTCAGATTCCGCCCATTCGTTATCCACATTGTGGCGCTGTAGAAAGAAGCTGTCAGCGTCTTCGTCACTGTAGTCGGCGTCCTCCTCGAAAGCGTCGTACTCGACGATCAAGAGAGACAACTTGCCCTCCATCCACACATAGCGCGGCATTAGGCTCTGAAAGACCCACTGAAAGCCGTCTAGCGGAATTTTCAGTCCGTCCAAGTTCACCGTCAACTTCGTCAGCGTCACACGGGAACTCAAGCAATAGAGATACAATTCTCGGTCCGCGGGATCTGTGAAATCGGCTGATGATAAGGAAGAAAGCGCCACTTTAGGCCGTTCCACTTTCAGTCGCTGCAGAAAGTTATCGCACTCTGCGGCGTCGCGCTTTGCCGTCGAGAACGGCTGGTTCATTTTGCGCGAGAGCAAAAAGAGGGGGAGAGTGGAGAGGAAGACCGGAAACAGAAAGAACCACGTGATCTTTCGGAATTGCGTGTAGCGACGCTGCCGCTTGATCTCTTTAGCAATTGCCATCTCCTTCTCCACGCTGGTTTCGGAAAGACGACGCCGCCGAACTGAGGAGACGCTCGTATCCGAATAGCTGCGGCGTGCACGCTGATGCGATAACGGATCTTCTACGTCTGGATGCAGTGGCCGTGCGTGGTGTGGCAATGATTCTCCGGATGTACGTCCAGGTGTGTCGGAGCCACCACTTGAGTTGCCTGCATCCTTCGCCGCTGGAGCAGGAGTGGGCGATGTTGAGTCGTGCCCATTCGCCAATATCGGAAATACGTCACTGCCACCTCCATGTCCATCGTGAGCCCTGGAGCTATGGCCAACCGTGTTTGTGCGCCCGTTTGCGAGAAGTGGCATCGTTTCGTTAGGCTCGCCGTCGGTGCCTGTTCTAGAAGTTGACATCCCGCCGCTGCCATTGAGCACCGCCTCGACGACTTCATTCCTACCGTTTAGTCTCTCTGCGCGAGTAAGCGCCTCTCCACGCTGCGCAGGAACCGGCGCGCCCACCAAGGCGTAATTCTGGCGACCGTTGCGGCCTGTATGTCGTCTGTTGCGCCCCACACTTGCGTTGCGTTGTCCTCCGCACAGTGGTGCGTCCCGTGGGAGCGAAAGAATGCTGCCAGATCCACCAGCATGCATAGCAAGCTGGCCCGTCGAGTAAGCTCGCCGCGCTCCGTTTGCGTGCAGGTCGACGCGCCGACCTATGCGCCGGAACAGAGGTCGCCCTCGACCGTTGCCTCTGTTCTTGCCTCGACCAGAGTAGAAAGGAGGCGTGGTCGTGGGTCCTTGAAGAAGCGATCCGCGCTGAGTAATGTCTTGAAATCGAACACTATCAGGAGAGTTGCTTTGCAGATACGGATGGCCGTGTTCGTCAACTCCGATGTCGTACTCGTCTTGCTCGTCGGCGTCACTGGACGAGTATCGATCCGCGTCGCGGCGGCCCGTCTCATCCTCGTTTTCGCTTGTTGTGGCCGACAGAGTGCTTGTCCCGTACGATGACGAGGACACCGTGGAGGGGTAGGCAGGCGCGCCGCCCTCGGCGTTCAGACGTCGACGGAACGTCTGCAGCGCAGTCGCAGTGAGGCGGCGACTCTTTCTGTTCAAATTCGCCTGTGCCAATGCGGTCTCTGCGACCGTGCGCGGTTCAACTACTTCCCGGTTTCTAAGGTTCGATCCACGCTCCATGCCGGATCTTGGCTGCATCTCGATAAATGACAAACTGTAAGCGGGATCATGTTGGCCTGTGCGTCGCACCGACTTCCCGCCTTTGCCTTTAGGACCGCCACGGGAACCTCGCTTTTTGTCACCCTTGTGGTGTTCGATCGGCCCGTACAACCAGTTGCAGAGACAGCAACAAAAGTAGCGCGCACAGCAGCCGCGTCGAGCGCAGCAGTGCCTGCGAAGACGTGCACGGCACGACAGCCCGGTTCTATTACACTGCTCGCCAACCACTTTGAAGAGGAGGTAAAAAACGAAGCTGATGAGCATGATGTGCAGGTAGATGAATGCGATGAACTCAAAACCGGAGAGGCCAGAGAAGTTCCAACCTTCATAGTATCCAGTCCGCTTCTCGAATTCGAAAACAGACGAGCCTTTGTCACTCGGGAGAAAGTCGCTCGCATGATCGCCCGCAAACTTCAAATACACATTCTCAATGCCCCATGTGTTGGCGCCGAGCTCAAGAGTGGACTCAAAAGAGTCGAACTCCGAATGCAGATGCACAAACTTTGCGTCCTCTACATCATCCTCGCGATGTCGCGACTTCGTGTCCTCCTTTACGCTCTCATTCTGGTCCGCACTTTGAGCGGATCCTTCAGAGAAGGGAGCTTTTCCAGGAGTAATCGGGGCAGCATTATTGCGAGGTCTATCAGCTGCAAACTCTTGCTCCTGCTCGTCGTCATAATCGTTAGGTGTTTCGAACTCGAATGTCGAGTCCACGGAGGATATGAACGAGTCTTCGCCGTCATCAAAAACGGTTGCACCTCCCGAAACGAGGGCCGCATCTTCCTCTGCTGCACGCTCTGTAGCTTCTCGACGGAGGTCTGTCCGTGTTGCCGGATCTACGTCAAGATTGCCACCTCGAAACGTGTTTGCTTCGAGGTCGTCGCGAAGTTTCCTGTTCTGCACGAGGTCGAAGGGAAAGTAGCGCTCTGTTGGATACCGCATGGCGGCGTAGGCACTCGCGGACGCGGAGATTCCCGAGATTCGTTGCAAGTACGAGTCCTCCCTCCGATTGACGAACTCGATGACAGCGTCCTCAATGTTGCTTGCGATCTTTGCCTTCATGCTCCACGGCGTCCAGGTGACCTTTTGGACCTCCATCACTTCCACGTCCTTTCGATCCTTCGTTAGAAATCTCACGGAGTCGCGCGCTGGCTGCAGCCATTGCATCCACGTCAGCAGAAATCGCAATGGGTCTGGGCGTGGTCCATGCACGTCGCCGGAGGCGGGCGATTGACTTTGAGTCGAAGAACTCATGCCAGGTCGTGAAGTTCTCTGATGTCCTTGCGCGGCACCAGCTGATGTTGATCGACTTTCATCCTCGTAAAACAAGTCATCATCATCTGCCTCTCCAAAATAGTCATCGCCTAGATCAGCATCAATTTTCGTATCTTCCTCTTCGTCAACGCAACTGGATGCACCTAAGACAGAGTCTGGAAGACTAGCGCCACTCCCCGTTCTGTGCGGCTGACACTTTCCTTTCTTGGCACTGGACCATGGGGCTCCTCGTTGACGCGGGGGCGCCAGCGGATGCCAAACGCGCACGATTCTGACTCCGTCACCCTCACTTGGGCTGCCTGTCTTGCCTAACTCCTCACCAGACGCGCTAGTGGTGCTCTCATCTTCGAGAGCAATATTAACAGACCCAGCAAGGTAACGCTGCATGTTCCACGCTACGTACAGCGAGTTATTGACTTCGAGATCTGCGCAGGCGTCCTGATTTGCAACTTCCCCCGTCACCGGGTCCAGGCATGGCTTTAGATTGGCACTGAGCCGCAGCTGGCGGAAACCGGGACTCATCCGCAATCGATCCGTCATGATTCCCGATATTTGCGCCGCCGCCTGCACCAAGATCGGCTGCATGAGGAGTTCCAGCGCGGGAATCAGGCTTACAGGCGCCTGGAAGTCCAGGAGCATGCTGCGTGCGAAATTGAAGATTTCCTCTTTGATCTCGTTTTCCACCTGCGGTCGCGTTGAACCTGAGAGCCACTGAATCGCGTTCCCCCAGATGCTACCGATCATCGTGTGCTTCGGCGGGATTTTCAAATGCTCGCAGCGTGCCCTCTTTAAGTCGATTGTGTCCGGACCCTGAGATAATTTCACGGGAGGAACACCCTCTGGAAGGCGGGAAAAAAGAGGACGCCCAATCATTGCCCAGGCCCAAGTCGGATCGATCAGCACATTCGGGTTGAACTTAAACGGCCCACTCTCGTTCCGCATTCGCGTCAGTCGGGCGTGGTCCACGCTACCAGTTCTTTGATCGGTCGTGCCATTCATGTGAGCGAAAGCACCCCTCACAGCTGACGTAGAGGTTCCGTTGGAACGAACTCCCGGTTCCCCGATAGGAGGTTGCTGTGAAGTAGCACTGCTCGTCCTGCGAATCGGTTCACCCCTGGACGGGGATGCCTTGCTACCCCTCTTCGCGACATTGAGACCCGCCTTCAAAGCGTTACTTGGAAAGACAAGACTCTGCTCGCGAAGTCGCCATCCTGCACGCTGGTTCAGCAGCTTGTTTCTGTCTCCAGCACCATGCCGCGCTGCAATGCGCTCTAGGCCTTTGTGAAACTTCTCCTGCGCCAGCGTGCGCGCGGCGCGGAAACCCAGGCCGATGCGGAAATAGGGAATGTTTACCTTTTCGACCAGCCCCTTGGCCACACAAATGTAGCCCGGCTGCTTCGACCACACATCGTGGATCAATAGGTTTTGCAGGCCACCCGCCGCGTCGTCAACCTGGCCGTCTACGAGGTAGTTGCCATCGTCGGTCTGTGAAAAGCTCATCTCCAGCTTGCCGGCTGATAGCCAAAGGCGCTCCATCGCAGCAGGGTGCAAGACTAGTTCGTAGTCCTTGAATATGTCTTCTGTGGACGGCTCAATTTCGTCTTCCCCCTGGTCTTGCCTTCGTTTCTCCCAACCAAGGAAGGGATTCGGGATGTCGTTGCCGCCCCTTGCTCCATTATTGAACGAAGAAGAATTTGCTCCTGCTGATGCAGATCCGCCACCAGTTGCCGACGAGCCTCCTGCGGTGCCACCCGATTCTCCTAGACCTACCGAAGCTGGAGGTACGGCTTTTGGCTCTGCCTGTGTGTTTTCGCCAACCACACGATTGTAGGCGTCAACTGCAAGCCTTCCAGGACCAGCACTGGCTGCAGCGGACGCCAAATTAGACGCTGCACTCACGCAAGCTCTGGCTGTGGCTGACGTTGCGTTCCGACAAGCAGTGGCCGCGGCCAACACTGCACTAGCTGCTTTCTTCCGACAAGCTCGCACCCAAGACGCACACCCCGACGCTGCACCCACGGCTGTCTTCTTACATGCTTGAGGAGTACAAGAGGACACAACGCCATGTGTCCGGTAGGTTCTCTCTTGCGGCATCCCTTTTGGGCGCGGCCGTGCAGCAGGCGCGTCTTGCTCCTGCTCTGGACCAGCTCTAGAGCTTAGTGTTCCATCCTGCAGTGCGTTTGGGGCAGCAGGATCAGAAGTAGCCTGTGCTTTTCCAGTAGGAGCGGTAGCTGCAGAGCCTTGTGCTCCTGTCCTATGATTTTCATCTTCTTCATCATCCCACAGTCCAACCCCAGCACCAGCTCTTGCTGTTGCCTCGTCAAAACCTTCGCCTTGTCTGTCATCATAGGACTCGGAACCGTCATCTTGGTTATCGGTATTTTCATTTTCACTTTCGGCACCGTCATCAGCGGCACCCAGGTGCGCGACAGGCTCCGCCGGGCGCGAAGCCTGTAGCGGACCTCCGTCTCCAAGAGCTCCTGACGGCCCGGCTAGTGTGGCGTCAAGCGGGCCGGCTGCTCCTGCTGTTGTGGCACCAACCACGGGTAGAATACGAGCCTCCGGCGTATGTCGACCTGCAAGTCTCCGCAGACCTCCTGCGACTGCTCCGCTGATACTTTGAAGTACATTAACGGCCGCTTGCCTCGCAACTTCCTTAGCCTTGTGGCACGCTTTGCAATTCATGAGACCTTCCTCCGGAAAGCGGTTATCCATTGCAGCATGGTCGTACCTCGTTCTCGGGTCTGAAACAAGTCCGTTACCACGAACGCCACTGCGATCCACACTAGAAAACCACCTGGGTTTCGCTGGGTTGTAATTACGGTCATCAAAGGGGTCGTAGACAAAAGAAGATCCTCCATGTTGATGAGAATTATATTGCCCAGGTCGGTCTTGTCCTCGCCCAGGTAGGTGCTGATCGTCGTCTGGAGGTGGAGGGGAATCATTGTCGTCACCTCCTCCATTGCGACCACGACCCCGCGGCCGATGATACCCCGAATTGTCGTCATCATCTCCTGGTAAGTAAGGATCTTGAAATGGAATTTCAGGTACCATTGGGAACGCGCGCGCAGTTCGCCGTGCGTTCTCGCATTTTGATTGTGATTCCTGCCATTGGAAATGCTCGTAGTGAAGATCATGATGCACACCTAGCAAGCGCATCGCGCCCTCTGGATTAGGGATCTTCCACTCCATCATCCGGTTGCGCCGTCCACACACAGTATTGCCTGAGTACACAGTCACGCAAAAGTCTCTATGCTGAAGATCGAGACGAAAAGGAAGTTCTTTCTCCGGGTCCACCACGCGTCCGCGAGGACTCGTCTCCCCCGTTTGATGATCCTCAACTTGCCGCTGGTCATGCGGTTGTTGGTTTCCATCAGCAGCAGCATCAGAAGGGACCCCACTCGGTGGTGGCGTGCCCGCTCCTGCTGAAGGTGCAGAGCGTTGATGTTGGGGATCAGCTTGCGCGGAGCCGCCATCGGCTCCCGCTACGTCTGGCACGGCCGCACCAGGCTGTTCTTGAACAGTTTGTCCCGACGCAGCTTGGCTAGCAGCAGTTTGCTCAGCTTCTTGTTGTGCTGCGTTACTTGTGGCCGGACTCAGATGGCCAATGGTCGTTTCAAGCATTCGGCCAGCCTGACGCTGCATGCCTCCGTTTGCGAACCAGTCGCGAACTTTCTCTAGCGTTTCCTCGGCCACGTGACGTTCCGCAAAAACCACCTCCTGGATCGCGCCAAATCGGGGGTCCGTCTCAGCCTCACCGGTAGCCCGCCGCCTAAGCTCGCGCAGTGAGTCGTACTCATACGGCGACTGCGGCTCTGCCTGTGCCAAGCCTTCAGAGCAGAACACCTTGAGCTCCTCATTTCCCTGGTGAATGCGACGCGCTGGAATGCGACCGCGATGACCCTGATCGAGAAAGAGAAACAGGTTGGAAAGCAGTAACGCCATCAAGCGGGCCAAGTCAAACTACAGGCTAACTGCACATCAAATTAGCAAAACAAACTATAGTACTAGTTACTCATGTTTAGGTACCGTGGGTTTCTTCGACCAGTCTTGGATACGCACATCACAACATTCTCTCGTGACGAAAAAGCATGACCTATGAACCTCCGTAAGCGTAAGTAACTCTGAAATTATTACTGGTAATCCTGCTACTAGTGCTACGGAGGTGGAAAAACAAATATAAGGAACAAAACGAATCCTCGATATCGATGTGACGACGACGAAAAAAATATGTATATTTACATATTTATGAGCTTAAACGCTATATCTTGTTTGTATTAATAGTTCCGGCTCCACGACCTACGGATACAACAACTACACGATAGATATCATTTGCATATAATTGACTCTTACCTTTAAAGTGATCTCAGTATCCAGATAGTGGCCATTTGGTGCTACGAAGACCTCGTCAACCACTTGATTTGTCTTCCAATTATCGTAGTCTTCCGGATCCTTGTACCAAACCAGGTCCCCGGGTTTTATCTCCTGATCACTGCCGTAAGCGCAGAGCATTGGTTTCGAAACAACAGCCGGCAGCGCCTTGTAAGCAGCTTGAACTACCATTTTTGTGAACCATACGAGTGCGGTGTCTCCATCCGGCAGTCCTGGTACAATTTTACTCAAGGTCTCGCGGCTAGGTAAGGTGGGTCTGAATATTGCTGCGGCACCGGCTCTGAAGACCTCGCCCCAAGTCCGTCTTGATCCTTGCGCAGTGTTGGCGCCGTGAGCAGCGGCTTGACTTGGAGGAGCTGCTGTAGCTGATGCTGGTGCTGCACTCGTTTGCACTCCCCCACCAACGCTGGACGCGGAACTAGCAGCATTGCCGCGCGGCTGTGCTGCAGCCAGCGCGCCACCTCGGAAAACAGAAACTACTTGATATTTGGAAGGATTCGATCGAGGTTTTCCGAAGAGAGACAATTCTGGACCAAAATAACGTTGTCTGCACGACCTTCGTTCAGATCTCTCATTGCAGGTGCAGCTAGCAGTTGTCGGTCGTAAGAGCATGGAAGACGTCCTCGTTGAATAATTCGCAGCGTCTACTTGTTCAAAAGCTGTCTTATTCTCCTCCTCACCCATCATGAGGTAGGGTGAGGTGTAGTCAATTGGATTATCGAAGAACCCCACATGCTGCTCAATGAAAATCAGCAACACAGAAATCCACACGAGTCGCGCAGCTAAGCGGCGATGCTGGCACATACCGATTATTTTCGCCATCGTGCGATGTTCTGCTCTTCTCTACTGTTCCTCCGCTTGCACACGTGCTTTACTGCAGGAATGACGCACAAAAATCAAGTCCGGAGGTTAAATTCTCTACAGTTTTTTCGTCTAAAATACTCATGATTATCCTTGAAAAAGGTTAAGTAATTGATGTTCTTGATACAGTTGACAACATAACACAGTAAGATGAAACGTTTCTGATTGTAGTTGTGGCGTGTAAGCTTATCAGTCTCACAAAGACAAAAGAGCTAACAAGCATCAATATAAGCCATGTAAAAAAACCGAGGAATAAACCTTATAGGAGGTAGGAATAACAAAAATATTCAAAACCAAAACACTCGAGAGGGACAAGATATAACGGCTTTTACGCAATTCGCTCTACAACTTGAGTTGCTGTGATTCAGCACATTCATGATAGTATCAAAGTGGGTGCACTAGACGGCGATAAGCTATCAAATATCTTGATCTTCATGTACAGCTAGAAAAACTAGAAATAGTTACTTACGGTAAACAATGTTCTTCTTCTACGGCTGGACAAATCTAGTACTGGCACTATCAAGCAGTCGCTTTCCCACCTGCGGTTGATATTTGGAGTGCGATGATGGATCATGAGATGATGAAGGTGTCGGTCTCGACTTGAAGGACGTTGCCCACTGGCACTACAGCATATGGATATGAAATTCATTATCATTTACATAATTCTTCTTCTTGCCGTTCTTAAAAACATCATCTTCTGAGCGTTGACGTTGAGATTGTTGTTGCTGCCGCTGCCGGAAGAACCGGTGCTAGCTATGCTGCTCGATTCATATCAGGGGATCTTCCTCTACAACTTCCATATCGACGAGCTTGATACTTATTCTTATTGTAAGCATCGGGATCGTGGTTGATCGCGAGCAGCGGATCATGATGTTTGATTTGCTTTGTCGGGATCTTGCGAGCGTTTGATCGTCGTGATCTTCTGAATCTGAAACACGAACTTCTCTTCGTAGTACTTTTTAGTTCGAACAAGCATTTTCATCTGGATCTTTTCAGAAGATAGCTCTTATTGCAGTTGTTGAACATGAAGATCTACGCCATTTGGAATCTCATGCATCATGGACGCATCAAGTTCATCTTCATCAAACCCAGTCGCGATACCAGAATAAAACCTAGTCTTCAAAACAAATTCCGGAATACAGCCGCTGATAATGATCTTAACACTGACTTGACCGATACGAAACAGAAAATTTTCAACAAAAACGCCCCAGATAGAACTGATCTTCCATTTTGTGATCGCGCTCCACGACGATCTCCTGCTCTCCTTGTTGAGCACGCCACGAAAAAGCTTGTCATTATTATCTATTTGCATTTCTTGCTACGCAACTAAATCTTCTTGAGCTGTTCCAGCATTTCTACAAACTTTTCAAGGAATGATAAGAGTGGTTTGCTTACCGACTACAACATCAATCGAAAGTCGGGAGTATCGGTGGATCACACTATGTTGTGGATCAGTATCATAATAAAAACAGGAGGAAAAGATGCTACTACTGCATAGAATAACATCAGCTGTGCAGGTGCTTCTACGATACAACTGACGCGGACTTCTACTTCAACATCAACACTGATAGTATCTCGTATAAGCTATATCGAATTGGGAGTTTCGAGAAGTTCTGCACTCCTTGCCCGAGAGTCTGACTTTTTTTTGAGCATGAAGACGGACGAGTGACGGACTCACGGCGATGGTTTTTTAATGCTTGACACGATGAGAGAGGCAAAGAAGCTAGACAAAGAACGTAGACGAAGAAGCGAGTCGATGCATTTGATTACCGTCATTTTGTTAACTTTCCCTTTGTTTTCGATCCGTCAGCATTTCGTCTACCGCTGGCCTCTGTTCTGCTTTTTTAGGCGTTACATCTAAGGCGTAGAGTGACGCAAGACATTTACTCTGCTGATGGTCTAGCATGCGCATGCTCCTGCTTACGGCGTTACGTTCTGCCTTTTTTTTCATAGGAAACAGAAAAAAAATTTCTGCTATCTTATCAAAGAACTAAAGTCACCGCCTTCGTTAGTTTTCGTCTACGCTCTGCGTCTCTGCGTCGTGTTTCTCTCTCGAAACGCTTCCAGTTTCCATGGCCCAGCCCTCTAAGGCTCTCCCTCTTTCAGGTCTATGATCTTCTGACGCAGTTGGTAGCCGCAGTACCCGCCAAGGAGTGCGCGACGTCGGCCACCATCCACAAGGGTGGCGATGCCTCTGCGCTGAAACTCGTGCGCAGTATGGGCGAAAATAAAACGCAAGTCCATACTGACCTGCTCACGGTGCCGGACGTGCTCCGCCGCGATTTTTTGGAGATGTATGAAAGTGAAAGGCTTAGCGCTGCTGCGTACCAACCACCCCAAGCCCCTACGCAGCACCCCACGGATTTGCCTACTTCCGACCCCTCTGCGCCTTCTTCGTCAGAGCTCCCAGCGAGCTCAAGCGGCTGCTGCTGGTAAGTGTCGAACTCTTTGCGTGAGAAGCTACCCCATACGTAACCGAAAAGCTTGAAGGGAATCCGTCACATTCATACCCCGCCGCGTTTCCACTCCCGGCAGGTTCTTCTTCCGATACCAACATCGACGCAGAAGCACTCAAGCACGCAAGGAACAAAAACCAACCACCTTCGCTATTAGCGAATCGCCGAAGGCTACCTACCACGACGATGAAAAGCGCTAGCACGACCGAGCAAAGCGCTGGGGAAAAGCCTGCCCCTACGAAGAAAATGGCGAAAGTGCGCAACCCAATGAAAAAAAACACAAACCAACTGAAAGCAGCGACGAAGGCTGCCAAAGTACCGAAGAAGGCAGCCAAAACACCACGGAAAGTTATGGTCTCAAATCCCGGGACCTTTTTGGTCGTTTCTGTAAGTAGGAAAAGTTACACATATAAGGTTCTGCGGAGTCTACGGAAGATCTACGGAACCAAAGAAGCCGCTCGCACTAACACCAAGAGTCTCTCTCTGTCTCAGTCACACAAACACTCTCACAAAAAAAGCGGCAGCAAGCACAAGCCGGCTGAAGACCTACCAAAGCCAATGAATGACCCTCCTCACGACAAGGGGCTTCAGACCTACCAAACCCAATTCCCTCCTGAGCAAAGGCGTCCCACTGCTGGCTCTCCACCAAAAACCACAAGCCAGTGGTCACTCCACGGCTTCTGAGAACACTCCGCCCCACATTGTCTAGGCCGGGGAAAGCCTGCCTCGATGTTCCAAGCCTAAGCGCTACGCGAGTCGAATTGAATGAAACTGTCTGACGACCTACCAAAACCAAGCGAGCGACCCCTCCGCGAAACGAATGGCGCAGCCGGGGTGCGTAGTCATGAGAAAGAAGAAGAACCAGCGAAAGCGACAACACCGATGAGCAGCCGACACTCACTGCGCAGACGCAGGGGTGGAGGTCATATCCCTTGCTGCTTGACGAAAGCCCAGCATATTCGGCAACGCTTCAAGTCGCTCCGCTATTGACTAGAACACACTGCCCCACATTGTCTAGGCTGGGGAAAGCCTGTCTCGATGTTCCAAGCCTAAGCGCTACGCGCCAACCCATCCACTCAGAGAGGCCTTTGACTAGAACACACTGCCCCACATTGTCTAGGCCGGGGAAAGCCTGTCTCGATGTTCCAAGCCTAAGCGCTACGCGCCAACTCATCCACTCAGAGAGGCCTCTGACCATCCACATCCACAGCGCGACGCGCACACGCTTCAAGACATTCCTAGTGCTCTCCTTCTAAAGACAGTCTGCCACTCTCTCACTCCGTCAGACAGTCAGACAACAAGAATAACAGATCGATGGCGACAATGCTAAGCAAGACAAAACGCAACGACCGACCGTCTGCGAGCTTAACATGGATAAAATCCGCCCACTCTCTCAAGACAACCTACTACGAAACGCGCGACGAAATCACACGGCGCAACAGACTCTGTCGCTCGCAAACTGAGCCTGGGGCCGATAATCTCTCTACACCGAGCACGCACGAAGAAGCCTAGACCTGGAGTTGCAAACAGAAGGCGCCCACGCTCTGGCCCTGGACAGAATGAATGCACGGAGGGCGAAGCGACTGCGATGAACTTCAGACACCACCGGCGGCCTATTAGTCACCCGCCCACGCATAGTGATACACCAGGGGCGGCCTATTAGTCTTGCGCCGTGACTGCGCGACCCCTAGTCTGAAGAAGTGCAAAAAGTGCGAAGCTGTTGTTGAGCTGAAGAAGTCGCCCGCAGTGAGATTTCTTGATCCATCTGAACGAACGAAGTAACTGACTTAGCTGCTTACTGTAAAACGCGACACATTCGTAGAGTTTTACTCTTAGATAGATTGAAGGGGGTCAATGCGATGTCAGTCAGTGAATCACTCAGACTGAAAGAGTCAAGGAGTGAGCGAGCGTACATACGTACGGCACGAAGGAACCGAACGAACCGGGGCGATAACATGGCCTACCGTTAGTTTGAAACACTGTTAAGCTTGTGCGTTAGTTTGAATCACTGTAAGAATGAAAGATACGAAGTTGCTGCTTTTAAGAATGAGAGAACGAGTCTCAACTCATTGAGACAAACTTTCAAAAAAAGACATCTGGAAGGCAGGCGCCGCTGATGCGACCGCAATGTTGCACACCACACGAAAGAATCAAAAATGTGTCAGAGTTGCTTTGTCTTGTTTTGATTGCATGGATGCGTGCCTGCTTCTCAAAAAAATTCACAAGACTTCGCTGCACGAGAAGCCTCCCCATTTTCTACCGCCCTATTTTACTCGCTATCACTCCCCGAGGAGCTGTCTTCCTCGTCGTCACTACCTCCATGCGACGACTCCTCCTGCAACTGCTGCGCCGCTCCGTTTTGTTGGCTATTTCTTAGCGCGAAGGCCCCCTCGGTGTTTCATTACTCCTCTGCTTGCCCGGCTCTCGCCCCTTTGGAGAGCCATGAAAAACAAGAAGAGATGAGAACGAAACGCCCAAAGCCTGGCTCCCCTTAATTGTCGTCTGCAGTGTTTCATGAACTGCACGAGCCTCCATTAGCGCACGCTTTTCACTAGTCATGAGTATATATAAACAGCGGAGCGCGTGCGCGTTGCCCGACCGTTTATGTTCGGCCGCTCGGTCTCCCTCACCCTTACTTTCAAATCAGGGGCAACGCGCTCAGCGCACTGCCAAGGGCAAGATAGTGAAAAACGCGCCCTAATTGCAGCCCATGTAGTTCAGATCGTTCTGGGTTTTCTTGGACGCCCTGGAATTAGAGCTGCGCTGAGTTGTAGACCTATCTATTCTACTGCCTCGCTACCGAGCTAGCTTGAGCTAGCTAGCTAGCTTGCTACCCCATCGAAAAAGAAGCGACGATCACGCCAAAAGGCGCACCCTAGACGCGGCGCCTGCGTCAATGATTGAAGCCAGAAAATTCGCCGAGCGCTACCGACAGTCAGAGTATCTTAGTGCGACCCCAATGAGGCCAGATTCTTTCAGAGAGCCTTAAGGTAGGTCGCGCCGAAGCTCCTCTCCAGCGGTTTGTACTTTGGTTTCTGCTCCATGACTTTGCGGAGTATCTAAGATTAGAGCGCAAAAAGGCCCACCTTTGGAAACGTCTGTGCCTGTGGCGCGTGTTGTCCCTGACAACGGCGCCGCAGATGCTCACGTCGCAGGAGGCGGCTCCCCTGTTGTGCCTTAATTGAAAAAGCGGTCGCCAGCGCGCTCACACTCCCCTGTCGATGATTAGAGCAAAACCCCAAGACCAGGAGCAGGTGCCCCCCGAACCCCTGAAAAATGGCCCGGGGGCTATGGTCTCCGGCCGGGGCCATGGGGATTCTTGCCGCTTCAAGCGAAAGAGACAGACGAGCAATCCTTCCACCAAACTGAGCAAGCGGTCAGTAAGTAAGTAAGTAAGTAAGTGCGTACGTATGTATGTATGTAGAGAAAGTTAGGCAAGTTAATGCAACAAAGGAGAGACTCACTGAAAGAGTGAAAGCAAGCTTCTGAATTTAGTAACTTGTTATTTGCTTCATGCATTCACTCAGTGACTGATTGACAATTATGTATCTATCAAAGAGGCAAAAAGATAGAAACGAACTGGGACGGAGAAGTTTGCAAACTTGCGAGCGCCCGAAGTGGAAACCCAATCTACAGCGCCCCAGCTCTCTTTCGTCTGCCCTCACTTAGTCACACTCCTACACTACCACAATCGAGCTGGCGCGTCGTCTTGAGTGGGTGCGTATGCCGCAGAGCTTCTGACTGAAAGACAGCGCGTCTACGTGTGCTGATAGGCTGCCGCTTGCTTCTACTCATTCAAACCAAACTAAACCCTACGACCACCACGGGCCACCCTCTCTTAACAGAATTCGTCACTTTGGCGCGAAGGCGCGGTGCATCATTAGAGGAAACAAAGAAGGGGCGCCCAGTGTCTCAGCCTCAGGGGCGAGCTAGAAAGTAAGAGAGGCGAAGGCGGCGATTGATCAAATCACGCGCAGTAGCGCTAATTCCTACGAGGCATTACCCAATCAGACAGATAGCGCGCAGAAAAGCAAGCACACAAGCGCAAGCTAGTGGCAGCGTAAGTAATAAGAACGAAAACACTGAGCGCAAGGTTGATACGTAGGCAGCCATAATAAAAAGCCGGATCGCGGCCGAAAACGTAGATCCACCGTCCTATGACGAGCGGGCGGGCTTACTCATTCTCGTTGCAGATTGGGCTTCAGACTCCTTGCCGTTCTTTCTTCCTTTCCCCTCATCATAAGAAACAGCGCAAGGCCTCAGCGAGTGCCAGCCACCTGAGTAAGCGCCCCCCGCCGTCATACATCTTCTCGCCCCACGGCCAGTCAAGGTCATGCGCGAACTCTTCTCCCAACCATTAGAAGACCATAGAGAAGGCGGCGACTTCTTAAACAATAAAGCGACCAAGCAACAACAACAGCCGCAACACGTGCAACGAGTGCACCATAGTTTTAGTTAGTCCCTGCCAAGATGGGAGCGCCATAACCCTTAGTGCCTGCGGCATTCGGTTGCACTGAGAGTGCTTCGACAACACTGCTAGCACGTGCTTCGCCTCGAGAGCGCCAAGCTATTAGAGCGCCACAGAGAAGCGACGGCATGTCCATCAGCCAACCCTCTGAAAATGGAAGAGCAGACAACTGCTACTACTGCTACTACTACTACGCGCGTACGTAGTACGAACGCACTTGACTTCGCCAGAAATAATAGCAGTAACTACTCCAAAGCCCTGACGCTACCTATGGGGTAATATCTTCTTGAAAGCGCCGCCCGCGCCAAGTAGTCAGCTACCTAATAACTAAGTGAGCAGCCGAAGGCCCCAGCGTGCGAGCGTTTAGATAGAAAACCACAGAGACGAGGCGCTGGCCACGAAGCTAAAGGAGATAGCCGTCTAACTAAGTACGCAAACATCCAACTAACTAAGTAACAAACGCCGAAAAATCACAGATCCAGCCAAGCTACGAGCCCTCTCTTAAAAAGCTGAGCGCAGCCGGGTGACTAGCGTTTCACATTAAAGCAGGCCGAGCCCGAGACTCGTCCCTGCCGTGCATCCTGCCGCTGTATCGCGCTGAGCAACTTCTGCGACCTTTCCAGCAAGCAAGATGCCCCAAGAGATGAGCACACACAAGCGCACCATAATCATACGCATGTCGCCGCTTCGCGTGCACTCATGAAGAAGAGACAAACCGAACACGCTAGCGCCTAGCTACCAGCGAACCTAGCTGACAGAAAGCTCAAGACACTCCCGCAGAGTCAGGGCATGCGTCAGCTAGTTTAGCAAATCTTTAAAGCTAGCGCCTTCAGTGCTCGCATACCTTGGATTTGAGGCCCATCCTGTTTTAGAAGCTGAGACCGACCACCCTGCACAGCGCGCCCCTGTCATCGAGCCCAAAAGCTTCCGCTTTCTACTTACGCGGCCTTTTCTTTTGCGCGCCCCCTGACCCCGCAGGCGCTGCGCTCCCAAGCAATTTTCTACGGTGCCTCAGTAGTTCTATGGAGCTTCTACAGGTTTTACGGCTATTCTACAGAAGAACGCAGCGCCAAAGAAAAGGCACCCCCTCAGCGAAAGAGCGGCGGGTCGCACGTCAGAAACCCAACCGCCCAGCTTGCAAGCCAATGGATGCACAAAGATGGTAAAAGAGCTAACTGCCAACAAGCTGGGTAGTTTCTCGCTCTTGCGTGGTAGAAAGGAGAAGTTGGAACCTCAAGCACAGGGCAGCCTTCGTGGCAGTTCTCAAGCCTTACTTCTTCACCGCGCGCTTTGTAACCTTCGCCTTTAACGACGGCAGGATCCGCTCGACCTTTGCGAGGTGGCGCAAGATTTTGCTCTTAGAGATCCAACCAGCTCGAGCCCCACGCTTGCTTCTCCTTCTCTTCTAGCCATGGGCGAGCACGCTGGTGCCTGAGTAATCTCCGGAGATATTCATGGACACACTGGAAGATGAAAGAGAATGGCGCCGCGCCTGAAGGGGCCCGAGCCTTCTTCGTAATTCTGTGGCGCTGGACCGGCTTCATCCGTCAGATTAGGCCAGCCAACTGCTCACCTTGGGCGCGCGTCCTTGAAACATGTAACAGCCGAAGAGCATACTGATACTCCGCCAAACTTTTCCAGGATTCTCTCCAAGGTGAGCAAGCTCGCGCCTTAGTCGGAGGTATGCCACAAATTAGCGAGCTGATGGCTCAGCTGGTGACCATGACACACAAGAACTATCGACGACGCCGTAGAAGTGTGGCGGAGCTGTCGCTGGCTGCTCTCACAGTGTAGGTGTAGTAAGATAGACCCGCTCTGAATCAAGGAGATAGAAAGGGAGAAAAGCTATGAAGCCCACGACAGCGGCGACAAGCATGCTTGCAACCTCTGAAATTGATGCTAGGTAGCTAGCATCTGCAGAGAGAGAAATCCTCCGTCCTCTATTCTAAGGCTAAGGAAAGCAAGCTCCGACCATAATGCGACAACGGCGAAAAAAAACCCTGCACGTCAGCATTAGAGCGAAAGCGCCTCCCCTCGGCGAGTTTGCAGTCAGCTAGCTATGGAAAGAGAGACTGACACGCAAGGCCAAAGAGAACCAAAGCAACGAGACAGAGCACAACACATATTCACTGCAGCCGTAACGGTTGTGCTCCTCCGCTTTGCGAACTTGACAGCGTCCCCCAGACCGAGTCCTTACATCGAAGGCAGAACCCAGTCCACCTCCACATTCAAAAACCAGCGCGCCCACCCTGGCTATGTATTCTTGTGTCTACTCACTCGCGCAGACCACTGAGGGCGCGTTAATAAGTGGCCCGCTGGTTTTTTGAGGTGGAACGAATTCCACGCCCCGTACCTTTGGTCGCTATTTCAGTCGCGAAGGCACGACCTTGGAAAGCTCCACAGATTAGGAAGCAAGGAGGTCGAAGAAGTATTTGTTACTAACGGCCACAGTCAAACAATTAACACAGAGGCCCTGTATCTTACTTTCTTCCTTAAAGTAACCCTCATCCTTAGTTACTTACTTTCTTTCTAAAAAGTTCTATCTTTGACAAAGTTTGTTAGTTTCAACAGCCACAAGCCCCGCGCCGCCTGGCCGTTCCTTGATAGATTTCATTTGATAACACAAAGAGGGAGAAGCGCACCACTATCTGGGAGCGAAGAGAAAAGATTCCCAGCCGTCTCCTGGCTCTCATTCTACTCAGATGCGGGGAGGCTACCTACACACTCGAGCGTGCGAATTAATAAGAATGGACCAAAGCCGCAAGGATGTGCCTGCTACCTAGCTAGCTAGCAGATACGCATACGCATGGCACGCGCCTGCTACTATGGTGCGGCACGGTACGTACGTAGGTACGTAGGTACCTATATAGATAAAAGTTAGAAAGGTAGCGACGATGTCAATGTCTGTCACTCACTCATAGCCAGCTAGATCGATACTAACTATCATACATAGATACAGAGATAGTACGTAGTTACTTAGAAGCTAAAATAAGCCAGCCCTCTCCATAAGAACAAAAGCGCCCAATGCGCCGACTCTTTCCACGTGGGCGCCCCTGCAAACACCTCACAAAATGACACACACAGGCGCCCCCGTGGCATACTCGGGCGTGGACTCAACCCCCCCACCCCAACACACAACCAGCCGCAAGCGCCGGCCTCGAGGCTCCAAAACCAACGGCCGATCCGCTGCCACACACACACACACACACACACACACACACACACACACACACACACACACACACACACACACACACACACACACACACACACACACAGACACACACACAGACACACACACACAGAACACACACAGACACCGAATCAACAACAACGCAGCCGCAAGGCAGCGCCAGCCCCGGGCGGCTTTCTTCCGGGTCTAGACGCTGCGCCCCGGGGGACTCTTCGTGCACACCAGCCAACACAAGACGCACAAGAGCAACCAGTGCCAAACACTGCACCGCGGCGACTGCCGCGCTGGGCGAAAATGCCAGCGCCCACAGACAATCAAATTAACCCAAAGAGGCGCCCCGCGCTGCATGCGCACGGCCACAAGACACGAGCGGAGCACAAGACGAAGACACACCGCAGACAACAAGCATGCGCGAGGTAGCCGAAGCGAACCCAACAAATCAGGGGAGAGTCCACCGCCGCAGCCCAGCCACGGGGGAAAGCGCGCCAAATATTCGTAACCTGTACGCCCTCGCCTGCTCCCCGTACCGCTCGCTTTCCATTGCAGCAGCCTGCAGATAATCCCGAGAAAGCAAAAACTTGCCCTCCTCTTCTTCTTTGCTGTTCAGTCGGGCTGTATGAACGGCGACGGCGGTCAACAGCCATGCTATAAATTTTTACTTTACTTTAGTCCCAGCCGTAGCCCCACGCGCAAGCCATGGCGCTAAGCCAAAGAGAGCGCGCGCGACCCCTGCTAATTCTATTCCTAACCACATCCCAAAGTGCGCAGCTGAGCACCCTAGTGCCAAAACATCCCTGCAGCTGCTTGTGAGTGTGTCAATGAAATGGGAGCGAGCCTCTCTGATAGAGTGATAGAGTGAGATACTTAGGAAAAACCACCAAGGGATGGCAACCGCCATAAAACCTCGACGCGATGGCTTTTGTCCGAACTTCGAAGACACCTGGGACATCTGGCAGCGTTAGAGGATGTCGATGACTGAGAAGCGACAGCTTTTGACAGCCAGGGCCAAGCCCAGGCAGCTACTTGCTAGCCCTTAAGAAAAAGCGCCAAGAATGGGCGCGCAGATATTCCTCCCAGGCGCCATAAGTACAGCCGGGCCCAGATTTGCTCGTGCGTTTCGTCTTGGTGCTCCATATCATGGAGCGGTCAAATCCTTGAGCCAACCGCCGGCCACCCTCGACCTGCCCGCGTGGGTTCTGCTCCCGGTCTGAGCTTTGCGACAAGGTCGAGCGTGCTCGCAGCAGCTCAAGTTTTTCGCCCGACGTAATCAGCTTCCTCGTTGACATCACATTAGCGACGAGAAGAGCAGCCCCAGTCCCCCAGCCTGAGCCATTTCATTCTTTGCCCAGCCGGCTGTGTAAGTTAATAAATGCGACGGATGAGTATAGTATAAACATCGAGCAAGTTCTTTCCTTCTATGTCTATGCTTCTTCCTTGCTTGTTTATATTCATATTAATCTACTAACTTACTCAGTCACTCACTCAGTCACTCATGCATTTTATTTTTTTCATAGTTAGAAAAATATAATTAATATATATTTAGTTACTTAGATAATTAGAAAAATATAATATATTTAGGAAATAAGCGAAAAACTGGCCAACTCCTGCAATGGATTAACACTAAGTGATCGACCTCGCTGCTCGTCCTTAGTGAAGCTCCTTGCAAGCTTCAAGGATACGGGCCAGAAGATTGATAAGTAGCGCCGCACGGGCCAGCCTTTCTTAATCAAAACAGACAGCCAAGAACGCCAGAGCCTCCTCCAAGTTCAAGATCTGGAACGCCATCGCTTCTTCGGCCGGGTATTTCAGTAAATTAGAGAGCCGACGAAAGTGATAGCAAGAGAGGGAGAGGACCTCCCTGGACCTTTATTTTACGCGTACCACGAGCCCACCATAGTTCATGATTCGCGATCTCTCGCCATTCTTCGACCTTGGCTATTGTATTCTACCCTACTACGAAGTACATTTCACCTATATGGATTTGCTGAGCTTCTTCATTCGCTGGGCCTCATTCCTTGCGAGTTTTATTCTGTCCCCCTTTCTCTACTTTTTGATTTAAATTCAGCACATTCAAATTGATAGACCTGAAGAGAACTGAGCCCATATACTGATAGACCTGCTGACCCATTGGAGTGCAGTCATTCAAGCGCCTCAGTCTGTCACTCACAAGAAAGAGGTGACAGATCGGGGATCCTATGTATTCGGGAAGATTCACTGATACACAATGAAGGTCGATAGATTCTAGACTTTTCTACCCGATAGACCTGAAAGGGAAGCCGCTAGGCTCTTCCCTTCTTTGTTTGAGTTTGATCGTCAGACGGCGACTTTTCTTTTATAGCAAGC